CCCCCCCCCCCCCCCCCCACGCCTCGCATCGCACGTCCACTGTCGGCCTGCATCCATGTTCCAGGCCAACGCTCACTGGATGTCCTTATTTTCCGCTCCACAGTATGGAATCTGATCTTCTCCCGCTTAACCGTTGCCAGAGCACTACCAATAAAGACCGTATCGCATTTCTCTGACAAATCACGTGACACCCACCCACTATTGTGCAACACACAACAGCTCAGTAAGCTGTACGGAAGTAAAGCATAATCTGCCCCCCCAGTCTTCTTGGTTTCTTATCAACGGACCATTCGGTTATCCCGGCCAGAGCTCGCACACATTGCTGCCCCCAAACCGCCAAGGAACATAACCGCCAATGTGCTCGCACGGATCAGACGTTTGCGGCACAGCGCATCGGCTGCTTTCACCACTGTGGACGGTCGGTACTTATCGTGACTATGCAAACCCGGTAATCCTTACTCGCGATATCTGTCTTCTTTGGTACTCTCATTACTATCTCTTCCAGCATCACCCAAGTTTTCACAGCAAGAATTCCACCCTCCGGTCTGGTAACGTGTTCGACGACACCATTCCATTAACGGGGAGAAACCACAGCATCAACAAGCTGTGTGAGGAAGGACGTTAACAATTAGAAGCGTGCCGAGCACGCAGGACCTTGTTCACACATGACTGACTGTGCCTCATGCCAAGATATTTTAGGCGCCCGCTCTCTTCTTTTGGCCGAAGCGAACAGATCCTTCCCGAGACAGACGCGGCACAGCAGCTGTGATGCCCATCAACATTCACCTCGCTCCACCTACTCCGAGCCATTTGGACGCTCTTCTTGAGCTCGAGTATGTCCCGCACGCGTGCTGTCGAGGCAGGTTTTGGGCACGACGTACCAGTGTATTTTTCATTTCATACCGAGCTTCCTGGCGGCAGGCAGCAATGCTCGAACTGCATCCGCGCCAAATGCTCCTTAGCGAGATGGCCGGCCCGCCAGCTTGGTTTTAGCACCTGGGCCCGCTCGGTCAATCACTAATTTTGGCCCCGCCGACGAATGAAATGCCTCAGGACTCTATCGCGGCGGCTAGATCCTAGCGCTGCTGTGCCGCACGATTTCATTCATAGGTAGTACTACATACCCGCAGACCTCATGTCTCTCCTTCTCTAGCTTTTGATTATTTCCGAATCCGGTTACGTCGCTCCCCACGTCCTCCTGGTGAAGACATTGATTTCGAAGCGTGTTTGGTGCCTTTCTTGTTTTTCAGCTTGATACCCCCAAATGGATACCCCGCCTCCCTATTCCGATGCCCTCAACGGCCATTTTCAGACACGCAACGATCCCCGACCGTCAGATCATGCAAGCCGATCAAACATCAGAAGCCCCTTTAGGGCTTTTATTAACAAGTTCGACTCCGGCAGAAATAAACAAGACCACGAAGACCGTAAGCATCTCAAGACCTGTAGGGAGAGGACTGTTATTTGGACGGTGTCATCTAATTGCTCCTCAGATACTGAACGAGTTTGGAAGCCTATAACCTTGAACGCGCCGATCCTCACAATTGTTATCCTCATTTCCGGAGGCCTGATTGCTGTTGTCCAGATTCTACTTGCGAACAGCCAACACGATGACGGCATCATCTTCGCAGCAGATATCAACGACCTTCCCCTCAACAAATCATTCTCATACCTCTACCTTCCCACTATTGTTGCAGTCATCTACAGCTTTCTGTGGACATGGATCGACCTCGATGCGAAGCGACTTGAGCCCTACTATCAGCTATCAAAGGAAGGTGGTGCCCTGGGGAAGGACTCTTTGTTGTTGCAATATCCCTTTGAGTTTGTAGCATCTGTACCGCTCAAGGCAGTCAAAAACAAGTGAGTGGTGGCCTATCTTGACGCTTGATGTATTGCTGCTGACCTGAAAAGACACTGGCCAGTTTTCACCGCCTCTTTTGCAATGGTCCTCATATTTTGGGGAGTAACACCTAGCCAAGCAGGCATCTTCGCCACTGACACCATCAACCGAACTTTCACCATGCCTATGGCTAGATCGACCGGCCACCTTTCCCTCGCAGAGCAGCAAGACGGCCTAACAGCGACATACGCACAGTCAGCCTACAACATTGCCTGGTTGAACGAGACTTTGCCAGCTTTCATGACTAGGGATTACATGCTTGCTCCCTTTGGCCCCCTGGAGACTCTGGCAGATACGAAAGACGCGGAGACATGGACGGCACCCACATTAATGTATTCCGTTGATTTGGACTGCATACAACCTCAGAAGATGAATGATTCTGGTTTCATCTCCTACAAAACGGAAGACTGCAACGTGGACCACCCCACATACCCCTCGGACACGGACAAGGAATTCGCTACTATTTACGTAGGTTACGGCTACGAGGATGGTTTTGCTGATTGGTATCTCGGCGCCTATTGTGGCGCAAATACTACTGAGAAGTTTTTGGTCCAATGGACACAGAAGGACTCGACATACAAGCCAACATCCCCGTACGATTCCCCAGTCGCCCCGATCAAGAATGAGACAGCACTCTACTGCGAACCGACATACTTCAGCCAAGCCGTCAACGCCACCGTGTCCGTATCGGGAAGAAGCCCAGTGGATGTTGTCGCTACTGGGCCCAAGGTGCCTCTGCGGGAGGACATCTTCAACACTACCAACTTCGGATGGGGAATGGCGTCGGGCAGGCAGAAATTCAAGAACCGAGGGGATTATCCTATTATCAGCTGGCCGTCAATGAAGGATCAGGTGCAAGATATGGATCTGGACCTCACATATCTCGGACCGATGGCTGGATTTGCGATCGCTGCGTACCAGCGCTCGGCTATCGACTATCTGGATCCGGATCTTTTGAAAGCTTCTTATCAAGCCGCATACCGCTTATTGTTTTCTCGCCAGATGGTGGACATTTTGAGCAATGAACTCGACAGCTCGACAACAATGACGGGAGTTCGACAGTACACTTCAAGAGCGGTCATTGTCGTTCCTGCTTTTGCCTACCTGGTCGAAGGCCTGTTGGGACTTGTCATCATTTTTGCCGCTCTTCTCTTATGCGTTTCCATGGCCAGACCCCGGAACCTGTCGTCGAACCCGGCAACCATAGGATCCATGATGGCTCTTGTTGCTGAGCAGGAAGGGTTGCTTTCATTTTTGAAGAGTCATGATCAATCAACGGATAAAGAGCTGAGGAATGCGGTCAAGAAGAAGAGATTTGAACTAGCAAAACCCGGTGCAACTAGTGGGTTCCAGCTGCAGTTGAGGGATCACGACACAGGTCTGGAGAATCGAGCTACAACCGACTTGAGCAGGTCTTCTCCATTCGTCGGCGGTGTGAGGCCTCTGGAGTTGCGCCTGGCAACCGGCCTTGTCTTCATTGGCATGAACATTGCTATGCTCATTGTCTTTGCTTTTTATTTTGTTAAGTCGAAGCGGGAGAATGGTACGTCATCAGATATTGTTCTCATGAAAGCAGCACTGAACTATTATTAGGACTGCCCCTTCCATCGACCAACCGGTTCGTCCGCCAGCTGGTGGAGAACTACATTCCTACCGCGATAGCAACCGTCATCGAGCCCGCGTGGGTTGTGCTCAACCGCATCCTCTGTACGCTTCAGCCATTCGAAGACCTCCGCCGGGGCAAGTCGAATCCCTCTAGCTCCATCACAGTCGACTACATTTCCCTACCACCACAGCTTATCTTCTTCAAAGCGATGAGGGCGCGCCATTGGGTTCTAGCTTCTGTCTGCTGGATGGCCCTTTTGTCTAACCTTTTGGCTGTAGCTTTCAATGGCTTGTTCAACGAAGGCATTGCCGATGTGGCGCATAGCACCAACTTCACTCAACCCCTCCGACCTATCATGGACATCACTGCTCTTAACAACACTGACACAGGCTTCGAGACAGTTCTGTTCAATCGTACAGTCACGGATCACTTCTACGTCGCCATGTCAAACTTGACGGCCGGAACGCCACTATCTTCCTGGACCGATGGGCGCATGTATTACATGCCGTTCAATGAGACGGCGCACAACAACACTTGGATGCGCAAAGCTGACACGAGAGCTTTTGGGGTTGAGATGTCCTGCATACAGCTGCAGGAGGGAGAGGGGTCGAATACAGTCCAGCACACGATGAGCTCAAACGGCCTGGCCGCCAATTACACCTTCGACATCAACTTTGGTGACCAGCTACCAACCTGCAACGAACGTCTGGAGATTGGTTACGGAGGAATCCCAAACAGTATCTTCGCCGCTGAATGGACCGCACGCCTATGCGACAGCGAATACACCGTGTCGGCATGGCAGAGAGGAAACGCCACCCGACGGGAGAACTACACCGTTACCGACGAAGACATCTCGACCGTCACCTTCCACTCGTTTGAGTCGACCTTCATCGCATGCCGACCGTACATCAAGACTGGCTTGGCGGAAGTCATCGTTGACAGCTTTGGAGTTGTCCAGAATGCATCCAATATCCGATATACTGACGAATCCTCAGACGAGTTCTTCAAGCAATCAGCCTCGGAAACGGCCAAATACATCAACTACATGATGGACTACAGTCGAAACTTGAGCGACAGTGGCACATTTGCGTTCAACTGGCATAACGATTCCTATCCAGATGACTTTTACAATTACCTGATCAGGGAGACATACGACACGAGCCGGCTGATCGACCCCATCGCGCCCGTTCCATCTTTCAACGAAGCGGCGGAACCGTTCGCCAACATCTACACGGAACTCGTGGCGCTGTCTTTCAGCGCCAATGCTCGCCTGTTGTTCCCACAGGCAACGGACCTCACCGTGGAAGGCTACAACATCAAACCGGAGACGCGCATCTTCATGTCCACGGCCATGTTCATCATTGCTGAAACCATCATCGGCCTGTATGTCATCGTCTCGATCATTGTCTACGTTCGCCGTCCCTGGAAGTTCTTGCCGCGGCTGCCGACCACCATCGCCTCCAATATCGCATATTTCGCCGCGAGCCACGCTGTGCTTGATCTTCAGGGGACGTCGGCGATGTCGGCAGGCGGTCGGAACAAGCACGTCCAGCAGATGGGTCACAAATATGGATTCGGGTCGTTCATCGGGACGGATAGGAAGGCGCACATCGGGATCGAGCGACAGCCGTTCTTCACAAGGTTGAGGAAGACGACAACGGGCCAACTAACATCAGGGTCGGAGTCTGAGGAGGAAGGCAGGGGCGGCGCGGTGGCGGAGCAGCAGCAGCAGCAGCAGCAAGAGAAGAAGCCATGGTCAACAAGACTCGCTCACCTGAAGAACAGACTGGTGGGCCGAGGCCAAGTGGTCGAGGGTGGAATGATCTAAATTTACAGGCAGCGGCGCCGCTTCCAAGACTCACAGCTGCAAGGCACCTCGTCCCCGTGTTGCGCGTCAGGACCGGAACCCCCGCTTTCCGATGACGAAACTCATGCAGAATAATAATGGAAGGTGGTCCGCACCGTGGCATGACTGCTGCGGCGAGCGGAAGGGAGAAAGCAGATCCAAGCGCGCACAGCCACATTCGAACAGCCCCCCCGCGCAGGGACGCGCAGGAGACAGAGCGCGCGGCCGCACGCGCCGACCCATGGGTTCCAAAGACAGGACCGCCGTCGATCCCCTCGGACGCATCCACCAGACGGAAGACAGCCTTGGCCTCGCAATCAAAGTCTGAAACGCGACGACGCAGCGACGTGTGGCGATGTTGGGAGGCGGCCTTAGCACGGTTGCCGCCGGGCGGCATACCCGAGGGGTCCAAGCGGTGACAGATGGAGGGGGCGGGCCCTTGTGCATTCATCAGCAGCGACTCTGAGAGCTGTGGCTGAGGCGATGGATCGTCCGCGTGCCCGTAGCCGCCGACGGGAGGTCACCGCTCCCCGTCCCGGGATTGGGATGGACATGCTACTGGTGCTGGCGAGGCGCTGGGCTCGAGCGTGGAGGATGGATTGGACGGAGTCGCCGACGAGTGAAGAGCTGAGGGAGGGTAGCGGCCATGGATGGGCAGATGAGTCAGGAGCATAGGCGCTGGGGTGGAGTCGGAGGTGTGTACGTGTATGCGCAAGGCTTGTCTTGGAGGAGCATGCGGGCAGCTGCGACTTCGTGTTTGTTGCCGCCGCTCATGCGGATGCAGGGTTGCTGGATCGGCATAGGGACTTCTCGGGCGGGCAGGCAGGCAGGCAAGCAGCCACAGGACATTCGTAGGCGCTGCAGGGGGCACGGCTGATGAAGGTTAGAAACAGTCTCTGGGGGAGAGTGCGGAGGCGCACAGCTGGCGTGGGGATGGGATCAGAGGCTGAAACCGGGAGGCAGGTTTCGTAGACAGCGTGTAGAGTAGCAACGTCGACCAGTCGTGGTGTGCTCATGACCTTGGCTGCATGGCGAGCGTGACGCAGGCGCAAACGAACGGCCGGCCACGTCTTGCGGGCAGGGACGTGTGTCGGGCCGACCGAGGCGGTCAGGGCAGGCGGCGCTTCGTGATGGCGGCCGCAGCCAATCGTCCGGCTCAGAGCAGGGAAATCCGACGCGGAGGCAGCGTAGGGCTGGCTGGCCCTCGTCTCCGGCCTTTGGGCGCACCCTATTTGCTGTGCCGCCCGATCACCCGCCATCTGCCTGCACTGACCCTCGAACCCACCGAACCCAGCCTCATCGCTGGCCGCCCACAGCCGCTCGATGCTCCTGCAGTGCGCAGCCGTGAGCCGCCTGTGCAACCATCCGCCACTCGCCTGGTCCCGGCGCAGCGCTTTCTGCCGTGCTCTCGTCCGTGTCACAGCGTCGCTCAACTGCCCGCCGCTGCAAGGAACAAACGGCCGTGGACCAGTGTGCGCAATTCCCGCTGCTGCGAAACTGCACCAGCAAGCTTGGATACACTTCAATTTTGGGCCTGGCCAATCCCGTGTGGCCGCGGCAGCGGCCGCCAGCCTTCGGCCATGGTTCCGGTGCGGGGTGGCAACCGGATCAGGAGAAGGGACTGGAGGCGAAAAAAAAGCGAAATCTACGGCGAATTCTCTCGCTCTGGCAGGTGTGGTGGCGTGCACATGGGCGGCGGTTGATCCTACCGTGGGTCTGGCTCCGCGTGCGAACCAGAAGTTTCAGGCCGTGGAGGCCGGCAATCGTTCGACCACAAGGCGCCTGCTCGGCCGCATTATTGCAGGCCGCATTGCAGGCCGCAACCTACCGACGAAGCGCGGGCGCCGGACGTCATCGCCCGCTGCAAAAGCAAACAGCCGCCGTGCTCGCCGCCCGGCCGCCCGTCGTGCTCGGCAACGCGTTGATGCAGCTGTTTGAGAAAACGAAGGTGAGGCCAGCTGCAGGCGGTCAGGGCGGCGGCCCGCGGGGAAGCATCTCCTCGTACCAAAGTGCATGGAGCTGACAACGTCTGGCAGCCCGTCGGTTTCAGACCAGAAGACCTTTCAGGCGGGTGGCCAACCAGACGGCCACGTCGGCCTTGACCGCGCTGGCGGCCATGCGAGCCTTGCCCGACGCGGTAAAGACGGTGGGGACTGGCTGCCAAAGGATGTGCGTCTCTGCCGTGTCCGATTGGCGTTCCTGAATGCACGCAAGGGTCAAGAGACCTGCTATCGATACGTCTGGGCCAGCCGAGCCGGGGGGGCCGCAGGGGTGCACGTCAACCCGGACCCTCTCTCTCTCTCTCACCTCCTCCCACCGCACGCTGCTACGCAGACTGCCGTTTCGAAACGCACGCCCCTAAAGCCCGCACAGCCAATCCCTTGGTCCGCATGGCCAGCTCGCACGCTCGTGCTGGCCCGCCCGCCGCCGAGCCCTGTCTGTGGCCGGAGCGTTTCTTCCTGTTTGGGCAACGGAGGAGCCTGGCGTTTGCTTCCTGTCGCACCTTTGATGATCGGTTCCAGCTCTCTTGCCTCTCATCGACGAGCTTTGTCCTTCCGGCGCGGTGCCGTAACCGCGCAGCTACAGACGTGGGGAATCCTGCCCGACATGCGCCCTCTACCAGCCTGTGCCTGCCACACGACCCGCTGTGGCGCCAGATGCTGCCGGCGGCATGCAGCCCGCCTTAGACCGTACCACTCATCCAAGCATGCGAGAAGCTTGTTTCCGCCTCTGTGCTCCTGTCAGGGGCCTTGCCCGTAGATCCCTCAGCTTGTATAAGTATCATCTTGGTCGCACTGTTGTGCTTTCCTTCCCATCATCAACTCATCTACTCTTCAGAGCTTTCCCAAGGCTAGCCCTTTTACCTTTCTCTTCATCTCTTTGCTTCGTTCTCGCCTGCGGCGGAACATCCTATCCTTTCAGGACCAATCGACTTCTGTGAAGTTCCCGAGCCTTAGCACTCATTGTCTGGTTGTTGAACCTTGTCTTTGGACAAACCAAGAAATCAAGCATCGCACAGCTGGTCTAGCGATCTCTCAACAGCCCTAACGCTCCGACTTTACCGACTATACACTCCTTCGAGATGTACTCCAACGCTTTGGTCTCTGTGGCTCTGGGCCTCTTCGGCTCGGCTTCTGCCCACATGATCATGAACCACCCCGTCCCCTACAGCTCCTCCAAGGTCCAGAGCAGCCCTCTCGACGGCACTACCTACGCCTTCCCCTGCCAGGGTGGCACCGACGCCAGCTACTACACGGGCACTGCCACCGAGATTGCCGCTGGTGACAACACCACTCTCAGCTTCACTGGCTCCGCCGTCCACGGTGGTGGCTCTTGCCAGGTCTCCGTGACCTACGAGAGCCCCCCACCTGCCGACCAGTCCAAGTGGAAGGTCATCCACTCCATGATTGGTGGCTGCCCCGCCTCCGCTTCTGGCAACATCGCCAGCGCCGGCACCGACTCTGACGGCCGTCCCAACGGTGTCCAGTGCGACAGCGACAGCGGCTCCGACTGTGTCAGGGAGTACTCGATCCAGATCCCCAAGGAGCTCAAGACCGGCAGCGCCACTTTCGCCTGGACCTGGTTCAACAAGATCGGCAACCGCGAGATGTACATGAACTGCGCTCCCATCAAGATCACCGGTGGTGCCGACAGTGACGACTACTACAACTCTCTTCCCGATATGTTCGTTGCCAACATCCCCGGCAAGTGCACCACTGGCAACGGTGTCGTCAAGTTCCCCAACCCTGGTGAGAGCGTCGAGACCGGTGACACTGTCGACTCTGCTGCCATCGGCACCTGCGACTCTGGCCTGAACGCCAACGGCGGTGGCAGCTCTGGTTCCGACTCTGGTTCCTCGGGCTCTTCTGCTGCTGCTACCCCCGCTGCCTCCACCCCGGCCGCTGCCGCTAGCACTCCTGGCGGCGTCTTCGCCCCTGGTGCCGCTTCTGCCTCTTACACTGCTACCTCTATGGCTACCGTTGTTGTCACCCAGTCGTCGGCTGCTGCCGCCGCCGCCACTACTCCTGCTGCTACCCCTGCTGGCTCTTCCGGTGCTGCTAGCACCCCTGCCAGCAGCAGTGGTGACTGCACTTCTTGCTCTTCCAACGGCTCTGTTGTTTGCATCGGCTCCGACTCTTTCGGCATCTGCAACAACGGTTGTGCCGTCAAGCAGGCCCTGGCCGCCGGCACCACTTGCTCGAACGGCAACATCAGCAAGCGCGACACCAGCAAGGTCCACAAGGACAGCCACCGCAAGGCCCACGCTCGTGCTCTGGCTCGTGCTGCTCGCAACCTCATCCACAAGGCGAGCGTCTAAATGGCTCTCGAACGAATCAATCTTGAACAGCACACAGTCAAGTACAGCACAGTTGAACGCTGCTCTCAAGCCTGTTGAGCGGGCTCTGAGGGCGGGGTCAGTCTGCACGACCCTCATGATATTTATTCACTTCTCAAACCACAGCCATCATGGCCTTAGCATTTTTGGAGTCTTTACGAACATTCTTCTCTTCACTTCTTAGACTGAGCCTGGACCTTTTTTTCTTGTCCGGTTCATTTGTCTTTTTTAGGGCATCTCGTATGCATGGCATGGCATGGCGCGAGAACCAGGTCAACGGTTGGGTCAATGGGAAAGGATTCTGGGAGGCTAGCATGCGCATAACATCGCGATAGCTTTGTTCTTGGTGTCTTTGACAACCGTTTCTTTCATTAGATGAGTTATGTACAGTAAACAAAAGAACTCTTGTTTTCCACAACATCCTGCGATCTCACTGAAGTCTCATTGGTGCAAAGTGAATCTGATTCTGAAGTTTTGCAATCTGACCGTTCCCGCAGCAATCTTTTTTACTTTTGGCGATAGGTGCAGCTGGTGTCGGCTCGGTTGGACATTGCAAGGGGTGGTGTTTTTGGTGTCTCAGGCCAAGGGGTCGCGGCGTGACCAAAGGTGTCTCACCCCGTAACGCCCAACGTGGGAACGTCTATCCTCAAATTTTGCTTACTGGCTTAAGGCTTTACACAGGTAATAAGCCGATCAGGTCGGATTCCCCATCGTCGTAACCCATGCGTTGCCCTCCAATCCCCATCCGCCCGTCATACTATCATGCAACTTGGCACGCCCGTGCAGACTGATTGCCGAGGTGGCTATCACGGGTCTGAGCGAGCCGTGCACGGATGGTGGGGAAGAAGATCGAACCTTTGCAAGATAATGGGATGGTCAGATCGATATGACGATTATGCGGCTCTACGGCATAATAGTGGAAGAGAATCTTCCATTGTCTTCCGACTATTGCAGACTTTGGGAATGCATGACGTGTAGTAAACAGAGTTGACGACGGGCGCCTTCGGCGGGTCTGCATGCCATTCGCACGGGTGAATGCGTGCGTGCACGGATCTACGGTGTTCGTGCTTTCTCCCGCAAGGGCATATGGGAGGTCTGGTCGCACCGATTGCTGTATGCCGGTTGACGCGAGTGGAGTGGCGGGGTACGCCGTTAGGAAATGGTTGCACTACTGCAAAGCTTGGGGGCGGGTGAATTCTCAACGGCCGGTCCACTAGCTCAACGCTTGCACGTGGGCAGAAAGCTTTTACGTCTCGGCCGGGCCTGGCACGTTTGACGGGAAGGAATCCCGGAAGACGCAGCGGACGGGGAATCCGATGGCATCTGCTTGTTGGTGCGGTCTTCGTTCCTGCCAGGGATGTATATCTTTTGTTAGTGTGGTTCCGCCAGCAACGACCGATTAATGACAGTGGTGGCAAAACTGATCGTTAGGTGTCAGTGACATAATGGTACGCTACTTAAAATTGCCGGAGATATTCCTTAGCGGTAGACGGAGGAGTTTTCTTCTAGAAGGGTTATGTTAGCGTGTCACGTAAAGATGGAAGTGTTTTAGAGTTGAGGTCATTCGCTTCCCGAGCTGCTTATGGTGGACATATGAGGCTCTGGGATTCCATGTAGATAACGTGCTTAGTAGATTTTTGCAGCATGAATTTCGTCATTGTGAAAGCTTTGAAATATCGCCTTTTTTTGCCGTGAAGAGGGACAATGACACAAGGTCGCGTAGGCAAAAGCAATAGATGAAGTCATGCAGAAAATAGTTCGACCATTGATTACCTAGCGAGACCCAGCAGGGCACCGGGAAAACACGAAGTAGCACTACAATAGTTCGGTCCCAACTCACAGTTTTTCTCAGCGTGGTAATTCGCGACTGGCTAGAAGGAATCAAGTAAAGTATTGCGACGGCGCATGCTATCCCCAGTCTGGCAGGAGTGCTCATGTAGACCTTGGGAAATCAATGCCGCAAACCTGCCGCTGCTGGAGTATCAAGAAATCCAGCGGGCACACGTGCCAGATAGCTACCGCAGACGAATATCATTGCAGCAGACGGTATCTTACCAGCAGCTTTGTGTTGGGATCCGGTGTACTTACAACTTGATGTCACGAAGTGTCTACACTTACTCTAAATTCCTAAAGCTAGATCTGGGGTTCATGATAGCAACTGATGATTTACGGCTCCCAGTGTTGAGAAATTTGCATCAAACAGAGTTGAGTAGGCATGTCTGTATGGGTTACCACCACGCAGAGCTAGATTTGGTATTCTTGTTTTCTTCGATGACGGGGCCTGTCCACAAGGCCATGGTGTGGATCTTACGAGGGGAACGGAGAATCAGGTGAGATTCCACTTCACGATACTCCGACGGGACATCATCTATTAGTCTTGAGCTCTGATCATATTCAGTATCGCACCTGGCAAGTTTTCGGGGGCGAAGGATGTTCGACCATGATGCCGAATGTTCAAGTCATAGATGGCACAAAGTTACGATGTTGACCAGGACTTCTTTCGATTGGAGGGGGCATCCACGTTCGACGGACTGGACACGGCAGATACCTTTACCATGAGCTGAAACAACTCACAAAGATGAGTGAAGATGGTTGACTGGCAGTCAAAAAGGTGAATCTCTGCGGCTCGATTAACAGCTTAGACGAGGTGGAGTAGTGACTAGTGAGACAATTGGATCGAAAGAGCAACCGTGGATCAATGACCACTAGCTCTGTCTGTCATATCGCGAGTTTGACCGAGAAGTCACTGTTGCCAGCAATGCTAATTTGTGATCTATTGGGCCAATCTACATCTCGAGAAGGAGCCCGTCCTTGCCAAATTTGGAGTTGACCATCGGTCAGAGTTGGCGCGCAGCAGAATACGATGCCTCGTTGCATGAAAGGGGAAGCTGAGAATTCTGCATTGACGAGGGCCAAAGGTGAGAGACCGAAGCCCATATGGAGCTCAACATGCGAGTAGAGTTGAGTCGCGGTGACTGACTGAATCCGGAGTTAGCTGCCTGCTCGAGGCGGCAATCACTTCTCACGTGTGGGTGGGTTGTTGCCTCTCCGGCCGTGACTCGGATCGCGGCTGCCTGTTCAGAGTAGAAGCTGCCCAGCGTTTCCCGTCACACATCGCAGGGGAGCCTCACTGCTTCCTAATCTAGACGGCTGCCTGCGCGTGCCTGCCTGCCACCTGCATGGCCCAAGCGCCCCAGAGGTTCCTCAATTAGCCCTCGCCCTCCCTTGCCAAACCTTTTCTTCTTTTCTCCAGTCCAAGTGCAGGGGCATTTTCTGTGCGGGTGAAGCTTATGCTGACGCCGGAATTTTGCTAGTTGAAAACTACATAGTTTGACTGCTCTTGTTGGCCTGCGGGTCGGCAAGGAATTTTTGAAACCCCAAGAACGGCTCAGGCCTTCTGCCAACGTGCGCTTTTCGTCGAACGTCTCGCTTTGCGCAGGACCTTGAGGAAGAGACCCGCGCTCGCTCGCCACCCTGTATATAGTTTCCCGGCTACAGACGGCGCATTCCATCGCAATGAGCGGCACAGCGCTTGTCACGGGCGGTACGTACGCATCGCGGTAACCACCATGACGTAGCCCGACGCTGACCTGCAAAAGCCACCGGCCTTCTGGGCAGCCAGGTCGCCCAAGCCTTTGAGGCTCGCGGCTGGAAAACCGTCGGCACAGGCCTGACGCGCGCATCGCCGCCCTCGATAATCAAGCTCGACCTGCTGGACGCTGCCGCCATCGAACGGACCCTCGACGAGGTCAAGTAAGCCGCACTCCCCGTTGCCCCGCCATCCGCGTCTTTACTCACACCAGCTCCCTGCAGCCCCGACGTCATCGTCCACTGTATGTACTCCGCCTGTGAAACGCGTCCGCTACGCTACACACCACCCCACCACTCCAGTCGCTCACTCTCCTCTCCACACACAGGCGCCGCCGACCGCTCCCCCGATTCCTGCTCCACCAACCCCGACGCCGCCCGCGCCCTCAACGTCGAAGCCGCCGGCACCTTGACCGCCTTGGCCGCACGCCGCTCCATCTTCACCCTCTACATCAGCACCGACTACGTCTTCCCGGGCGCGCCCGGCGAAGCTCCCTACGCCCCGCTCGCCCCCACCTCCCCGCCCAACACCTACGGCCTGACAAAATGGGAGGGTGAGAACGCCGTGCTGGCGGCGGCGGCAGCCGCCACCACCACCACCACCACCACCTCTGCTGCCGAGAACAACGACAACAAGCACAGCCGCCCCCTGGCCGCCGTGCTGCGCGTCCCCATCCTCTACGGCAAGGCGGGCAAGCCGTCGGACAGCGCAGTCAACTGCCTCGTCCCGCTGGTGCAAAAGGCAGCGGCGCTGGGCCCGGCCGCGGCCAAGATCCAGATGGACGACTACGCGCTGCGCTACCCGACCAACACGGCCGACGTCGGCCGCGTGTGCGTCGACGTCTGCGCGCTGTACACGGGCCGCCGGCGGAGGAGCGAGCCTGCCGACGACAACAACAAGAACCCCCTTCCGGCTCATCTGCCGCGGATCCTGCACTTCTCGAGCGAGGACTGCAAGACCAAATTGGACATGTGCAAGGTCCTGGCCGGCGTGCTCGGCGTGGGCGTCGAGGGCCTCGAGCCGTTCAGGCCGTCCGAGGCCGAGTTGAGGGCCGAGGAGCGGGGCGAGAGGGTCAGGAGGCCGTTTGATTGCCATTTGGACACGGCGGAGACGAGGGCGCTGGGCATCGACTGCGGCTGTGTGGATTTTGCTGAGTGGTGGAGGGAGGAGTTGGGGAGGGCGTGAGGAGAGAGATGTGTGTGGGCGTGTGTGTATCTCCTGTTTGCGTAAAGTGCGCGGAGGCGAGGATGGGCAAATGCTCGTTTCGTGGCCGTTGAACGTGGTTCTGATTATAGGACTATCTTTGGTCGTGGTATGCACACCCCGGTTGAATGTGCCTTCCTAGGGAACTTTACATTGTGCGATCCTCGTGGGTTATGAAAAGATGGAGAATTACGATTCTTGAACCATCAGACTCGGATGTTTGAACTGCAAGCTCCTCCTCGGACGGTACAGGACGCACGAAGTTGAAACTATCCAAAAGACTGTTTGAGGGATGATGATTCGGATGAATGCCTACCTTGTGCTATCGATTGTTCATGTGACTCGGAGCTGTTTGTGACTCTACCCATCAATGCCAGCGACTCGTTACCCCCACCAACGCCAGCCCATGTTTCCATGAAGATGGCCTATACCTTGCCCTCGGCATCTGCCACTTCGTAGTGACCTCGTCCCACGTCTCTAGCTTAGTAGGATTCAAACAACGAGCCTTTCCCCATCCACTCATGTCACGATCACCCGGGGAGCAACTAGAGTGTAATATATCTGGCAAAGTTTGAACAAGTATACAAGTATATATTGAATGCCCTTATATTTCAACCCTATCCGAAAGTCTCCGCTCATATCGTACATTGTGCATCGAAGCCAATTCCCTAATTTTCCAACACCACTGACGACCAAAACACTCAACGAATAGTACAAATAACGATATACAATAGCGCCTCCTACATACCAACGCCTTGCACGCCACCCGCCTCCGTGCTTGTTTTGTTTTGTTGCTGTCATGCGGGAAGAAAAAGCACGTTGTGATAATGATGAAATTGATAATCATGTATGCTCCTGAAGCCCTTGCCCGCCACCATATAAATGCCAACGCTCTTGTCAGGAACAAAAAAAAAGTAGTAGGAACAACACCTTTTGCCATGGCCAAAAAAAGGTCCAGGGTGCCCAGACATGGACGATGTGACAAAAAAGCGAAAGTGACGAGAAATGGGACTGACTCATCTCTAAGGCATAAGAGAAAGGAAACAAGAAATTACAGTAAAGGTTATTGAAAAGTGAGAAAGTGAGAAAAGAAAAAGAAAACTCCCGGAGTACAGACAAAGATCCGAAAATCAGAACCCTTACCCCGACATGGAAACCTCACGAAACAGGTCTCGGTTGAGAAGAGACATTGTTCGACCGCTAACCCTCAGAAGCTTTCCCATTCGGCAAACACGCACCACCTCGCAGACCTGTCTGCCAACACGAGACCTCTCCAAGTACCCCTCTCACCAATCTTGATGATGGTCTCCCACACACTCCCATCCCCTCCCTCCTTTTCTCCATTACTCGCGCCTCCCACGCCTGCTCCATGGCTGCTGGCAATCATGTGCTCGCTCTTCCGCATCAACCTGATAATCTTACCCGACGGGCTTTGGATTGCCAACTTGGCTGGTTTCTGACTCGCGCCCGGAGGCGCCCTAGCGGCGCTGAGAGGATCCGAGCCGGATGATGAGGCGCTGAAAATAGATCCAGCATTCGATGCGGATGCAGACACCATACTAAGCGCAGACGTGGGACGGCCAAAGCCGTTGGGGGAAACACGTCCACCAAGCATGGCGGAGCTGGTGGACTGAGAGTGGGAATGGTTAGACGGTGGCGAATGAGTCCAGGTCAGGGAAGACGGGTGTTGGCGGACGGCGAACACGAAAGTGTTGTTGACGGCAAGGCGGGCGCACTGTGGTTGTGCCACGTAGAGATCGTGGCGTTGAGCGTGGGGCGTGGGATGAAGCGTGACGAAATCGTACGGCGGGTTCTGGCCAATGTGGGTGAGTGGCATCCCGAAGGCAAGAGGATGAGGGTTCGATTTGATCGAATGCTGGAGGTAAGGATTAGCACCGAGTTCAAGGAGCTCAGACACCGAGTTACGATACTTACCATCAATCCCTTCTTCCCAGCATACACTTTCAAAGTGGCATGCCCTTCATCACCAGGCAACACTGCCTTCACAGTGTACCTCTTGCGGCCGCCAATCCATTCGGGCTGGCACAAGGCCCTCTTTCGACAGACGTCACCACTCTCGAAGAAGTCCCCATCTCCATCCCGTGCGAAAATCCTTGCCTCGACTTCTGCCACCGCCTCCACGTCCTCTGGCACGAAGAAGTGAATGTGCGCCATTTCCAAGTTCTCCAAGCTCAGGAGACTGGTGTCGAAGTCGGCAATCTCTATGTCGTTCACGAAGTAAGGCGGGCAGGCGCAAGGAAGCGCCATCAGGACCTCGTGAGAGATTGGCGGAATAATATGCTGTGCTTCCGGAAGAAGCGGGACGTGTGTGTAGCATATTTCTGACGGACGCGCGAGGAAGAAGCCACCCTCTGCCACTTGACTTCCCGCGCTGGAGTATGCCGAGCGCCTGGGGTTGGTGGGGTTCGCCAGGGAGCAGTCCATTATGCGCCATTCGCCGTCAACGATGACTGCGTTCCACCAATGGTTCGGATGAGCCACCATTTCGAAGTCCAGCTCCTCACCCGGGGCCTTGAGATATCCGCGGATCACCTCAGAATGAAGACCGACCGCGGCGCACATATCCATGACCAGGACCGCAATCTCTTCGCTGCAGCCGCGTTTCGATTGGATGACCCGCCTGGTGTCGACGTCGCCTTCATAATCTTCTTCCCAGGAAATTCGCTCAGCGACCCACGTGAAGATTGCTCGCAGCCTCTGAACGTCACTACGGTAAGGCCGACATACATAGCCTTGAGCGAGGCTGACAGGAGTCGTCATCGGAGGTAGGCCCTGGATGAAGCGGGTGTTCTTGTCCACAAGCCCAAGGTTGCATTGACTGAAGTCCAGTGGCTCAGGGACTGGCAGTCCGTCAAGACCTTCATCGCCCTCGATGGTTTCCATCAGAACTTCGATGGGATTGATAACCGCGATATCGTTCATCTGACAGCGTTCGGCACGTTCGATGCGCTCATTCTTACTAAGAGAATTAGAGCGATTGATGTCCCGCCGAACCTGCACCCAATCCACGGAACTACCCATGCCCATGTCTTTCGCCACATTACCACTGGGGTGGAAAACCGCTGATCCCCCGCCAGCGATGGAGGTGACACCGTTCGGTAGTAGGCCTGCTCCCCGGGAATTAGGCCTGCTCGGACCTGAAGAGATGGTGTTTCTCGCGTTCGCAGCGTTGGCCCTTGCCGATGAAATCATCTTCTTGAAGAACCCAGTGCGCTTCGGTCTTGGTGATGTCAGACCGCCCAGAAGACCACCGGAATCCGCCATATTGCCGGACCAGTCGGTGGTGTTCGATGAGTCCTGTTGCTGGCTGGTCGCGTGGCTCGAATGATAAGAAATTCCACCGCTGAAGGGGCTATCCGGTCTGCTGTCCATAGATCCCACCGTGCTACCGGCGCGGGGTCGGGAGATCTCGACTACGCTCTTAGATCGCTCACGATGTTCTCTGATGGTACCCCATTTCCTCCTCGCGAAACTCCCAGAGCTGGTTGCAGAATTGCCGCCGGCAGACGTACCACTCCATAGCGTATGGCCCGTGCTGTTCGTCGCCTCGGTAGAGTTGGTAGCATTAGTTTTGGTTGTGAAAGTTCGCCCTAGTCCTTGTTTTGCGACGTCGTATGCGGATTTGCGATGCTTGAGCGTCGGCTTTCGAAAGACACCGTCCTGCGGATGGCCCCCTATGGAGCTTCGAGACCTTGTGTCGTACATCGAGTCGTGTTGAGAGGAGTCACCGTAGGCAGTTTGCGGCCTCTGCTGCCTGGAGTTCTTTGGCGGTGGTGCCGGTGGCGGGCCCTCTTGATCAGTCGGCATAAACAGCTCGTCTTGTGGCCCCGGGCTACGACTGCTCAGCAGTCGCAGCCGTTCCTCCATTCGCGCGACGTAGTTGCCCACTTGAGGCGGCCCTTCCAGTTGAGGACCAGCCGTATTAGATCGGCCTTGTGTTTCCAGTTTTGCAGGAGGCAAGTCATCTTCCTGCATACCAAGACCAAGCGATGTATTCGGCCGAAGCCTCCTCGGATTAGGTAAGGATGAGAAGGCTTCACCAAACGCCTCTGGGGCCCAAGGATCGGCGGGTGTGCGAGCCCGGGCAGGGGACGGGCTCCGTTTCGCAACAGTCATATCCTTAAGGGAAGTCATAACATCGTTCATGGCATTCGTCACAGGCGATGGCGTCATATTACTGACCTTTCGGGGCACAGGTGAATGCGAGGCAGGGGTGTGGTAACCGCTCCTATATCCATCCTCATTATATGGAGCCGGCGACGGACTTCTGCTAATTTGATAAGGAGCTGGTGAAGGACCCCTGTTCGCCTGAGCGTGCAATACGCGGTGTGGAGGCGGCGGAGGTGGAGGCGGAGACGCCTCACCGATCTCGTCCTCAAAGGGAGCTGGGGAAGGTCCACGAGACTGTGATTGATATGCATAGTACTGCGGGTCCACTGGAGATGCCGCAGGCGAATAAGCCTGGTACTGCTGTCGTGATGTAGTTGGAGGCAACCCAGGTGAGGGCGGGTAGAATTGCTGTTGATAAGGTGAAGGAGAAGGCCCTCGAGAATACGGCTGGTACTGCTGAGCAGGTGAGGCAGCCCGATACTGCTGCGGAGGAGCGGGAGATGGGGCACGATATGCCTGCGGAGGAGCGGGAGATGGGGCACGATACGCCTGCAGAGGGCTGGGAGAGGGGCCGCGATACTGCTGAGGCGGTGCGGGAGAGACGGCGCGTGCTGACCGATAATCCGCAGGTTGTGGAGGAGCGGGCGACACTGCGCGATAGTGGCCATATTCCTGTCTTGGGGGCAACGGAGAAGGCGCACGATTCCTCAAGTTGGACGCCTGACGCTCTGGTAGAGGCGGAACCCGCGCAACGCTGTCGACGGAATTCCTGGGCGATGGGTTCGGGCTCGGGCCGGGCGGTTTGGCGTGCTTCATGGACGAGTACGGCTTGTGTCGCCTCTGGCTATCGGAGTGACCGGACGCTGCATTCTTCTCCTGCTTTTCGCGGGCGTGGGCAACCGGGTTCGGCTGTCCGGCGTTGTAGTAGGCCTGGAAAGGCTTTCGGAAGGTTCCCTTCTTTGGCGGAACCGGCTTCTGGGCGGCAGCATTTGTTCCCGAGCGCGACACGCCCGTTACTCCAGGACCACGGGGGGCGCCGGGCCACAGGCTCTCGTCCAGCAGCTCGACGAAGTTGGAGGGGAAGAGCCCGACGGCACGCCTGTCGCGCCTCAACCGACCCATCCACCACTGGCCATCACCGGCGTTCAAGCACTCGATCAGGTCGCCTTCTACGAAACCGAGGTCGCGTTTGGTCTGTGGAGGAAGCAAACAGAAGGCGTCAGCAGGGCCAGCGCTTCATCCGGGCGTCTGTCGGAAGTGCGTCTTTACCTCTCCTCCCCATGAGTATACGGCCTTGCACCAGCAGGGAAACTTGGTGGGCAGCGGGGGCGCGGGCGGCGGCATGGCGGTGGAGCGTCGGACGGGGCTCTGGCGTCTGGGCGAATGGCGAAGCTATACCGCCAGGGACGCTCTCCAAGCAGCAGCTGAACTCGTCATTCGGCGGCGAGGATCGGGTCGGGTCGAGCGGTCGGGACGGCTGCAGAAGGAGCGACGGCGTGGACAGCGAATGGGTCGCCCGGGCTGCAGCCGGCGAGGGTGCTGAGTGGGTGCTGGCGGCGGTGGGTGGACGTGGCCCTGCGATGCAGCTTGGACGAAGTGCCAGGCGGTGTTTACCTACTTCCTGACTGGGTGACAACGTTTTAGCGCGAGGCGGCTCACCGCCCGCCCAGCGCGCAGCATCCGGGGTCTCGCTGCAGGCCGAGCCGCCCAAGCCTCCTCCCGTCAGCTGCACCGTCGCAAAATTCAGCCGTGCCGCGTTGCTGCCGCCATGGTCGCTGCCGCTCCGCTGCTGCTTCCGCACTGCGCGGCGCCGGCGTGGGCCACGCAGCCGTCGGCCACTGCCCGCTGCCCGCTGCCCGCTGCCCGCTGCCCGCTGCCCGAAGCCCGCGATGCGCTGGCCCCAGCCACCCGGGCCCGCGGCCTAGCTTCGCATAGCATGGCAACCGTCCCATCACCAGCTGCAGCGCATACGGGCGTAATCCGCCGCAGCGAGCGTCAACAGAGACAGCCCCTTCAGCTTCTCCGTCCGTATCGAGCATCAAGCGAGCCGACCCTGTACGACCGCGAGATGCAAACACGCTCTATCTAGCGCGGAGCTACCTCCCCTTGCAGCCGAGGTGGATCGCAGCCAAACGTTCAGATCTCCTTACGTCACCTGCTTCTCCAACACCGCACACAGACCCTGTCCAGAATGCCCTCACGGACCATGTGCTAGCAAGCCTCAGAAAACGGCCATGGACCCGGCCAAATTTCATCTGCCATGGCCGACCGTTGCCATCGCCACCAAAGCCACGCAAGCACGTTTAATCTCCATTTTCCGCGGAGACACGGTGAACCATGGCTTTGTGTGAGACCTCTATCCTCTGGAGTATAATGCTCTGGACAACCCAAACCAATGCTGAGCCCTCGAGCACTGCGCATCACCGCATGACGAGAACCATGGGTATCCGCCCTACACCAAAAAAAAAAGCTGACCCTCCGTAAAACCCTTTGCTAGTCTACCATGCATATCCCGCCTCTCATGCAGCTGTTAGATGTCCCTTGCCGCTTCTTTCGCACACCCAACCACTACTGTGCCTGGCCTGCCGCAGCACCACGACCGCCCCTACCGGCGCCGCGGTTGCCACGGAATCCACGACCCCTACCTCGCCCGCCACGGAACGCGTTCGCATCCAGCGTAGGAGGAGGGGGCACGGCCGAGTAGCTCTGGGGACGGAAGTTGGGGTTGTTCCTGACGACGCCATCTGTCGGATCGCTGTTGTCGATGACGGTGAAGCCTTGCTGATTGCCACCCCCACGGCCGCCGCCGCGCCCGCCGCGGGGCACAAAGTTGTTGTTCGCCCGGCCACGAGGAGCGAAGCCGTTGGCGCCGCCTCGGCCGCGCTGCACGCCGTTTGCGGGCCCACTGGGAGGCCCATTACGGATAGGCAGCTCGTACTGCTGTCCGTTATGGCCGTTCTGCTGAATCCCGTTCTGTGGCGTGATTCCACCGCGTCCGCGGCCACGGAAGTTGCCACGATTCTGACCAGCTACCGCGCCTCGGAAAGAGCCTGCCAGGGGCGCGGGCGCTTCGGCAGGGACTAGCTCGCTTTGACCAGAAATGCCATAGGCAGCGTTATGAACGGTCAGGGGCTGGAAAGTAGATTGGGGCCGTTTAGCGTTGCCGGCCAGCGACATAGCAACGCATTGCTTGTCTGTAAGGTTCAGCACAGACGTGGCCGGAACTGTCGATCCACGGAAGGGCGAGCAACGTTCGCCAAGAGAAGTTCCACTCATGAACGATGTGTCAAAAACGACATCGAGGAGGGTGGTCCTCGGAGTGCGTGTCATGCCGACAATGGTACCTCGCTGCCCGATAGGAACTCTGCCGGAATCCTGCACGTACACGATTCGATCTCCAAGAGAGAATCTCTGCCCACTAATCTGCTGCTCAGCATCAGAGGGCTTGAGAAGCGCCTGGCGAGGAACGCCCTTGATCTTCTTTCCTTCGGTTTGAGGGCCGTTGTCGCGGCTATAGTCCGCAGCCTGCTCGATCTCCTTGACAACGTCTGAGTCGAGCTGTTGGGCCTCAAGAGGCACTTTCTCAAACTTCTTCGATTCGATGGACTTCAACCACGAGCCGATTTCCTTCATCTTTTGTTTGGCAATGTCCTCAGGGTAGAAGTCCGTATCCTCGTAGATGTCGCCCTTGGGGTTGGCCTGGATCACGGCGAAGAACTCTGGGAACTTGATCATATACTGCGTGATAAGATCAATGGCCTTTGGACTGTACTCCCATCCGGTTTCACCCTTGCGAGAGTATCCGAGGACCTTGAGCTTCTTCGCCTCAAACTTAAGGTTCAGGCCCAAGTTAAGACGAAGTCCACTCGAGCTGACCGAAAGTGACGATGTGACCTTGCTCAAAGCAAGAGGATTCATCTGCAGCTGCCGAGCGACAGCATAGGACGGACGATAGTTCGCCTGGGATTCCGCCTTCCTGACGATTTGCTTTCCAAAGTCCGGCTCCTTTCCTTTTGCGACAAGGACCCAGGACTCTGCCTTTCCATTTGCGTGTCCCAAAACCTCGAGCGGGCGTCCATAGGCGAATTCGCCCAGGAAGAAAGCCCTAGACCCAACGGGGAACTCTTCTTCAATCGGAACAGCAGCCTTCTCCAAGAACCGCTGGTCCGCACTCACGACCTCATCCACAATCGTCTGAGCCGCGAAGTCAGTCTCTTGGCCGGGAATTACACCGTACTCCTTGACGGTGGCACCCTCGTCGGTCTTCCTCAATCCCTTCAGCATCTCGACATGCACAAGGGATTCTACATCACCAATGTCCATGGCAAGGCGCTTGCTGTAAAAGCTCTCGATGCGGTTGGCCTTCTTTTTGAAGTCCGAGATTTCCCGGGGGCCATGGGGAATTGCGAGAACCTGTCCGTTCTCCTCCACGTAGTCGAACAGCTCGTCTGACACCTTGACAACTTTGGCTTCCTGAAGGAAAGGGTAGCCAACATGAACGGCGCTGCCAAGCTTCCTCTGTGCCTCTGAGGCCTTGTTGCGCTCCTCAGTTTCCAGTAGATTGACGACCATACTTTCGTTCCTGCTCTCCTGTTGAAATACACTGACACCATGGAAAGCCAGAGCACCGTGGAAAGGCAGAACCTTTAAGCTTGGGAAACCGGCAAGCGCATCGATACCCGTCTTGACTCCATCGACAAGGCCGATGTAAACTTCGAGCCCATCCATGGTAGGCAGTTCGAAGATGTTCTCAACACATCGACAATGAGGAAGGTCTGGGAATACCCCAGGCATTGAGGACGGGTAGACATAGTCAAGATCCGGTTGAGAAGTGAACTTGAGCGTGACTCCGAACTCGTTCCGGTTCTTCTCGTCAGGCGAGAGCAAATCGTCCTTGGTGGCCATGGCAGGAAGCAGTCTCTTCTCATCAATGAACGGAATCTTCACAACAGCCTCCCACTCCTGCTTCTTGCCGTTCATATCCAACTCAAAGTCTCTGGGGTAGAAGTCGATGATTGGAGAATCCTTGTTGGTCATCAAATCGTGGTACGCAACTGGGACGATGGATTTGCTTCGGTCCGGAAGCACACCCATCAATTGCTGGTAAGGGCGGAAAGGTTGGCCAAGCTTGAAGTTAAGATCGGCCTTCAGGCCTTCCTTCACGTCTACTACCTGTTACTACTGGAGGGTCGTTCGGAGGAATGGGGTTAGTAAAACGTACCTGAAATCATTGGCGAGTAGTGGTAGCCATAGTACCATGGCCATGATGCCACACCTCGGTAGTAGTAGAAAAGAACCCATTGGAGTCCTTGCACATAGTTCTCTGCCAACGCCCGCAGATCATCCTTGTCGTCTAAGCCCCAGTCCAGCTTCGACCTGTAGTAGTTGTCCTTCCAAGAATGGAACTTCTCGTCATACTTCTTCTTCATCTCTGCCTGAGCCTCGTCTGGCGAGACATCCTCGATCTGAGCGTTGTCATAACGCTTGAGCACGCGGAGGATGGCGTTCTGTGCTTCCTCGTCTTCCTCCTCATCGTCGTCGTCATCACCGAGGCCTGGCGGAAAAGCGACCTGAAGATGGCGCTCGCCTTGGTCGTCCTCCACAGTCTTCCATTGCAAATGGAGACTATCTGCCAGTTCTTCCGCGAACTTTCGATCGCTGGCTGGCAGACTGGAGGGCAAGTCCAATGGCTCACCTTGGCCGTTGGGAGAACGACTGTTGACATACTGACGTACAGTCTTGTAGAGCTCTTTCTGACGCGTAGTCATGATGATCTTCCCGCGCTTCTTCGTGCGCTCCATGACGTCTTCACGTCCCAACTGCTTGCCCTTGAACCAAGCAGCGTCGGCGTTTTCTGCCTCGAAGAAACGGTATTCCACATGAGAAAGTTCATCCAAGAGTATCGCCAATCGCTCCAAATTGATGACGCCACCCTCGTTGATGTAGCCCTTGGCTTTGGGCAGAACCTTCTTGTAGACGTTGAACATGAGCGCCAAAGCGCCCTCGTTGATATGCAAATGCGGTAGGTTTGGAAGGAAATCGTTTCCAACAAAGAAAGCCATGAGAATGAAGTCGTCAATAACACGTTCCATGTCGAATGGGAAATCCAAAGCGCCAGGCTCTTCCAGCTCCTGAAACTCGAGCTCCAAATACTCTCGGACAATGCAAAGATGCATGAGATAGAAATTCTGGTGCTCCAGCTCCTTGGACTTCTTCTGGTTCTGTCGGCCGAATGTGACTTCCTCTCTGAGCAAGCAGAAGTGCGGGTCGTGACTGAGAAGGCCAAGCATGATCAGATCGGCATCCAGGCCGTACAGACAGTGGCGAACATTAGGGTCGTAGCCGGGCTGTGACTTTGCCTGGCGAATGTACTCCATGATCTTGTGCTCTCCCTCGCCGGGGACCTCGTGGCCGGAGAGAACGACCTCGACGCCCTGCCAGTCGACGTCCTCCGAAACCTTCTTGTTGATGAAATACTTCAAGTGCTGGGTTAGCCTGGCCATGAACTCGGTGCCAGGCGTAATGCAGTTGCTGTCAAACGCAGCTTCCTTCGGCATTTCCACACCCTCCTTGATCGCCTTCTCCCTGGCAGTCTCAGCGTCCAAGGCAGTCCTGAAACGACGAGCACGTTGTTGGTTCATCTTCGCGCGGGGAGCGACACCATCGATAGCCATGAAGAACAGCTTCTGGGGCTTGATCTTGCCGAAAAGGTGTTCGATGTAGTTGAAGATCGCGATGAACATCTTGTCTTCGGACATGCGATGCGTCGGCGAGTCGGAGTCACTGTGCGTGCAGTTGTGGATGATGCCGTTCATATCGAGCTAGATTTCACCGTCAGCGCATTGGACAGAAGCGAAGACGTTGCGGGGGTCGCACATAGAGGCAGTCGAACTCCGGTATCCGGTTTTCCGCAATGAGCTGCGAAATAGCCGGATAGCGTTCAGACATCCATCTGAAGAACTTGGGGACACCCATGATGGCGGTGGGAGGTAGGTAAGGTCAAGAAGACGGCGGAGCCTGTAAGGCTGTTGACGACAAAGCAGCGAGGGGAGGGCTGCGGGCGGAACTCAAGAGAAAGGCCCGGCCTTTGCGAAGCTGCAGCCAACGAGTGAGAGATGGGCGAGAAAACGGGGGTATCGTGAGTCGCGACACGGAGTCTTCGAAGAGAGGAAGGGAAGCAAGGCGGCGGCGGCGACTCTTAAGGTAACATCATCAACCGCCCGGCAGAAGTGCAGCCAGCGCGTGCAGATCGCCGCGGATTAGCCGTGCGCACCGCCGGCCCAGTCCGTGCTCCCGCGAGCCAGCTTAACGCGACGCAGCGCGTCACGCTCTTCAAAGCTGTCCCGCCGCCGCTCCTACAGCTTCCGCCCCGCCCAACACACTTTCTACCAACCCTCAATTGCGAGTCGCAGCCATGGACGACCACATGAGCGGTAAGTCCGCCGTCCCAGCACTCCTTTCTCCCCCGGCGCGCCCTCTGCTCGCACATCCGCGCGCGGCGTTGGACCGTCTGGACAGCTTTACTAACACCGTGGATGCCCGCAGACGTTGACCAGCAGCGCGAGGAGGAGCAGCTCGAGGCCAAGATTGCGAACGAAGAGTACAAGATCTGGAAGAAAAACTCAGTATGGCTCTACGACATGCTCTATGCGTGAGTTCGCTCCGTCCGTCTCTTCCGCGCGCGCCGCTTACACCGTGTAGTCGCGCCTTGGAGTGGCCAACCCTCACGGCACAATGGCTTCCGGACAAGAGAGAGGTGCCAGGCTCAAACCTTGCTCAGCACCGCATTCTCTTTGGCACGAACACCTCGGACCAGGCGCAGAACTACCTCCAAATCGCGAGCATTGAAATTCCCGAAATGCAGACCCCGGAGCCTGCGGAATACGACGACCAAAGGGGCGAGATTGGTGGCCACGGTGCTGGAAAGAAGGGGTCGTTTAGCTTCAACGTCATTCAGCGCATCAACCACCCCGGGGAGATCAATAAGGCCCGCTACCAGCCCCAGAACCCGAACATCATCGCAACCATGTGCACGGACGGTCGGGTCTTGGTGTTCGACCGGACCAAGCACAGCAGCAACCCCAATTCGGATGGCATCGTGAAACCTGACATGGAATTGAAGGGTCACGCTGAGGAGGGCTTTGGTCTGAGTTGGAGCCCGCACGTCGAGGGTCAAGTGGTTACTGGTTCTCAAGACTCTACCGTCCGGCTATGGGATACCAAAGCTGGTTTTAGCAAGAGCAGCTCCGTCATTTCGCCGTCGCGTACCTTCACACACCATGCGGCTTGCGTCAACGATGTTCAACACCATCCGCTACATAAGGACTGGATTGCTACCGTTTCGGACGACTTGACGCTGCAGATTCTGGACCTCCGCCAGGAGACGAACAAGAGGGGCCTCTACAGGAAGGAGACTCACACCGACGCCGTCAACTGTGTAGCCTTCCATCCTGCATGGGAATCCATTGTCGTGACTGGTTCTGCAGACAAGTCGGTCGCCATGTGGGACCTGCGCTGCTTGGATAAGAAGATTCATAGTTTCGAAGGCCACACACAACCGGTCATGAACCTCGAGTGGCACCCCACCGATCACTCCATTTTGGCCAGCTCCAGCTATGACAAGCGCGTTCTCATGTGGGATGCAAGCAAGATTGGCGAAGAGCAGACGGAAGAAGAGGCTGAAGATGGCCCGCCCGAACTGTAAGTTGCATTGCCAGCCAATTACTTGTGAATGGAGACTAACACGAATCCTTTCAGCCTTTTCATGCATGGTGGCTTCACGAACTCCGTCTGCGACTTTAGCTGGAACAAGAATGACCCTTGGGTCATGCTCGCTGCCGCTGAAGACAACCAGCTACAGGTCTTTAGGCCCGCGAGAACCATCGTGGAGGTACCGAAGAAGAAGGTTTCCAACCGCGATATTTCGGAGTAAGGGTAAAAAGAACTGCAAGTGGCTGGCGCGAGCATGGCGTTCGGGAATGGGCTTGAATATTGCAGAGCTACTTGCTCACGGCCGAACAGGCGGGGTCATAGTTATGTTCTGCAGACATCATGGGGGGTAGCGTTTGTGAAAACAGTAGGCAGATATCCCTGGTATCTTCAAAATAGGGTCCCAATTATTGCATAATTCTCCAGTATCCGCATCCGCTACAGTCCCAGAGATGTTGTCACGACCAGAGACGTCTGCACTGTCCAAGCAAATGTATTTTGCGACTCAGAAAACGGAGCGGTCAATGACAGTGCATCAACCCTCTAGCGCGTACTAGGACTTGCACATTCACCTATATTTACACTCTTGACCTTGAGAATTCAACCCGTTTGTCTACCACCTCATTGACTCGCCACTACATAGAGGCAAATGCTCACCGCTGCTCCAGAGGCTTGTCAGTAACCTGCTGACTGAATTCAACCTCTCCGGGCTGACCGGTCGGGTCCAGCGGGTAAGCAATGGAGTCCGATGCTTCAATGGTCTTCCTGTGGTGTTCGTGCGCCTGCAACAGAACCTTGTTAGTTGGAAGCTCGTCATAATAACACTCTTAAGGGCAGGCTCCCGCAACATAAGCGCATCCGACGTCTTTATGCTTGCTGAGTCTCCGGTAAGGGAGGGAGTCTTACGAAGGGAACGCCGCAGTACGTGCACCAGCAAATCTTGGGCTTATCAACGTTGATGAAGATCCTGGGGTGGCCGAGCGGGCCGCCGCCGCCGTCGCACGAGACGCTGCGCTCCTTGATCCAGCGGACGGGCTGCTTGTGGATGAGATCTATGGCGGCGTGGGGGCGCGGCTGCGTAAAGTCCGACCAAAGTCAGCGATTGGTTCCTCGAAGGCAAAAGCACTGGCGTCATATCCCCAAACCCGCTCTTCCTACAGCACTCCAATGCGCTGCCAATCCCACCACCCTTCCCTCTCTTGTGTGCATGGCCTCCCATCTCCCGCCGCCCTCCCCGCGTCTTTTCTCCTCCCCCCCAATGCGAACGGGAAGCGGGGCATTGCAACGTACCTGGTCGGCCATGATGGTCTGCTCGAAGCGCGGGCCGGCCATGGCGCGCTCGCGCGGGTTCTGGCTGCGACTCCACGTCGTCTGGCGGTTGGGGGCCTGCTGGGTGCGCATGACCTCGGCTTCCTCGACGCTCTCCTGGAGGACCTGGTCGAAGGAGCCCTCGGACGAGGTGGGGACGGCATTGGTGGCCGAGACATTGGGCGGCGGGGCTTTGGGGTTGGGGTCGTTGGCGGGCACGGCGTCGACCGAGGGCGTCGGCTGCTTGCTGGCGTAGGTGCGGACGGCGGCGATGCGGGGCGCGGCGACGGCGCGCAGCAGCGGCCGGAAGGTCGTGGGCCGGAGCATTGTGTTGGTGGTGGTTGGTGGGGGAGGGAGTGGAGAGGGGGATGGGAGATGGTGACGTCCGGAGAGTTGGACGTGGAGCTGCGGCGTGCGTGATGGACTTCCCCGGCGTTGCGGTTGGCTGGAGTTTGCGGTGGTCTGTGCGCGAGTAATGAATGCACGCATATGAATGCTAGCAACAACGGGCCTCGACATCATGAAGTTATATATCACAATGATCAAGCTTGCCCTCTCCATCTGGTCAATTGATGCAGTAATGATTAGATGCTATTTGGGTAAGACACTGGAGGCACGCCCTTCCTGCCGGCGTCGATTAGATCAATGCAATGCAACATCTTGTTCTGCAGCAGACATCTCTGTGCAATCACGTTCGGAGCATTTGCGCGACCCCTCTCAGTCATAAGCAATTCTTCACACTTGTGTGCTCGAGACTGGTAGTCCAAACGTGGTTGTATGCATGTGACTAAGCAGCCTGATATGATTCGGGGCTTATCGATAAGGCTGAAGTACGAACCATCATTTTGCGGCCGCCGTCCTCTCCTCCGCAACTCGTTTTCGAGCACGCGCTACTGGTCTTCAAGACAACGCGCAAGCCTCCAGTTGCTTCGCCGAACCCGGCATCTCACCAAGCGTGTCTATACTAACATCCAGCCCATATCGTATCACACAACCGCAGCCATGGCGCCGCCAAACACCACCCCGAAGCAAGCGTCTTCGCGGCTTCTGACCATGAAGGTGCGATCTTTCCTTTTGCATGACATCACCCACACCTAAGATATTGACTACAGACAGTTCATGCAACGCGCCGCTGCCTCACAATCTTCTCCCAAAGAATCCCCTTCCACGCCAAACGGCCCGCCCGCCAAGCGCCAGCGCACCTCCGCAGCGTCTTCCCCCGCAACGCCCTCGGACCTCGAAGCCGTCAACGCCGCGATCGCCGCCGAAGAGCTCAAGCGCACCAAAGCCATTGACCGCGCCGCCGCGGAGGCGGGCGAAACCCGCTGGGTCTTGTCCTTCCGCGAGCCTGAGAAAGAGGCGCGCCAGATGAACCCTTTGCGCGTCATGAGCGCCGGCTACGCAGCCTTGGACAACGGCGACGACAGCGACGAGGATGATGACGCGCCGCAGGTGGGCCGCATGTCGTTCGGCAAGAAGCCGGCGCCGGCGAAGAAAGACGACGACAGCGAGAGTGATGAGGAAAGCAGCAGTGAGAGCGACGAGGACGAGGACCCGGCTGCGAAGATGATTCGTGAGGCGCGCAAGCAGGCGGCGAGGGAGAAGAGGATGGAGAAGAAGAGGGCCCAGATGGAGAAGGCCGCCCAGTTGGCACAGGAGCGGAGGAACAAGTCTCCTCACGTCAAACTGAACAAACTGACCAGCATCTCCAATTCTGGCAGTGGGGGCTCGCAGAATTCAAATATGGAGTGCTTTGCTTGCGGCAAGAAAGGCCACGCAAGGGCGGACTGTCCGAATCGGAAGAAAAGGAGGAACTGAGCGCGTCAGTGTTCAAAACGATGCTGGATTTTTACTTCCTCGCTTCGACAGCATTTGTGGAGACAAAATACTGTCCTTGCCGGGTCAATCTGACCTCAGATCTCACAAATGTTGAAAGAAAGGCGTCGTACAGATGGCCCGGTCAGAAATTAGACATGTGAAGCGCAAGGAGTACTTTGTTCGTCAAAAGTACGAGTGCTCATGAGACAGCATTCGCAGGAAGAGGAAGCGGCTAAATTCCTCTAAACTTGGGCCATGGCATTTGCTGGGAGCCGGAAGTCTAGCCTATTCACTTTTTGGTGCACTCCCAGTGATGGGGTTTGCTATCATGCCGGGAAATGCCTCGGATATCCCGCAGCATTCAGACTACGGTGGTAAAGGGATGTCGACGGCAGTTTTGTAGCAAGCCAGCAATTTCCAGGGGGTGGTACTATCTTATCCTCGCAGAACTTAATCACAACCAAAACTTATATTCCTCTGACTCTGAGAAGGCAGCCATTGCTTACGGATCCAATATTTTTTTCATGGCTAGGAAGATTCATCTGTCGTGAAACAATGGCCTTGTTGGAGGTAACTTCTTGACTATTTCATGATGTGCGTTGCGGAACTCTCGTTCTTCTGCGTACCGCGTCACGATATCACAGGAGACTCGAATATTTGGTCCCGCAAAGGATGCTTAGTCCTCGTACACTCGTGGACCGTTAAAGCCTAAGCTTTGATGCACTGGTTATGCTTAAAATGTACATCTATCATGATACTTCATTAACTTCTCATGTACGATAGTATATCTCTGGAGAAACAGATCTGGTGGGATCATTCCGTTAATGTACGCTGAGGTGACTGCTTTCCGCCTCAAAGTGTAACCTGTATTACTGCTCTATTTCTGGCTAAGTCGCATGCTTACTGACTTCTCGATCAATCAAGGGATCGAGAAAGTATGACAAACTGTTCTCTACATGAAATTACAATTTTAAAGGATAGCAGCCAAAACTAGAACTCCTGATTATCAAATATTATGAGCGGTAAAAAGCCACAAATGATGTGGAAGGCTCAATCAGTGATTCTATTCTATCGTGAAGAGAGATCAAAACTAAGGACTCCTGCCTTAGTGTTCGCAGCCGCAGCACATGAAGGACTGCCGAGCAGTTGCTGCAAGCCATCTGGATTCCATAGCAAAATCCCGGCCTGGCGATGGGTGCCTAGTTGCCAAGACAATTCATTCGGACATCCTTCGTTTAGTAAACCTTTCTCACACGGCCCTCCAACCAAGCATACGGATGAGAAATGCTCTCCAGACAGGCCTTGAATGCCACGCCTCATAAGGGTCCGGCCGCAGCGCTATCCTGATTTACAACCAATTTCTCAACGGCAGTTACAGCGCCAGCGTTTCGGATTGAACAGTGTGCCCGTAGCCGAAAATGACCCCGGTAACTAGAGGCGATGCAATTGATAGCCAGATCACCCGTTCGCAGGATCACAGTCGGGTGTCGGCAACTAACTTATCAATCCCGCCGATCCTGCAGTTAGCTTCCAACGACCCCACAACCCTCCCCCTGTGTGCTCCTCTCCTTTTTCTCCAGGTCCCTGATCCTGGTATGTGTGGGATGTTAGCGCTCGTACCGTCGCGGGCGCTATACTAGAGGGCTTAATAAGAGAGAGCCAGATGTCGTCATACTCGCCCCGGCATGAGGGGCAAATTCCGATCAGCAAGAGATGACGATGAGGGGAGAGTGTAGATGTGCACCATGGATCTTTCTGATTGTGATACGCGGGGAAAAAAAGATGAAACGGACCCTGGCGTCTCATCAAAGCGCAAATCTGCGAACTTTTGTGTATCAAGTTCGCGAAGTTGCTCCCAGGGTTCTTGACGAGGACCCTGGCTGGCGCGCGGTGCCAGGAACGGCAATCACTTACCGCGCTGGAATATTCCAAATTCCAAATCGATTGCCCATGGACAGCACGTGTCGATTATCGGCTTCTCTCTTCTGCGGCCGGTGCTTTGCGCTTTGCGGTGGGAACTGGATTGAGAAAGACCAGTACGACAAGGGTAAGCCCAAAGCCCATCAGATCATCACGGGATGTGACGAAAAGGATTCGATTCTATCAACGCTGTCCTATGATCTCGCCCCAGCGAAAAAGAAAGAAAAAAAAACAGTCAATGGCGATGTGGCGACCTACACGAGAGGAGAGCGTGTAACGTGAGGGCAACACATGCAGTGCCCTACATGTAGCCTTATGCGCTATTGACGGCGATCTCGACTGTCAAGCAGCTACACGCATAAGCGCGCGCCTCATGGTACACAGCCCTCAGGCCTCGAGAGACCAGCTCGCCGCGCTTACTTCAGTTCTGACAAATCTCAACAAAGATGAGCTCTTCGTTCCCAAGGGTCGCCATGTACGTCAGCGAGCGCCACAAAAAGTGAAGGGAAAAGAAAAAGAAATAATACGGGAAGGACGGTGTATTATTCGGAGAACTAGTCAGCTCATCTTCGGTCTGGTCCACACTAACACTTCGCAGGAATCGCATGTTCGGGATTAAAGATACTCTGAGAGCGTCGCGGGGAAAGCCCATGTGCACTGCCGCTTCCGTGTGGACGGAACGCGATGACTGGCGGCGGCGGAGGCGGCGGAGGCGGGATCCGCACCGTCCCGAAGCCGAATGCATGCTGCATACGTGGGTTGGTTGGTTGGGGATGTGGTTCCAGCCGTGCGCCATGCGCCATGCTTTCCAGGTGATCTGCGCATGGAGACAGACTCAGGCAGCGCAGACGCACAGCGTTAGGTACTGGCAAGGGTGGATGTAAGCACTTGTTGCAGGCAGATGTCGCGCAAGGCAGATACGAGCCGTATTTTTTCTGACCGGTCCTTCCTCAAGGCTCGGCCAGCAAGAGGCAGCAAAAGAGAGAAGCGAGCATCGTGTTCGCTGCTGGGCTTGCCTCAGCGGTGGCAATTGGTGGCACTGTACGTTTCATGTGCAAAGGCCTGGTCGGCGCCAGACAGCAGGTTTGCCACGCGTCGGAGAGGTAGGAAAGAGATGTGTCGCAAAACTGCTTGGGCTGGCTTGCCTTGTGTGCAGAAGTGTCAACCTCTGATTCGAAAGCAGCCCTTCTGATACGAAACGTGGGCCGCCGTCGTCGGACTCAGCACGAGCGCCAATCCAGGGCAAGGAACGCTCGGCATAGCAATACATACCTATCCACGGTTTCGACGCGGACGGCTGAAACGGAATCGAGGAGATACGAATTTGCTGTTCAGCTAGATATGCCGGGAAGCACGCGAGATCGAGATGCTTTGAGCCATGGATCCTTAGCCTAGTAGCAAGACGGTTCAGCTGACAAGACGACGGATATAGCAGCAGTAGCGCTTATGGACATGGCCTGCATCATGGCCACAAACACTAACAGCGTTCGGGCTTCGGCATCGAGCGCGGAGACGGTGGGGATGATGATGATGATGATGATGATGATGATGATGATGATGATGATGATGATGATGGATGGCGCCGGTGGTGATGGTGATGATGATGGCACGGGTTGCCCATCGCATAAGACATGCTGTGGTGGAAGAGGTGGTGAGCGTGCACAAGAGTCGTCTGCCCGTGGAACCCAACGCCTGGGCGCCGGGATGCGCAGCTCGGAGAATGATGACAGTCGCGGGGAGGCTAGACCGATGACGTGAGGCTGATCGGATCGTAGCGGTTCAGGTACACCGGAAGGAAGAGCAGACGGAAGATGGACTGCGCGCTTGCCTAACCGAGCAGTCACCACCCGACCAGAAAGGCAACTCTGCTGGGCCCGGTCAAGCAGGAACGAGAACGCCAGACTCCGGAGCCGCCAAATGGGGAAGCAGGCTGTAGAGAGGCGTTCGGAGAGAAAAAATAAGGAAAGTGACCACGGAACGCTGTGCAACCCGGAGCGCCTGCTCGCAGCCTGATCAATGTCTCGGGAAACATGGGCCGTGGTGCAGCAGCAGCAGCAGCAAAAAGCAGCTGACTCGGCGGCACACAGCCTCTCGCGGAGAAAAGTTAGAGAGTCGTGGTTGCACGGCGGCTGCCAACGCTTCTGCAGCTCGGCGAGGTACAGAGCTGGTTCTGGTCTTCCTTCGGCCGAAGCCGCTGGCGGCCGTGGCACATTGGGCCCCAGACCTCATCACCCCGCGCGGAGAGCTCCAACGGGGGGGGGGGGGGGGGTGGGGCGCTGTGCCGCCCCGTTGGCTTTCGCCTCTGCCGCGCCCACCGTTGGGACGAAGCTTGCGTGGCCGGGTGCGATAAGCGTACCGGACAGACGTCACAGCAGCGATCAGATGTCAACGGGAGCCAAAGATCCATGTTCAGCTATCTTTGCCTAGGCAGCCCATTGGTTCCCAGCCGGCCATCTGCGACATGCAGTGCCGGCCAATCCCGTGTCTCCACGACCGGTCCTCGAGTATGTAATAAACAATAAGGGAATTTTTGATATTCAAGGGACAGAGCCGGCTTGATAAACAGGCTCTGTGATATAGTAGCCATAAAACAATCATCACACAACCCGCACTGGGTTTGGAAGGTGTGCCGCCGAAAGACAAAAACGCCGTGTGCTCCGGAGGTGTCCTGGAGTCAAGATTCCCTTTCAAACGCCATGGGCTCGCGCCAGAGTAGAAAGGAGCCGCCCAAGGCTCTACAAGTCGCGCCGGTTGAACAACAGAAACGGTGAGATGAGAATAAAACAGGGGGGAAAGAGCCGCTGGTCTCGCATCCCTAGAACCGAAATGTCAAGGAAAGAGAAAACGAAAAAGACGGTGGTATCGTGGTATCTCTATGCAAATTGGAGCGAGATGGCAGCGCAGGGGAAAAAGGCAGCAATCAACAGAATGCGCGCTGAATTGGCTTTCACCATGAGAAATAATCGAGACAACGGAAGTGGGCCAATGCCGCAAGAAGGTGACTGCTGGGGGGAGGAGAGTCGTCATCGTAGATTTGGAGGTTGGTCGTTTGCTGCACTGGGCGGCACGAGGGGTACAAGAGCCATTGAAGACTCTCTTCGGGACATAGCGGGGCCGAGAGCCTTAGCTATGCAAGAATCGAAGTGTCGAGGAGAAGATGTGCTAAGGAGTGTGGTAGTCGGCTACCGGGCAGACTTGTCCGGATGGTCATGATATTCATGGTCGGCCAGCAACATGGCGCCATTGGCAGCAGCGAAGTCTAAGCTTACGCGAGGCCGAGCATGCTCTTCCTCTTGGTCAGCCTCCTACGACCCGGAACACGCATCTCGTCATCCGCATCGGGGAAGGGCGGGAGCTTGACAGCAGGCTCTCTCTCATCCGCAGCGCGGGGAACAAGTCGAGGCCGGTGGCCAAGGCTGGAAGTCCTCGGCGGACGCTCAAACTCGTCCTCGACCGTGTTGTTGCTCATGCGGGACGACGTCCGCGGGCTGAACACAGCAGTGTTCGGCGTCGGCGGCATCTGCATGCCGGGAGTCACAGGAGTCGGCGGCATGTTCGGCGCAAGCGGCGACGACACAGAAAGGAAGCTCTCCTTTGTCTGTGTCATGGGGGAGATGGGGGACTGCAGGTCCATCGAGTCACGGTGGACCTTGTCGGTCTTGACCTTGCTCTTGCCCCATGTCGATCCGCGCCTGCCTTGCGGGTTCAGCGCAATTTTGGCCAGACTGAGGGTCCGGCTAATGCTACGCAGACGGCGATGCGCCGGCTTGCTGGTGTCCTCGGTCTTGTCCTCTTCCTTCTTCGCAAAAGGATCGGTATTGAGGAAGGTGGGGGTTTGGGGAGTGAGAGGAGTCAGAGGAGAAGCGGCGTTGGGAGCGAAGGGAGGAAGCTGGATCGAGCCAGATCGCTGGCGGGCGTGAATCGCGGAAGCACGCTTGGAACTCGGCGAGTATGATGAGCGTGCCGACGATGGGCGGCGCAGGTCGAAGTCGAGAGGGATCGAGGGTTTCTCGAGCAGGGGCGAAATAGGCTCAGGCTCAGTAGACTGAGATCGAGTGGGAAGCGATGGAGGACTGGGGGAGAGCGTGGCCCTCAGATCAGTCGTCGACCTCAGGAGCTTGGGACGATCGGCATTGAAGATACCGCCCGAAGGCGCCGCTGCCATGCTGTAATGCCTAACAACCTTGACGGACGAGCGGAGCGACCCGCAGTCAGGGACCGGGGGTGCCGAAGCAGGGTCAAAAGAAAGCGGCGATCTGGAGATGGACGGGCGCTCTCTTGCGGGCATTGAGGACTTGCGCCTCTCTGACCGGGCTGGAATAGCGGGCGAGCTGCACGCAGACGGGATCCCGAAGGAAGACGAGCGTGTCGGAAGGGCTGGCTGGGCTTCGGTGACGGGCGGCCTGTAGTTTGCAAAAGACATCCTGGACATGCGGGGCACTGGAGACTTGAGAATGGGAACTGCGTTTGCGACGGCTGGCACGCTGAAAGTGCGTTCCCGCGCGGGTTGAGCGTCGTCCATGTCGACGACCTTGGCACGGCCGGCGGAGACGTAGGAAACGGCTTTTGCAAGCTTCGCTGGTGGGGTGATGACGGCGACCTCGATAATTTCGACATCGTCGTCGTCGTCGTCGTCGTCAGACTGGTCGGCCGAATCCGAGGCATTTGGCGAGAGGTCCTCCTCGGACGAGAGGTAGCGGTCCTGGAGCATCGACGACGACGGCTCCAGGGCGGGCATGGGCATTGTGTTAGAGCGAGCCAGGCGGATCCTGTCGTGGTCGTCGAGTTCGGGGGTGCTGGCGGGACTGGTGTTCTGGCTCCGGGTGTAGGACTTCTCGACGGTCCATTGCGGGATGCGTACGTCCTCCATGGTCGCGGTTCAGAAGAGCACTGCTGCGTCTGAGGCGGGACACGGGTGGTTAAGAAGGAGGGGTGTGCGTGCCCTCGCAGAAGGCTGGTGGGGGGGAACTCGGGCGGTAGGTACGTGGACAAGCCAGCTTGGAGGTCGCGCGGCTGGCCTGACTACTATAAGGAATGGCGTGGGCGAGGGATCCCGGGCAGGGTGAAGAAGGGAGCCGGGGCCGTGGTGGTGTGGGCGGCAGGGATGTGTTGATGGCGAGACCCTTTATCGGTTATATTGGGATGAACTCACGGCCGGCCGTGCGCCCATGGAGGGTTTCAAGTACACACGGCGCGCGGAAGAATTACGACTTCGCTGGCGGCTAGGTTAGATCCGGGGCACTGGCGGGTGCCAAGGCAATCAATCTGATGGCGGGCGGGCGTTCGGCGCGCGACGAGGAGGCGCTGAGGGGCTGGCAGCGCGAGCGTGCGTCTCAGTGGCGGGCGAGTGGGCGGGCTGGCTGGCGGACAGGCAGGCAGCTCGTGGAGGCCCTGCAATGATGCTGCACGCATGAGCGCTGCAGGGCCGGCGGGCGCTTTTCACTCGGCGCCCCATGCCTGCAACACTTGCCGTCATGGTCTGTGATACGCCGTGAGCGGTGAGGCAGCGCGTGCGCTAGGTGGGCAGGGGTCCGCGCGCTAGGCTAGGCAGGGGAGGCCCAATTCTGCTTTCCCGTTGCGGGGGCCGACACTGGCAGCAAGCCCGTCGCAGGACGCCCCGTGCGGCGTCTGATCGCCATCTCCAAGACGAGATTGTCGCTGGGCCAGGAACAGCGCTGCGACTCGCGCCCCATGCGTCGCATGCATCCCAACTCGGCCATCCATCGCCCGCATCGCCCGCATCGCCCGCGTGGCGGACGCAACAACGGCCAGCGCCTTCCGCCGCCGCAAACCGCTGGTCCGCCGCGGCACCAGCTGCGTCAGCCTGTGCGACCGCCCTCCACAACAGACGTTCCGCTCCCGTCGCAGCCTCGGCCTAGCACGTTGGCGGCGCAGGGCACAGCCTGCTCGAGCTCGCAAGCGCGCTTTCCGATCCCACGGCAACCACAGGCCAGCAGCCTCTATTCTGAGACACAGTGACGAACTTCGGCTGTGGCTTGGGGGCAGCGAGCAGGGGTGGGCCGTGTTGTTTCGAGCGCTCGGCGCACCTCCGTGATCGTGCAAACGAGCCTTGTCAAGCGAGCAAAGATGACGAGGGGCGTCGCCGGCAGCAAGTCGTCGCTGCAGGTGACAGGTCCGCCAACAGCTGCGCAGCGTCCGCCCACGCAGCGGCGGCGGTCCGCGGTGCGCAGCTGTGACCGCTGGCCGCCATCGGGCCAATGATCAGCACGGTCCTGGGGAGGGCGGGCAGCAGCCGCGCAGAGAGCCGCCGAACGCGCCATTGGTGGCAGGCAGAGCAGGCCGGGCAAGCAGGCCAGGGCATGGTGGGATGCGATTTTTGCGCGAGCACCTGATCCCTCGACAAGCTTTGCCTCCGCTGATCCATCGCGCGACGCCTTTGCTACACCAACGCCTGCGGAGGCATGGCGGCGCGCAGGGTCGCAAGCGGTGCCCCACGACGGTGTTGGTGCTCTCTCAGGGTGTGTGGGCGTGTGGGTGTCAGGGTTTCGCAGGCCGAAGAGGACCCTAGGGCTTGGCCAAGCTCGTGTCGTCGCGGTTGCACAGCATCGAGGGCTCGCGCTCGCGCTGTCGGCGGGGCCGCTTGCGGCGATACACAACCTCCAGGGCAGGCCGGGTGGCCGGCTGCTCTGGTTGCTCTGGCAGCAAACCGAGGCTGGAGCAAAGGGCAAGCAGAGGGCGAGCAGAGGGCGAGCAGAGGGCGAGGGCTGCACGTGGCCCAAAGCGGCCACCCCAGCAAGCGGTGCGCAGCTGCGGGCAGGCCAGGGGCCAGCGGTTCTGGAGATAAGACGCAGCTTCCGATCTCCACCTGCAGGGCACGCGCGCGCGCTGGGAAATTGGCCTTCCCCAAATACAATCTCATTTTAGCCTCAGCCTCATCTCCATCCCACCGCGCGAGCAGCGCTTCTTCACCCAGCCGCACGCGTCGCCTGCGCCGGGCGGGCGGCGGCAGCGACGATCGCTCGCAGTCGCACGCGGGGTCGCGCAGCTGGTGTCGCCCGAGATACGCGCGCCGAACTGAGAGCGCTGCGAACTGTGCGAGATCCCGCATGGTGTCCAGCGAGCTCCGCCCGATGATGCCATCAGCGTCCATCAGTGCTCGCTCGCTTCTTGGCCCGGGGTGGGGTGAAGACGATGCACGGGGCATCTCCCCGGCCATGGCATCTCAACACAGTGTCCCTCACACCACCACGCCCGCACACGCCCGCACACGCCCTCGAGCCCGCCCGACTGTGCACCCATCGGAGCGACCCGGCAAGCGCGGCCCGCAGCGAGAGCCCCATCGAACGCCGCCGCACTCGACGTAACAGTCGGCCGACGGCAGCGGCAGCGGCAGCCCACAAGTCGATCGTGTTGCGTTGTTGCACCGCGCTGCAGGCGGCCGTCCGACTCCGCCCGAGCACGCCTGACGCCACCAGATCTCTGGGCAGCTCTCCGCAGCTCGCGAGTGGGAGGCGATATCAAATCGCAGGGCTCAGGGGCAGCAGTCGGTCCGCGCCCGCGCGCGCCCGCTCGTGCCCACTCGAGCACGAGGGCGAGAGAAACAGCGCGCACGGGGCAGGCGAAACATTTCGAATTCTCGCGTCGCGAGCCCGAGCTCTTTTTCTGCCGGCTGCCCCGTGCTGGAGGGCGTGGAAGAGCGTTTCCGGGGCGGTTCATCAGTCCGGTGCGGTGCAACAGCGTCCTCGGAGTCCGGGAGGGCCGTTGGCCGTGCGCCTCAAACAGCCTTCGCTCCGCGTTGCCGGTGCAGCTGCAGCATCTGGCGGGCGTGGGGCCAGTGAGCAGGCGGAGCCGGACGGGTACCTGGCAGGGGCGCATAAGCTGCATGAACGAGAGCTCATTTGGCGATCAAACGGGCATTGCATGCCTTATAGGGCAATCCTGCCTACCCGCCCTGCGTAGCCCGCTCGATGCGGCATGGCCTGCGAGCGCTGCAGCAGTGCAGAGAGACCACACGACGGCGGTGCGCCTAATAGACAACCGGCCTGAAGATCATTGCCAGAGGCCCCCCACGGCATGTTCCTCAGCTCCAAAAGCATCGCCACCCCATCCCCCTATACGCCTGCTTCCCGTATAGCGCCGACCGCGGATTATTGCCGCTGCTATTGCCGCCGTGCGCATGACGACAGGCCCATCTCTGGTGGCTTCAGGGTGGGAAGATCGCGGATCTGAGTCCGTCTCCTCACGAATCGTCCGCTGTGCCTCTGCCGTCATTATTCTCCCTTCCGGCGGCTGATGTGCACGCCTCGCCACGCTCATTTGCTCGGGCACCGCGCGTTATCAAGATCTGCCTCTCCTTCATGCTCAGGATGAGTTTCCCGTTCATTTCCATTTCGTGTTTGGCCGTCATTTCTTCCAAAGTGTCTCGTCCCTGACAGATTTTTGTCCGCTCGCCCTGCGCGGTGAAACTCACCCCCCACAGCAATATCGACATCTGGCGAGGCTTGCTAGAGAGTCTCCATCGACGAGCGGCAGTTGCGATAGCCGTTGGGTCAGGCCATCTTGCTGGAGCAGCACGGAGAACGGGCCTCCCGGTCTCCATATCTCCACCTTGGTCCCTCTTTCAAAATTTTAAGCGAACGGAGATCAACCACTTCCTGAGAACTTCAGCAACGAGAGGAGACACATGAAACCGCGAGCAAGCCATGAAGCAAGCCATCAGTCAATTCGGGACGCGAGGTATGCCCGTCTGGCACAACATTCGCCAACTCGTACGCTCGCTATCTTCCCCTGTTGCGAAGCCTCCGTTATAGATTGGTGATGGACGCGCAAGCCTGCAGATACATCCGCGCGGCCTCTCGCATATTCTGCTCCCTTTCTTTTTTTCGACATTGCGGAGAAACCTGGATTCGAGTTTTCCCGTCTTGGAAATTTCCTTTCTACCCCGTCCCTCAATCTGCGGGGAATGTGCCAGTAGTTGGCGGCTGACCTTCATTCTCGCTGTATGCAATGGTCACCGAAGGACTGCATGGCCCTGACGCCAGTGGCGAAAATATGATACAATCCACCGCAAATGTGCGACGTTGAAGAGAGATGCAGACACTGTCCACCGGGAGCCCCGAGACACGAGCCGCCGAGCTCGACACTGATAGCAGAGTCAGGGCCATAGTTGACAGCTCACATTCACTTTCAGAACCCGCCTCCTTCGTCGTGCAGCACCATCCCCGCATCCTTCGCCAAGCGGATGACTAACGTCGCCAACGTCGTCACGCCGTCGCGCATCGGCCCTCCCGACCCTTCCGCACGCAGCCAGCCTCGACCGCCACCAACCGACGAAACCAACATCCATCATCAAACTGAGGATCCAACAATCGCGTCATCTACCGAACCGAAAGAACCAACAGCACGCTCCGGCTACAGCTCCCGCCTGCTCCTAAAAACAGCACCCAGCCACTTGAGACGGGAGCGCAGCTTGTGGAACACACAGACCTCTAGCCTCTTTTCCTTAGCCAACGCGCCAGAGAAAAAAAAAAAGCGCCACCACTGTTTCCAGAAACCTGCCCGTTTCGAATCCCTCGTATCTTGAGTGGGTAGCAACGTGTATGGAAACGCTAGAAGCACGCTACCTGGCGGTAGAAACGACACCGCAGTTGCGCACATGACACCATCCGGCCCCCCTGGTAGTACTACGACTTACCGACTGTGCCACATCGCTCTTCCAATGGTAAGCTCGGCTCCAGTTTCTACCTCTAATCGCGCCCATCTGGAAAACACCTCAAATCTTGGTTTCTCTTGGACGAGCAGCCATCAGCCAGCACTCAACCCACTTACTCGTAAGTGATGCGACGGACAAAAAGTCAAGCGCACGGCTACCACTTGACCGCCGCTCCCTTCCTCCGTCGTTTCAAGATCACCGCTGCCAACTCATCCAGGGATGTTCCCACCACACCGACGAAGCCGCGGGGGCCTCATCATGGCAGTTTGGCTGTCTGAAGAACGCTGGCCGCCACAAAGGTGGGGAACAGCTGGTGCGTAAAGTAAGAAGAAAACTATGACCAGCAGCGATCGCCGATGATCGTGGAGAGGCCTGAGGCAGGGCGGCGGCGGCGGCGGCGGCGGTGCGCTCTGACTCCCGTCGTCGTCGACTTTTCGCTCGTTAGCTTGAGCCACACAATCGTATCGACCAGGCGACACCTGGAAGGGGGGGGAGGGGTCCCACTCTTGGGCTACGTGTTTATCCTCCGCCGCAAAGACCATGCGCCACGACGAGCAGGGCACTACTGTGTGCTGCACCCTCGGCGCCGAGGGAGTGGTTGGTGGGTGGATGCACGTGCTTGCTGCTACTCGTGCGGCGGGAGAGCCGCAGCTCGCTTTCGGCAAATGCTCGTGGGGAGGCTGGTAGGTAGGTATGTGGATGCAAGTGAGGCGGATGCCTAGCGTGTGTCATGGGAGGAGGCTGCGAGTACGAAATTGCCGGCTGCGTGCGCGCGTAAGGTTTGTTCCATCGGTGTGTGTGCGAGAAATCGAGGATGATGTTTGCCGGCTCATCCTTTCGTCCGTCTCGCTTTGTTGCCATCTCCAATGGATTTCAACTTTTGCTTTCCACATACGATTTGGCAAGATCTAATCTCCCACGATATTCGGCACGAAACGGTATTCCGAGTGCACGCTCGCATCAGTATTCAGCAAACGAAAAAGGCTCAAGAATCGATCCAGCCATTGCTCAAGAAATGTGCCCTGGTCAATTTTCAACACCTTCATACTGCTGTTTGTTTGTGTGGACTCTCGACACACTCCTCTACTTGCTTTCTGTGTCTGAGCAGTCGTCTGTCTGATGAGGACTCAATTATGCTGTAGCGTTGCTGTAGAGCATCAAGCCAATATTCTGAACTTCTCGTTGGATATCTAGTTCCTCTAAACACCTGTAGTGATTTCTTTCTAGAGCATTATACTCAAGCAAAAGATTCCTTGCTTGTTCCACAAGCCCATCTCTCCCCTAGCTCGCAGTGGAGAACACCGATCCATGGAGAGAGATAACATATCGCCTGTCTGGGTTAGAACATGTTGCGAACAAAGATATTTCCAGCATTACGTTTTTAGATCGAAGTGTCTCTAGATAGACATGAGTCGCGTCTGGTAAGGAAGTAATATTGGCACTGTTATCCTGCTGATAAGATGCCATCATATCTAGTTTATCCTTAATATAAAGATAGTTGAAACGTTCTCATTTTCTATCTCGTACACACTTTATCGATAAGTTTATTTTGATTCCATGATTCAACGCCCACGAGCAAACATCTTGTTGTTCGTAATATACCGCACGCCCATTTTAACGCAACATGATTGCGTACAGTAGACGTCGCCCCCAACATAAAAGCAGGGATGTAATAATAGACGCCGCCTTACGGCATCGACCCTCAGCTATGCATGGTGCATGACAGCACTCTTCGCCAAAGACGACAAGAACGAGTGAGGAGTGCAAACAGTCGAGGACGGCTACACAACGACGAAGTTACCAACGAGAAGACAGAAACGGTGACGTGCACGCCAAGAGCTGATATCTATTGATCATACTTTCCGAGCTGCTGCGAAAATAGAAACATATAAAAACATGACACGGGCCCCCATGAAAAGATGGAAAGGCATGGGGAAAGGAAGATGCAAGCGTACCAACACCAACACGTTCCCCACTCAGCTTCCGCCTTCCCATTTTTTTTTTAAAAAAAAAAAAAATTCATTCGGAACCAACATCCCCGTGTCCCCAAAAAAAATAGAAAGACGGTCAATCATCCGCTCAGGCAGTAGCATGCTCGCTTTTTGACCCATTGACCCCCAAGTCCAGACCCAGCTCTAACCTTGGCTCCCTTTCTCCACTTCCATCGGGTCGCCCCCGCCAGTGCTCGTGGGGGCGGGGCCACTGCCCGTACCTCCAGCGCTCGCCACGCTCTCCCCGCCATGTTGCTTCACCCGCTTCGCCTCCCTCCCCTCCGCGTCGGCAACGCTGCTCTCGCCGGCTCTCCTCTTCTCCCCCTCACCCGCTCTTCTCCGCTCGTCCTCTCTCGCAGCCCTGCGCGCCTCCTTGTCCATCCTCTCCTTCTCCTTGCGAAGGGCCTTGCTCTCGAACTCGTGCCAATCGCCCTGCAGGTCCTCCAGCTCCGTGGCGCGCCTCGGCGGGGGCTCTTCCGTCGTGAAGTACGGGTGCTCCAGCACGTCGCTCGCGCTCGGCCTGGCCGCCGGGTCGAACAGGAACATGGCGGACAGCAGGTCGAAAGCCGCCGGCGTGACCCGTTCTTTGTACTTCTCCGCGAAGGTGCTCGGCTTCTTTTCCGACGGCCGCAGCAACTCGAACCACTGCATGTCGACGATGCCCGGCCATTCGGCTCGCGTAGGCGTGCCGAGCACGTTGTAGATCTTCTCGAGCTGGTTGATCTCGCCGCCGTCTCCGGGAAAGATTGCATGCTTGGTGAAAATCTCCATGAGCACGCAAGACGCGGACCATATGTCCACCGCTGGTCCGTACTGCGTCTCGCCGAGCAGAAGCTCCGGGGAGCGGTACCAGATGGTGATGACGCGGTTCGTGTAGTCGAGCTTCTTCCGCTTGGCGTAGAATCTGGCGAGGCCAAAATCTGCCAGCTTCAATTGGCCGGTGTTGCTGACTAAGATATTTGCAGCCTTGATGTCTCGATGAAGGACGCCTCGGCGGTGGAGGTAGTCAAGACCCTCGAAAAGCTGTTTGGCCAGATCTTTCTTGTGGGAATGCTCGAGTTTGAAAGAGGGATGATTGAGGAGGCCGGTCAGGTCGTGGGAGAGATATTCGAAAACCATGAAGCAATCGTTCTTCTCCACCATGACCTCTTGAAGCTTGACAATACTGTCATGGTTGAGAGATTGGAGCAGCTTGATCTCACGGATGGCAGTGACCGGGAAGCCATCCCGTTCGCCTTCCATCCTGATTTTCTTCAGAGCAACCTTGCTGTTGGTGTACACGTGGATCGCTTTGAACACCTTTCCGTACGTTCCCGATCCGACGACGGACTCATTACCGGGTTTCCTGTAGTAGACCGAGTCTGAAGCGGCGAATTCTGCTGTGAGAGTTGGCTTCGATTTGGGCCGCTTCATGATCCTCTTCTCTTTGCGCAGTGCTTGCTTCGGTTCAGGTCGCCGTCTTGCATCAGAGGGCCGGTAATCAGACACTCTGAAGTCTGTTGGTCGGAAAGCAGACGCTCCAGAGTCTGACCGACGATCGTCGTAGTCGCCTCTCCGGTCGTCGTCCCCCCGATAGTCTGGTCTTCTGTCATCCAGCCTCCGGTCCTCCGGTCTCCGGTCATCTAGTCTCCGATCATCTCCTCGCCTGTCGTCTAGCCGCCTGTCGTCCAGCCGCCTGTCATCTAATCTTCTGTCGCCCAGTCGCCTATCATCTATTCTCCTATCATCAGGCCTCCTGTCATCGTGTCTTCGATCATCCGGTCTCCTGTAATCCGGCCGTCTATCCCTGTCGTCACGATCAGAGTATCTATAGTCTCTCCGGTCATCATACTTGTAATCAGACCGACGATCATCCGCTCGGTAGTCGGACCTGCGATCATATGGAGCATCATAGCGGCGGTCGCTGCGAGAGTCGAGTCTCGGTTTGGGTGGCGTGGGGTGTGCGGGAATCGGTCGCGCTTTGACCGCTGCAGTCTCGAGAACGGAGGGTTCGCGAGGTTTGGCGGACAGGTCGGCTTTCGGCGCAGAGGATACTGACGGAGCTGCCTTTGATTTGAGTGCAAAGCTTATCTTTGGGCCCGAAGAGCTTTGTGAAGCGTCAGGAGCGGGAGGCTTCGGCTGAGGCTCGTCCTTCTCTTTCTCCTTCTCCTTCTCCTTTTCCCTCTCCGTTGGGCCTTGGTCCTCGACACGCAAGTCCTTCGACGGACGAAAAGGATTGTCGTCTTCGTCAACTGATGACTGACTTTGTTCAGGAACAGGCGATTGGGATTGACTACCCTGCTGTTGGCCTACAAGAGGGGCAAGAAGACTGCGATGCTTGTCAATTGGAGCACGTCCTCCACGGCTGCCGGTAGCTGGTGTCCAGGAAAGATTGCTGTAGTGGCCGCGACCGCGTCCGATAGCTGGCGTTGGTTGCGAATACGATGAGCTTGACGGCGGGTAGCGGCGGTCACTCGAGTTGTAGTGATTCCCACGGTAGCTGCCATGGCCTCCACGATAAGACGGCGGAGGCTGGCTTGGGTAGCCTGATGGAGGTCCGTTATAAGGTTGTTGGTAGTATGATGCTTGCGATGGCGGGTGGCTTGGATGATAGGGTGATTGGTTTGGGGAATAGCTATGAGGTGGGGACCTGGAACTCTTTAGACCATATCAAATTAAAATTGTCATAATGAAGGGGAACTTACCCGTGATGGCTCCCATAGTACGGTTGTTGGCCGCCCCAGCCGCCCCCTCTGCCTCCAGGATACGGCGATTGTGACTGCGGAGAAACATGATTTGGAGTTGCGTACGGCGGGGTGTGTGAGTAGCTTCGCGTGTCCACGGGAGGCCGCGGCGGTCTCCCTTGGTTTGGATATCCGTCACGCATCCTTCTCTCCTCGTTTGTGGACCTTGCAGAGTCTGACTCGTACCCTCCACTTCCTCCACGATCCTGCGAGCCTCGTCTTGAAATAGGCAAGCTTGGTCTGACAGGCCGGTCAGAGTCGCGAGAAGCGCGCGACTCAGCTCGATGTGTATGTCTCGTTGTGGACGGCGGTGCGGGCGAACGGGACGGCCGGCGGCGCGGGGACAGACCAGAGCGGTGGTCCCTTTTCGACGACTTCGCTGATGGCGAACGCCGTCTAGAGACAGGTGATGGAGACCTCCGGGAGCGCGGAGTAGGAGAGCGGGCAGATCGTCGCGATGACCGGACGTCGGAGTCCCGCTCTCTCCTCAGGCCAGAACCACCTGTTTCCCTGTAATCCCTGCGTCTGTCCTCGACAGAAGGCGAATGTCTCCGGTGGGCGTGGCGTCGCGATGGCGAGTGGCGTGGGGAGTCGGCTCGTCTGGCTCGTTCGCGTCTGTCGGGGGATCGGGATCGTTTTCCGTGTCGTGGGGGAGAGACTGCGCGTCTGTAGTGCGAGTCGGCAGACGGCGAGCGTCTGCGGGGAGCAGGCGGCACGTAGAGACCGGGAGACGAACGGCGCGTTGCGGTCCGGTCGCTGCGACTGGGGCGGGGAGAAGAAGTGGTGTCGGTATGTCTGGCTGGCGCACGGGGCCGTTCGGACGATCTCTCGAGGCTGGGGCTGCGGTGGTGCTTGGAGCGCTTGTGGTGCTCTCTCGCACTCGATGGGCTGGTGCTTCGGCGTCGTTTTGCTGATGAAGGCGAGTCGTGTCGGTGCCTGTGGTCGCGCGAAGCCCTTTCTCCACCCGGCGCTCTGTTTCTAGACGGTCGGTAAAGGTCGTCCTTTGGATCTCTTGGCGTGGGCGACGGCCGCTCTCGACTGCGACGCGGCCTCCGGCTGCGGCTCCTCTCGCGCTCGCGGGTCCTGGACAGGCGGCGGGATGCTGGCGGGGCGTGCTCGGATGGTGACTGGCGACCTGTGGCGGTCCTATCGTGGCCTCGTCCACGGCGCACCGATGCGGGCGAACGTCCCCGCTCGCGCGACAGACTGCGATCACCTGCAGCCCTCGCTCTGCTGGTCCTGGGAGCTGGTTCCTCGGGTCGCCACTGATCTATCAACGGCGTTGACCCAGCCATAGAGATAGTCAGGAAGACATGTGGGCACTCAAGCAAGGTGCAGAGAGGTGTCGGGCACGCTACGCGAGATGCGAAAGGAAAACCACACCAAAAACGCAGACTTACCCCAGGGTTGGCGGGACGCTTGGACGGGGGGAGGAGGGGCAGCGTGCGAGTGACTGCAGAAGTTCCGAGCTTGCAATCGAGCCAGAGCCTGCGCGGGTAGGGTGCACGCGGGAGGTGAGAGGCGGCGCGCGCACGAAATGCAGTGAGGCTCAGTCCCGAAGCCGGCTAAGCGTAGCCGTGACCGTGATCTCGGCGGCGGCGGCGGCAGCGACCCCAACTCCAGCGTGCGCCGACTCAGCCCAACGACCGTCGTGTTAGTATCTCAGTGAGCCCGGGACGTGCTGCGTCGCGTTCGAAATGCCGGCAGAAGATGGAGTAGAAGAGGTCCGGCCTGCGGTGCGATGCGTTGCGTTCTGCCGCCACCCTCCGCCCCGGGCCCAGCCCGTCGCTTTTGCCCTCAGATCCTGCTCCTCTATCGAATCGCACGTCCGCTGATTCGCGCGTCTGTCACAGGCCAAGCTATCTACAATTCATGCACGCGCAGCCCGCAGCAGCCAGAGCCATCGTCTCGACGCTCCAGCTGCCCGGCCTCAGCCGACGACGGTCCTCGGGGCGGAGGAGGCCCGTCCGGGTGCCCGGAAATGTGCACTCGGCCACCCACCGTGTTAGGTGGGCGGGTCCTGGGTGAGCGCGCACGCCGATCAGCCTGCGACGAGTCTTCTGGGTTCTCTGCTTCGCTTCTAGTTCTGCGGATACAGTGCATGGCGGCGAGGACGGAGCCTGGTGGCTTGGAGCGGCGATGTCTGCTGTCGGGTGGGTTTCTTCGGCGCTTGAACAGTATATGTCGATGCTCGGCGGGCTTGACCATGGCTTGATGAGGCACGCGAGTCGAAGCACGCCATGCGCGCCGTTCTCTCGACCAGTGCCCATCAACACAGCGGCTGCGCTCAAACGCTTGCTGTCGAGGCAGCCATCGCCTTTCGAGGTGCGATTCTGCGACTTTCCGCACTGCGCAGTCCACGGCTGTCGACTTCGACGAGTAGTGAGCGTAGCTCAACCCCCCTTCTGACCGCCGAGATGGAAGCCGGCATTTCCAGGTGTCTCTGTGGTTTACCACACACAAAGCGGACGTAGAAAGCTGCTCGGCAGGGCAAGAAAACAGCCCTTTAGAGCGTAAGCACAAACGAAGCGCCAGTCCCTCCGCAGCGTCAAACGTTGTGCCCTGCAACGGGACATGTTGGCAACGTGGGGTAGTTAGCAGAACTGAAACGTAGGTCCCCAAACACTCCCCATCCAGGCGCCGATGGAATCTGCTTGCGATTCCGTTGTATCTCGCGCCTGCCGAGCGGCGGAACGAAGGCCGCTCAGCTGTCCAGCGCGAGACTGCAAGGGCAACAAGCCCGTCCTCCTTCCAGCGAGCCCATTCCGAATGCAACAAACGCGTCTGAGTATAGTGGTGGAGATCTGAGGCCGGGGCGGACGCGCGGTCGGGCAGAACCCTGGGAGCGCTTAAGCGGTGTGGGTGGGCAGCGCGACCGCAGCAGCGATGCTGTCGCCTGGCCGTCACGGTGCCCCAACAGTCGCCAACGGAAGAGGGCGGCAGCACGGGGGGTACATACCAAGATGCCGTGCCGGAGGGCGGTTACTTGCGATGGGCGGATCAAGGGTGACGGTGGAGGTCGGCCCGGAGATGGCTGGCGATGGCAGCGGAGCAGGTTGTGCAGAGCGGAGGGCCGCTCTCCCTGCGCGGCGCTGGGCTGTGAAGCCGGCGGCACATCACGTAAGCAGGGCCGCCCCCTCCGGCCGGTGCCCGGGCGGCGTGACCCTGCAGGCGTGCGCTCGGCGGGTTTGTGACGACAGGGATCTGGCAACGTTTTTCGGTACCGAAGGCGCAACCTCTTTCGCCGCCAAAGTCCCCGAGATGTGTCATAGCAGTAGGCATCCTACTTCTCGCCGATCGCAAGCCTCGCTCAGACCTGTGCTCCCCCAGTGCTCGCGATGGCCCCGCGCCTGTAGACAATACTACTACCCCATCAGTCTCTTTGTGCCAGCCAGCCTCGCACGCCCGGCCCGACCTGACCTGACGTAACCGCATCAGCGCGCCCAAAAAATTTACCTCCCGCAATCTCCCGCGCGAAAATGGATCCCTCACAGCAAGAACCGCTCTCCGCCGTTCCCCCGCACGTCGTGAACGGCACTTCGACGACACAGACTCGCGACCAGCGCGAGCGCGACAATCTCTACGCGTCGATCCAGTCATCTGCTAGCGCCCGTCAGCCCATTGAGCTCGCGCGTCCCGATGGCGTTTACTCCAAGCCCCAGACGCACAAGACGGACCTCGTCCGCGGCAAGGCGCACATGGTGAACGGATTGGAAGAACATGCCCGGGACCCAAGAGATGAGGCATCTCCGCCCACGCCGCTGGCCACGAGTCGCCCGCAGAGTCCGTTTACCCAGCATCCCACCATCGACTTTGACGGCCTGAGCTGGCCCAGTAAGGAGCACAAATCGTATGAGGTCGGCCCATCGTAGCTTACGCGAGTTTAGGCTTGGGAACGCGCGAGCGCAAAGAGGCTACCGACGAACAGAAGGAGGAACGTCTCCAGAAACTCTCGGGCGCAGTGCGAACGATCCTCGAATGCCTTGGCGAAGATCCCGACCGCGAGGGCCTTCGCGAGACTCCGGAGCGTTACGCCAAAGCCATGCTTTTCTTCACAAAGGGCTACGAGGAGGATCTGTTCAACATTGTCAACCGGGCAGTTTTCCACGAGGACCATGATGAGCTCGTCATTGTGAAGGACATTGAGGTTTTCTCGCTCTGCGAGCATCATCTGGTTCCCTTCATGGGCAAGGTTGGTGGCGACATACTTACTCGAGGGTAAACGTAGCTGACGACGCGCCCTAGATGCACATTGGATACATCCCTAACCGTCGTGTCCTCGGCCTCTCAAAACTCGCCAGGATCGCGGAGATGTTCGCGCGCAGACTCCAGGTACAAGAACGCTTGACAAAGCAGGTTGCTCTTGCCCTGTCCGAGGTGCTTCAACCCCAGGGCGTTGCTGTCGTCATGGAGTCGAGCCATCTCTGCATGGTGATGCGCGGCGTTGAGAAGACTGGCTCCAGTACGACCACCAGCTGCATGCTCGGGCGCATGCGTTCTACCGCGAAAACCAGGGAAGAATTCTTGACACTTGTCCTTGGCCGACGATAAGCATTGTGCCTGGTTGTGTTTTGGGCGGCACACAATTTGCTTCTTTCCCGGATTTGGCGTTCAACATTGGGTAGGTCCAGGCGTTCTTGCGGTGTTCATCCACCAGACGGCACAGGCGGCGAAAAACCAAAAACAAAGATACCGTACATGTGAAAACCTTTCTGTTATTGTAAGATTCGACGACGACAGTGTCAGCTCATCCTGGCAGCGCCTTTCAACAGGCATTCATTCGCCCGAGGAGACTTTCGAGACTCGGCTCTATGAGTGGAGCGCAGCATATAGCATCCCCAATATGAGAAACTGTATTTGTGGTGAAAGTGAGGAGCTTGGATTTAGGTGCGTGAGTGGTTGTTGTCCAGCCACTCGTTTACGTTGTTTACTTTCACACACCAACCCTTCCTATTGTTGTCGCGCCCTACTTATGCACCGCCGCGCTTCTCATCAGCCTCTCGTCCTTTCATCCTCCGCCTTCCTCACTTGAAAAGTCCACAAGCAGCCGCTTCGTTCTACCACGGCTCCAACTCACTCCATCCAAACAAACAAGATGTCACCGTCAAAGCGCATGGATATCCAGTCAATTTTGAACCCGAGTAATTGCGATGAGACGGACGACAACAAGGACACTCACAGGGAAAGCCAGCATGGCGCTGCGACTCAGTACACTGAGTCCAAGCCTGCCCCGAACTCTTCGGCTGCCTATCCACCGCAAGGCAAGTAGCCGCTTCTGTTCCGGTCTTACGAGCAGATTTCTCACGCAAGTCGATAGGACCTCCCGCCGCTTCACTTCCCGGTCAAGCCAAGAGCAAAGGCAAGCGCCAGGCCAGCAACTCTCCACTCGTCGACTCATCCTCGCCTGGCCTCCGCCGCAAGCGCACCAAGCCAAACCTGAAGATCTCACCAGCCGAGGCCAACAGTCCGTTTTCTCCGGCCGAATGCTCTGCAGCAAACAAGTCGCCCAAGACCAGCGAAACGGCGTCCGCCCCAGAGAAGGCCTCGTTCGGGCTCGGTATAAACGGCCTTTCTGCTGACGCGGCCAGTACCCTTCTGCCGCCGACTGCCAACTCCTCGAGCCGCGCTTCGCCGATCAACCCGCGTGGCCCCTTGTCCGCGTTGGCATCTTCTTTCGGCCAGCTTTTTGGTGACGCCGCTCATGGCGGAAAGAAAGACGATGCACAGGTCGCTGATTGCAGCGAGACGGGGAGTGTCAAGAAGGAAGATATCGATGACGCGAGCGACGTTAAGATGTCTGGCATGGAAGAGGACCCATACGACGAGATCATGGCATCCCTCGAAACCGCCGAACCAGACAAGCCGCTCGAGGACCTCGACATCGGTTCCCCCACGCCGCCGTCAAGCCCTGTGCTTCGCGCGCAGGACATGCCCCCCAATCTCCAGGGTAGAAGGAGGCCACAGCAGCAGCGCATGGTGTTCAGCATGGGCGAGGCCATCATGAGCCAGAACGACATCCTCCTGAACGTGTGCAACTTCATGGGCCTGCGGGACTTTGTCAACTTCTACTGCGTCTCGAAGCGCTTCTACGTGCTCGTCAACTCGCACTACTCGACGCACATGAAGCAGCTGACCCGCAACTTCGCGCCTCTCGCCAGCACCATCTTCCCCTACCAGCTCTACCGGCGCGCCTGCATCCGCGACCCCATGCTCCGCACCCGGCCCGCCCACCGCGGCGACGCACCAAGCACCTACATCAACCCGGTCCTCGACGGCGCCACGCAGACCCTCACAGCAACCGAGTGGCCCCTCGCGCCCAGCACCGACATCAACGTCCCCGCCGCGCCGCCGCCAGAAGTCGTGCGGACGGTGCCCGGCCTGCGCTGGGTGCTGATGTGCGCGTACCGCGAAGCCATCGTGCACGACATGCTGCTCTGCCTCGCGCGCGAGGGGCACCGGTTCCCGGGGCTGATCGACGGGGCGGTGCTGAAGGTGTGGGCGCTGCTGGACCAGCCGTTCAACGGCACGCGCCTGGCCGTCGTGCACGACGCGCGGCTGTGGACGAACCGCGACCTCTTCCTCGCGCTCATGTTCTTCATCAAGCTGGACATGCGCTTCGCGGACCCGCTGCTCGGCTCGGGCGAGTGCGTCCTGCGCCGCCTCCTGCTCGGCCAGCGCAGCCTCGTCGTGCTGTGGGAGGCGCTGCGCGGCCGCGCGGCGCGCACCCGCGCCGAGCTCTTGCACATGCTCGTCCGCTGGGACACGACCGTCCGCCCGGACGTCCTCGACGCGATCGGCACGAGGAAGACGAAGCGCGGGACGGAGCGCCCGTTCGTCGACTCCGTCTTCGGCGTGCGGACGGACGAGGTGGGCGCGCTGTGCCGCGAGGGCTGGCGGCAGGGCGGCGCGCTGCTGCTGCGCCCCGATCAGCTGGTCTTGCGCGAGACGGCCAGGCGCCAGCTCAACATGCATCGCTGCTTCTTGGACTTCATGCTGTGGGGCCACATCGACTGGACGTGGCTGAGGAACATCCCCTCGCCGGATCTGGACGAGCTGGCGGTGCGGGATGCCAAGAGGCGTGCGGGTGAATACACGGCCGGACCGGGCGGCGACGACGGAGAGAGGAAGATTAGCAGCGGCAGTTTCAGGGACATGGCGAGGGCGTCCAAAGTCTCCTCAGATGAGTGATGGGGCTTGAACGCCGGTTTTGGTCACCGAAGATGTGATGGATGTGTAGCCAGCTGTTGAGAAACGGGAAGGATGAAGTATTGAGCAGGATTTGGATATATTCACAACAAAAGGCAAGCGGGAAAGTTCATTGAATGGCGGTAATGGTCATGTCGGCATGGTTCTGAAGGTAAAGGTTGCAAACAGAAAACACGCGAAAGCCTGTAGCAAACCTCGGAAAAGCGGATAGCATCATCAGAAAAGTTAAGAAAAAAAAAACCCCCCTATAAGATGGCTTGAACCCAAGCTCGTGAATTCTTGATAAGCAACGCCAGGAAAAGCATGTCGCCGACACGGGAATCTATTCCACGCACTTAAAACTGCATCCACTCTTATGCACATGATTGAATGCAATCGTTCCACAACTCCGCTGAACACCTTTCTCTCCTTTCATCATCAACCACGTATGTTTGCCTGTCCTTGCCCACTTATTGCTTCTCTCCCTGAATCGTCGCAACGACCTTCCTCGCGTGCTTGCTGGCCCTGAATTCCAGGTACCAAACGCCCTGCCACGTCCCAGTGTTCAACCTGCCATTCGAGATCGGAATCGTCACGCTCGCGCCCACGAGCGCCGACTTGATGTGTGCCTAGCAACAAGAAAAAAGAAAAGAAAGCTGGTCAGTTCCAATGCCCATCATCCATAGGGGGGGCCGAATGGAGAAATGTAGAAAGCTTTCCACACGAGCAGTGACGTACTGGCATGTCGTCCAACCCCTCGGCGCTGTGCCTGTAGAGGTTGCCCTTGCGGTCCTCGGGCGCGATGCGGTCCAGCGCGTCCGTCATGTCCTCGCGCACGTCCTCGTCCCAGTTCTCGTTCAAGCTGAGCGCGCACGACGTGTGCTGGACGAACAGGTTGAGCAGTCCGACCTTGTAGTCGCGCAGCTCCGGCAGCTCGCGCTCGATGTGGTCCGTCACCAGGTACGCGCCCTTGGACTTGGGCGGCAGGTGGATCGTCTTCTGCGTCCACGACATTGTGTTGGCGACCGATGGCGGTTGTAGTTGTGGTGAGGTGGGGTGCGCGAGGGCCGGTTCGGTAGTGGCGGTCGGAAAGCAGTGCACAGGCGGGCAGCAGTCGCACAGCGGCAGCGAAGGAATTGATGGGGTGGAAGGTAGGAAAGCCGTTAATGGGAGCCTGAGGATGTAGATGAAGAGATTGGGAAAGAAGGCGATAACAAGAGCAAACACGAAGCCGAAGGTATTCAGCGGGCTAGCGGTGGGGAGCGGCATCTTTTTGCGTGCGACGTCATTGGTGGTGGGGTCGGCTTGGATGCAGCGCGGCGAGCCTAAGAAAACGGTGGCGTGCGCCCGCACTGGCGCACCTTATATGCACCTCGTCACCGCCAGGCAACGACATATTGCTCTGCGTTTGCATAGGCCATGAGGACACGTTTTGAAACTCAAAATGCTAATTCGGGTTCTATCTCGCTCCCAGTCCTTGCTCTCTAAACTTGTTTGACCGCGAGAGCAAAACAGGCTGTGGCGTCAAAAGCAAACCGCAACTTGTCCGTAGACTCGTCAGAAGAAACCCAGAAGCAGCATCAAAATGTAGAAGGGATCAAGTATGTACCCGGCTCCGAGTATTTCAGAGACTGCCGTGCAACGAGTGCCTCTGATGCGACAAGGAGCCGAAGACCGAGGAAAGAGATCCGGGAAATCAAGCAAAGACCGATCCGTTGAATTTTGTTCAATCTGATGTGAATCGGTGAAGATCGCAGTATGGTTAGAACTCAGCACCGAAGAAGACGTCACAACAAAGCCCGGGGGTATTGCGTGGCATCGCTAGCGTCCAATGTACTGTGCAGGAGGCACTGCACGCTCTCCGAGAAAGTGAAACTGGAGGACACACCATTGTGTGAAAGCCTCTCGAGCCGAACTTGACTTGGGGCGACGGTGCCTTGGAACATCAAAAGTAAGTACTGACCTGATTGCAAGGAACGAGTGAGCTTACCACTTGACACAGGTCTAGTCGCGAGTGCGAACGAAGTGAGCCCTGCCATGGTATTTGTCCCAGTAGCCGGGGCGAAGGTCGTTCTCAATGGTGTTGTAGGAGCGCAGAGTCCAGTGTCCATCAAGCTCCTTCACGTAGAACATCTGGTCGTCGGCCGGATCACGTGGGACCATCTCCTGATCACCACGACGGGAGTCGGAACCATGGCGACGCGTAGAGTACACCATGTTGTCGCGGTAGACCTCGTTTGAAGTACGACCGAACCAGTTGTGATGATAGCTGTAAGGGTTGTTGTAGCCCGGACCGTAGTACTGGCCGGAGTACTGAGTACCGGAGTACTGGCCAGCGCCACGAGGCCACTGTAAGATAGAGTCAGCGACATGCTCCCGGGATTGTCAAAAGATGCGACGAAAAGTGAAGAAGTACCGCGTAGTAGTAGCTACTGTTGACGGCGTCAGAGCGAGGCACGTAGTAGTAAGTGTGGTAGCGCTGGTCGTCATCCTGTGCGCCACTCAGTTGCGGAGCTTGAGCAGCATGGGCGTCGTGGGCATCGTGGGCAGCGTGGGCAGCGGGGACGTCATGGAAAGCATAAGGTGCATAAGGTGCATAAGGTGCAGCCTTGGGTGCAGCCTGGGACGGAGCGGTGGTGACAGCAGCCGCAGCCAGATGGACCGTCTGACCGCGATCGGCGCTCTGGGCCCACTGCTGATAGTCGTTGACTTGGGCGACGGGGGTCATGATTGCAGTTGGAGTGCGAAAGTGCTAGTGCTGCGGAGTTGTAGTTGGTAGGAAGAGGGAGCGGGCGAGGGAAAGGTTCAAGAGCGGATGGAGAAAACAGATCAGGTGCGACGGAGCGGCAGCGTCCGAATGGAGAAGCGGCGAGCGGGGAGTCAGAACTTACCGACCAGTTGCGCCAGTGGTCCCAGAAAGCCATTCTTCGGTGCTTCTTTCTCTTCGGCTTGGGCTTGGGCGGGTCTTCGATGATGTACTCGGTGATAGGCCAGCAGCCGCACATCGCAGAAAGGCGCATGGAAAGGAATGGAGGAGGGAGGGAGGAAGAGGAGCCGTTAAACAGCGCACCTTCCTTGAGGGCCTGTCTCGCCACTGCAAGGCTGGTGCCTACCGTACTCGGAAGCACCGAGGACTGCGCCTGCCTGACCGGGTGCCATCGGCGGGAGGCAGCCTACGACTGATCGACACATGCCCATCTGTGTCACCGCATTGCGGCATGTTGTTTGCTTCCACCATCGCACGACGGCTCCGCCCACGGCAACCATTGGCTCTCTTCCGACACTTCACTCACTCTGACTCTGGACTTTAGGCACCTACTTCTGGCGCGTGCCGCTCATCTCGTCACACTTACCCACCTCCCCTGGGTCTTTCCCGATCCAATTCAGCTACCTCCCGACCTTCAGTGCTTGTCCACAAGACGAGGCAAGATTCCATTTCCATCATAGCGAGTTGTAAGACTACTTTGACGAGATGTGTGTTCATCGTCTCAAAATCAGAGATGAAAGCGGGACTGAGGCGACTTCAACGCGGCCGACTCCTACTGCGCTAGATTTTGGAAGCGCAGTCATGCCAAATACTTCAGGTCCAAACTGATGACTTTCGCTAAAGACGCGGAAATTTGTTTCGTAGAGCTTGCCATTTACCCTCGGGAAGGAGCAGCTTGTGGCGCCACTGGAGGGTTCTCTTTCTGAACAAGTACCACTGAAAGATCAGCAGGTGAAGGCATGGAGTATTTGAATGATTGAATAATGACGAGATTAGTAAGTAGTCAGAAGTTTGAAGGAGATTCACTCCTTCATGGAAAGCTTTTGCTCCCTTGACATCCATGACTGGACGACCTTGCTCCGTTTGCCTCGTTTCTCCGATAATGAGGTCATTGCCGACATTTTTGCTCCATCAGCAAAGAACATGTGACAGTCAATTAGACCAGCGAGTTCCATACGGAGAATCTCTGAAAACATTCAAATATCATTCCGTCTCCCAGGCCACCGCGTCCAAGCCGTGTGCGTCATCCTCTACACCGTTGGGTACCATAAAACTATCCGGTGAGCTTCTCCGCCGCACTACGGCCGGTCACTGATAAGTTACCACCTCTATCTTGTAACTTCCAAAAGAACCCCCCCTCTATCCAAACCTGCTCGCATACCATCTCTTACCCGACTCGGAGATCTGCCGTCTCGTATCACACCCGACAGGCGCTCGCTCGCCACCGAGGCCGAGGTACACCTGGTCAATTTCCTGGGAAAAGCGAAAAATAACTGCTCACAATTCTCAATCTCGCCCGTCCACTTAGCATGCATGTGACTGCAGCACCTCTGATAAGACGTCGAGCATTCCTTAACTTGGCAGTTTATTCGAAGTCAACACTCCTAAAATTGGATGGAAATAACACCACTAATATCATTCGTTGTGTTACGTACTACCAAACAGAGCTTTGTGTTGGTCTTCCACGTAGCTTTACAGCTCAATACTTAGCGGTAGAATCCGAAGCTCTGATCAAAGTTGTCCTCATCCTTTCTTCCCCCGCCAAAAGCCGGCGACATTCGTGTACGTTCATGATTTTGCTGTCTGAACGGGTCGCTGTAGAGTCTTCCGCCCTCCATCTTTTGCGACGTCCTGGCCATTCTTCTCGCTGCCACGCTCGCCGGCTCGCCCATGTGCTGGCGGTAATTTTCATCGGACTCAGGAGAAGCAACCATAGTACCCATATGTCGACGAGCCATGAGGTCACGGAACCTGCTCATGTGAGGAGACGCTGCACTGTCTGGCTGACTTCCTCCAACACTGCCTCCGATGTATGGCGCATTGATCCGCACGCGGTCAAGCTCTCTCCTGAACCCCATCGGATCACGCGCCTGGCGCGGCATAACTCTCAAACGAGGGCGACGCGTCCGCCACAACTCCAGCAACGTCACCTGGCCGCTTGGCGATCGCTCTGCCTTCCTGAGGAGCGCAGAGACAATCGCACGAGCCTGATGCCAGAAGGTGGGAGCGTCAGTGTCGATCCTGGCGCGGGTGGTGCAGTAAGCCCGGAGAAAGCGCACGATATGGCTTTCGATCTGTTGTCCGGTCATCCACACCATGGCTTGAGAGTCGGGGGCGGGCCGTTGCAGGAACGATGCCCACAGTATGGCGCCCTGCATGTAGCGGACACAGGGATCCAAGTCACGAGGGAATCCTTCATTCTCTTCGGGACTCAGCAGAACGATCGCGGCAAGCCCCAAGATGTCGTGGGAGCTGAGGAATGAACAAGGCTGCTGAGGCAGGGATGCACGTCGGGGAGCGACAGGCTGCTCCTTTGTACCGTCTTCTCGGTGGCCGTGGCGCTGACTGGGCTGCTGCGAGACTGGAGGAGGAAGTGTGTGGGAAATTTGGGACTTGCGGAACTGTTGGTAGTCGATTTCGACAAGCCGGAGCGCCAGGCGGAGGACTGGATCAACCTCCTGAGGGCTCCTCGGTTGCGTTGTCTTCTCGCTGTCGTTCGACTCTCCATCAGTGTCGCTGGCCATGCACTCTCCACGAGTGGTGTTCGAAGAGCCTCCTTCAGCTGGCCGATCCCGCCAGTTCGCCCAACGACCCCGTTCTCGATCCGATGTACCGAAGTAAGCTCCATGCCTCCAGGATGCGGTAGACGAGCGAGAGTCATCAGTGGACACCGGATCCGGTGCGTCAGACTGATTACCGACCCAACCCTGATCTGGCCTGTAAGTCCAGCGCAAGGAGTCCAGCACTTCGTCACGGGTCCCAAATCCACCAGGCCCGATCGTGTTGGAAGGTCCATCATATGCGCCGTCGGTCTGTTCAGAAGCTGATCCTCGATGCCTCATGGCCCTGCCGTCGCGACCCATGCGGTAGCCGCGGCCGTACGAGTGGGTCCAGCGCCTGCTGTCGTGTTGGCCTTCCCCCGGTTCCGTCGGTAGAGAGAGAGGAGTCTCGCTCGGCGACGCGAAATACGCGCACGCAGTTATGGGTCGAGACGACTCAAGGTTTAAACTTTCTGGCTTCCTGCCGTGCGGCGGAGGGCGCGGCGGCGGGAGGTAGGGGTTGGGCAGTATGGGTAAGGGACGGGGCCTGCCGAACTCAGATCTGAATCGATGATGGGGCGGCGTTGCACGCTGTTCTGAAGTGTCCGAAAATGTATCCAGATGAATCGGCGGTGTCGCGGATCTTCCCAAGCTGTGCAGCGGATTTGAAAAGTGGAAATCACCAGGTTGGCCCCTTGGAGCTTCTGGCTTCAGAGTTTCTGCCGTTATACCTGGCAGCTCGCTGATGCCCTCGGGTTCAGAACACCCGAATGGATCCAAGAACCTGTGAGTTTGATTGACAGCGAGGTTGAAGGATGGATGGCTGCCACCACGGATGGAACGAACGTCCGAAGATCCCTCCATGCCATCCGTTTCTGAATCGCAGCTCAAGTACTGAGGGCTCGCTTTTGTGTCAAAATCGCTCATTGCTGAGGCCTCGGACATGATCTCGCGTGCTATACCCGTGACGATTGAGGACAGCTCCTCATGATCATTCTGGACCTTGTTGACAGCATGGTAGAGCAATTCGATTTTCTGTTCCAGTATTCTAAGGTGTGAGTACATCTCCCAGCGCTCGTCCGCGGTCCTGAACATCCACGTCTCGTTTGCTCTCCCCTCAAACTTGTGCTCCGATGGATGACTGTCTTCTTTCTCCACACTGGCCGTGGTGCCGTACATGGTTGGCAATGTGGATGAGCTTGGGGAGTGCCTGGGCTGGGAAGTCCTGCCATCCCCATCGTCGTCATCGGGCCTTCTGTCGGCTGGACTGCGAGCGTGTTGGATCATTGTAACGACAGACTCGCAGCACTTGAAGAATGCCGCCAAGAGTCAGCAGGCGACGAGTATCCCAAAAGTGGCTGTGATACCGAGGATGATGCCGAACCAGGGGTACGCGGTCGAAGTGGGCGTTGCTGACGGATTGGAGATTGACTCCGCTGCGGTCTTGTCGAACATCAACGAAGATTTTCCTGTCCCTCTGGCGAGAGAAGCTGAGACTCAGTGAGAAGTGGGATCGATATGCTTCTTAGCCAAGGTTCACGGACTGACTTTTTATGGCCCATGGCGTGCGTTTGCGGCTGTGCTGGAGGCGGCGAGGTGTGCTGGCGGTGGCGCTGGGCAACAAACAGAGGTAAGTAATAAGATACACTGACACGGTCTTGGTTTGTAACCGCACGGATTTCATGGATAGCTATATCAGGAAGCTCCAATCATCGCAAGTGGGCGTTCGTTTTGCTCTGCCACTACATACAACAAGCTCGGTGCCAGCAACATCAACTCGATACAGACCGATTGCATTCCTCCTTGTCCGTTCCTCTTTCATGATCGCCCTCAGGAAACAAGCTGTCATACTTTTCTATATGCACTCGTGACCCCATCCATAGGATGCAACAAATTCAAGAGGTCGAAAATCAACAATGATCGACGACACTTGTTTATCTGCACGAGCTACAAACACTCTGTGCAAGTATCATCAAAAATTCTGTTGAGGATGTCGGCGCCTTTCGTCACGTCACTTGGCAAGTGTCGCCTATTTCGTGTTCAACTGTCGTATAGACGGTTGCGCGTGGCTTGCACTAAGATGAACTGAGCGCGACTGAATGGTCCTTGCACACGAAAACACCTAAAGCCGGTAAGCGTGGGCAGGCTAATGGACGCAAAGCACAGCATAGGGCTCTCCGAATACGAGAGGTCGCTCTACGCGAAACTAGTACGAGCAAAAATCTATATTTAGGGGGCAAGGCATAGCCTTATATCTAGGTAATTGCAACGACCTACATTGATTTCGTCCTTCTCGGATTCTCCTTCCAACTGCGCCAGAGGCTGACTGCGGACCATGCGGAGCCAGGCATTGCCCCTCGTTTTTTCCATCCTTGCCGGCCTGCTTGAGCCGACAGCGTCTCTACCTACCGGCGAACATGGGCTTCTTTCACAGAGATCCAGCGTGCCACAGTTCGAAGTCTATCACGGCGTGGACCTCGAAACACACCAGACCCACTACGACGACCTGAGCGGAAAGGGCTACAGAGTCATCTCCTTGAGTGCATACGGCAACGTCTCGAACGCTCAATACGCCGCGGTATGGGTCCAGCGGTCCGGACCAGCCTTCACAGCGATCCACAACGCGAACGCCTCGGCATTCCAGTCCTGGGTCGACGAGCGCTCGACGGCCGGCTACGTGCCGTCGCTCGTCGCCGTCACCGGCCCCGGCGAGTCGGCCGTCTTCTCGGGCGTCATGGAGGCGGGCAGGAACACGACGTGGACGCAGACGTGCAACATGACCCAAGACCAGTTCGCCGGCAACGACCAGCGAGCAAACAGCCTGCGCCAGGGCCTCACGTCGTTCCGGCAGTACGGCACGCCCGGGGACTACCGCTTCTGCGCCATCTGGCACGCCAACCCGCTGTACGACAAGTGGACCGCGTACACGGCCAACACGCCCGCCGCCGGCTTCCGGGACACGATCGACACCGAGACCAGCAAGCCGTACTGGCGCCCGGCGTCGCTCTCCATCGCGGATGACGGCAGCTACACCAGCCTGTGGGCGGACACGAGCATCGGCTCGTGGGATCTGCAGTACGACCTGGCGGCCGCTGATCTCGATGCCGAGATCGAACGGCAGAAGGCGTCGGGCAAGTATCCCGTCCACCTCAGCGGCGGCGGCGGCGCCAGCTCTTCCAGATACGCCGCCGTCTTCGCGACGCAGGACACGCCCTCCAAGCGCACCTGGCGCGTCACCGGCGGCGCGGCCACGGGCTTTGCCGACAACACGGCCGTCGAAGCCAAAGCCGAGAGCCTGATGCAAGACTTCATGCAAAACGCCGGCGTGCGGCAGGTGCAGCTGGCCATCGCGCGCAACGGCAGCACGCTGCTCAACAAGGCCTACACGTGGAGCGAGCCGGAGCGGGCGACGACGTCCCCCACCGACACCTTCCTGCTGGCCAGCAACAGCAAGGCCTTCTGCGCCGCGGCCATCTCCTCGCTCTTCGCCGCCAACCGGCTGCAGCCAAACGCGACCGTCTACCCGCTCCTCAACTACACGGGCGCTTACGACTCGCGCTCCGACGCCATCACCGTGCAGCAGCTGCTCGACCACACGGCCGGCTTCAAGCGCAGCGTCTCGGGCGACCCGGCCTACGAGATGCGCGACATCGCCCTCGCGCAGACCGACGGCGCGCGCGCCGCCACCCTCTCCGACGTCATCGACTACATGTACCGCACGCAGGCGCTCGACTACACGCCCGGCGCCGGGTACGAGTACGGCAACTACGCCTACATGCTGCTGTCGCGCGTCGTCGAGGCCGTCGCCGGCGTCCCGTACTGGGACTACCTGTCGTCCGCCGTGCTGCAGCCCGACGGCCTGGCCGCCAGCGTCGTGCGGTGGAACACGTCATCCGCCGCCCACGTCGACGACGGCGTCGTGCAGGAGTCCAGGTCGACGGGCTTGTCGGCGCTCGCGCCGCTGGACCCGTTGCCCGTCGCGCACGTCTTCGGCGGCGACGGCCAGGTCAAGGAATCGTGTCTCGGCGCGACGGGGCTGGCGGCGAGCGCCGACGCGCTGGCGAGGTTTGCCGCGAGGCATGCGGTTTACGGCGTCGGCGCGAGGTCGTTCGGGTGGAGGGACGGCACGACGTCGGGGGCGAGGACGTATGTGAATAGCAGGGCTGATGGGCTGGATGTCGGCTTGACCATAAACACGAGGGATTTCCCGAACGGGGATGGCGATTTCGAGGGTGTGACGGCGGCGGTGTCGAGGTGGTTGAGTGATTTGCCGTATCAGTGAGTGAAGGGAGTGGGGGGAAGGTGGGGGGAGGTGATGACTTCTTTTTCCGTTGTATATATTCGGGCTGGAGGTACTTGAGATGGTTCTTGAACGGCGTTGTGGAGAGTTGGCTTCTCGAGTCTTTGATCTTTGAGAGTCGTTGATCGTCGTTGGGCTTCCAGTTGGAACCACTGAGCGGCGACCCGGCGTCGAATGGCAGTTTCTGACTGTTCTCTGGTCCACCGCATCATCGATCATCCAAAGACGTGTTTGATATCTTTACCTTACCCACTTCCCAAGCAGGGTGACATAGAGGCCCACGGATGCAAGCTATTGTTGTGTCCTTGACATTAGGGCGGAATCCGATCCGCCTCGTTCTGTGGGCCTGGCTTTCGAAGCTGCATATTTCTCCATATCATGACTACGCACGTGCACTACTCACTCACATGCCTTTATCAAGACCACAGCAACAAAGATAACCCCACCCGCTAGGCCGAGGTCGGTGGTCAGGTCCACATGTTCCGGTCGTCCGGAGCATCGGTGGATGGTCGACCGAGGACCCCCTCACGTGTCGGCGCGGATCCTCTGTCTCCCGGGCCGTAGCAATGCCAGAATCATGCCGAAGCAATGGCCGAGCGGCGCAGCGGTGTCGGAGTGTGCTCAAGCGAGACATGTCTCGTCGGTCCTAAGTCGGCATGCCGGCAACGGCCGTGAGGGTGCCTTCTTGCGGAGGGTTACGTCGATGAAGCCGTTTGGTTGACGGACGATGAAGGGCCTTGAGTGATGAGTTAACGGCTGGCAAAGGAAAGGGGTGTACGCAAATGATTACCAAAGAGATGTTGTTTTCTGGCCAGTTGAATATACTGACGTATGCCCAGCTCGCCGACCCGGCTTGAAGCGGAAATGGCGCCTAAGGAGAGGGTTCAGGGGTGAGATGATATTGATCCTCTCACTTATATGGCCACAGAGTTTGGCCAAGCCTCGACGCCAAATATCATCGTCAGCGCTTCAGCACGAAGGCTACGCATTTTCTGGTACCAGCGCGGGGATTTCGCTCCATATCAACCGATGGTACTATCTCATGCTGCTTGGGTACTCGTCTCGGGGTTGACACACTGGCAACGCAAGCATCAGCTAAGGCGCGGCGGGGGCCTAAACTTAGCGGTTTGGGTCAAGATCGTTGTTCAGGGTAGATCGAGTGTCGATGGCCTTTGGCAATCTTGAATGCTTGAGCACGGCTCATCTTTGTGCCGACTGCCATGGCTAGCCTGTCAGACTCGCACCGTCGATGGTGAGCTCATGTCTGTAAGATAACGCCGTTCTCCAAATACCAAGCATTCATATTGTTTAGGCGCCGTTGGAATGGCGATGATCTACAACAGCTTTGTCCTCTTGCTGTGTTGTGCGTCAACTTCGCACGTCTACGGGTATACTCACCCTGGACTCGGGCAGATGTGTCAGTAGCAAACGTCGTGATGGGTCCGCTTCCGCAGCTTCAATTCGTGCGGAACCGCAGAGTGCGAGGGAGCCTTGACACAGTGACTTGTCTGGGCGCGCCGGTGGCGTCCGTTAGAAGAGCGAAGTTGGCCTTTGCGGCTACGGATGCACGCATGGATGCACGCATGGATGTATGCATGTATGTACCAGCGGTGTCAGAGCCTCCAAGACGTGGCTGCGATTGGACGGCTTTATGAGACGCCGGATAGGGCCGAAGTGAGCAGCCACGTTGTGCAACAGTGGCAAGGATGTTTGTGTCAAGCATTGTATCGGCTCCGGTCCTCGACGTGGCTGACGGTGGGATCTGCATGCACGCAGCACCCTGCATGTCTTGACGTAGCGTTTGGTGGATGTGGTATAGCAAGCATATGGAGAAGACAGCACGTATTCATCGACATGGCAAGGCCTCAACTGCCTCGTAACTGCTGCTAGTAGTAGCATTGTCGACAGGGTTAGCCGTACTGTGTGCGTATCGAACCGGATGCGCGGAGGACGTACCTGGGCATCACTTCCAAATCCATCTCTTATCCATCACGAAGGGCTAAAATAGGCGCCGATCCCCCGTTCGATGCGCTTATCGGCAGCGGGGGACCGCAGACGGGAATAAAGCGGGCTGGTCTGGAGGTAAGATCACACCATATGTCATGAAGCAAGCGAGACGAGATCCTTTGCTGCGGTGCCGCACGCCATCAACCACGTTTCATGTGCTTCTCAAAGCATCTGCGGATCCGCATGGCAGTGCAGTCGGGGCCGTCTCGCTCGAAACGGCGGTTTTCCAGATTTGCGGCGCCGGGTTCGGTGGGCGTTCAGCCATCCTTCGGTCGAATCTCGTTCGTCGCCGCTCCGAGTCAGAACAAAGTCCGAGCCGGAACCGCAGAGAAGAAGAGCGCTGGCGGCGACGCAGGCCCCATTCTGGGGTCAAGCTGCAGGGCGGAGCCGCTGTAGAAGATTGAAGTTGCGGACGGGCGAGGAACACGGCTGCGATAAGGGGTGGCGTGATCCCACCCGATAGGGCCAAACGTAGAGCGAGCGTGTTTTCCTGCGTATGAGGGGGTGGCCAACGGCGGCCATGCGCAATTGCGGAGCAGAGCAAGTCGGTGCGGCCCGAGCCGTGGGGGAGTGTGCTGCGTTTGGGGCTGGTTGCTCCGGCACGGCCTTGACGCCGCCGCTCCCAGTCTGGCGGTTCGCCTGCCTGAACCCTGTGAAGGACGTTGAAACCATGCTATGTCGTGCACATTCACCCAAAGGCTTCTCGGACAACATCTGTGTGGATATGGAAGCAGGCCAGCTAACCAGTCGCCAACCTGTAATCTTGAAACCCATCCAGCCCTCACAAATGCCCTGAAATCGCTCTGGATGTCATAGTATCCTGCATGTGGGCGGGAGTGGTGTTTTTGTCAGTCTCGGGCGGGCCATCCGGGCTGACCTTGTCCTTGCATGGAGCCGTATTCCAAGGGGGTGTGGCACCGGTGAATTGGATGGTCTTGTTGCGCTGTGCGATACCCTTCTCCGGCGTGCCGTCCTTTGCCCACAGGTGTGTATGTACACCTGATGCCCAGCTGAAGAGTGGCCATCCTGTTCCTCGGTTTGATGTGGAGAGCGTTGAAGAGGAGAAAAGTAACAACGAGCTTCTAAATACTTTGACTGTTTGCGCGCCTGCCCTTTGCGCCTGGGTGCACTTTCCTCTTGATCCGTCTCGAACCAGCGCGGGAATTTTTACTCACCAGCCAAGACCACAACCCATCTGCTCAACTCTCACCTGTCTTGTCGCACTCGTCTTCTGAGCAACCCGCTCACTCGCCATTGCTCGACGTACTTGCCGGTTCACGGACCATAAGCCACGTCCTGACTTGCTCGGCAAGACTGACAGCCATCAGCAGTTTTGTGCGAAAACAATTCGCATAACCATGTTGAATCCAACCCATCAACCATTCCCTGCATGACACTGGTTCGTCAGAGATCGTGAAAGGCGCCCAAGTGAAATGTACATACAGGTGGAAGAGGCGATGGCTATAAATGGGTGCCGGGGCAGGAAAAACGATGATACGACCTTCTCTGGCTGACTCGTGATGATGGCGTCACTCTGATGGACTGACATCAGTGTCAGGCAGTCGGTGCGCGGGCCAGCAGCAGAAGCCGGCAGCATGCGAAGCTGCACGAGAGCGACCCCCGAGTCTCTTAGCCAGCTTTGTTTCAGGGGCATGCTCTAATGTGAAGGCAACGGCAGCATGGCCTCCACCTCCGACACCATCACCACCGCCACCTCCATCCTCCTCCGTCTCTCCGTCTACGTGTTCCTGCGATGGGTGAGCTCCGTCGAATCGTAGACCCCACAATCCTGCTGACCCTCGAGTAGATCCCCACGAGTGTCTGCATACCCCAATGCCGCGCCCACGACCCCCGGCTGACGCGACTGCCTCTAGATCGTACCTCCGCTTGCGACCGCCCTCACTGCCATCTACATCCCCTCGTTCCTCGCTAGCTTCTGGTCCACCTCGCCTTACAAGGTTGTCTCTGATGAAATCGATATCATAACCAAGGAGACGGTTGCCCAGGGAGATGACACTCCGGACGTCGCCGAGAGCCCCCGGCCGGCGCCTGTCGAGGAGTTGGATGTCGAGGAGACCGTCGTCGTCCAGGAGAAGGACCCTCGCATCTTCAAGACGCTCCTGACTGGCCGTCCGAGCCCCTCATCCGCACTATGGAGCTGGATCACCTTTGCCATCAATATCCTTCTGGTCGCCATGATGCTGGACTTGATCTACCGCGCCCCAGTGCTCTATCCCCAACATGACCTCTCCTTTGCACGCGTCGGATACGTATCGGACAAATCGGCGAAGCTCATGGTGCGCGAGCCGAGCTTGAGCAAGCTGCCCATCTTTGTGTCCTACCGCTTCGCTGATCCGCCCTTCAGCCTGGACTCTGGACATCGCCCGCACGATACGGCGTGGAAACACGCCGGAAGCATTGACTGGCTGTCGGAGGAGACGGATTACACCGCGGCCATGGAAATCACACACCTTAGACCGGATACCAAGTACCAATGGGTCGTATCGAACAACCACTCCGGTTATTTCATTACCGCCCCGCCGGCCGGAAAGATATCCACGAGGGAAGCCAACCACGGCAAATACACATTCCTTCACTCCAGCTGCATTAAACCCCGCGTGCCCTACAATCCATTCCAGCATCCCCTCTCCATTCCAGGTTTCGAGCACCTTGCCAAGTGGATCGACAAGCTCAGCGCGCACTTTATGCTCTTCTTGGGCGACTTCATCTACATTGACGTGCCCATCCGGCACGGCGCAGCGCATGAAGACTACCGACGCGAGTACCGCCAGGTCTATTCGGCGCCAGAATGGCCATCCGTGTCTGACAAGCTCCCGTGGATCCACGTGCTCGACGACCACGAGATCGAGAACGATTGGGACCGCAACGTGACGGGCGTCTTCCAGGCCGCCTACGAGCCGTGGCGCCACTACCAGGTCGCCGTCAACCCTCCGCCGGTGCGCGACGCGGGCGACACGTACTTCTCCTTCACCCAAGGCCCCGCCAGCTTCTTCCTGATGGACACGCGCCGCTATCGCGAACCGGAGCGCGAAAAGGACACGTGGGACCCGACGAAGAGCATGCTGGGCCCGCAGCAGGCCGAGGACCTGCTCGACTGGATCAAGGCGGAGCCGGCCAAGCCCGGCGTGCGCTGGAAGGTCGTCGTGTCCAGCATCCCCTTCACGAAGAACTGGCGCCACGGCCCGTCCAAGCTCGACACGTGGGGCGGCTACCTCGCCGAGCGCCAGCGCTTGCTGGAAGCCATGTGGGACGCGGGCGCGGCCGGCTCCGGCGTCGGCTTCGTCGTGCTCAGCGGCGACAGGCACGAGTTTGCGGCGACGGCGTTCCCGCCGCCAAAGGATGGCAGGTGGCCGCAGAGCGCGACGGTGCATGAGTTCAGCACCAGTCCGCTGAGCATGTTTTATTTGCCTGTCAGGACGTATGAGGATGTCGGGGATGAGGAGGATGTTTGTTTGAAGTAAGTCCTTTCTGGTGGAGTACGGCGTGGACCGATTGCCGTCGGTGAAGACGGATGGGCAAGAGGACAATGGAACCATGTTCGCTGACGTTTGCTTGCGTAGGTACATTCCGGATGGCAACTCGAAGTTCGGTGCTATCGAGATCACCAGCCCGAAGACTAGCGAGCAAAGTATGCTGCAATATCGGCTGTTCGTTGATGGCGACGAGACGTGGAGTTACACGGTGACGACGCCACCCAAGGCGGGTGGAAGGAAGAGCCAGGATTCGTATTGGGGGTGATGAGTGTGCTGGATAAGGATTGTTGGAAGTTGGATGGTTTTCGTTGCTGTGGGTTCATAGTATCCGACTTTTGGTATGGACCAGTATTTTAGTTGCAGCCGAGAGACAGACCACGCTTTACTTTGATGGCGGACTAGGCCGCTTGCTGGGTATATGACCCCTTACCTACCTAGACACAGTTCCGGTGCGCCATGCTTGTTTGACCGTGTACCTACATCGTCTAAGCCCGTCAACACCCTCCCACCTACTACTTCTTCAAGCCCACGACAACCAAATTCCTCGGGCTCAACGCATAATCAAACACGGGCTCGACCCACGCCCTCTCCACCTCGGGCTGCTCCGTCAACCACAACCACCGATCCACCACGATCATGGCCTCGACGACGCCCGCGGCGAAGGCCATCAGGCTCCACACGACGGCCAGCTCCTTCTTCCGCGCGCGATAGTCGCGCTCGTACCGCGCGATCTCCTCGTCGGTGATGCCGCGCATCTTGTCGCGCACCTGCCCCGCGCGCTCGCGCTGGTCCGGGTTCGCCTCGATCTTGGCGAGGGCGCCGCGCACGTAGGCGACGAAGTCGGCGTAGCACGACTTTTTGAGCGAGCCGATGACGATGGGCTCGCCGCCGCTGCTGCACCCCGCGGGACTGACGGACCCGCTGACCGTGCGCCCGTTTGAGAGGACGCGCGGGTGCAGCTGGTCGCCGTCGTCGTCGCCGTTGCTGTCGCCGTCGCGTGCCCGGCCGTTGCTGGGCGGCGGCTCGACGACGCCGCGGTCGAGGAAGACGCGCTGGAGGAGGGCGCGGAAGAAGTGGCGGGTGAAGAAGGCTTCGCTGTCGACGGGGCCCCAGTTCTGCGGCGCTTGCACGGCCATCATGCGGGCGGTGATGTTGAGGCGGACGCCGACGTCGCCGGCGCTGTTGCCGCTGCCCGGGACCGGGTAGGTGGCGTAGCGGGTGGACATGGGGAAGCCGTGCGGGTCGAAGGCGTTGGCCGTGGCCTCGAGGCGCGGGTGGTTGGGCCGCAGCTGGGGCAGCTTGTACGAGGGCGGGCCCAGGCGCTCCGTCATCAGGTTGTAGCAGCAGCCGATCATGCACACGGCCTTGACGTTGGGGTTGAGCGTGAGCGAGCGCAGCCCGTGGTGCACCAGGTTGCCGCACGAGTGCAGCGAGATGACCATCAGCCGGGGATCCTGCGCCCGCGTGCTCGCCGTCACGCAGGGCGTCGTCGTCGTCGTGCCCTGGCCCTGGCCCTGGCCCTGCTCCGCCTGCACCTTGGCCGGGTCCACGATTTCCTGGATGACATGGCCGAGGTTGCCGTCCTCCAGCCGGTGCTCGACGTATTGGATGCTGCCGCCGCCCTCTTCCAGCAGGTGGAGCTTGGCCTTCTTCGATCCTTTCGGCACCCCGTTGAACGCTTCCTTTTCGCGACTCTGCGCGAAGTCGGCAGTGCCCTCGGGTGCGAATCCTGCGAAAGCATCTTCTTCAGACGCGGGCTGAGCTGCCGCCGCCGTCTCCTCCCCGTTCGTCTCCTCGGGCGCCTCTCCGCAGTCCTCGCAGTCCTCCTGCTTCTTCGCCCCGCCCTCCTTGAAGACCGCACCCTCCTTCTCCTTTCTCCACTCCTTCTTGTTCCTCAACACCACCTTCTTCGGCGCCAGCCCGGCCAGCACATCGATCCCCTTTGCGCCCTCGATGTTGTTCCTCCTGCTCTCGATCCCAATGATGTTCTTCCCATACGGCTCACTCGCCAACGCCCTGCCCAGATAGTTCTGCCCGGACCCAAAATCCGCAATGTGCGTGATGGCCGCCGCCTCACCATCTGGACCCTCCTTCTCCTTCGCAATATCCTCCGTCAACCGGTCCACAAACGCCGCAAAATGCTGCACCTCATGCTGCTTCTTGACATTCATGCCCAGCGCGATATGCCTCGGCAGCCCCGCCACCTTCCCGCCCTTCCCCCTCACGCTCTTCTCCGTCCCCGTCGGCTGCCACTCCCTCCTCAGCAACAAGCCCCTCACCTCGCGCACAAACGCCAACAACGACCCCGGCGGCCCCTCGCCCCACTTCGAACCACCACCACCCGTCGTCGTCGTCTTCGCCGCAGCACCATCATTAGCCCTAGCACCACCAGCACCACCCTCGGCGTCAGCGTCGCCATCATCACCACCACCATACCCATCCAAATCATCCCTCATCAGCAAGTCCAGCACGTCGCCGACGTCGACGTCGTCGCGCGCGAACCAGCGGCGCCACGCGGCGGGCAGCACCAGCGCGTACAGGTCCGGGTCGCGGGTGAAGAAGTCGAGGATGTGGACGCCGCCGCAGAGGGTGCGCAGCGTCGTCGACGTGGTGCCGAAGCGCAGCAGCGCCGCCACGTAGCCGTCGACGTCGCCGGCGGCCGCGAACGGGGGCGGGAGCGGGAGCGGGGAGGCGGGGCCGGGGCCGGTCATTGTTGACGTTGTTGACGTTGACGCTGACGTTGTTGTGGTCTTTTTTCTTCTTTCACTTTTGCGGTCTTCGTTTTTCTTTTTCTTTCCCTCTCTTTTTTTCTTCTTCTCCCTCTATCCTTCTGGGTTGCAGAGTGTGATTAGTTGCGGCTAGTGTGTGTGATGCCTTTTTTTTCCCCCCCTCAATGCAAGGATCGATGAATGATTTTTCTTCCCTTTTTTTCTTTGGCCGCCGCGCCAGAAATGACGCAAAAACGAAAAGTTCTCGCAAACAGGTGTTTTGTGTTTCTGGGAGGCTGAGATGTCAAAGTTTTCTGGGGCTTGTTCTGACAGGGTTGTGCCTGTCGGTGGATCCAACGTTGTTGTAGCAATCTGGACTTTTTTTGGGTTGTGGGGTCAGAAAGGATCCGAGTCGCTGCGGCCAGGATGTCGGAATCCTTCCATCACGTGATTGCCGCGTTGTGATGAAGTCGTCCGTCCTCCTTTTAACTTACTTAGTCCTTAGGAAAATTAGCCCGGCCTAGTAGTCGCGATAGACAAAATCTTGTTACGCAGACTTTCAAACCACCGCAGTGGCATTGGAGCGCAAAATATTCAAGGTGAACTACTATTGCAAACTACGTACTGTACGGAATAGGTATATAGCTGTAAAAATCGATAAAGAGCTACTTTGCTGGTCGAAAATGCCTCTCCATGCGACCACGCAAAGAAATAGAAAAAGAATCCAAGGAAGTCCTCGCCGAGGGAGCGCGGAATACTTCCCGTTTCTTTGTTATCCTAGCCAAGAAGACTCGTAACGATGCATGAAAATTTGCAAAGAGAGCTGCGCGCGCCCTGTGGCCTGCTTGTTTGCTGGCTGGCTGGCCGGCCGGGGGTTGAAAAGAAACCCAGCTCTTTCCAACTCTTCTGAACGGCCATCAGCAATGGCAGTGTGCCGCCCCAAAACGCGCATAGCCCCCATCGGTGTCCGGCGAGTTTCATCATCGACCGGCTACCCCCAATTGACTTGGGGCATGAAAGATAAATAAAGCCTTTTCCCCGCGTTTGTTCGTCATCGTCATCATCATCACCTTTGATTTTCCTATCCCGTTTTACCCAGAAAACGTAATGCGTCTAAAGAGAACATGTACAAGGGGGGTTCTGCTACCAGGGGATGAGTGTGGTCTTTGTCAAATGGGGGGGTGTGCGGTAGAGGAGGAGGGGATGGTGTGATGGTGCGAATGCGGAGAGGAGGTCGAATCGAAGCGTGTTTGATGGTTATGTGCGAATAAATGGTGTATGCCAAACATGAAAACATGCGAATCCGCCGCTATGCTTGGGAGCGAAGCGTCGTCTCTATGGGATCCTCTCCATCTCGTCACGAGCTCGGAGGTACTTGGTCGCCAGCTGGTCGCCGCCACGCTTCGACATCTCCATCCAGTGCTGCGCAACGCACATGGTGATGGGGTCGCTGCGTGCCGGGTCTTCCCGTTTGCGATCGCGCTGAAGCAGCTCCGCCTTGAACACCTCGGTGGGCTTGGTCAAAGGCAGCGTCGTGCGCGGCAGGAGATCGGGATGCGTCAGGTAGAAGATGGCAAGCTCACGCTCGGCCACCGCATCGCCCTCTTTGGCAGTGATGATGAGCATGTGCGCTGCATCCTCCATGGTGAACTTGTTCAGTGGGTCGTCCGGAGCCGGAGCGACCGTGGCGTTGGTAATGCCAGCCTTCTCTGATGCGCCGCTGCTGCCGTTGGCAGCGTGCTGCAGGGCCGCAGAGCGATTCTGCGTGTTCAGCGCGACAATGTCGTCCGCGATCTCAACCATGATACGGCAGATATCCTGCTTGAGACCAAGCGCGGCGAGTCCGGCATCCCAGAACGCCTTGCCACGTGCAGTCTTGTCGAGCATCTGTGCAGGCACAAAGGATGCGATGTACTGCAGGTCGCGGAAGAGCGTCTTGGGCCGGATCTCAGCGTCACGGAACAGCCCGGTGAGCACATCGACAATCATGTCGGTGCTGGGCGGCCCGGTTGGTGAGCGAGCACCGTTGCGGAAAGAAGGCGAGGCCGTCTCTTGGCCGTTCATCATCGAGTGCGAGCGTCTGCCTTCGCAGTTGGCAATGGCTTCTTCCAAGTTCTGGGCCTGGGTGTGATTAGCCGTGGCCTCGCGGGAGCTGAACTCAGGCACAGATCCCAGCGTCGGAGACTGAGGCACGGTTGGCAGCGTCTCCCTGCGACTGTAGTGCCGACCGGTGCGGCTGCTAAGCGAGGCGATGATCAACAACTCAAGCTCGTACAGCGCATGAAGCTTCGAGAAAGGGTTAGGGTGAGTGGCGAACTTGTGCAAAAGGCGACGGAAAGCAGAGTTGAAGGGAAACTCGAGAAGGCCGGCCTTCTTGGCGGAGATGCCCGAAGAACGGGCAGTGGCATCGGTGCCTGAGCTGGAGTGCTCGGTAGACGATTGGTTTTCCGAACCGGGACGCTGTTCCTTTGCTGCGCTGCGGAGGTTCCTCATGCTCTTCTTGCGGGCGGCGCGCTTGCGGCGCTTCTCTTCCTCCTCCTTGCGGACGAGGCACTCTTCGCCGAGATCACCAGAGAACCACGCATCCGTCTCACTGCCATTGCTGAAAACAATGGTCCCCAGATCACTGAGGAGCAAGCCTGTCAACGTCTGCTTCAGGTCAAGCAGGAACCGACGCTTGTCTTCGTTCACAGTCGCCGATTGCTTCAGCATCACCGTACCGCGGGACGAACCTGGACGAATGCTTGTCGCGCTCGTGGGCGAAGTAGCAGCTTGAGTTTGGAAAGGCGACCAGAACGTATTGGAGGAATCAATCGACAGGACCGGGCTAGAGCCGCCAAAGTAATCCTGGGAGTCCATGAGATCGAGAGGTCTCGACCCGCTCCACTTACCAGAATCAAAGCTCTGTTGAGAGCCGTTGCGATGCACGGAGCGCAAGCTGCTGTTACTTGCACGTTGCGCGAAGTCGAGACTGCGCAGGCTCGATTTTCCTAGATGAGACTCGTACTCCTCATCGCCGGCAATGCTGAGAGTGCCGACGCCAGTCAAGTACAGGTCGCCCTTCTGGCGACCTGTGTCTAGAACCTCCTTGTCTCGGCGGTACAGCTCGCTGGACCACAGGACAGGTCCGTCAAGAATACCATCACCGACGAGCTTGTTGACACACTTGTCCAGCTCGAGACAGAAGCGATGTATCCGCTCCTCACCTTTGCAGAATGAACTCTCAATTGCATACTGCTTGAGCCAACGAAGAGTCATGTCTGACTGTTCGTCTGCCAGCTTGTTGGGGCCACCGTGGTCAGACGGGGCCGCCATCAGGTCGAGAACTTGCGCTTCTGTCTTCAGTAGGAAGTTGGTGGCAACCTTGGACGCGGTGCGCGGTCGGTGGGCTTGGATCGGCTTGCCATCCAGCGTCTTGGTGGGCTGGCCCATGATCTTCAATGCCAACGCAACATTTCTGGCTTCCTCATAGCCAGCTGAGTTGCGGACATCGGTGATGTACCACATCTTGTCCCTCAACGACTTCATGCCGGTCATCATGTCCTCGATGGCCATGTCATGTCTTTCCTGGGACTGCTTGAGCCACACAAACCAAGCCTCGAACTCCTCGATGGTGCTACTTGACTTGGCGACCGACTCCCGTGGGCCGCGGCCGAAATAGTTCAGCAGCGCAGCATACCCGTTGCGAGTAAGCGACGCAGACTGGATTTTTCTCAGCTGCTGAAGCGTCTTGAAGTACAGGTGTGCGTTGACGAAATCCGAACGGGCTTGACATTGATTCATGGCAGCCTCGAGCATGGTGATGAGGACCGAGGGCTTCTCAGTTGCGGGATCCTTGAGGTCCGCGTTGGAGTTGCTCCGACCGTGAGCCAGCTTCATTCTTGACGGAGGCGTCCCTCTCTGGTTGGCAAACATGGACGAAAGCTGGCTATGGCTGGCACTGTGATACGGGTTCTTGTCACCCAGTGGCGCTGACGATGCTCTGTTGGGGGCAGATGGTCGTGCCTCGCGACGAATGGCGGATGCCCGATTGCTGAACCCTTTGGATTCACTCTCAGGGGCGAGCTCTTTCGGGATTTCGTACTCCTCAACCAGCTTGACAATAGCCATCTTGATCGAATGGTAATCGTTCTCCAGCTCCATCCTGTCACCATTGCCTTCGTCCTCACTCTCGCTCTCGGTGGAATCCTCATCTGGCTCATCTTCAGTCTCAGTGTCCTTGCGCATGCGAGTCCTGAGCTCCTTTCCATCAGAGGAAACGTAGAGGACGGCCCACTTCTCGGCACACGGATGGCAAGAGCCGGTGGCGTTCAGGATTCGGGTCATTTCCGAGCATGTAATCCTGATCCTTTGGCCGTACTCCTCAGTAGGCTCCACCTTGCTCTCATGCTCCGTGTAACCATTACCAGCGGTGAGAGGATGATGGCTGTCGACGGGTCCGCAATGCGGCTCAAGGAGCGGCTCCCTTGACGTTGTATCGCTGGTCATGGATGATGCTGCACTTTGGCTCAAAATCGAGCTCGCGTCTCCAGAAAGCGATGGGTTGCGGAAAGGTAACGAGACACCAGAGATCGAGGAAGCACCGGACGCTAACCCACGATGTTGGCCGTCTTCCGTGTGACTGGATGACGGGCGTCTTTCAGGGTATAGGCTGTTGACAATAGTGACAACATCGGAGGGGCACATGACAACGAAGGGCTGAACCTCGACGGTTTCACGAGGAGAAGTGATGGCCTTGGCAGGCAGAAGAACGGGCTTGTGGTGGCCACGTGTTCTGAACCTGTTCATGATATTGTCGATGTGGTGGCGGATTTCTGGTAGGATCGGAACGGCTTGTTTCCTGAGTCGAACACAATAAGCATGATCCACCTCGAGATGGATTGGTGTCTCCTACCAGTTGTAGGTCATGTCCAGGACCTGCTTCTGAGCCCGAATAGCGATTTCCTTTAGGATCTTTTGCCGCGCATGCTCCGTGATGTGGTGACCTGTCATGATGCCTTGACTCTGTATGATGTGAGCAATGATTCGCCCACAACGCAAAAGGGAGGTCTTACTTCTGGGTGGATAATGGCGTTGAGAAGATATGTCGAAAAGAACCATCTTGAGACGATGAAGGTTTGTGCCGCGGTGCGGTGCTTCCGTGAGTCTTCAAGTTTCTTCAGGATGGCCGTACCTATCTCTAGAATGCCCTCAGGGATGCCTCCAGCGCTTGGTTCATCGTCGATGACCTCGAACAGCCTCAGGACAGATCGGTCGTAGAACTCGTCCGCTGCAATCGTATCCTTGGTGTTCCGGGCCTCTGGCTGGGTTCTTTGTCTAGGCACGTCCTCGGTCTTCTCAAGCAGGAACTGGCCATCCTGAAGGACCTCCATGAGGTAGAGCTCCAGGTTGGTCTTTCCAGGCCACTCCCGCATTCCGGCCCAGGCATCCAAGACGCTCTTGATGAACTTGTCACTGCCCGGCTTCCCTTCGGTGATGAGCCTGGCACAAGTGGTGGACCAGATATCCGTCCGGCGGAGATCCTCGGTAGAGTCCGGGCCAGAGGAGTTGGCAAAGATGGTGTAGATGAGAGCGGAAAGGGGATCATGGCGTTGAAAAGACAGTAGACGTTCTACTGCTGAGGAGCCAGACAAAACCTGAGATTTCTGGGCACTAGGGACGGGCTTGCCCCTGGCCTGCAGCGCCATGACAGAATCTATAGGGTCCAGAGCCTGGCGGAAGGTAGTCAACGAGGCCAGCTCCTGCTGCGAAAGACTGGTGATACGGGTAGCAAGAAAGTCTGGGTTAGTGCGCAACTCCGAAAGAAACTCCAACAGATCATCCCGGATTTTGGTGGGTATCTCATGCATAAAAGTAGAAAATGAATTAACGCGCTCATTTTTCAGGGTTTTGGTCTTCCCAAACTCCAAGTCGGGTTCCAGCAGTGCATAGCGCCGAGTGGCGTCGCACGAATTGCGCACGTCGTGGAGCGCATTGTACAGCTGGGCAAAGCTCTTCTTGTCGTCGGACCGGAAGTGGTCGACCAGCGTCCGATGTACTAGCTCTCCGCAATGAACCAGCCGTGCGGAGAGGGCGTTGGCCACCAGAGAGCGGTGTAGGCGCACGCGGGCATGGCAGCGGCGTTGTTCCTGGTAGCTCTGCAGGCGGATGAGGTGGGCCAGCTCGGCGAGGGAGGTGGACGAGGTGGAGACTATATCTGGGTTGAAGGTAGGTTCTGTATAATGCGAGACATCGGCGGGGAGCAGACGCGGGAGACGGCCGGCGGGGGCAGAGGCAGAGACGGGCATTTGCGGCCGGGGCTGCGCGGGGGCGGGCTTCTCATGGTGTTGTTGTTGTTGCTGGTCGGGGTCATGAGTCGAGGTCTGCGCCAGCCGGCTGCCCATCTTCGAGGCGTGGTCGGACGGGGTGGGCGACCTGTGCGGGCTGGGGGACCGGCGCGCGGCGTCGCGGGGAGGGTCATGGATTTCGGGGGCGGACGGCGTAGGGCTCCTAGAAGAGACCTGGGTCACAGTAGGTGACACGGCTGTATAGGCTTCCTGTCAGCGGGTGCCAGCACATCATACAGAGGCCAGAGCTCGACGCTACGGGCAGCCGGGGGAGGCGGCGCAGGAACGTACGCGGAGGCGAATGGGCCGGCGCCGACGGCGAGGAGGAGAGTTGGTTGCGTCTGATCATCGCGCCATGGGGAGGCGCGCAAGTCGAGGCTCGAGACGTGCGGCGCGCTCGAGGTTCGGACCTGGGGGCGTAGAGGAGAGCCGTTAGGCGTCGGGGGCACTGGGGCTGGACGGGCACTGGGCGGGCACTGGCAGCCTCTGGGCGCGCTGCATGGAGTGTCTAGCGCGAGTGAAGTGGCAGCCGTGAGCGCTGGGCGGTGATGGCTGCGGTCGTTATCGATACGGGCAGCGCGTTCTCAGGGGCGCCACGGCGGCGCGGTGATTGGACTCGGGCGGGCTTGACAACGCTGGCCGGCCTCAGCAGCAGGAGAGCGACAGATATTTCGCGCGCTGCGAGCGCGTACATTGGCCGCCGACACCTCAGCCAGTGGCGACAGCCCGAACGTGCAGCCCGTCCTCCATCGATGAACCCGGCCAGCATCCTGGCAGCGCGCGCCGGCCGCCGGCACGCTGATTGGGCTCGCGGTGGCAGGCGATGAGTTGGCGGGCCTGCGACGCTGAGGGCCACCTGACGCGCTTCCTCTATTCAGCCTCGTGCATGCCCCCGACCAGAAAGTCACGATGCGTCTGCCCCTCCAGCGCCGGCCTCAGCCTGCCGGCGGCGGCGAGGCTCCAGCTCGCGGAGGCTGGGAGTCCCCGCCCTGCCAGCCGCCTGCTGTCCAGCCCGGCGTCGCGACGAGCAGTAGCTGCGCTCCTCTAGTTTGCAGCGCCGTTGGACTACGGCAGCTCCCAGCACACGGCGCAGCGGCTGCCCAGTGCCCGCCCGCGGGCCTGTTGACCGCATCTGCGGCCGCGCCCGCTTCTCCTGCTTGTCGCAAAGAAGCGTGCTCTCTGCCATCGACGTTGCGGTCAATCAGTGGATCAAGTGGACCGCCCTGCTGCACGGAGCCCTGATGCGCTGTCAATGCATGATGCTGGCCGTCGCGCTCGCTTCTCGCCTTCTGCAGCCCGCGCCTGGGAACGCTTCCTCTCCAATGAGTGCCGGCCGATGCTGCCCGTCGTGCTCCGCCGGCCTCGAGCTTCGACGGGACTGTCGCCCGCGGCCCAGGCAGCCGACGCCTGCGCGATCCGTGCGGACGTCGACCGCCGTGCGAACCGTTGAACCGTGGCGAAGCCGCCCTGTTCTTCACTATGCAACTACGCGCAGGCGAGCGCTGTCGTGCCATGGCTGGCTGCCGCCTTGACTCAGATTTTATGCGCCAGGAGCATAGGCCCAGCCGCCGGTCGTGCGCCATCAGAGCCCATGGATTCATTTAACCACCGTGCTGCCATAGGCGGCGTTCTGCTGCGCCCGCTGCAGCCGGAGATGAGGGCAAACACCCGGCTCATTCTCGCGACTGGCCTGGCAGCTGGAGGTGGTTGGATTAGCAAATGTAACCTGTGCCATGCAGGGAACCGTCCTGCACTCCCCAGCCTCAGTCCCGCCGCCGGAAGGCCAGAACCGCGCGTCACGTTGACTGTGGCTCGCCGCGACAGCTGGCGCTGCATTTGCAGACCCGCGCACAAGTTCGCCCTTGTTGTTCAATGTTCGTGGCTACCCAAAGTTGCTTGGGCAACGCTCCGACGCCTTGGAGTAGGTACCCAACTGCGTCCGACCAGACGTGATCTGGATTAGAACTGCCGATCTTGCTGTCCCAGAGGAAAATCATCTTCGGCGCGACTTGTGCCGCACGTACAATTTGTCCGAGACGCAGCATCGAAGCCTGACGAATGTTCGGGGCGCGTAGCAGAAGCCTGAGATTGCCCCAAACGTGCTGGAGACCGTCACCAGCCCCCGCTACTTTACGCGGGGCTGCTGTCTGCTGTCAGTACACGCGACATCACCTGAATCCGTGTCACTCCGCCGCGCGGCTACGTCTTCCATACAACTACAACCAGCTCATCGAGGTGGAGCCGGATGGGGACGTCCGAGGACTCTAGCAAACGCCGTCGTGTCGTGGTGAGACTGTCGGCCAGCCACTCAGGATACTCACAGCATCCATCTCGTACCTAGACATGCGAGATGCTCACCATCGGACGGGAGACCGACACTGCTGCTCACTGAAACCGACCAAAATAGCACCCAATGACGGCATACGAAGCTGGCGAAGCCGCCCGTGTCTGTCTGAATCATGCAAGCGTCTGCGAATGAAGGAAGGGATATCCTATGCTGCGGATGCGCGAGAAGCTCGCGCTTCGCATGTATATCGGTGAAGGCTAGGGCTAACTGTGGATTGAGGTCGTCAACGGATACACGTGTCTGCGGAGCACCTCTTAGATCACTCCGCAATTACCCGAATGGGCCACAATGTAACCCTGCCTCCTGCTGGCGCCACGACCAAACTTACCTCAGAGCCTCATCCGAAGTCGGTCGCTGGCGCTTGGCTAGCCTCCTTTTTTTCAGCCCCGCGCCATTGGCGGGGCAGTGGTGCAGTCACCTCATCTTTTCCCTTAGCAACGGCGCGACCTGCTTGCGGCTGGCGGCAATGTTCTGCTGCCGCCACACTTTTTTCCACCCAGGATCGTGGCCGGAGACATGGAAATCGCCCTCCAGCTCTTGCAGCTCCAGCTCTTTAGCTGCAGATTCGGCAAACGACCGAGCCTGCGCCGCCGCGCGATCTGACAGACCCCAGAGCAGCAGCTGCCTGCAGAACTCGCCGTTGTCATTGGGATATGCGGTCATGATGGCATACATCTCCAGCTCCCTCTGCTTGGCGAATTCTCCGATGGCGTCGCAAAACGACAGGCTGCCGTGCTTTTCCTGTTTGGCCTTGTCTTGCAGGAAGTCGAGCGGCTTGACGACAGAGCTAATGCCGAGCTTGACCCCGCCTTCGTTCCACTGCTTGTAGTCCTTACGCAGGATGTCATTTAGCGCCAATCGGCCGATGTCCTGCTTCGCGCGGTTGATCTCATCGTAGAATTTGTCCCTATTGAATCCCGGGTTTGTCCTGTCACACAACATGACTCTGGCTCCCAAGTACCCGGACGCGGCCACGTCATGCTCGGTGGTTTTGTCCTTGGACGTCAGATTCGTGGTGTCTATCAGGATGCTGGCCAACGCAAGCTGCGCGGCCTGGGCGTCCCACAGCCGGACCTGGGCCGCATCGTTGGCAGCCTCGTCGGCTTGCCCATGGGCGGCCCCGGAGGACACGGCTGCGGAGGATAAGGCGTCCCACGTGGGGCGGAGGAACTCCGTTACCAGGCTTGAACAGCTGCCCGCTTTCGAGATCACTCGGGGCTCGTCACCGGTACTCTCGGGGACCTTGTGCTCATCCTCATGATGATCTATAACACCGCCGACCCGCCCGGCGTACACCTGTCCCAGAATCCCCTGCAGCGCGTTGTGATCAACCAGAATCCACTTTGTGTTTTCCGGCAGCAGCGTCTTTCCGATCGAGTCCAAAGGGGGAAGGTCGTCGAGCGTTATGAGGTGCTGCGGCTGCAGGTTGGCGTGGGGGAGGAGGTCAAGAAACTCGGGTCGGATCTGGATGTCGGCGGCGGGGATGTTGACCACGGGAATATAGAGCGGTGTGAAGGCATTCGGCGGAGGGCGCTGGCTGCGGACGTAGGCAAAGAGAAGCGAGCAGGTCAAAGAGTCGAGGTCTGCAAGGCGTTACCAGGGCTTGACGCGCACGAATACGGGACGGGCGCCAGGCGCGTACCAGCCGATTCATTGCCGATAACGAAGGTGACACGCTCGCGGTTGGCGATGGCAGTGCGCAGAGCGCTCTTCGCGTGGACAAGGAAGCTGCGAATCGAGTTTCGCGGAAAGGCACTCATCCTGGCGGCGAGGATGGGGGGGTTAGGTTGGCTCCGCTTTGCCGTGCGGCGCGGCGGTGGCAGCTTTGCGGGCAGACGGGCAGACGGGGCCACCTCTGATGTCACGCCCGAAGCGCATCGGCTGCTCCGATCCGACCCGGCCTACAGATGCCGTGACCACCCAGTGCTCGTTTTCAGCGCCTCTCCTTCGCGTACACTCCCACCCACTGTCTTTCTCGCGCCTCCCCATCGACTCAGCCGCACCATGGCGGATCCCGCGAGCACCGAGCATGCAGCAGCTGCTGACCGGCGGACGCAGTCGGAGCGCGCCATGGAGCATCTGGAGTGGCTCGGCGGCCAGCTGCACCCGCTCGAGCAGACCATTCTCCTCAACAACCTGGAAAAATTCATGAAGGACTCGGACAACATGGTCGCGCGCATCAAGCGTGGCGAGCGACCTGCTGACGTCTTTGCATCCGACTGCAGCCAGTCCTCGCCCCGTCCCAGCCCACCCCCCACCGAGTCGTCCGGGTCGAGACGGCGGCGCTTGAGCTCTGGCCAAAGCAGAGCGCTAAATGGATCTGCTTCCGCTTCATCGACATCGACGGGGACGGCGCGGCGCGGCATGTCGAGCCCAGAGCAGGGCGCGGCACCCGCCAATCCGCGGAAGAGAGCGGCAGAATAAGGTAAGCTCGCTGACATGGGCGCTATCAATGCATAGTCTGCCACCTTCCCTGTCCCATCCATTGCTGCATTATTGGCGTCCTGCACCCTCTGTTGATCCGACTTCGATCCTCTTGGGCGGCGCTGATCTGCCCTTAACCTAGACGGATGCTGTCCGCATCACCAGCTCCACATCTTATCCCGGCGCGGAGCCCCGCCACGGTGCAGCGATGCCAATCAAAGACAAGGCTGCTGGCCAGAGTCGAGACCAGATCCGCCTTCCTATTTCCTGCCTGCCTTGACCGACGAGGCTACGATGTTCCACTTCCTGCAAGACGAAGAGACCCACTGGAAAAATCCTCCGATGCATCATGGCCCTATTCGCCTGCATGCCACCGGCAAAGTCAAGGCCTTATCCGTTTTCCAGAACCACATGGCCATTTCACCGCCAGGATGGACGACAGTCGGCTGCATGACGCAGAATACGGCCCATGAGGAGCGCGGAAGTGGCTGGGAGATTTGCCTAGACATGTCCGGAAGACAACGCATAGCACTGCCCTTCCCCACCATATGACGCCGTGAGGTTCCAGAGCATAGACGATTGCAGAGCCCCACAGACGACCGCGAAGACGTAGAATAGAGATGGCGCCACACCTGCACCCATTATTAGCATACGTGCGTATATTATTTTTGGGGGTGAGTTGGCTGCACGTACCAACACCTTCAGTATATCCCTTTCAGGAATCAAACGATCTTCCGGCGCGGTGCCGAATCCCGGGTCGTACGATTCTGTGGAGATGAAGTGGATCACTCCGCATGACGTGTATTATTGTAGATGAAGAGACACACATAGCAGGTAAGCCAGTCCGCGGATGACCTCTTGCATTTGCCGTTCTGCTTGCCACTTTACCATTTTCGGTGTCACAATCCCCGGGATGCGACTTCATGTGCGTTTCATCTGACTACCTTGTGGCCGGGCCGAGTGCTTGTACCACCAACCCACCCCCCACCTCGTTTCTTGGGCACTGGTTCGCGATGCACCCTCAACCAGCATGCTACATTGTCTTGCGGCAAGTCTTGCCTCGCGCAGTCACAAGGACAGTGGTGTGTTTTCACTAGCAAGCTGTCTTTTGTGTTGCCTCACGACCTTTCATATCCTACTATTGCCAAGAGTTGACCTTGACTAAAACGTAGACGAACAAGTCTGAAGATGAGGTAAACAGTCTGTTGGCCCAGTGGGTTCTACCTGATGGTCACCATGCCAAGGATCTATCTTTATCCATCGATTCCACGCTCACCATTTGCAAGGTATTCGTCCGGCAAGGAACAAGTTGTTTGTACGGGTAGGCTTGTTGTGTCAAGTGTCAAGTGACCATTACTCACAAAGAAAGGTGAGGTCAACATAAGCTTAATTGCTTTAGGATCGAGTTCATTTCCACTACTCAGGCTTAGTGAGTGAGGTGCTTCGGGCACACGGGCTTTGCTGTAATAGATGGTTGCGGCACTGATCTGCAAGGCTGCCCCGGCGTCGACGCCGCACGCCGCTTGAATACGAAGTGGGACGAAGTAGTATACTACGGAGTAGGCGAGTAGAAGCGCGCCATCTCTACGAATGCAGTACTTCCTACATGGCTTCGTTGGCGATACCGGCAATGTCGGTGTTTCGTTTCCCATCATCGCCGGCAATTTTACAAGCGAGACGACTCACGGCAAAGATGTTGATAGCGAACTCTCACCACTGGACAGCATGGGCTCGCGCTTCTTCAGGCACAGGGGTGTGCCAGAAAAAGAGCGGCTTCTCCTCAGGCCCACCACCGGTGCTCGGGCTCGCCTCCTGCTCGCATCGTCGGCCCGCTCCAGCAATCATGAGCCCCCGCCATCTCCATCGCACACGTCTTCGGATACCACATATATGCAGCAGCAGCCCCACAAAGGATGAGATGAGACGAGAGCCTTATGACTGAGCTCTATCGCACGGCGTCTTTTGCCGAGCAAAAGGAAGGAGGCCTGAAACGAGTCGAAACAGCCAACCCCGGCTCCGGCGGCTTGCGTACGTCGCTCCCTACCGCAACAGGAAGACCAGCGTCGAATGATTATGGAAAGAGGCTCGCTTGACCGAAGAAACAGACACTTGTTTCACCTACCTTCCGTATCCGGCACCCACGGTCCGAACGACCTCGCTTGCTGTACAGTACGCCGCTGTAGGCCTCGCGTGCTATGGCTTGCGACCCTTGCCAGGGGGGGGTCAAGGCTGCCGTGTTTGGCACAACAGGGTCCTCCGAAATGCCATGTCCCGCTCGCTCCCACCCGAATAGCATCCAAATCCAGCCCGCGAAGGAGAGAGGAGTGCTCATTGGTGGGACTTTGTCCTTGAGATTAATGAATCGTCCATAGATTGAATCGACATCCTCTCTGATCTACCTTCCCGCCCTCCCGAAACGGGTTATCGGGAGCCCGTTTCACAACGCCACCCGTATATAAGGCCTCTACGGCCATATCGAACCTCTCGCGCGTCCCCTCCCCCCTCCCACTCTCTTCCTCTCCCTACACCACCACCTCTCCCGAGCGAACGAAGCTCAGCCCAGCCACCACCATGAAATTCCTCCTCCCCACCCTCACCGCCCTCGCCACCCTCGCCCTGCCCACGCAGGCCGCGACCTGGTACTTCCTGCGCTACTACACCGCGTCGGGCCAGTCCTTCACGGAGCTGTCGGGCGAGCTCGTGGTGCCGGCGCTGCCCCGCGCGGCGTACTACTACCTGTGGCCGGGCCTGCAGCCGACGGACGGCAGCGGCGTGTACCAGAACGTGCTCGACGGCCGCTCCGGCGCGTGGTGGTTCGGCAGCGGCTGGTGCTGCTCCAACCCGAGCCTGCCGTGGGGCGGCGGCTTCAACACGTACGAGGGGGAGACGATCAAGTTTGTGAACAAGCTGGATGGCGAGAGCGGCTGGGTGTCGACGACGACGCATGAGAGTACGGGCACGGAGAAGACGGATGCGTTTGCGCTTGGTGGGTTTGCTCCTTTTTTTTTCTTCTTTTTTTTTCTTTCTTTTTTTTGCTTTTGCTCTTTGCTGTTTGTTTTGGTTTGGAAAAGAGATGGGGAAAGGGAGGCGAAGAGGGAGTTTAATGGATGTTTGGGAAGATCGAAGAAAGAGAAGGCGCTCAAGAGTTGTCGGTATCGTGCCGTGCTGTTCCATCGGAATCACACTATGATGCTTGATGAGGAGGGGTGAAACGAAGAAGCTCGCAGATGAGGAACAGAGCTCTGCTTTTTTTTCTTTACTCCCGAAAACACAAAGAGCACGAAACTGACTTTTTCTCTTTTACCTCACAGCCGACAAGTCCTTCAACCAAGTGCTCTTCGCCATCGAGCTTACCGACGTCGCCTGGGACTTCGGTGCCCTCGAGTTCAAGAACATCGTTATTGTAAGTTTTCGAGATTCACCAAACGATCAAGAATCAAAGGAGCGAAACTAACGATGAACAGACCGCCGACGGCACCGACAGCTCTTGGTGCAACGACTCGCCCGAGAACTACAACAGCGCTGCCACTTTCTCCATCTCGGGCGTTGAGGCCAGCGTCTCTGGCAACGTCGTCACTTGCACCATCAGCAGCCTCATCCTGGAGAGCCCGGCTTGAGCGAGCGTGGATGGGCGTGCAGCAACGGATTTTGCTCTTCACGTAAAGTATTCCGGATTGGATTGCCTGTTTCATTTGCCAATATCATGTGGCGAGGGTCTCGGCTGTGGTGCGAGATATATGCGTCGTTTCTGATTTGCTTCTCATGTAAATGAATTAAGGTTAAAACCTTGTACATACCTACGTAACAACCGAGGGCTTTTGTTGAAATGCCACTTATTTCTTCGACACATCTTAATTGCTTGGTGATATTCTCGTTGGGTCCTTGGGATAGAGATTATTTGATGTGACCAATCTTGGTGTGGCCTCCGTGAAGCGTGCTGTACGTATACGCGTTGCGGCTCCACACTCATGGTCAAGTACCCACAAGCCATGTCAGCGCCTTGGTTTGTCCGTGACAATGTGCGGGGTTGCATAAAACCTTGGAGCTGTCTAAATGTAGATCTCCGCTGCGGTAGTTAGTCCACAGCTATTGTTCCCATACAGCAAGATTCAGCGAACTGCGGAACTTTATTAAATAACCTTTTCCCGAGAAACCTCTCCTAGTCTAACCCCATTTTAATGAACCCCAACCTTCTATAGATTTGATGAAGAACAAAAAAAAGTTGTCCGTCGTAGCAGGAAGTTCGTAACAAAATGGAAGAGATTGAAAACATTATACAACAGTCATGAAATAACATCGCGCCTTCTCTATCCCATGTGTTGCCAACCAGTAAACATGCTTGCTGACAATAGTCGATACAAGAAGGGAATTATGAGATAATATATGCCATGGTAATTGGCTCTATGTTACCAAGTATGTTCATCGAATGATATCAATAATAGATGCGAGAGAATAAAATTAGTCACGCTGGAAGCTTTTCTTAAAGCTTGGTCGGATCTTGAACGACGGGGTACTTGGGAAAGTTGGGTTTGTAGAGCTGCATTGAAAAATTTGTTAGTCCGTGACTCTTGGGTAAAAACCAAACGAGGTAACCATCCTTGGCCGATGTCGGCGAGGGGCACCGGCGAAGGTTCGGATGACGGGGAGGAAAGTCAAGGTGGATTGCTTTGACTTACAGTTTGGCAGCGAGAGTTGTACTCGTTGGTGTTACCGATGATGACTTCGGTCTCATTTCCGGGGACGCCAATCTTGGCAAGAGGTCCGCTCTTAGGGGTGGCTTTGTCCCACCCAGGGCCAGCGGCAGGGTTCTTGATCCAGGAGACAAACCAGTCGTTCGTCCAGTCAGCCAGAGCTTGCTGTTCTTCGGTGACATTGTCGAGGTCCTCGAAGCACTGGTTGCCACCGTGGAAGAAGGGAACCTCGGATCCGTGGGAGGAACCCATTCCGGGAACACCAAGCACGTTGCTGTAGTTGCCGAACCAACGGTAAGCCCAGGTAGGCTGTTTGGAGGCACGCACATCGAGCAGGTAGTCGGTCGGGCAGTAGAAGCGCGCATCACCATAGCTGGCTCCGCTCATGAGCGAGACGGACTCATAGTCAGTCTTGTTGTAGCTAGCCAAGAGGTCGCTATCCGAGATGTGCGCAAGATCAGCATCGAAAGTGTTGATCCATGAGCTGAAGTCCGAGTTTTCAGCCGAGTAAACGAGAGAGAAGATCTTGCCCTCCTGGTCAGAGTTGCCGACAATGAGAGGCAAGGTCTTTGGGTATTTGCCAGCAGCGAAGCGGCCGGGGTAGTCGCTGAAACGGGTAATGTTGTCGACGATTGGGCTAAACCACGTGTTGTAGGTGGAGTTGAATTTGGACGTTTCGATATCATAAGCGCTGACTTGACGCAGATCGTTGAGCGTATTGAGCGCCTTGCCAGTTGAGTTGGCGACATCGGCCATGACCTTTTGGATGCCAACGTTTTGGGTGGCGTAGCCCGGTCCCGACTCAGCGTTCGCCGACATCTCAATGGCACCAGCGAGCCATGTGTCAGGGTGGTTCCACAGGTAGTGATCGACCATGACGGATCCGGAGGAGTGGCCGCCCACGACGATGCGGCTCTTGTCGCCACCGAAAGCTGTACATTAGGATCAGCAAAGGGGTAGGGATTTGTTTTGATCGCCGGGACTCACCGCCGATGTTGTCGTGAACCCATTTCAGGGCAGCCTCAACGTCGAGAATGTTGAAGTTCTGCGAAGTGCCGGACAACTCGGCCGAGTTAGGGGCACCGAAGATGGACTCGCGGTAGTTGAAGTTGACGTAGATGACGTCCTTGGAAGCAAAGTTGCTACCCTGCCATTGCGAGTTGCTGGAGCCGCCAGAGACCATAGCACCTCCGTAAATGTAGACGAAGACCTGCAGGGCGGTTAGTGATGGCCGCCACAAGCTACTCAAGGAGGCAAGCTGCATATGCGGGGCCAGGGACTAGCGATGCTTACAGGAAGGCGGCGGCCGTGTGCAGGAGCCCAAATGTTGAGGTTCAAGCAATCCTCGCTCTGAGCGGCAAGGCTGCTGCTGATGCCGGCCTGAGCGCACGTCGATCCATATTGGGTAGCGTTGAGGGCACCCCATGTCGTCGCAGGAGAATGGGGCGGCTTCCACCTGTTGGCGCCGGCGGTCGAATCGGCATAGGGGATGCCCAGAAAGACGTGGTTGCCGGTGCTGTTCTCAGAAAAACCAGTGACAAGACCAGAGGAGGTCATGGCAGCAGGGACGCCCTGGCAGGTGGTGCCGGCATAGCCGGTAACGATGGCTGCCGTGGCCAGGACGGCGCAGGCAGCTTTGTCGATGAGAGCTTCGGCGAATCCCATGGTTGGAGGCAACAGTGGTAACAAAGGGGTTGGCACAGGGTGGACAGGGACAATCACAACCTAGTGTGGCATGAAACGAAAGATGGTGAGAGATATAACGAGCGGAGACGGGGGGTGGCGGAGGAGGATGGGCTAGGGGCCTCAATCTTTTCAGTGCCTGGCACGCCACGGCCGTTCGAGCCCGTGGGAAGACATATTGGCGCGGGGGTTCCCGCGAGGTAGGAGGGCAAATGGCGCGGAGATGATATTGGAAGTCCTGGCGGAGTGGGGCGCGCGAGAGGTTTGCCGATGGTGGAGGGGTGCAAAGGAAGCGGCACTTGGCAGCAGGAGCCCTTTTGGGAACCGGCCACGGCCCGCTAATCTCGCAGGGCCTAGCCAGGGCCCGATCGGACGACTCACACCACAACGCATAACGCCTCCGGCACTTGCCTGGGCCGAGGCAGCGGAAGGGTCGCGGGGGGAGCTGGAACGAACGCCCGCAACGCCCGCAACGCCCGCAGCGATTCAGGCGGCCACGGCGCACAGGACGTCGGCGAAACACTGGTGCTGGGAGCTGGGAGCTTGGGAGCTTGGGAGCTGGGCAGCGCTGTTAGCGAGCTCGGCTGGCTGCACATCAGCTCGCTTGAGAAGCTTGGCGCGCGCGGCGACTCGGGCGGTCGCAGCGGCAGGTGGCAGAGCAGAGGTGCTGTGTAGACAGTGCCGGTGGAGGCCACGCGGTTGTCGGCGACACGGTGAGATGGCGGCTGGCGCCGGTCGAGGCGTGTTTTGGCAGCGGCGACGGGCCGGGAAGTGCGACCCAGCACCGCGCCTGTGGCTGCCCGCTTGCTGCTTCCGGTAGGGCTGACGCGCGCCCTGCTCTCCGGCCGTTTCCAGCCGGCGGCCACCACCTAGGTTGCCAGTTCCTGTCATCTCCTGCATCCGTCCCCGCCACAACCGTGCCGGCGGCCGCAGAGCCTGCCAGCGGCTCCGCGGCCTTCGTCCGCCTGCTCACTCTCTGTGTCGCCGTGCCGTTTGGCCAATTGGTGCTCCCGTCGGTGCTCGCTTGCAGTCCTGCAGCACCTGCATTCGGTCCGGCTCACCACCGCACTTCTTCACTAACGCTCCTGCATCGTATGTTTGCCGGCCGAACGTGGCATCTGCCGCGTCCTCCCTCACCCCTAAAGGACAACGCCTCACGTCCCATCGAGGAGCGAAGTCCGCGAGCGACGATGCCGGACCGCCGACCGATCTCCGCTATTCGCCTTTTGCTCCTCCCGCTTCGACCTCCCCCCTCAGCCGGAATAGTGGCACCTCCAGTCCGCAAAATTTCTCCCAACGTGGGCGGTACCCTGCCCAGCCACGCAGGATCGGCTGGAGCGCCATGCTGGATGCGCCGCAGGGATCGGTAATTGAGCCCACGGTGGATCATCTGAAGTGAACATGATCCGCACACGTCCCATGTCACGATCTTCGCACGGCTTTCCTGGGGTTTTGTCTACCTAGCCGCGGCCCACGCCGACTAAAAGGCAGACGGCCTGTCGATCCATCGTCTTTCTCTCAAGTTGGTCTCTCTTTGCCCGCCTACTCGCAGCCTACAATGGTTCAAAATACGTTAGACCAAGTGGTGCGTTGCTATCGCCTGCCCCACCTTCCACCCGTCCATGCATTGCTCTAGTTGCTGACTGCCACCCAAGATATCATGGTACATCTGTACAGGCGTCTCGGGCCTCTTTCTGCTCTCGAGGCTCTGGGTGAGATGGGGCAACATGGGTGGTCTCTACCTGGATGACTTCCTCATCACTTCCGCCTTTTGTTGCCTCGTCGCCGACTTGGCCATACAACAGAGGATGTGGAACATCGGTAAGCATGACCTCTTCACCCACTAGCCCTCACCATCTGGCTGACCGATCCCAAGGCCTGAAAAACATGGCCGAAGTCACGCCTGAACACTTTGTTGAGATGATGAAAGTGAGTCGAGCAGCAGCTTAGCAGCTCACAGCATCATCGCTGACATGGGCTCCACAGCTCATCTATCCTGGCTCAACATTCTACACGCTCTCTCTGTGGCTGATCAAAGCTGGCCTGGTAAGTCATCAACCACCTTCATCACCGTCCGGCACCTGCTCATCGTGCTTCCAGGTAGTCTTCTACAAAAGACTGGCAGGCAACGGTACAGACAAGCGCCTACAGAAGATTTACAATGCCACACTTGTGTGGCTCGTGGTGTCATGGCTGGCAATTTTTTTTGACACCATTTTCCGATGCTATCCACTGAGCCGCACCTGGAGTCTCGACCCTAGCCAAGCTTGTCCGGCCAGCGCGGCAACAATCAACTACTGGATGACGATTTCCTGTGCGCGCCTCCGTCCGCTGCAATTTGTTGTTCCGTCATCGCTGACGATTGCTGTCCAGTCAACATTACGACCGATATCTTGATCATTTGCCTTCCGATTTCCATGGTCATGAAGCTCATTATGCCCTTGAAACAAAAACTCGGTGTCGCCAGCATTTTCGCCCTCGGTTTTGTGGTCGTCATTGCCAGCAGTATGTCGTTAAACAGCAAAGAGAATGTGTACTTTTGACTGACATGAACAGTTGTCCGCGCTGTCTACTCGCACCGCAACGAGACCATGCTCACCTGCACAGTGTCGATGATCGAGACGTCCGTTGCCATCATCGCAACTTGTCTTCCGACGCTTCGTGTCATCATCCTAGGTCACACGTCTCGCAAGGGAACTTACGGGAGCCAGCCTGGCTCGCGCGTTTTTGAGCTCCGTGATGGACACTCCCGGTTAACTGGCACGAACAATTATTCCAACCACCAGACAACAATCACCGGAGGAGCAAAGAGGGATTCCAGGAGGTTTCAGCGGGCGCATATGGGACGCAGTGACAGCGAGGACGAGCTAGTCAAAGAGTTGCATCAATATCCGACGCACTCCAGCCCTACATATGTGCCCCGCTCGCCAACGGAGAAGAACTATGAAGGCAGGAATGACGAGGAGACGGGCAACGCCCTGCGGAAGTCAAATGCCATTGCAATCACAACAGAGGTTACGGTTTTCCCGGCAGTTAACGTCGCCGATCTTCCAGAGGAGGCACACATGAGGGATGGCAGGCGCAGCACATAATCAGCCACACCCGCGTGAGGCTCTTGATCGGAGAAAGAGTGGTTTGGGTCCTTTTTGCTTTCTCTTTGAGCTCGTTCCCTTTGCTTTATCTTGTAACAACATCCTTTTCTGCGCAACGTCGAGTCACACAGGAAGATACCAGCCCAACGATAGGTTATGCAGGCACATCGGAGTTTTCGTCTTTTGTTTTCTTTTTTTTTTTTAATTCATCTATTCAGCCAGTCCGCAGTCGGCACGAAAGGTTTTCGGAGATCGCTCAATTCATATAGCGGGGCCTGCAAGTGTGGGTTTGCGTCCTTGATACTCTTTACCACAAAGTGCGCACCGCTCACTGTGTATGCTGATCATCATCGGGGACACGCACGACAAGGCCGATGCGACAGTTCGTACAGTAGACAACCTAGAGATGAACCGGTCAATTTCAGCGACAGGAGCAACGAAGTCGGACCTTCGGCGACAACAGACCCTATAATCGGGCCTTGCAAAGCTTATCGTAACACAAAAGAGGAGTGAGATCCCCGCTGATCTGCGAAAGGGATGCGAGTAAAGCCGGAGATAGCCTGCCATGTTGTATCCGTCGGGGTAGGTTGGAGGATGACAAAGAAATGCACGCCAAGCTGCAACGCTCTTCCCGGACCCGCTCTGCACAGTAAGAACATACAGACAACAAGCCGCACTTGAGATAAGGAGCTCGCCGATCCGTGCCGAAGATGGCGACGGGCACTAGGCCGCAGCACCGTGTTGATCTCACGCCCAAAGGCCACGTGAGCTTCCACATATGCCGACCACAGCGAGGATTTGCGAATGGAGCGAGCTCAGGGCTTTGCCAGCTTGGTGACGGCTTGGTGACGGCTTGTGATTACGTGCGGCTTTTGGGCAGGGGAAAGCGACAAGGTGCTGGCAGGCAACACACGCGCACAGCGAATGAGCACGCTTACCTTGCTGACATGCATTCAGCTACCCATGCTGTCGGGCACGCCACAGGGTAACCCTGCCACAATACCCACATGAATTCTGGAAAAGGGTGGGGGAATGGAAGCTCGTCTCGTTTTCTGTCACAATCGGCAGCGCTCTTCCGAGGCTTGCAGGAAGCTTGTTGCATCAGATGGCTTACCAAGTCTCGGGCTTCTTCTTTTGTCTTCTCCTGCGGTTGGTGTCTTGGTTTCTGCACGCGCCTTCCTTCACATGCACTGATTGCTTAGCTTTTCCATTGAACGTGCATCTCCATCGCTTCGTTCAACCCCTCATGATAATACCACTGCTACACACCAGTTCTTGGCGGCCATCACATCGCCATGCATCCTTTCTCACGCGGGCGTAGGCCGTGGCCTCTCTCGCTGTGGGCGCTGGGTCACAGAGCGACGGCACAGTCATCCACGCTAAACTTCACCAACTCTACCGCTCTAGGCTATGATCCGGTGCGTTACATGTGTGCTCGCTGGGAGCATCAAAGTACGCTTGCATCGTCTACGAGTACCTCAAGCCCATTTGATTGACAGTAATCTTGCAGCTGTTCTGAAGGGCGATGTCCTGTATATCGATGGCGGTCTGGAGACCATCTACGACGGCGATGAGAGATGGACGGATGAGTTCTATCTTGGATTAAGTACGTCCCCATTGAATCTGGAATGTCTCCAGTCTGGCGGCTTACGTTACGTCAGATTACTACTTGCTTGGCGTCAACATGTCTCAAAGCTGGAATTGGGAGCACAACATCTCCATCTCCATCTGGAACAAGTCGGCCTCAACACCCAGGCCGCCCACCTCGCTCCGTGGCCACCTCTTCCAGGGCCTCCCCGACGACCCGGCCATCTACCTCTACGGTGGCGCCGACTTTGCGAGCAACATGTCGCGGCACAACTACAGCAGCCCCAACGCCGGCCTGCTGTGGACCTACGACACAGCCGAGCGCAGCGACTGGGCCACCATCGATGTCAGCAATGCCAGCCCCTGGCAGCCGAGCCGCGGCGCGCATGCCGAAGCACCCGACCTGGGCCTGGCGTTTTACCTGAACGGCGAAGCGGGTGACGTCGAATCCGTGGAGGCGTGGGGGAACTTATCAACACAAGTGGCGCATCTGGAAGGTATGCTCGTGCTAGACACGACCAATGCGACCGGTCGGACGGCGTGGAATGTATCGACCGAGGCCATGACGGGCGGTACGCCAAGATCCGGGGCGGGCATGGTATACGTATCCGGGATGGGAGAGAGCGGAGCGTTGGTGCTGATTGGGGGCATCGCAAGAGAACCGCTCGTCACCGACGACCCTGCTTCAGGAGAGCTGGTAAGTGAGCCCCTCCCCCCCAGCTCCAAGCATCAAGACGACACCAAGACTAATTAGCTCCCGCCCGCAGATCAACCTCAGCGAAATCCAAATCTGGGACATCGCCTCCTGGCTTTCCTCCCCGGCCGCCGCCGCCGACGACGGCACCAACACCAACCCCAACAACGGCACCTGGTACGCCCAGACCGCCACGGGCACCATCCCCGCCCTCCGCACCGACTTCTGCCTCGCCGCCGGCGCCGCCCCGGACCGCTCCTCGCACAACATCTACCTCTACGGCGGGCGCAACCCAAAATCCAACACCCTCTACGACGACGTCTACGCCCTCTCCCTCCCCTCCTTCACCTGGACCCGCCTCTTCTCGGGGCAGTCCCCCCGCTGGGGCCACTCCTGCCACCTCGTCCCCAACACCACCCAACTCGTCACCGTCGGCGGCTCCCTCGACGCCGAGGACAGCCACGCGACGTGCGACTGGGAGTGGCGCGGCGTCGCCGTGCTCGACGTGTGGACAGTCACGTGGAACAGCGCTTTTGACGCTGGAGCCCGCCCGTACAAGGTCACGCAGGGCGTGGCGGAGGTGGTGGGCGGGGGCGATGCGGGCGGCGCGACACTGTCGGCGCCGGCGGGTGGGTGGCAGACGCCGGGGTTGGAGGCGCTGTTCGTCGAGCAGCGCGGTGGTGGTAGTAGTAGTAGTAGCACGTCTACCGCCGACGTGGGGGGAGGGAATAGTGGTGGTGGTAGCGACACAGGCGTTGTTGTGGGCGGAGCCGTCGGCGGGGTCGTGGCGGGGATCGTGCTCGTCGCGGTGGCGGGTGGGTTGCTCTTGCGGTGGCGGAGGGGGAGGCGGAAGAGAGACACACCTGCGGAGCTGGATCATGAGAATACGCAAAGGCATGAGGTTGTCGGGTCGAGGCTGGATAAGCCGTGGCGCCGCCGCAAGGGGAGCGATGACGCCGAGGACGTGGTGCCGGCCAGCGCGGTTGCGCGTGCTGATGCGGAGTTGCCGGAGGATGTTGCTGCGGTGGAGATGGATGGCGAGGATCACTTTGAGAGGATTGCTGAGCTGGATGCGGGGGCGGATGTGGCGAGGTTTGAGATGGCTGGGAGTGGGGCGGATGGGAGGGAGCGTGAAGGGTTGGGGGAGGAGGGAGAGCATAGAGAGAGGAGCGGCAGGGGAAGGGCTGGAGATAGGGATGGGGATGGAAATAGGGACGGGAACAGGGTTGCGGATGTGAAAGATGTCGCTATGGAGTAGCCAGCGAGGGGGAGTGGATAAGTAGATAAGAGTAGACGACGCACCGTCACAATAGGTGACGAATAGAACTGACCCAGCTAATCTATATCAGATGGGTCAATACAGTTTGAACACGCGACACTCGCATCCACATCCCGATATCTGCTTCAGCTACTTATCAAGAAAAGCCCTTAAACCTATAGCCATGTCGGCATGCTTGCTTCGACTGCCCCCACAAAGAATCGTTGTTCATGCCGCCCATAAATTGAGTTTCTCCTTTGGGTTTTGGGCACACCACTCATTGATGTCGTTATGTACTTCAACTACCTGGCCCCTAAATGATCCCAGCTTGCTTGACACTCTAACGCTCCTTATTGGCGAAGTGAATTTCGCAAAGACAAGAGTTAAAGTAAAGGAAAGGGCAACTGGAGGCATTTGCGCCATGGCGTCCGCCGGAAAAAGGTAGCTCTGCGCCAAGGTGTATGGTCAGCAAAAGGCCAAAATTGACGTAAGAAGTAACTACACGCCTAAGGCATACGATGAAAAGACAGAAAAGCTGGGAAATACCGTTAAAAAACGTCTCACACACAGATATGTATATTGCTTCTTCCACTACTTAAGTTCTCCGCCTCCACTAGAAATCAAGTAATCCAATTCTGTTCGACCGCCAGCTTACTCTGCGCGACCGTCATTATATAGCCAAGTCTATTCCGACCTTGATAACCCGTACCAACGTCTCCTCAAGGGGTATATAGCGAACAAGAAGTTCAGATAAGGATAACAGTGTTGATCTAACAACCAAGACCGTACCTCCAGCCATATAGATGCTGAAACCGCCGAAACCTCGAACCAACGACGTAGCTTCCAGCTGAAAACGGAAAGCAGAGCGTGGAGCGAGTTCCTCGGAGAAAAGGGCTGAATTACGTCGCGAAGACGGGGACAAGAAAGAATGAGGCGAGACCAAGAAAAAATCAATCCGAAAGCCTTGAAGCTTTACAAGCAAGCTGCCGTGTATGCATAAAAGCAAGATGAACTACCGGAAGTACTGGCACGGCGGAAACCCGTCTGCGAGAAGAGGTATCAAACAGATTAACTAGTGTCCGTCTCAATAGCGAACGACTGGATAAAAACAGGGTGAAAGCAAGAGAGAAATAAGAAACCGTTGGCGTTGTCGTAAGCAAGTCATTACGAAGTGCAGTAGCAGAAGGCACGTGACACACGCGAAGTCAGTTCGTTTGCCTCGGCACATCACACCTCAGGAGAGTGTGCAAGCATCGTGAGAGGCACTTGCATAGGGTCCGGGGGATCCGCGGCACCATCGACCACGTTGTTGGGCGGATCGATGGCTGTAACGTGTTCATTTTCGACGATGGACGCGGATGCAACCCCATTCGGCTTAATTGGTGGTTTGAGCAGCAGCTGCAGAGTGTTCCTGCTTGCTATTGACGGTTGGCGCGGGCGAGGCGAATGCATCATAGTCCCTTTTCTCGCCGTGAACATCAGCTGCACCGTTCAGAGGGGCCGCACTTCCATTTGGCGCAGCAACGGGCGCGCCATTTGCCTCGCTGGCAAGAGCAGACTGAGATTTGTCCGTGTCGGGAAGCCAGATGGCCTCGATAGTGCAGGTGCGGCTGCCTTCGGGACGCTTGATGCCCAGGAACTTGAAGCGCGGATCGGTCCTGTGGAAAAGCTCGGCATAATCGTCCTCGGCACGCTCACGGGCGTTAAGGAGCTGCAGCATAGTCATGTCCATGGATCTAATAATAAGCAATAGGCGAAAGCATGTCAGCATTCGTCACATGGCGCCAGGGGCAAATCAGGGATCTAGATCTCGCGTATCTGGCGTACCTGATTATCTTCTCGTCCCACGGATTTTCGGTCCCAGGTTTCGGCAGAATGTTTTCGTTGACGAGGATGCGCGCTCCCGGCTTTAGGGCAGGGATCAGGCACTTGAGCATCTTCTCGCAGTATTTGTCTGACCAATTGTGGAAGATCCAGCGGAAAAAGTAAACATCGGCGCCAGCTACGGGCTGTTCGGTGAAGAAATCGTGGGCCTGAAACTCGATACGGTCGGCCAGCTCGGGCGGGATGTGCGCAGGACCGTCGGCAACCGTTTTGGGAAGATCCTGCACGACGAAACGGAGATCCGGAAAGCGCTTGGCAAGCGCGACAGGCACGAAACCATGCGACCCGCCAACCTGGGCAGGGGTCAGTTTCTCGTATATTACCACGGTTGAGCCAAAAACTTACGTCGACGACGGTCGCTGTCCCAAGCGCGCCCCAGGGGTATCCATTGACGAGATAGTCAACCTCGTAGCCCTCGCCGCCGGTGAGCGAGTGCATGGCGCGGCCGAAACGTTTTGCGCGTGCAGGGTTGCGACCAATCTCGACGAACATGGGCACGTCGATGTCCCAGGCGACGGAAAAGCCACACTGCGTGGGCTCCTGCGAGCCAGGCCACTTCTGCATGGCGTCGACCGTGCGCGCGGCTGCAGGGAAGAAGTCGGAGCTGCACAGGCCGACCCAATCGCTCAGTGTCGGGTCAAGCAGGGCCATGGAGGCGGCAGTGTGGGCGACGAAGCCGTCGCGCGGCTCGCAGAAGACGCGGTTGGTGATGGCATGGCGCACGATGCGCTTGAGGTTGACGACGTCGACGTTGACCTGGGCGGCGAGGTCGTCGAAGGAGATGTCGCGGTCCAGCGGCACGGCGTGGGGGATGCGGAAGTTGTATACGGCCTGGAGGCTGAGGTTGTCGTTGTACTGTCCCGGGCGCGTGGGCAAGAGTCAGTCAGCGCACGTCACACAAGGCGAAAACGGCAGCGGCAGAGACATACGCTCCAGGCAAGCCAGCGCACGCTCTCGCTCGGGCCAACCATCAAGTCATGCAGCTGCTGCGTCGCATTGATGACGGCGCGGCGGGCGTGCTGGATCTCGGTGTTGCTGGCAGGCACGGGGAAGTCGAGCGGCGCATGCGGGTCGAAGGACAGGGCGGGCAGGCCATTGGCGTGCAGGAAGCGCTCGATCTTGGCCGTCTCGCGCTGAATCAGGGCAGTCAGCTCGCTCAGGCGCGACATGATGCGGTTCTCTGGATCCGGCGGGTTGGTGCTGGGGAGGGAGGCAGGGGTTGCTGGGGCGCCGGGCCTCATGCAGAGATGCCTTTATGGGAGCAACCCACATGCTCGACCGGCCCACGCGCCCGGCCCTTGGCGATGCGCAGTGACAGGGCTGCCAGCCGGGCCGTGCTGGCCGCGACGAGCTCCGCGGCCCAGCAATCCCTGCCTGGCCGCACGCGAGAGCCGCGGCCGGTGCATGGGCTGGCCCATGCCGTGCATTCATCGGGCGCCACCAAGAGAGCGCGCGGGGCCGCAGCCGATAGACTGCACGCCGGCCGGCCATGGCCACGAGAAGGGCAAAGACGCGGTCCCAAAGCCACTAAACAGCCGTTGCACTCACCACCGGCAGTTGTTTTCTCTCCGCCGCGCCCAAACTCGAACGACAACCTCCCTCATCACCACCTCGCCACCCGCCCTGCCGCCCTGCCGCCCTGCCGCAAGCGCCCCCACGTGCTGTCCAGCCCGCCGCTACCCTGCGACACGGCGCCTGTCACCGCCCGCGTCCTTGAACCTCACCTGGCCCGGCCCGTCCTGACCATGGCCCACCACCACCACGCCGATGTCCACTCGCTGCACGATTCGCTGCTGGACCAGCCCGCCGCGCCCTCGGAGCACCACGCCCACCAGAAGCGCTCCTCCCAGTCGCCCACCCAAGGAAAGCGCACCGACACGACCGCCGGAACGTCGTCCATCACGGCGCAAGAGCAGGCCGATGCGTTCGAGCAGGCCGAGGACGGCATCGAGGCGAACGACTACACCTCGGACGACGACCCGGGCTACGACTCGGACGACGCATCGTCGACGTCCGCGTCGCTCGCGTCGTCGGCGCGCAACTTCATCTACGAGAACGGGCGGCGCTATCACAGCTTCCGCGAGGGCACCTACTCGTTCCCCAACGACGACAGCGAGCAGGACCGCGAGGACCTGAAGCATGCCATGTACCTGAAGCTCTTCAATGGCACGCTGCACTTCGCCCCGCTGGACCCGGACAAGAACTTGACGGCCATCGACCTGGGCACCGGAACCGGCATCTGGGCAATAGACTGTGGGCCACCCCCTGTCGTCCGGCTGGACGATGATCATGTGGCACAATATCGCTAATCTTGCCCAGTTGCCGATTTGTTCCCGAACGCCAGCGTGCTGGGAATTGATCTGAGCCCCATCCAGACGGAATGGGTGCCCGCCAATCTGGTACGAATCCTGCCACCGTCCCCATGCGCCCCCCCAGACCCCCGAGCTCCGACCCACTTTAGCCGCCTCGCATCCCCCGCCTGTCAAACGACAGCCGTGAACAGTACTGACGTCCCTCCGCAGAAATTCATGGTCGACGATGCCGAGGATGAGTGGCTGCACCCACGCAACCACTTCGACTACATCCACACCCGCCACACCGTGCAAGGCTTCCGCAACTGGCCGAAGCTCTTCGAGCGCGCGCTAAGGTAAGCCTCCCCCTTCGCTCCAAACCAAAACCCACCGCATCCCGCCCGTCCGTCCACCCGCCCCAATTACCAAAAGCCAAAGGCACCACCACTGCGCAGACTGGAAAGCTCACTCATCACCCCCCCACCCTTCGGGCATCGGGTGCACACACAGACACCTCAAGCCAGGCGCCTGGACGGAATGCCAAGAGATCGACCACATGCCCATGTGCCACGACGGCACGCTGGCCGGCGACGACGCGATGCTCCGGTACTGGCAGATGGTCACGGACGGCCTGTCCAACGTGGGCGTGCCCTTCCGGTCGGCGCCGCACCTGCGCCGCCACATGGAGGCCGCCGGCTTCGTCAACGTCACCGAGCGCGTCTTCTACACCCCCATCGGGCCCTGGCCCAAGAACCGCCACCTGCGCGAGGTCGGCCTGTACTGGCGCGCCGTGCTGATGGAGGGGCTCGAGGCCATCGCCCTCGGCCCCATGACGCGCGGCCTCGGCTGGACCAAGGAGGAGATCGCCGTGTTCCTGGCCGCCGTGCGCAAGGCGTATGTGGAACCGGCGACGCATGCCTTCATGCCGTTTTATATCATCTATGGGCAGAAACCAGAGTAAGTGGGTGAAGTGATGAGGAAGGGATGCAGAGCACCTGTGGGGCTTTTAATTGGTGGTGGAAAGAACCGCTGCAGGCACCCACATGCGTCCCCCTTATACGTCAAACGCAAACGCGAACGCGACAGCGCACATCATCTTCTTTGGTTATCTCCCTCAGTTCTCTCTAGCACTTCTCGCATCAGTTGTTCGGGCTTTGTTTTCTCTCTCCCCTTGGTTTTTGGCTCGGTGCGTGGGTTGGCTAGATTCCCTCTTTGTACTCTCGTTCTCTCCCATATTTCTTTCCCCCGTGTAGTTGCACATATGATACCCCTTCGATGGGTACGAGAGTACGACACTTGTCAGGGCAGCAATGCCAATGCGAAGCGGCACGGCCGAAAGAAATTGGTTTTTCTCTTTTTGGTTGTGCGTGGAAACCTCGAACCATTCCTATGAGAATTGCGTGGAGAGACCTAATGTGTGGATACTACACGGCCAAAGTGACCAGATGTGCGTAACGAGTCCTGTGATCGCGAGTTCAGCAAAGCGTCGGAGTCGGAATAAAATCGAAAACCCCTCTGGATATTCTTAGCAAGCGAAGATGTCATGGGTGTATATATGGCTCTTTGAGCAACAATAGCACCTTCGCCCGCATCATAGCTCATCTTATCTTTGGATTTTTTTTCGTCTTCGGTGCTTTTTTCTCCAGCTCTTCCTGGTATGTATGTACATACCATGCGGAGACCAACGCGACCGGACACATGTCTCGGATCCTTGCGAAGCTCTACCGCTTCGTCGTATGCGATGACCTCACCACGCATGATGACCCGCGCCTATTGTTTGCACCAAAACCGTACCGCTGGTACCCATGATCCTGGCAGCTTTTTAGCTCGACACTTTAAAGACTTTACCTCCAGAAGTGACTAAACGTTCAGCTGCACACAAGAGCAAAAGACTTTATTTTCTGACCACTGCACCAGCTCATGGTCTCGATAATTCTCGAAAGTGGATACAACCTGAACTTCTCATGTGTATGATCGTAGTACTCTCATATCCCGGCCCATGTGTCTGTCTGGGACCGAAGCGGCCGGCCGGCCGGACAAGCGGTCACCTAGCTCAAAGATAGGCTCAGACCGGTCGAATAGTTTCCGCTAGCTCGATGCGGGAGATCACCATTGGATGGCCAAGCTATCCATGTCCTTTGGGGTTTTTTGTTTGAGTCTCCTGCCAACCGATGAGAGTACCTTTTTTTTTTTTTGTCTTGAGAGACAGGGGCCAAAATCTAACCCGGCGACTTTCACTGGCCGAGACAGGTGCGAGTCGGTACAACTTCTACTGCGGTGCTTCTTTCGGGTCGGTCAGGAGTGACTGCTCGCTTTGCAGGAATCAACTGCATATCAAGGGCACTGGAGTGAGCGTGATCATGAGCCAAAATAATGTAACAGGCTCTCGCGCATGAGAAAATTCGTATTTTCTCGGCAGATACTGCGGTCGCAGTCGTTTAAAGGCTATGCGAGGCAGGTGGGAAGCAACCATGCCAGACGCGCTCGAGCTCTGTAAGGTGAGTGACTTACATGCGAGCCCAAAGCGACTGGCTTCTCTCGTTGCTGTGTAACAAGCAACCCGTGTGTATAATCTGTGGCTCCACAGTCGTGCAGGACGACGGTCAAATGGAACCAGCCTGAGCTGATACGTGGATGGCGGATGTCGGATGTCGTGCTCCCTACCCCTTCTGTTCCAGGATCATAGACAATTTAGATCACTGCCGGCTAGCATGCTGGGTTGTTTCAAACTCTACTAATGTGTTACACATCGGGTCGAGTGGTTGTTGATGCCTAAAGTGACCGAAGGAAGCGGGCTTTTAGCAATGATTTTGCATGAGAGCAACTCATCCGAAGCTTTAAGGCCCGTGGCGCTTATGTACCGGGATTCTGAGTGGGTCCGAGCGTATGTCAGCTTGCTGTTGGACAAAACGCCTGTCACACACTGCATTCTTCCAGTGCGACAAGACGTTACATATCCTCTCCACTAGGTCCTCGGCTGACTGCATGACTTTCAGCTAGCTCGCAAAAAAAAGCAGTGATAGGCCCCTATTTGACTAGTCATGTATGAGGGATAAGCCAGCACGTTTTGTGGCACAGCAGGCTCGTGGCTTCCGATGGTGCCGGCTGGAGTGAACACGCGAGCGAAAGCTACACAGTAAGCGGGTCCCCTACAGCTTCCACCGCTGCCGCAGCTGTTACACCACGTCATCATCTTCGACCATGTACGCCACGAGGGAGCAAGGCGGTGTATGTGGGGATAACAGAACGTGCTCATACAAAACGCCTGGACAACCATGCGTTGGGTGCAAGTAGATGTAGCCGGTCCTTGGCGATTGGGCGGGTCTGGACGTCCGTATGTGTTCGTGCGCGCACGCTCGGGCACGGCACCAACAAAATCGGCCGATGCTGAACTGACGAAGGGGATGGAGCTAGGGGTGGTTGTCGGCGCCTCGGCTTGTAAGCGAATTGGTGCTTTGGGAGGGTTCCGTGGCAGGTCTGGATGAGATGAAGGCCCGAGGAGAGTTCCTGTTCTGGCATAATTCCTTGGTAGGTATTTCCGCCTTTCTTTCATTCCCTAGAACTGTTCCAATTCATCTTTTCGAGATAACTCTAGCTCGAACGCAAGTTCCGTAGACGGCCGTTTGTCGCGTGAAAATCAATATCCGACATTTCCGGCTGGATTGCAGGTTGTTGAGGGAATGCATGCGGCCGGGAGGTCAGCAGAGGAACAGCAGAGCCGGCGAAACCAAGCCAGAGAGCGGAGAAACGACGGGGAAACGGGATGGTGCGGGTCGGAGAAACCATTCAACATGGGGAAACAGCGACTCGGGAAAGGATGGCGGAGGCGGGGAAACTGGCAGCGGCGCAGCAAGGTCGGCTCGGGACGGCTTCATCCACCATGGTGCCGAGTATAGTCTCTCTGCAGGTCTTGTGAGCAGGCGGAATGGTTTGATATGATGTTAGCCCAGATAAATCGTATCCACATGTGCGTCACCGGCACGGCACGTAGCGTGGTGGCGGCCATGGAGAAGGGTGATATGCGAATTGAAAAACCCCGTGGTATATGCCGGGGCGGCTCATCCAGTAGGCCCAACGATCTCGGTGACTGCCGTAGTTGGAAAGATCCTGCAAGCGACGGGTTTGCCAATTTTGGTACTCGCGACATGCGCGCAGCAGTCGTTTCGGATGTTGGCGGGCCAATATTGGGTGGAGGAAAGACGTTGTGGTGAGATGGCGAGTGCACGGGCTACACTGGTGGTCGTGAGGCTCGGGAACTAGGCTCCAGGGCGGATCTTGTTGGGTCTGTTTGGAGCGGCAGGCGGAGGATCGAGTGCGAGTGTGGCGGCGGGCGACTAGAGGCAATTAGTGGAGGTCCAGTGGGGAGGCCCATTTTATATTCTCACGACGCTCGGCAGCGTCCCCTCTCGTATCCGCCTACTTTGCTTCAACAGTGATCGGCCAGAGGGGAGGATACGCCGGCCAAGGCTGTCATGACTGCGGTCACGCTGGGTCTGTGTTGTTGTTTACGAAGTCAGGCCTCCAGAGGACTCGCCGCGGACTGGAGGGTCCTTGCGCGATGGGCCGGCAGGGTTACCGGAACCAGGAGCGAAGAGAGAGCGGAGCAGGCTGGGGGAGCTTGGCGCAGAGGCAGCTTGGCGCAGAGAGGCCCGAACAGAGTGGGAAGTGCCGGTGCAGGTGGTCAGACGGGGCAAGTGCACGAATCACCTGCAGCCCGAAATGCCCAGGGCTGCCATTTGCCTTTCCCACCCCGCACGAGTTGCAACAACGCCTGAATCCGGGGAAACGATGGATGATTGTAGGTGTGTAGTCGTCGTGGCTTGCGGCAGACGAGAGGCGTCGTCGTTTCCCCGCCGCGAGGGCGCGCCAGTGCCTTCTCGACTCGCGGAGCCCCGCCATGGCCGCCATGGCCTGCCAGCCTTAGCCGCTTCCCTCGTCGCCACCAGCCCAGCCAGCTCCGCTCTTCTGCGCGACGAGCCTGCGAGGAACCGCTGATCTGCCGTGCCGGCTGCAGCAGGGAACACGCCCCGACTGTCCACTCGGAGCTGCCGGCAGATGAGCCTCGCTCGTTCAACGCCTCGACTGCGGGGCTGCCCGTCCTACCTGGTCCGAAAAGCCGCAGACATGGCGAGGCTCCGCTCAGCGCACCACCACCATCGTGACCGGTCCAGCCGGGCCCCAAGCCGAAGCCGCCCCGGCAGGCGTCACTCATCGACTATAAAGGGATCATGGCCGCGCTGCAATTGATCCGAGTCGAGTTCTTCAGCATTCCCGCACTCTCCTCCCGGTCCTCCATCAGCACTCAACTTCAACATGAAGGTCTCGCACACGGCTGCCGCGGTGGCTGCCCTGCTTGCTGGCACAAATGCCCAGACCAGCACCAGTGTCTACGCCCAGCCTGGTGTGCCCACCGGCACTCCGATTCCCGGCGACTACACGGGTGCTTTGAGGCCGCAAGTCCATTTCTCCCCGCCGCAGGTGTGTCGTCTTGCCCTCTCGCCGTTCAAGGTCGGACATGGACTGATCAAACGCTTAGAAATTCATGAATGATCCCAATGGCTGCTTCCTCGACGCAAACGGCACCTGGCATCTCTACTACCAATGTCCGTAGCCCCCCTCTGCGCGGCTGTCATGGGGACAGGCCAAGTTCTGACTCGCTCAATAGACAACCCCACAGAAAACGTGGCCGGCAACCAACACTGGGGCCATGCCACGAGCAAAGACTTGTACCATTGGGAGAACCAGCAAATTGCCCTCTTCCCGCCCGACAGTGTGTCCAACATCTTCTCCGGATCAGCCGTGGTAGATGTCAACAACACTTCCGGCTTCTTCCCTGACCAGGACAACGGCGTTGTAGCCATGTACACGCTGAACACGCCCACCAAGCAAATCCAGGAGATCGCCTACTCGTATGATGGTGGCTACACTTTCATCCCCTACGAGGGCAACCCTGTAATCGACAGCACGTCGACACAGGTCCGTGACCCCAAGGTCATCTGGTATGAGGACCACTGGGTCATGGTCCTCGCCTACTCGCAGGACTTTGTCATCGGAATCTTTACCTCGCCCGACTTGAAGGAGTGGACTCACGCCTCCAACTTCTCCCACCACGGCCTGCTCGGTCTGCAGTACGAGTGTCCAAACATGGTTGAGATTCCTGTTGAAGGCTCGGACGAGACCATGTACGTCCTTACCATCTCCATCAACCCCGGCGCACCGCAAGGTGGCTCCATCATGGAATACTTTCCCGGTACCTTCAACGGTACCCACTTCACTGCCGTCGATGGCGCTGCCCGCATAGCCGACTTTGCGAAGGACAATTACGCCGGCCAATTCTTCTACGGCACGCCCGCCGGCTCCGACGCCATCTCCATTGCCTGGGCCAGCAACTGGCAGTACACCTCAGTCGTGCCGACGGGAGACGAGGGTTGGCGGTCTGTTATGTCACTGCCGCGCCGCAACTATCTGGCCAACAACTACCGCGTGGGCTGGACGCTCATCTCGCTGCCCTACGACCTGTCCCCCGTGATCGGCTCCGAACTCGGCTCCAACGACTCTCTCGTCAACGCGTCGCTGGTCGTTGACTACAGCTCCGTCGCCAGCAACGCCATCTACTTCGAAGCCAACGTCACTGGCCTGCCCGAATCCGTCTCCGACGTCAGCACCTCCGCCACCCTCAACTTCACCGCGCTGTCGCCCGTTTCGGGCGAGTCCGTCTCCGGCGGCTACTTCTTCGGCGGCGACAACCCCTTCTGGCTCGACCGCGGCAAGACCCGCGGCTTCGACAACCCCTTCTTCACCGACAAGTTCTCCACCTCGCAGCTGCTCGGCACCACCGGCTCCTGGTCCCTCTCCGGCGTCATCGACCGCTCCATCATGGAGCTGTTTGTCGACCAGGGCGCGTCCAGCGCCACCGCCACCTTTTTCCCTGTGGAGCCCCTCAGCATATTTGCGATCAGGACGGCCGGTCTGCCCGAGGGTGCGCAGGTGAGCGTCGCCGTTTGGGGTCTTGATAGCGCATGGGCGCAGTATGAGAATGAGAACGGGACCGTGGTCGGGAATGTGACGACGAGCTCCTCGTCGGCAGAGAGGCGGATGCTGTACGAGGGGAGCTTCGAAGCGTAATTGAAAAGAGGAATCGGAAGAAAAAAAAGTCTGGATATACTGTCAACGATGTAATGCATAGAATGTTAATGACGATAGTGTCTGAATAAGAGGAGTCACTCAATGCGAAAATTCTGCAGTTGAATATCACACTTGAACGAATTTGTCTTCGTTCCAAGACTTGCACCTGGGCCCAAACATTATTGAATCCAGCTACCCGCGCAACTACGGTGTACATGATCACCACGAAAGAGATCCGGATGGGCTCAATGTTTTTGCAACGCACAATGACATCCCCTCGCGCACAAACAAGAGTTGATTGATGGGGTTAAGCCCATTCATCATCAGACAAATCCAAATAATCATAATCATCCCAATCCGACCGCTCATCATCACCCACTGCCCCATCTTCCACCAAATCTCCTTCCTCTAATTCCTCTCCACCACCACCATAACCAACAGCTCCATCCCCACTCCACAAACGCACCCTCCCCTCCTCACCACCACCACTACCACCACTTCCCCTTCCACCCTCCCTCACCCCCTCTTCCTCCCCTTCCTCACCCCCCTCCTCACCCCCAACCCACCCCATCTCCACCCCCCACCCCCTCTCAAACCCCCTCAACACCTCCCCCCTCTCCTCCCACGCCTCCGCCCTCTCCACGCCCCCCACCGGCCCCACCCGATCCAGCAGCCTCTGCACATGCGCCGCCAACGCCCTCCGCACCATAGGCGGCGGCACGTGCCGCTGTTGCCACTGCCACTGCCGCTGCCGCTGCCGCTGCTGCCCCTGCCTGTCCAGCTGCTGGCCCTGCTGCCCCTGCCTGTCCAGCTGCTGGCCCTGCTGCCCCTGCCTGTCCATCTCGAGCGCGTGGCTGGCGGCGTGGAGGTACGCGATTTCGGCGGCGGTGGGCGGCGGGCCGGCGGCGGAGGCGTTGGTGGGGTGGAAGGGAGTGGGTGGGGGAGGGGGGAAGGGAGGGGGAGGGGGAGGGGGAGGGGGGGAGGGAGAGGGAGTGGGAGTGGGAAAGGGAGGGGCGGTGGGGGTGGGGCTCGTGGAGCTCGTGGGGGTCGTGGGTGGGGAGAGGGGGGATACGATGGTGGAGGGGGGTGGGGAGGAGCGGGGGAAATATGTGAGGGCGATGGGGTTGTTGTTGTTGTTGTTGTTGTTGTTGTCTGTGATGTTGAGGCTGCGGCGGATGGTGGCGTCGGGGTTGTTGTTGTTGTTGTTGTTGTTGTTGTTGCGGTTCGTGGTGAAGAAGTTCGTGACCGCGATGACGGATGTGGGGGGAGCTCGAGCGGTTACGTCGGGGGGTGTGACCAGTGGGCTGGGGGGCGGGGTTATGGAGTTGCTGACGGACAAGTAGGATTCTGGGTCGGAGGAGGCACCTTCATACATGGGTTGGGAACGGTGGGGCCGTCTTTGGTAAGCATCGCGAGGTGGAAGCCTGACAGGCGTACGCTGCAGCCGTACATCGTAGTTGGGAGGATAATATGGAGGCGGTGGGCTGCTGGGCGTGTCGAGCGACGGCGCAGGACGGGAATGGAGACGTTGGCGTGCTGATTGTGCCTCAAGACCGCCCGCTCTGTCGAAACTAGTGTTATTTGGGCCATAATCTTGGCTGCTTTCGCTCCGAGAAAGTCCAGGACCATCGTCTTGAGCGCCGTCGAGTCCATAGCCCGTATAATTCCAGCGCAGGTTGTTGACTTGAGCTGCACACTCGTCCCATTCTTGATCGTCGATGGTCAGGGCACTGATTCTTGAAACAAAGCGAGCAATCTCATCCGACACTATATCGTAAAGATCGTTTTGGATCATTGCTTGCCGCAAGGACATGATTTGCTGGACCATGTGCAAGGGGCCATCGACTGGATCATGGACCGTGTGCCCTACAAACGCAACGGGCCGTCTCGCCTCGCGGAAGCTAGTGAGCTCTGTGTGCAGCACAAAGAGAGACGGGCAGCGCGACCCATCACAGCGTGTTTGGTTCGTTGAATGTGGGTCATGTGTGTGGGGTCGTTTAAGAATGCCGCGAACCAAGCGGAACACCTCGTACTGGAGAAAGAGCTGCTCAAGAGATCGAAAGTACATCTCATCGGGTCTACTGTGCCCATTAGGTTCTGTGAGCCTAGCCGAAGAATTATGCCTGCGACGCAAGGCTCCAACTTGGAGTGTAGCGGCGAGCGCCACCCGGACACAGGTTTGCACCTCGGAGTATAAGGCCGAGCTGAACACGCCGGTAACGGAAAGGGTGTTTACGAGGCCAAGGAAGCGACGCCATGGATCACTGAACGGTCCAATCCTGGAAATCTCTTGTGGCGAGAGTATTGCCCGTTGTCCGTCCATCACGACTCGGTGTTCGGATCGCGGACCTCTCAGGTTACCCCCCGTTCTGCGGACGTTGGTTCACTTCGCTGTGTGGGACCGCCGAACGGTGTCGGCCCTCGTAGAAATGTAGCAGAGTGGTTCAGCGTAAACCTGGTGATAACCGTGTTCTGGTCTGTCTTGAATAAAGGCGGCACTCTGGGGGCATATGCAGATTGCCGAAAAGGTGACGGGAAAGGCGGCTCCTTGCTGTGGTTTGGAGGGGGTTTGTGTTGACCTCCTGTGGCTCAAAGCGCTGTCAAGCAAGAGACTGTCTTGAAATCTGGGTTCTGGATATGATTGTTGAGTAGAAACGAGAACATAGGCATCCCCGGGCTGTGATAGCAATGGAACGACTGGGAAAACCGAACGGCTTGACTAAAGCGAGTTGTGATATAAGTCGGGGAGCGATATATGCTTGTTGGGCTGTTTGATGGATGAATGTGATCACCGGCTTCGAGTTGATTTTGGTTGCGCGTGTCTCCCAATGGAGGAAGTCGTCCCCCGACCAAGTCTTCATTGATGAAAGAAGCCGCGAATGGAAACCGTTCGCACCTTCCCCAGCGTTGTTTATCTCTGACCTGTGGCAATTATTCAAACCATGTCCTATGCATTCAGATTCAGGTCGGCAGCCTCGAACATGGCACGGCCCGCCAGATGTCCTTGACTTGCCGTTTGGTGACTATCTAGGCTGACATGCTCAGATGTAGCGAAGCGGTTAGTGAAGGACATATGACCAGGTCTGAGAGGGTCTAGTTGGGCTATTTACACAATATCGCTTGATCCATTGTGGATTTTCGCGAAAACAGAGGTATGGCAGTATCACTGCAGGACAATGTACTTATGCAGGTGCTGAGGTATCGAGTCAAGGAGCTTCTTCTCGGTCAACCACTTCTTCGAGAACAGCCTATCAGCATATCTGTAGGCACCATCGCAAAGAATAGTGACAACAGTGTTGCCCTTTCCGAGCTTCTCGGCAACCTTCTTGGCAGCAACGACATTCAGAGCAGAGCTAGCACCAAGATACAGGCCCTCCTCGTCGAGGCAGCGGTAAACCATGGCAATCGACTCCTCATCCGGGATGTGCACCGAGCCGTCAACAAGGCCAATATCGGGTTTCAAGTTGTCCGTGATGCGGCCCTGACCGATGCCCTCGGTGATGGAGCCACCACTTCGCTCAGTGAGTTTTCCGCCGCTCTGGATGTACGAATGAAGCACGGAGCCCGGTGGATCGGCCAGGAAGGACTTGACACGACCATCGGACTTCTCCTTCAAGTACCTCGTGACACCGGCGAGAGTTCCGGCAGTGCCAGTGGCGCAGGTGAAAGCGTCAATCTTGCCACCGGTCTGGTACCAAATCTCCGGGCCAGTGGTCTCGATGTGCGCCTGGCGGTTTGCAATGTTATCGAACTGGTTGGTCCACACGGCGTTGTCCATGGCCTCAGCGTGCCTCTTGGCCTGGTGGTTGTAGTTCTGGGGGTTGTCGAAGGCGACGGCGGGGACGGGGTAGACCTCGGCGCCCAGGAGCCTGAGCAGGTCGATCTTGCCCTGCGACTGGGTGTTCGGCATGTAGATGACCAGCTTGTAGCCCTTGGAGCGGCAGACATGGGCGAGGCCAATGCCGGTGTTGCCAGCAGTGCCCTCGACCACGGTGCCACCAGCCTTCAACAGACCCTGCTTCTCGGCATTCTCGACGACGTAGAGGGCGGCGCGGTCCTTGACGGAACCGCCGGGATTCTGGAACTCGGCCTTGCCGAGAACCTCACAGCCCGTCTCGTCGGAGAGCTTCTTCAGGCGGATGAGGGGAGTCTTGCCGATGGCTGTGGAGGACCTAGTCAGCAACCAATGGCTTACAAATGGTGGCGGGGAAGCGCACCGTCGATGAAGCCGCGCTGGGTGACGCCCTGGGCCTTGGAGATGCCAATGGCATACTGCTGAGCAGCCTCGATCTGCGAGATGTTCTCAGCGGCGCGGTAGGCAGTGGCGGCGAACCGCAGCACGCGCGTCCGGAACATGGCGAAGCGTTGTCGGAGCGGGGAGTGAGTGATGAGAGGGAGGGGCGCGAACTTTGGAGCCGCCGATTACGCAAGGCCTAAGTACTAGCGCCGCCGGGGAGCTCTGCGGCGGCGACCGACGCCAAGACTGCGACACGGTAGGTAAACACCGCCCGCGCGCGACTGGTAAACAACTCCGCCGCCGACACGCCACGGCAAGCTCCCCATCGATTCCCCACGCCGACCCCATGCCCGGCCGCGTAGCAGACAGGCGAAGGGCGCGCGCGTCCGGCGCCGCCGGCGCTGCGAAACCAGCTGCCACCGCCCGGTCGCGCAACTCCAGGGCTACTCGCTCCAACGCGGTTGAGATCCCCGATGAGGGCGAACCCACTTCTCTGCGCGACCACGTCTGCCGCATATTCGGCGACGCCCAGCGCACGACTGCCACCCAGCGCAAGCTCGTCGTGCAATTGCGCAAGGTCCAGGAAGCCTGTTGCTATGAGCCCGTCAAGCCCAAGAAGCAACAGTCCGACGAAGATTTCGGCGAGGAGGACTTCACCACTGAGGTCGGTCGCTGCCTTCTGCGCGTCCTGCCCGTCAAGAAGAGCGAGCCCGTAGGCGATCGTGTCATCAAGTTTGTGGCTTTGTTCCTGAAGCATTCGAGCGACAAAGGTAAGCAGGCCGGGCTTGGCCCAGAGGAACACTGGATGCTCACCTAGTCAGACAATCAAATCGCCCACGAAGCAGATCCGGACGAGAGCACATTTCCCTCGACACCTAGCAGTCGCTTGACCAGCTACCTCCTTCGCGCTCTGATCCCGCTCCTCACGGCCAAGGACAAGGTCGTTCGATTCAGGTCGACGCAAATAATCTCGCACATCCTCAACACGCTCGATTCTATCGACGACGAGCTTTTCCCGCTCATTCGCTTGGGCCTGCTCAAGAGGCTTCAGGACAAGGAGGCTCAGGTGCGTGTCCAGGCAATCTTGGGCCTGGGCCGCCTCGCGGACGGCGATGATGAAGAAGACGAGGACAGCGATGACGAAGACAGCGCGAAAGGTCTTCTCGTGCGGCTCTTGAACGCGCTGCAAAACGACCCGGCTGCTGAGGTCCGTCGGTCATTGCTGCTCAACCTGCCCCTTACTCCTACGACTCTACCATACCTGCTCGAGCGCGCCAGAGACCTCGATCCTGCCACTAGAAGAGTACTCTACTCTCGCTTGCTTCCTGCGTGTGGTGATTTCCGCCACCTGTCGCTGACTCACCGAGAGAAACTTCTGCGCTGGGGCTTGAGAGACCGTGATGAAAATGTGCGCAAGGCTACTGCCCGTCTGTTCCGCGAGCGCTGGATCGAGGACTGTGCAGGCGTGCCGGAAGCCACCCAAGACAGCAATTCTGCCGTGAAGCAGCTGTCGAAGCCGAGCTTTGATGCCCTCATGGAGCTTCTCGAGCGTATCGACGTCTCCAATTCAGGCATCGAGGGTGGTGTTGCTCACGATGCCATGAAGGAATTCTGGGATGGACGGCCTGATTATTGTGAGCAGATCAGTTTTGAGGACTCATTCTGGGACGACCTGGCTCCTGAAAGCGCTTTCATCGCGCGCTCATTCAACGACTTTTGCCGCAACAGCGGAGACAGCAGGCTCCAGACAATTCTTGAGGATAAGATGCCCGAGGTCACCAAATACGGCTACCTGATTCAGAAACACATCCAGAAGCTCATCCAGGGTGTCCAAAAAGTGGCAGAAGACGATGATCCGGAGGTCGAGGAGGAAACCGTCCAGCAAGAGTTCTGCGTCGAGCAGCTTTTCCACATCGCCCTTACGCTTGACTACACGGATGAGATCGGCCGCAGAAAGATGTTCTCAACCATGCGTGAAGCTCTTGCCATTCCGGAGCTTCCAGAAGAATGCACTAAACTGGCCGCGGAAATCCTTCGTACCGTCTGTGGCGACAACGTCGCAGGTGAGCGTGAGTTCTGCGGGATTGTGCTTGAGGCTATTGCAGACGTTCACGATACCATCCTGGGCGATGAACTCGATGAGGCTGATGCCGAGAGCTTCCATTCAGCACGCTCTGACCTCAACGAAGAGCATGAGGAAAGCAGCATGAGGGACAAGCTGAAGAAAAAGAACCCGGACATGACCGAAGAAGACCTGGATTCGGCCGAAGAAGAACGGGCTGTCCGCGAGATCATGGTCAACATGAAATGCCTTCATATCGCTCAGTGCCTGCTGCAGAACGTGCAGTGTGAGCTCGAGTCGAACAGTGCACTCATTACCATGTTGAATAATTTGGTGGTGCCCGCTGTCCGCTCTCAAGAAGCGCCCATTAGAGAGCGTGGCTTCGTCTGCCTGGGACTATGCTGCCTTCTGAGCAAGGTGAGTCTCTGCCCAGACTAACATGACTGAATGAACGTCACTAACATAGTCAAAAGAACATTGCCCAGGAAAACCTTGCCCTTTTTCTTCATTGCTTTGCCAAGGGCCATGAGGCATTGCAGACCATTGCACTCCAAATTATTACCGACATTCTAACTACCCATCCACAACTACTTGCTCCACCTGCAGATGCCGACGCTTCGGAATTAAACCCTCCAGCGAACCCGCTTCTCAAGCTCATTTACAAAATGTTCTTCAAGGCAATCAGGGCTGACGACCCCGGCGTTGCGACGACGGGCGTTGTTGCTGCTAGCAAGCTCATGCTCCTCAACATTCTACGGGACACGGATCTCCTCAAGGCTCTCACCATTGCATATTTCAACCCCGAATCGCTGCACAACCCGGGGCTTCGCCAAGCGTTGGCCTATTTCTTGCCAGTCTACTGCCACTCTTCGACGGACCATGCGGAGCGGATGGCAAGCATAACAGTTTCTGTCGTCCACGCACTGAGGGGCGTACAAGAAGAACTAGAAGAGGAAGACGTCGAGATGGTGGGCATTGGTGTTATTGGAAGCCAACTCGTCGATTGGACCGATGGGCGTAAAATCGTCGGCACGGATCAGTCAAATGGAAGAAAGCTTCCCACCGGAGAGCCCATCATGGTACTTCCGGGAGACGCGCATCTACTCCTCGCCAATGATCTCCTCGAGAAAATCCTTACCCCTGGAACAACCAGTAAGTATCATGTCACTATACGCCTTCTCCGATAGACACTAACTCATCTCAGGGGACGAGAAGAAGGTTTATGTATCCATGCTCGGCAAGGTGCATGTGCACCCGTCAAGTTCTCCCAAGAAGATCGAAACGGTCAACGATCTCGTCCCAGAAAGCCTTGACAGCCGGCTGGCCTCAACCGACGTCACCGCACGCAACGCCTTCACCAAGTTCGCCAACGCCCTCGCCAAGCTGTCCGCTCCGTCCGAGAAGCCCGACAACAGCGGCACGGTCGGCCCTGACGCGGACGAAGCCGAGCCCGACAAGGAAGACGACGGCAACGCCACCGTCAACGAGGAAGCGGCATCCGTCGCCGATGCCACCGAGGCCGAGGCTCCGTCCGTCGCGGGCGACGTGGATGAGATGTCCGTCGTGGAAGAAGAGGGCGAAGAGACCAAGGAGGACGTCGAGGAAGACAAGGACGATACCGTGGTGCAGGACGCGAGACCGGTGCCCCTGAGTATCGAGGAGCAGATCCAAATGCAACTGCAAGACGAGACCATGGCGGATGTCGATGCCGAGGGGACCGTGATGCCACCTGGAGATGAGATGGACGTCGACGAGGAAGACGACGACGAGCAGCAGGAGGAAGAGGAAGAGGAAGGAGAAGAAGAAAAGGGAGACGATGAGGAAGACGATGAGGAAGAGACTGTCGTGAAGCCGCCGACACCGACGCCGCCGCCACAGCCGCAGCCTAAGAGGCGCGGTAGGAAGAAGAAGGAACCGGAGCCGGAGCCGGAGCCGGAGCCTGAAGTCGAGCCTGCGACAAAGGTCAAGCTCGAGGAAGAAGAGATGGAGCTGGACGAGGAACAACCGAAGCTGAAGAGACGCGGCAGGCCGCCGGGCTCAGGTAAGAAGGCGGCGGCGGCGGGCGAGTCGTCAGCGGAGAAGAAGAAGAGGACGCCGGGCTCAGGTAAGAAGGCGGCGGCGGCGGCGGCGGGCGAGTCGTCAGCGGAGAAGAAGAGGAGGACACCGGCGAAGAGGGCCAGTGCTAGTCGGGCGACGACGGCAGAGCAAGACGAGGGGGCTGGCCCTCGCCGCAGTAGGGGGAGGCCGAGGAAAGCGGCGCCAAAGGATGTTGTCGATGATTTGTTGGAGAGCGACGATGAATAGAGAGGAGGACTTGCGATGCGACGGGTGTTATGTGGTTTTGAACTGGGTTTGGGCAGGAGGTGTCAAGGGTTGGGATCCTAAATAGACTACCTACGGAGATGGAGTTTTATTTTTTTTTGGCGTTTTCAAGGGATGAGGTCGTTGTGGTCAACAACTTGATTCCTTTTTTTCCTTATGAACGTTGGGTTGATGCAATGAAATGAGCTTTTACGGCCTCTACTCTGCATGTACAGAACGTTGATGATTTACTGCTCGTTGATTCATTGTGATTTATGGACTGTGATGGGCCGCCGCAACAGTGGCCGAGAGGAGTGGATACGTTTATGGTATACTGCTGCTGGTGGTGTATGAGTTGACGGTCTGCTTTGTACTAGCCCATCAACCCGCACAGGTGCATGATGAAGCATCGATCGAAGTCCGTCAACCATAGGTTCGGCTGCCGAGGAACGCATCTACGAGGTGCATGGTATTACGACATAGAATTGTGAAAAGGTTCGATTCGAAGAAACCCCCCCTTACCCACGAAGAAGGAGCAGAGGGGTTACAGAAATGTTTCACGAGGCCTCCGCAGTAACCCAAGGCTGAGGCATATTGAACTTCGCTCCTTGGCACAGACCGGGGGCGTCCTCGGCAACATTTTGGTTGAATAGAATCCTAGTACATGCTGCAGCATCACCTTTCTAGAATTGTGACCTTATCGAGTGCAGCTGAGATCCTCGGCTCATCCTGTCATTTATCTGCTCTTGCAGACCACAACGGCAAAAACCAAAAGCAACCCAAGTGTGACGAAGATATATTGATAATTATATTGGGCTAAATCGGTCATGGGACAACAACTTAGCTCTAAGTGAATATTCAGCACGAGACCCCCGTAGTTCCGCTACAGTCGAAAAGAAATTTCACTTGCTGGGACATATTGGCGTTTTATGAGAAATTAGAAGCGACATCAGAATCATGGCGTGCATTTAAGTCAGGAACGTGGGTGGCAAGTCAGGGCCTGAATTAGATGCAAGTGTCAGCTCACCCAATGGTATTTCGGCACAATAATTTGGAGATTCATGCTTACCCCACACGTGTAGGCTGTCCGGAGAAGCTGGGGTGACATTTGTTGGATGTTCGTTGTCGAGCAGATCCCCGTCCACGTAATGTTCCAGAATGAACTTTGACGGGTCAAACCTGCAACGGCGGTTAGAACATATACAGGATAGGACTCGTGCAATGCTTACCAATAGTCGAAAATTTGACTGCCCATGATGTGGCGTCCAACACCCCAACAGTTCTCGTAGCCCTTGTGCCGCAGCCAATCGTGACCGAGGACTTGGGTGTCGAAGTCATGAGTCTCAAATGATGAATGGTGGACATGCGGAGCCCTCGGTCCGGAGAAGAAGAAGAAGGTGTGGTGGTCAACGGGGTCCTTGCCGCGGTCAAGTCGCATGAAGACAGTCACGTTCTCTCCCTTGTCGTTGGTGTTTTGCTCGCTGTCGATGAAGTTGAAGTGTTCGTGGTAGAAGCTGTAAGCCTTGTTGAAGTCTGTGACACAGAGTCCGAAATGGCCAAGTTTGTGGACAGGGGCCGGCTTCTGTTCGAAGCGCTGGAACTTGCCCTCGGGCCTGTGCTTCTGGGTGGGATAGTTGAAGGCGAGCTCTGGCAGGACTTTTTCATCGGGCGCAGGGGCTTGGCCGTGGACCAAATGCATCTCGAACCCGTCGACAGGCTCCTTGAACGTGACACATTTCCCGCCGCCGGGAGCGTCCTTCAACTCGTACGGCCCGGTAGCATCCGGCAGTGCTTGGGAAGCGTGGTTCAAGTCATCCTCAGACTCGACCACAAAAGCGGCTCCACCGAATTCATCTCTGTCGCTTTTGACCAAGCAGTAGACAAAGGGTTCGCGGCCATAGCCGCGATAGTAAATCTTGTCGTCGGTCCTCTTGCATTCCTCGAAGCCGAAGTCCTTCAAGAAATCGTGTGCTTTCTCCCAGTCTTTGTGCCGATAGTAGACGTGTGCGATGCGGACCAGCTGAATCTTTCGCCCGGATTTGGCCATAACGCCTCAGGTGCAGTGATGGAAACGGTCCTGGGGTGTAAGAAGTGTCACCTGTGGGGTTCCGGGTTTGGAGAATTGAATGATTGATTGTTGTTGGTCTGGAAGAGGCGAGGAAGACGGCGACAGCTGGGCTTCAAATATTGTCTGCGGAGATAGAAATAGCATTCCTATGATCCCATTCTGCCGTAAGCTCCTGGCCAGCGTCTTGGTCCGGAGTCGCCGCGAGCGTCGCGGCAGTTGGGAGCCGGAGCTGAGGCGGGGTTGCCATGTGGAGCGATCGTCAGCTCCGTCATCCACCCCACAGTAGCCCCTCCAGGGACCCCGCACCATGCCATGCCAACGCGTGCTGTGCCTTTTCTCAGCATGCAAAGCTACTGGACAGCTCGATGCTGATTGGCGCACGTTCCGGTTCTGGTTCTCGGTGTAGGCGCGAGTGGCATCCACCAGCATGATATTGCGCAGCAGCAGTGGTGTTTCGGGCATTTGTGATCAACAGCAGCTCAGACAGTTGCGGTAAAGGGGATGCCGCCAGACGCCTCGGGACCCCTCACTGGGGCGATGGTAGCACGGAGGAAGCATTGGGCTGAGAGCAGCATACGGTGCCGATACATAAATCCGTAAGTCCGACTATTGGAGCGTCACACGGCTCGAGTACGTAGCTCTCTTTCCAGAGCGTCCATGTCTGTGCTGCCTTCGATGCTGCAATGCTTCAGTCTCGGAATCGGCATTTAAAATTAAGTCCGACCGGGGCCGGCCAAGGGCTGGGGCAGCAGCAAACTCACGCTTGGACATCCTTGTTGAACAGTGAATACGCGCTCAATTCTCCCTCTCTCCGCTTGCCTGTGTTGGTGATCATTGCCCACAGCAGGCCCACGATAAGCATGGCTTGGCCGTACCCGACGGCGACGGCGACGAGCTGCAAGACAAGGTAGAGCTTGAACTGGACCGAGTTCCTGAGATGGGCCACAGCTCGTTGGAGGAGCAGCGAGGGGTTTTTGGAGTTCTGTTCCTCGATGTATTCGTCGAGATGCAGGTCGGCCTTCTTGATGTGGTATGGTTTCTTGACCCTGGCAGCCTTTGCTGAGTCCTTTGGTTTCGCCATGTCGAGCGGCTGCCGGTGACAGGTGTGACTACGGCCAAGAAGACTGCAAGGTGTCCGCGTGAGGGATGATGCACGGGTGGGGTTGGGGGGGAGGTCAAAGGGCGGGCAGCAGCGAAATGGTGGCCGCGGCTTCCCGAAACGTGTTCTCGCTCGCGCTCGCTGGGAGCGCGTCCGCGTCGCCAGCACAGGCATAACATCATCATATCCAACACCCACCCGCGCCGGCCGCCACCATGCATTCTACGCTCGTCCGCGCGCAGAATGTCTTCGGATACTTCACCACCGTAGCCGCCTTTGTCGCTGCCGTCATTGCGCTCTCATCCTTCGTCGCCCCGCAGACTCCCTCGGGCACCCTCGAGCTACAGAACGTTCAGGTGTACGGCTACTCGTCCTTCCACCCTTGACCCGCCCCGCTTATCCGTGTTTCTCTCTAGTGTCCGCGGCCGTCCGCATTACTATAGCCCCAAGAGGGAGGAGTACGCGCACATCAGATTCGACCTCGATGCGGGTAAGTGCCTGTCCAGCATTCGCAAGCGTTGACTGTCTCCAAGCTGACATTGGCCCAAGATCTGACGTCGCTCTTCAACTGGAACACCAAGCAAGTGTTTGCCTACATTACCGCCACCTACCCGTCTACCGATCCTTCCGAGCCTCCTTCGCAAGCCATCATTTGGGATTCTATTCTCGCCTCGCCCTCTGCACCATGGCATGAAAACCACTACATTCACCCGGACCCCAAGGCCAAGCGCGCGAAGTCGAAGGCCGTGTCTGCCTACCCGCCTGGCGAGTTCCATCTCCAGAAGCAGCGGCCCAAGTACCAGATCACCGACATAAGTGGACAGCTGGCCAATAGGACCGACGTACAGCTCGAGCTTGGGTGGAACATCCAGCCTTGGGTCGGCCTCCTGACATGGGCCGACTGGCCACCGGTTGCCAAGTACGGCGGTGCATGGAAGGAAATCGTAGGTGGCAAGAGCAAGAAATTCCAGTTCCCCGCTCTGAAGGCTAAGAAGGAGGCCGACACTGCCACCGAGAAGGGGAAGGAGAAGAACAAGGAGGGCGTGTACTGGTAGAGGGGACGGTGGCTCCGGCGTTTGGAATGGGCTAATTGGTGGCCGAGAATGGCCTTTGCATGCCGTAAGTGTGCGTCTCAGCGAAGCATCATGTCTTTTACTGTTGATATTTCAATGCGAGAGTGCTTCCCGGGAAAGTTTTGGATTGTTCAAAGCAGAGAAAAAAAAAATGAGTGTCCGGCTAAGCCCTAGCCAACTCCCTAGATTGCTCTATCCCTTTTGATCTTGCGTCACATCTTTCCTGCACCCATAGCACGTGCTCCGCTCTACATGTTCGTAACTTGTTTAGAACGGAGATAGGAAGCGGTGATTGTTATCACTGCGTGCAACTGCCGCACTTTGCATGGCCACAGTTGACGCAGGCGGGCGCGACCACCATGGGGCCGTCTCCACAGGAGCAACAGTACCACTGCGAGCTGGGCATGGTTGGTACTCGGTATAAGACTGGAGATTCGGGCAGAGTTGAATGAAGACAGGGCTACAAAAGCAGGTGAGCAAAGTTCCGGATCTTCTCCTGAATACTCCTCGATTGTTGCTCACCTTGGCGCCGTGTTTGTTGTGTGCGTGCAGGCTCAGTCGCTATGCTCGATTCGTAAATATTTGGCAATCGTACGCTTTCCAAGTCAGTTCTCAGGCAGCACTCAGACTCCAACACTTTGATGCTTACCTTTTGTTCTTCGAGGGGATCTTGAGTCTGCTGGTTACTCACCTAGAGCTTCAGAAATGGTCTTCATATACTCGCTGGTGCAGCCAGGCCTCCCGCGCCCACGATGACCGCAAGCTCGCCCGTTCCACACCGAAGCCTCGACTATACGCAATGTCGAACCACCGTCATCGGGTACACCGAGATAGCTGTCAGCCGGCGCCTCCGGAGAGATGGCGGTAAAGACATGGTGTCGAAGATGGTAGCTTCTCAAGGGTCCTCCAGGTTCAAGCCGTTATACACCGCTCGTATGTCCGAGGGCCTAGCATCAGGCAGAGACCAAAACTCGTACCATTCGAGAATTAGGCATCCCTTCCGTTTTCCGCGATGCTCGTGGCAATGACGGTGGAGGATGCTAGACGTACCTTCGCATCTGACGGCAAAGGCGCAGAATACAGGCGTTCCAGCCGCGAGTAACCCCACGGGCTATGCTCCGTTCTTGGTCTGGCCGCTTTCGCTCCTGCCCTTCAATCGGTTTCTGGATTGTCCATGGGAAACTCTACCCGAAGCCGCTCAGATGGCTTTACGCCATCTGCATGGGTACTACTGGTGTACGGCCGTGTTGCGGGGCACGTTGCGCAGCAAGTCACTGATCGACACCATCTGTGTATGCTGTCCCGTACTGGAAAGGAGTTGCTGACCCGCGTCTCGTCCACCTCTTTGTTGACAGCCTGTGTACAGCCGATTGACGTTCCGATTCGGCTGAGAAGGCGCTACAGCACCATTCTGCTCCGGGGTTCGAGGGACGACGTGCTCCCTCGGTCCATCAATTGTATGGCTTGATAGTCTTGGAGGCTGAGTTCGTTGCACAATTTTCTCTGTCTCTCGCCAAGAGCGAAGGCTTGAGCCGCATGGGGGTCACAAATACGCCTATAGGCTGGATCCCCGCAGGCTATCAACGCCACAACGACGCGCCCGTAACGCCGGAGAGGCGCGTGGCAAGGCGCACGATCAGCCCTGCGCCATACCCTGCAGTAAATCCCGGTGTGAGTGCCGGTGCTTTCAGGGTCACGAGGCTGCGACAGTGGGCGCTCCCTCCTCCTTCCCGCCTGCCGTTTCGGGGTATCTTTTGGCCCCCAAGGAGGCAGACTTCACCTCCACCACGACCATCTAAGCGTCTTGCCATGCGTTCAGTCACAGCCATCACATCCGCCACATGTTCGCCTGAGGTAATTTTGCTGGAAGTCGAGCCTGGCAGGAGCTTCTGTGCCGCGATCGCCTGCCGCCACCAATCTCGGCTCCTGCAATCACTCTCGGATGGTCGGTGTTCTTACCTCCAGCATACTCTGTCCGTCTTGAGTCCCATGGTGGAGGCTCAACCGGTCGGGCTGCAACGTCGGGATCCCCAGACCGCCCTTGTCAGCAGCAACCAGCGAGGCGCCGGCACACGGCCGCCTGCGATCGACCCATGGACGAGCGGATTCGCCTTATCATGCTTTGGTACCCATCTTTCGTACAATTCGTCCATCGTAGCTCTCTAGGGGGAGCGCGTACGCATACCCTTTTCGAAGCTTTCTAAACGTTCCGGTTACACGGCAGACCCACACGCCCCCAGGCAACAATTCCCAATCTCAGCTTCTCTGGTGCATGCGTTAGTGCCGTCACTCGCATCACGCCTTTGTCCTATCCGCAGTCAATGGGCTTCTTTTCCGTCCCTACTCGCTGGACACCAGCCAACCGCGACAGCAGACGCGGCCGAGCCTGTTAGCCATAACCAAAAGGCACGGAAATTTTGCTACATCCGCACTCCCCAGTCATCTAGTCTCATGTGCTTTCCCTTGGCGCTTATGTGGTCATTGCGCACCCTTAGGTCCGCAGCAGAGCCTCCAGAAGCTTGACTGATTCTATCACTCACCCATCTGCCCTCGGAGAACGACATCACCGAGCTGTAAGCATCCGCGCCGAGCGAATCGAGGCACGCACGGAGGTTAGGCCGACTACGCGTGCCCTTTGCGATTCTGAGCTTGGTCGACTCTCATTTGTCGCCACAAGCCACGATCGACTATACGATGAGGCTGCAAGGCCTATACGGATGACTATACAGACTGCAGAGCTGGCCAAGCTTGCTAGCCTTTCAGGCGGGCAACATTCAATTCGTGAGTTCAGCTCCATTGGCCAAAACTAACAGCCCTCGTGTAAGAATCACGATTAGAGCACAAGACAATACACCGCCAGCGCAGCTTGTTCGGACGCGCCTTGACCATGGTGAGCCATTAATGCGCGTCATAACCCTTCTCGCTTCCGCACTTTGTCAGGAACGAGTCATCAAGATGGATGACGAGCTGGACAATGCCTGATTTCACGCCTGACTGGAGCCACAGAACTTCAGGCAGCGAAGACAACTGGCGCGCCAAGATGAAGTTCTACGCCTGTCCTTCCGCCATCAATCGCGATTGCATTGCTTGGTCATCGCACAAAGTTGCCATCAGCTGCGAGGCGGTGTGCAGAGAGGTCTCGTTACATGCTGCAGATGTCTCTCATTCTCCCTGTCAACCAGCCTCGCCCACGCTACAACTAGGGCTATTTACGTCCAGCAGGTGATACTACAATCGTCAGAAATAGCACTTCCGTACTCAGTCGAACTTCCTACCCCACAGTGGCCAGCCACCGACCTCACAGCTTGCACAATGTTTCCACCTCGAGCCGCATGTCTCACGTTGCTATCCCTTACCCCTCACAGTACGTCGACCGCTTCTGTTTCTTAGCAACCGTCTCACCCACTAGAACATGCCGGCACTTGCATAGCGGAAAGAGGTCCTATTGGCACAAGTGGCAGCGAAGTAACCGCACCTGGTCAGCACGGAGCCGAGACTTACACGTAGGCCGCGTCTCGGATGTTCGAACCGTGTTCCACGAGGCGAGCAAGCGTTGTTGCCTGGCGAATGGCCGTAGCGGTGTGGGAGCCTTCACCTCCCCCGACCGTCGACGGCCACATGCCGAGCCCCGAGGGCTGATAAGTAGCCACCACGTGAAGACCAATCCCCGTACAAGCGCCCGGGAGCATAAACAAGGTCGATTTGAAGCGGGTGTCTACTCTACCCGGTTGGCGGAGAGGTATCACGTGTTGTTTTGGGGGCGTTTGATGGTGGTGAGTGAATGAACCATCATTGATGACGCACCTCCCGGCCACGATAGGCGGTCACCAACGCCCATGTCCAGGTAGGCGTGCGTGAGAGTATGGAAAAGAGGCTGGCTTTTCGTGCGTTTCTCAGCTAGAAGCGGTGTCGTGCTCACGATCGTCGCGACGCAGCCCCGATGACGACACCCAGCTTCGTCGCCGCCGAGCTGCAATTCCGCCTCGCCTTGTTCACCCACAGCCACAACCGGCGGCCTTTCTGTCAATCTTGGCCTGCGGGTTGTTTCAACGCTGCCATCTGGCGGTCGAGTGCTTACGCGTTGGCAACCACACTTAACTTGTACAGTGACCACGCCGCAGCCCAACGAAGCCACTCGGGAAAACAAACACCGATGGTGACGACGAGTCTTCCGCACCAGGACTAGTCACTATCGCTACTGCGCATGGCCGGGCATCAGCTAGGCGATGAGCAGTCTAAGGGAATGGGAAATTCAGTGGGGAAGGTTCAAAGGGCCAGGCTGGATTGGACTATGGTGTTGAATCTACCTCTGGCAAACATTCATCTACGAAGACTGAAGAGCACACACTGGCTGGCGCTGGGAAAAGAATGGGCAAAAAGCAACTCAGGTTGGCTCCCATCCAGCAACAGCCCCTTATGCGAGCCCACTCAGGCTTGGCACAGGAACCGTAGTACAATGCCAATCCAGAATCGAACCCACAAACTTCCACCAAGCGCTCGCCTTCCCTAATGAGGACACCCAACGGACCACAGAACTGCGGAGTTGATGCCTTAAAGGCCCCGGTGGTGAGGCATAGTGGTGCAGCATGCTCATCACACTGACCATCCGTTTTGATGGTGGAGCATTCGCTTTCGAGATCCATACTCTCTCCTCTCCTCTCTTCTCCTCTCCTCTCCCCTCCCCTTTCATCCGACAATAGCGAAAATCGACAGCGGTCTCCATTGGCTCGGTCTCCAGAAGTGATCTCACCTACTGCAGCCGCCGCGGCAACTCGGTCATACCCATCAACTCCGTCTCGCTCGCCACCTTGGCCGACGCCTTGTTCCCACGCTCGCCCCACCACGACGGCCACTGCGACCGCCCCCCTCGCTCGACATCACCACCACCACCACTCCCTTCCCCCTCCCCGCCATCCCCATCCCCATCAAACCTCCCCGCCACATACTCCCGCCTCCACCCCTCCCACCACCCCCTCCCACTCACCAACGCCCCCCCATAAAAACAGCTCCCCCCATCCCCACTCACCACCAACACCCCCGTCATACTCGCCAACACCCTCGCCACCCCCGCCACCTCATCGTCCCCATCGCCACCATCCCCAGCAGCGCACTCGACGACATGCAACCCCGCCTTCCGCCCCAACCGCCACACCAACCACACGCACAACCCCCTCGCCGCCGCCACGACGACGAGGAACGCGACGACGGTGTAGAAGACGACGACGAGGTTGCCGCCCCACTGCGCGCCGAAGAGGAAGGTCAGCGCGATGAAGACGAGGCCGGTGAGGAGGCCGGGGAGGGTGTGGTGGGCGGGGTTGCTGTTGGTGCTGTTGTTGTTGTTGTTCGTCGCGCGGAGGAGCACGGTGAGCGGGCGGAGGCGCGGGATGCGTGGGGTTTGGTGGCGGGTGCGGAAGAGGAGGGGGAGGGTGGAGTAGAAGGAGGTGGGGGTGGAGCGGGGGCTGGGGCTGGGGCTGGGGCTGGAGCGGCGGCGGCGGCGGGGGTTGATGCGGGCGGCGGCGGCGAGGAAGAGGCGGTGGAGGGTGGTGAGGGGGAGGAGGAGGTGGGTGAGGGGGGTGGGGCGGGAGAGGGGGGGGAGGGATGTTTCGGTTGTTGTGGGGGTGGTGGTGGTGGTGGTGTTGCTGCTGTCGTCGTCGTGGGGGAGGGAGAGGTTGGCGGTTAGGGTGGATTGGGCGAGGGGGGAGAGGGGGTAGAATTTCAGGATTTGGTGGCCGCTTTTGGAGAAGCTGTAGAGCTTGGCGATGGAGCTGATGGCCGTGCCGCAGATGAGCCAGATGGAGTAGTTGCTGGGGAGGTTAGCAGCGTGTGGAGGCTGGAGGCTGGGGGAGATGGCTGACGTACCGGCTGTTGCAGGAGCCGAGCTGCATCGGGATGCCTGCGGTGCTGAAGAGCATGGTTCCGAAGAAGGTCACGAAGTAGCTGGGAGGATCAGCGCGAGTTGGGATTCAGGCAGAGGGGTGGAGGGTGCACCTGACTAGGATGGTGGACGAGTCCATCAGCGGGGCGAAGGGCTCCCTGTTGGGCCAGTCGTTGACCACCCGAGACTTGATCTTCCAGAACATGTTCTCACACGCTTCCCCCTCGGGCGTGCAGTCGGGCGAGCGAACCGGCTCCATGTAGCCGTCGAGGGGATCTTCGGACCAGCTCAGGCTCGGCTCGGCGTACCAGGCTTGGAGTGCTTCCATCCTCACCCTATACCGCGCTTGGTTCGACAGCGCATTCACGCGGCGGCCAAGCTGGGCCAGGCCCTTTCTTCCGTAGCCGGTGAACGACTTGGTCTCGAACCGCTGCCGCCACCCGACGACGGAAATCTGCGCATGGATGAGCGGCGCCGAGGCAGGCGGAGCGAAGCAGAACGTACAGACTTGACGGGCAGACCCAGCGTCGACACGGCCGAGGCCCCAGAAACAAAGACGCCGGCGGCGGCGGCTTCGGAGAACTTGGGAACGTACAGGTTCCCCAGGGTGAGCAGTGACGGGAGGAGCGTCAGCAGGGTGCCCGCGGCACTGGCGCCGGCTTTGTCCCACTCGCTCGCGTTTTCCAGATACTCGTTGACGGCGGCGCGGCAGGCCTTTGCTCCACCGAAGCCCACGCCCATGTACGAAGCGGCCACGAGGTTGCGCAGCACGGCAGCTCGGTCCTTTGCGCCCTGCAGCTTTTCCGCAAGCAACCGCCTCAACTCGGACGTGGCTTTCGGCGGATCCTGGGGAGCCTCGGACGTCTCGTTCAGTCCGAGGGTGCTGTTGACTGTGGACATGAAGTCGGATCCGTAGGTTGGCGACGACTCGTTGCATGGGAAGGCTTGCTTGGCGTAGCTGTTGAGGTCCGTTTGCATCTCGCCGAGGTGGTCAGAGGAGCCGGTCCTGCTCTCGTCGTCGTACCATGATGTCCAGTAGTCGAGGGCCCATGCTATGATTCTCCATCCGTTGAGCTGGTCCTCCAGGTACTCGTTGAGGGTGGTGTTGTAAAGCACGCCTGCCACATGGAAGAAAGACTGCCGCCCGTCTGTCTCCAGCTCTGGGCCCTTAGCAGTGCTCTCTTTCGTTTCGTTACTCTTGTGGAAAGATGGTTTGCAGCTTGTTGCTTCTGATGCCGCCGTTGCCCCGTGGACAAAGAGCACAACGAGCACCACAAGGAGAGGCAACAATAGGGAATTTCGTTGCGCCATCATTCCCCAGAATCAGCAAAGCTAAAAGATAGAGGTTGCGTGTCTGGTACTCGACGAAGTCGGGCGGATCAATAATGCCCCAGACAGCGAATCCGCAGATGGAAACATGCAAGGCGCTTGAAGGATTCTCTCATTGCGTAATGGCTGTGTCGATCGGCATTTCTGCGGGCTGTTCTTGGAAGCTGCTTCACCGAGGACACTGAACGTGCCCAATCACAGTTGTGTCTTCCAGCTTGGACTGTTGGTGTGTGGGGGCTGAGATCGCCTTGCGTGCATTCGCGGTGGCGGCCCCTCCAAATGCTACCACTGGCAATCTTGCAGAATCAGTCAAAGGATCGTCTGTGAATTGTGCCAGCCGTCTCTCGTTATATGTATATCGGATATATATGCACACTCCAGCAGTATCCCAGCTTTCCTTCACCTCCGACCCCCATTGCACGAATGCGCAGCCAGCTGTGCATTTAAATTCTTACTAACAATCCCGCTCTCCACCAACCCTAGATATCAAGACGCCGCCGCCGTCAGCACCCAGTATGCAGAATGGAGTAAAGAAGAAAAAAAACATACCCTTATAACTCCACTGCAGCGCCTCGCCCGCGCCGCCGCCCTTCTGCACCTTCCAACTCCAATAAATCCACCCCCTCGTACGCTCGTACTGCCACTGCTGCGCCGAGAAGTAGCTGCTCCAAAAGTCGCGATTCGCCACCTCGGGCGTGAAGCCTGCGCCCGTCTGCGCCAGGCTCATGGCCCACTCGCCGACGACCTTCTTCTCGCCGCCCTGCAATCCGGTGCGGCGGTCGTCGCCGCACGCGTACGCCACCACCTGCGCCGGCGTCATGCCCCGCACGGGCACCGTCTCGTAGTTGTGGTCGTCGAAGAGCAGCCCGGTCTTCTGCGCCGCCGTCAGGTGCGCCGCCGGGTCCGTCGCGCCCGACAGGTCGTGCCAGAGGTCGTCCATGATGGTGATGCTGAGCGCCGAGCGCGACGTCGGTGCGATGCCGAGATTGGCTTCGGCGGCTCGCACGGCGGAGATGGCGGAGCCGTAGTAGTGTTCTGTCGTCCAGCGGATGTCGGGGTCGTTGGGGCTGTTGAACTTGGGCTCGTTGAGGAGCCCGATGGCGCCGACGGTGCGGAAGTAGGCGGGTTGCGATTGGATGGCTGTGGTGAGCCAGGAGAGGAATTTCTGGCGGCGTTGGGTTTGAGGAAGAGAGAGGAGTTGAGGGGGGGAGAGGGGAGTGCTTACGTATGCACGGCCGGATTGGTAGTCGGATTGATAGAAGTAGGCTTTGTCCGAGTACTGTGCATGTGTCAGAACCAAGTCCCTATTCAATCCCATCAGGACGTGGCCATCATACGTTACCAGTAAACGGCTGGTTGGCGTTCTGTGTCCCGGGAGCGCCGTGCATCTCTGAGTGATCAGTTAGCAAATCATGTAACCCCATATGGATGCAGCATCACTGACCGATGATGACATACATGCCGTTCTCCGCAGCATGCTGGCACAAGCTCTGCAGGTACGCGAACCCGCCCTTGGGGAAGTACTCGCCACTCGCCACCAAATCCTCCTTCATCCACCAGCCCACCGGTATCTACAACGACTCGCATCAGCACGACCGACCAACAAACTCCGCACATATCTACCCCTCCCCCACCACCAGCAAACCCCTCAATCCACCTCCACCACCACACAGCACACCATCACACACCCTCACCACACACAATCAATCACACTCACCCTAACAGTATTCAACCCCACCCCCACCATCTCATCCAAATCCGCATTCGTGACCCACCCCGCCCAATGCTTCTTCCACGCCGCGCTCGCCCTCGCCACATCCCCCCCATACGCCTGCTTGACGCACTGGAACTCGGCTTTGGTGGTTCCACACCCCATGGCCGCCCACTCGTCGCCCGCCATCCACGGCTCGACGACGAACTGCGAGCCGAGGTTGACGCCGCGGATCTTGGATGTGGCGGCGAAGCCGCTGAGGGTGATGCCCGGCGGGGGGGAGGTGGGGAGCCAGGCGTTGGTGGGGTGGGGGGAGTGGAGGAGGAGGAGGAGGGGGAGGAGGGGGAGAAAGATGGGGAGGAGGGGGAGGTGCATGGTTGTGGTGGTGGTGGGTGGGTGGGTGCGGGCGGGCGGCTGGGGGAGAGGATGCGATGGGAGGCTCAGAAGTCGATTTGCAAGGGAAGAAAGAGCGGTGATAATATAATGGCTGGGTGTCTCTTATTGTCTTGCTTGCTACGATCGAGCACGGCGCTGCGAGGCCTGGTAGGCATGATGCGGTGGATGTGGTGGATGCGGTGGGATGCGATGGATGATGGGACGCTGGACGCTCTGATGCGTCAGGCGGGCTGGCCTGCTGCCAGTCCGTCAATGTTCCGACGCCAGGCTAGCATGCAGAGTTACATGGGTGGGTTTTCTTTTCTGGTGTCTGATGAACTACACGCCGGGGGTTTGTCTGCGGCTGTCTCCGCGGTCTAGCTCTTGCAGACGAACGACAAAAAGTGCTTGGATCTCGGCCGGCGCCAGTGACCTCAGTGGGAAGCATGTCTTCCAACTCAGGCGGCGGCATGGCTTAAACGGGTAAGAGGCTGAAGAATCAGGGACTTGTCCGGGGAAGGTGTGGCTACGTTGATCTGCCTGCAGCGATATGCATGAGATCCGAGGAACCAGACATATCTTCAGCATGGGTGACATCCCGGGGAGACGTATCTGTAAGGTGAGATGGCAGGAATGCATTCCAGCGTGGGATGAGGCGTCCGGGCGCAGCGCCACTGTGCCTCGATCGGTGTGTGAGTCCACAATGTCTTAGTTCAGTTGGCTCAGTGAGAGGTGCAGTCGACGCGGTTGTTGACTCTGCACCAGTTGTCTCCTAACGTCTCAAAGGATTCCAAGGTCTCCATGTCGAACCCTATGCGCTAGGATGAGGAGTTTCCTAAAGGGGTAAAACTGCCGCGGCGGCTGCGGCGGGGTATGGTGGTTGACCATTGCGCACGAGGCCGGCGCGTGTTCCGGCTGATATGAGACCTCTATTGGTTTCGGCTTCAACAGCTTGCGCCGGCGGTCCGAAGTATGGACGGGTTTTATAGCTTAACCTTTGCTGTAGTGAAGTAGGAAGACAATGTCAACGCACTGCCTTGATGCTCATCGCTACTCGCTTATGACGGCCTGATTTTCCATGCTGTATTGAGGGGAAAAGGCTCATTGCCATCTGACGCAGCTATCTGTTGGAATCAGATCATGCTAAAAGCAACATGCTCAAGAGTGGCACCGGTAAGGGTGCGACAAGGGTGTTCAAAGATAGGGAGACAGAAACTCTGTGCCGTATATTAGCCGCATTAGCATAGGGTCCATGTAGATCTCCCTAGAATGTACGTGGCATGCACAACCACGAATTGTACTGGGGTGTGGCGTAAGCCGCCGACCAAATAGTACGCATGTGCCAGGCCATGTGCAAGACGCTTCGCCGGACCAGAGCAGAGTGGGTGCGCTGCATGAAGAATAAACACAGTTTCGAGTCCAAATTGCGTCAGACGGCTTCGGTGTTCGGCGTGTGCAAAGGCATGTGCCTTTGACGTTGCTTATGGTTAATATGCGTTGAAACAGGGCTGCAGGGCCGCAGGGCCGCGTTGGTTTCCCATGTTGCATATCGGATCACGGCAATACCTTGGCTACCTATGTACCAGGAAGCTCTTCTGCACAGAATTCCCTCGCCGTAGAGATGGATTCTGGACCGAACTCATGACAGGTGAAGGGTATCAACGTGCATCGGTCCGCGTCCCGGGCTGTCGATCGAACGGAGGAGGCTCACAGTCCCAAACACACGAAAATAAACCGGAGGAAGTGCGTTGGGCTCTGGGTGTAAGGCTGGGCCAAGTAATCGGCCACTGTAGCCTTCAATCGGTTGTAGCCGCATGGTTGTACCCACGAGAATTGCCCTTCGGTGACGGAGGCCGTAGGATGCCTCGAGGGTTGCTTGGCGAAGAGGAGTCAGGTTTCGTCAGCAAGAGCTACGCCCGCATACAGCAGCTAAGAACAAGGGTCTCGAAAAATCGTCAGACAGCTAAGTAAGCGACCATTCAGGCGACAAGGGAGGAAGCTAGAAGAGCCCATGACCCTCCGGCCTCCACGTCCTCTCCTGGGCGTGGTTGCCCAATGGCGGCCTGGATGACCTCAGATAGCAAATGAGGCGCAGTCAGAGATTCATGTGCAGGATCGGCTGACAGGCGGAGGGCTTGATCGTCATAGGCTGTTACACACGGTGGCATCCCCCACTTCTTGTCTCGACTGTCAGTCAGCGCCCTACTGACGGCAGTGGCAGCCCTGTTGAAGGTAGGTGCCCGTGAACAGCCTGCAGCCGAACCGTTTGGGTTAGCTGCAGCTCCCCGCCAGGGATGGATGTCTGGGTCGGAGGTACAAGTCAAGAGCCCCTCCATACGACGAATCGATTGTCTTCGCAGCAGTGCACTCTTTCTTGGTTCGAGGGTGAAACGAAGCGCAAGCCAAAGCAAACAAAGCTCCAAAGAAGCCTCTTGTTGGATTTGTGAATGCAGAGGGGCATAGCACAGAAGTGAATGTTTGCGGGAACCGGGCCGAGCTGCGGAACCGGAGCCTGAACCACGCAATCTTCTCTCAAATGGCTGAAGCGATACAGTAGATCGTGAGTCTTGTAACAGTGAAATGAAGCGTTGCGAGTATGGCTTTCAAGCATCTTGGGTGAACAACTCCAACAGAAGACACCTTTACCTGTACGTAGTGGTGATAGTTGATCCACCTTAAGGCACAGGCGGCACCAGGCGGTCCCGAAGCCGCGGCAACAACTGCGGGGCAGCCCATTACATCCGAGGACTATTCCGGACATCCACAACCATCAGAGACTCGCTTTCGATTCGTTCGCACACCATTCCCTCCTCGCTATGGCCAACGACCGTATACGAAATGCGACCGCGACCGCGACCGCGACCGCGCCCGCGCCCAGCAACTCAGACCTGGCGCCATGGAGCGAGCCAGCGTGGCACCACGCACTAAACTCTCCTTACTACAATGATTCCCACCGCCGGCTGCGCAACTACATGCGGGCGTATTACGACGAAACAATCCTGCCGTTTTCCCTCGAGTGGGAGGCAGCTGGCGGCGCACCCCGTGACGCATGTCGCGACTATGCTGCGACGGGGCTCGCCTTTGCCGATGTGCCCGCCGAGTATCGACCACCTCACATTCCCGGCCCGGCGGGGATCCCGGTTCAACACCTCGACACTTTCCATCTGCTGCTGATGACTGACGAATCTTCACGGGTCGAGGGCGGCGTGGGCGTATCTCTGGCCGGCGCCTCTGTCATTGGTGTGCCGCCGGTGATCAGATGGGGCACTGAGGAGCAGAAGAAGAAATGGTTGCCGGGCCTGTTTGACTGGTCCACGTCGTTTTGTCTGGCCATCACAGAGCCATCGGGCGGCTCTGATGTCAGCAACATTCAGACGACTGCGACGAAATCGCCCGATGGGACTTTCTACGTCGTAAACGGGTACAAGAAGTGGATTACAGGTATGCCATGGGCAACCCACATGACGACAGCTGTGAGGACAGGTGGCCCTGGAATGGGTGGCATCTCCGTGTTGGTGATTCCTACCGATTCGCCAGGCCTCTCTCATCGGAGGATCGAGAACAGCGGGCAGAGGGCTGGCGGTGCATCGTGGGTTGAGCTGGACGACGTCAAGGTGCCGGTCGAAAACCTCGTTGGTCGTGAGAACGACGGCTTCAAGATCATCATGACCAACTTCAACAAAGAGCGGTACATCATGGCCGTGGGGTGCAACCGGAAAGCCAGGACATGCCTGTCGCACTCACTGGCCTATGCACACAAACGCTCGACGTTTGGCAAACCGCTCGTCAGCCATCAGATCATCCGCCACAAGATCTCGAACATCGCCCAGGGAGTCGAGAGTCACTGGGCGTGGCTGGAGCAGCTGGCATACCACGTCCAGCACTCCGAGAAGAAGTTTGACGACCCAGAGATTGCTGGCAGAATAGCCTTGGCCAAAGTGCAGGGTGGGAGACTCTTGGAAATGGCGAACAGGGAAGCTCAGCAAATCTTCGGCGGAGCTGGTTACCAGAAAGGCGGGGTCGGTGCAACAGTCGAGCAGATCAGCAGGGACCTCCGGATGATGGTTGTCGGTAAGTCTTCCTTGCAGATGGGCTTGGGAACGTTTGGGCTGACAAGACTCAACAGGAGGCGGAAGCGAGGAGATTCTCTCGGATTTGGCCTTCAGGCAAGAGACTGCCTTATCTAGGAAAAAGGGATGGAAGCTGTGAACAGATACTGCTGGTCAAGGAAATTGGAATCGGTAGGATTGCTGCAGGGGGGAAATGTTGCAATAAGCTTCAAAGGCTCGCGAATCGTTTTGGCACGAGGAGGACTTCATGCCACAAGTGGAAACCCGGGATAGGCGAGCAGTGGAGGGCGTGAAGAATGGAGCGGTCGCACGAAATGGCTTGCTACACGGCGCTCGGATCCGGCTTTTCGACCTTCTTACCGTCTTCGATGACCATGTACTCGTCGCCGACCATCATCTTCATCTGGGCCTCGTCCATGAAGTTGTCGTGGTCGGACGACAGAGCGTGCGACTCGCGGTCGTACATGAACTTGGCGAAGCTCAGGTAGTCCGGGAAGACAAAGGTGCAGATGGCGTCGTAGTCGAGCAGCTGTGCCTTGCCCTTCATGATGTCCTGGGTGACGGTGCGATCGTGCTTGAGATGGAAGGTCTGGCGGCGGCAGGGATGAGTGAAGTGAGTGGAGGGGCACTGCAGCGGGGCGGCGACGTACCAGCGAGTAGGTGATGATGTCGTGCTTCAGCAGGACGTCGGCGGCCATGGTGGCGTGGTGCTTTGTGTAATGCTCGACAAAGGCCTGGTCGGCGATGCCGTCCTTTTTCTTGACCATGATGGTGGCCTTGGTGACCTTGCGGAAGCCGGTGGTGCCCGGATAGCCGGCCTCGAGCACCATGGTGGGGCGGGTTGGGCGACGGTGAGGCGGCGGGGCGGAGGGGGGTGGAACAGGTGGGATGAGGCCGGGGGATCGCCGGATCGCCGGGTAGGTTGCATACGTAGGGTGGTAGGGCGCGGCTTCGATTCGTCGGCGCGCTGGCTGTGGCATATCTGAGCCTCCAAACGTCCCAGCCATCGGCACCTTGATGGCCACGGCCCCTCAGCATTCCTGCCCAGCGCTGAGCCAATTCCCGCCGCCAGACCCTCGAGCCAAGTTCCGGTGCCGCATACCTGGCCTCACTGCCGCCGCGGCGCCCCAATCTCCCCAGCCGGCCCGCCCCCAGCCCGCGCTCCAGAGCACACGCCCGCCACGCCAGCTGTTTGCCATTGTCCGACCCAGGCAGCCACCGGCCTGCGTATGTCATTCACCCTGTGCCGCACCCAACTGCGCCGCCTGGAGCATGCGTATCACCTAGCTCGTGGACTGAGCACCGTCCAACACGCCAGCATAGCCCCTCGCCGCTGTTCTGCCATCCCGCGCCGCTGTTCCTCCGCCCTCCAACCCTCACCAGCGCCGCTAGGGCCTGACGTGCTTCCAACAAGTCACCGCGGCGACAATCCCCCCTTCCGCCCGCCCACCCGCAAGTCACCCTCCCTCCTCGCCCGCCGCACATACACCACCGCCATGGCCGAGCCCGTAAACAGCCGCGCCGCCCTCCCCGAGCGCTTGGCCGAGAAGATGGAGCGCCCGGCGCTCGACGACCGCACCTATCGCGTCATCCGCCTGCCGAACAAGCTGGAGGTCCTGCTCATCCATGACCCGGACACCGACAAGGTCAGCGCTGCCATGGACGTCAACGTGGGCAGCTTCAGCGACGCCGACGACATGCCCGGCATGGCGCACGCTGTGGAACATCTCCTGTTCATGGGCACCAAGAAGGTCAGTACGAGTTTCGTGTCGTGCGCATCGAGGCCGCCGGGAGTGTGCTAACCCAGTCGGCGCCTGCAGTACCCCAAGGAGAACGCGTACAACCAGTACCTGACCGCCCATTCCGGCCACTCGAACGCCTTCACTGCCTCCACATCGACCAACTACTACTTCGAAGTCGCCGCACAGTCCAAGACGCCGCCCACGAGCGAGAACTCGTCGGCTGCGAGCAGCCGCGTGGACCTGTCCACCAGGGCCGGTTCGCCGTTGTACGGCGCGTTGGATAGATTCGCTCAGTTTTTTGTCGAGCCGCTTTTCCTCGAGGGCACGTTGGACAGGGAGCTGAAGGCGGTGGATTCGGAGAACAAGAAGAACCTGCAGAGCGATACTTGGAGGCTGCACCAACTAAACAAGACTCTTTCAAACCCCAAACACCCCTTCTGCCATTTCTCTACCGGCAGTTACAAGACGCTCCATGACGAGCCTCTGGCGCGCGGCGTCAAGATCCGGGATGAGTTCATTAACTTTTACGAGAGAAACTATTCGGCGAATCGCATGAAGCTTGTAGTTCTGGGACGCGAGGGCCTGGATGATCTGGAGTCTTGGGTCTCGGAGCTGTTTTCAGAAGTCAAGAACAAGGATCTGCCGCGCAACAGATGGGATGGCGTTCAGCCCTTCACTGAAAACGAGCTTCTCACCCAAGTGTTTGCTAAGCCTGTAATTGACATGCGCAACATCGACCTCTATTTCCCCTACCGCGATGAGGAGGAGCTCTATGAGTCGCAGCCCGGTCGTTACCTCAGCCATATGATTGGTCACGAAGGACCCGGTAGTATCCTGGCTTACATCAAGGCGAAGGGCTGGGCGAGCGGACTGGGGGCTGGGCCGGTCCCTCTTTGCCCCGGCTCGGCCTTCTTCAGCATCTCCGTCCGCTTGACTGAAGATGGCCTCAAGAATTACAGAGAGGTCGTCAAAACTATATTCCAGTACATTGCGATGCTTAACGAGCACGAGCCTAAGGAATGGATTTTCGACGAGATGAAGCGCATGAGCGAAGTTGATTTCCGCTTTAGACAGAAGAGCCCGGCTAGCAGCACAGCCAGCTCTCTCAGCGGCATCATGCAGAAGCCCTACCAGCGCGATCACCTACTCAGCGGGCCTGCACTGATTCGTAAATTCAACCCGGAGGCCGTCAAGGCAGGTCTCGCCTGCCTGCGGCCCGACAACTTCCGCCTGACCATCGTCAGCCAAGAAGTCCCCGGCGAATGGGACCAGAGGGAAAAATGGTACGGCACCGAGTACAAGTCAGAGAAGATTCCGCAGGACTTCCTTGCAGCCATCAACGAAGCGGCAAAAGGCACTGCAAGCACACGCCCGGCGGAGCTTCACCTTCCCCACAAGAACGAATTCATCCCGACGAGACTTGAGGTCGAGAGAAAGGATGTGGATGAACCCATGCTTGCGCCCAAGCTGATCCGCAACGACTCCAAGGTTCGTCTCTGGTACAAGAAGGACGATCGCTTCTGGGTGCCAAAGGCAAACGTTCACGTCACGCTTCGTACCCCACTTGTCAGATCGACCCCCCAGGCTGCTGTTATGGCGTATCTCTACAAGGACTTGGTCGAAGATTCGCTGGTTGAGTATTCTTACGATGCCGAGCTTGCTGGCATCGCGTATCGCGTGTCCCAAAGCTCTCTCGGACTCGACATTTCCGTCAGCGGATACAACGACAAGATGCACATCCTGCTGGAGAAGGTTCTCACAACCATGCGAGACCTGGAAGTTCGCGATGACCGGTTCAATATCGTGAAGGAGAGACTGCTCCGAGGATTCCGCAACGCCGAGTATCAGCAACCCTACTACCAGGTTGGCACCTACACTCGTTGGTTGGCGGCCGAGAAGGGCTACATCAACGAAGACTATCTCGCAGAGCTTCCGCACGTCACCGCCGAAGACATCCGCCATTTCTACCCTCAGGTTCTCAAGCAGACCCACATCGAGGTTCTCGCACACGGCAACCTGTACAAGGAGGATGCGCTCAAGATGACAGACATGGTGGAAAGCACCCTCAAGGCGCGCCCACTCTCGCCTTCTCAGTGGCCCATCCGCCGCAACGTCATCTTCCCCGAAGGCTCCAACTTCATCTACGAGCGTACGTTGAAGGATCTCGCCAACGTCAACCACTGCATCGAATACGCTTGCTCCGTCGGCAATAACCAGAACCGTGACCTGCGTGCAAAGCTACTTCTCTGGGCTCAGATCACCGACGAGCCTGCTTTCAACCAACTGCGCACCAAGGAACAGCTGGGCTACGTTGTCTTCAGTGGTACGACTCAGAGCGACACGTGGATGGGCTACCGCATTCTCATCCAGAGCGAGAGATCGCCAGACTACCTCGAAGGGCGTATTGACAACTTCCTGCTGTATGCCGGGAAGATGCTGCAAGAGATGCCAGAGGACGAGTTCGAATCGCACAAGGAGGCCGTGAAGAACCGTCGGAACGAAAAGTTGAAGAACCTCACCCAGGAGACGAACAGGCTGTGGACGCACGTGTGCAGCGAGTGCTTCGACTTCGAGCTCGGTAAGTCATTTTCGATTGTTTCTCTCGCCCGCTTTATCACGGCTTAAAAACTAACGCGAGACGCACAGTCGACCAGGACATCGCTCACGTCTCGCCACTCAAGAAGTCCGATCTCATTTCCTTCTTCGACCACTACATTTCCCCGCACTCGGCGACGCGGGCCAAGGTGTCGGTCCACCTGCTCGCCCAAGCCTCGCCCGCCGCCATCGCCAGCGCCGCGCAAGACACAACCAGCGCCGAGCAGCAGATGTCGTCGCTCACCACGCTCGTCGTCCAGTTCCTCAACTCGGAAGGCGTGAGCCCGGACGCAACCGGCCTCGCCAACCGCCTCGAGGGCGTCAACGTCTCCGGCGGCGATGCGCAGGGCATCGTCAAGGCCATCTCCGGGCACTTGCTCGAGGACCTGAAGGTGGAGCCGAAGAAGGCGGAGGAGGTGCTGAAGAAGGGCCAGGAGATGATGCTGAGCACGGTGTTGCCGGGCTTGGGCGTCAGCGTCACGGCGGCAGCCAGCAGCGGTGGGGAGGAGGAGAAGAAGGGCAAGGGCACAGCGCCGGTCAAGATCACGGACGTCCGCGATTTCAAGGCCAGCTTGCAAGTCTCTCGTGGACCGAGGGCGGTGAAGGAGTTGAGCGAGTTCGAGGATTTGGAGTCGAAGCTCTGATGGGGTGAGTGGCTTGAACAAAAGGCGCTATTCTTTTTGCTAGAAAAGAGACGTTACGGCCTTGCGGTTCGCTAGGTCGGATCATGATATACGTGGAAGAAAGAGTTGCGTTTGCGTCGACGCTTGGTGGTCTCCTGTTGGACTCTGCTTTGCAGACCTGGCTTCTTCCGTACAGGTTCTGGTTCGGTCAGAGAGAGAAAGATAGATGTATTTACCTATCCTTCAACGGCAACGATAAAGAAATGATCAATCGGAGAAATATTCTATTGCCGTAAACCATGTATGCCTACCTCTCCGCTTGACGATCGCAGGTGGAATTGTTCCTTTGCTTCAAGGGTTGAACCAAGTAGAGTTCTCCTTGTTGGCTCCGAGAAAGGTCAACGGTGTGATTGCGGGAAGTGCAACTGGAGAGTAGTCCGCACGTGTGGGTCCTTCTCCGGTGTCGACGCTAAACCGAAAACGGGCGTGGGGCGGCGCTAAAGTCATAGCATCCCAAGCCAATCCCGCTCCTCCCCATCTCATCGCCATCTCCAGTGTAGAAATATTCCCCCGTGTCTGTCTCCATCTCGGCGCATCAGTCTGCTCTTTTCAATCCTTTTTTTTTCTCAGTCGTCGACGGGATCAAACAGTCAGTCCTGTGAAAGAGCAAGGGGGATCGATTTCTTATTATTCTCTCCGGCCTCTCGTCTCGTGCAAAAAACCACCCACCCCATCGGCACCATGGCAGAGACCATGAAGAACCAGCAGCAAGCCGCCGCCGCCGTCATCGCCGTCGTCGGCTCCCTCAACGTCGACCTCGTCACGCGCACCCCGCGCGTGCCCGTCGCCGGCGAGACGCTCCTCGCCCACGGCTTCGACACGGGACACGGCGGCAAAGGCGCCAACCAGGCCGTCGCCTGCGCGCGGCTGTCGCGCACCGCCGCCCAAGCCCAATCCCAATCCCAATCCCAATCCCAATCCCAATCCCAACCATCCCAAGCCTCGCCAGCATCGACATCCACCGACGTCGAGGTGCGCATGGTCGGCGCGGTCGGCGACGACGCGTTCGGCGGCGCGTTCCTGGAGGCGCTGCGGCGCGACGGGCTCGACGTCGGGCGCGTAAGCGTCGTGCCCGGCGAGAAGACGGGGGTGGCGGTCATCGTGGTCGAGGAGGCGACGGGCCAGAATCGGATCATGGTGAGCCTAGGGGCGAATGGGAGGGTCGAGGCGAGGCCGTTGCTGGAGGCGGACACGGCGCTGGCGGTGTTTCAGCTGGAGATTCCGATGGGGGTGGTCGAGGTGAATGTGCGGGATGCGAAGGCGAGGGGGATCGATGTGAGTGATTGTTTTTTCTTCTTTCTTTTTTTTTTTCACTGCAAGGCAGGTTGGTCGTTTTTCGTCAACGGGGTATGTCTTTTTTTTTTTTTTGCTGACTGTTTGCCTCCCGGGAATCAGGTCCTGATCAATCCTGCGCCGGCTGTTCCGCTCTCGGATGAGCTGTATCAGGGCTTGGGCCATCTCATCGTGAATGAGTCCGAGGCGGCGCTGCTGACGGGCAAGCCGGTGGAGGAGATCACGCCGGATTCAGACTTGACAGCGGTCGCAGCTGACTTTATCCGAAGAGGCGTCAAAAACGTTATTATTACACTTGGCGGCGCTGTAAGTTCCCTTTTCAAGCCATGCGCGTGCTTACTTGTGTTAATGACGTGTCAGGGCGTTTTCTACCATACGGCGACTCGGCAGGCAGATAACCAGCCGGGTAAACTGATTCCGGCTAGGAAGGTCAAGGTGGTGGACACGACCGCTGCGGGCGACACCTTCGTTGGCGCGTATGCCGTGGCTGTTGCGAGGAGCAAATCCCAGTCTGCAGCTGGCACCTTTGATATCGACTCTGCCATCGCCTTTGCCAACAGGGCTGCAGCACTGACCGTTCAGCGCCATGGAGCGCAGGCAGCAATTCCCTGGGTTGATGAAGTACCAAAGGCTTGAATAGCGACGTACCAGCGCCCTTGCTCCGAGTAAGCCTTTGGACAATTTGCTTCGCCATTTGCTCACTTCGAGCATAAGCCACACCACCTAGAGCCATACTTCAGACCCAGCATTCTCGCCAATACCAGACTTTGTCAATATCGGTATAAGATCGACCCTATGTGTTTACTATCTCTCTGTCTTAGCATTCCCTTGTCCCCTGATGATTCCCCGTTGTTGATTTACCATGTATTTGGTCTCATCGTGGTCTGGCTTTTTGATGCAGTCGATCTCGAAAAGTCTCCGAAGTAGGCTCCGTTTCATTTCTAATAGATTTATTTTTGAGCGGTCTACTGCTTTTTTCGATCCTATGGCATTCATTCGGCCACTTCCCCTGTTCTCTTATCTCCATGAAACTACGGCATTAATTGCTCATTGGACACGGACAGATTACACTTGCACCGTATCAGGCGATGGAGTAAGCATCTATGGGTCTACAGCAGGGGGTGCAACTGAAACTTGGTGTCAGTCCATCGACGCTAGCCTCTCCATCAACTCAACCCCGCACTGCTCACATCAGCTTTGGTATATCCTGGCTTATATCTCGGGTCCAGATATAGACCCCCACTAGCAAACTTCCTTGACTCTGGGAGCCCGTAACCATTTTAGCACCAAGCTGCACCCGTTCAACAGATATATTTGGATGCACTTCGAAACTACAGGTCCATCTAGTCCAAGACGGCAAGAGAACATGACTGCCGACACAACGCCCTTCCAGACTCCGCAAGCATCCTTGAAGGACATTGGGGGGGCTCTGCCCTCGACACCTATTGCCGAGGATGTGGATCATTTCGACGTTGCCGACCATGCCATCAAAAACCTACGCGACATGCAGCCCTCAGCTATGCTGGACGACGCCATGTGGCGAGATCAGGTCGCCTTGACTGGAACGATGCGCACATTCCATGGCTCACGCACCGTCTCGCTGGCGTGGAACGAGCTCACTGCTGCCAACAGACCTCGAGGCTTCTCCATCCTCGCCAAGTCTTCCAGCGTTGTGCGGCTGGGGCCAGCGCTGCACTGGATCGAGGCTATGTTTACCTTTTCCCTGTGGCCGGAGAATAAGAGGCAGAAAAGCTGCACCGGCATCATCAGAGTCGTGCCTGTCGGCGGCGAATGGAAGATCTGGCTGATCTGCACGATTCTGGAAGACATTCCAGACTATGGCATAAGCGATTCCATGCAGCCACTGACTCCAGAGCAGAGTGTCGAAGAAAGAGCAGCGAACAGTATTTCCTCGGGCAAGGATCGCTTCGATGCTGTCATCGTTGGGGGCGGGCAGTGTGGGCTATCGACCGCGAGCCGTCTGAAAGCTCTGGGCATCTCGCACGTTGTGCTGGACCGCAACGAGGAGGTCGGAGGCAACTGGCTTACCAGATATAAGTCATTCACGCTACACACGTCCAAGTCAATGAGCGACCTACCGTACGGCGGCATCTTCCGGCCAGAGGATCCGTACTTCCTCACCAGCGCTCACATCGCCGACGGCTACAAACGCTTCGTCGAGCGCTGGGGTCTCAACTTCTGGCCTTGTTGCGTTGCGAAGAGGGCCTCTTGGGACGCCGAAAAGGAAGAATGGAGCGTAGAATTCGAGCACACCAACCCGACAGCCCTCCCAAGCGGCTTCGACGCCGCCAACGGCAGCGTCTCGGTATCACCCCTCGTCACCCGCCGCACCATCCATGCCAAACACCTCATTTTCGCCATGGGCGGCGGCGGCCAGGTCCCCAGATACCCCGAAATCCCCAACCGCGCCGCCTTCACGGGCGAAGTCCTGCACTCAGTCAACTACACCAGCGCCGACGCCTGGCGCGGCAAGCGCGGCATCGTCGTCGGCTCGGGCAACTCGGCGCACGACGTCTCGGCCGACATGGTGGACGCGGGGTTGGCGTCGGTCACGATAGTGCAACGGTCGCGCACGCCCGTCCTGACCGAGGCCCAGTACCACGCATTCTTCGATCCGCTCTACCACGAAGGCTCCGACGTCCCGCTCTCTGACCGCATCATGGGGAGCCCGCCCTTGCCCATCACGCACAAGATCATGAAAGCAGTCCTCGGCGCCATGGCCGCCGCGATCCCCGACTACTTGGACAAGCTGGAGCAGGCGGGCTTCGCGGTCGACCGCGACATCGACCTGGGCCATTGTCTGTTTGAGCGCTTTGGCGGTCACTTTTACGACGTCGGCACGACCGAAAAGATTGTCAACGGCTCCATCAAGGTCAAGCACGGCGCCATCGACAGCTTCACCGAGAGGGGTTTGCGGCTCGTGGATGGGAGCGAGCTGGAGGCGGATGTGGTCGTGTACGCGACGGGGTTTGTGGGGAACGTCCGGCATGCCGCAACGGAAATCGTTGGTGAGGAGGTCGGCGCGCGGCTGGAAGACTTCTGGGGCGTGGATAAAGAGGGTGAGTTGAGAGGCGTGTCCAAGCCGATGATTGGGCAGAAGAACGTTTGGTATATGGGTGGGGATACGGCTCTTGCACGGTTCTCCTCGAGGCTGCTTGCGCTGCAAATCAAGGCGGATCTGGAAGGGGAGACGTTGGACGTCTATCGAAAGACGCCGGGAGAGTTGAAGAACTGATGCGCCAACGATCCAAGAGTGTCTCCCATTTCCTTATTTATTCCCTCGTTACCATGTCCCGTCCCGCCCCGCCGTACCCTGTCCGTTGTCCTGATTCGTGCATTATTCATCCCCTCCTTTCCCCTGTATTCGTCCCTGTCGTCTGGGCTTCATTCAGCTGGAAGCTCCCATCAATCCAATGTCTTTCCCACCAGCTTGATGGCGCCCTCATTGTCCTCCTTGCCGACCAACAAAAACATGACCTCAACGCCGACCCATTCCAGCCATGTGATGCGCCTGTCCAGATACCACAGCAAATCCACATTCGCCACCACCCTCCCTTTACTGTTCATCCACCCGTTCGCCTTCCACTTGTCCAACCCTTCCACCCCAGCGCGCACCAGATACTTCGAATGCGTCTTGATCACGACTTGCGAGAGCGCGCCGTCCTCGTCTTCATCCTCCTCGTCCTCCTCATCCTCCCCCTCGTCTCCCTCATCATCCCCCAGCCCCAGCCCCACAACGCCACCACCACCACTCCAACCCGTCTTCTTCTCAACCCCAGCAACATACCAATCCCTACTCCCCGGCGCCCCCATCGAAGTCGCCACTCCCCCCTCCTTCTTCCTCGCCCTCCTCTCCCCCCTCCTCGCCCTCGCCCCCTCCTCCAACGCCCTCACCACATCCGCCACCCTCTCCAACGCCCGTATCCCCGCCAACAGCTCCACCCGCTGCCTCGTCACCTCCCCGAAACTGCTGCCCCCGTCCACGTGCCCCGCCGGCTCCATCCCTTCTTCTCTTCCCCCTCCCCCTCCCCCTCCTTTCCCACCTGCATATTCTCCTCCTACTTCTCCTGCCCCTCCGACCCCCACCCCCGGATACTCCTCATCCAGCCTCACGACCCTGTTCAGCGGCGACGCCGGCGCGAAGAAGACGGCGGCGGCGGCGAAGGGCCGGTGGTGCGCGTGGTGGTGCGAGTACGCGCCGTGGATGGAGACGAGGATGGCGTCGGTGTGGAGGGGCGGTGGTGGGGGTGGGGACGTTGTCGTTGGAGGCGTTGGAGGCGCGCAGGTCGGGTCGCGGCAGGTGGGGTCGGGGCACCGCGGGTGCGGGTGCGGGCAGGGGAGGTGGGTGAAGAAGGGGGGAGGGGCGGCAGGGGAAGAGCCCGAGGAGGGTGAGGAGGGCGAGGCGGCGGCGTGGAGAGCTTCGAGGGAGGTGATGGTGTGGAGGGTGGTGGTGGTGGTGGCGGTGGTTGGCTGCCGTGGCGGTGGTGGTGGGTCGAAGGATGAGGATGATGAGGGTGGGTGGAGGCTGCCGCCGCCGATGCCGCTGCTGCCGCCGCGCGGGGGGTTGTAGGAAGATGGTGGGGAGGGGGAGGGGGAGGGGAGGGCTGGGGGGGAGGCGGAGATGGCGGCGAGGTCGGTGAGGAAGGACTTTGGTTGCGGGGGGGTGGTGGATGGGGTTGGGGTTAGGGTCGTGGAGGAGGCCATGCTGCTTGGGGTTGTGGAGCGGGAGGGGGAGAGCGTGGGGTAGGATTTGAGAAGGAGGGTGGGAAGAGGGTCGTAGAGCCGGGTCGAGGACCAGTCGGTGCAGGTTTTGTGGGCGTTTTGTTGGACCATGGTGTGCTGTGTCGTTCGTTTCTTTGCTGCCTTTCGCAGATATGTATTTTCGGTGTATGACAGTGTGTCTTAGATGTAGTGATTAGCTCATGTTTCACGGCTGTGGAGCTGTAAAGGTGGTACCTGGAAGTGGTTGCTCTATAGCATTGAAGAAGCAATAGGGGCGGGTCCCAGGAACATGCCCGTCCCAGCGGATAGAAATCGTCCAGAGGGTTGTTGCAATTGAGCAAAGGGCGTCGAAACACTTGTCAAACACGGTAACGATCGAGGAAAAGGATTGACGGGGTAGCGAAGAATCATTGTAGGGCTACATGTCGCATTTTTAACTCATGAGATCCACTGTGCGGTCAAGGACGGCTCCCTATCCTCAGACCGCAAGACTGCAGCCACGGCGGGTCGAGCCTCCCGGGCCGCGGAGGGCGGACGCATTGTGAGCAGACGGCATTGTGCGCTGAGCGCACGAGACAAGATGGACACGTGTGAAGACGTTGGTGGATCCCGCACAGACATCCGCGAGCCGACTTGTGGGGAAGGTCTCACTGGCCTGGACGAGTGCGCAAATTTGTGCGGGCCTCTTGTGCAGTCTCGATCCTCCGTCCAACAAGTGCAGGAGATCCGGAGATCAACTTACGAAGTTGGTTCTTCACGGTGGGACCACGCCTGAGTTGAGGTACTTCTTGCCATTGGGATGCTTCCTGAACCATGCAATCTCTAGCTACTGTAGCCCGCTGGCAAGGATATCTGGAGCTGAAACAAGCACCGAAGCTCGTGCCGAAATCCCTCACAAGTAAACAATGTCTTGAGTCGTGATGAGCCCCCGTGCAGTCATTGTGGTGGACCCTCGACATCCTATGATTGTTTCACATAATTTTTGCCCAACGCCGCTCCGAAACTCCCCGGCATCTGTGGCAAATCGCAAAAGAGTAACGTGTCTGTCGCCACTGGTAGGATGAATTGCTTGGGTCGTGCTGTGAAGGTTGTTTCTCGTGCGAGAACACAGCTCAAGGCCTGCAGAGAAATCAATGTGCTGTTCACACATGCCGTGCCGTAATGCTGATTGAGCCCATCTGGAGATTCCTTCACGGTATGTTGCTTTTCAGTCATCCAGAATGCGGTTGGCGAGTCCGTCAGCCCCAGCATTCAGCTCTCGAGGAACGTGGAGGAACTTGACAGTGATGCCGTGCTGGTTTTTGTAACCTACGACGATGACATCCAGGCGCTTGAACAGATCAGCATTGGCAACGGACAGTCCGTTCGCAGCGGTCCAGCCATTCTCTCTCCAAGTGTAGATCCACTCGGTGATGCCTTTCACCAGGTATTCGGAATCAGTCTTGAGTACCAGCAGCTCCAGTTCCTCCGGTAAGGGTCCGCAGAGAAGATTCCCAACCGCCTGCAGAGCCATGATGCCAGCGAAAAGCTCAGCGCGCTGGTTGGTAGGATTGACTCCGGACAACACTTGGGCTTCATTGTAAGGCGAGCCGTGTCTGAAGAAGACACCGATGGAAGCTCGGGCACCTGCCATCCCATTGCCACGGCACGCTCCATCCGCTGAAACCATGAGAGACTTCGTGATCCTGTGTGGGCGTCCGCATGGACACCCCGGGTCGCAGGGAACGTTGAAGTAAGGTTTAACTCGCGGTTGTCCCTCCAGTGCCTCCATGAACGATGCGGCGGAGCGAAGAGTTGGGTCCAATGTGAAGCGACGCTGCAGCCCGGCTGAAGCTTCCATGTAGTCGCTAAGGCCGTCGCATTGAATAGGCTCGTTATATGTGGAGAACATAGAGTAAGAGGTGTGTACTTTCGGTAGGTCCCGAACACCGTCGTATGGGTAATACGGTGACATGGCGTGGGATGTACCAACAGGCCAAACGAGCAAAAGCGCAATGGCAAGGATGGGACGGGGAGTTTGGAGATTCCGAGTCGTGGGCTGTGAAGCGTTGAGGAGCCAGCGTCCGGACAAAGCTGGACGCTATGCTGTCGTCAATCGTACATCTTGTCTTGGGAAAGTACGAACGATGGGTCCTGGACGGAAAGAGCAGCCAACAGCAAAACTCAAGGGCCATCCATCGGATATTGCAACACAGGAAGTGACGACTGCCACAAGGAGGCATATGAGAGCTGGCGGTAGCTGGCGGTAGCTGCCACTCAGCACATCTCCGCAGCTGGCTTCCCAAGACAGCTCATCACGTGGAAGGCAACGCTTCTGGTTCTCTCGGCTCGGTAAATTGCTTGGTGGATGACATGTTGGGTATCTGCTCTATTATTAATTGCTGCTATATCTTTCGTGTTGGCTCGTATATCGAATGCCCCCGCTGTGAGCTCAGAAGACACGCATGCTCTCGTGTATGCGCTTATTTGCTGCGCTTGTAGATCTTCCTGAGGAATTCCTCGAAGACGTCCTTCTTCAAACCCTCGCTCTCGTCAATCTCGGAAATCAACTTCTTGATTTCGCCAACGCGCTTCTCCTCGTAGTCCTCGTAGATCTGCTTCAGCTTCAGCTCCTCGTAGAGCTTCTTGACCTCAGCCTCGCAAGCGCTGTCCTTGCGGCCGTAGTTCTTCTCGAGCACAGCGCGCTGCTCGGGCGTGGCGATCTTGAGCGCCTGGTTGACCAGCCACGAGCACTTGTTGTCTTGAATGTCCGTTCCGATCTTGCCCAGCGTCGTCGGGTCGGCGAAGTTGTCAAGGTAGTCGTCCTGGATCTGGAAATATTCGCCCATGGGGATCAGGATGTCCTTTGCAATCTGCAGGTTCTTGGGCGTAGCCTTGTCGCAGAAGTGCAGGGCAAGGGCCACGGGGAGGTAGAAGCTGTAATAGGCCGTCTTGTAGATGACGATGAAGGTGTACTTGTCCATGGAGAAGTTGTCCAGATCGACCTTGTCCTCGGGGGCGGTGAGCAGATCGCAAGCCTGGCCCAGCTCCGTCTGGAAGGTGACCTCGTGGAACAGCTCGACGAGGTCGATGTACTTGTCCTTGTTCTCGCGGAAGTACTTCTTCAGCAGGATGTATATGGCCGACTCGAGCATGAAGGCGTCGTTGATGGCGATCATGCCAACATCGGGCATGAGGTACCAGCACGGGCTGCCGCGACGCGTCTTGGAGCTGTCCATGATGTCGTCCGAAACGAGGAAGAAGGCCTGGAGAAGCTCAATCATCCAGCCAAGAGTGGCCGAGTGGAAGAACTCATCCTTGGACAGGTCGCGGCCGAGCAGAAGAGACGAGGTGTCGACGACCGACATGCCGCGGTTGCATTTGCCGCCGACGGTGTTGTGGTTCAAGCTCTGGAGCCGGGGGTCAGCTTCTGCGTTCTCCACGCGACAGAGGGCTAGGCGAGCATACGTTCTTGAACCACACGAGGGCATTGTCGGGAAGGCTGTACTGCTTGCAGTGAGCAAGCAGGTCCTCAACCAGCTGCGGGAAGACGCTCTCGAAATCCTTGAGGGTGACGGGCATTGTGGCGGAGGGCTAATGGGTGATTGACGTCGGCAGGGAAAGGACGGAAGGCAGAGGGCGGTGGGAGACGGGTGGAGGAGGGGCAGAGGCTCACTTCATCAAATGGTCCAAAGGCGGTGGGGCCCACAGGGCCCGGCGTGAACAGTTCGGGTCGCCCAATTAGGCTGGCCGAAATGCCGCCGGCCCGGCGGGCGTGTTTACGCGCTGCGGAGGACAGCGCGCGCGCGGGCCTTTCGTCACAGCTTCCGAGCTTGCTTGCAGAAAGCTCCAACACTTGACGCATAGCCGCGGACTTCCCAGCCGAGTATCTGTGCAGTCCTTTCCTGCGAGCGTCCATCGGCATCCGGCGACCACCCTTGTTCGCTCCGCGCGGAGCTCCCACAACAGCCATGAGCGGCCTTTCCGAGAGCGACTCGGCTCAGCTGCAGGCTCAGCTCCGCCACGCCATTGTCGCATGCAATGAACGGTGCCTGTACCAATCATCCAAATGGTCCGCTGCTGCCTTTTTCTCTCCGCCATACTAGCAAGCCTGACAATGGTGGCCCAGGGCGGCCGAGCTTCTCACTTCTTTCGAGTCAACCGACCTAACCTATGGCTCAGATACGGAGGCTGATTCTCCCGTCGACGAAGAATCCCCTTCGAAGAAAGATCCGTTCCTTTTGGATCCCGTCGAGTCGTCGCTGGAATCCAAAGAACTGCACAAGTTCCTTCTTGCAAAGTCGTTCTTCGACTGTCGCGAGTATGACCGTTGCGCCGCCGTCTTCATACCCGCATCTGCATCCGGCGCGCCCACTCCGGCCCCGCCCGCACCTCCACCACCCAAACCGAAGTCCGGCCACAAGGGGAAATCAAAGGCGAAGGTCTCCGAGGATGCACAGCCAACCACGGTCTCACTGTCTGGCATCAGTCAGAAGTCGTTGTTCCTGGCTCTCTACGCGAAATACATGGCGGGCGAGAAGCGCAAGGATGAGGATAGTGAAATGATACTCGGACCGGCCGATGGCGGTGCGACGATCAACAAGGAGCTCAACGGCATCTCGAGAATATTGGAGGAGTGGTTCAACGGGCGCAGTGCCGACGGCAAGGAGAGCTCGGGCTGGTTGGAATACCTATACGGCATTGTCATGGCCAAAAGCAAGAACGACGAGCTGGCGAAGCAGTGGCTCCTGAAAAGTTTGCACCTGTACTCGTACAACTGGGGCGCATGGCAAGAGCTGTCATCTTTGATCGGCTCAGCGGAGGAACTGAGCCTGATTACAGAGCAATTGCCCCGAAACCTCATGACCTTCCTCTTCCACATCTACACCAGCCAGGAGCTCTACCAATCTACCGAGCAGATCCACAACGAACTCACCCAAGTCCAGACCATCTTCCCTAACAGCGCATTCCTCAAAACACAACGAGCATTACTTTACTACCATTCGAAGGATTTCGAGGAAGCCGAGTCCATATTTTCCTCCCTGCTCATCACCGACCCCTACCGACTTGACGCCCTCGACAACTACTCCAACATCCTCTACGTCATGGCTCTCCGTCCAAAACTAGCCTTCGTCGCCCAGCTAGCCACGGCCAACGACAAGTTCCGACCAGAGACATGCTGCGTGGTGGGCAACTACTACTCGCTCAAGTCGGAACACGAAAAGGCTGTCATGTACTTTCGCCGCGCGCTCACACTGGATCGCAACTTCCTATCCGCGTGGACGCTGATGGGCCACGAGTACGTCGAGATGAAGAACACGCACGCAGCCATCGAATCATACCGCCGCGCCGTTGACGTCAATCGCAAAGACTACCGCGCATGGTACGGCCTTGGGCAGACGTACGAGATGCTAGAGATGTACAGCTACGCCCTGTTCTATTTCCAGCGGGCGGCGAGTCTCCGGCCTTACGACCCCAAGATGTGGCAGGCTGTGGGCAAATGCTTCGCAGAAGTGGGCAAGATAGCCAACGGGATCCGTGCCTACAAGCGCGCGCTCGTTGCAGGCAGCTACTACGACGGCGGAAGCGGCAGCTTTGGCGGGAACCCGGGCGAGGCCGGCGCGCTGGCATCGGGCATTCTTGATCCTGAGACACTGTACCAGATTGCGTTGCTGTACGAGCGTCTCGATGACCGCGAGGAGTGCGCCGCCTACATGGAGCTGTGTTTGGCGCAGGAAGAAGGGCCGGAACCGGACCCCGATGAGCCGAATGGTTCGGGAAGCCCGGGCGATAGCGAGAGCCTGGGGGTCGGTGTCACACCGACGACGAGTAAGGCGAGGATGTGGCTGGCGAGATGGGCCTTCTTCAATAAGGATTACCAACGCGCGATGGAGCTAGCGAACGAGCTATGTCAGGACGGGGTTGACGTGGAAGATGCAAAGGCGTTGGTGAGAGATGTGAGAGCGAGGATCGAAAGGGAGAGAGGAAAGGGTTGATGGTCCTTCGTAGCAGCAGTCAGTCTTGGACTTTCTCATGGTGTGCCCGGTTCATCAGCCCATTCATGACTAGGCAGACCAGCGGACGCTGAGGAATGAAGGCGCCAACCGCCAGTAGTATGTAACCACATTTGCCTAAAGCCTGACAGTAAAGAGCTTCTATACTACTGCGGCTCTACCTATTATTCTGCGGTTACTGAATCGCAAGAGGGAGCGCGCAAAAGGACTCGTGGAGAAGCTAATTCACGGACCCACTCAAGGACGCGCCTCCGCGTGGAGCCGGCAGTGTGGGAGCGATGACGCCAGTCAAGGCATGCCGAGCGGAGATCGACACCGTCGCCGAACGACCTGCTGACATTTACTGTCCAGCACGTAGCCATCAAAGATAACCTCGTATGTTCTTCTGGAACGCACAGCCTTCGCTTCCCGCTTGGATGGCGGCCGGGCCTCAGGCGCCTCTGCAGGGTCTTTGGCCAGCAGCTCGGAACCAGAGATCAGAAAGTCCCCGGCACGCCGTCTGCGGGAGACCTTCGAGCCCTGCCCAGCCTTGATGACGCTGATTCCTTCGAGAGTGCGGCTTGCGCCACGAGGACGGGGCACACCGTCAATGGGGACTACGATAACGTAGGTGGACTTTCTACTGTTCCCTGTCTGTCCGCGTTCGCCGCCACCACGAGCGGCGTCCTGTCTCTATCCTTCCTGGCCTGCGGCTGCCTTATGACGACGGTGCTCCACCACTGATCTTCTCCCGTTTGCAAACGTCGCCCGGGCTGCACTCCGCCAGCCCAGCGTACCATTCATACTTAACTAATCTGTCCCCTCGTCCCCCTCCACTTTCCCTCCCCGGTTCTTCCTCCACCGCCGTCATGAGCAGCGACAATTCCGAAGTTGGTTCCAAAGAATCCGAAGTTCCCTCCAAAGGAAGCCTCGATTCCAACCACGCCAAAGAGAATTCCAACATCGACCTGACCCACCGGTCCGAACGCCGCGGACGCACCACCCTCCTCCACCAGTTCCTGCGGCCCATCCGCAGCCACCTCGTCAAGCCCAGCGACCCGCACCCCCCCGGCTCGCCCCGCCTGACGCCGCACCCGTCATGCACCAAGATCTGCGCCGTCCACGAGCGCAAGGTCGCCGACGTCTGGATCTACGACCTGCAGCCGGAGGAGACGTTCCAGACGACGCACAGGGTCACGGCCTCGGCCGCGGCGTCGCACCTGACGACGGCGGGCGAGATGGCGCGCGAGGCGCGCGAGGCGGACACGCTCGAGAAGAACTCGTCGCGCAACACGGGCATCGTGCGCCGGCTGTACTACATCGCCGGCGGCAGCTGGCGCGAGCCGCCCAGCCACCAGCACTGGAAGTTCATGGCCAAGCTGGCCGCCGCCACGCCCGGCACCGCCGTCAGCGTCATCAGCGTGCCGCTGGCCCCGAGCGAGACGGCGAGCACGGTCTTCCCGCGCCTGCTGACGCTGTACGAGAAGGTCATGGAGGAGTCGCTGGTGCGGGGCGAGCGCGCCATCTGGGGCGGCGACAGCAGCGGCGGCAACATCGTGCTCGGGCTCATTGGCGAGGCGCTGCGCGTGGGCAGGTCGGGGCCGGCGGCGAATGAGGGCGTTCCCGCCGGGAAGGATGGCATGAAGGCTGCGGGACGCGGCGACGGTGTCGATGGGGAGGCTGGTGCTGGGAGCGTGAAGCAGCCGGCGCCCAGGCCCGAACTCGAGCGTGGAAGCACCGCGGCTGAAGTCACCGAGTTTGCGGCGGACGAGTCACTGCCGGCCAGCGAGAGGATGGGCACGAAATCGCTGCCCGCGCCGTCGGCCATTCTCATCATCTGCCCCAGCGTAGACGCTCGCCGCGTGAATGGCGACATCGAGGCGCTCCAGGACAAGGATCCGGTTCTGATTGCGGAGGAGAGCAAACAGCAGGCTGCTGACTGGGCGGGCGACTGGGCTCTGGATGACGAGCGCATCAGTCCGGCTGTCAATACTGAGGCCGAGGACAACCTAGTGCGGCTGCTTTCAGAGAAGAACGTCAAGGTGCATGGGGTGACGGCCGGGTACGACATTCTCAGTCCCGACGCAATAATATTGAGGGAGAGGCTGGAGAAAGGAGGTGTTTGGGGAAGGTGGTTGCATTGGGATAAGCAGATGCATTGTTTCCCACTGGCTTGGTTCTACGGAATACCCGAAAGCAAAGAGGGGCTTCAGTGGGTTATAGACGTCCTTGGAGAGGAGTAGATTCGAGCGTCATATGTGTGATGGCTTTACGACAGGGTTTTGGGTACTAGAAAAAGGATTCACCACGTAGAAGCCCGACATGTAGAAGTCGGATGGCTAATGCACTATTATCGAATAGAGAAAGGGAGATCCACCGCCGCCGGCGATCAATTCGGATGCCGACAGCTTCCGTATCCCGCTCCACAATTGCGCCTCCCAACTGGATATGCTGCATTGGTTGGTGTCTGGGACCAACTGATGCACAGGCGCCGGAGTATACACAACACGCCACGTCAAGTGATAATCCAGACCCCACAGTGCCGCTTCCGTTAAGTCGCCTAGAAAGCGCAGGAGTCGGCCGTATGAATCTCTCCGCTTCGACCATTTACAACCGTGCGCATTCACCAATCAAGTAAGAATCTATCCGGCGGGGTGCTCTACATGAACTAACCATGTGCATGCGTGGTGACGAAAAGGCGAGGTTAGACTGGCACCACACCGAGTCTCCATGAGACGACCTCGGCACGATCGCGTTCTCATCGGCTAGGTATCGCCTAGTCGGGGTGAGATGCATCTTGGTGAGAAACAGTCATCTCGTTGTCCATGGATGGCCCCCACAGCCAAATGGAAAGGACAATAGCCTTTAATTCCGGTTCATCTCGAAGTTCGCACGACCTTATGTTGATTCGAGCGGCGGTTTTGGCGCGAGTAAGTACGGACGTGGACGATGAACTTGGGACGCAGCTAGAGACGCAGTGTGCAGCGGGGATGACGCTTGTGCGAAAGGAGAAGATGCCTCGGTGTTGCCCCAGGATTTGCACGCCACAAGAGACAAGGCAAAGCTTGGCCTCCAACGTTGGTTCTGGTTGCACATCATTTTTCGGCCGATAGCAGGTGGAGCCCCCCCATATATGTTGCGGGTAACACGACCGAGGCACAAACCACCTGCATCGACTTCCCGGTGTTCCCGTGGGGTTATAAAGCTGTGTGCTCTTTTCCGACCGGCATCCAACCAGCCCTCTCCTCGCGTCCTTTCCCCATTTGACACAATCCTGCCCTTGGCCGAGCCTCCAACTACGCCCAAACCGAATCCTGCCAAGCTCCATCAGCGTCACGCCACACCTCGTTCCTTGACATCGGCCCAGCCACAACCATGGCTGAAACACGACCCGACCACGATATCATCATCGTGGGAGCTGGCATATCCGGCGTCAATGCCGCCTACCGAATTCAGACACAGCTGCCGGCAGGCACGACATACAAGATTCTAGAGGCACGCGATAACCTGGGCGGTACTTGGGACCTCTTCAAGTATCCCGGCGTCCGTTCCGACTCGGATCTACATACCTTTGGTTTCCCGTTTCGCCCCTGGACCAAGTCAAATGCTATCGCCGACGGTCCCTCTATCGTCGAGTACATCAAGGATACAGCCGCCGAGTACGGCATTGACCAGCATATCTTATACCGCCACAAGCTGTCGTCAGCAAATTGGTCGTCGGACTCCCAGACATGGTCATTGGACGTCGACGGAGATGGCACGCAGAAAAGGCTGAACTCGTCGTTCTTGATCATGGCCACTGGGTACTACGACTACAACGAGCCGCTCCAGACGACTATTCCCGGTCTCGATGGTTTCAAGGGTACCATCGTGCACCCGCAGTTCTGGCCTGAAGACTTGGACTACTCCAACAAGAAGATGGTCATTATTGGCAGCGGTGCAACCGCCATCACGCTCCTTCCAAACCTCGCAAAGAAGGCCTCCCATGTCGTCATGCTCCAACGTTCGCCCAGCTACGTCGTTGCCCTCTCTTCCGTCAACCACCTTGATCACGCCATTCGCTCTCTTCTCCCAAGCTGGATTGCCAATACCCTCATCCGGTGGCGTTTTCTCGTAACAGCTTACCTCGTCTTCCACTTCTGCCGTGCCTTTCCCAACGTCGCTCGCAACCTTCTCCGCAAGGGCACTGTCTCGCAGCTCCCCAAGAACGTTCCCCACGACCCGCACTTCGAGCCCGCCTACAATCCCTGGGAGCAACGCCTGTGCATATGCCCAGACGGCGATTTCTACACAGCGCTCCAAGAAGGCAAGGCATCAATCGCAACCGGCCACATCAAGACGGTCAACGACCGCAGCATCGAGCTCCAAGACGGGTCGCGCATCGACGACATCGACACCATCGTCACGGCGACGGGGCTGAAGATCCAGCTCGCGGGCGGCGCCGAGCTGCGCGTCGACGGCGAGCGCATCGAGCCGGGCAAGAAGTTCCTCTGGAAGGGGCTCATGATGCAGGACGTGCCGAACGCGGCCTTCGTCATCGGCTACACCAACGCCTCGTGGACGCTGGGCTCGGACGCGACGGCGCAGCTCGTGACGCGCCTGATCGGCCACATGCGCGCCAAGGGCATCACGAGCGCCGTGCCGCGCATCGAGAGCCCCGAGGACCTGAAACCCATGCCCGTGCTGGACCTCAGCTCGACATATATCCACAAGGCCGAGGGCGTGCTGCCTAAGGCGGGCGACAAGGGCCCGTGGGTGGCGCGGAAGAGCTACTTCACCGATATCTGGAATGCGAAGTTTGGCGACATCAAGACAGGCTTGCAGTTCTGCAGGGTCTCGACATGAAGGCTTGCGCAAAGTACGAGATGATGGGAACTATGTAAAGTCGAACGAAAAACTTGAAGCAATGGGTTCAGTTGGCATCTTGGGGTGCGGTGCTGTGGTGCCTGGCGTTGTTGCTTTCGAGCAATTGATAAATAATGTACAGTGCATACATATCAGTGTCAAGTTCCCTTTGGCGGAATTGTGTCGAATAAAAAAAAAACTTCCTCCGCGAGGAAAAAGTAACGTGGCAGGCATAAGATGTGGATATCTGTGAGAAGGACCAGCATGACGGATGCGCTAATTGGCCTTCCGAATTGATCCGAAAGCACGTGTTAGCGCGTCGTGGTGGAAGTCGCGTCGGGGACGGAGCACCTTTCAGCCACCAGTCCGTAGGTCGTCTTTGTTGCCTGATGGCGGGCCTCGCAGACCTCTCCAACATACACGCCACCATGGAGGAAGACGAGGACACGTTGAACACGCAGCGCATCGCTGAGATCAGGATGTTGGTAAGCAGCTCTTTTCTCTGCCCTTGCGCATCACCCCGGCTTGCCTCAGTGGAGTCCGCCCGCATATCCCGCTTTTATGCACTCGCTGTGCACGCCGTGCCACCCTGTCGGTGCTGAGCGTGCCAGGTACATGACTTGAGAGAAAAGTTGCCGCTCACACTTCGTTTTCACTCGCTCACCGCAGACGTCAAGTCCGGCTACACTGGCTCTGGCGCCGCCCGACGCGTCGCGTCTGCCTGACCTCTCCGCCCCAGCACCGGCCAACCACAAGCCTCCAATCGCCGCTATTGCCATCGACCACGACCATCACCCCCACAGCTCCGGCCTTCACGACTGCTCACGCACTACATCACCGTCGTCTCCGCCAGGTGCATGCGATCCGCAGCCCAAAGACAGCTGCACCGCACGTCATTACCGCCACCCCCGTCGCTCGCCCGCCCTCAATGCCCATCCGATCCCGCACTTGACGCCGTACCGATCCGCTCCGCTTGCCACTACCGCGACCGCGCTGCTCGACGCGACGCACTACACCCCGCTCAGGATGTTCAATTCATTCAGCGGGTTTGAGGGTGACACCCAGCCCATAGACTCGCAGCTGTACCGAGATCACTCGGCCGGGCTGCACGCTATGATCGCGCATAAAGTTGCCCCAGGTGTAGCCGACAACGCCGACCAGACACAAGAGGATGCCGAGCAGGCGACTTATGTCGATGGTCATGCGGGACATGTCGACCTTCTCAGCGACTGGCGAAGCCCGGAGAAGAAGCGTGATGCTGCCGAGTCGCAGATGTCATTCGACGGACCCGCTGATGATATGGACGCAGACGAGCTTAGCCTAGAGGCGCCGACTCAATTGGACGCCATCGCACAGCCGCGATTCGCGCAACCCGAGACGCCTGCGACCACTGGAAAGAAACGCAATCGGCTTGGGGAGGTGCTGAGCTCAGCGACGCGCACACCCGGCTCCGCCATCAATCCGAACATGTTCAACAATGGCACAGGTGCTCCGATATTCTCTATGAGCCAGGTGTTCAATCACACTCAAGGGAACAACTCTTCGCCACAGCTTGATGCTCGTCACTCCGATCCCGTCTTCCAGCGCCCGTCGCCGAACCTCCATATGCGCTTCTCGTCTGATGCTGCCGCGACCTTGTCTTCGCCTACCAAAACCTATCACAGCCCATTCTCTCGCGCAGCGACAGAGCCCAGAGATACATACACTTCCATGAAAGAATCTCAGGAAGCGCGCGATCGCCAACGTATGGCTGCCATGGAAGCCGAGCTGGAGCAACTAAAGTCTGAAGGGTGGGATGAGTTTGAGGACGAAGATGCACATCAGCAAAGAAAGAACGACAGAGCCAGGGTAGTGGCTCAGATACAGATGCTGAAGGATCGCTTGAAAGACTCGAGTCCAGCCACGATGAAGAATCCTGCACTCACCAGGAGCGATACAGCCTTGTTCACCCCTGCCAGATATACTATCAAGCAGAAGAATGTTGTAGAGATATCGGACGACGGAGAAGATTCGGACTCAGAAGATGAACTGGCGTCCGATCCGCCAACTGTCCAAAAGCCGTCCCAGCCAAACGGCGTTCAAGTGCCCATGACTTCCTCGCGGCCGCGGAGCTCTGGAAGAAGTGGGCAGGTCCGTGATACTGGATCTCCTTTGGCTACACACGACATCTCTAGCAGTCAAATAAGTGCCAGGAAGAGTCAGAGCCATGTCAACCAAACGTTCAAAAGACTTCTCGAAGGTGGGGAGGAGGTGGCGGTTGCTGATTCTCAACCACACAACTCGCAGATCCAGGAGGACAGCAATCCAATGCCGAACCATCTGCCTGACACATCGTCTCTGGACGTCCGCATTGCCCAATCGCAATATTCAGTCATGACAGACGGTAAACGCGCAGAGGTGGATGCACACATAAGCAAGACGCTCAAGACATCGTCTATTCCACAGCCACCCGCCAACACCAGTCAGATGATTAGGGCGATTGATGACAGCGGATACGCGGAAGAAGCGGAAAAGGAGATTCCAAGTAGCCCGCCGGTGTTTCAGCCGGCTGACGAAAAGGACGAGGGGGACCGTGAAAGCCATGAAGACCGTGACGGCTTGGACGTGAATGACGACTACGATAAACCTGACTGTACCCAAATGGAAGAGGATGGAGAGGGTCCCGATTACATGGATTCTTCCAGTAAAGGCAGTGAACAAGGAGATGATGAGGACGAAGTCGCCACTATCGTCTCGCGTGTGGGCGAGGGTCATGATGAAGATCATGAGGATAACTTGAAGGTGGATGAGGTGGTCATGGTGCAACAAGAGGAAGAGGTGCACAAAGTTCCTGATGCTCGTGAAAAAGATGAGGGGAATATCGGGCAAGAAGAGCCTAATACCGCTGGTACCTCACCACGATCAAAAAAGACGGTGGAGACGCAGAATACCATCCCCGATACAGACCCGTTTGATGAGGGTCCTATTTCATCCCCTCAACAAGAATCAGCAGACCCCAATGCCGCAAATGCAGACCCTGCCCAGGAAACCGAACGCGACGCCGCGCAAGACACTGCACGAGCTACTGTACAGCAAGGAGAACAAAACAACGCTACGTCCAATGCGACCGACTCTCGAATGACGAATTACAACAGCACCACACAACTACACTTATCTACCCCAGCCTCACCTCGCAAGTCACAACAAAGCAATCCGATGCCATCAAGCCAACGAACACCACGGTCTTCTCGTCCTGTACGCCGTCTCACCGATATTGCAGCAGATCTTTCGCAACGCGACGAGCCGCTTGAGGAGCTTGATGATGCAATGGACATCTTGAATGACGAAGACAAAGAATTTACAAAAGTCATGTCTTTATCACGCCCCAACCATGGCGGATCGCCCTTCCGTCCTGCTAAACGCTTAAAGACGTACGGTCATCGAGCCCTGCGCGAGTCACCCAAAAAGGCAAATAGACCGCCATCGGTGTCTCCCACTCCAGAAAATGGGAAGGTGATCCAGGAAGAGGAGAGGAACGAGAATGAGCAAGCGGACGAAGACGAGATGGTATTCACCAAGCCTGCCGTTTTGAAGAAGGGAACATTGGCCCGTCCAGCTGCGAAGTCCCCGTCCAAGAAGCGCTTGCCGAAAGACGCCATAGCAGCATCCACTGAGCCAAAAAGTGACCGTAAAAACGACACTGCCACTGAAAGGCTGCGGGCCCGGTCGAAGAAGGCGTCGAAGCTGAAGAGTGCCAAGGCTGCGGACTCCTCCAACGACAAAGGAAACCAGAATGGTACTCCGCAGAAGTCGGTTGTAAGTGAGTACCAAGAACACCATGATGGTCCGTCTGCCTCTCGTCAGGAGAGCGCAGAAGAGATTCTGGCCGTACCCACCCAGGTCGTTGCTCCCACCCGAGTGTTCGCGTTGTTCAAAGACCTAAAGTCCGCCTACCATCCCGCCACTTGTCTTGGCCTGTCACTCGATGGGCCCCAGTATCGCATACGCTTCGATGATGGCACTGTCGTAAATGTCGAGAAGATGCATGTACGAAGCTGCGACTTGAAAGATGGCGACGTAGTCAAAGTCGATTTTCCTAACATGCGAAAGAACTCGTACATTGTACGGGGATTCAAGGACATTCTCTCTGCCGAGCAGATTGAAGAGGCATCTACACCAGAGACATACACACCTACAGATGTCCATGGTGCCAAGACAGTCGTTCTTCAAGTCAAGCAGCAAAACAACGTGGGGGAGACCGTGGAAGTCCCTTTGACTTACCTCTACATCACAAACTCCATGTGGATTCATTTCAATGATCGCACTTTTGCCCACCCGTCTGAATCTCTCGAAATTAACGCGCGACCGCAGACGCCATCAACAAACATGTCTGCACCTGGTACGCCGGCTTCCGGTAAGACTCGCCGGACTGTGCTCCCGACACCTGGAGGGTCCGTTCAACGTCCTGTTACCGCTGCACCTGCAACTCTCGCTTCCGACCTCTTCTCTGGCATGGCCTTCGCGTTGACATTGCATGGTCCCGACGACGAGCGAAACAGCATCACCAAACTCATTCTCGAGAATGGCGGACGCATCCTCGACCCTGGATTCGAAACGCTCTTCTCAAGCAACGCCACCAGCGCAGCGAGTCCTACGAAGACTCCTCTCACCACCTCAAAGGCATCCAAAGCCACATCCGCCACCAAGAAGAAAGCTCCCGCCCATTCCTCAGACTCGGTCCCCGCCACACTCACCCTGACCGCGCAGGCCAGCACCCTCGGCTTCGTCGCCCTCATCTCGGACAAGCACTCGCGCCGCGCCAAGTACATGCAAGCCCTCGCCCTCGGCCTCCCGTGCCTCTCGTACCACTGGCTCGTCGACTGCCTGTCCGCGCGCACCCTCCGCCCCTGGCACCTCTACCTCCTCCCCGCCGGCGAGTCGGCCTTCCTCTCCGGCGCCGTCCGCAGCCGCGTCTTCCCCTTCCCGCCCGCCTCCGCCTCGTCGTCACACCCGTACGGCCTGCCGGCCGGCGCCGCCGACGCCGCCGACGCCGACGCGAGGCTCGAGGCGGTGCTCGCCCGCCGCCAGCGCCTGCTCGACGGCAAGAACGTCCTCCTCGTCCTCACCAAGACGGAGCGCGGCCGCGCGTACCGGTTCCTGACGTCGGCCATGGGCGCCAGGCGCGTCGCTTGGTGCCGCGAGGTGGGCGAGGCGCGGAGGCGGCTCGAGAGCGGGGAGGAGTGGGATTGGGTGTATGTGGACGGCGCGGAGGAGCAGCTCGTTTCTTGTCTTCCTGGCTCGGCGGCGGCGGCGGCGGCGGCTCCTGCTGCTGCTGCTGGGGCGGTTGGGGCGGGAAAGAAGAGGAAGCGCGGTGGTGCTGGCGGTGCTGGTGGTGCTGCTGCTGCTTCCGGTCCTGGCGCTGCTTCGTTCGCGTCGGCGGTTTCGGAGAGGACGGCGGGCGGTTCGGGTGTGGCGTCTTTTGCGGACGGCGTCGGCGCGGAGAGGGAAAGGGAAACGGGCGGGGTGAAGGAGGTTGAGGTGGGCGGGAGGAAGGTGAAGATTGTGGGGGATGAGTTTGTGATTCAGAGCTTGATACTGGGCGCTCTGATCGAGTGAGGCGGTTGGTTGAGTGTGGATAGTTGATGGGGTTTGTTGCTTTGGATTTCCGCTTTTCATCTTCTCTTGTCTCTACTTCTTCATGGGTATGGGTAAGGGTGATTATTCTCTTACTTCCTTTTTCTAGTCTGTAGAAAGGAGATCGGCGTTCATGCGGGAAAGGTTGAATAGGTGGTCGAGGAGTGGGGTGTGGGATCTGGAAAGGCGTAAAGATACTTGGCGAGAGGGGTTTTCGGAGAAAGGACTAAACAGGCAGTTGGAGATACCAGGTTTCTGAACACGAATTCAAAATATTAAAAAGATACATCTCGAGTGCGCGGTCAGTTTGCCCTTTCAAGCCCATATGTGATCATTCTCGGTGCTGCGAAGAGCGACGAGGAAGCTGATGAGAGCAGGAGTCTTGTCGGCGAACTTTCTGCAGACGGCCATAAAAAAAAACGGAGGGGGAGGGCATAGAATTTAAAGGTGCAAGCAGGGGGACTGCCGACTGTTGTGAGAAGAAGAGAAGGAAAGCACGCGTATTGAAAGTGAGCTGTCTTCAAGCGCATCTGTATACGGATATAGGCGAGATGCGTGCCTGGGGTGATGCGACTTTATTTCGACGCTAAAGCGGTTGGGTGGGCACGGCGGAGATCTGAGCCAGGGATATGGATACGAATCCGTAGGTACTCGCAAGTCCGACGATGCGGTAGAGCGGAAGGTCGTACTTTCAGAAATGGGAAGTGGATTTTCCATTCCACGGGGGCTCGATTCGAGCGCAGTGAGTGTGCTATGACAGTGAAACGTGTTTCTCGGTTGGTGTTGGTGGAGGGAGAGAGGTCTACACTGCCTCAGGCAGCAGCACATGTCCAAGCGTCCGTACCAGCCTGATACGTACTAGCGCCATCTGCGGGCGACACACAAAACTCTTCTCGCGGCTCCTCGGCTTTCGTCTTTTCTTCTTCACGCACCCATTAGACAGTTCTTTTCAGCAGCCACCCAGGACCGGCATTCTGTCGGCTCTTGACCTGGTATCACCATTGCTGTTTCGCGATGTAGCGGTGCGGAGACGAAGGACAACAGGTGCTTCATAAGAGCTGGCCGCGCATTTTTTACTGTTGCGCGGGCGGTGTCAGAGAAGCCCAACATAACATACCACGTGCTGCTGCCCCGTTTGTTGTTTGATTATTATTAGGCAGACCAGCCAGGCCGGCCCCCCTCCCCAGTGCAAACCTTATCCAGACCGTTGCTGCAACGGCCATGCCACTCCCGCTCCGATTGTACTAGCTCCGCCGGCCAGCTGTCCGCAATTGAAACCTTGCCCTTATGACGTCTTCTGAGGCACATGTCGTTTGACTTGGACTCGAGACAATCGTCAGCAGCGGTCTAGGCCAGTCCTTTTCCAGCCTCCCTTCCCCATCTCCCGGCCCATGGCTGCTGCATCGCGATGACGGGGAAAGGACGCTTCGGGTCCGTCGTGCACGTGGGGGGATCCGCAGCGCCCACTGCATGTGAGATGGGGACGACCTCGTGGCGTTGGGCATCATCGGTGTGTAGACGTGGTCTGCGTTTTGAAATCAGTCTAGTCCTCTCCTGCGTGTTCAACGGCCCAGATTCCTGCTGTTCGTGGACGGGAAGGACGACCCGCTCTCGGTATCTGTTCCGGTGCCGGGTGTAAAGCGATATGATCCATCCCTCATCCAACATGCAAGGCCGGCCGTACCAACCAGCTCCGCGCGGACGGACGGATGGATGGCCGGCAAGTAGGTCCAGACTCTGGTGTTACTTACCAGCCGCCGCGCGACAGCCATGGCGCCCGCTCATCAGGCCCTCAGCGCCATCATAGGGAACAGTCTGTGATGGCTTGTGTGTACATCAACCCCCTGGCATCTTGTGGACCTTGCTCAGATAGGGAGGTTTGCGAAGGCTGATCATGATCCACCAGCACAGCTACGCGAACTGAATGGTGGCCCTAAAAGAAGCAACCGCAGCTCGCCCCCCCTTGAGAATTTCCCCTGTGTTGAGTAATACTACTGAGAGGAGTAGAATACTGCAAGTAGGCCGGAGTCCACGAAACTTGGTCCAGACAAGATTACACAGGACTGGACAGGATTTGTTTACGTTGTGCATTCAGGAACTACCTAGATCCTTGAGTAGAGCAGGCCGAGAGCTCATCCCTGTGTTTGCTTTGGAAGTGACAGATTCACTTCGCTATTCAATCCGAAACGGAAAACGCCCTCCATATGCTTGTGAGAATGGAGCGATCACCGAGATTCGTAGCAATTTACGACTTGGATACCCTCAATGACCGACCGTGCTTGATTGGGGAAAAAACATGCTGGGTATAGTTGAAGTAAAACAGGTTGGGTGACGAAAAAGCCAAGGGGACTTCATAATGATCGTGGAACCTCTCGTGGGGGATGTGGTCTTTTTAGGGTTTTGAAAAACTGTTCTACCGCCTGTGCCCCTCCGTCACGACATGCCACAGAAGGATAATCATCGGCCGTTAGGCATCGGGGGGACGGGCGGCTTCTCCAGCTCCTCCTCGTCCTCTTCAGCTAGCAACTCTTCGCCGTGTCTGGAAGCCTGGGTTAGCATCGCCACTCGAGAGACTTTCGCCACCATAACGTACCCAAGAAGACCCCTAACGTTCCTCATCTCGTAGTGCTTCTTCCGCGCCTGCTCGAATTGACGGTGTTTCTCCTGCTCCTGCGGCGGCTCCTCCTCGCGCTTGGCATCGTCCAGGGATTCCGGATCAACCACGACACGCTTCTCGCCGTCTGAGTGGTGCACGCCCGCGTTCTCCACCTCCGGCTCGCCGAGGTCGAGGCCGGGAATGTCATCCTCCTTCGACTTCTTCTTGTGCTTGGTCTTGTCCAGCTCGTCCACCACAATCTGGTTCGCATCGAGCGCAGCGATCTCCTCCTCGTCCTCGGCCGGGTCGTAGTGACTGGCGTAGGGCGTCTTGGGCTCGGTAATCTTCATTGTGCTGTCACGCTGCTGCTCCGTCAAGTACAAGTTCGCCTCGTCCCACTTCAGGCGCGGGCTGTTCTCGTCGTCGTCGTCGGCGCCGGGCGTGCCCGACAGGCGGCGCGGCGGCGGGCCGCGCGCGTTGGACGAAGAGCGGCGGTGGCCGGCATTCTGGAGGGTGTTCTGGAGCACGACCTCGCGCTCGGACATGCCGCGGGCGATGCCCGGGCGCTCGTTGGACACGACCTGGGCGAGAGGGGCGCCCTCGCTGGTCGGCGACGTCGGGCTGTTGTAGGACGGGTTCTTGAGGATGCCTGGGCGAGCACGACACCGTCAGCACGGGAACTATCCAAGGCGCGGGACGGCTCGTGTCGGCGGCACCGCTGCTGACGATCACCCGCTGCTACATACCTTTGGGTCTCTCGACAGAGTGGTGATGCGGCTGCGCCGTCGGAGAGTGCACGGGCTGGCTCGTGGGCGAGTGCTGGGTCATTTTGGCGGTATTGGAGGGGCACACGCGAGGACGGGCCGACGGAGAGTACAGCTCAGCTCGAGTGCGGGGAGGGCAGTTTTATCTGCGGGCTTCAGGGAGGGCTCGGGGTGGTGGGGCGGGGCGGGATGGTTATGGAGGGCCGTGGTGTTTCGGTAAGAAGTGAGCAGGCTCGTTGCCATGAGACAAGGCCTGCCTGCCCCCACCAACGCATCCCGACCCTGCACGTCCGATCGCTGCGTGCCGTTTGCGCGATGACGTTAACGCTACCGAATACAACCGCGGCGGCAATCACGGCTCTACCGCCTCACCAGCCGCACCGGGTGACCTCCGAGCCGCCGGCCAGCAGAGCAGGTGAGGGGCTAGGTTACCACAAGCGTGCTGGCTGGGCATTCCGTCGCCAGCTCGAGCTCGTGAACGGCGGGTGCTGACCAGCCGCCATTGAGCAGCGCGCAGCCACCCCGCCTCGCCGCTGCCCAAACGCCGCCGGGCCCACGCAGACGTGCCGATGTCTTCGGAAGCGGGCATCAGCTGCTCTTAATAATACCGCATCTAATCCGGCACATCGCGCTGCCAACCTGGGGCCGTTGTCACCTGTGAGGCTGCTTGCTCCCTACCCACGCACGTCGTGATGCAATGATCAGCCTGCGGGCCCAAGAAAGCCTCGGCTGGTGGCGGTACGGATAGCTCCGCACAGCTACTACGTACATACACAATGCGGCGCCAGACCTCCCCTCCGTGCCATCTCGACACATACGCGCGCCTGCATCGCGCCCCGCGTCTTTGCACCACTCACGAGCGTCGTCGCTCCTGCAAGGCACCCCAGTCGTCCCCGTCTCCCCAGAGCCACCGGCGTCCAAGTAGAGTCTGCTGCGCTATGTGACAAGTCAGTCGCGTGGCTGCGCATGTCTAAGGTTTATAAAAACAACGTAGTTGCGTGTGCGTTTCTCAGGAATGCCTATTTACCTCATGCACAACCAGTGCCGTGCTGCAGGTGCGCGTGGACGGCTGCGCGCCAAGTCGGATTACCAGAGCGTGAAGAATCATCGTCGAAACTGAGGGGGGCGTGGGAGCATGGCAAAAATAGAACTCACATGAGGCCTGCGAAGGCTTCCCGTTGGGGAAAGGTGTCAAGAGTCAGTCAAGAGTCTGCGTGTATCCAGGAATGCGGCCGGATGGCATCGCCGCCGGACTTTATGCAGGTGAGATGCCCTTGCATCTGGCGCCATCATGTGCTCGGGCTCAGCACACACAAAGCCAGGCGCATGCTGATGATCCGGACGGCTTGCGTGGTTTTCGGGTGCGCTGCGGCGTCCTTCGCACGGCCACTACCATAGAAATGACTTGTGCAAGGCCAGGGGCATGGCGATGGTGGACTAGTAAGACAGCCGCCAGCTGCGATGCGGGGAGTGCGCCAGGTCCAACGGCGAAGTCTTTAAGAAACCCCAACGTCTCGCCCGCCTCCGAGACCAGGCCGTGGAGTATACTCCTCGGCGCCGCGGTGCAACAGCGCGCTGCTGCTGCGGTAGCGGTATGTCCCATCTTTCAGGTCGTCATCGCATCCTGGGTGCGCGCCCGAAGGGGCCCTCGTGATGACGGTTTTAAAGTGGGTTGAGCGTTCTCTCGACACACGCATCGGAGTCGCCAGCCGAGTAGAGCAATCGTGTCGGGCTGGCGATGATTTGAGTTGGTGGTCTTGGGTTATTGTAGAGGGAGAAGGTCGGCAGGCACAGAGAACTTTTTTAAGCGGCCGATTGTCTTGGCGTGCAAGGCCCAGCAAGCCGCAAAACGTAGCGCCGCGAACCGACATCTTTCCCGCATCGTCCATCAAGAACATCCGACCCAATCTCCTCCCATAGCACACCCACCTCCACCGGCCCCTCCAGCTTTCGCCTCCATTTTCTTCGTCTTCAGATACCCTTTCTTCACTTCCGCGCCCTTCGCCGTTCCGCACCTTGCGCGCCCGCACCCTCGCCGCCATCCCGCCCGTTGAAGCTGCTGCTGCAGCACTTGTCTGGCCCTCTGCTCTCGTCCACGCGCCGCCGGAGCGATCCCTCACACCCTTGCGCCACTTCTGCACGATAACCGAAAGTCCAATGGATAGAGACAGCAACAACCTATGGACCCGTCGCTCAAAGTGAGCTTCCCGCCGCCCGACGCTCGCCATCTGCCCGCTGCCGCATCCCGCACCCTGCAGCCCATGCTAACGTCTCGACAGCTCCTCTAAGCTTTCCCTGTCCATGAACAACGACCACAGTGACCCCAAGAGTGACCATCCCCCACGTGCACGCTTCGGTGGCGGCAGCAGTTCCTCCCACGGCGGACGCTCTAATCCCTTCAACGCCATCCCTCCTTTGACAACGGGAAACATAGCTTCTCCGACGACAGGCGCCTCCACAGCTTTTGGGCTGGGCTCTGGTGCCTTCGCATCATTCGGGTCCTCGACGAAAACGCCCAAGACGCCCGGAACCGCATTTGACTTTGGCAAAGCGACTGCCGCTGTAGCGTCGCCTTCGACGCCCGTCGCTAAAGGCGACAAGATTCTCGGCAAAGCAACAACAGCAACACCGTCGAGGCCGGTATCGCAGAGTGCGCAGGAGGCGCCAGCGCTCTCGGGTGAGCTTTCGTGGGAGGTGCCTGCACCTCTCAAGTACACCTGGGTCATCTGGTATCGCCCGCCCACGTCCAAGAATTCCGACTATGAGAAGTCCACGGTGAAGATGCTACGGATGTCTACGGCGCAGGACTTCGTGAAGGTGTTCCGCCACCTCAAGCGCCCGTCGATGCTTCCCACCGTTTCCGACTACCACTTTTTCAAGGACGGCATTCGGCCAGTATGGGAAGACGAGGAGAACAAGAAGGGCGGGAAGTGGATTATGCGGCTTAAGAAGGGCGTTGCCGATCGATACTGGGAAAATCTTCTAATGGCGCTTATTGGCAACGAGTTCATGGAGGCGGGCGAGGAGGTTTGCGGTGCCGTCGTTAGCGTCCGGAGCGGTGAGGATGTCTTCAGCGTTTGGACGAAGAACGACGGTGGCCGCAATGTCAAGATAAGGTGGGCAAGGTACGCAGGGTCGGTTGCTGAAGACACAGACTGACGCGGGTTCACAGGGAAACGATCAAACGCGTCCTGGCGCTACCGCCCGACACACGCATCGAGTGGAAGAGCCACGACGACAGCATCGCACAACGGACGGTGCTGGACCAACAACGCCAGGAAAAGGCGCAGGAGAGGCGGCGGACTCTCGCGGAGGAAAGCAAGCCGCAGGAAAAAGCTTCTTCGTGATGACAGCGATCTCTGATACCATACGGCGGTTCGGTTACTTGCATTTCGGGACGGAGTGAATTCATGGGATTGAGCGTCTTTCTGGGATTCTGCAATGGCATTTTTGTGGGGATGAGTCGACGCTTGAGAAACCTCACACTGTATTCTAGTAGCCGGTGGACGGGTGCTTGCCGTTTTGGGATTTTGGGTGAGCTCCGGGGATCAGCGCTTTGCCTTTGGAATGTGCGCGTAAAAGCGCCGCTGGCAGCGCGTCAAAACACTGCGTTCTCAGCAAGCATGGTGTGCAGCAAATCAGGATGTGGTGCAGCGATTCATATGCTAGCGGGACTAACCGCGTTCGGCGCTCGAGCAGATTCGCGGTGGAACAAGGATTGGCTCCCGCAACCCTGGCAAGGGTGGGCGGTACCCAAGATCCACGCCGTGAATGTGGTGGCGAGCAGAGGGCAATAGAGTGGAGCTGGCAGCGAGTGGGCTGGCGGGGGCTTGCTCGCAATAGGCGCCGGCAAGCTCGTCTCCTGCGCGTCGGGGTTCGAAAGCGGCGCACGATGCGCTGCGACGCGATGCGATGCGATGCGGCGGGCGTAGCAGCTGCGGCACATCCCACAAACGTCACTCTCCGCGTACCCAGGCCGCCGGAGAACAATGCCTCTCCGCTTGGCCGCGTCCGCCGCGTGAAAATGCCACACTGCTCTTCCCCGGCCCTGTACATGCCTCTCTCGACTCCGCAAAACCTGGCTCGATCCGCCTGTGAGGGTCCCTGAACGTGCTTGTCCGTCCGGGGGTGCGGCGAGCTCCACGGATGTCGCCTTTCCTCGCTACTCTCTTCCAAAGCCGGGGAAGCAGTGCTCAAGAACACCACCCACGGCCGCCGCCTACCGCCGGGAATTTCACCGCAGGAGAACGGGTACGTGCTTGCCCCTCGGTGCACACGCGCATTAAAACTTTCTGCGCGCTGCCAGCGCATCCGCACCGCCCGCATGTTCCTTCCCGTTATTGTTGAACGGCCGCACGCTGACTTCACCACCTTCGCCCGTACCATAGTTCGACGATGAACCCCTGTTGCCCGTCGCTTCCTCTCCCGCTCGACCTCGCACCTGGTTCTCGCGAGATCACCTGTACCCACCCTCCCGGCCTTCCTGCAAACTTGGCCCACCTGCTCACATTGCGCCACCCAGCTCCTCCATGCCCTCTCTGCACGAACTCGCGAGCCGCCCACCGGCGCCCAGAAGCCAGGAAGAGCTCCAGATCTACGGCAACCATACGTACGGGTACACCACGCTCTAGCCACATACCGATCGCGGCTAACAACCGGAAGGAACCCCCCCGATGCGGTGACGATAAGCAAGCCTACTGCCCCAACTGGCGGTAGCATGTCACACTCAAACAAGGTATGTTCCTCTCTCGTGGAGCATTGAGCGCTCAACGTGCTCACGCGTTTATGCAGCCTGGGGCTCGTGGGTCGTTTGCCCCCCGCAACACTTTGCAGCACTCGCCCTACGCCGCTCGGCCAAGCACCGCTCCCTCAGGAAGCAAATACGCACATGCAGGACGTCTCCAGCTTGAACCCAGTAGAGGTGACAACGTACGACTGTCGCGCGCACTCAGGTTCCCAGATGAAGACATGGTGTCCAACAAACGCCAGAAGCTTACTCACCCTAAGTCTTCTCCGCCACTGGTCGTGGACCTCACCGACGAAGCCGCTCCTACACTACGGAGCTCCCCGTTACAGAGAACCAGGTCGCAATCCCACGAACAAGCCAGAGAACATTTCAAGCAGTACGGCCGTTCCCGCAGTAACGGCTCGATTCACTCCAGACCATCCCTTCACTCGATGCCTTCTGGGTCGGACGAATACTACAAGGTGGAAGACACTATGAATGCAAAAGGCTACGGAAGAGCGCATATCTCCCAGGAGGAATTGGTTCAGGACTGCTTTGGAGAAACGAGTGCCCTGGCTGAAAAGCCCGCAACCACTCGTGGACACTCTTCTGAACCCATTGATGTGGATTCCGATGGTCCTAAGCCGTATCACAAGGAAGATCCTGGACGAGAGAAGTTCATCATGGATCACTTGATAGAGCAGCTCCGAGAGCCCCGAGAGCCGTCTCCAAAGCGCAAGCTTTTCGGGCAACTCTTACCTACCGATCAAAAGCAGTTATCTCACGGGACTTCTTCGCACCCAAGCTCACAGCGGAGACCAGCACAAAATCATGACCGGAAGGAATCCAAGAGAAGCGCTGGATCGGGCCAGTTTTACGACGTCAGGACGAATCCAGCGATAACGGTCAACAAGCATGACGACAGCGAAGACGAACTCGCCGAGGGAATCCCGAGGGCTTTGCCCAAACAGCGTGAGAAGACGATAAGGAGGTTTGATGCTGCGGAAAAGACGCAAACAAAATCACACTATTTCTCAGGGCTCATAGATGCCGACCGTTTCCCATCGCATTCAGGGCGTTCTCTTGAAACTACCATAAGACCCTCCAAAGCGGACATCAAGCCGAAGACATTCCCTTCCAAAGGCTCTGGAAAATGGATCCAAAATTCGTCCAGAAAGGTGGCTTGCAAATCGCGTCCTTGGCCTCTGAAGCTGTTCAAGATTCCCCACAGCCCAGCGATGTCGGAGATCGAAATGTGTCTTGTTTGGGAACCCGAGAGAAACCGATTTCTAGTCCATGGCAAAGACGGGATCATACCTGTTGGGACAGGTGTATCCTCTGTCGAAGAGTCCAAAGTGACCAGGGTCATTCATGGCCAAGGTGACTCAACCAAGGTTTTGGTTGAGGGCTGTAGGATCGACAACGAACTCTACAAGCGCTTCATGGAGTTCTCGAACGCCAAGGACCGTGACGACTTTCTTGACACAATGTCCTCTACAATCAAACGCTTGGCCAGGACCGGGTGAGTTCATTATAGTTTTATCATCTTGAAGAAGTGCTAATACTGTACTCTTAGAGAAGAAATGGACCGGATGTTTGCCAAGGCAGACGAAAATCCGCCCCGAAAATCCGCTCCAAAGCCTGTTGATGCTGGGTTAGAACGTCAATTTCTTGAGTCACGCGGCAACCAACGACGCCAAGAGACGACTGACAACAACGGTAATAAAGAACGCGCCTATGACAAAGCGAACAAGAATCCAGCTACCCATGGAAGACCTCGCCCTGACACCAGACTCATCTCACAACTGCAAGTTGATCCCTCCCGTGCTGAGTCTGGTACTCGCACCTCGAGAGCCGTGCGAGCAAACGATCTATTGGACATGCCCTCCTCTCGTGCACCCGCAACCACGCGAAACACTCGGGCCAACGATCAGGATGACGATATTTCGAACATTGAATATCTTGAGACGACTGCTGAACCCAAAGATTCATGGCCGCAGATGTCGTTTCCACCAGCATGGAAACAACCTCTAGTCTACCCACCAACCGGGCGGCAACGGGCGCAAGTAGACTGGCCTGATCTATTCAAGCTCAGTGACGATGAATTCCTCAACGACAGTATCATCAGTTTCTACATGACATGGGCTGCAAAACAGGCTGAAGAAGAAAAACATCTGCGGCCAGACAAGGTGTATTGGTTCAACACATATTTCTACTCCACGTTGACAAAGCTTGCGACTGGTCAGAAGGGAATCAATTACGCAGCTGTTCAGCGATGGACTTCAAGGGTTGACATCTTCTCCTACGATTACGTCGTGATCCCAATCAACGAGGACCAGCACTGGTATTTGGCCATCATCTGCAACCTACCAGCCCTTGCAAAGAAAGTCCAGAATCAAGAAGAGGCAGCAGAAAAGGAGCACAGTCTGGAGATCAAAGATCTTCCGAAGGATGGTTTGGCCGCCCATGTTCATGAAGTCCTTTCCGGGAAGCAAGAGCCTCCATTGGAGAACACGACGGAATTAGAGGATGCGAGCGATGCCATGGAAGTTGATCAGCCGGTCCCCAACGATGAAGTGACCGCAGGCGAAAAGTTCAGGGAACAATTGGCCGGCGCAAGAGGTAGAGACGAAAAGATGGCGACGACACCACAACCCACTGTCGATGAGGCGCGGAACGGCTTTACGGATGAGAGCAAGGCATCAGCTGATGGCCAAGAAGATGCGTCCAAGCTGAGTCCGGGAGGTAGAAAAGGGCGGAAAAAGCCAGTCCCGCCGTCCCGAAAGTTGGACGCAGAGCAGTGAGTCACGTTGACTGGATCGCATCTTGTATTATGGGACCATTTCTGATTTCTTCCTAGGCCTGTCATCATGATGCTCGATTCCCTTGAACTCACCCACCCCAGGACTACCAAGAACCTCAAGGCATATTTAGTCGAGGAAGGTAAAGCAAAGCGTGGCATGGATATCGACATAAAAACCCTCCAAGGGACGACCGCAAAATGCATCCCTACACAGAACAATTTTTGTGATTGTGGCATCTTTGTTTGCCTATACTTCCAGAAGTTCATCAATGACGCCGACAACTTTGTGCACAAGATCATCCGCCGGGAAATGGATAAGACGAAGGACTGGCCAGACATCTGTCCTCCGAAGACGCGGCGGGAAATCTTGGCGTTACTTTTACAGCTCGAGGAAGAACAGGCGAAAGAGCGAGAAGAACAGAAGAGAAAGAGGAAGTTGGAGAGGAAAATTCTACGGGAAGGCCAGAAGGGGGACTCAAGAATATCGATTCCGAAGCAAATTCCCCCGAGCAAGATGGCGGAGCCCGAAGCCAGGCCCAAAACACCTCTTGGCTCGCCCCCGCCGGGGTCAGTAGCCACTGTGGCCCCCTTGGAGGCTGGACCGCAGACTCCTCATATTCCACCGCCTCGTGCGGTCACGCAACAAACTGGACGCCACCCGGTAGTTGTCGTTCAGATGTCGCCTATCAAGGACACGGCCTTCAATGCTAACCGTGCCCTATGCAGAAGAAGCCCTAGAAAGCACACATCCCCCGTCGAGACTACTAGGGTTGGGGAGCAGGACGCGGCTATTCTGCGTACGGGCAACCAGAAGCGGAAAGAAACGTCAATCGAGCTTGGGGATGATGAATCAGCTCTGGGGGGTGTGGAAGCGCTTCCATCGATTGGAAGTCGATCCGTCGAGTTACACGAACAGGATCACAGCGATGGAGAAATCATCTCCGAACGGGTGAACGATCCAATGGAGATCGAAGACGCCGAGCAAGATGAAGCCGAGAGAGAGATTCCGGACTCACAGCCCGACCAATTTGAAATTGCGGCGCGAGTGAACCATGATCAATGGCGGTCCGGAGTAAACCACCTCAAGGGCCACAGCTATGAAGATGTAACAGATGCCAAAAAGGAGCGGTCGCCGTCGCGGAGGCGACAGCAGCAGCAAAAGAAGAGAAGGACCACGCCAACGGAGGTCATTGAGATCGATGACTCGCAGACATGAATCTGTCTCTGGCATTTACGGTCTCCTCCCTACATACATATTTCATTGCGTGGCTGGCATGATACTTCCCTGTTTTCGTCTCTTTCCCTCAACCATGTTCATGGCTGGGGAGATGGATGTCATTCAACACTATACCTATCTGCATAGCTTGAGGCGTCCGGGATGGTTGGTAAGCAAGCACAATCTTGTTGATCGAGCGGGGCGGGGGGATACCAGAGCAATGAATGGAAAGATGGTTGCATGTGATTTCAAGACAGGCTAAGGTGGCGTATGAGCCAAAGATCAATGAGATATACGAAAGGCTGCGAGATACCATGTCCTTGTTGCCCCAGCGAGAACTTGAGTGATATGGCCTGTTACTCAATCATTGAGTTGCAAGGTGATGGCGCTCTCCCCTTTGAGGTTGTGCTCGTTTGTAAAGCGGGTGCTAGCATGCAGTACTCAGGAGGCACACCTCACATTCTCCAGTACTGAGAGCGTTCGGCTCTGAAAACTAGTTGGCCAGGTAGAGTAACCCTTCATGGAAAATTCTATCTCTCTAGCTCTATGTGTCTTGAAATTTCCAGGGGTCTTACACCGTCTAATACTCATGCACTTTTCTCTCGTACGGCACGGCTCTCACCCCCAGCTCCCGAATCCTTCGGTTATTCCTCCAGATACCCATGGCGACTGCTTCTCCTGGCCAAAAACCTACACAGCGTTCCTCAATGTTTCTTTGGCTGTCTTGTGGTCTTCATCCAAAGCCTTCCCGATGGCGCCGTTGGCTCCTCGCCCGCCAGTGCCATCTACGCCATTGCTTTCTGCCGAAACAGCCTTGTCGACATCTGTAAGACAAGATTAACACATTAGACCAGCCCTTATCAAAGTTCAACTTCAAGTGGCCAAAACTCCACCGGAGCTCCGCTTTTTCTCTCACTTCATCACCGCACGACCATCGTACCGATTTCCCCCCCAATCTCACGTTCTCTTCCACCAACAACTTGTCGAAAGAACTCACCCGCATACTCATGGCTCGCCCCCTCGCCGACCCAAAACCGCAGCTTCTCGCGCACAAACTCGCCAAAGTCCCACTCGTGGTCCTCCAGCCGCCGCTCCCCGGCCGTCCAGATGTACGTCTCCGCCTCGACTTCCTCCGCCTCCCCTTCCCTCTGCTCCTTCCCATCCTCGCGGCCACCACCACCACCACCACTACTAGGCAAGCCCGCGGCATCGACGTCGCCGCCGACCAGCACGCGCACGCGCACGCGCCGCCGCTCGTACTCGTCGCCCTCGAACAGGTCGAGCCGGTACATGTCGGCGTCGGTCAGGCCGGCGACGAGGGTGCCGCGGACGCTGCTACCAGTGCTGGTGCTGCTGCTGCTGCTGCCCGAGCCGGAGAGCGGGATCACGCCCGGGTAGTCGGCGTGGCGGACCTTGCGGCGCTGGTGCGCGTGGAGCAGCGCCGGGCGCGGCGGGCGGAGCGACGCCGTCTGCCAGGGCTCTGGGGTGGAGGTGCCGTAGATGACGCGGTGGAGGACTTTGGGGACCATGAGGGTGCCTAGTTGGGGGTAGGGAATGTTAGTTGGATGGGTGGGGTGGGTGGGGTGGAGGGTTGGGAAGGCGGGAGGGGAGGGGAGGGGGGGGGGAGACGGACCGTAGAAGAAGGCTGTGTGGTCGCCCATGTTGGTGGGGAGTGTGTGTGTGTGTGTGTGGGTGGGGGTTGGTGATAAGGTGGGAGGTAGGTAGGGTTGACGGAAACTGTGGCCGGCTTTGTAGTTAGTAGGGTCTTAGCTGCTGTTTTCTAGAAGTTTTCTGTTTGGAGGAAGCAAACGGAGTAAGCAGAGAACGAAACGATCTGGGATCGGGCTTGGCGCGGGAAGACGATGCGGCGGGTGGAGTAGGCGCAATGACGATTGCCGGGAGATAACGCGGCAGGGATGGAGATAAGGGTCTTGGCATCAAGATGGTCAGCCCTACCCGCGACGCTAACGCGCAAGGAACCGCGAACCCTTTCGTGTCTCCTGGCAGCTCGTACTCCTGCCACTTCGCCCGCTGACACGCGACCCTCTCCGCTCACTCGCGGAAGGAAGTGCGATAGCAGCGCTCGATTTTTCCGAACCAGCCCCTTTCGCTCCCGCCGCGCTTCTCCATGCCACTCGCCGATTACCTCGCCGATTACCTCCCCGAATTCTTGACCGCGGACTCCGACATCATGGGCTTCTTCTCCGGGCTCGTTACCCACATTGCCCCAGCATTGTAGGCTTCCTACCCCTTTCTATCCGATGGGACAGGTTGTTGACATGGTGCAGCATCGTTACCTCTCCAATCACCTCCTATGCCGACCAGATCTACTCCATCCACCGGACGCGCTCGTCCGCCGGCTTCTCGCTGGACATACCTTTGATCATGCTGGTTGCCTCTATATTAAAGTAGCTATACCCACCAAGCAAAGCGCTTCCTTTTCCGGACGTGCCGGCCGCTCCAGTTGCTCACGCGCCTGCCCTTTGACAGGATCTTCTTCTGGTTCGGCGATCACTTCGCGCTGTCGCTCCTCTACCAAGCCATCCTCATGATCTTCATGCAAGTCCTGCTCCTACACGTCGCATTAAGGCACCGTCCGCCGCCTGCCGCGCAACACACGCCTTTCGCCGCGCATCCGACACCGCGCCCGTACAACTTCTGGCAGTGGCGCCCGCATCGGCCGTACTGGGCCTTCCTACTCTACTTCACGGGCGCGCTCGTCATCCTGCATGTCCTGCTGAGTAGCACCGAATTTTTCACGAGCTATACATCCGTGCTCGGGTTTATTGCTTTGGCGATCGAGGCGTGTCTGCCGCTGCCGCAGATTCTGTCGAACCAGCGCGCCAAGAGCACCAAGGGCTTCAGGCCCAGCGTGCTGCTGAACTGGTTGATCGGTGATACGTTTAAGCTGACCTTCTTCTTCCTCAGCGCCGAGGGCGAGGTGCCGTGGGCGTTCAAGCTCTGCGGTATGTTCCAGGCGTGCTGCGACACGTATCTAGGTGTGCAATGGTGGATGTATGGAAACAGAGCGAAACATGAGAAGGCGGACGACATTCCTTTGTAGACTGTTGAAAATCAGTCTTGGATGCTTCGAAGAGTTGCGCAATAGAAAGGTGATCTCGCCGTGGGCAGAGGCTTTCTGGGCCATAGTACTGTAAAACATAACGAAGATAGACAAGAGAATTGCGCTCAATGGTACGCTAGTGCTGACAACAACAACAACCCTATTTGATGGTACAAAAACGCCAATCTGTCGCTCTAAAGGACCCCTGTACACGTCAAACATTGTGACATTTACAACATCCCCTTCCTAGCGAGCTCGATCTTGCGCACCGTCTCACCCTCCTTGAACCCCCCCTTGCTCGCGCAGATGGCAATCCCCTCGCCAAGCTCGACCTTGTCTTCGACACTCGGGAAAGCGCAGGGGCAGTGGTGCGGGAAGTGCACGCAGGAGAGAGTGCCTGGGCAGAGGTATTTGTCGCAAGTAGCTAAGTAAAATGAATCGTGTCAGCGCCCAGATCGGCCATGGTGGGATGTAGTGCAAAATAGATAGCTGATCACTTACCGCCGTCATATTGCTGCTGGTACCAGCTCGAGTCGCTGGGCATGTTCTGCGGCTGCTGGTGATGGTGGCCGCCGCCGCCGAACATCTGTTCGAAGAATTGGAATTGCGCAGAGACGCCGAGCGAACAGGCGAGAAGGAGAAAGACGAAGCTCAGGGGCGAGTGCATGATGATCAAACCGTCGTCTGTACAAAGGGTGCGTCTGAATGATGTTGTTATATTTCCGACAGCTCGCAGCAGCTTGTCTGGCCTCTTCGGGGATGCGCGGCGGGTCGGCGGGCGGCGGCGAGCCAGGGTCCCTCTTGTTCCCGCAGCCGTCATCGACCGCCAAGTCTGGGAACGGCAATACATTGTTCCTCGCCACACGATTCGCCGGCGATTTGCCGGGCGGGCGCCCGCAAGATTTCTTGCCCTGGGCGAATCTTTTGGAGCTTCGACGAGAGCAGCTTGCGACCACACCCTTCCCACCACCTCTGACCGCAGACGTCACAGATCCAATCTCCTCCGCTTAACCTGTCAAGTACATCCGACCCATCCACCGCAACGTGAGTTTCGCTCTGCGCATTGGAAGGAGATCCTGGGGCTGACAGCTTTTTTTTTTCCCTGTCCAGAATGCATCTCATGTACCACTTCGACGCCGAAGGCAAGCGCGTCTACACGCTCAAGAAGATCGTCGACGGCGAGGCCACCAAGTCCGCCCACCCGGCCCGCTTCTCTCCCGACGACAAGTACTCGCGCCAGCGCGTCACGCTCAAGAAGCGCTTCGGCCTTCTCCCCACCCAGCAGCCCAGTCAGTGCCACCCCTCAATTTTCGATTCTTTCCCGCGCGCCGCGGACAAGGGATTATTCTAACCTATGCCACAGAGAACAAGCAGGCGGCCATGGGCGCGTAAGCGGCGCCTCTCCCGAGGCTTCTCCCACCAAGGCTGGCGTTTAATGGTGTTTTGAATGGCGGATATCATGGCTCTTCGGGCGGCGTTCAGGGGAGGTCGTTTCTTGACCACTGGCAGCATTTTAGTCGGTTCCTAGAGGTGGGCATGATGGGAAGGTTCCGAGCTCTGCGATCAGGTCGGGGAGAGGGAAAATTGAAAGCGTTGAGAAGCACAACGGAATTGTCGGCGATGAAGGCTCTTTCTCGCGTACTCTCAGCGCTTCCGCTCTGGCTCTCGACGAGCAAGCCAGAACCAACTTCTTCGTGTCCACGCCTGAGGAGGTTTTGTGCACTATGAAGGAACTCTAGCTGGACCAGACATGCTCGCAGAGTGAATGTCGTCCTTACTTTGTCTATAGGGAGCAGCTTCCGATTCGACAGTTCCCAGTTCTCAATAAAAAAAAATCTTCAAAATCCAGACGTGCTTCAAGTCTACACGTGGAAATAAACTGAATTGATCGTAAACTTTTGATATCTTCTAAACCCAGTCATCAAGATCCGAAATGCGCCAGGCAAATGCCGAAGTCTCCACCCATGCCCTTGGTATATGTCCCTTCTACCTCTTCTTCCTAGCGGCGTTAACGTTCCTGCCGGCTCCAACCTTGGGCCTACCACCGGTCCTGTTGCGCTCGCCGGTCAGGATGGACGGCAGGTAATCCTCATCCATGAGATCGCGCTGCTTCTGGCGCTTCTCCTGGGTGACGGCGCGCACGTACTCCTTCTGGTCCTCGGCGAGGATGAGGTCGGCGCCCCAGCCGCCCTTGCCGCCGCCGGCGGTGATGCGGCCGGAGGAGGACTTGCTGGCGGGCTTGGGCACGCTGTAGCGCTCGCCGCGGTTGTTCCACTGCATGTTCTTCTTGAGGTGGAGCTTGAACTCGCCGTTTTGGGCGGTGGTGCAGGTCACGCGGCTGAGGGTGGGCTTGCCGCAGCGAGGGCAGAACTGCTTGCTCATTTCCTTGGTCGTGAGGAAGCAGGCGTGGCAGCGCAGGATGAACGTCTTGAGGTGCCGCACGCGGTGCAGCGAGGGCGAGAGCAGGTTGAGGTTCATCTGCAAGATGACGTTTTGCATGGCGAAGTCGGTCGTCATGATTGCCGCCTGCAGAGTCTTGGACGCGTCCTCGGTGGTCTCGGCGCTCATCATCTGGTCGCGCGCCTGCTTCTTCTTGATGTTGGACGGCGTGATCCAGCCATCGTTATCCGAGTCGGACTCGGAACCAGCGTCGGTGGCCCCGGATGTACTCCCAGACGCATCCTCTACATTGGAAGGGGCAGCAATCTCGGCGGCCGGCGGGTCCTGGGCTGCTTCATTGGTTGGAACGCTTGCAGACACATCTGCATCTGCAAGAGCGGAGGCGGGAGAGTGCTCGTCGGAAATCCGGGCCTCCGAGAGAGCGGACGTAACCGCTTCGCTGGCTTCGCCCGCTCCGTCAGCGGCGGCGGCAGGCGAGTCTTCGGCAGCGCTGCTGGCTGCAGGCGGTGCCTCAGGATCGGCAGTAGTCGCGGGCGGTGCTTCTGGGGCGGGTTTGGTTGGAGGAGGGCCGTTCGTCCTCTTCTGGCCGGGGACATTCCTCAGGCGCCAATCACCGGCATTACGCTCACATTCAAGGTCGCGGGCCAGGGCAATGAGTTGTATGTCAGTGCTGCTGAGAACGGCTAAGTCGCCGGTGTGGCGAGCGAAGTCCTGGACGATTTTGACCGTGTCCGGATGCGGGTTTCTTTGGGTGAGGAACGGGAGCAAGGTGGTCTCTACCCGAGCTCTTGTGACTTCATCCCGGATTTCTGACACGACGGCAGGTATGGTGAAGATGACTTCGGACTGGGCAAGCAAAGTTGAGACGGGAGGCGAATTTTTTATGATCGGGCCCGCGTCAATGACGAGGCTGTGAATAGGCTTCTCCGAAGCCATGGCGGCGAAAGCGGTTGGGGAAACGGTGGCAGCGAGCTGTAGATGGCAGCTTGACTGTCCCGGGCAAGCAGCAGGGCTGGCAAGAGTATCTGCGGGGAAGGCGGCGTGAGCGCTGTCGTGGCGTGAAATTCGCGATGCGAGTCTGGAAAATCACGGCAGGCGCGTAGTCATCAAGCACGTGACCGAAGCCGGTACCAACTCCGGCAGGAGGCGTGCAGGGATCTGCTTCTCTTTCCACACGCAGACATCATCAATCAAACACCTTGAAAGGCCGCAGACGGAATCCTCGTCCGTTGCGCTCAGTGCATTCACCATGGCGGCGCGGCTGTCCCCACCGATTCTGCGCGTTTCCTCGCCGCCCGTCTCCAGGATCTGGCAGCCGGCGGCCGCAATCCACCCCTGCTCAAGCCTCAGTGAATGGGCTGTCCGCTGTGCCGCCCTGATAGCCATGCATCTTGTCTGCATGCATGCGGCGCGTACTCACCCCTCGTCCAGATGGTCTGCATGTCTGCGATCTTGACTCACCCACCGCCTCCCGCCGCAGGTCCGAGAACAGGCCCGCGCCGCGTCCCCACGACTGCGGCACAGCGCCCTGCCGACTTGCATCGCCGCAAATTTGCCATGGCCACTTGGACTGTCTCTTGTCTCCATGCCAGCAGAATCGGGCCATGGTGCAGTCCGCTCGTGGATCCTTTGCTTGATCCGATCTCGTGGACCTGCCGTTCCGCGGTGACGTCTCCAAGATTGCCCCATGCATATCCCATGCAGCCCCATGTGGTCATCGCCGCCCATGTGTGAACGTGCATCCGCGGTTGCAGCCGGAGCCGACCGAGCCGTTGATGCAATACCGAGTACTCAAGCAACCAGGTCCGGACCTGGAGAAGATCGTTCAATTAGTCCATCACGCCAACCGCAACAGGCGCCTGGCACTTGCTCCCATCTCCTTTCCGCCTTGGCCCCGGCCAAGCAACGCTTTGCTCTTGGTGCCTGTGCCTAGGCCAGCCTCTAAGTATGCAGTGTGCGAAGCTCTTGTCTTCTCACGGGACACATTCCCTTACAGGGTAGGCTCCTTGGCCTTTGCCACACCATGGACGGCTCCGTGTCGACCATCCAGTTTCGTGTGCTGTGTCTTGTCCGCGGATCCACTTTTCCGAGAAATGCGACCAGGTCCCTCGGGCTAAGTCCACTTCACGATTCAAGCAATGCGACGAGGGCCGCATCGGTAGAGAGGATTATGCCATTACCTACGCCGCGCTGAGAAGCTGTCAATAGGATATTCCCGAGACACCCCATATGCTAAGCTCTCTTTCGGCCTTGCACCGTGTACACGACATCTCGCCATGGCTGATATGGTGGTGTGTCGAAACATGTTGAGACATCCGCTGCCGTTTGAGCTAGCCTGAGGACGTGGCGACGGGTGGAGTCCACCCACGACCGAGGACACTCGCCACGCCCTTCCGCTTTCCCTGGCTTCGTGGACGATTTGCATGCAAAGGTATGCTTGCCGTACGTTCACCCGAACTTCCACGGTGTTGTTTTCGTTCCTTCGTCCCGAAGGCGGCATGAGGCAGAGTGCGGCTGTCTAGCAAAATCAAGCAGTCAGTTTCGCATCACGGCGTCAGGGGCAAGCTGGCAATGGATGGTTACGCACTCAAATCCCGAGTGATGTTGCAAGTTCGGAGCGAAGACTAGACGAGCGAATTTTGCTGCGAACCCAGGCTGTCCCGGGGTGTTCGGCAGACAGTGTCCGAGCGGTCGGGGTGCGAGGCTGGACGAAAAACCGACAAACGGTCGACCGTACCTACAAAGCGACGAATAGAGCGGGTCTTTCTCTCAGCAATTCGGGTCGTCGGATCAGTAGATCTGAGCAGCGGAGAGGAAACGGAGATGTCTGTAGGCAACTGGCGAGAAAAAGGAGGCAACAGAAGAAGGCAGCCGCTAAGGAACCGCGTACCCGTCACATTACACATTCTGTCGCAGTCTTCTCTTGTCACGCCGGCCTATCTGGGCTCGCCTGGGGCTACCTCACCTGATCGAGGGATACATATAAGTCAACTCTTGTCCTCGTCAAGAGACACCTGGACCGTGGGAGACCTACGCCTGCGTAGGCTTTCACTAATAGCTTCTGGCAAACAAGCAGAACCGATTCGGAATCCGATCCCCCCGAGCGCACGCGATCAGCCTGAGACCGTGGTCAGGTCAGGTTGTCGACCTCCATCCCCGCTGAGCTGTGTTATCGTCAGGCTTACTATGTGCTTTTACCCCCCGCTTGGAAGACTCAACCGGAAAGTATGGTGAAAGCCACTGGCTGCAGCTGCCTTGGACTGCACAACCCAAGGCCGCTGGCGCTGGTGGCTGGCCCATTCTCTGGGCTTCCCGGCTCGGGCTTGGAGGCGGCACGCGCCCGCAGAAAGATCGAGCGAAGCTCAACCAAGGCCTTGCTCCGCGTCATTCGCCGACCACTGCTGGTTACTTCGCATTGGTGAGATGTATACGCCTCCGACTGGAGGACCACTCCTCCCTTCCGCCACATGCCACTCTGTCTGCAAGCCTACGTATCATCCCATCCCAGCCCCGGCCAGCCCGCTGGTCAGTCTGCGCAGCAGCAAGCCCCTCCAGTCCATGTGGGTACAGACAAGGTCTCGAATCAGGTTGAATGGAGCTTTGGGATCCACAGCGGAGTCGTGTGAGCCCAATCCCCTCGCAGTCTTCAGTCTGGAATGGCTACATTTATTCCGCAGCTCTTGCCTTCGGGGGTAACCGACGGGATTCCGGTATGGATAGTTGGGCGCTAATCGCACTGCAATATTTCCACCAGGCAGCGGAACCGCGACTCTCCCTCCACTTTTGGCCAACGATCCGGCTGCACTCTGTCGCCACCCTTTTCCCGGCCTATATGAACATAGCTTACAGCAATATGTATGAGACCTGCCCTTCGCCATCCCGTCCCAACAGAACCTTGGGGTTGTCTGAGATCGGGCTTAAATGGCTCGGAGGCCATTGGAATCAAGCACATCGCGCCCAGAATCGCTCAAGCCGCTATTGTCCAAGTGGTGCCAGCAAGCCAGTTGACACGGTCAAAGCTCGTGTCAGGAATCATGGTACGCATGCTGAGATTGCCTCTGCATATGTGCTGACGTTCTCCAAGGACAACTCCTTAGTATCATTCTACGTTCGCGTTGTTGGCATTGAGCCCCGTCGGGACGCTCGGCCGCGCGAGCCCGTTCGTGGCGTCTGGTTGCCCCCGGTGGGAAGACATTCTGTGATGGTGTCTTCACAACTGTTCTGCTTCAATGGCGCAGCCGTCTACGATATGACAAACAGCCAGCATCCGCCACAGGGCTCGCAAGTCTTCTCGACGTGCTCGGTCTATCACTACTCGAGCACCTTCTGGGCCTTGAACTACGATGTCACCCAGCATGCCGTCGATCAAGGAGAGCATTCGGATTGGAACCACATTGGATTCGATTATGGCGATGGCAGAATGAACTGGGTCGGCATCGGAGGCCAGCACCGGCGGCTTGATCGCCAATGTGACCAGCCTTGGGTGCATTCACTGTTTCCTGAAAACCACCAGCCGTATGAGTTCTCCGTGGACCGACGATATGGAGGCCTTAGCGGCGAGCTCCCGGTCATTATCGCTTTCATTGCCTTTTCCATTCGCCCGGAGTGGTTGATCCATGCTCTCAGTAGCTGTATGCGTCGAGGCCAATGGAGCGGGCATGAACAGAGGCATGGGAGTGAGTCTGTCACTTGAACTCTTCAGCGCTTTCCTGACCTTTGTCCCAGGGATCGACGGCAGGGGAGTAGTCGTCACCGTATACACTGCTCCTGGCATGTCAACACGAGCACAACTGAGGGAGTTTGAAGCATCAAGGATATTTCCTACATGAGTACGAATCCGGTCTACTCTCACGTCCGGGGCAAGAATCGGAAGGCGGCACCGCCAAGCGTTTCCTCTTCAGATTTCCTGAGGCAGGTTGTGTTACCCTGCAGCTTCTTCGTCAAGCGTTGCCTAGTCGGAGCTCGTTCTTTCGCTACCAAAACTTCTGTCGTTTTCGTCTGTTCTCTTTCAGAGGGCATGTCCCTTTCAAGCCCCAATTTCGCTGCCTCTTTGGCCTACATGTTGGATAAATGAATGCTTCACGGACACTAAACTGCATCAACACTCGGTATTCAGGGGTCCAAGGACCACTCCCTTAAGCAAGCGACGACGGCTTCTGTTGAGATATGTGATAGCTCACTTGCCAGACCTGTCTTGTGTCCTCGGCAAATTGCTGGCATTATCCCAGTAGGCTACTAGCAGGGGTAGATTACAGCATCAGCCAGAGCTCATGATCACCCTTTAGCGGCGTGAAGGTTGCTAGAGCCGTCCTCTGCCAGGCAGGGGTCTTTGCGCCGACGGCAGTGCCTGCGGTCTGCAAGTCATAGGCGTGAGCTTACATGTATCAGAACAAAACATACTTCGTATGGCTTAGTCGCGAGACTGCAGAGCAGATGCTGCGTCCGGGCAACGCGAGACAGTAACTTTGCCGGCTCGCGGTATGGGATGGCACAGCTCAAGTCGGATCCAAGCAGCGGATTGAGGCTCGAAGAAGCATGGTTCTATGGAGAAGTCTGCCGTCTCTCTGCTTGAAGCGGCAATTATGTACATGTGGTCGTTGAGCACAGGATCAACCTGCAGCCATCTGCCTGGCGGACACGATCCACCAAATCGGTTGTGCATGGCCGTCACAGCGAACTTGGGACGAATCCATTGACTGAGCTACAGGCTACAGTAAGTCACGTCAGGGGTGCGGGTCGAATAGGCTGGGCCGAGTGCGAAGAGGTGCTGGTGTTGGATGATGCAGAGGAGCTGTCGTCCCTGACAACGTATCGGGAGCGGGCGGGCGGGCCAGGAACGCGCGGGGCTGCCGCTAGCGGGTCGAGCGGAGAGGCAGAGGGTAGCTCGCTGCTGGCTCAGCAACATGGGCTTCCGTCATGATGAAGATGGTGGCTGAATGCGGGCCCGCCGCTGTGGTCACGGTTGATGTCCAACCAATCCCCACCAATACCGATACCCCGCCGGCGTCGGGACCTCGCTTGCTCAACTCAGTTGGGGTGTGGCCTGGCATCTCCCGTGCAGAGTTTTGTCTCTCTGACTCTCTGCAAGGCTGGCGGCTAGGACAGTGCCCAGCTCCGTCCGGCGAATATCGCGCCACCGCAGCAATATTTACGCGCCCGGGCTCTGCTCCCTCTGAGTTCCGAAGCACCCTTTTTCGCCGTCCCACCCCCGAGACCTGCGTTATTCTGACTCTCTGCCTTTCCCGAAGGCCTTGCACGCGAGTGATTGCAGCACTGTTGGAACCCCCTTGCGAGTCCTCCTCTCTCCCACCGACGCGCTGTCCGGCCCGGTCGCCTCCAGCTCAACGCAGATCATGACAAGAAGGCTACGACATGGCTCGCAACAGCTCGCGATGCTACGACGATACGAGGGCTCGGCTTTGTGAGGGCCCTATTCCAAACGATGCGCACTGCCAGGCCTCGGCGACACACGGAACTACACATGTTGACCGGAGCTGTTGGACGGCGAGGAAGTCATAGCTCCAGCCAAGGGGCAATGGATACTAACTCTTCAGTCCTCAGGAGAGCAAGCCTCAAGCCGTTTTGTATCGCCGTAGCTGGACGTCTTTCCTCGAACCGTCATCAATCCGCGTCGCCGAACACATCTTTCTTGGATGCACAAGGGCTCTGGAACTTCTCGCTCATGATGCTCCATGAGTTTCGAAATCTCCTGCCTTCTCGAACAAGGAAAACGGCAAGACCACAACAGCCTGGCGGACTGTGGATCAGGGCGACTCGTCAGGCTTGCAAGCCCGCCTGGTTCCGGAACTAGAACCGCTGTGCGCAGTAAGGTGGCCTGCTTCTGGCTTTTTTGAGCGCCCGGGTTACTTTCTCGAAAGAGAACAACCCAGCGTGGCGGCAGGCCTGTTGTGACATGTTGTGTGGGCCCCACACCAATCATTCATTTAGCATCACACATGACCACCCATCGCTTCCGCCGTGTGGCACAGCAGAGATTTCTTCACAATTGTCCCGAGGCGTTGCCTACTGTCCGATCCGCGGCACGTATCGGCTTCGCATATGCGAAGGAGGGCGGATGGGTATTGGTTATATCTTGAGGTGCAGCGCACGAGCGTAGCCGGTACTATTGCAGCGGTGCAAAGTACACGCCAGTCTCAGCGATCCAATACCCGACGGATTGAGAAAGCTGTCTTGGGAGCGGTAGATCCCCACCGGGCACTGTTCGCTACTACGTAAGCCCGTGGCGAGCCGCCCCGTCGCCCCTGCGTGTGGGTGCAGTGCCATTGCGTCCCACTTGTAGCTGCGGAGATCCCTCCAGTCACGCTGCATGGCTTCTAAACCCGCCAAACGGCGAACTCATACTGGACAGGTATCCTTATTGGTCCTCGTTGCCCTGCGGACAGCCATGGCGAAAGAGGTGACGGCACCCCAGCCATTCCCTCGGGCTTCTTATGCATTTCCGGCATTCCCGAGCCTCGATCGGCGCTCTATGCGCTGCTCCCGCCGGATTTAACCGACGGCCTAGTCGTTTTGGCGATCGTACCAAGTATGCCCCCGTCTTTGCATCTCCGCAAAGCCGTGGCAGCTTCAGGGCCATGCCTTTTGTTACTTCAGAACAGCCCTGGTCGCGACAGACAGAAACCATCGCTCCCAGAGAGAAGTCGCCGGAAGCGTTGTTGAGCATTCACTGCCTTGCCTCGCCATCTGTGCATCGGGGGAGCGGAATGCAGGTTATCCGCAACTATTCCAACACAACACGTCGAAGATCTTCCCCGTACACCACCACATAGCCCAAGCATGACGATTCTGGCGCACGCTACTCTATAATGCACCACGATTTGGTTCGAGTATTGCTTCTGCCCCCCAGGAATGTACCGTTGCATTCGGCGCATGAGCCGAATTTCGCATCCAGGCATTCTGCTCGACTTCCACCGAGGACAGCTGGTATCTAAGCGGAAAGCTGAATCGTATGATACACAGTCGACACATAGGTCCTCATGCCACGCCGCTCGACTCGTTGGGGGCTTTGTTTTCGTCTTGTCCGGCCCAAGCTTTAGGGTATGGAACATCTTTTGCCGAAAGTGTGCATACTGATATCACTTCTCTTGACTCCTTGGTGATCCTTACTCCTGAGAAGCGTGCTCAATGTCCGGCATCCATGAAACACCATTCGATTCTGAATAAATCAAGCCATCATGCCACCAGCTGGAGCTTCGCGGCATAGGCCAGTAAAGAACGAGAAAAACGGTGGTCTAAAAAGGCCCAACGGGGCTGCTCACTTATGAAATTTCATGTAGAAACAGCACATGAGTCACATCGCAACGCTTGACGTTTGTGGCCTCCACTGTGCCTTGCTTACTAGCTTAATGTGTAGAGCGTGTTGTTATTCCCGAGATCCTGCCATCAATGCAAGTGAAGCGACAACTGTTTTTCCTGTGAAGAGCACATGGATGAGTGCTTTCCGCGGCCCTGTGGGGATATTTGCAAGCATCTCCTACTACATTCTTGATCTGAGCTTCCAAAGCGTCAGGAATGCAGGTATACTGTGGAATTTGATCGGCCATACCAACAGCACTTGTGACTTTATTGGATACGATATCACTGGACTACCCATGGTCCCTGCAGTCCGATCAGCAACTCGCTTGCTTCCGAAAGTTCATATCTCTCCTCTCTCTCCCTCTTCCTCTCTCTCTATCTCTCTCTCTCTCTCTCCTGAGCTGATCACGTCAGCCATTGTGCAATGCATGCTGCAGCTAGCGCGACAAGTTTGAGCTGCCGACAGGCGACGGGCACTTTTTAGAAAGACTGGGAGAGCTCTGGTCCTGGGTGGCAAGCCTAAGCAGCAGGGCTTCCCGGCCCCCCTCCCCCCTCATGCTAGCCTGTAGCACAACACAGTCCAAGACAGCTGGTTACTGGCATTCAGACAGCTTTGCAGACGTGGATCCACAGCAAACATGTTTCCTGCAGAGCAAAGCCATCTGCCACCAGCCAAGCACCACTTAACATGCAGCATCAAACACCAGCACCTGCGGTCATGCCACCGTCAGCACAGCCGCAGAACGGCGATAACGTATTTCCTGTAGCAGTTCGCAGCACCATAGCTTTCTGGTTTGGTCGATTACACATGCTCATGCATCTCAACGGAACTCTGCCCCGGCCATGACCAGAGTGCGCCAGCTTACGGCGACCCCGCACGACGATGTTTGAGGCTGGTAACCAGCAAGCATGTCATTGCGATTGAATGACGCTGCACTGCCGCCCAGTCCAAGGCACAGCGTAGGGGTCTTACTTGCAGCTGTGGAATGTTCGTTGCGAGTGACAAAACAAGGCCATCACACATCCCCCCTTCAGTGATCAACAGACGGCAATTCACTTGAGCACCGCCGGCAACTTTGTTTCACAAGCAATCTGCAACATTGCAAGGATGGAAATTGCCACCTCACGCTCTTGGCTGGCAGATTCGGATTGAGGCAGTGCCCAGGGCCCCGCACATTCGCAAGACTCTCCACTTTCACTTCATCCAACTTGGAAGGCAGGAAGTCTTCATGGCCTCTGGTCCCGAAGCCAAGTGATCCCATCTGGCTGATCTCCGCGGCCCACCCACGGAGCCCACTTTCCCTCATACCTCGTCACTGTGCGATACAACGTCGGCTATCCGGACGCACGCAATTGTTCGAGTGCAATGCAAGAGTGACCCGGAGCTCCGCGTGCGCGACCTTCCAGTTTCCACCTGTTGGGGAAACCAGAAGCGAATCCCATACTGCGGTACAAATGCCTGAGTCGCGTTGATCGGCCGAGTAGACCCATCCGCGCGCGGGTGGGTATGTTGCAACACACTCCTCGCTAGCCCACGAGCAACACCACAGCTCTCCAAAAACCTACCTGTCATGCAAGAACCGTCGCTCATCTGGTCACTGGCCAAATGCATCGCCGTTGTCGGCAAGGTAATCCCAAGGAGACGTGGAATGGTCATGTTGACGATTCCCCCCCTTTTTCTGACATTTGCCTGCGATCTGTCAATATTCGCTGCTGTTACACTAATCATGTTAAAGGAGTCCTCGAGCACCATCGTGTTCATCGCGCTTCCGAATGATTCTCGAACCACACCTGAAGCTGGGATCGTATACAGGCCAAGTTCGTCCGGAAGTCCTCGGGGCCCGCTTCGATAACCTCTTCGTCACGCCCACTGCCCCATGCTGGGCAAGCATCCCTTTGCCCCCAACTTCCGCGACACAAATACATACATTCGTATGAAATAGACAAAGGCTCCCGATGATTGCCTGGGACAGGCCACCAAACCCGACGTTCGCGAGTTGCCCAACCGGTCGAGGCTCAGAAAGCATTCTCCTCGCTAGGCTGTCAATCTGGCATTGCGAAGCATGCTTCTATCTAGCTAACCTACATTCCAATCGAGGTGGCGAAAGCGGAATTCGGCTCGCTTTCGTCACTTGATAAACACCATCGTTGAGCAGGTCTGAACACACCGAAAGGAAATCGTAAGAGGACAGTGGTGAAACCTTCATATCTCTTTTTGTACTCTCTTCATTCATCAATGTCATCTACGTCCCACTAACTTCCAAAACAGTGCATTTTAGTGTAGCACGTTCAAGCGCGTTGCCGAGTCTTCAACCTATCGATCCCCTATCGTCCTCGTCCTCAACCCTAACCACGCGACACCCCAAAGCCGAGTGAACACTTTCCGGCTCTATCTTCCAACCCGCGAGCCTACCGTTGCCTCAAGAGGCGCATCTTGTGTTCCGAGCCGAATAATACCATATTAGTGAGAAACTGGGCATCGGGGGACAGGTGCTTAGGGATCCTAAAGCACGACATTCCTCTGGTTGAAGCAGAACAGTTAGAGCCATCACTACAAGGAACGTCGCACCGCCATAGCCTTCCCCCCCTCCACCGTTGGTCTCATACCATCCTATCCGGCGCCACATGTTGTAGTAATTAATGTAAGAGGGTGAAATAAGGTAGGTTCAAAAACTCGGCAAACATCTGTATTCTGTAAGAGATTCCAGACGGTTACGGTTAGCGGATAGGTAAAAGGATATGGTTAGGTTTGTTTTGCTTTTATACGAGACTCGGTTCGTGAATCTAGGCTGCTCGGCTGCCCGCATGGGCCACATGATACCCACCCGTCCCTTTACTGCCGCCCTCATGCCGAACGCAAGCACTACCAAACTAGCCGTACCTGTCACATCCTGGCTACCTGGTCATATGCACACGCACCCTTCTTCTTATCCATACTTGTTCCAACCTACTATTATACTCCTATTGCTACCCTGTTCTCCAGCCAAGGGATATACAAACCGTAACATCGTCCCGCAAGTCCACCCACTCATCTATTAGTTACGTGACATCTGCAACATCAATTTATGAGCTCATCCACACTCATATAAATCCGCACGCAGGTAAGGAAATCAATAAACCTGTCATCCTCCCAATCGATAACCCAATCATCCGTCACGCCTATCAAGACACAATAACTAATGGGAAGGTGCTATATACCTTAAACGATGGCGAGATGGGAGAAGAGGCAAGAGTTTGATGGGTAACTGGTGAACGGACAAATAAGAGCATCGGCTGGCTTGCGGGGAGTAGAGACGGAGTTATATATAAATATATAGAGAGAAAGAGAGCAAGTGACTACAGCATTGAAACAGGAGGCGTTATCGTCCGGACAATTTGTGGACTTGCTAGCTGATTAAATAGTGATGAATTTCTCGTCCAAGAACAGATCGCTGAGATCGTGTCCAGAGGTTTATGTGATCATGCGCGCACTAGAAGAATGCGCCTCAGCGTCCTTATACAGCGGATGCAAAATACTAGAGCTGTTGTATGCATAGGTAGTCGAATCCTATGATTGGATGCACATCAACAGTTACTAGAACCATATTTATGACTAACCATTCGCTTCTATTTCTAAAACAGCAGAGCTTAGAACATTCCTCTCTGTGTCTTGACATTTGCTCCTCCTGGCCCGCCCCCGTAAGATGGCTCAAATTATGTAATTCACGGCAACCGTATCTGTTATAGCACACCGTTCTCTGTCGATACAATCGTACCGAGAATCTCTTCATCTGCCAAAGCAAAACTTCAAGCATAAAGGTGATCCGTTATTCATGTCACATTTCACATGTCACTGCACCAATGACAGCAGAGGAACGAACTTGTCTTTGCCCGGAAGCGTGATCTCATTATCTATATACACTAGCTCCTTTTCTTTGCTGCTCTCTAGGCTACTTGGTAACCACAATGCATGCAAATCGAAGCACTTAATACCCTTCCAAATCCTTGTTCGGGTTTCTTTCGATGCAAGCGAAAGACGAATCGCCCTTTGCTGCAAGACGTTGCCGTTGGAAGCGAGACCTGGGAGGTAAGAAAAAAAAAAAAACCAATCGAAGACAGTGAGCGACGCCCAAAAGATAGCGAAGCGCTCCAAAAGGCTGTCAAAATCATAAAAGGGTATTGACACCGACGCCGATCCCTTCCAGCACCAGCAGTAAAAGCAGGGCTCGCATCCAAAACATAAGGAAGAAAAAAAACAACAGACCGCCAACCATTCACTGGAGACGGTATGATCTACCCTCTTTGCGATCCTTGAAAGAAACGACGATCAACTCTTTTTTGGCCACCGACTATCCACTTCGCACGTGCGTGGGGGAAAGTTGACTCCGCACGGAGTCGAACCGGTGAAAGTCAATAATGGTAACATCGGGTGATGCGGGGATGAATGAACCGCAACCGGAGCCAGTGTCCCAGCCCCTTTAAAAACAAGGAGCGGCTTCCTTGCGCGTGACGACGCATGCCGATATCGGCATCCACTTGTGCGGGTCAAGGGGCGCTCCAATTTTCGGCAGTGTTCCCTGAACTCAGGCCTCGATGGCAGGTGTCAAGGCGGTGGGAGTGCCCGGCAGGGAAGAGCCGGACTGGCCGCTCTCGTTGATGACGAAGGCGAGGCTATCCTTGCGGTGGAATCCAGAGCCGGTTGGAGTCGATGGCGTGATGGGGCTATGAATGGAGCCTTGGTACGACGTCCTGCGCGAGACAGGGACGGGCCGCTGCTGCGCGGTGGTGCTCGGTGGGCGGAGGGCCAGGTCCGATGTTTTGGTGTTGGTAATCCTGTTGATTGGGACTGACGCTCGCGACTCTGATCTTATTAGCCGGAGGACTCGTCATTCACCGCGCTGGGCTCACCGAGGATTCTGTCGTTGCTGATCTCGCTGTTGCCACCGTTGGCACCGCCGCTGCCCGACGTGCTGATGGAGATGCTGTTGTGGCGCGAGGTCTGCTCCGACGAGTCGTCGGTGCTATGTCGGGTGTCAGCTTTACTAAGGACATTGAGGACAGAGGCCATGTCCAGCTCGTAGGCAGACATGTGGCGCTTCTGCTTGGCCTCGTCCGCTGCCTTGAGCTGCTGCAGACGGATGGAGTCGTTGCGGGTGGGCGGCAGGGTGATGAGTTCCCTCATCCACGCCGGGTGCTCCTCGTTGACGGGAAGGTTGGCTACGCGAAAATAACGGCGGTAGGCCTCGGCACAGTCGATGGAATCGCTGTGAACACTAAGGCGCTGACGCTTGACAGAGGTCTGGCCGCCATCGTCGCCCTTGGCGCTGGCGTAGGAAGACAGATCACGGCTCAGGTACGAGCGGCTGATGGGGCGCTCGCGGGCAAGGGTTTCGCAGAAGCGCTTTTGAAGAGGATCCTTCATGCAAGCATCACAGGTACCGGGCTTGCACGGCGGCTCCATGGCGGAGGGACGGCTGGCAGCGGGACGCTTGCCGAAATTGGTGAAGTCGATCTCCATCTCCTCGTCGTGGGCAGCGGCGTCGTGCATCTCGACGTCGGCGGAGGCAGGCGGGCGTGCAGTGCGGTTGGAGCCGGAAAAGTCGACGAGCGAGTCGACGCAGGGACAGTCGCCATTGTCGGCGCATCGGCCGCAGCCGTCCTTGGGGGCGGCATGCTCGGAGCGGACGAGCGGGGGAAGGGTGATGGGGTTGGTAGCGGAGGGTGGTGGTTGGGTGGGCCCAGAGTCCCCACGGGCCTCAGCACTCGGGGCCGGGTGGTCGTCGGCATCGCCGCGCCAGGCGGGTGGCGTGAGCTGGTTCTGCGGGGGCAGGCGGCGGTGGTAGTCCATGTCGCGCTCCAGCTTCAGCAGCTTGTCCTGCATGAAGTCGAGCTGCTGGCGCATCGAGTCGTTGTCGGACGTCAGCTGGTCGACCTTGCGCTGCAGGGCGTCGGAGCGCTGGCGCTCGTCGTGCAGGGCGGCGTTGAGGTGGGTGACCTCGCGCTGGTGGATGTCGGTCTGGTGGCGGCGCTCGTCGAGGGCGCGCTGCAGCTCGCGGTTCGTCTCCTCCATCTTCTGCGTCTTGCGCTGGCGGAAGGCGCGCTGGGCCTCGCGGTTCTGCTGCTTGCGCTTCGACGGCGGGTCGTCGGTGGCGGGCTTGCGGCCGGGCTTGGGGCGGGGCGGGATCACATAGCTGTTGCCGCAGGGGCCGTGGTTCATGGCGGGTGTGATGTAGGGCGATGCCCCCGGGCCTGGAGCAAGCGGGAGGGGCGTCGCGAGGGCGGACGAGTGGGCGGCGGGCTGCGACGGTGAGGCAGCATTGGCGGTGGGGTCCAGCGGCGAGGCGGAGCCGTCGGACTGCGGCGAGGGAATGGCGAAGGGCGAGCTGGCGGCCGACGCATCGCCCACGCCGGGGCTGGGAGCGGGAGCGATGTCGAGTTTCTTGGTCGCCATCATTGGCTGGTGGTCGTCGAGGCGATGGAGGTAGAGCGGGAGTATGATCATCTTATCAGATTTTTCGGGGGGGCTGCACCTGCTCCCGAGCGTCGCCGAACTCGGCACGGCGGAGGCCGCCATCGCCCGCTGCTTCTGCTTCCGGGGGTCGCGCGCGCTGGAGAGCTGGGGATCCGGCAGGGTCGAGCAGCGCAACCTGAGCAGCCAGCATGCTGTGTGAGTGTCTGCCTCGTCGCAACAGCACCGCGCCGGCGCGTGGGCCGCTGCTTTTAACGCCCGCCTCGCCGGCCGCTCCTCCGTGTGCCTGCTCCGTATTGCCCGCCAGATCTCCCTATTGCGCTGCTAGGTCAGCCGCTTTTCAGCCTTCTTACTCGCAGCTTTCGTCACCTACAGCCCCCCGGCCCACATGGCATGATCTTATCTCGACCCTTCCGCCGTGTAGAGGCCAGAGAGCAAGCTATTTGTGGCAAGCTTTGGTGCAAATGTCCTCGGATATACGCCGCCGCCTCGGGGATCTCGGTACTCGTGCCACGCTGCCACCTCCCCAAACCCATGCCGTGCCGCTGCAACGGACAGCAGCCAGCAGCCCGGCCATTCTCCTGCGCCCGATGCCTCCAGCAACGACGCTCCTGCCGCCTCTCCCCCGTGCTCTCGCACCGGGCCAGCCAGACGCCGCCGTACTTAACCCCGAGTCGTTATTATACAGGTGTAACTTTCCGCACGCTAAAGGAGATGATCGGTTCCAGGGCACGAATGCGCCGCGGCTGAGCAAGTTCTCATCTAAGCGAATGGTCCTTGCCCTTATCAGATGAGCCTGGGTCGCCGACTCGCCGCACTTTCCTTACATCCGTCCCTCGGCCTCGGATGCTCGTCGTCTGCCGTCGCAGAATCGTTGTTCCAGTTGCTATGACTTCCCGCTGTGCTCCATCTTGCCTTCAGAAACCTCTGATCTTACTCTCAGAGACGTAGTAGCGGGTCCAGACCAACCAGCAGCCATGGGCGACCCCACAGTGCGCCACAATTCAAATCCACAGGGTCCCGGTGGTATGGGGACAACTGGAGTCTCCAGAACCACATGATTTCTGTCATACCTAGCTTCATCCAATGCCACGGACGAATCATATTTCATCTCGGCCATGGACATGGCAAAGCATTGCAAGCGTGTGGTATTATTGCCAACAGCTAATTGTCTACCCATGCTCAGACGCTGCTCCCCTGAAGCAGATCATGCATGATTTTCCTCGAGAGATCTCAGACCTTTCTCGGAGCATCGTCGTCCGCTCGTCTGCTGACTGCTATTTTAAACACTACCCCACCGAGTCCCCAGCACCCGTCTCGTTCATTCTCCCCTGACGCGGAGACTTCCGCCTTCGGCATGGACCAAAGGGGGATCATCCGTCCCAAATACGCGGATATTCGCGCCGAGAGCGAGCTCGTGGCCAATCACTCTTCCTGCAATACTCCCAACAAAATGACGTCCCTTCTGCTCTACCACCTATACGCACGTGTGCGAGTCAGCTCATCGTGGACCGGAAGATCACCCCATCGATTCACCCAGAGATACCGGATCTCGTTGAAACTCTTTCGATCAGAGAAACGCGATTCCGAAGTCAGCTTGTCTATACATATAGAAGAGTTCAGCTGTCTACAACGATCAAGGTCACGCCTAATCTCCTCTGTGCGCGCGAGGAGTAGTGGTGGTTACTCGTACGACGCCTTAGCACGGTATTTTATCCGTAAATAGACGGGTAGATAGAACGTTAAAATTAAAAGATCGAAACGTGGAGTCGTCAACGGCATAGTGGTGGTGATGGTAGTATTGTAAGAGCCGCATGGCGCTCGAAACCTGAATATTCTTGCAATGAATTAACTACACGAAGCAATAATCCACAGAGTATTCAGTGATCAATAACTCCAGCGTGTCTTTTGGATTGTTAGCTAAACTAGCACCAAAATCCCCTAGCGTGTTCATCGGTGGTGGCGATCGCCAATGATTGGTTATAGGACAACGCCTAATCGTACAGGACTACAAACACCATCCAGCCATCAGTCATCACAGGTCGTAGAGAAAGAGCAAACAAGCTACCAAAACCTTCCATGCCCGCAGGCCCAAGAACAGAAAGTGCAGCGAAGGAAAGGAAAAAGAATACAAAAATGGTATCACAAACCGGCCGCATGCAGTGCGCGAGAAGCCGCCCGCCGTCATTATCCCATCCCAATCGTTTATACCAACCAACTCACACCTTCCCCCTCCCCTTCCTTTCCCCGCCGCCCTCCTTGCTCCCCGCAAACTTGTACCGATACACCTGCGGCTCGCTCTCGCCCACCTCTTCCCTGCCCCACTCGTGCAGGAGCGCGCGTCCCAGGGCCCTCTTCTCCGCCGTCAGCGCCTCGACCTTGCCGCGCCACTCCTTCTCCCTCTCGCGCACGAGCCGCACCACGCGCTCGTCCATAGCGCGGTTGACCTCTGCAAAATCTTCCTTCAGGGTCGCCGACTCCTCGCGCGCCCGCCGCGCCTCTTCCCGTGCCTCTTTCGTCGTCGTGGTCGCGTCGCGCAGGGCGCGTCGCAGAAGCTCGAGTTGGGACGAGCGAGGGGAAGTGTCGTCGTCGTGAGGAGAGGGGGAAGACCGGTTCGTCAGGTCCCCGGCAGCGTCTGGAGCGTGGTGATTCGGCGAAGACGAGGACGCAGCAGGAGCAGCAGCAGCAGCAGCAGCAGGAGCAGCAGCAGCCCCCCCTCTCCGCTCCTCGACCTGGCCCCTCAACGCCTCCACCTCCGCCTTCAACTCCTCCAACGCCCTTTTCAACCCCGCCTTCTCGACCCGCTCCCCGCTGAGCATGGTCTGGGCCTTCCGCACCGCCGCCTCCGCCTTCCTCCGCATCTCGCCCACCTCCTTCTCCTTCTCGGCGGCCTTCAGCTCCGCCGCGCGGACCCGCTCCCGCAGCATCCTCTCCGCATCGCGCCTCGCCCGCTCCGCCGCCGTCTCCACGTCCGCCTCGCGCTTCTCCCGCGCCGCCGCCGCCTCCTCCAGCCGCCGGCCCTTGTCCTCCAGCAGGTCCTGCGCCCGAGCCAGCTCCTGGCGCAGCACGCGCGCGCCCTCGCGCGCCGCGTCCGCGTCGCGCCGCAGCTCGTCCGCGTCGCGCCGCGCCATCGCGAGCTGGCTCTGCAGCAGCTGCTGGTTGGCCTGCAGGTCTTCGACCTGCCGCTTCGACCGCGCGAGGAGCGCGTCGTCGTCGCCCGTCTGCCTGCGCCGCTCGTTGGCGAGATGGGCCGCGTTGGATGATGGGGAGGCGGCTGTGGGGGAGGAGGGCGTGCGCGTCGCTTCGAGCTGGGACTGCGTCGTGCGGAGTCGGGCCTCGAGCTCGGCGATGCGGGCGTCCGATTCGGCTTTCTGCCGGGCGAGGGCCTGTTCGATCGCTGGGGACGGGGGGGTGTCGGCCGAGGTGCTCTCTTGGGCTCGTTGCTGCTGTGACCGGAGCTCGTTGATGCGGTCTTCGAGCGTCGCGACCCTGGCATCGTGACCGGCGCGTTGCTGCTCGAGTTCCTGCTTGCTCGCCTCCTTGACAGCGTCAAGCTCGGCCTCCTTGCGAGCTAGCTGCGCCTGTAGGCCGCTCTCGGTGGCCGCGAGTCGCGAGTCGAAGCTGGATTTGACGAGGGCAAAAGACGCTTTCTGCTCCTGCACATCGTGCTCGTAGTGTTCCTGCGCCGTGGCGAGCCGTCGCTGCCAGTGCTCCTCCAGATCTTTCGTGCGATCGTTGTACTGAGTGTTGAGGTCCCGAACGCGCCGTTGCTCGTTCGCATGCGCTTCATCGCGTTCGTGGCGGGTCCTTTGGAGTTGGGACTCGAGAGTGACAATCTGGGTTGTGAAGTCTTTGTGTTGCCTGTCTATCTCGCCCTGTAACCTCCTGATCTGGGAGCTCAAGTCTTCAACATCTTCTTCAGAAACTTTTCTTGGAGTGTACCGGTTTTGACTCGTCAGACTTGGATGGCTCGTCAAACTTGGCCGAGTCAATTTTCTATTCGCTGCATTCTCCATCTCCCGCAACTTCGGCAGCTTCTCCTCCAGCCACACCTCCGGCACCTTGCCCGTCGCATTCCTGGGGCTTGGTCTTGCAGTCAGGGGCGGCGTGTCCTCGTGGTCCTCGACGGTTGGTTGTAACCAGCTAGCCTTCTGCGCGAAGGACGGCGTCCGTCTCGGCTTCCACTCACCCTGCACTGGCACTGGCGAGGCGCTCGCGCTCACGCTCCTGTACTCTTCCTCGACACCCTCATCCATGCTCGACAATATGTCCATCTGCTCGTCTATCGACCCTTCTTGGCTGCCCTCGCCACCATTGTCGTCGCCGCTATGCTTATCCTCGACCGTCGAGCCTCCCTGGCTGTGCGGCGGTAGAAAGGTATCTTCGTCCGAGATGACATAGCCGTTGAGATCCCGCATGGCCGCGGCCGTGATTTCGCGCGTGTCCTCTCCGTGCTCGCTCTGCCCGTACTCAAAGGAGCCTTCGCCTTCTTCGCGGTGCTCCCCGTCCTCCTCACCTTCTCTTCCTACATGGCCACCCTCCTCCCCCTCCGAATCGCTGACGTGGTCTCGTTGCGTGTCAAAGCTCGCAGTCGGCGTCCGTGTCGGCGGTAAGGTATCGTGGTTCCCCGTCGGCCTCTCGTCTTCCACATCCTCCTGGTCCATCTGGGCCGCCAGTTTTTGGCTTAGAGTCGGACCGGCAGCGCTGACTATTCTCTTCCCTCGTTGGTTCTGCTGCTGCTGCTGTTGTTGCGCTTGCGGCGGGGAAAACCTCGACCGCATCCAATACTCCATATTCTGGGTGAAATCGCTCGGACCGTCTACGTCCTCGCTTCTCAGCGTGTCGAACGGCTCCGTGTCGTCAAGCGTGAGGTCATCGTCGTCGTTGTCGTGGCGGCCTCGGCGTCGGCCGCCACTGCCGCCGCCGCTCATCAGCGCATCGAAGTCGATGCTGTACGCCGTGTTGTCGCCGTCGTGGTAGTCCTCATCGCTTCTTTCGTCTTCCTCGTCGTCTTCGCTTTCTTCTTGTGGCAGAAAAGTCTCCTCAATCTCGCGGTCGGCGGTCGGTGAGCGGACGGGCGGCGACGGGGCCTTGGGCGCGACTCTTCTAGTGGGTGTAGGCATGGTAACGAGGTGGGTTGAACACGGCGCGCCGAGTCAAGGTTCCAACGGCATGAGACGGTTGAGCCGAGCAGTGAAACGTTGCGGTTCTGCGACTTGGGATCGCGCGCGTTTGCTGGCTTTGCGCGTGTGCCGGGCGCAAGAAAGCCGCGGAACTAATACCCAGTGGTTATCGGGCGGCGCTTGCGATCGGGTTAGGCGTGGGTGTTGCTGTTCGCCGTCTTTGCGCTAAATCATGGCACCGGCTTGTCGCGAGTTTAGCAATGACTTCCGATTCGTCGAGGACAAAAGAACGGGTCAACGGTGGCGGAAGAGAGCAGAAAGATAATGGTGGATTGTTTTTGTTTTGGGGCGGAAGACGGGACGCCCGGGCGCCCAAAAGCCCGTCGTACAGGTGGAGAGTGAACAAGCGCGCCTGCGCGAGCGAAACCCCACGGACCGAGCCGCGCGATCACGCGTCGAATCTTAACTGCTTACGGCGCAGGTACCGATGCAGATGCACATGTCCGCACCTTTCCCGCAAGCCAGTCTTCTGGGCCACCCCGATCGAAGATTGATGGTCTTGCTTCGTAGCCGAACGATCGCTCACCGGCCAATTGGAAATCCATCATTTTTGCCGTCATGGTGCGATGATTGAGGAGCTCAGTGGTGGTGGTACAACACCGACAGGAATCACCGGGGACACACCGCCCACTGCAACCAGTTCCCTGACGGGTTTGAAGCGGTTTGGCATCGGTGCACAAAATAACATGATAAGAGCTCTTGCAAATCAAGTTACTGACGCGTTACACCAATGTCAAACTCCTATTGCCTCGGCTTTAGTGCTTGTATTTGATAGCCGATGTTGGTGGAATGATGTCAATCAGTTTGGCAAATTACTGAACAGCCCGGTTTCTACTAATTGAATGCGTATCAATGCTTCGACTCACTTATTCCATCCTTCGCTTCGTCAGTCATTCTCAAACCACGTCCGGTCAGCTGCCGCCCTTTAAACGGCCGCAACCACAGCACCGCCACGGAGATAGGCGCCGTACCTTCGTCCAGCACAAATGCCTAGCTCGTCCACATCATTCGATTCCGCTCTTCAAGTGATGCTCTGAAAAACATGGCATTGCTCCGTTTCCCTACTAACGCAGCAAGAATCCGCTCCATCGAAGCACCCGTTTGCCGGAACCCAGCGGGCCCCTCTAAGATTTACACGTCCGACTTTGTTTGAAAATTTCACCCTTGCCGGCATCGATTCGCCTCTACCTTCACATGCTGATGGTATCCCGATCTTCTTCAAGCCTTTTCCTTTGTCGACCCCTACAATCCCTCCCAACTCAAGCTTCCGATCCTCGTCCCAAGCCTCTAGTTACCGTAAAATGCCAGCGCCAATGTCGACACAGCCGTAAGGCCAATCGCAGTCCAACCGCTCTGGATGACCTTCTTGTTGTTGATACCAACGGCGAAGTCCCAGGCAATGTGCCTAAGGCCGTTGATGGAGTGGAAGGCGAAAGGAAGGGCGGCGACAGTCTTCAGGCCAACCTTGGCGGCGATAGGCCAGGCGGCGACGGCGGCGGCGAGCGACTGGGACTCGAGGTGCCAGCCGGTGAGGGGAGCGATAGCGTAGGCCATGAAGAAGACATACATGCCACCAGACACCACGCAGCCGGTGATACGGTGGAAGCCCGAGCTGTACCAGGTGATCTGCGGCTTGTAGATACTCAGGTGCGGCGCGACGGGGCGGTTCAGGCGCTGCTTCTCCAGGATGTGGTTGCTCTCGGCGGCGGGAATGTTTTGCGTCGCGACAGGCCTGATGGAGCGGGGGGAGCTTGATCAGTTTTAGGTTGCCAAATGGGTTCAAGCGGCGACAAAGGCGGGGGCATTGAGCGGAGAGGCATTGGTGGAGGAGTATGGGGACGGGTAGTGGTACCTCGACTGCGTCAGGATCCCGGCGGGTGCAGCAATGCCGCGGGGACCGGCAGCGCGGCGCAGGGAGGCCTGGAAGGCACGCTGAGCGAACATGGTGGCGGGCGGAGGACGGACTGCGGGGTGGCGGAGCGGAGAGATGCGGCGACTGGCAAGGCTCGTCTCGACGCGATGGGAGCGGCGTAGCAGGCGCAGTGGAGTGGTGTAGCAACGATGATGGGATGGACGAGCGGCCAAGACCGGGCAGCCATGGGCGTCGAGCCGAGGATGAGCGGCCAATCACAGCGGCGCTGATGAGAGCCGGGAGAACGGCGGCAGCTGGCCGGTTCTCGCTTCGCACGTGCCGCGGGTACAAAAAGCGCAGCGCACAGCCGCCGCCTTCTCCTCTCCCAGGGACCTCAACACCGCCTCTGGACGCCTTCGGCAGAGTGAAGGCAGGCAGTGGGTCGCCGCGGCTGGCGTCATGTCAGCCATGAGCGGCCGCTGTGAGAGTCCCCAGAGGGACAACCCGTCGTTAATCGCGCATTATAATCTAGCCAATGGTTAAGTGCGTTTCATATCAGGGTGACATGTATAACTACTGCGAGCGCAGAGGCGTGCAGACGGGAGCGATGGTCTGGTCCGCGCGGCGCGTGTTGCTGCGCGGATGCGTGGCCGAGATGGCATCGGGCGCGCGGGGTGCGCATCAGCTGGAGCCACAGAGCTCGGCAGCTTCACGAGCCAGCAGCGTGCGGTTGCATGTCGTGGCCTCTTGGATGCTTGTGCCCGTCTTGCGTTGCTCGCCGCATGGCAGTTAGTGAACAACAGAAGGCGCACAAAGAGCCCTGCCAGTGACGAAGCCGCTCGAGACTGAAAAATTTTCCCAGCTCCGTCATCGTACCTAAATCCAACCACATCTGCACTGAAGCCATAGAACGACCGACATGTTGAGGACCGCAAAGCTGGTCGCGGAAGCCGACTTGTCGCTTCCAACCGACTCCTACATATACTCTCTGAGGCCAACAAACACGGCCCTTGCAGCCCTGTCGTCTGACGACTCGATCCGCATCTTTGACCCCAAGACTCTGCAGCTGCTTCCTGGCGGCGTCATAAGCCGTGTCCACGAGAGCGTTACCTGTCTGGAGCCGTACAGTGAGGACGGCAATGTCCTGGCCACCGCCGGCCGAGATGGCTTGGTCAAGTGCTGGGACCGCCGCACCAAGAAAGCCGTCATGGAGTTCCGAGTCCGTGAGTATATCTCGTTCGAAACACCAGGGCACAGCGATATACTCATGCTGACATGCTTTCACACAGCGAAACCACAAGGTCTGTCCGCCCTTGAAGTGAGCTCCGCCCACCATGCCATCATTGCCGGCACTGAGCTCGAAGACCGTGGACCGGGCGACTCCTACATCTACGCCTGGGACGCGCGCAATGCCTCGACGCCACGCCTTACCCTTGCCGAGAGCCACACGGATTCCATCACCGAGCTCTCGCTGCACCCGGCCAACCCATCCACCCTCCTCTCAGCCAGCACAGACGGCCTAGTCAGCATCTTTGACTTGACGCAGACTGACGAGGACGACGCCCTGCGCCAGGTCATCAACCACCATTCCGCTGTGCACCATGCCGGTTTCGCATCCCCGACCGATGTCTACGTCTTCGGCACCGACGAGACCCTGGCATTCTACCAGTACCAGGACTCGGATGACCCGAGCCCAGAGCTGAACCCCGTCAAGATCGGGGATGTGCGGGAGAAGCTGACTTGCGAGTACGTCGTCAACGTCTATCGGAGCGGGGGTGCGAGCGTCGTTGTTGCTGGGAACCACAGGTACGTCTGCACCTACCCCGTCACATCATCTTTCCACCCAATCACCCATGAGCATCTCAATATGGAGACCAGTGTCTAACTTTGCACAGCGAGCAACGATTGGACCTCCTCCCTCTCCACGGCCCGCCGGAAGGGAAGCCGCTCGCCTACTCGTGCTCGCTGGAGGATTGCGTTCGTCTCTCGGGCGCTCACGGCGAAGAGATCGTTCGCGACATCTTCATAGACTCGCAGGTAAGCGTTTTTGCCATGGTCCCAATCGTGACGCATGCGATTGACAATCAAGCAGTCATCGACGATATTCACCTGCGGCGAGGACGGCAAAGTCCGCTCGTGGAGTGCTCAGGGCTTTGGCGGCCAGCAGCATGGCGAAACCGAAGTGGCGGATGATAAGAAGTCCAGCAAAGAAAAGAAGCACAAGAAGAAGGACAAGGAAAAGGGCAAGGATAGATACAAGCCCTACTAATACCCGTCCCACATTAGAAAGGAAGACCACCCAGTCAACGGCTCGTCGAAGCGCTTGCCGGGAGATATCAATGGGCCTTGAGCACCTCAGCAAACCCTGGTGCCTGTTGTTCTACCTTACTCTTCAAGCCTTCCGATATCGAAGCAGCGTTCCGAAGGAAATGGCCTTCCGAAAGCGGAACTCCGAGTTGTCCGCTCTTTCCCAATGCAAAGACATGCTCAAGGGAAAGGCGTCCGGTTGAAAAAAGCTCGCTGCAGCAGATAGACTAGCGAGATACCCCGTGCAGTGATCAGCGGTAGTATGACGCACTGCAATTAACACCCGGGCGCTTCCAGCATGAGGAAAGCATCAACACGAGCGGTCACCGACGATCTTCCTCCGCGAATCCCAATGATTCCCCAGTTTTTCTGAAACACCTTCCCTTTCTTCACTGCCCGTATTCCGAGACTGCCCATGAATATGCCGCCAATCAGATTTCAGTGCACGGCATCGTGGCTGTGTATTGTCATTGCTTGAGTCGGAACTATAATCGTGTCTAATTATTGTTATACCTCGCTTGCAACGCTGAAAACCCATCCTCTCGCCAAGTCGTTGCCCCTCTCGTACATGACGTAGATGTCATTTCGCGCGATGCGCATTAGGATGATAGTCACGATGTTACCTCTTACGTGCGATGTAAAAGCTCCTAGACGTAGTGATAGCAAGACGAGGTTCAGAGCAAGTCGTGACCAACAGAAAGCTGGCAGAAGCGAGCATCGGATGACTTCACGCCTTCAGTTCCATCGGTATAGAAAATAGAGAGATTGTAGCACATTACTGAATCCCCTTGATGGAGGTGGCAAGATTCTCCTTTTTAAAGCCATACCATTCATTGCGGACGTTCAACGTCCCATGGAGACAAGAATGGCTAATACCTTGCACCGCAGCGGACCACCCAGACTCAGGACCGCAGTGACATGCTCATTCGTCACGGAATGCACCTCTCCTCTTTTTGCGACGACCCGGACAAGTCCTGGGGCCAGATCGGATGATGGACGCACACAACCAACACCGAAGAACCAACATCCACGGAACATAGACCCTGTCCTCAGACCGCAACAATGCCAGAGGAATCCTTTCACGCGGACCTGTCTCCATTAGCCCTAGTTGTGGATTGCGCGTCTGACCCAACCAGCACGCTGTGTGTATAAGCGTAGGTTGCATTTGTTGAAGTGACTCTGGCCCCCGCGTGCGTGCCATCCGGAAGATGCCACCGTCTACTTGAACAGTGACCGACGGAATAGCAGCTGGACTCCTGCAGTAGCAAAGATCAACACAAAATATTAATTCCACGTGTACGATCCAAAGGGTTGACATGGCAAACTCCGATGAAATGTTGCGAGTCCCCCTTGGTTCGCCACTCTTCCTTCGCTCGCCACCGGCTATCAGAAAATCATCACGAGAGAAAACGACAGGAGTCTTGAAAAAAAAGTCTTTCGCTTGCTGTAAAGGCTCCACTAGCATAACTCGCTCATACTGCCATCGGTCACCTTCGTTCCCTCGCCTACTACCACCGCTGCCACACCATCCGCTATCGGACACTCCTTGTTCCTTTATGCTCCGTCATTCCCTCTCCTCTGCTATTTTGGTTGCCATGCACAAGGGAGAAAGGAATAAAAGTGGTGAAATCCAAACCAGCCCGGAGTAACCAAAGCGACCAAGAAGACTTTTAACCCATCATTTGAAAGAAGTGCAATAACCCATCCGCGTAATATCTCCTTTTCTTATACAAAATTTAATAGTCTGAAAGACCAAGCAACACCATCAACCAGCGGCTGGTGAAGGTGCTTAGCCTATGGGTAGTCCTTGGTGCTAGTACTCGGCAGCGCGTGGCGGGATGCAATGCGGAGCATGCGAAGGAAGAAGAAGAAGAAAAAAAAAACAAGGGTTCATTACGCCATGGAACGCCGATATGGGTGATTGATGCCGTACTGTAGTATGAGGGTGTGTACAGGGAACAAGAAAAGAACGCGCGGGTTTTGGCGCGCGATGCGCAGATCAGTGCCGGGGAGGAAGCGGCCAAAATGTCGGGTGATATCGTGGTTGCCGAAGATCGGGGTGTCGGAAATTGAATGCCTTATGAGGATGGTTGGCTAGAAGGGACCCAAAAAGACCGCCTTAGCGTGAGGCGTCGTAACGCATCCAGCATGTTGCTTCTCCCCTCCAAAGATACTGCGCAAATGATACGTTGAACATCGAAAATCATGCCTCTCAGATCTCGCCCTGCTGAATCCTCTTGACAGGATGCAGCAGCATGCCAGGTAGACACATGCGCCCACCTACCATCGGCTGTTCCGAGTCTCTGTTGTCGCTACCACCAACCTTGACGCGCTCGCCGCCCTGGCCGTGCTCCTCCTCTTGGCCACCGACAATCTTCTCAGGCTCACCCCACTCGTGAATCTTGACCTTCCAGCCCAACCATCTCCTGTAGATGTCCTTGGGGAAGCGGGAGCTGAAATACCACGACCAACCATAGTAGTTGTGTTCGCGGTCACCGTTGTAAGGGGAGTCGGGTCCCTCCGACCATCCGATTGGGTTGAAGTCACCGTCCAAGTTGGCGTTGAAGATGGCGTCGATGTAGTGCGGTGGCCACACGCGATCGAACCAGATGGGTTGAGGCGCATACACAGCCTTGAGACCGTGCTGAAGTGCGACAGTCGCAGGCCACATCTCAGCCTGCATACAGCGACCAACCTTGTTTTCAATGTGCATCGTGTGAAGCATGCGCTTGCTGAAACGTGCGACCGTGTTGATGAAGATGCGGCGAGGAATGGTGACGAAACGGGGGTCCGTGTAGGCGTTGTCGTACGGGTCGACGCTGAAATCAGGGTGGAGGCCAGGAATGTAGTTCCAGATCTTGTCGCGGTAAGACCAGTACGTGCGAACCGGGTCAAACATGGGAAGAAGCGTGATGAGATCCGCCTCCTCACCAACACCCCATTCGTAGTCGTCGGCCGTCATCTCATGGGGCGGCATCGGCCCCACCGGAGTCTGCATGGGAGAGTAAGGCTGCGGTCCCCAAACAGGGCTGGGAACAGAGCCTTGGCTCCAAGCGTCTTCAACAGCCTGGTTCGTGTCGTTGAAGTAGGTCTCATAATCGCCATGAAGACCGGGAATGTAGTAGCGCTTGTTGCGCTCCCAAAGATACTTGCGGGGCGAGTTCCTGGCAAAGTCCTGGATCTTGGAGAGGAAGTGGTAGTGCTGGCCGGTGTAACGGGCGTCGGTCTCCCAGTTCCAGACGTAATCGAACTCCGGATGCGTCTTGCTGAACCACTGGATAGGCATGAACTGGTGCCAGTATACCTGCCAATCAGTAACCTCGGGGTACGCTTTTTGGCAGATATCCTCGTTCCAAAGGATAGAGATGCTGCGAAGTTCGGTGGGAACGACCTTCTTGAGCATATCATCATAAGCCTGCGGGTCGTCAAAGATGGGGACAGTGCGGTCCTTGACGTTCACGAAGAGGAACACCTGGAATTCACCGCCGGAGAAAAGAGAAGTCTCCTGGATCATGGCACGGATTGCCTGAAGATCGTTGTCGGTGTAGGTGTAACCTTCCCAGGTCCGGATCAGGATGGCAGTGCGCGAGTGGTACTTCTGTGTCACCTCGCCCTTCATCTCACGAGCAGTGAGCTCGGTGCTGTACGCAGGGTTGCTCAGCGTGTCGACATCAACTTCCGGGATATCGAGACCAGGCTGCAAATTGACCTCCTTGGTGCGAGCTTGAGGTGTGAAGCGCTCGTGGTTGCGCTCGACGCACTGGTTCTGCAGCTTTCCCCAGTTGACCTTGCGCCAGATGACCTGCTGTTCTTGGACAGGCTCCCAATCGGGCAGATCGTACTCATCAGCACCGAATCCGTAGGCGCCGTAGCGGCCATAGCGGTCGAAGCAAACGTTTGCATCTAGACCCAGCCCTTCAATCGTGCCGGTCGAGGGCTTCGGGAACTGGCTTGAGACCTCGGGGTAAGCCTTGACCAAATCCAAGTAACTCTCGTTGAGCGGCTTTCCACGCGGGCCCTGGCATGCCACGTAGTCACCCTTCCACTGCTTCTTCCACTCAGGGCCATTGTATTCGGGGTACGGGAGGTACGGCTTCGGCTCCGTGGCCTTCTTGAGGGACTTGACGCCCTGCGTGTAATAGCCGCGTTCACTTTATACTGGTTATTATCGTGGCCTTTTGATGCTATTTCCGAATGAGAGCGAGACACTTACGCTGGGAATGCCTCCCATCTGTTGGGGTCGTAATCGCGAGTAACGTAGTCCTGGTAAGCCGGCCAATGCGAGGGATCGGGTTCGGGGCGGCTCCAGACGAGCATCTTGTTCAGATACTGACGCATGTTCGAGACGGGCGACAGCTTCTTGGTCTGCGTGATGCCCGATTCCTTGCTCGTGTTGATGACATCGTGGAAAACGTGCCAGCTGCTGCCAGAGCCCGGCTTCGCAGCTGGTGTCGAGGACGAAGCGGCGCCTGTTTCGGTAGCAGCGGGGAGCGAGGTCGACGACTTCTCCTTAAGGGCCTAAAGGACAATCAGCCCGCAGCTCGACGTGGGCGAGATAAGGGCGTCAACTTACCGCCGAAGATGGGAAAGAGTATTGCTGGTGCCATTCCTTGTCAGTGTCCTCGACGGCGTCCTGCGCCGGCAAAGAGTCCTCGGACGAAAGGTGCTCCTGCGGGGGCTCCGCGGCGTACTTCTCGTTCGAGACGGCGTTCCCGAGTGAGACGACGCGGTCGTCCAGGTAGTTTGTGGCAAAGGAGCTGCGCAGGGACAGGAAGAGCAGGCAGACGGCGACGAAGACCACAAGGACCAGCTTGCGCGGTCCCACGGCCGAGACTAGCATGCTGGGCGGGTGGGAATATGCGGATTAGGATCGGGTGGTAGGCTGGGAGAAGAGAGTGAACGCAGCCGGCGGTCGGCGCGATATCAGACAGGTCGAGGCTCGGTCAGCGCGGAGGTCCTCTAGGCCAGCATGTCGCGGTGTCTGGCTGAAAGGCTGGGCGGGCCGCGGTCGAACCTGTGCAGCGAGAGGACAGGTGTTGGAGAGGCTTGCGCGCAGGGATTGGGGGGTGCTGGCGGTTTTTCTTCAGCGGCGGCGTTCGAGGAGCACCACCGCGCTACTGCCACGGCTGCTTGGGGGCACCAGGGCCGAGCGGACGGGGCCCCCTCGTCGCTGTATCAAGGCGCCCAAACGCCCTGGATCCCGGCAGCACAGGGCAGGTCTAACGCGGCGCGTTTCGACCGCCGGACTGCCGCCCGCCATTGGCCGGCATCGCGCCCGCGGGTCGGCTGCGCCAGCACCGCCAAACGCGTCATCTGCCAGCTGCGCTGCTGTGCCTTACAGACGCCGCGGCACCACTGCCTCTCCGCAACCGCCCCTCGGCGGCGGCGGCGGCGGCGGGCGGCGGGCGCTCTACCTGAGGCAACGCGACGCAGGGCCGCCTCCCGCGCCGATCCTGCGCTGCTATCAGTGGCAGAGTCGCCATGACGGCAAGATCGTCAGGAGGGCCCGCGTCGGTGTCCAATCCCCATGTTTGGCGCCCCTCATGCCCACCGACTCCGCCGACTCCGCTGTCACGGACAGACTCGCTACGGGCGCGCTGAGATTTGGATAAACGTCGCGGCCTGCGCCATTGGCGGCGCCGGTCCCAGGCCGGCTGCGCTCCTCCCGGCGTCCCTTTTCGCTCGGTCCGCCCCTGGCCACCGTTTCGGCTGGCGGGCCCGCTGCAATCTTGTGCTGCCCGGCCGTCAGCCCCCGGCACACGCTGCAAGGAGCGCGGAGCAGCTCGCGAGGGGAGCGGTCGCCAGAAGCCAGCGTGCGTCGTGCGGAGCGGTCAAGCTTTGCTGCGCGCATGCGACGGGCGGGCGGTGCGGCTGGGACGCTGGGACGCTGGCTCTGGGCAGCTCACAGGCTGGGCAGCTGGGCAGCTGGGCAGCTGAAATGCCATCCACGGGAGTTGAGCCGCTAGCAGACACGCGTCTGGCTGGCTGCTGTCAGAATTTAGCAACGGCGGGCTAAAAATGGCGAGAGGTGTAGTCCGTAGGTTGTGCTGACTGCCCGGGCCGCCCATCGAAGCTTCTTGCGCCTTCCCGCGCAGATCGCGTCCATTTGCGTGCTCGCAGCCGGGGCGCGTCAACTGCCTGCCCACAGCGGAAGGTCAGTGAGACGGCGGGGCGGCCTCGTGTAACCAGCGTGCAGTCAGCCCACAGACGGCCCGCCGGCGACGCGTGATGCCGTGCGCCCCAGAATGAGACTTGCGTCCCGCAGCCGCAGGTTGATGGCGAGAGATTGTCGAGGACAAGCTCATCTGAAACCTATGTGCATCCGGCGCGTGGGCTCACGGCTGCAGTGCTGGCCGAGTGGCCGCTTTTCTCCGGTACTCCTCGCCGGCGCGCACCCTGGCTTCGCGCCCATGCGAGTGCCTCTGCTGCATGCCGGGTTAGAACAGGCAACGCCCTATCGTGGCTCATCTTGCTCCTTGCTTGCGTGCTCACTCCCCGGGCGCGCCAAGCCTGTCCCGACGCCGTGGTTAGGCTCCTATAACCGTTTCTGTGCGCTGCTCAACACGCCGCTTATCAGTCAGTGCAAGGAATGCATGGAGAAAAAGGCAGGTTGCCGTCACCACCCTATCCTTTCCCCGCGCCTGCCCGTTCGGCTTCTCCTGGTCCAACACGCGCACCGCCCAACGACTACGTGGTGCGAATCTGCGATGGCTGGCAGGCTGAGGCTAGCGCTCAACGTCTATTAGGAGTAAACGAAATACCGCTCTGGATCCAGGGTCATGTCGGCACCCGCTCCCCTCGTAACTGGCTTCCAAGGGACACTAGACATCCGCTGAACCTCTCTCTCTCTCCTACAAATTGCCGGTGGTGCGTGTCCTGAATCGCAATCTAGCTGTTCCGTATTTCCCTTGCCTCGTTTGATGAGAGGGGTCCTCGCCTCAGCAAATGGCCTTACATGGATCTTCCCCTCCTGCTGTTGATGACTTTTGCTCTTCCGCTGAGCTTGAGTGCCACCGGCCGTACGGGCATCATGATGCGCTGATCCCACTCGGCCGAAGTTGAAACAACGCCGGCCCGTTGAAACATGTAGCAGGGCTGAACTACTGACCGAGGTATTGGAGCACCTCCCAGTGCCCTGCGGAGCTAAGAAACAAGCAATTTTAGACTTCAGGATCCCGGAGGAAAAGAGAACCACACATTTGCCACACTATTCTAACACACATTTCACGCTGAGTCGTTGGAGCAGCCCCAATTCCCACTTTACATCATATCGTCAGTGGCGAACTCGCTAGGTAGCCTAGTAACTGGGAGATGCTGAGATTTGGCTTCGCCCGGATGTGATCGTAAGGGCGAGTATTTATTGCGGATCCGCTCGGAATCGCTCCACCAGAGTGGGCAGGGCCCGTCAATCTGAAGCACAGCCGAGAAATGACACCTGGTGTTGAAGGATGCATACCGATATGGAACCCAGCTCTGGTGACGCGCAATCGTCATCTTATGTTCAATATACCTCAGCTCCAGCCCCCCATGGAGGCTTTGGTCTTGGTAGATGTTGGCGTGCTGCTGCAGACCAATGCTCTGTAAAAGGGGTGCTCCAGCCCAGCGCCAACGAGCAAATGTCATTGCGACACTAGCAAAAGTGGCGGCGGCTGAACAATCTGCTCTATTAGAGCAGCCTCTTGACCTGATGCGGAAGTCCGGGAACGCCCGCTAATAATTCAGGGCTTGCAGGTACCTGTGAAGAAGTGCCAAAAATGCGCTCACGATTCCCATTTTTTTCCGACCGACCGGCACGTACTTTGCCGTAACTAAATGTACATTTTTCTATGGTACAGAGCCGTAAAACTCATGCCCTGGAGACACCAAGCGGGGCCAGTATCCTGCTCCTAACCGTCCTGGTTGCAACGTCGCCGCCCTTCTGCATGGCCAGCGCACCGATAATGGCATACAAAGTGTGTACGAGAACAACATCTATACCAGAGCCTTGAAGGTTGTCCGCCTAGTTCCATCAAATCGAGTCAGTCGGTCCGAAGTCCGGAGCTATATATACATGCATGGAATACTCACCTTCTTAGGCTTCCACCGCATGACAGCCTCAAAGCCGTATTCTCTAGCCAGGTTGGCCAGTCTGTTCTTGGACAGAACATTCTCCTTTGATCTCGAGGAAAGATTCTGAAACCCGGCCAGCTGACTGTGCCGGAAAGGCTCACGCCCGTAGGCGTCGCCCTTACTCGCGGCGACAGGGCCTTTAGGCATGCTCAACAGCGCCAGCGATGTTTGAAGCTCCACAATACGTTTTCCTGCAGCAGTCGTTAACCAATTGATCACCTGATAAGAAATTGTTGCACGCGACGTCGTGCACTTGTCCGCATACCCAGATATGCCAGCCGGTCGTTGAAGCCTCGCCTTCCGTGATCGAAACTCTTATGCGTCACCGCCAGCCACTTGATCTCCTCAGACAAGAAGGTGTCAGCGCTCTTGCCCAACATGCGTGTGTAGGCATCGTCGAGCTTTCGCGGGTCCTCATTGACGGTCCACTCGTTGCCCGGCTTGACGGGCCGTAGCCTGATGGGCGCCGTCATTGCGCGGGGCGTCTGTTTCCATCGGGGCACATCGACCGGGTCCGGTGCGGGCTTGGTATCATGGATCTGGGCGGGGGTGGCATAGTGGCGGGCGGAAGCGATGTCGGTGGTGGACGGCGATGCTGCGGCCATAGAGACGACGGCTTGGGCGGGCGACTGCGACGGGCGGACGGAGCGGCGGACGAACGTCCTGGCGGTGCCAAGAAGTGGCCGGAGAGGAGTTTGCGAGGCCATTGGGACGGAAGACGCGGCAGCAGAGCCGGTGGTGAGTAGCCGCGACGAGGTGGAGCGCGTGAGGTGTGGTGCACTGTAGGTCAAAAAGTTCGGCGATCCTTTTTCGCCGATGATGAAGACGCGCCGCGCCAAAAGCCCCAGCTCCCAGCCCCAGCTCCCTTCACTCTTTTCCCTCCCCCGAATCGCTCGACATGGCAGACGCGCCCCTCACAGGCCATGTTCCGCTGGGCGACCTGCTGGCCGAGGTGCTGCCACAGGGCGCCAATTTTACCTGCTACCATATTTCAACGCCGCCAACAAAATGCGGACCCATCTTCTCAGCACCGCCAGGCGCGCGTCCTGAGCGCACCTACTGCGAGTCGCACTTTCTGAACGTGTCAGTCACGCCTGATGACGAGCAGCAGCAGAGTGACCAGAAGGCAGCCGGCGAGATCTTGGTTTTTGCTATCGAAGTGCTAATCTACACTACATCGCATCTGACAACCATCTTCGTATCCAAAGCAGACTCGACCGGCTACCTATCGCTGCTCCAGCTTCCGCGCACAACCTCTTCGCCCATCCGTGCCATCTCTACCACTTTCGTGTCCTGGCTCGTCACGCAACGTCAGCGTCCGACCTCGCGCCTTGTCGTCTCCCTCTTCGCGCGCGCCCAGGACCAATATCTCTTCCCCGGCAGCATCGAGAATGCAGAAAAGCACGTCGCCGACGACACAGCACTGGTGAAGTGGTGGTGCAGGGTGCTGGATCCGGTGCTGCGCGCCTACACTGCAGAAGCGTCGGGCACACCTTCCACCGAGTCTACGGCGGAGAAGGCACAAACAACCGCACAAGGACACTTGCTAATCCCAGGCCTGGAGCGCAACGAAACCCTGCGCTTCTTCCCGCCCAGCGTGCGCGCCGACCCTCCCGAGCAGAAGCGTTGGAAGCATGGTCACCCCTTGCTTGATATCTCGCGGAATCCCGCCGCGCCGCCGCGCTGCCTGATCCCACACTTTCCCGACGACCCCAAGTCGCGCTATATGGACGAGTTGGACGATGAGCTGCCCGACGGCGGCAACGCCTCCGTCACGAGCCCAAGCCGCGGGACGGGTCAGTGGCGGAGCGTGCGGAGCTTGGAGCAGTTCTGGGAGATGATGTCTTTCCGACAAGAGTGCTCGTCCGGGCGGCTCGTTGGCTTCATCTGGGTGGTCTTCACACCCGCAGACATCGGCAACACGTTGGAGACGTCAGATGATGCAGAAGGCACAGCGATCGGCCCGCTGGGCCGGCCACAACCCATAACCAACTCCCTCGCTGAGATGCTTGCCCAGCCGCCCACGACTCCCCCAAAAAAGAACAAGTCCTCCTCCACCCGAAGTTCATCCCGTACACCACGCCGCCGCTCCAGCAAGCTCACCGGACCTATCATTCCCCGCCTGCCCCGCATCAAATCTAGCTCTTCCCAAACATCGAACCCCGACAATGCGACCACAACATCTGCTTCTTCCACCACCGGTCCTTCCTCGTCTTCCATACCCGAATCGTCGCTCTACTACGTATGGCCTCCTCACTCGCGCGGCACCCTCGTTCTTGACGAGAAGGACTACAAGCGTGCAACGGACCTACTACTAAACCACAACTTCGCTGAGCGCGCCATTGCCGTCGTCAGCACACGTAAGTGGATCGAGGAGGTAGCCGTGCTAGGCTCGCGAGGAGGAACTACCGGGTGGGGCGTGGCCGTCGTGGGGCGGAATGCTTCTGCAATTGCTGCTGCTACTGCCACCACTTCTGCGGATGGTGCGCAGAACGGCAGCGGCGGTGGGCAGGCGGTTAACACGCTGAACACGTCGATGGTGCGGAAGAAGAGGAAGGGCGGGGCCGAGGGTGCGGTGCAGCAGCAGCAGCAGCAGCAGCAACCAGCACCAAATGCCAAGCATGATGCAGTAGCCGGTGTTAACGTGCTGTCTTCGGGGCTTGTCAGGAAGAAACCGAAGACGGGGGATAATGACGCTCCCCCGGCTACCATACAACCTGCCGAAAGGCCGGCGGTAGCTACGGCAGATGATGAATCCGTCAACGTTTTGAGCAGTACTTTGATTCGGAAGAAACCGAAGGCGTGAGTAGGAAGCTTGCACTTCCTCATTTCCCTTTTCTTTTTCGTGCTAAGACGTTGGTTGGATCGTCATCCAGCTTCTTTTTTTTTTTTATCTCCTCACGTTCTTTCTCTTCTATCTTTCTCTTGAGAGCTTGGTGGCTTGGTGGGTCGAATATTGGATATCCCACACAATTTTGCCGATGCGGGTTTATGCGCTTGGAATCTAATACTTTATACCTTGGAATCGGCTCTAGTTCGTTTTCGAGCCTCTAGCGATTCAAATCAGAATGCGACGTTTTTTTTTTTTCAACTGGAGTGGATGTTACCTGCTTAGTAAAACATCCATCGTGGGATGTAAAAAGAAATGAGCGCACCCACATCTGTCGCCGGAAATATTGCACCAGACTCAAGCAGGGAAGTTGAATTCAAATAACCTAAACGTATATATAAATCAAGAGGATGCGGCAAGATGCCTAGCTAACCAAATAAATACAAGCAAACGACCTCAAGCAGGTAGCCGTGGCCTGGATAGGGAATGCCTACTGGCATGCTCATCAGAGTTATATGCAAACCGCAGAAGCTATGGGTTGAATTTAAATCTAAAAGAACACCACGTTGACTCCTAAAAAAGCTAAACCAAAAATTAGGATGGCGTCAAGATAAGGAGAAAAGAAATGGCACCGTCTCGGGATCAAACCAAGGAACCCACCTTCAGCCGCATCCGATAAGACGCTAGAAAGGTGCTCTACAGGTGGTCAAGGAGACAAGCGATTGGGCTGTTTGTGTAGTAGTGAGGGCGTTACTACTCCATTATTGCAAGACCTTGATGGATGTGAAAGAGGCGGGGAGCGAAAGCATGTGACAGGCATGTGAACGTGGGGGTGAAAGTATGGTCGACACGCCTGGACGCGATCACTCTATCGCGCTCCACCCATCAGACGCACGCGGCACATGTAACAAAAGAAAGGGGGGAGCTCTCGCGATAAGCGACGAGCATATGTATGGATTCTAACATGAGCGTACCATCCCCACGGCACCCCGCAATCTCCGCATCCAAACGCCCTTCTCCCGTTCCTCATCACCCGCCGCCTCCACCAACTCCTCCAACACTCTCCAATCAAACAGCCCCACTGATCCCTCCTTGGCTCTCCCGCTGCCACCCAATGCGCCAATAAGCCCCTCCACCCCCTGGACGACCTCCTTGCACTCATCTTCCATCGTCGGATCGACTAGAGCGATCCTGTCATACCCGTCGTATGCTTGGCTCTCGGGGACGGTGCTGCCTTGACTTTCGTACTGCGTCTGCAAGCCATCCCCGCGGCGCCAGTGCTCGAGGTTATTAATGATGATTGGGACGTGGGGCGAATAGTGTTCTACCAGAATGTTGTGAAGCGGGTGATGAGGGTAGTGGCGTTTTCGGAGGGAGGGTGCGAGGTAGATGACAGTTTGAGCGAGGTTGTATGGTATTGGAAGGGGAGGGGGTGTATTGGGGCTGGTAAAGATGGCCTTGTGGTCGAAAGTCGATGAGGACGGTTTGGCGGCAGTAGTGGATGTGCTGGTATTGCGGCAGCCGTTGCTTTTGTTGGTGGGAATTGATGCTGGAAGGTTGGGGCGAGCATAGACGGAGGAGCGCCATTTGGGAATCTTGCGTGGGGTAGCGCCTATGGCAAAGTCGTCGACCGAGCCGGTGGCGGGACGTTTCAGTCCTCTCCCAGGAGTCTCTGTGGGGACTCGCAGAGCTGTGCTATCGAGTCTGTTGATTCCTGTTGTTTTTGATGTGAATTGGGTATTTTCCTTGCCGCTAATAGTTGGTGGTGTTGCTGCAGTTGGTGGATACGGGGGTGAAGAAGATGGAGGGCTTGCAAAAAGCGATCGTGGGGTTGTAGCTGAGATGTTACCCTTGGAAATCGGGCCATCTGGCGAAGACTGAGGAGGTGTTGGCATAGGATGGCCGGCCAACATGGGAATTGGCGGGAGCATATATGCCGAAGCACCAGTATAATGCGGCCGCGTGGGAAGCCCTTCTTCGGGCTCCGTGCTCCTCTCTGTAGATACAGTCATCTTCAAGGTGCGTTGTTTCGAAATGATGTCTTCGGCATCTTTTTGCTGCCCGGGGGAAACCTTGGCCATCGCGCTCTTCAGCGGTGCTGCAATGCGAGAATGTGCAAAGGCAGAGCTGGAACAGGAACCTGTAATTTCGCTAGGAGGACACGCGTGCGGCCTCAAATCTGGTCGCATGGTCTTGTGTCTCTTGGATGGATTCTGCTTCGAGTTTTGTCTCCTTAATCCATTGATGTGTTGTTGCAAGCTAATTGCTTCTCGTTCTTCATATAATGACAACTTCTCTCCGGCTGCATCGTCGCCCACTGAGATATCCTTATTGCTACCATGTCTCTCCGTTAGGGTTTTTACAGGTGGTTTCTGAATGGGGCTTTGAAGCAGGTGTGGCTGCGGCTGCGGCTGTCTCAGACGCGTGGTGTTTGGGCCATCGCTATATGGTGAGACTTCGGAATCTGCTCGTGCTGGTGGTGCCTTTGCAGAATTAAACCTTATTGCGACAGGAGGAACCGCATCTGATGCAGCAAAAGTTCGTTTTGGTGGTGAAATGGTGGACAATGTTCGATGGGCGGGATGTCCGGCTGAAACGGGAGAAGTAACAATAGTCTGGGTCCATTGTGTCGACTGCGGAGACACAGGCGTGACTCCCTTTGCAAAGTTGGCAGTGACTATGGGATTTACCGTGGTGCGCCTGGCCTTGATGAGAGCTGTCGCAGGGCTCGGCGTTTTGACGGACGCTTCACTTGATGCAGAGTGCTGCAGCGCTTTTGACTGATTGGAGATTATTGCAGGACTCGGCGTGACAGAGGTATAGTTACGGCCTACATCTTTGAGAGTCGCCAGCAGGGTGGTAGTAGTCTTCCTCGAGTCAAGGCTGCTGCCGTCACGCGATCGGCTGAGCTTTGACATGTAATACTTGACCTTGTCTCGTATGTCCTGTGGATCGTCGTCCGGCGGAGCTTCTTTTGCTTCGCGAGCGGTTTGAGCGAGACCTTCCATAGTAATGCAATCTTCCCATGAGCGGTCCATGTGAGTTCTGAGGACGCGCGGATGCCGTAACATATAGAAGTTTTCGTTGGGCGGCTTCTCAAAACCACTGCCAAGGACCTCAACCACGAGAGGATTTGTGAATACCACGGAGGGAAGTGGGGCTTTGCCCCATTGGATTGCGAATTGTTGGAGTGGATCGTCTTCGTCGAACTCTCTGCAATGGAATTGGCCAATTTGGTTGAGGTACTCCAGCTCCTTCGGCGGAATACAGTGAGATGCCGTGACGATCGCGACGATTCTGAACGTGGGTCTTAGTCGATACGAACCGTCGTCGACCAGACATCCAAGGTAGAGATTCGTGAACTTTAGGTTTGTCTGTCGGCACTTCTGCGCCTCGTGCACGTCATAGCTGGCTGCTACAACTGCAAAGTCTGCCTGGTCTCTAGCACCGCCCATATCAGTCATATAATCCTGCTTGAGCTTGATAAACCCCCGGCACCAACTGCCAGTATCGTCCCGTGCCAGCGAAAAGAATGGGCCGTTTGGCTTCAAGACTAGACCCTCGCAGCGATAAAGCAGAGCGGCAGAGAAGTGGAAAAGCAAGCTTTTTCTGGAAATGTGTTCTGCGAAGTCCAGGGGCTTCCACTCGACGGTTTTTGCTCTGCCCTCGATTTTTGTAACGACATCAGAGAGGCGTTTTCGCCGCCTTGTATGGGGCAACGCCATGGTTACCTCGTCGTCCAAAAGAAGGATGTCAAAGTAAAATATCATGAGATTCTCGTATGGATGCGGCTGAGAGTCTTTGTCGATACCAAGAAAGGAGCCGGACCTCGAGACATGCTTTCTGATCTTGTCAAAATCCACGACTGCGTTCTCAAGCTGGTTGAAGACGACCATCTCTCCAAGCAGGATGCATTTTGAGTTGAACTGGCACTCGGCAGTGTCAAGCCTTAGGCTATCCCTGATTGCTGGAAGAAGGTCTTTCCGGTCCCTGGTGGCGTCTTTGCCGTTCTTGGAAAATATCTGTATTGGTTCGCTCTTGCCTAGGTCCACATGCACCTCGCAAAACTCGCCGTCGTACTTGCGCTCAATAACCCAGGTGCCATCGCCAACCATGTCCAGGCAGTTCTTCATCGATCGGGCCTTGTACCAAGTAGGCCTGCCGATCTTGACGCCGACCTTGGGCTTGAGATGTTGGGCTGCCTGTTCAAGCATGAGCTTCTGCGACAAAGGGTCCGGCTTGGCGTGGTATCGAGCCAGCGGTCCTTTGAGCAGCATCATGGCGGCATCAAAGTCGTTCTGGAATTTAAGTAAGGGCGGGAGCATGAAGTGGAACTCTCCGAGGACGAGATTCTCGTCCAAGACGACGCGGCCAAAGTCCTTGAGAAACAAGCGGACGAACCACTTCTTGTCTCGTGAGTGGATGCGCAGAAGGATATGGGCAAGAATGTTCTGCGGCAGGTCTGCGGAGACATGGTTTTGCACAGCCGGGCTGGAGAATCGAACTTGTGAGGCGATATCGCGAAGGCCGCAGTCGACCTCCTCGACTGTGACGGCATCGCCCCTAGGTAGTGGCTCGCTATCGTGGATTCTTTCAATTCTTTCGAGGCATGCACCAAGATCTCCTCGGCCCGGCAGTCTCCAGGCGCCCAGCTCCCTCACCTTCTCGGCCCTGTAACTGAGACAGCGGGCCACAAGCTTCTCCAGCCTAGGCGCCTTGATGTTGTAGACACGGTCTGTGCGTGTGTGGGGGAATAGGGTAGAGAGGATGGCGGCACCATCGGTATCGGGATGGTTAATGTCCTTGCGATGGCATCGAAACCAGCGCTCAATGGTGGTGCGCACGAGCACGCGCCTGCGGTCGGGAAGGTAAGGGGGGTCGCGGCATTCAATGTCCTCGATGGCCTGGAGTAAATCGCAGATCCAAGTGAAGCGGAAAGTCATGGCGACGGATTATGCAAAGCCAATGGGTATCCAAAATGTCTAAGAAATGGTGAAACAAGGTAAGTCTACGGGTATCGCGTAAGTAGAGGTAGAAAGGTGCTAGCTAGGGCTGCCGCGACAGCCTATACAGCGCGGACATGGGGCATTGGTGGTGAGGTGTAGAGAGGGAGAGGGGAGAGAGGTGATTTGCGCGGGTGGACGCGATGGGAGAGAGTGGGCGGGGCAGGCGAAAAGACGCGTCTTCTTTGTCGGGCAACCACCGCGCGGTCATGTGCCGGAAATAAGGGCGCTCGGACAATGAATCGACGTCAGCTCTTGTACCTCCTTCCAGAAACATTTCTGCCACTTTCTTCTGGTCGTCTGGATCCTCCGTGCAGCCTGCGCTGATGCGAGTTCTCGGAGCTTCCAGCGTTTCTATTGGGCACAGCCATCACCCCATCAATCCCTCACATCCCGATCCGGTGACCTAATCCCATCGAGAGCAATTGTTGCCGCCCGGCCTCAGGTGCTTTTCGAGACAGGCGGCAGGAGGGATGGATCGTGGCTTCCTTTAAATACAGGGCGCGCGCCCACCCCGCATTCGACTTGCCGCTTGCATCCCCGCCCGCCCGACCACCGCACTCTCACCGGCGACGACACCAACAGCAGTCGACAATGTCGGGCTCCTTCAAGGATCGGAACATGGACCTCATCTCCCGAGGCTCCTACAAGTCCACTCCGGGCGGCACCGCCATCTTCATCGGCCTCCGCGCACTCGACCCTCTGCTCCAATACGCCATCCTCGCCCACGGCCTCGGCTCCAACCTCCTCGACGCCGTCGGCCTCGGCGCCCGCCCGCCCCCAATCCTGTCGCTGCGCACCGGCGTCCATCTCATCGATGTGCTCGACCTCAGCGCCCCGCGCCTGGCCCTGCTCTCCATGGCCGTCGGCTCCTCGCTCAAGCAGATCCACTGGCTGACCTTCCTCTCGCGCGAAGAATTCCCCGCAAAAGCCGCCCTCACCGTCGGCATCTTTAACACCGTCGTCAACAGCATCAACACCCTCGCCTTCTGCTCCTCCCTCCTCTCCACCGCCAACCCGCCCCACGACATCAGTGAGAGCAGCCTCGCCCCCGCCGCCGCCGCCGGCTGCGTCCTCTACGTCGTCGGCATCGCCGTCGAGTGGATCTCCGAGATGCAGCGCGCGCGCTTCAAGGCCGACCCGGCCAACGAGGGCAAGCCCTACACCGGCGGCCTGTGGGCGCTAGCCCGCCACATCAACTACGGCGGCTACTCTCTCTGGCGCGCCGGCTTCGCCATGGCTGGCGGAGGCTGGGTCATGGGCACCATTTTCGGCGCCTTCTACCTGTGGGATTTTTCGACCAGGGCGATCCCGGTGCTGGACAATTACTGTTCGGGACGGGTGAGTGACCTTGCGTTTTCTCTTGACTGTCGTTGTGATGTCTGTGCCCGTGCCTGCCACTGACGCCGCAAGTAGTATGGCGAGGACTGGAAGAAGTTCAAGAAACAGACACCGTCTCGGCTGTTGCCGTTCATATTCTAACGCAAAGGCTGGGCGTGCTAAGACCCGTTGCGTTTTTCGCCTGCTCGAAAAAGGTAAAGTACATGAGGAAATTGTAAGTCCCTGTATCATTCCCGGACCTCGATACTTGTTTGGTAAGATGTAATGTGCGTTCTTTTAACGGGACGGTGTTCGATATACGTAAATTGGTTCATGTGCATATGACAGAAATTAGTAACATAAATGGAAGAATGAGAATGATGCATCAAACAAGCATACAGTGCCAATTCCTCGACGAGGAAAGAATGACGAGTCTTCGAACCATTTGTTCTCACGAGAAAGTCTCAGAATCACAGCATAGGGGGACAAAAAGAGGAAGACAAGATAGTTTCCCGTTCAGGTTGGCCAGAGTACCGGAGTTTACACCCTGAAGTCACATTGAAGTATACGCACGCTATAGTAAGGCCAAGCGTACTCTGCCACGTAGCCAAACCTTGCTCGCGCCTATTGAAGGTTACAGAAAACCGCCCTTCACCAATAGTTTTGGACTATCCCGAACTCGTACTTTGCCCGCCCTACTTGTCCCAGATATATTTTTTTACCGAGCCATGCAAGTATTAATGTTACTCCTCGGAACAGCCTTGCCAAAGGCAACGGTAGCCCCAACGAGGTTCTACGCGTTGACAGGACGCTGTTGAAAGTCGATAGCACCGGTAACTAGATGAAGCCGCCTGAGTTAATGCAAAAAGGGTTTAGCGCGTACATATTGGGAGTGCCGCGTATATACTTCTCTTGTATAGACCCTTGAAAGAGTAATCCATTAGTATTGAGTTTCAATAGATGCCCCAACCTCCCAAGTCACGCCCTTTCTTATCTTCTTCCATCGCACGTTGGGAAGTTAGTGAAACAAATACCATTCGAATTTGATGAGCCTCATCAGGACCATTCTCGCAACAGTCACGACATATCAGAACCACCAATCAGTTAGCGCTAACCACATCTTAAACATGCTGAATGGGCCGCGCGTACAATGTTCTAGCCCCCGCATCCCTTTCGCTCGCTCACCTGCTTGCTCGCTACTCTGCATCATCATCGTCATCATCATCATTATCAGCATCATACGATTAGCACTGATGCCATCGCCATCAAAAGAGCCTCGTTGAATTTGGCGAGATGAGAGCGAAGGGACACATAGACAAAAACAAACACACGAGTTTAAAACAAGGCGTGATGACCAATAGCGCTAACCGTGAGCCGCTCTTCCGTACCCGGAAATATATGTCGCAAGCGAACGAGACCCCTCGTGGCCCTCATCACTATGACGAACTTCCATCACACTATGATTCGGCAACCCCCGCGGGCTTGATGAAGTTAGGTAAATCCCCCGACTCTCCCCGAAAAGGAGGGGAGGGAAAATCTCAAGCAGAATAATACCGCACTTGCATTACACTCATATCACTGCATTCGGCAAAAACGCAATGGAGATGGCGGCAAAGTATGGATTGTTGGATTGCGCGATCTCAGTTCGGGTACCGCCCCGAATCCATCCATTTCCATCCGCTACCCCCCAAAAAAGGCAAAAGGGGGAGCCGCAAAGCTGAATCTATATACCATATTGGGCAGACCTTTGAACCCTCAGCTGACTACCGGTCGCTTGAGAACATTTGAAGGTGATGAGAAGGAGAAAACATCAGCTGGCAAGCTATATTGCGTGAGGAGCTTGGCTCAGCTGGAAGGAGAAAGAAAATTGAAAAGTAGAGTCTTACCATCAATCCCATGCTGGCAGGAAAGATCGGCGGACAGATGATTGCTATGAAGTGAAAGAAAAGGTCGGCACCGGCTGCTGATAGGCGTCTTTTTTGTCGTGAAGTCATGAATCTCGTTCCCTTTTTGTGTGTATCTTCGTCCACAGCCCTCTGTCCACAGAACGCTTGAATGCGACAGCCAGAGCTTACAGCGCCATGATGACTATAGCACTGAGGCCGATCAGTGCCATGATAGCTTTCAAGCTCTTGCTCGCAGTATAACCCGGCGCATTGGACCGCTTCGCGGGTGCCACGATTTCATGCCTCTCCGTGATGTCACCTGCAGAGAGACCCGAGGATGCTTTAGCGTCGGGAGTATCAAGCGAGTCATCGGAGTCGCCCGTCTCTGTGGAGCCACTTGGATAGAGCGTAGCGTAGGTAGAAACGACCACAGTGGTCTCGACGGTATTGGTCAAGGTGCTCGTGCCAATGGATTGGAGTGACTTGGGGCAGTTGGTGGCTCCAGGCGGGCAACCAGTGATGGTATAGTAAATGGTGGATCCAGGGACTGTGGTTGTGAGTGTGGTATAGTCTTCGGACTCACCAGCCAATGAGCCATCGGTAGTTGGAGCCGATGCCTCGTTCTCAGTCGTCGTAGGTTCACCGCTGTCATTGGAGTCCGCAACTACATCGGTAGCAGTGTCGCTGCTGGCATCTGTTGAAATAGCCGCAGATTCAGACAGAACGGAGTAGGAGGCAGACGTCTCAGCTGATAAGGAAGCAGTCTCGACAGGAGCAAGGTCCTCAGAGGTGACCTGCGAACTAGTAGGAGTAGAGTACATGGAGGCGGCCTCGGTTTCCTCAAGCGCGGAATCTTTGGTGGTAGGCGCTGCCTCGGTAGAAGAGGTCGTGGTCGCAAGGGTCGGAGAAGATTGGTGGGAAGTAATGATAGGAACTCTGGTGGCAGGGTCCAGGTAGCTGGCGGTCGTTGCCCCATTGACTATCATGGACTGTAAGGTAGCCAAGCTACCAGAGGGAACCTGCCAGGAGAAGAACATCTGGCCGTTCCTACATGACAATGTTAGCGAGAAGCTTACACGTGGCTGATGCAGTGGGCCGCGGCGAAGTGAGGCACCTACCAGATGTGCTGGCAGTAGGAGGCATCAACCTGCGTGACTTTGACTTTCAGGTGACCGGTCGTGGCGCCACCAATCTCCTGGCCAGCGCCCACGCTCATGTCGAGCTGGCCGTCGGTGCGGGTGCACCTGTCCATGGCCAGGAGGTACTTGCAGCCCTTGGAGCCGCATACATTTAAGCAGGCGCCGCAGGTGGTCTTGTCGATGGAGCAGTAGGAGGTGACGCTGTTGAGATCGAGGCTGTCGTAGCCCATTTCGCACCACGGCGGGTTGTACTTGGCGCTGCCGTCCTTGAGAGAAGGATAGTCGTGCAGCGTGGCATCGGTCTCGAAGGTGAGCTGGGCCAGAGCAGTGCCGGCACAGGCCAGCATGCCGGCAGAGAGCAGACCGCGGGATGGATGCATGATCAGATGTGCCTGGAGTGAGGGAGCGTTCCTGGAGCTTGGGGCTTGAAGGCAGCGAAGGAAAGGAAAAGAGGGCAATTGGGTGCCGGCCTCTGTTGAGGAAGTGGGTGCGCTGCTTGCAGCGGGGTGTTGTTGAAAAGGAACGTCTAGAAGCTCTGGACTTCTCAAGGAGCGGCGGCGGCGCCTGGAAGACTCGAAGGACAGTGGAACGGCCAGGAACGGTTGCGGATGTCAGCAAAGGAAAGAGCAGTTTTGTTATAGCAGCGGGCCAGGCGACCATGGTAGTCGCTCCACGTGGAGACCGAGCCACACTCGGCAAGCCCGATGTCGCCCCTGTGCAAACCCGTGCAAACCATCACCTCGCATCGCACTGGCGAGCCAACCGGTGCTGAGGTGGGCCGCGAAGTGGGGGCCTGTAGGGCGAATGCAGGCACCGTTGGTGCTGTGCCGCCTGGGCGCTTGCCAACAACGCGCCGCTCGCCCAACCTACCCGGCGGTCCAGCCAGTAAATCCCGCCCGCTGCCGTCCAACCGCCCGCCCAGCTGCAGGTACCATCTCAGCCCGCCGTTAACGCTTGCCTCTACTGGTCCGCTGAAGAAGCAATCCCTGCATTGACCGCTCCTCAGTAGCGAGTCCAACGCCGCCCGCGCCGCCTGCGCCGCCCGCAAACCGCTCACCCAGCCTCACCCCGGCGCACGCCTTTCTGAAAACCTGTCAACAGGCCAGCATCCCGAGCGGGCCCGCTGTATGTATGACGGCACGATACCCCGTTGGTGGCTTGACAACCCCAATCTAGCTTCACCGGCAAGAACGTGGCCCGACGGCCAACGCAGGGTGAAATCCTTACTATTGTCTCATAATAGAACCGAAAAACACATCTTGCATCTACAGCTTGCTCTTGCCAACGCCCCAAACCTCGGCGGTCGGATTCCGCTCACTCTGCGCCGGCTTGCCTTCTCGCCCGCCTTGCTGTACCTGGCCCGGCTCTCTTGGCACCTGGCCCTCTGCCACGTACAGCGATGACGCTTTGGTGATTGTGTCAATAGCCTCTTGCTCGATGCGGCTGACCAGCTCAGCGCAGCTGGGGATATCGTGGATCAGCCCAATAACTTGGCCCGCCGTCCAGACCTGTAGGAAAAGTACAAAGAGGATTAGCATCTGCAGCAAAAGAGGGGCGCTGAGCACGCATCAGATGCATGTGCAGCTGAGCCGAGACTTACTCCGAAATCCTTGTCACCGTTGAGGAAGACCTGCCTACCCCGCTTGCCCGAGACATACGGGCCAATCTCCTCGAACTTGCCCTCCTTGCTTTCCTTCTCAATCTTGACGGCCTCGTTCGCGACCTGGTTCTTGAACAGGCGCGTCGTGTTCTTCCACCTCCTCATCACCAGCTGGGTATCCGTCTCCTGCGCATTCACGATAGCCTCCTTGATGTTGTTGTGGATCGGCGCCTCGATGGTGCACATGAAGCGCGTGCCCATGTTGATGCCTTCAGCTCCCAGCGCGAGGGCGGCTGCCAGGCCCTGGCCGTCTGCGAAGCCGCCGGACGCGATAAACGGCACCTTGAGCGACTGGCGGGCGCGGCTGAGCAGGATGAAGTTGGTGATGTCGGACTCGCCGACGTGGCCGGCGCACTCGAAGCCGTCGATGCTGAGGAAGTCAACGCCGAGGCGGATGGCGGCTTGCGCGTGGCGGATGGTGGTGCACTTGTGCAGGATGGTCACGCCCGCCTCCTTCAGCTGCTTGATCACCGGCCCGGGCGAGTTGCCCGCCGTCTCGACGATGTTGATGCCCTCCTCGATGATGACGCGGGCGTACGCGCCGTAGTCCGGCGGCACCAGGGCCGGCAGCAGCGTCAGGTTCACGCCGAACGGGTTCTTCGTCATGGTCCTGCATCGCCGGATCTCCTTGCGCAAGTCTTCGGGCGTCGGCTGGGTGAGAGCGGTCAACTGTGTCGGTCACACAACTCGTCAGCTGCGGCTTCCTGTCAAAACACCTCGCTCGGCTTCTCGGCGAACTGGAAGAGAGAGCGCATACGATTCCGAGGCCGCCGGCGTTGCTGACGGCGCTGGCCAGCTCTGCGTATCCGACCCATTGCATCCCACCCTGCACCACGGGCACTACTGGCTGTCAGCCTCGATCGCATGGCTCACGGAAAGCCGAACGCACCCTTGATCCCTAGCTTGCGCGTAAGAAGCGTGTTGAAAGGCATCCTGGCAGCTGCGCGTGTACGTCGGTAAGCAGGAGAGCTGTACTGTCTGGTTCAAAACAAAGACGAAGACAAGCGCTTCAACCAAGGCGTAGTGGAGAAGGCGGCGGGTGACGAAAGGGAAATCTAAGAACGGTCTAAAATCTACAAGAAAGATGTAGGGAAAGGTGATTAGTCTACATGGTGTCGCATCCGAGGGAGAACAGGTGTAGGGCCGTCCTTCCCCACAAGCGGAGGAACCGAGCGACAGCCGAGGCCGCTGCTCTTTCTGGGGTTCGAGCACGCGCCCCTTCACATGCGCCGCCCAATGACTCGCCCCGGACCGCCGACCACCGCCCTCGACTGCGCGGCCACCGAGGACAATTATTGCGTCGTCCGAGCCGGAAACAACGAGGCAGCCGTGATCTTCGCCGGGGTGGGGCTGCATGGACAACGCGCAGAGGCGGGGACACTCGAGAGGCACCGGCATCTTTTGATGACCCTCCCAAGGGTCTTTGCCATCGCTAGGTAAGGAGCAAACACTACTTCATTACTACGGACGTAGACAAGCAAGCTAGACCGCAACCGACAACCCCCAATCCACACGCCAGGAACGCCTTCTCCCTCCTGCGGCACAATCACCGCCCTTTTGTACACTCCCACTACTCGCCCATACCGTACGGGTTGATCCCCCGCTCCACCACGCCCTTCGCCTTGCCGATCCGGTAATCCCGCCCCTTCAGCAGATGCACGAGCGCGCTGGGGATCCCAAAGTCGAACAAGACGCCCACGCCGCCCCTCTTCGTGCACGGCATGAGCAGCGTATCCGTCGGATCGGGCGAGAAGTGCCTGTCGACCAGCTCCTCGAGGCGGTCCCGCAAGCCGGTGCCCTCGCCGGCGGGCGGGTACTGCAGGCGCAGCTCGTGGGCGAGCAGGTCGTTGCGCAGGTTGTGCGCCAGCACCGGCACCGCGTCGTACACGTCGCCCGTGCGGTTCTTGCTGTACGCCGCGCAGTCGCCGATGGCGTAGACGCGGGGCGGCCCCGTACTACTACTGCCGGCCGCTCGCTCGACGACGCGCAGCGTCGACGGGTGCGTCCGGACGTAGCCCGCCGCGTCGACCAGCGCCGACGGCAGGAACGACGTGTTCGGCTTCACCCCCGTGCACGCCACGAACACGTCCGTCGTGATGGTCGTGTCGTTGTTCAGGTGGCACGCCGTCTGCCCGGCCGGTCGACGCGCGCCGTCCGTCGTCGCCGTCGTCTCCGTCGCCGCTATCAGCCGGATGTTGTGCAGCACGTGCACGTGGTTGCGCCGCAGCTTCGCCTCCGCCTTGCGGCCGAGCTTGGGCGCCAGGTCCGGCAGCAGTCGGCCGTGCCCGGAGACGAGCGTGATGGTCTTGGGCCGCCGCGGCGGGTCGCATGCGAGCGGGTCTGCCGGTCTGCGCAGCCCCAGCCGCGCGAGGATGGGCTTGGGTGGCGTGCTGTTGAAGTAGACTGCGAGCTGGCCTGCTGTTTCGACGCCCGAGGCGCCGCCGCCGACGACGACGATGCTGTTGGCGTTGCGGAGGCGCTTGTGGAAGTCCTTCAGTGCGGCTAGGGTCTTTTCGTGGGGGCCGTGGAGAGAGAGGAGCGGCGAGTCTGCGGAACTCCCGGTAGCGAATATCAAGGCGTGGTAGGTCAGAGTCTTGAAAACGCTGCCTTTGGTCCTCGCCGTGGGCTTCTCAGTGGGCGTGCTCACGGTAGATCCGCGCTGATCCGTGTCCACCACGTTCGGTCTGGTTGTGAGTGTAATGCTGACTTTTCTTTGAGCCGTGTCGATGAGTCCAGCTGTTCCTTGGACAAAAGCGAACTCCTCTGGCGAGTAATTACTGAACCCTTTGATGACTGGGGAGAACATCGTGTCGAGCGGGACTAACTCAGCCGATACCAGGGCCCGGGGAGCGGCCATATTCCAGTAGAGATGACTAGACGGTGTTACCAGCACGACTCGGTATTTCGGTGCTCCATCGAACGTCTGAAGGCTAGGAATGACATTCTTCAGGAGGTTGTGAGCAACCGAGAGACCTGCAAACGACGCACCAAGGACCACGATGTCGAGCGCGTCCTGATAGACCATGCCTGCAACTTGAAGATAGTCGTCAAGTGAGGATCGGGGAATTACACGCAGCGCGAGGCTGGGCGTTTCAGAGACGACTCAGTGCATCATTGCTGAGACTTATAGAGACAAGGACGACGCACTTCGCTCCAAATGGCAGTAGTGAGGCCGCATTGGTCTGTATCAGAGAGCGCTTTGTGAGATGGGGCGCGGCTGTTGACGGATATGTAGAGAAATCATGGCTGAGAGTGTGAGACAAAGGACATAATACGAATGCAGCAAAAGAGGGCCATTGTTGTCAGCCAAGCTGCGAAAGCGATGGAAGCTGGCTTGGCGGCTGATTATGCAGACTCGCGAACACTGACGAAAGCATGCGAAGTACACGATTAGAAGCGAAAATTCATTGGAAAAGCTCTGTGCAGGACAAGCACGAAGCGGGCGGCACACCGCGCCACTGTCACCCCGTTGTGGTGAAACCGTGCTACACAGTAACCCTTGCTGAGCTAACGACTCCGTTACACAGAGAAGAGGAAAATGAGAAGGCAGCTACAAGAGGAGCGAAACCCCATTCAAGTATGGTATCCTTGAGAGAACAAATGGTGTTTGGAGAAAACAATGAATGATTAAAAGGGAAAGAGAAGGGTCAGAATTGAAGCTTGTTCAGGACCGTAAGAGTGGCGATAATAGTTCCTGGAAAGCTCACAGATCAGCAGAGTATAGACTCTACAGAGGTGGCTTGGACTGAAGATTTGCCGGGCGAAGCAGAGTAAAACATGCTCGCTTTTCTGTACATACGACAAGTCAGCTGAGTATCCGAGTTGCTATTGATTTTACATTGCATACACTCAGTCCATTCCCACAGGACTTGGCGGCGGCTGTGGAGGCGGCGAAGGCGGATCCTCGCGAGAAAGTTGACGCATAGTCGGATTGCGTTCAATGAAGCAGTTGACTAGTTCGGGCACAATCGGTCGAATCCGACGGGAATAGGGCGACGCACTTCGTCGGCCAGGCTGAACCCAAACAGTTACATGCATTGTACGGTAATGAGAGGTGAGCTGCTCGCCCTCACTATGCCTTGACCACGCCAGATTGTCCCTCAATGACATCGTGAAGTTCGATTGAGATATTGGGGAAAATGAAAAGGTGTCGGAGGTGTCAAGATATTTGAGCTGCAAACAAAATAGATAGGCACGTAGCCTACGTTGTAAGGAATGCTGTCGCCTTTCTTCCGTTGCCATGACCAGTATTTAAAGTGAATGAGCACGGAGAAGGCATGTGAGGCTGTTTAACCGAATGAACAATCATTTTCCGCCCCTTCCAAATCTTTCATGAATAGCAGCAGTCAGGAAGGGGCATGAGTAAAATTTCTACCGTACGGTAACTCAATATCCAGTTAAAAGACTGAAGATAAAGGGAGCGATTGCAGAAGAGGGAGCACAAGAAACAGATTCCCGGGATCAACGCGATGAACGTGGTACAAATCCGCGAAGGAATACCCAGTGGGGTAAATCAGCGAGGGAGTGCTGCTCTAAATGTCCGTCTTGTTTGTGTGACGGTCAAATGGTTTGCTGCAGGAGGCCGATTGTTGCATTAACTCCTGCATGAACGCTTGGTTGAAGCGGCGAAGCAACCAATGAGGAAATGGACCATCGCAAAAGGTCACGTCGTAGGTCGTTATTCTTAGTAAATCGGGAATCGGATGCTGAAGTCAGAGTCCATGTTCAAGCCCCGAACGCGCCTACCCAGCAATAATCATTTCTGAACCCGAGCATCTCAAATACCCCACGGTTCCGGGTAGCAGTCGGGATCACAGGTGTCGTATAGTTGCGAGTGTTGGTATTTCAGAGCAATTCCGCTCCGTCTCGACCGCTTAATTGGTCCAAAAGCCAAGCACCGAGACCGCCGTCTCTGCATTCCAGTATTTCCAGCTCAGCTTTCATATTGAGCATCAACATGATCTGAAGATTTCGTTTCAGTTCATTGTAAGTGTTGTCCTCCGAGTGGGAGTCTTTGCGAAGCATTTGCGAAGCCTTCCTACGGTCTCGGTACGATAATGAGAGTAGTCCTTCGGTATGGTGAACGTTGGCTGTTTGTGAAACCCCGAGCTCAGACTCCGCTAGGGCCATGATATCGACACTTTTGATGCCAAGCCATTGCATACTGGGTACTTTGACAGAGTCGCCCTCGTGAGACAGAGTGATTGAGCCATACTTGTATGTGCACATGATGCTCAATCCATCGGGATCCATATCGACTAAAGCGAGAATCGGTATCATCGAGTTGCCGAGGGTTGACACGGCGCTGATCTTGTGTAGGAAAATGCGAGTGGACAAGTCTGGGTAGCCTTTGCCCTGTATATCTGGTAAGCACAGCTGATAGTTATCTGCACTCGTTGGCGTGGACGACAATGCACAGCCAAATACGCCGTCATACCGTGACCATGATACTCGAATGTTTCAATTTTCCCCAAATCTTTGATGCCGCAATCGAGCGGAAGGTAGCCTTGAATAATACTGTGAGCAATACACAAGTGACAAGGGCATCCCGTCTACCTCTTTCTCGACGACTAATACCCGTTCTGCATTTGTCTGCATTACGTCTCCATCTTCGATGCTGGGTACGAGGTGACCGGAAGGGTCATTGAACTTGTAGACAGAGACCCCATCGGCCTTCAGAATCGTCAAATCACCAGTGACAAGTCCCTTTGCAGCTGCAGACTGTGTGATTGTTACCACGGGCGAAGCCTTGCGTGCTAAAGGATGCGTACCACATTGAGTAACGATCTCGAGGCCCCAAAGGTCAAAGCGATGTCGTCCACGTATCTATCGACTACCGCCTGATTTGCGAAAAGGGCTGGGTGTCGGTAGTAGATCTCTCTGCGACAACGTAAGCCATGTAAATGTGAGATGAGCCAGGTGTGAAGCAAAACAGTAACAAGTACAATGCAGAGATTACCGTTTGGAGACAACACAGTCTGTCACCAGAGCTTCATGAATGATCTCCAGGATGCGTATCAAGACAGCTAGTTCAGGTCAGTATAGATTGATGTTGTTTTGCTCAAGATACAAACTGAATCTCCATGCCTCTCCGGCCGTCCTCCCTGGAAAGCGTATGAGTCTGCCGCGTGCAAGGCCGGCTGGTTGTGCTGGAGTGCGGGATTTCAAGAACAGGGCCAGCGAGTCTCCACCGGTAAGAAGTGCGTCAAGCATAGACTCGAAGACGGATTCGATGTCGGATATCACGCGGTTTTTGTCACAAACGGCGGGCGCATCATCCGGCACAAGAACCCCGTGCATGGGGAGGTCTTCCGTATCCACGAACAGGTCTTCCCCGAGCCATTGGGTATCAAATTCCATGAACTCGTTGTCGCCGGGAGCTAAGTGGTGGGAGAGAGAGATGCCCACAGTTTCATCAGACATTACCCCAAGTGTGGATTGGCCTGGATCTGTAAGTGGTTCCTCACGTGGTTCTTGAGGTGAAGTTGCATCAAACAGCATGTGTTCGTCGAGATCCATCGTCGACAGGGAAAGCCGGCCGGCGGTGACGGGGAGAGATGAATGGCGGGGCGGAGATCTGCGAGCAAGGGCACCTGCTCTTTCTTGTTGGCGCGTTGCGCACGGACCGGCAGGCAGAGACGCGCCTGGGTCGCGTTGGCATTGACGTGCTTGCCTTCCACAACTTCCTCCGAGCCGCTTCCGCGCCATAGCAGCCTCTCGCCTCGAAAAACACCTCGCTCCTTTTCCGTTCCGTTCCTTTCTGGCCTTTTCGCGCACCCATAGCGCGCCATCCAACCGGATTCGGCGCAATGGCTGACACTCTACTACAACCTGCGTCCCCGTCGCGGAAGCGGCCTGCTCCAGACGATCTTGACATGCCCGACATACGAGCAACTCCTGTCAAGGACGCACCCAGCTCCCCCCAAAGCTCCAATCTGTCCACACCGAAGTCAATCGCCTCGCCTGATCAGAGTCCGCTACCTCAAGGCGACACTGCCCAAACCCACTTGTCTCCCGCTCCGAGCAACCTGGCACCTACTGCAACAGCCAATTCATCGACTACCGGAGCGACGTCGACGAAGCGAAGACGGCTGACAACGCAGGAAAAGGAAGAAAAGGCGAAGGCACGCGAAGAAAAGAGGTTGCAGAAGGAGGAGGAGACGCGCCAGAAAGAGGAGGCTAAAAAGCTCAAAGAGGAGGCCAAGAAACTCAAAGATGAGGAATCGAGGAAGAAGAAGGAGGAAGCTGAGGCCAGGAAGCGTGAGAAGGAAATGGAGAAACAGAGGAAAGCTGAGGAGCAGGAGAAGAAAGCAAAGGTACGGGCGTAAACCAAGCTTTATGAGCTCTGCTAACGTACCTCGTTCTCTCTCAGGCTCAACCCAAGCTCAACCAATGGTTTACCATGAGAGGCCCCGGAAACACCACTGCTGAGCTTCCGCACAGGCGAAAATCCGTTTCAGCCGAGCCGGGTGAACCCGCTGCCAGCCCCTCCAAGCCTCCCTCGCCTCAGAAGAAAGTCCAGTCCGATTATGAGCAGACGTTTCTCCCGTACGAGAAGAAGACACATGAGATTTTGGCTCCGCAGACGCTATTCTGGGCAGACCGAAGCGATGCAGACAGAGAAGCGGCCATTGCGAGGCTGAACGGGATGGCGGCTTCTGGCTCGGAGCACACCAAGCAGCAGGTCCTGAATCTGCTCGAGAAGCGCGACTTCAGCACACTGCTAGGCATTCCAGCTGCAGAACGAGGGAAGAGAGGTGTCAGGTACCCACTCGTGAGGGATATCGTTGCTCAACTACAAGGCTCGTCAGACCAACCTGTTGATCTGACCGAAGAGACTTCAGAAAAGAAGATGCGAGGCCTTCTTGAAACCCTTAAGGCTGTCCCTATGAAGTACATTCACTTCACTGAGGATGTTCGGCCACCCTATTGCGGCACGTTCACAAAGATTCAGTCCGATCGGGAGTCTCGGAGACTTGCAATCAAGCCTTTCTTGAGAAGTCTACCCGAGGCTAATTACGACTATGACTCGGAATGTGAATGGGAAGAGCCCGAGGAGGGAGAGGATTTGGACGCGGAAGATGAGGAGGACCTTGACAGCGATGGAGCAGAAGACCTCGAAGATTTCCTTGAAGATGATGATGAAGCGGCGCACAGTAAACGCCGTCTTATAACAGGAGACCTAGAGCCGGTCTCTACTGGTCTTTGCTGGGAAGACAGCAAGGGAGTGTTGAGAAAGGCGGATGGTTCTTGTGACTCTAAGATGACGTTATCGGAGTTTAGAATGGGCGTTCTGCTCGGTAGGTCATTCCCAAACTTTTTCGACAAGCTGAACTGACGAAGGAAAAGAACCAAGGCCGAAGTCCATTGATCCTTTCTCGACAGCTTATTGGGAGACCCAACCGCAGCCAGCATCAAGTTCAGAAACCAAGCATGCGTTTGGCACGATGCAACCTCCTAGGTTGCCGCTTCACGCCCGTCCTGAGAATGGTGCGGATGTCAACGTCAAACTTCCTGCAAAGACAGCGAATGGCTCTGCTGGGGTTCCGAAACCACCCAAGAGGACCATTCCCGTAGAGCTCATGGCGGAATTCAAGGATGCGATCAAGGGAAGCGACCTGACGAAGATCGCCTTAATCGAGGCTCTCAAGAAGAGGTAGGTCTGGAATCTAACCGTACGTAGGTATTGACTGACACAAGCAGATTCCCAAAGGTTCCGAAAGACGCGATTACGAACACCCTCTCACTCGTCGCAAAGCGTGTTGGGCCCAGCGCCGCGGAGAAGCGCTGGACTCTCCTCGACACATGATCGCCTTTATCTTCCGATACGCAGATGACGACCGTTCAGCTCACATCTAGTTTTCCTTGCATCGCACACATGCATGTATTATTACACAACCACGGTTGCTTCATGCAGCACTCACTGTGCGGGGACGGGAGAAAGATTTGCCTTTCAGTCCTCCGTCGCCAACGATTTGTCCATCATAGAAGGTCCAGGTCTTATCTTGCGGTGCCGCATGAGAGCATGCTAAGCCTTGTAAGCTTACTCCGGGTGTTCATCACAGCCCAGGCCTGCAGCCATACGCGTCATGGCACGACGCGATAGAGCAGGCGTGGAAACAACAGGCATACGCGTCTTGTTCAGATTTTTCGCGGACAATGCTATCAGCGCAGTAAATACTTCATTGCAGAAGACTTGCCGTGTCTCGCAAGACACGAAATGGGTACGTGGGGGCTAATGGGGGGCCTGGTTCATCGAGTGGCAGCTATTTTTGCTTCGACGTTAGATGGCGACACGGTTGTGCCTCATGCCACCAGAGTTCTGCCTTCAGCCAGAAGGCGAAGAGGGCGAAGACGCAAGAACACGGAGCGGGGCCTCGGAACGCATACAGGCTATAAGTATGGCTGTAGAAATGACTATACATAGCTACCTTTCCCCCGCACAAGCATGAAAGGGTGTGTAGCGCAGCACGTGATTGTATTACGCGCTGAGTCTATTTTTATCGGGCAACCTACAACGCTGCATTCCAACCCACCTCCTCCACTCCGCAAGAAACCCACCAGCCCCTTCGGCGGCCCGGCAGCAGCCAATCATTCAGCCGCCCAGACACGAACGCCTATCATGCGCCTGGCCGCAGGTCGCACATCTCTGATTGGAGCACCGCTCAACCTGCATCTCCTACGCCGTCAGCAGCCGCTGACATGACCTCGCGCTAGCATTGTACGACCAGTAGTGCCTCGGAAAGCGGAGGGCAGCATGTCTCATCTCACGCTTGACTTTGGTTGCGGGTCCAGCAGGCACATGTCCAGCGAATGCCGCCTATCAGCATCGAGGTGGCGGCGCCCAGAGTGCTGCAGTCCTGATGATGAATGCAGGACTAAGTGCCGACCAGTGTTCTGCGACCGGAGGCAAAAAGCCGTCAGCCCCAGGGCATGCGGGCACGAGCTAAAATTGCTTTATACGGCGGGAGGCGCCCTCTCGGCAGGGCGGGGCTGTCCTCCAAAGCGGTCTTTTCTTCAGTCGCTCCATTTCTGACCATGACCACTTGATCCTTCCTCTGACAGTCTGACCAACAACCTCATCCACCGGCGCAACACGTTTGTGGTTCATGATGCGGTTGCTACTTGTGCTCTACTTTAGCGGCTTGTCCCTTGGTCTCAACTGTTCAATCCCACCAGTCTATGTCGACATCCACATGCGCGCGGTGCATGGCACTGGAGTACAGCAGTATGGATCGTTCCTGGGCATGGGCACACCCGCACAGAACCTGTCATTATGGCCTTCGATCACCCAGAATGAGACTTCGGTCGCTGCAGAGCAATTCTGTGAGCACAGCAAGCTGGCGGATTGCATAGACAACACTGGCGGAATTGTCGATGTCACCGAGTCGCCTAGGTAGGCATTTGTATTTCCTACTCTCTGCAGCTTCAGGCACGAAGCAAGACAGAAACATCAATTTGCGTGAACGCCAAGGACATCCCATCAACCTGCCGTCTCATGCTCAAATGCTGACTCAAAGCAGCTGGAAGCAAGACGATGACTACCAATCCGCAGACCTCACCGAGACAGCTTTCAACGACAGCTTTGGCGGCCGTGATGTGATGCAAATGTACACTCACTACTTCCGCACCGACCCGGCATGGCAGACGCTCCTCCCGGACATGCGCTTTACCATGGCGACGGATGGCGACAAAAACCCTGGGATCCTTGGGATGGGCTCGCGATCAACCATGCTGCAGCGCCTCTTCGAGGTGGGCATGATCGCGGGACGAACGTACGCGCTGTATATCGGCAACAGCTTCGAGCGGGCAGGCGGACTGGCCATCGGCAGCAACACCTTCGGCGGCTACGACCCGCGGCGCTTCAAGGGAGAGGTGCACAACTACACCATGACGCAAGGCCGTACGAATCCACTCAAGGTGCACGTCACCGACATCGTGCTCGACGACCCAACCGGGTCCATGACGCAGAACGTGTCATTGCTCGACCGGGCGCGCTTCGCCAACCTGTCCGAGGAGCTCGAGAACGGCTTCGAAGCCAGCATTACCACAGACCAGTTCCCGTTCAAGCTGCCGAAACAGGTCGTCCGCAACTACAAGCAGCAGCTTGGGGCGGTGTCGTCGGATTACGCCGACGGCTCGTTGCGACTTTCCAGGCCGTTCAACGGTACCATGACGGTCGTGCTATCGGATGGCTTCCGAGTGACGATGCCGCCCGAGATGATGTTCAACGTGTCGGGCATCTCGCCCGTGGCGGACGTGGCCGAGGACCAGGACAACGATGACGAGAACGACGACGGACCGTTCCTGCTGGGCTCGGCGTGGCTCACGCAGGTGTACCTGATGCTGGACTACGAGGAGTACTCGTTCCACCTGGCACAGGCGATCCCCATCGTCCCTTTCAACCAGCCGGCGACGTGGTGTCCGCGCACGGTGCCGCGACCTGCAGATTCAGGGAGCGGGCACCGCGGATTCGCGGCGAGAGGGTTGATCGGGGCGGTGCTGGGCGGCGTCATCGGCGGACTGGCACTGACGGCGGCGGCACTCTGGGCGTACGTGTGGTGGGTGCGAAGGCAGCTGGAGAGGGAGCAGAGGCGGTTGTCGCAGGATAGCATTGAGATGACCAAGGCGGATTTCGAGCAGGTGCCGAGCGAGTACGGCCCGTCGAATGACAGCCAACCGTTGTGGCCGAGGTGAATTGCTTGTTCTGTGTTAGATACCATTTTCTACGTTGATTTCTTTGCTGCTCAAAACTCTCTCCAGCGCTTCTGCAGCGGTGTTTCATGACTGCTCTTTTCCCGTTTCCCTTCCCTCTCCTTTGGCGCTACCAGCGTCCTGTAATAAGAACGAGATAGAAAAAGTATGTTAATCCATATGCCTGCGGTCCGCAGCAATCCGATTGATACAAATCCGCTGCGCCGCCTGGGAAGCCCCTGCTCACATCGTTTTGCGCCTTCCGGGTTCTTTGTGCAGTGAGCAGCATCCGTGTCGCTCCTCCCCAATTCGAAAGCTGAGGTCCACAGTCGGTGTGGAGAGAAGCGAGTTATTTCCGGCGCTCGGCAGGTGACATCACCGGCTAGGCGCGCTCGCAACCCTCCGATTCCACCTCCGACTTTGGTTCGACACCTTTGGCCTACCGGCAGATTTCCCCAAGGCTCAGCAGCCGCGCATGGTGAGCATCGCAGTGGCAAAGGAGGCTGCGGCTTCCCAAATCTCCCCAGATGACGGCGAGCGGCCATCGTTCGCGCTTGTCGACGCGCTGGCAACCGTTGCTCTGGTGTGGTATGTGATCGTTGTCGTGGTTTCCGCCGTCGGCTACATCCAGCTGTAAGCTCTCCTGCCCGCATTCCGCCGTCTTTGCTGACCCCGTTCCCAAAGACGGCGATGGTACTCGTCTCCGCGTCCGCCGGCCTTCTGCCTCACACAGCTACCGCCCGACGACATCCCACACGTCACCGTCATCCGCCCGGTCAAAGGCCTCGAGCCCAGCCTCTACGACTGCCTTGCCGCGACCTTCCGCCAGACCTACCCGCTGCAGAAGCTCACCATCTTCTTTTGCGTTTCGTCACGCGATGATCCGGCCTACCCGACGCTGCAGCGCTTGGTCGACGACTTCCCCGCCTTCGACGCGAAAATTCTTGTCGAGACCGACGATCCTCTGCTCAATGGCAGCACCGAACACGACCATGGCGACCGTCCACCCATGGGCCCCAACCCGAAGATCAGGAACATGAGCAGGGCCTACCGCGAGGCCAAGGGCGATATTGTGTGGATCCTTGACTGCAACGTGTGGGTCGGCCGCGGCGTGTGCGGTCGCATGGTCGACACGCTGTGCGGCTACGGCGGCCGCCGGAAGAACAAGTTCGTGCATCTGCTACCGCTGGTCGTCGATACCGACACGGCGCCGCACGGCGAGGAGTCGCAAGGGCTGCTCAACGGCGACGCCAATGGCCACGGTCGCGCCCACGTCGCGTCGAGCAGCACCGCGACCTACGAGCTCCGCAGCAGCGGCAGCACCTCGACTCGCAACGCACGCATCTGGCAACTGGGAGGTGGTAGGCTGGAGGAGCTGTTCATGTCGTCGAGCCATGCCAAATTCTACACGGCCATCAACACGGTGCTCCTCGCGCCGTGCATCGTCGGCAAATCCAATATGTTCCGCCGCTCGCACCTGAACGCCCTGACCGGCCCGCTGCCGCAGCAGGCCGAAGGCATCGACTTCTTTTCCGAGAACATCTGCGAGGATCACCTCATCGGCGACCGCCTGTGGCGGCAGCAAGTCCCCGCGGAGAAGACCCAAGGCGAATCCTGGGGCAAGCACGCCATGTGCTTCGGCGACCTAGCCATCCAGCCCATGGCCGGCATGAGCGTGCCCGAGTACATTGCCCGCCGCGTGCGCTGGCTGCGCGTGCGCAAGTTCACCGTCACCCTCGCCACCCTGGTCGAGCCTGGCACCGAGTCCTTCCTGTGCGCCCTGTACGCCGCCTTCGCTGTCACGACCTTGCCCTTCTTCCACGACACGCTTTGCATGCCCCAGACATGGACGGCCTTTTGGGTCTTTTGGTTCGTCAACGTCGCCCTCTGGTGCTTTGTCGATTGGACGCTGTACCGCAAGCTACACTCGGCGAACAGCATCGAGGTTGATGAGTGCACGCCGCCGTTTGCGAGACCGCCGAAGACGCCTAATGGTACGAGGAGGCCATTTGAAGAGTGGTTTCTCGCGTGGTTGGGCAGGGAGGGCCTGGCGTGGCCCGTCTGGGCGTGGGCCGTGTACGGCGGCGTCACTGTGAAGTGGAGGGGGAAGAGGTTCTGGGTCGGATTCGACATGAAAGTCCATGAGATCAAGGAGAAGGGGGAGGAGGGGAGCGAGAGAGGGAAGGCAAGGAGGGATTGATGAGTAGACGCGGCCAGGAGATCGGGATGATGGCAGAGACGGAAGCCAAGCAACTCCGGTGGGTTCCTTCGTATTGCTCTCCCAAAACGGAATCCCGAGGCGCCTATTTGCTTCTGTCATGGAACAGAAAAAAAAAGGTCAAACATAGCATTATCGGAGAACAGGTATCATCACAACATTGTAATTACTGTATACATAAAAAGAAAAGCTCACGCCATGATCCTCCCAAAAACGCCAAAGGTGCCAGAAAAAAAATCGCCCAACGCCCTCAATCCATTCCATCCTTTCTTTGAATCAATCACTAAACACCCGCTCCCGCTCCCTCCCCCTCCCTCTCATCACCCCTCCGTTCTTCTCACCGTCGCTGCTCCTTCGCCGCTGGAACATGGCCTTGACCAGCCGCGTCCGGCCCCGCCCCTGCCTCTTCTTCTCCAGCGCTTTCCTTTTTCCGTTTACATGCTGCTGTCGATCCGCATCGCCTGTCGGGGCGGCCGCTGCGGCGGCTGTGTTTCTCGTCAGCAGCACGCATGTGCTGGGCCTGGGTGTCGCCTCGGCTTGGTCTTCGTTCCAGTCGTCACCACCGTCGTCGTCGTTGTCGTCATCATCGTCTCTGTTGCTTCTGCTGCTGCTGTCCTTGCTGTTGTTTGGATGGCCGAGAGGAGGTGCAGCTGGAGCTGGAGCTGGATGGTGGTTGTGGGGGTTGTGGGGGTTGTGGTGGTGCTGTTTCTGCTGCTGTTGTTGGATTTGCTGTTGTTGGATTTGTTGCTTGTTCGGCTGCTGCACAAGGGGGTGCAGTACGGAGTCGGTTCGGGTGGTTCGAGTGGTGGCAGGAGCAGCGGCAGGAGTCGTCGTCGCCGTCACAACCACCGGAGAGGAAGACGGAGGGGAGAGGGGCGAGACGGACGGAGACGAGCGCCGCTGCCGCTGCCGCTGCCGCTGCCGTTGATCTCGCCTGTCCTCGTCCTCGTCCTCGTCCTCGTCCTCCTTCCCGGTCCACCTCCACCTCCCATCACCCTCATCGCAACCGATCTCCCCTTCCGCCTCCCCTTCACGCCTTCCCCCAGAAGCAGAATCAGAAGAAGCAGAACGAGCCAAGACTTCCCTATCCCCCTCCCCTTCCACACCCCCTCCTCCCCTACCACCGCTCCCCGTCCCCGTCCCCGTCCCCGTCCCCCTCCTCGACGAAGAAGAAGAAGAAGAAGAAGTAGTAGTAGACGACCGCCACTCGCGGTAGTCGTCGAGGCTCATGCGGTGCTTGGCGGCGAGGTGGCGCTCGGCGTCGTCGGCGGTGGGGCGGTGGCGGCGGCGCTGCGGCAGGGGCGGGCCGAGCTTGGCGAAGAGGAGGATGCGCGAGAGGAGGGAGCTGGGGGTCTTGTTCGGCTTTGCATTTTTCTGAGGCTGAGGCTGAGGCTGAGTCTTTGGATTGTTTGGGTTGTTTGCTTTGGTGGTGGTGGTGGTGTTTGCGGTTGTTGGTGTTGTTGTGTTGGCGGCTGTTGTGATGGTGGTGGTGGTGGTGGTGTCGGGATCGCCAGCACTCGTCGACGGTGGCGGTGGGGCGGTCGTCGCCGAGGCGGTCGAGGGGGTTGGTTTTGCTGTAAACATCTTTCTTTTTTGGTTTGTTGGTTGAGAAGATGTGTTCTCTGGATTGTCCGAGGTGGAGTTGCGGGTGTTCAGGCGGGATTGTCGAAAATGTTTGATTTTTTTTTTTTGAACGTGGGGCTGGGCCAATCTCCCTCTTTATATTTTGGGCGAGGTGATGGGACTTTCGCCTGAGGTTGTCGTCGTGGGACTTTGATCCGTGGTTGACTGGACCCTGTCTCCCAACGGCTTCTCTTTTGCCGGCTCTTTCTCCTTCTCGTTCCGTTGTCGCTCTCTACTCCGCTTTTGTTTCTTCTTCGAGGCAGAAGGCTCTAGCTTGTGCTTTCCGTAGGGCGTGTAGATAAAACAGCGAATGAGCACGCGGAAACAGCCTTCGAGGATGTCTGGCATTGGGGAGGGATGCAGGAAACAGCGTATACAACGAGGTGCTGATGTAATATATCGCCGAAGCGTTCTTGTTTTCTGCGATACTCTACTCTTCGAAAATCCTCGGCTTGAACATGAGGTAGGCTATAATGGCCGACCCGTCGTTCTTATTTTTATGTTTGTCATGCTTATTGCGGCGTTCACTCGATGTGCTGGCCTCGGATCTCCGGATGCCGCACCACCCGGTTCTGCCGGGGTCAGTTACGTCACTATGCCAACGATTAATGGAAGCCGCCGATCATCCGACATTTTGTCTCATTCTTCTCAATGCTAATGCCGTTGCCGCGCGGTGCCGAATGGCCGTTGTGCTGGCGGATAGCGGCGGGAGTGTGGGGAGAGGTTTGAGGCATGACCTGAAGAAAGGCGGATGATTCCTATTTGTCCGGAGCTTGGAAAGTATCCTGATGCTTTTTGAGGTCGGCATCCGGAGTTTAGAGGAGGCCGAAGACTGTACGCCACCGCAGTGGGTGGATGTGACACGGGATGGTAAGTGGACTGTTCCTCCCGTGGCTTGTAGGTATTGGGTTGCCGCCCTAATAAACTTTGACTAAAGCACATCAGCAGATCTACTTGCCATATTGCTAATCCCGGGGCGTGACTTATTTACCGCACAAATATTGACGGACATGAGCCGTGCCACTGCCCACTAAACAGAAGCCATCCTTCCAACGCTTCATCAGAAAGTTTACTTACAGGTGTATTAGCTAAAGATGAGGCAGCTGGATCTTAGTTTACAAACTCGTTTGGAAGGATCATAGCTTGTAGCGGCGTAAGTGTTGTTTAGTTTTAGAGTAGGCTAAGGAAAGAAATGTCCTTGCTAATATCATTGTTTCTCAATCGACGATTCCCTCGCTAAAGTTTCCTCCATACGCCAGATATGCCCACCTATGATGCTTTTACTTTTTTGTTGATATCCAGATGCCCAGCGTGATATGTTCAATTCATGCTGAACCCGCCATCAAAGTCCGTCCAGTTCGTCCCCTGCCCAAATACGTCACTCCCCAGCCAATCTAGACTCGGTTGAACGTCGAACAAGGCGTTCAGCATCTCCTCACTTGAGCTCATGCGCCCGGAAGCGTTGATATCATGTGGACCCGGGGATCCGACTCCTCCGGCTGCTGCGTCACCATTCAGCATACTGTGTTGGAACCACGAGCCGATCGATGTCCCGGAATCAGTGCCTATCCCATCTACCGATATTCCACCGTCACCGATCATGCCGTTGTGCAGCATCTGCTGCGACTTCTCGAGGTCGGAAATTACATTGCCACCGGTTTTCTTGTTGGAGCGGGTGTTGGTTCGGGCTGAGTTTTGTTGCTCTTGTGTGTGTTGAACAAGTGGGGTACATAGACCGACGAGTGTGGCACAAAGCTTCTGGAGACGCTGTGCAGATGAGTTAAGGTTCGGAAGCTCCATAAGGATGTCGGTGAACTCTTTCATCAGTGCAAAGTCACCTGCATGAGAGGTAGCGACAACATTGCAGAACAGGACAAAATACGGGCGAAGAGGATAGTACAGGACGGTCCTGATGTCTGTCAGCATGGCGAGAAGATGATGCTCCTTTGCCGAGAACTTACCAGGGTAAGAAGGAGGCAAAGGTCTTGCCGTTCATGCACGTTGTAATGTGGGTTTTGAGGTTTCGAAGGGCAACGAAAGCTCTCCGAGCGTGGTCAAGACACTCTTCGCGTTTGATGGGGTCTATTGTGACGCCAGTGTCGAAGCGAAGAATCACCGTCATGATCGAATGATAGACGAAGTCAAGCGAGATCCATTCGCTCATCAAAAAGGCATCCGAGGAGTGCGGGGGGGAGGCTCGAATCTGTACACGGTGAGCCTGCAATCATGGCTTCAGCAGTAATGCCACGTACTTCGACTACTTGGTTCTGAATGCAGTCCATATGCCGCTTCAGCGAGCTGATGGCGGCTTCTTTTCGTTGCGGCGAGTAGCCTTGGGCCGGTTGAAAATGCAAATCACATACAATGGTGGCCTGAACCTTTGCAAACCTGAACAGTACCTGTACAAATGCGGAGAATGGGTGTTGTGGGTCAATGGGTGCAATGATGTCCTCGGGAACATCCCAGATGGGCATGCAAACAGGTCGGCCAAGACTCATTGCCAGGCCCTTGTCAAAGATGTAGCTCCACAAGAAACACGCCCGGAGTTCTTTATCCTCTGATGAAAGCTGGTCGTTTGGCGGGGCGCGAGGCTGGCTGTGATGCAGTCCGAGAGCAATACAAACCCGACATGCGTTCGAGGCCAACATCCAACACTTGGACGTATCACCCAGTTTTTGAAACAAGGTAGTCTGTTGCTCGTCAACCTCACATCCTTCTCCCTGCCCTCAGGAACGTCACTTACGCCCATCAAAAGCGCTTGCAGCAGAGCAAGCGACGGGGTCGCTAGGATACCAATGTAGTTCATGGCATTCAAAGCTCTTCTCAGATAGTCATCCTTGGATTTTTCAAGAGCGCGCTGCATGTCGGTGCTTTCTCCGTATTCCGGGAGGTGCGACAGGAAGGTTCCGGCGCAGGCGTTCACACAGACGGCATATTGAAGCAGTGTCTGTTCATCCGCGCTTCTGTTGTACAAGGCTAGAGCCATACGCTCCAAGGTATCTCGTGAGATATACGTCGAGAACTCCAAGTCATACGCGGCTGGATACATGCGTTGGGACTCTGGGTGAGCAGTTAGAGTTGCAAGCTCGCACTCGAAGGGCTGCAGGTTGAATGCTCGGTACCTGAAAGGATCATGTGGAAGAACTCAGGGGCTGGTGAAACCAGACAGTCGGATATTTCCACGGCACATTGACCAGTGTCCATGACGCGGCGCTTGACTGGAGGGTGCTCCATCTCGCCGATGAAGTCCAGAGCAGCCTCCAGGACGGAGCGTCGGTCAACACCGATGGATGTCGAGGCGTCTGCAAGCTCACCCTGGATGAAACTTTGAGCTTCGAGCTCTGTGGCCACGACGAAATCATGCTCGGTGGCTTTGGAGGCAGGACGGGTAACGGACTCGGCTTCTCCACCCGCTTCTGGTCTGGGACCGGTTTCTGGAGGGGGCGAAGCAGCGGGGCTCTCCAGCCTCACCCTTTTGGCGGAACGGGCTGTCGACTCTTGACCTGGACTGGAGCCGGCATGACTTCGTGAAGCTGCAGCGTCTTTCACAGCGGCGCCGTCATTTGGATCAGCGGGGGAAGCAGCGTCGGCGTCTTCCCCGGCGTCCTTTTCCTTTGACAGGGAAGCGGCCAAACGGGTAACGGAGGTCTCCAGGCGAGACAAGCGGGTGATGATGGAATCTGTCTTGCCATCCCTGAAGCGAATCAATACAGGGATCGGTGTTCAGCGGGAGTGATGGGCATACGCTCCGGCGGGTGCAGAGTGGCGCGGCCTTCCGACGCGCTTGGGGCGGGTCCTCAGACAGCTTGCTTTGGAGTCGACGCAATTGCCACAAGGATCATTTCTGTCGCATTTGATCTGGACTGAGAGTAAGACGGGGAAAGGCGATGGATGTTGGATGGGGAAAAAGTGGGTACCTTCCGGGCATAGCACAGATCGCACTAAGTGGTGGCTGTCAGTAAGCGAGAGCGCGACAGGTGACAGTGCTGGGGGGAAGAAGGTACCGCGGGATGGGTAGGCTGACCGCTCGGGACGAGAAGGGTAGCCATGGATTCAGACCGTTTCAGCCAAAGACGCTCGCGGGAGGATCCAGATGGGATGCATGAGTCCGACGAGGGAGCTCTGAGGGTCGCAAACTGTAAGGTGCAGGAGGAAGGTGTAGGTAGTAGATGAATTTGGGTCCGAGCGAAGCGGGCACACAAGGGTACCCCCGGCTAATGGTGGCCCTATTACTAATAGCGACGTGTCTAGTGGCCGTTTCCGGCCATTACGATGGCGTTATCTATTACTGTAATAGTTTTTTAATCAGATTAAATGGAAATAATTGGAGTACTAATAATAAGATTTGTTTCTTGGATTAAATATATTATTATATAACACAGTATTTCTTTTTCTCGTTCATTACGGTTTTGAGGTAAATAGTTTTACGGGTTATAAAAATAAAACTAGGTAACTACTTTTTAGAAGCCCATGCTTACCATAGAAGAGCAGCCCAGGCCGAACGCCGGCTCCGTGGCCCCTCCGCAGCCTACCGGAGCGCTTCGCCGCGTCTCATGGCGCCGGATGGGACGGCGGCCGACTACGAGAACATCGACGTGGCACAGAGAGCGGTTGCAGCGACGGGAAGTACTTGGCTCTACCATCACTGCATTGTCTTCCGTATTGGGATAATGGTGTTAGATCTAAATAAAGGATGATGATGATGATCCCTGTGGGCCTCAGCAGACCAATGGGGATGAATAATGCTCTTCTACGCCAACCACATTAGGATTCCAGTTCATCCGAGATGTAGCACATGCGCCCGCCGTTACATGACAAACTAGCGGAAAGCACTGGCTGTTAGGAAGCGGGACGGCACGAGGGATTAATACGAGACCATCGGCGGCAATAACCAGGTTGGCTGTAACGCAAGAAGCTAAGTTGCGCGAGATGAGTTCGATCGCAGCGTCACGCCTACACGTTGACGCCCAAACGGCGAAACTCTTACTTTTCCAAGCAGTACTCCGTCGACTTACCTCACCTCGACCCGCCTTTATGCGATATTTTGCGTTCTATATATCCTGTTGTACATACCGTGGAGGCCAGGCGGTCGAAGTGGATCCGGCTATAAACCCATAGCTGCAGTGAGCGACAAGGTCGACGATTATCATGTGTACAGGGTCGTGTGGTTGGAGAAGTGCAGGGTGGGCAGTTCCAGCCCCTGAGCCGGGAGATGCGGGAACACTCATGTGGACAGCGGGTGACGTGGTGGACTATAACGATAGTGGCGTTAGAAAGAGTGTGATTGTAGCAAGTAGGATATTAATATATCCTCGCCTATATAAATCTAACACCTACATCTCTTTATAGTCTGTAGAATCACTTCTCTCGAGTCCTTGACATATCTCACATCTTTCCGAGTCAAACTTCCCTCAACTATGGCTTCAGTGCAATTCCATTCCAACTATGTCAGGGTTAACACCGACCCGGCAGTCATTTCTGTCAACCTTGGCTTCGCCGATACTGAGAAACTTGACGCAAACTCTACAACTCCGAATCCAGTATCTGGAAAGTCCGAACAAGTCGTTGTGACGTACAGAAAGAACGACCCGCCCCCTCGAACATTTGAAGTCTCGACACAAATGAACTTCCCGGCAAACGGCACCATCACAGTTACCGGTATGAATACCCACCACTATTCAAAGACCCTACTAACTATTAACTAGGTGGTGGAGCCGATGCCAATGTTGTGGAGGCTACCGATGGTGTTGGAAATAAGGGAAAATGGACTGTTGTGGGACATTGATCACCTCCTGAATAGGGAATGCAATGGGCTGTGGACCAGCATTCTCTTATTGCTCAGACAACGGTTTCTTATCTATTACTGTTATTGATGGAGAACGAGTTTAACCTCCTCCGCTGTTTGTTATTGGATAAGTTTACCAGCTTAGTCACTCGTTCTAAGGCGATATTGAGTTCAACACCAAAGAGATGAAAACAAAAATGAATCCACTCATTCACTCATTCACTCAATCATTCGATCGATGAAGCTCTCTTTCCAATGCCCTGTGATCGCATTGATTACCATCTAGACCTTGTGCGCTGTCAGGGGGACAATCAGATTCTACAGCTACCTTCCCTTTTCCATTTCAAAGAAAAGCCAAGAGAAATCTGTCTGGTCATGAGACGGTTACGCCGGGATAGGGACACAGAAACATAGTGCGCCGGACTTGCTCCAGCGAATCTCCATGCTGCAGAGCTAATGCAGCGTCTTGTCAATCACTACGGGGTCGGACATGGCGTACGCGGCACAAAGCTACCCATTAGAAGGCTATTCATCTATCGCATACGGCTGTCATGGCATGAAAGATCAGCGGCAGGCAGTGCACAGCGAGAAGGAGTGCTACGACATACGACGTAGCTGGCAGGGAACGGGACGGTATGATGCATAAATGCAGGGAACGGGACGCCGGGACGGCACGATGCAGAAATGCAGGGCCGTTAATTGACAACGATGGCCAGGATAGCTGACGTAGCACAACCAGCTGCTCCAATTTTCGCGTTAATATATCGTTTGCAACACTACTGTCGGTGGCCGTCTCGAGAACTAGCAATAAGCAATGCAGTACCGAGGGCTGTAATAAGACGAAAACATACCTAAGTTAGGCACCGTTGTTGACGTAGGTTTCGCCATTTTGGCTTCGACGTGTAGGCTTGGCGCTGCAGACACACCTCGCGCATGCGCTTTCAGCTCAGCTGAGCCACCTCGTTCCGGAATACTAGTTGTGGAAGTCTGGTCCGGTTGTGACATCGTGCCTACGAATAGCGTACTCATGCAGATTCCCGAAATTCCATCTGTACGCGGGTCCACCACTCCGAGCGCAACGGCGTGGCCGCGCTGGGCGGCATGCCAGATCCCGCTGCGGTCGGGACCATTGTCATTCGTTTCCTCATTACGAGAATCCAACACTTAGAGATTGTGAGCGGCGGCATACTCGCGGGTATAAGAGCAGCAAGTTCGATAGTCCACTATTCGTAACATCTCAGCACACTGATCTACCGGCCAATTCCAGCAGTTCTGTCGATGAGGACGAGACTGTGACGATGGAATGTACCTTCAACCACAAGGCGGGCTTGATTGCGTTGCCAGGGGAATCATTCAAACGTACCGACCGACTTGGCAAGAGCGATTGCAAAGCTATGGGACAGAATTCAAGTTGACCATTACTATTCAGGCGTCGAATATGCCGAGCACAGTTGGCTTGGAGATGCGATATGCTTGTCGCTCGAGGACGGCCGAAGAATCGTGGCCAAGACGCGTCCGATCGCGCTGCCAAACGGACTGAATCTGACATATGGAGAGATCAACGGTCTCGCTGGGGACTTCTATGGCACGACCAAGCCTATTAGCGACGGGATTGGTGCTGACGAGCAGATGCGGCGTTTTGTAGACGCTTACCGGAAACTTTCTACCGACACCACGCGGCAACCAGGCGAGGCCGAAAGGATCCTTAGTGTGCTCCAGAAGGAAGTCGATGCTGTCAACAAGGCTTTGGCGAATCACGAGGATCCGTCTGTAGCTTACAGCAAGCTGCCAGATGAAACGTGCACTTTCCAGAAGATCACGTCATCCAGACCAAGCGATGATCAACCTAGCTACATTGGACTGGCTCTGATCAACTGGGATCACTTTGGAGAAGATGCCCGCACTACCTACAATGCAGGCCACGCAAAGGCTCTTGAAGAGGCTGCCAAAGGTAACCTTATGGACGCATATGCGCTGAACGCTTTTGCGGACCACTTCCTGGAGGACTCCTTCTCGGCGGGACACCTCCGCACCCCCCGCCGAATGCTTCATGGCTACAAGGGAGTGAAGGACTTCCTCGCAAAGGTAAGTGTGTTAATCCCTCAGCTATACGACTTCCTTTCCTTACAACATCTAGTACATGCATGACGAAGACTGTGCCATTGGACTCTCGGTCACTAACCCTGCCGGCGAGAGCTGGCAAGCATTCGGCGACAAGCGATTGCTCGCCAAAGAGAACAAGGACAACAAGGAGCGTTGCCTAGTTGCAATCCAGGCATCTGCCGACGAAGTCTTTCAAGCTTACAAGGACGGGAAAGCTCCGAGCCCGGACAGTTACAAGGCGTGGACCCACGCCTGCACGCTCGACTCGGCCCACGGCAGTCAAGAGCTCGCACCTCTTTTCAAGAAAGACGAGTACCGACGCAAAGATGTTACGCATCGAAGGGAGTGGGAATTCACACAAGATTGGTGGGTGTGGAGTACTGCGATGAAGATCTGGAAAAGCGGATGGTGGAAGTACCCAATCACAATCGACGGCCCAAGGAAGTGGTTTTGACCAACAACAGAGGAGTGAAGGGTATGCGATGGTTTTGCGAATCTCTCCTATTGATGCCTTTCGTTACGCTGAGCGTCGGGAAAACTGGGAAAGGGGTGACCAATTTGCTACCGCTATCAGAAAATGTTGCACTGTGTACTGTAGCAACCTCGCAGTTACAGGCCGCCCATAGACGGTATTTTGTTATCTGGGCGACCAACAGTCGTCGAGGCTGCCCGAGTTGGCGGCGCTAAGATGCTGACACATCGCCTCGCCCTCGGTTTCGGCCTTTGAGTCGCGAACACCTCTTCTCGAGCACATAACACATTTGCATCGTCGTTTGCACGACAGAAGCGCATGGCTTCCGCATTCTCTTCTTGCACCAGCGACACGCGTGTCAATGGCGGCTCCATCTCCACGCTCCGTTTTCAAATCAGGGCTAGTCGACAACCAACCACGGCAAGGGGTCTGCGCAAGCGGCTGAACCCTTCTGCAGGCCCAAGGTTAAGCTCTCAGCGAAAGGCGCCAAGCTCTTAGCCATCACCACCAGCCTCACACAACCACCAACCCCGCCAAACGGGGCCCCACACTCACCGCCAGAGTCGCCAGAGAAGTACATGCTGTTGTCGCGGGTTGGAAGGCGCGCGTGACCACCACCGAGCGAGCAGCGCGCCGCATGACCCGAAGTCGTGCTCCAATCGGGCAACCGCTATTCCCGATGTGTCGCCCATGAACCACCACTGACAACGGACATCCTACCGTCTGCACCAGCTTGTAAACCAGAGTTGCATCCTGCACCGCGCCCGCCTTTCCGCCGAGTCTTGCTCGTTGGATCGCCGCGCGCCATAAGAATGCCTGTCGCCCGCCCGCCCCTGGTTGCTTTTCCCACCCAACGCTGCACACGACCAATCTTTCAGCCGCAGGTCGCACTACATAAGTAGAAGGCGATACAAGATACACGACCCCGCTTCAGTCTTCGACTCATTCGCCTCACCACAAAACTCATCGACCTCCGTGGCGAAACCATAACCCCCTCAAACCCTCCGATTAATCCAGCCGACCACCAACCAAAAAAAATGCCATTCGCTACCTTCTCCATCCTCTCCCCCTTCTTCTCCTTCCGCCAGCGTCACCAAGAAGAGCAACAAACCTCGACCTCGACCTCGGCCTCAACCTCAACCTCAACCTCAACCACCGCCGCATCCCCCTCCCCCGCATCCTCCCCACCACCCTCCCGCCAATCGACAATCTCCTCCTCCTCCTCACTCTCCTCGACCTTCTTCTCAGACGCCGAAAAGAGCGACGTCTACAACCACCACCGCTACCACCACTACCGCGAGGACGAGGAGTGGGAAATGGGCACCATCACCGCCCGCAAAGCTCGCGTCCTGCTGCCGCCTTCTTCCCTCGACGCCGTCCGCCGCCAGGCGGCGCTCCGGAGGAGCAGGGGCTCGACGGCCGAGAAGAAGCGGGGAATTGACAACGGGGACCGGGACGGGGAGGAGGAGAAGAAGGAGGAGGGGGAGAAAGAAGCCGCGAGGCTTTGGAGGGAATGGTGGATTTGAAGAGAGAGAGAGGGAGAAAGAGAGAGAGAGAGAGCGAGACTTTTCAAAAAGCTAAGAAACTAATCGAGGGAAGATGAAAGAAGGAGAGAAAAAAAAAAGGAAGAAAGAAGAGAAGAAAGCAAGTATTTCGTTGTGCATCCTGTGGATCGGGGGCAAATATTTTCTTTTTCTAACTTTTCCAGCAAGGGCGGATTGATGAAGAATGATCGGATACCCTACTGTGAAGCGTCATCTACTTTTACCCCTCCCTGCCTTTTTTTTTATCCGCTTTACCTTCACCCAAACTATGGGACCAAGCGTGACGAACAATGACGTAGTCACGACACTTCAAGTCTTACAAATCAAGCCAAAAATAAAACGAAAAGAAGCGCGCATCAAAATCATATCATGTCCATTTGTTTTTTGTTCAGTCCGCATAAAATCTGTCAGAAACCAACTCGTCCCGTCAAAAAAAACCGCAACTCTGCCCCTATTTGGTCTTACCAGTCGGGATCTGGAAGAACACGGCAGGCTGACCGTGCTGGAAGGCGCGGTCCACCCTGAAGAAGCCCTTGCGGTCGAACTGAATGATGTCGTCGACCTTGAGCTTGGCGACGTTGGCGTCGGCCAGCGCCTCGGTGCGGAACTCGGTCTTGGGCGTGATGAAGTCCTCGAACTTGTCGTCCTCGCCCAGCTTGTCCTTTGTGATCAGGTAGTCGAAGTCGACCAGCTCGACGGGCACCAGGTCCTGCGCCGTGCTGAGCCACGTGATCTTCTTGGCCGTCTTCTTCACGTCGCCCTGCAGGTGCAGCTCCATCTCGATGCCCGTAATGGGCGTCTTGTCCTTGAACAGGTTGACCGGGTTCAGCGAGTGCGACACCTTGCGCACGATGGCGTTGCCCCAGCCCATCAGTGTGATCTCCTCGTCCTGCGCGAACGACTGCGCGTCCTCCTGGTCGATGATGACCTCGCCGCTGTAGAAGATCTTCTTCGTCCCGACGTCCTTGTTCTTGGCGTGGAGGGGTTTCTGCCCGATGTTAGCTCTGTTGTCGTCTGCGCAACTACCACGTTCGACCGCTTACCTCCTCGCTGTAAGGCCCGGGGTGAGCAAAACCAACGATGGTGACGGGCACCTTGTTGGACGTCTCGACGGCAGTGTAGCGACCAGCAATGGGGTCAATGTACTTCTTGTTGGTGGCCCAGAAGGTGGTCCAGTCCAGGTTGACAATGTTCTTGCTGGGGCCCTGCTTGAGGATGAACTCCTGCAGCGCGGGAATCGTCATACCACGCCTGCGGATACCACGGACGGTGGGCATGCGCGGGTCGTCCCAGCCCCAGACAACTCCGCTGTCGACGAACTTGGTCAGCTTGCGCTTGGAGAGCAGCGTCCTGACGAAGTTCATGCGGGCGAAATCCCAGTTGTAGACGTTGCGAAGCCTGAGCGTCTTGATGAACCACTGGTACTGAGCATCGCGGTCCTTGTACTCGGTGGTACGGAGAGCGTGGGTGACGCCCTCGAGGGCATCGACGATGGGGCAGCAGAAGTCGTAGGTGGGGTAAATCTTCCAGGTGTCGCCAGTGCGGTGGTGCTCCTGGGGGCTGCACCGGTAGACGACGGGGTCGCGCATGGCCTTGTTCGGGTTGTCGACCGACATCTTCGCGCGAATGCACCACCGGGTGCCCTCCTCGGTGCCCTTCTTCATCTCCTCGAAGCGCGCCAAATTGTCCTCGACAGAGCTGTCCCTCCTCTTGCTAGGCAGACCGTCCATGCGCTCCTTGCGCATCTGCTCCTGCTCCGTGTCATCGGCGTAGCCGTTGCCCTCCTTGATCAGCTGCACGCAGTACTCGTACAGCTCCTGGAAGTAGTCGCTGGTGTGGCTGGTCTTGTCGGGCTTGATGCCCATCAGAGCAAGATCCTCAATGATCGAGTCCTGGAACTCCTGCTTCTCCTTGAGGGGGTTGGTGTCGTCGAAACGGAGGAGGAGGGTGCCCTTGTACTTCTTGTGGGCGAAGTAGTCGTTCAGCAGCGCGGCCTTGGCGTGACCGATGTGCAGGTATCCGCTGCACGGCGGCTTGTTAGCAGATGCTCGAGAAGGGGAAGACGGCCGACGTACGAGGGCTCCGGAGGGAAACGGGTGATGACGCCGTGCTCGACGTCCTGCAGGCCGATGTCGTAGTTGCCAGCATCGTCCTCCTTCTTGTCAGCAGCAGCGGGCTTCTTCGCGGCCGGACGGTATGCGAGGGTGGTCTGCTCCGGGTAGGCCTCCTCGATGTACTTGAACCAACGCGACAGGTTCACCATGAGGCTCTGCTTGACGTAGGCATGGGCGACGCGGTTGTCACGGATCGTCTTCCACACGGTGGTGTCGGCGTCGGTCAGGCTGTAGCCGACAATGTGCGAGCGAAGGGTAAGGTGGTTGTCGAGCTCGAAGAGGTGAGGCTCAATGGCCTTGAGGTTGAGCGGAGAAAGCTTCTCCGCCCTCTGCTGCCACTCTTTGATCTGGGCCTCCATTGTTGCGGTGCGGTGCGGTGGGTTGCGGGCAGTCGGGGGGTGTTGTTGGCTGGTGACGACGATGGCGGCGGGGCAGAATTTCGTCTTATAGTGCGAGTCATGCAGGAACAGTCATTGCCATGCCGCCCTTACCGCCCGCCACCTCGCGTGAGTTGGGCAAAGCCTGCGAAGATAAGGTGTGAGCTCTTAAAACTCTGTGAGGTCTGGCTTGTAGGTTGCCACGGTAGCCTGACTTTCCGCAGAGGCTGAGTCCAGCCCGGAACCATCTCGTGAGCAGAAGTTGTTTGAGTCAGGCAGGGAGCGTCTCAGGTGGCAACAACTTATCGCCCGCCAGCCCGCCGGTCCGAGACCATTGATAGTACTATGCAAGGCTTTCTTTGGCCGAAAGAACTTGCGGTACCGCGATTCCCCAAAGAAGATATCAAGGGGTTCTTGGTCTGTTGGTTTTCTATCAACACCATTAATTTGATCGCTGTTCTAGTAACTCATTTCAGTTCTTTCAAGCCTTCCCCGCATATACGCCTCGCTAACCACGCTTTTGATGGCAATACTCAGAATAAAAGAACAACATGTTTCCCATCCGCATGCACACCCGATGCCTCTGTCCGCTCCGCTGACCAACCCTACGCCCACCCTCAACGCCCCCCAATGGCCCAACCCACTTAACCCCCCGAAAAAACGCCTTCCCATTCCCGCCCCTAGAACCCAATCCACATCCACTTCCGTTGCACGAAAGGACTAACTGCCCCGTGGCCCGTCTACAAATACGGCATCCAAAGCGGATCCGTCATGCACAGCTTGCTAGGATTGACCGCAACGCTGACGAGATCCACGACCGTCTGGTTCGCCGGCAAGTTGTTGCTGCTGGGCACCTCGGCCAGGCTCTTGGCCCTCTTGACGATCTGGCCCGAGTTGTGCTCGACGCTTTCGCGCAGCTGCCCGTCCTGCACGTGCTGCCGGTGCTGCTGCGTGTGCCAGTGCACCATCTCGTCGCGCACGAAGATGCTCAGCTGCATCTCCAGCTCGCCGTCGGGCTCCACCACGCAGCGCGCGATGGCCATCAGCGCCGGCGCGAAGACGCCCTCGGTCGCGAGCGGCCCCATCATCGTCTGCAGGTTCGGCGTCAGCCGGAACGGCACCGGCTCCGGGTTGTGGAACAAGGGCTTGCCGCCCGCCATCGACGGCACCAACTCCGAGCCCCAGATGTTGCCCGTGCGCCGCGAAATGTTCATCTTGTGCGGGTAGCGCGTGTTCATATGCATGATGTACGTGATGAACGTCAGCGCCGCCAGCTGGTACGAAAACTGCCGGCGGAACAGCCACAAGTCGGCAAACGACGGGTAGATGGCATTGAAGTACTCGAGCACAGCCGTTGGCGGCACGTACTTTTCTTGGATGGCCGCGAAGACCTCGAGTCGGATGGCCGTGCTTTGCTCGATGTTGCGCTGGCGGACGACATCTGCGTTAGGATGTCCCTGTGGTGGCTGCGCCGACAACAGTTGCGGCCCGAGGCTGCGGAGCTTCTCGATCGCGAACAGTATCGGATCATCCTTGTTGATGCCGTTGCGGCGGCAGTAGTCCTCGTAAATGCCCTGCAAACTGATGTACGACGAGTCATCTTGCACCATTCTCACCCCGGGCGAGAGCGGCACCATCAACGGAAGCGTGAACTGCAGATTACGGCGCCTGCTCTCCTTGCGTTTGGACAGCGTGGTGTTGAAGATGCGGAACAGCTGCAAGATGCGCTCCTCACGCCTGCAGTTCCGTGCAGCTGGGTGCTGAATCGCGAAAGGATGCGTGCTGCCGTCGTGGCCACGAATCTTGAGACGGCGATGGCATAAGCCCACGGTCCTGACCAGGTCAATGTCGGGCAAGAACCTCTCGATGCGGACGAAATCCTGATTCTTGTCGCGGTGCAGCAGGTACTGCCCGGGTACTTCAATCTCATCGAACTTCTGATACTTGAAATCGCTCAGGTGAGTAGTGTACGACTCGAGGTGGTGTGTCAGCCTGCGGCGATCCAACCTCTCCTCGAAGCGGTTTCTCCACTTGCGCAGTTTCTGGATGTACTCGTACATCGTAGGCTTCTTCGCCACGAAGTCGGCCTCGAAAGATCTGCGGATGTGCGGCGGCAGAACAGACTCGGCGAAACGCGTGATGTTGGCTTCGGTCGAGCTAGGGAGCTTGGTTTCCTGGTACAGAGCGGGCTGACGTCCAATGTAGCTGAGACCATCATTCAGTAAAGCGACGATGAGTCGGTACGCGTCCTCGTCGGGAGGACACTTGAAGTGCTTGGCAATGCCGTCGCTCATCGTTTCCATGGATAGTGCAAGAAGGGGGAAGGCCGTCTTAAGCGCAGCCATGACCTCCTCCACATAATCCCACGGCTTCTTCAGCTGCGGTGGTTGTTCCGTGTCCTGTCCATTCTCCGTCTTCTGCCCATTCGCAGCCTGGCCGTTGTTATCGTTGCCACTAGAAGCACCTGGCTTCTGCTCATTGCCGCCGGACGTGTCCGGCCTCGATGGAGAGCCCTGCTTATTCTCCGAGCTCTGGCCCGAGCCTTGGTTCTGGCTCTGCGCACCACCAGCTGCCTGCTGTGCCTGCTTCTTCTTGTCCAATATTGCCTTCTCTCTCGCTTCCTTCGCCTCCTGTTGCTTGCGAATCTGATGGAAGTCCTCCCTGCTAGTGCGTAGCTGGAAGAACAGCGCTTGCGGGTAAGTCTTTGCCAACTTCCCAAGCACCTGTCTGCAGATCGGGGCCTCGGGCCGCGAAAGACCGACAAACAGCTGCGGGATGTACGTGATCCAGTACCAGGAAGGCGTATCGCCCTTGAAATTTTCAAACGTCTTCGCCAACGAACGCTCTGGGCCGTCCAAGCTGAGCAGCCACAGGATGCGGCCGAGCAACTCGCGTGACTTGTGGTTTTTGTACTGGCTTGCAGCCTCGAGATAGCAACTGATAGCCGCCGAAGCCTTGTCCAGGATTTGCGGGGTCTGCTTGAACAGGTTGTCGTTGTAACGACCCCACTCCTTCCATGCCTTGGGCAACTTGATGTCGAAGTACAGTGCGCTGCCGAATGCATCATTGGCTTCGTTCGTCTGGCCAAGCTTGGCGAGGAACATGCCCTTGAGTGTGTAGAATTCCGCCTTCTGCTGCGCGCCGAAGTAGTTGAGGTTGGTATTGTTGATGACATCCAGACCACTGTTGAGCTCCTGCTTATTCTGGTAGTGACATTTGGCCTGCTCACGGAGCTTGAGGAAGGCTTCCTGGATTTCAATGTTGGGTAGCGTGTAGATCCGGCTGAGCTGGTTGATGCAGACGTCGGGAAGACTGTGCTTGCGAGCCACGTGTGCGAACCTGTTGATGATCCAAGCCGTCTCGTGGTAGCCACGGTAAGCGTATGAGTTGCCGCTGGCGTTACCTTGCTGCTGGGGCAACAGCTGCAGATACTTGCCATTGATGAGGTGGAATATGTGCTGCCGCCAAGTGACGAGGTCCTGCCAGGCGTTGATGTCGTCCCAGAAATTGGGCAGACGGTCGCGCCACGTGCTGAGCAGAAGCTTGAGCTCCTGCGACTTGTGGTCCAAGTTCTGCTGATTCGTAGCAGCCAAGCTGGAGCAGATGACGCTCGCATCGTGAAGCTCGACCAACTGCTGGAAGTTCTGAAGCAGCGGAATGTGCGCGTTCGTCGTTCTCTTGGGCAGCTGGTGCCACTTCCGGATGGATAGCTGAATCGCGTCGTCAACGACTTTGTTGAAGTCTTGGTTGGTTTCTTGGGTACTGTGCAGCTTGAGAAGGGACAAGAATGCCTGGAAGAAGATTCGTCGAGGCGTGGGCGCATCCGACACGGCCTTGATGCTTGATTCGAGCTGCTCGCGTTGCTCGTTGTTCTGCCATGCATCGAAAATCCGCCACATGGATTCAAGATAGAGATCCGAGAAGTTCTCATGCTTTGCAAAGTCGCTCAGGATCTCCCATTGCTGCAGTTTCTGCGCGCAAACAACCCAGTGGTCTTCCCAAAGCATGTACTCGCCCTGTGAAAACGGCAAAGCACCGGTACGAGCCTTGATTTGAGCAGTCTCGTACAACTTCTGGGCATTGTCCCACATGCCGTTCTGCTCGTAGGACAGAGCGGCGTTCGTCTCGACATACTGGCAGCGTCTCCTCCAAGTGCCGTAGAACAGGTCGTGTTCCTCGAGCTGCGCGTAAATTTCCAGCAGAGCGTCCAAGTTACTCTCCCGAACCTGTGCAGTATCAATGATAGGGTCAATAGCGTAGTCTTCGAGGTAGCACAGTGCCGTGTACCAGGCATTGTAGGTCTGCGCAAGGTATTTCATGACATGCGGCGGGAACTTGACTCTGGGCCTTGCCTTGACCACACCCTCGAGGACCGTCTGCACACAGTTCGGCCGCTCGTCAATGGATTGCATGTGGTAATCCTTTGTGAGGAGAGCAACGAGACCCTTCTCAAGATCGACCTGGTCATCCTTGGCCAGCGCCGACCAGCAGAGAGGGAAGAAATGGACCCAGATATCGTGTGTAAGATTGGAGTCGACGTGTTGAAGATGAGTGAGTGGGTCGAAGAGGTCCCGAATCTTGACGTCGCCGAAAGAATTGACAAACTGGCGATGGTTTGAGATGTATATCTCCAGCTGATCATCCACCATGACATCGCCAAGGCGTGGATCTTTCGAGTAGGTACCGAAGAGAGTCGAAGCCGACATGACCTTGAAGTCCTCGGGGTGGAGCTGTGCCATGTTGTTCATCTCTACCGAACCAAACATAAGGTGAACGACTTGATTGAGCCAGAAAGAACGACCGAGGATGTCCCAATTCTGACCCGCAATGACATAGTTCAGACGAGCGCTAGCCGTTCTGCTAAGACTGCGGTCGAAAATGGTCATGAAGCGGTTACGCATTTCTACGTCCTCCGCCCTCGTGCCAATCAGGAATGCATGCTCCATGCGCACAGTAAGCTCCGATCTGGTGATCTTGGGGTCCTCGTAGATGCGGATCACCAGGGTAAGGAACTTGGTCAGGAGTGTCTTGTCCGTTCGCGACTCGAACGCCTGCATCTTTGACAGAACGGCTGTCTTCTCCTTCAACGTCGGTACAGGCTCACTGCTGTCAAAAATCCAGCCGTCGGTGAGATCTACAATCTTCTGGCAGATAGCCGTGCTCGGCGAACGCTCAACGAGTGATGCCAGGAAGGTCAGAAAAGGGCGTCTCTGGTCTCCAAGCTGGCTCATGCGGGCGGCCAAAAAGTCGATGGCCTTGAGGATGAGGCCCACTTGGATTTCGTGCTCATACGACCCCATCGGGGCTGGGTTCTGGCCATCAGAGCGCATTCCGTGCATCGGACCCTGGTTTTGACTGGCCGCCGTCAAGTGCTCCCTGCTCATAGTGTTCAGAACCTTCACAACCTGGACAATATGCTGCGGATCAACGTCCTCTGGCCGATGCTGGCAGAGAGTCCAAAGCAGGCTGACAGCGGCAATGTTGTTGTTGTTCCCTAGAGTCTCCGTGGCCACTTGGTTGCAGAAAGCCACAAATTCAGTAGAGGGCGTCTCTTCGGTTGTAGCGCCATCTTCGTCAGTGCTAGGCTCAGGCAAGACTTCAAGAATACGCTTCATGAGTGGCTTAAGCTTGACCCGGCTGTCTTCATCGCTAAGTGCGTGAAGGCAGTCCTGGATCTCCGCGCTCTCGTTACGGATAGGCTTCTCGAGCACTTTCTGGAGCTGTGGCAGGTGCGCCAAAATCCAGTCGCCCGACCTGACGTTGACAAAGACCTTGAGCACTTGAAGCGCATTGATCAGCCTTGTAGTCGCAACTTCAGGCTTTTCTTCCTGCTTTGGTTCTGTCATGATGACGTTCTCCACCCTCGCAAGGATGCTGTCAATGTCCAAATCGTTCCAGTAAGCAGACAACAGGTCTTGCAATAGCTCCACGGCCATCTCACAAGCATCCGTAGACTGTGCAGGTGGAGCATTGTGTGCCGCCGTACTCTCACGGATCTTGGTAGAAGGGACGGGATAGCGCTCTGGGATCAACATTATGAACGTAGCCAGGTACTTGATCAGAGCTTGACGCAAGGCCGGCGGCGCAACGAATTGCTTTGACGATGGATCGGGGGCAACCATTGAGCCATCGTGGCGTCTCTTTGGCGATCTAGTCCCGATGCTGAGCTGGTCGAAATTAAAGCCCGACTCAGTTGAGCTTCTCCTTTCCCATCGACGCAGCAGATTGATGAGATTCAGAGCAATCTTCTTGTGGTCGTTACCCAAACTGGGAGGTTGGGCGATCTTCGGAAGCGAGGGAATAATGATTGTCGACAGCGGCTCCCTTGCCTCGTAGAATAGGTCTGGGTAGCGCACAAGGAAATTGAAGATGCTGATCAGTTGCTGCAGGTTCGAGCTCTCCTCGGTCAGAATCTTTTTCGGGATCCTAGCCCACATTGGCGGTTGTTTGTTCTCTCCGCCACCGATGCGCTTCTTCAAGACAGGTGCAAGAACCTCAAGAGCTTGCATGACCAGCGGGCGGCCTTCGTTTTGATGGGCTCTGAGTAGCTGAGAGTAGATCTGGACAGCAATCTTCGGCGGTGTTTCGTAATGGGCGATGAAATACGCGATTAGCACGTAGGCAGCGTGCTTGTTGATGATATCCTCGAGACGAATGTAGTTCCATCCGAACTTGATGACGTCCTTGCGAGTGTCCTGGATAAGGCCGTGATGATACTTGACAAGCAGCGTAGTCATCTGCAACAGCTCCATCCTCGAGTGGTCCACGCCAAGCTGGCCCGTCTCTTCCACCTGCTCCATCGAGTACACGCGCCAAAGGCGGTTGTGGATTGTTTCCGTCATGCTCCGGTCCATCAGCTGGGTTCCCTTCGCTGCACCAAACAGGCTGTCCCAGTTCCGCATCACATCCATAGCGAAGACTGGGTTGACGACGTTGTGGAAGACGAACGTCTTTGTCTTCTGCGAGGTGTTGCGACCGGTGTAGAGATCGATGCAGCGGATGATCAGAGACCGCCAGTAGTCAACCGACTCGTTTGAGATCATTGTCGTGTAGATGAAGTGGAACAGCGACGGCGAAGCTTTGAGCTCCTCGGCCGTGACCGCGTCAATAATCTCAACAAAGAAGTCGAGGTTGTCGGGCTCATGGGTGAGATAGTTGGTAAAGACACCAATGAGCCTCTCACCAGCCTGATCAACTGCAAGACGCAGGCTAGCCTCGATCGTGTTCTGCCTAAGGCGAGTCTCCAGTGATTTTCCAGCCTCGATGAGCGCCTTGCGCAGGTTTGGCTGGTTGACGAGCCAAGTGCTGGTCTCGGGATACTTGCACACCGATTCCACCACGTGAATTGCGTTGATGGCTGCAGGCCACTTCTTTTGGTCGTCGTCAATCACGAAGGCGTTGATGAACCCCTCAGTGTCGTTGACGAGGACCTCTCGCAGAGGGCCACTTGCGGGGTCTGCCATGATCTGAGCGAAGAAGCGACCGCTAGCATGATCTCTAATGCGAGGTGCAAAATCGGTCCAAGCCTCCTTCGGATAATGGTTCACATACTTGATCAGCGGCTTGCGGAACGGGCTGTAGTGCGTCCTGCGCAGGGAGCCCTCGAGCTCCATGACCTTCTGAACAAGTTGGCCCAGGAAGTTGACGGCGGCTGCCGGAAGCAAGTGGAAGACGTTGAGGATTGCGGTAACCGTCTTCATCGCCTTATGTTGCTCAATCAAACCAAAAGACACGGCTTGGAGGACGCGTTGATCCGCGATCACCTTCATGTGGTCTAAGAGACGAGAGCCGATCTCGACCTTGAAATAATTGGTGAGCAATTTGAGAAGTCTAGCAAGTCCGTCGAGACCCTCGACCGTGAGCTTCTTGGGATCCTGAAGGTTGACCAGAATGGGTCGCAGACCGCTCTGCAAAACGTCTTTCGGTAGCTTGTTGGTGGTATGAAGAACCCCTTGAAGGCCTGCGTTCGCGGCATCGACAACCTGTGGGGACTTGGAGTACAACGCCTTGAAGAAGACGGCGATAACGCGGAGGAAGGTCTGGTTTGGCGGATTGGATGAGAATTCAGGGAAGGTCTGCGCCGTGGAAAGCAATCGGATGCAAGCGACACGCAGGTTGACAATAGCCTCTGCATTCCTCTGCTCGTACGGCTTTGCCGTGAGACCTTCGTCTTCGGCATCGGCGAGCGCAAGAGCCTCCGTGAGAAGGCGCGTCAACAGCTCATTGAACGTCAAAACGCCATGGCCCAACTTCAAGCAGAAGGTCACCGCGTCGATGTAACCAATCTGAATGCTGAAGGGCAATGCGCGTAGTGGCTTGTTGAAAATTGGATCCAGAAGCCGCTTGCTGACGGGAAGGACGAGCTCATGGACTTCGGCGTGAGTCGACTCTGCGATGATCTTCAGGTTGTCCTGGGCCGCTTTCCGCACATGTTTGTTGGAATGCGAGAGCATAGTCACGAGGAAGCCACACAAGCTGAGGAGCTTGTTGTCCGAGTTAGCGGGTGATTTGAGATCATCCTTCGACCACAAGCCGCTGCACCGGCGCAGCAGTTTCTCGAGCGTAGTTTGGGCATTGAGGCGCGTCGAGCTCGTCAGGTCGAGAGGCATGTCTTGCATGACGTACACCAAGGCTCGGGAGAAATGGTTGAGTCGTCCACCCTCATTGATCCACGCGTCGGTGAGACCGAGCTTTGTCGTAAGAATGTCGATGCCGAGAGTGCCGCCATGCTTCACGAACCAGTCCTCTTGGTGGCAATTGTGACAGAAGATGTCAGCCAAGTGCTTGAAAAGCGTGAGTTTCTCCGCCTTGTTCGGGTCGCCGAAAATGGTGACTGTCGCCTGGTGCAGCGTCTTGAGCGCTTCTTCAGCCGCCTCCTTCACTTCGACGTGATCTGCTGCCAGCGAATCTGAGATTGCCTCCAGAATCACTCGACTCTCGATTACTACCGGCCCTTCACCAGCATTGACGTCGAAGGGCTTCTTGCGATGCTTGATAGTCGCGAGAGCAGTTCCAACTTCCAGAAGGGCGAAGTGTCGACATACGTGAGCCATGAATGTCGTAGCCTCCCCTTTAAGCTCAGGAATTGAGTTGCAGTACATCACCGCCTTGAGCAGTTTCCGTAAAGTATCTTGTTGCGCATCCTTCTTCGTGTTCGACTTGTCCCTCTCGGACGCCTCTAGAATATCAGAACCACGGTCGTGAGTACCATTGCTCAGGTCATCAGCCTGCAGGCGGACAAGTTGGGCAAAATCTTCGGGCAGGCTGTCCGCACCCAAAAGCAGTTTGACTTGCGAGGTGATGAACTTGAAAGCCTGCTGCTTATGGAAATAATCTGACTTTTTCGCAGCCGGAGTTTTGGGGGTCTCCCATAGCTTTCCAATAGCATTTTCGATGCCAACAGACGTTGGAAAGGCGCGGTCCTTCAGAGACCCGATGAGACGGATGTCGATGCTTGGTTCGTCGTCGGCGTAGGGCTTGTATTCGAGTGGCGGAGGTCCATTGATGAATTTCCTGTTCCGTCCACCAAGCTTACCTAGAATCCGCATAGTGGTGTGTGCATGGAAGTGGCTGTATGGAGTTGGCTTGAGATGTTCCCAAAGACCCTGCATAAGCTCGTCGATGACGGGCGCCATGATGGGGTCCAGGTAGTCCGCAGTCAGGTTATCAACGCAAAGCTCCAGTGTACGGAGACCTTGGCCTACCAAATCCGAGCCTGCTCTCAGAGCGACCACCAAGGGCCGCATGAGGTAGCTCAAATGTGGGAGCAGGTTACTTAGACGAGCAGGCACGGTCAGGGACAACTCCACGAACAGGTCCCGCTCGGAAGGCTTCCGCGCAGCGATGAGCAGGTTGTTGAGCACTTCTAAGAGCATCTCCAAAAGGGGAAGTATCTCTTTGTAAAGATGCTCGAACCGACCACCGCCGATACTCCTGAACAGCGATCGGAGGAGAAGGAAGTAATTCATCGGTTCTTCTGCCGTGGTCGACAGCTCTATTGACCTGGTGACAATTTTGGTAACGTGCGGGAGCAGAACCTGTTCATTCTGTTGCGAGAAAAGGGTGACGGCCATGAAGGAGAGCTTAAAGAGGCGGAGTAGGATCGACGACTTCTTGACGTCGGCTGTACCAACTTCGTCAATCTTGCCCATCAAGAACTGAAGGAGCATGCCAGCGAAACTCGGAGAAGTGGCCTCGCTGGCCAGAAGGAACTGAGGGACGTGTAGTAGAGCATTATGTTCGAACATCATCTCGTAAAGGTGGGGTATCTCTGATTCAAACACTTCGTGGAACGTGGCCGGGTCGATGTGATGGAAAACGGTGGCGAAAGCTTCCAGGAGCTCCTTCTCCTCCTTCCCGCTCGACATCATGTGCTGGTTAGCAAGGAGTTCGCCGGGTGATAGGCTCTCCTTCTCGCCAGGGGTTTTTTCCACACCGTAATAACGGAAAACTTGGGCGCCTTCACGGAACAATTTGATGAGGACTTCGACCTCCTCGGCGTTGTAGCCAAATGACACCTCATTCCAATTTGCTGGTGTCGACACGCTCGGATCGATCTCATCCTTTATCTTGGGCGGGTTGCAGACCCTAAGCTGATAGAAAAGGTTCTTCAACCCATGCAACAGGTTCTTAAACAAGAACTTGTTGTCCGCAATTGGATCGGAAGCCCGCTCGCGAGGATTCGACGTCTTTATCGGAGTTGCGTTGAAAATGTCGATCTCGTCCCAATCCGGCGGACTGTCCTTCTCAGCCAGGTAGTTTTCCGGGGTGGCTTCTATGGTCGGACTAGAGAACTGATTAGAAATCTTTACTGCGTTGTCGAACTGGCGGTTCATCGCGGCAAACTTGTCACCGATGGCGTTGAGAATCATCACCAAGTAGTAACGGGCTTCGTGCTTAGGCTCCAACTTAGCAATGCACTCGGCCATGTTCAACAACAGCTTCGCGCTCATAGTTTGGAAACTGGTGCCGGGAAAGCTGTCGTGCAGGTTCTTAGTGTAGACCTCGATCGTCCGCCTGATCTGCTCCTGTGATAACGATTCCCTCAGATGGTGGATGAGATCTGCGAGCATGCTATACGCCAATGGCCGCATCGTCTCGTACACTGTCAGACCATCGCCGATCAAGGTCCTCTCGTCAAGCAGCTCATCGATCTTTTTCAGGAAGATTTTCCGGAAGTTGAAGTTGATGATGTGGCGGATGGCGACAAGAAGTTCTTTCCTGGCACCAGACTTCTCCCTCGGACAGTCCTGTAATAAGCGGACCACGATGTCCGGTAACGTAGGAAGAAAATCCGTAAGCTGCTGTGCATACACACGTAGTAGATATGCCAAAAAGCTCATCGTCTTGACCTGGGCAGTGATGAACTCTCCAAACGCAGCCCGATTCTTGATCTCCTTGCTCACGCCCGTGAAAATGTCTCCTCTCGCCTTCGCCTCAGTGTGCGCCCTTTCTTGCGGCGGTGCCTGAAGAAGCAGGACGTTCTTGATCAGTGGCACGAACCGCTTCACATTCTTGTGGACGCAATTCCTGTACGCCTGGAAGAGCGACACCACAATGATGGGGCATTCCGCCAGCACCTTGAATGACTGCATGCCCTTCAGCAGATGTCTCGTCTGCTGCTGTTCCCCTCCCAAGTCTGGACCACCTGACGACCCGCCGGAGCCAGGGGAGCCCGGGCGCGGTGATTGCGAGAATTGCGAATTACTGGGCGTAGACGGGATCGCTTGCGACGCAGGATTTCCAGAAGGGCTATCGAACGTGTCCCGGACAGCAGCATCCATATTCTCAAACATCTCAGCAATGAGGTCCAAGAATGGCTGTACCCGGTCCTGCAGCGCCTTGGTCTGGTGTCTCTCGAAGTCCATGATCGTCTTCATACACAACGCCGCATTGTCCTCGTTTTCGATCTTCGCCAATACCATGAGTCGATCAACGATTTGAGGGGCGTAGGGTTCTAGCGCTTCGGTAGGGCTCATTGGTAACCTGTGCAAGATCTCTAATATGCAGTTGCGTAGGCGCTAGCAACCTTGTGTCAGCGAGCGGCCAGGCGCAAGGCTGGCAATCGGACTTACCTGCTCCGGCGATGTGCTCACGAAGACGGGTGGCCCCTCTAGGAGCTTGAGGAAGACCGGGATAAACTTCTCCAGGAAGACGCCATACGTCGAGCCAGAGCAGTAGAGCTCGATGCCATCCCGGATCTCTGTCGCGACGCCGGTCTTGACCTTCAAGTCTGGAAGATCGAGTGTGTCAGCACACGGCCTATTGTCCGCGCCCAACAGTGTGCATTCCGAGTAGACATTGGCAAAGCCTTACCTGACGTCGTGTCCGCCAACTTGTTCAGAGAGGCCTCCATGGTTCTGTCCGCCATGGTTGCAGCTTGCGCAGCGCCTCAGCTGCTGAAACACGCCACACAATATCCCCTCCTCTCTCCCAGAACGCCGGGCGCGCAGTGACCCCGATGGTTTGTTATGCCTCTTGGTTGTGACAACGCATGGGTGGAAGCGATCGGGATCGGCGAAGTTGGGAAGGTTGCGCAGCGCGCGGAGCTGCAAATGCGGCGGAATTAAGTGGCGGCTTGTCGTCGTAAATTGGTGGTATCGTTAGAGCATAGAGCCGCGAGCGACAAGCGAAGAGAAGCGGCGAAAACGAGAGTTGGTGTGGAGATGTGGGGGCGCACGGCGGGGGAGGAGGAAGATGCAGTGGTGACAGAGCTGTGGACGTGAAGACCAGCAACCGCGAACTTCGCGGCCGGGGCGTCGCGCGAGGCAAGTACGACGATCCTTTTCCCATTTGGGAAGCCCTAACGCTATTCCTCTTATGGCAGCCTACTGCAATCCCACCCATAATGTGTCCTTCCATAACAAGGGAGACAAGGTTAGTTCCGCCTTTATAGCTAGAAAATAATGCATGACTCATTATTGTTACTTGCAAGTCCCAATAGAATGCTCACCCAAGGTTCTCCGATTACACTATCCCTGATAACTTATGAACCATGCACACGCGACCCCAACAAGAAAAACCGGAATGCAAAAAAGAAATACTATGGGTATATTGCATTATTATTGCTGCCAATGAAAGCCTCAAGAATTTCTGTCAGTCGGCTGCGGGCTTTCCATGCTCACTCTTGAAATCAATCCCTCTGCTCTCGCTATGTCCTCCACATCCTCCTCCATAAGTTCCCCGCGCCTCTTCGAGTCCTCATCACTACCCTCCTCGTAGTCATCGTCCTCGTCATCCTCATCATTGCCACCACTTAGCCCCACCTCGGGTTTCTTGCGACGCTCAAAATCTTGGGCATGCGCCGCATGAAGCAGAGTACCCACGCGAGTGAGAGCGCGAGTTGTAGGCGTTGGTGGTGGGCCAGACGGTCGGTGACGGACGGAGCCCCGGCCGGGACCTTGGCCTTCCAGATCGGCTCCCGTCGTTGTGCCAGACACTGCAGGAGCGTGGGCTTTGGGAGTGCTCGGCCGTTGGGTAACCACCTCGTCGCCTTGCTCCAGGCTTTCTCTAGTTGAGGCCGGAACACTGTATGGCAGAGGCACGTCTCGCGAAGCTCGGTATTTGACAACGTTGGTGCAATGTTCGTTCTCAACACGGAACAGGGTCCACATTCCGCGGCGGAATATCTCCGATAGGGACACCATGAACGAGAGGATCGCCGAGTGCTGGTAATCGTTGCCGTATATGGCATAAAAGATCCAATTGAACCGGAGTATGGGATCCAAAACGATGGCGATATAGTACCAGTATACATTCTTGTACCCCAGATTGTCGCGAAGGAACGGTTTCTTTGCGTACGGATTCATCAGACTCCAATCCATGACCAGGTCCCAGATGGTGCAATAAACCGCATTGACCGTTGCACAGAAGATGAAGAGAGCCCGCAGATGCCAACTCTTGTGGATCCGGTAGAGACTGAGGCTCATGTAGTACATGATAGTCCAGGTGTACTTGCCGCAATTGACGAGGTGTGGAAAGAAATTGCGGGTATCGTAATAACGTCGCAGACACTGAAGGGCGCGCCAGATACCGGGCAACGTGGAAAAGAACCCCAACAGTCGAGAATGCGAGGAGTTGCAAGAGGTTGGGTTGTCCCACCCATTGGCGTACAAACAGAAAAAGAGCTCAATGTTCTACCGATCTGATAAGCATATGCGCGGGATAAAAGAGCTGTAAACCTACACCCATAGCGTATGTTTGGGAACAGAACATATCGCCCAAGAAGAAGTCTCGAAATTCAACCGGATAAAGGCCGGCAAAGAAAAGTCGCCACTGCTGCTGTTAGAGATCAATGGCAAACAAGATCTTAGCTGTGTTCAACTTACGTTGGAATAAGCAAACCACCGTCTGCTGCGGTGGTATAGAACCGGAACGGGAAGGAAAATGACGAGTACTGTAAGGCCAATCAAAACGATAGGCCAGTAGATGTACATAGAGTCGCCACCATAGTGGCTGAAGTTAAGCCACATGATTAGACCTTCGAGGAGAACGCAGAGACACGGTATCTGAGCGGCGTCGTTAACTCAACAGCGATTGATTCGAGATTTATACCCAGGGCTTACCTCGCATAGCTGTCGCCAATCGAGCTGTGTCCGGGTATCAAACTCAAAAACGAAACCATAATTGATCTTCTGGTCTGTCCAGATCTTGCAGTCAAGACAGAAGAAAAGGAAAAGAAGGAGCATCAAGAAGTAGCCTGCGTATATCTGCAACAGGAACGTAGTTGCTACGTGGATCGGCGAGTCGTCATCCAAGACATATTTCGACGCATAGGCAATACCTTCGCAACCGAAGACCGTTCCAGTGGCGAGCATCAGGCCATTACGGAAAGTGGAACCGGTAAAGTCGCCAGCCTTCGCCGACTTGATGCGCAGCTTGCCCACTGCAATTTTGTGGTTGCCACGGTAGAAGTATCTCGCGTAGAGATCCTCCACCACATGCAGATGACCGTCAATGATGTCGCTTTTCACGAACCACGCGTTGTTGACCTTCTCATTCATGTAGCGCATAGTCGGCCGCGCCATGACGGTCTTGTCGTACTTCTTGTTGATCTTGCGAAACGCTGTCCGGTTGAGCAGAGCATATGCCTTGAGAAGCTCCAAGCCACGGTAGTACTCTTGCAATGCAGTCTTCAATTTACGCTTCGCTGTCCGGTAGGGTACTCCAGGCGATTCAGGGCGGCGAACATAGTCACGGTGATCCTGTGGAACTGGTCCACAGGGGGTTCCGAGATCCTGCATGGCTTTGGCATTCTTGCTCATAGGCTTCGGTTTGCCTTTGACCACCTCAGGAAGCTTCTTGGCCGCCACAATCGCGTCGTCGAAAGGCTTCATCCAAGTTTGCGACATCATACCGTTTCCACTGGCTTTGTCGTCTGATCCCTCGGGGTCGAAGAGACCGTTTGACAATGTTTTGACCTTGGATTTTTGAAGTTTTGAGATGATCTCGTCCAAACGTCGGTCACGCATGATGTGAAGTTGCTCTCGCAGAACCTCCAGCCTCTTGGTAGCCTCGTCCTCCTTGTCCTTGTAAAATTCCTCAATCTTCTCCAGCTCCCCGTCCAAGAAGTTGAAGAACTCGGATTGACGGACATCGAGCTCGCGGTAAGCTTCGAGAGGCACGTCCGAGTCTTTGCCCGGAGTCGACTGGGGTACTCCTCCGTCCGGGCCCAGAGATAGCAACCTTCTAACGCTCGGTCTTGCATCACTGGGCATATCGGTGGCAGCGATTCCTGGCATGGAGTTGACGCGCTTCGGCCTGAAGATACTAGCATACTTGGCAGGCAATTTTGGCTTGACGGGTGATCGCGTCTTGCCAATTTCAAACGCACTGGGGCCGGGCGCAGGACTCGCCTTGGGCGGCGACGGCGGCTCTCCATGATGCCATCGCGAAGACACGGTAGCACGGTCCGGGTCGACAGCGGGGTCGGGCAAATTGAGTGTCGGTATACCGCTTGACCTCCTCGGCGGTGATCCTATGATGCTTCCGTACCGTGTCAAGGCGGGCGCGTCTGCGCCATCAGGTGACTTTTTGATAAGCGACTCACGCGGAGTCCCTCGACCGCGTATCTCTTGAGGTGATGAGCGGTGAACACCCGGCACTCCTCCGGCCGTGCTTGTCTCGATGTTCCGCGGGGCATCGTGTGGTAGGTTCGGGGCTGCAGAATCAACAGTAGAGGTCCGTCCTAGGCGGTTTAAGAAGGAGTACGACGGGGCAGCGTTGTTCGGAGAGGGAGTAAAGGTGGAGATGCGACGAAGGCCTGGGGTTCGGGGGCTCTGGTGGCAGTTGCGGAGAGCGCGAGATATGGCCTTGACTTTCTTCTTCCCGAGCTGCAGAGGACATTGCGGTCAGCGGAGCTCGCGAACGGAGCGCAGTGGCATGGAGGCGACCTTGTAGTTCAGATACTTGGCTCTCCACTCGGGAACGAGCTCCTGCTCGAGCTCCCTAAGATAAGGTCAGCGGCGTCGCAGTGTTACGCGTCGCAAAACGTACTTGGCAAACTTCATGCCCGGCGAGTGTCAGAAGCGAACGAGGGCGCGAATGGAAGAGTATAGAAAGTGCGGCAAGACATGGGGTCGCGCAGATGGAAGAAACGGAGGCGGGTGAGGAGCTATGCGCTTGTCGCATTAGCTCGTTGGGAGACGACGGTCGCGAAAACACCCCCGGGAAGGCGCAGGGGCCAAGCGACGATCGATCTTCTGTTTCCGCCGACACGCTCACGCGGCCGCGCGAGAAACACCATGAAACACGACGATGCAGCCCATTGTGTCCACGGCGCACGGCACTAATACCGACGGCACGCTGCTCAGTGGCGCAGGCATCGTTGTGGGACTCGCGCTGCCTGCCATTACGCAGTATCGACGTATGAGTACTCTCGTTCCACTGACTAAGGCGCCACACTTGACCGCCGGGCGATCTTCAGGCTCCACGTCAAGCAAATCCTCGGCAGCAACACGCCTTGGCTGCAACGTCATGCAGCTCCAACGACCCGTACCAACCACTGGCAACCGTCTCCGGTAAGCAAGGGGCATTAGCCTTGATGCAGAACCGACTGCAGCTGATTCTCTCCTCCCCGTGCCAGCCCTTTGCACTGCTGTCGGGCATCCGTCAGCCTTAATGGCAGGATCGAGATAGGGGCTGATCAGGCGTAACATGTCTTTCCCTTTTTGCTCACCGTGCCTGCGTCTCTCATTTCCGGGGAAGCAATGACACTAATACACGGCTAGGTTCATGTAAGTGATGGCACCTGGTTGGCAGGTCGACAAGCGCTGTGGGTGTCGACGTTCAGCCCAGACTCATGGAGCAGCTTGGCGAAGCCCGCGGTTCGCATGCGGGTCCAACACAGCTCGCTTTTCAGGAGACCCAATTTTGACAACTTTAGTTTCTTGTTCAAGGCAGCTCCCACCGCTTGGTGGCAGTGGTGCAAGCTAGGTACATGTGCCCTTATGGGGTGTTCGTTATATCATGCCGCCATTCCCATGACCAGGTATTTACCAGCCACCGAACTGCCTGTTGAGCCTATCAGGGCTGTCGTAGCTGGGGTCGTACTGGTCCTTGTCGCCGTAGTGGTCGTCGTACATCTTCTCAGCGTTCCTCTTGGCAGCGTGCTTGGCCTTTTCGCGGTCGACAAAGTCCTCGCCCTTGGTCTCGGCGAGCTTGTCGACCTCGGCGGCAGCGAAGCCTGCGAGGAGCTCCTTGGCGAAGGCGTGCTCGACAGGCTTGCCTGGTCAAGGTCAGCGACGTTGCATGCTGCATTGGGACCGGACATGACTTACCCTGCTTACGCTGGTGGTCCTCGAAGGCCTTGAAGCCGGCGAAGGCAGCACCGCCAGCAATCACCTCGTGGCTGAGGCTGGACTCGTTCTTCTCTCCGCCCTCGTAGACCTGCTGGTAGGCGTCGTGAGACTCACCTGGATGAGGTCAGTACTGATGAGGCCATGGATGCTGGATAGGTGCGGGAAGGTGGACGTACCCCAACCGAAAGGCATGTTGGCTGATGTGTGTGTGTGTGTTTTGGTGAGGGGAAAGATGAGAAGTGGATGTTGGTTCCAGATGAGATTCGGCGTGAGGATTGAAGTGATGGTTGATGAAGCACGAAGAGAGGGGCTGCAGAGCGGGGTTATATAGGCACCCGTCACCCCTCCCTCCATCCCGCTGCTCGCAAGCGGCATGACAGCTCCGTCATAGGACTAGAGCTCCACGTAACCTAGCGCGGGGCTGGGTGTGGCCGTGAACGAATGAAGTGGCTAGGGCAGGCCCACTGCAGCTCAGGCTGGCGAACGAGGGGCTCGCACGACGGCGTCATGATCAAGGTGCCTGGAGATCCAATGGGTCGTCGGCGGGGGCGCTGTCGCACTAGCGGGCGTTAGAGCGAGAATACGGGCGCCGCCTCCCGGCGAGACGCCAGGAATGCCAGGGTCCCGACTCAGCTGAAGGGCAAGCCTGCTGGACCCATCAGAGGCCTCCCTTCGCAGTCTGCTGCAATGGCCCACGGCCACGTCGGTTGTCGCCGCTGACAGCCAGGTTGTGTGCGCTGTCCACTGCCGCAGACGGCACGAGTGAATGCCATGGCAGCACTGGCAGCACAGCAGCAGCGTGCCGACGATCCGGGCGCACGGAGCACCCTCAAGCTTCACCAAGCCGGCATCTAAGCCTGTGTGATCACCCTTGGCGGCCTTGGCGAGGCTTGTTATCGCGCGCGCGCCACCTCGAGCTCGCCAACAGAGCAACTGCTCAGTCTGAAACGGCTCTCTCGGCACCTTCCACCGCGATTACGCACCACCCAGCTTGTTCTCGCCCGCCGACGCGGCCACCCACCGTCATCGGCTGCGCGCCCAAGCTCCCGACCTTGCCGAAGATAACCCCACTCGCGACACCTGAACACGGCTGAACAGACGCCGCCAGCCACCGCCATCCACAGCTTCACATCAGCCAACCGACCGGTCAAGCCCCTGACGCAGCAACAATGCCACCCGCCACGAAGCGCCTGCCCACCGCGCAGGACTTCCCCTCCACCATCACCGTCACCGTAACCCCTCGTGAGCCCTACTCCCCCACCCCAACCCCGATCCGCACACCGCCACACCTCCGTCACACCCGGCCCGGCAAACCCCTCCTCCGTGTCCTCCCCACAGAACCCAACAGCAAGCACCCCGCGCTAACCGCCACGCGCGCCCCTCATCGCGCGTCGGTCCCCCCCACCAGCACCCCCGTCGCACCCGCCCACCAACGTCCTCGTCCTCCTCCACGGCCTCGGCGACACCCACGCGCCCTTCGCGCGACTCGGCGCGCAAATGGCGCTGCCCGAGACGTGCTGCGTCGCGGTGCGCGCGCCCGCGCCGCTGCCGTTCGACCTCGGCGGCTTCCACTGGGGCGACGACGTGCTGTTCGACGAGCGCACCGGCGACATGGACCCGGACGCCGGCTTTGAGAAATCCGCTACCCGCCTGCTGCTCGACGACGTCGTCCGCGGCGTGCTCGGGCAAAAGTGCGGCTACGCGCCGCGCGACGTCGTGCTCTTCGGCTTCGCGCAGGGCGGCATGGCGGCCCTGCAGGTCGCGGCGCAGCTGGGCAAGACGCCGGGCGCGGAGCAGGAAGAGTTGGGCGGCGTCGTGAGCGTCGGCGGGGCGATGCCGGCGGCCGCGTCGTTGGGGGAGGGAGGGAGGAAGTTCAAGACGCCTGTGCTGCTGTGCAAGGCGGCTCGCGGCTCGGGCGTGTCGGACGGCGCTGTGAGGCGGCTGAAGGATAGCTTCGAGTTCGCCGAGGTCAAGGAGTGGAGGCGTGTCGGGGACGCCATGCCTAGCAATAGGGACGAGATGATGCCCATCATGCAGTTCTTCGCCAGGAGGCTGAAGAGCACCAGGGGCGTGCCCGAAGGCGCGGTGGAGATTTCGTAGGCGCTACGGTGCATGGGTGATACCCGTACAATGCCTCCCTTCTGGGCATGATCGCGATACGCGTTTCTATGCGGCAAATGGTAGGACTGCCTACGTCGAGCGGCTGCTTCAGGACAATTTTGTTAGAAACAGAGCAAAAAGGTGAATATATATGGATGTCCAGGGTCAGAGCAGTCACTGCGAAAGATTCAAGTACTGCTACAGCGAACTTTTGCCAATAATCAGCCCTTCCATGCTCCGCGAAAGACGATTTATAGCTCATTCTCCCATCTAGTGAGAAAATCAAGGTATGACTTTGACCTCTTTTTCACACTTCGAGATGAGAGTCATTGGCGGCATGTCTGGCTAGCTCAGCACAAGTACTGTAGATCCGAAGGGGAGCCGGATTAACAGTCGTATACGCCACTGATTGGCAGAGCTGCACTTGCAGAAGGGCTCCTCTTTATTCTACAAGGATTACAGATTTCGGGGATCTCATTCTCAGACAGATGCGTATGCTGGCCTTCAACGTTCTTCTATAAGTCAAAGAGGCATGGTCTTACTTTTCATTCGAAATAGTAGGTAAATGCACGCGGGCTTAACATCGAAGATATCGATAAGTCCAAGAGGTGAGCTGCAAAACCAAGGCAAAAAACTCCGCGACATCTATATCCGTGTAATATTGCCAATATACTCCTTAACGCCTCCAAAAGTTCGAGGGCTAAAGGAGGAAGATGCGTCGTGGGTGGGACAGCTGGTAAAGTACTGTTCTTATCCAGGAAAAACATCAAACATAGCAGTAGTAGATACTGGTAACGTGTCATAATCAGAGAACAGAGTCAAAGGAGGCTAACAAGAGAGAGAAGATCCTCCGACGAGCAGGTTAAACCAGGACAGCTTAGACGCAAACACTAACCACAACGGACAAATAAGTGGTGATTTACAATAGGGTGTTCTGTATGCTAGAGGATCTCTAAATGCTATGAGAATATACAGAGCACAGACAAGTCAGTGAAGAATAATCTAAATATGTGGTGGTATGCGCTGTCGCGCCGCGGTACCGCAACTCGCTACCAATGGTTACCACCCACGCACACGTCAACAGAATTTGCTTCAGGCAGCCAGGAAACACCCAACGGTTTCGAATCTAAAAGATCAAAGCAAAAGGGAACGCAAAAAGAAAACATTCAAAGAAGCATCGGAGCAAAAAAGCAAAACTACATGCTCCCCGGAGGAGCATGCAGAAATCCCGGTCAGCAGGCTCTGTCCGTTGAGCCCTCCAGAATTTTTTGCGAATTGCGAGTGTGTACGGGAGTCGAACGCAGATGCATGGATGTAGTATGAGTACGAATCGCCGACGCCCACAAACCGGCTATGCCGGAATGTAGACGCCGGCGATACTATACTGACTGCTAAAAAGATTTATATAGCGATACATAAGTTGAAAAGATATTGCGCCCTTCGATGCTACCTACTATTTAATGATTTGAACTCAGGCGAAGTAGACTAATGAAAGACGCATCTCGAAAAGTTCTGATTCCCTTCATGTGTTACGAATCATCTTGAAGGCAAAAGTATCCCAGATTTTCATACGGTTGAACATACATGTGTTTTATGCATTCAAAATACATGTTAAAGTCAGCCTAAAGCTTTTGATTGGAAAGATTGATAATGCGTAAACGAAGTTCTGCATGAGGTGCTTTCTTGGGAACTTCATCCGGAAAGTGTAGCTCTGCTCCGCGTGATAATTGAGGTGATTACGCTCCGGGGATTGAAATCAGCAATTCGGATTGGAGCATTTGAAGGAACAGGGTCGTGCCGACATAATTCTTGGCGAGATCGTCCTTATCAGTGTTGTCTGATGGGCTTCTTTTTGCGGATCCCGTTGTTGGCCGATGTGGGTGGTGTTGGATGAATCCAAGAGATCAACAGGGAGAGGCACCGAACCCCGTCTCCGACTTAGCATCTTTGAGAGGTGAGGATCCAGAGATACCTACTCACGAGGCATAACAGCGTGGATGGACTGGGTGACATTGCGTCGTAGTGGTGATGATGCTCTCGGCGGCTCATGATGTCACTTAATTAATTGCCTACTACTTGGAAATGGCCTGAACATGCATGAGTCGAGGACATTTCTAAAAATCATCGCATTACATCTTATTCTAAATACCCTAGAAGAGAATATAGGCCATCTAGCATGTTCCGTACATGTAGAACAGGAAAAGTATGGCATTCTTAGAGGTAATCCGCCTGTAACGAGGGCTCTTGAAGCAACGACGCATGTGACTGGTCATTACTTTCCCCGTAAGCCAGCTTCGTTGGCCTCTCCATGTCTTCGATATCTAGCGGCAACCCTCTATTATTATTCTCCCAATCGGGAGGAACGTTCATAGAGATCGCGACTCCTCTGCAGCCTCAACCGCACTCTCCAACCAACCATCTGCCAGATCTCCAATCGTTGTAGCATGTTCTGCCTTGATGATAAGAATTGTGGAATCAATGCTGTACTGCTCCGTTTCCCTATCTCGGGAGTCATATCTGCGTGGGTAATCGGATCTGATGCCCGCAAATTGATGGGGTATCGATCGAAGACAGATTCGTCCAAATATCGGATCAAAGTACCCACGTAGAAAGAGTGTGGTGTCCTTGGCCGAGTCCAGTCAGCAGGTGACAGGATGCTCACCATAGAGAGCTGGAAGAAGTTCAGCTCGGATCGGTGCTGGGTGCTCGGCTGTTTAATGAGCAGAAGTGTGGACCATGAATCCGGCGGATCCAAGCATCATTCTTCGAGGGCTCCGGATCCGTTTTGGCATGCTCGACGCTTGCTGGGTGGCAAGGGGTTCAGCTCAGCGGCATATGCGCGAATACGCATGAGCTTTTCCACCTCTTCTGGCGTCCGGCCTTTCCAGAGTAGACCAACCTCTGCATAACTCTCTGGCTCGACTTCGTCGCCATGTGCCCACCCGTCTTCCTCGGTTGCGAGCTCAACGTCCAGCGTGCACAGCTCACGCTTCATCGGCACGTCGCTTTCCAGAAGCCTCTTCCTGATGACTTGAGGTTGTGGGTACTGCTCCTCGCCCCACTCGACCATTTTCCTCTCTAGCCGCTCCCTCACTGCGTTCATCCGAAAGTTGGGCACCCACTCCACGTCGATCTCTTTCTTGCGCAGGGCGTACGCCCTCTCCGGGTCACTCTCGACTCGCCGAATCCACCGCTCGATACGTTGACGCCGAGCATCGCGATACCCGTTCTGATACGCCCGATGGTTTTCGTTCCCCAGCAAAACTGCCTCAAAGGTCCTGAAGTGCAGCTGATCGTTGATGACCTCGGGGCCATAGACAGCCCACTTGTCTTCACGATCCTTCTTGAAGCGCTTCGCCTTGAGTACAGTCAGCATATCGTTGTCAGGACGTCAAACCCAAAAAAAAAAAGGAAAACAGAAACAGAGGAAAACCACTCACCAGCACCTCCCCTCTCCTCCTCGCCCTCAACTCCTCCCCAAACAGCCTATCCAGCATCCCCTTCCACTCGACCTCAACCTCAAACACGCCGTCCCCCTCCCCACTCACAACCCTCCACCCCAACACCTCCGTATCCTGCACCACCCCCCTCAAACAAATCATATAATCCCCAAACCCCCTTTCCGCCCCCTCCCTCAGCACCTCCGCCCACTCGCTCCCCACCCCGGCGCCCTCACCTCCGGCGCCACCAAACGCCGCAGGACTCGCGGGCGGCTTATCCTCGAAGCCCCTCCACGGCTGTGCGCGCAGCACGGCGACGGCGCGGCGGCTCTTGTCGCCGTCGTCGGCGACGCGGAGGCGGTGGAAGGCGAGGGTGGCGCGGGGGATGCGGAAGGAGCAGACGTGCAGCCAGCGGCGCAGGTGGGCGGCGGGGAACGCGGCCTCGGCGGCGGCGCGCAGCAGGCGCGACGTCGCGCGCGCGGCGAACCAGAGGCCCGGTAAGGATTCCGTGTCCGAGACGGAGGAGAGGATGTGCATCCAGAGTTCGATGGGGAGGCGGGGGGGCTTGGGGGATGAATCATTGGAGGGGGATGTTGGTGGTGGTGGTGGTGCTGTTGAGTGTGGCATATTGGCTGTGGTGTGTGTTGCGTTTTCGTGTTTTCTTTGTAGATGGTGGTCCCTCGCTCTTTCTTTGGGTCAAGGGTTGTTTGCGTCCTTGCGGTTGTGATCAAGGAGTGCTGTGATGGCGGGTGGAGTGAGACGGAAGCCGGAAGACGAAAGAGCGAAACGGAGCAGTGGTGAGCGGGTGTTGGTGTGTTTCAGATGATGGTCTACTCTTATAACTGCAGCGGGGGAGGGAAAGAGCGGCCAAGGTCTGCGTCGGGCCACCAGATGTGTTTCGGCGAAGATCAGTCTGGACCGCGGAAGCTCGTACGATCGGGCGAGCCGTTCACGTGGACGGGGGCGAGGCTAGTGCGGCGGAGCATCGTTTCCAGCCTCATGTGAGCGCTTTGGGTTAAGGAAATGTTGCAGCGGTTGCAAACGGTCCCGGCCTCGTACTTAGGTGTTGTTAGCTCCAGCGCACTGTCCCCGTTCGAGAAGGCGGCTAGAACGCGGGCGGCCAGCGCTACTGCGCAGTAGGCGTTCGTCGGAGATTGTATCGTATGTTTCACCCTAAATCTTCCCAGCTGATGAATGCGCCACCCATCTGACACGCAAGCCACCACGTTCACCCACGTGGCATGACGCTCGGCGCTGTGGGCTGCGACGCCGGACAAACGCTCGCCCATGTCTTTGATTTCCCGCGCTCCGTTCCCGATCCTGCCCAGCTTGAGCCACACGCCGCACGCCGCAAGCCGCAAGCCACAACCCATAACCCACTAGCCACACCACCAAGGATGCTTCTTCCTCCCGAATCCTTTCAGGACCTTCGGTTGACCGTGGCATCTTCCGGTGCTTTTCCCTGTAAGCCTCTTGGTGGCTTTGTAGCCTAGGAAGAACAGCTCAAGTCCTCGCTGTCAAGAAATACAATCTAGATTCTCTACGGTTCGTCTTCAGCGCGCTCGCCGCAGTGCAATTCTTCTATGCCGAAAGACCTTCGAGATGCCCTCATAAGCTTCTCTCTTGAGATATCTGCTTTGGTCCACAGAGCGCGGACGAACTAGATTCTGAGAAAGGTGCTTCCTGGAGAAACAGAACCGAAATGTCCAGTGAATATGCCTTTTTCCCAACCTGTCAGCTTCCACCTCTTCTGGACCAATCAACACCGCATCTAAATCTTCGCCTCCGCGCTGACGAACCCGCCAAGCACCACCGCACGCATGAGCTGATTGGCAATGGCCGTTGACGGCGGCAGTCTCAAGCCACCGGGCTTGTACTCCGGGCCAGGGTCCTCGCCCAACCCGCTGGTCCCAATCCTCAAGGCCTCTCGCACCTCGTCGAAGCTGAACCACTTCGCATCCTCCAGCTCGGCATCATGGCCCAGGTGGATCGCCTCGCCGTCGGGTATGGCCTGGCCGATGGCGCCAATCATCAGGTTGGCCGGGTAAGGCCACGGCTGGGTCGAGTGGATGACGACGCGGCCGAGGTGGATGCCGCTCTCCTCCCACACCTCGCGGCGCACCGCCTCCTCGACCGACTCGGCCGGCTCGAGGAAGCCGGCGAGCGTGCTGTACCAGTGCGGCGGCCAGCGGCGCTGCCGGCCCAGCATGATGCGCTGCCCGTCGTGCGACACCACGGCCATGATGACCGTGGGGTCGGTGCGCGGGAAGCTCAGGTTCGACACGCCGTGCCGCGTCGCGCAGGGCGGCCGGTCCGGCGCGTCCGGCGCGTCCGCCACCCGGTCCGCCAGGTCCTTGGGCGGGCACGTCCGCTTGAACCCGCCGTTGGTCGACAGCGTCTTGTGCCCGCAGCCTCCGCAGTACGGGTTGCGCAAGTTCCAGTCGAGCAGGTGCCGGCCCTCGGCGTACATGGCGGCTGTCGGCGACGGGAAGCGTGAGTGGTAGATCGTGGGCACTGGAGTAGAAAGTTACCACATACCTTCGGCCGCGACGAGGGACAGCTGCATCCGACCTTGTGCAAAGTACAGGCTCTCGCCCTCCACCTTTTTGATCAGAGCCTCGGCCGCCTCGGTCACGCTGGCGCGAGGCGTGACGTCCAGAGCCCAGTAAGGCTGTCCGGCGTAGTGCTCCTTGTACGCAAAGCCATCCTTCTTTTTGCTCTCGTCCAGCCCGAGGAAAATGAGTTGTGCGCGGTAGGCCGAAGAGTTGAACTGCTTCACGATGTCATCCTCGGTAGCATGGTACGGATCGCCGACCACAGGCTCGACATCCTTGTACGAGACGTACGCAAGCTTTTCAGCCGACTTGACCAGCGGGTTGAGGTCCTTGAATAATATGAAGCGCGACGTGTCGTGCTTGAGGGCTTGCGAGAGGAAAGTCGTATCGGGCCGCAGGAAGGACACGCGGTTGAGCGGCGACCCTAGCACAGTCCGTCAGCGCACCTTGATGGCGGGAACCCATATGTATTTGCGGGGCGGACATGTTTGGGAAGCTAACCGGCGAAGTAGTTGGCCACTTCCTTGCCAAACTTGCGGGCGAGCATCGAGTCGAGGTCTGCGTGGGCGGGCTCGGGGAGGTCGGGGATGGCCAGTTTTTTGCTGCCGCTGCCGGACATGGTCGCGAGGAGGCTGATTTGTTCGAGATAGGAGGTCAATTGCATGCACTGAGCTTCGGCCAGCGCGGATCTCAGGGGTCTAGGAGTAGAGCCAGTGCGCCAGCGGCTTAAGAACGGGACGAGGTGGTGATGATAACAGCAGGCCCAGAAGGAATGGTGGCGGACCTAAGCAGCAATTCGTCATTGAGGGGCGCTTGATTACCAATAGCGGCAGCAAGCTCGGTCCGCCGACGGAGCGCGGGGTAGCAGTTCAAATGCCGACCGGCGATTCGCACGCTGTTGATCTAGACATAGGATCTAGACACAGGTACATACCTACTGCTGGCGATCGTGTAGGGACCACGCGGTGTAACCATGGTTGGTGACTTCTGCAGACAAGACGGGTCCCTCGCGTCGGTGCCTGGCAGCCGGATCGATCGAAGCGCGGCACCGCGGCAATTAGAATCGCGGCGTTGCTTATCGATAAAGTTTTGTGTTGACGCCTGCCTGAGCCTTCCTGCTCGCTCTGCGCTTCCTTGCCTCCTCCACTCCGTCACCAACCACTGTCACGCAAACATGGCCTTCGAGAAGCTCACCACCGCGCCGGTCGCCACCGACTTCACCTCGCTGGAAGAGCACCAGTCGCAAACTCCCGGCACCTTCTTCGGTGCGAAGCCTGTCTTGCATCTGCACAGCGCCAACTCGCAGCTCGTTGTCTCGCACGCCGACCTCGAAGGCCAATCCCTTTTCCTGGACCTGCGCGCCGCCTCTGCCGCTAGCACCAATGGCCCCACTGCCAATGGCGAGTCCACCAACACCCAGGTCATCATCCCCAGCCTCGACGTCTGGGTGACCTCGCAGTACGTCACTCTCTGCCACATCAACCCCCAAACACAGCTACTCACATTCTCTCACCAAACCAAACAGAAACCTCCTCATCTTCTCCCCCACCACCTCCACCGGCGTCTCCCTCTCCTACCCGGACATAACCCTCCACGCGATCCAGCGCCTCACCCTCCCCGGCGGCCCCGAAACCCAAGGCCTCTACATGCAACTATCCCTCAACGCCTCCGACTTCACCCCAGACGAAGACCTCCAAACCCTCGAAGCCACGCTCGTCCCGTCCTCATCCGTCACCACCGCCGCCCTCTTCGCCGCCGTGTCCGCCTGCGCCGACCTGAACCCCGACCCCGCCGACTCGGATTCCGAAGCCGAGGGAGGCGGCGGCGACGACGACATTCAGATTGGCGGCCTGCCCGGCGCCGGCGGTTGGATCACCAGCGACAACGTTCACGAGCACGTCGACGCCGAGGGCAACTTCATTGGCTTTGGCGGAGGTGCGCTGGGCGCTGGTGCTGGGACGGTGCGCGCGCGCGAAGAGGATGGGGGCAGCGCCGGTGGAGAGGAAGAAGCTGGACGAGAGGATGGCGGCGAGGGTGGCGCCGCTGCCAGCGGCGAGGAGACTAAGTGGAGGAGGACGGAGTAGAGGAATGGGAAGGGAAAAAAAAAAGGATGAGCGAAGGGAGGGCAAGAAGCTACGCGTATGCTCGATCGTGCGGTAATGAAGCATTCCAAGGGATGCAGACAGTGTGAGTCTATTTGACGGCGACGTGGTTGGCTGCGCGGTCAACGAAGGAGAGACCACTGTAAATGAGGTCATTCGTGACGTTGGAAAAAAAAATTCACTTCATCAATTGAGATACCCGCAATTTCTGTTGCACAGTCTTTCAATTGTTCCGAAAGGTTCTTCCGTCAATTACTATTACGATGAGTTTAACGCCTGCTGATAGCTACTGCTAGCTACCACTGGCCATTTGAGTGATGGCTACGCAGTCACAATGTGCTTGTACAACTTGTAGTAAGAAGAGGGTGATAGGACAATAACAACAGGGAACAAACAACAGGCTTGATGAGATTTTGCATCCTGTAAGAACTTGCTGATTGCGAGAATATTGGTATAAGGCGTGTTGTGGCAGAGAGGGAAAAGATAATGCGTCGATCGAGAACGAGAAGGGAATAAGGGAGGAATAATGTGAGAATGGCCTGAGAGTCCAGGCAGAAAAGCACCTGTCTGATGGTCCCATCGATAGATGGAGAAGCAGATCGAAGGAAAGCTTGAAAAGAAAAGGTAAAAAGAAACGGGAGCTTAAAAAGAAGAGGGAGAAAAAAAAGAGATGGAATGGCGTCAGAGCCGTACGGTTGACAATACAATCAACCACTTCGTAACATGCATCCACAACTATTCCGCACGCACACCCCAAACCCCCCATAACGCGACGTGCGTACTTACCTCAAGAACCCATCCGAGTCATACAAGCTCCGCGGCGTACTCTGCTCGCTGGGCGGCTGGACCGAAATCAACACCTTGGGCGCCAACACCTCTCTTTGCCTGTCGCGTGCTCCGCTATTACCACCACCGCCCCTTCCTGTCCACCTCCTCTTCTTACTCTCCTCCTTTACTACGGTAACACCACCGCCGCTCTTCCCCGTCGGCGTCCTATTCTCAGCATCAGAATCGAAGAACTCGCTGCTCGCCCTCCCACCACCACCACCACAACTAGCAGCAGACACATAATCCTCCACGCCAGCACCGCACGTCGTCATCATCCCCTCCACCTGCTGCTCCTCCTCCTCTCCCCCACACGGCGTAGCATACACGCTCAAACTGCTGCAACTGCTCATCTCCCTCCTCTCAATCATCTCCCTCTGCTGTCTCGCGCTCGGGCTCTCCCAAAAACCTTTCTCATCATCATCACCATCCTCCTCCTCCCCCTCCCTCCCCTTTCCTCCTCTTCCTCCTCCACCACCATCCTCCCAAACCTTACTACTACCACCCCTACGCACGGAGGAAGCAGCACCAGCAGCAGCAACAGGAGGAGGAGGAGCAAGGTCGAGGCCGTCCAGCGGATGATTCGCCATCTCGAGCTCGCGCCGGCCGAAGATGTTTTCGTCCTCGGCGAGGATGAGGTCGGTCAGGCTGGTGCAGCTGTCGTCGCCGCCGACGCCGCCGTAGCCGCCGTAGCCGAGGAAGCTGTGGACGCCGTTGCTGCCCGTCGAGAAGGCGAGGCTGTTGTTGCTCGTGCTGCTGCAGCCGAGTCCGCCGCCTCCGCCGCCGCCGCCGCCGCTAACGCCGCCGCAGCCAAAGTTCAGGCCGAGGCCGAATGCGGGTGGTTTTTGGATGGCGGCTGCGGATGTCGGGGGCGTGGCAGCCGTCGTCGTCGTCGTCGTCGTCGTCGTCGCCGTCGCCGCTGTCGTCGTGCTGGTGCGGCCGGTGGTGGCTGAGAAGGCTGAGCAGCTGGCGGCCGCTATCGAGTCGGCCGTGGTGGATGACATGGTCGTCATGGTGGACGGTGCGACGCTGGGGTGGGGCGAGGGCGCGAGAACGAGCGAGTAGGTGCTCGCGGGGACGAAGTGCTTACTAGGGGAAGAAAAGACCTTGGTGTTGGCGTACTTCCTCCGCCCGTTGTTGTTATCACTGCTACTGATGATGCTGCTACTGCCTCCACCGCTTCCCGCCTTGTTGTTGTTGGTCTCCAACTCGCCCGTCAGGTTGTCGCTCGTCGCCTCGCGCCCGAGTTGCCTGTATCGACGGCTGGTACGTGAGTCGTCGTCCGCGTCCGAGTTCATGCGACGGAGCGCTGCGACCGTCTTGCGCAGGTCGCGCCCGGGCTCGGTGCGTGGGCCCGTCAGTCCGGCGCGCGTGGGAGACGATATCTCTTTGCTGCGGCGAGGATTGCGCATGGGTAGCTCGGGTACAGGTGGTGTGGACGTCTTCAGCTTTGGCTTCTTGCAAAGGTCTACCGGGGTGGTCTCGAGGGAGTTCAGCATAAGCGTCTTCGGGGAGCAAGGAGGTGAGTCCATTTGAGAAGCTTTGCGCTCTTGGCTGGGTGGAGTGACGGGTCTGCACTCGTTTTCAACCTGTGCTGAAGGCATATTTAGGACGGGATGGTTGAGAAGAGGGGAGTTTGACTTGTAGTCCCGCTTTCTGGGTCCTTTGTACTCGTCCGTGGCACCAGCGCCAGAAATCACATCATTCTCAGAATCTGCCAAAGTGGGTTGCGAGCAGTCAGTGATGGCAGGACTGGGGAACGTTTGGATGCTGAAAGCAGAGCTGCCGCTAATTCCCGAGCCACGCCAGCGTGGAGAACCGTCGGAGTTTTCTTGATTGAACTTGGTCAAAGACAGCGTGGGAGACCTTTGCGTTAGCGATGCCCGAATTGTTGTTGGCGAGAGACGGATTTCCGGTGAGAAGACGCTGATACTTGGCGGTCGTGGCAATGGCCTCGTATCCAAGCTGATCATTTCACCATCCTTGGAAGCTTTTGCTTTGTGCATCGATCCAGGCTCCTCTTCGATCCCATGCATGACTGAAGGGTCCTCAGGCTTCACAGGCGGAACAACTTGCCCAGTGGTGAGTGACAGACGGATGCAGTTCTGGCGGCGGTGGGATCTCTTCTTTTCCGGACTCGTTCTCGACCTCCCTGATTGCATGGGTGCTGGATCCCATCGGAACGGGTTCCCGTTGCTGCTACAAGATGACGAGGCGTTTGTGGAAGTTCGTGAAAGCTGCTGTGCCAAAGTTCCTTCATGTGCTCCCAGATCTTGGTGGGTGGCGAAGCGGCAATGCTCTATGGGTGACCCCTCTGAGGAAACCAACGTCCGCGAATTGCGACGTGGAGTACTAGGTGCACCGCCCATTAAGCTGTTGTTCGATCGACTGCGCTGAGATAGACGGCCCATACTGTTACTATCTATCTTAAGCCTCCCGTCCGCCTTTGGTTCGGGACTGCCGTTACATGAATGATGGCCGCTTGATGCGATGTCTACGGCAAATTGCGCGACGTTGCTCCGGATTGATTCATCGCGGAAGTGTCGTGGGCTCGAACTTCCAGTGCTGCTGCGTGCTCGCAGCTGAGGTAATGGCCGTGGTCCTTTCAATACCAGGGACTTGTGCAGTTCATGGCCCGGGCTTTGTCTCATCCTGGCATGTGGACTTCGCTGAGTGTCTGGACTGGCAGTCACAAGGATGGAGCTAGTAGCAGACTCAAAGCTCGATGCCGACCGTCTGGATGGACTGTAGTCCATGTTGCTGACAGACCTTGCATGCCCAAACCTCAATGGAAGCGGAGGAACTGGATTCTCGGGAGCCAAGCCCGACTGTCTGTATATCAAGCTGAAGTTGCGTCCCAGCTTCTGTGACCCATTGCTTGGATGGATTTCTCTGGTAGCTTCATGCGTGCTGTAGATCGAGGGCACTGAATTCGATCTACCTCTCCGCTTGGGAGACCGAATTGCACTGCCGGAAGACGTAGGTACTGGACTGCTGCTAAAGAGCGGCGCCGGCCGTAACGCGCTAGTCAGGTCCGGGGCAGAGTTTGGCTTGCTTGACCCGAATGACGCGGAACACAGTCTCTCGATGGGAGAGTCGGGCATGGGACCGAGTGTAAGCTTGGGCGGCCCGTCAGACGTCCTTTTTCCCTGCTCTTGCATCTTCGGTGGGGAAATATCGAGCATTGGCTTGGGACTCTCAATGATTGCGGACAACCTCGAGGCCTTGATGCGCTCCATCTTGATGTGATTGGGCCCATGTCGACGCTTGTGGAATGGCCACACCTTTTTGTGGCTACTGTGATTATTTTCCGACACGGGCTCAATGATTGCCGGGGTCTGGTTCGTCCGTGGGGCTTTGCTGAGGGAAGACTGTCCAAAGGATTCTTTAGATGGTAGAACTCCCCATCCAGTGGTGTTGTTGTAAGGCAGAAAGGCGTTTCTTCGTAGCACCTGACGCGGTTTGGTGACGCCATTGCCCTCGATCTGGACATGCTGCTGACCAAGCCTGATGCCCCGTTGCTCCAAGTCTGCCAGCAGCCGCTTGTGGGCACGAGTAGCACGAACAAGGAGAAAGATCATGCAGATCAGGGCAACCAAAATGATCCCACCGGCTACACCGACGGCTATCCACACGACGGGAGGTATCGTAGCTGGGCGTGTTCCATCTCGGGGGGTTAGAAGGCCCACCATTGTGAGCTCAGTGGTCCTTGGATGGCTCGAGGGAGGTACGCAGTCGTGATGTCGCTACACAGCCCCTTCCCAGCGGCCGGCCTGCATGCCCTGAGATAGGGGCGACGGTCCGCGGGCTCGATCCTGGAGTGTTGATATCAAAGCCGAGCACGTGGCAAAGTCGAGTTATGGGGTCCGGCGGGTTCCTGGATGCAGCGGCAACAACGGCCAACAAACGAAGACGGCGACAGAGCAGCACATAGGACGAGGGACATGACCGGGAAAAGGAAAGGCAAAATGCAGGCGGCGGGGAGACGACATGTGGCGTGTAATTAGATCTAGCTTGGTATGCAATGTCTTGAAAACAACGGGCGAGGAATGCAGTCGCAGAGCAGATGAACCAACACACAACAATGGGGACAAGGAACGCAAGGGATAGGAAATCCAATTCACCGGCGACGCGGCTGGGAGAAATGTACCCTATAAGACGGCTACAGCCTCAATGCCTACCAAGGATGGAGCGAGACATGGTGGCGGCCTGGGGCACACAGTGAGGAGCACATGCGGCAGAGGCCTTGCAAAGCGTGGGCCGAGGTGGCACGGCGAAGGGCGCATGTCGAGCGGTGTTCCACATGCGATGGAGCCACGGGACGGCGGAGGCCGTGTGCAATGCATTGTGTGGTGTGCAGCTGGAGGGAGGTGTTGAGGGGATGGAGCGGATCGTTCTTGGCGGGCCAAGGCAACAGCTCTCACCTGGCTCTCAACGGGCCCGCGGTGCCGGGAGGGCCAGGTGCGAGAGCGCGTGCAGGCGGAAGGCGAGCATGTGCGGCCGGCAGTGGTCGAACGCGCGAAGCTAGCCGATTCATCGCCATGCATGGGCGGCTCGCGGCGAGTTGAGCAACAGGGCGGGAGGGGTCGCAAAGTCAATAATGCTGGCCCCGGGCCGCCGTAAATCGGCGACGCTGGCTGCGCGTCGCCCAAACGACACGCCGGATCGGGCAAGACGAACACAATCGACGGGCGGGCGAGGCGAGGCCCCCGTCTGGCCACGCTGGCGGCGAATGGGCGGTTATGTCATTGGACGCGCCGGGCTTGGTCAGCCCCGCGCGCAGAGTCGCGAGCAGGCGGCCGTGGGCGGGCCTGGCAGTGGCGGCACAGTTCCAGCCAGCAAGAGCGGGGCTCTGTCGTCGCCGGGCGAGCAGCGCAGCGCGCGACAAGCGGCCCGGCGGAGGCAATTGCGCTCGCAAAGCTGCTGGCAATCGGACTTTCGCAGTCGTCTGGCGATGGGGTCACGTCATCGCCGCCGGAGGGGAGGGAGCAGGGGCCGTGGTTGGAGCCGTGGGTGTCCCCGGGCTCCACCGGCGGGCGGCCGATGGTCTGCGAATGAACGCATCTGCCCCGCCATCCGCCCAGAGCTTCCCTCCAGCTCGATCACCGACCCCTCCTTTAAAAGCTGCCCGTCCCGCGCCCTCTGCTTGCTTTTCTCCATCTTCCCATCTACCATCTCATCCAATTGCACTCTGATACCCGACCGCTCAACCTCACTTAATTTTTCCCACCCCCAAACTACTCCCACCATGTCTGACGGCGCCATCAAGAACGGAGTCTTCTCCCTCGTACGTTGCCCCCCGCCCGTCGTGCCCGTCGGAAGGGCCCGGAGCTAACGCTGTGCACCAGAACAACACTGCTGCCCCCAAGCAGGACCAGGTCCTCCCTCTTTTCTCCCTCAAGGGCAAGACCGCCATTGTCTCCGGCGCCGGCGCTGGTATTGGTCTGGCTGTCGCCCACGGCTTCGCCGAGGCCGGTGCCAACGTTGCCATCTGGTACAACAGCAACAAGAAGGCCATCGAGCGCGCTGCCGAGATCGAGCAGAAGTATGGCGTAAAGTGTGAGTCGCGCCCCACTATAGCACCTTGATGGATGCCGTGGCTGACGCCATTCTAGGCAAGGCCTACCAGGTCAACGTCACCGACGAGGCCAACGTCAAGAAGCAGGTCTACGACATCGTCAAGGAGTTCAACGGCCGCCTCGACATCTTCGTCGCCAACTCCGGTATCCCGTGGACCCAGGGCGCCGCCATTGACGGCGAGGTCGCCCATTACCACAAGGTCGTCTCCACCGACCTTGACGGCACCTTCTTCTGCGCTCGCGCTGTCGGCGAGATCTGGAGGAGGCAGTGGAAGGAGGGCACCGACTTGAACGGCAACAAGCTCGAGAACTACAGCTACGGTAGCTTCATCGCCACCGCCTCGATGTCTGGCCACATCGTGAACATTCCCCAGCTCCAGGCTGCGTAAGTGCCCTGACACCAGCTCGGACAGAATTAGTTTACTGACCGTATCCCCAGCTACAACGCCGCCAAGGCTGGCGTCATCCACCTCTGCCGCTCCCTCGCCGTTGAGTGGGTTAACTTCGCCCGCGCCAACTCCATCTCCCCCGGTTACATGGCCACCGAGATCTCCGACTTCATTCCCCAGGAGACCAAGGACATCTGGAAGAGCAAGATCCCCATGGGCCGTGAGGGTGAGGCCTACGAGCTCAAGGGTGCTTACCTCTACCTCGCCTCCGACGCCTCTTCCTACACCACCGGTGCTGACATCATCGTCGACGGTGGTTACGCCCTCCCTTAAGCGAAGCGTTCTTTGCTATTGACGTAACGATTGGATGGACATACCTGGATATGAAAAGTCAAAATTTCTCTTGGTCTAACCGAGAGAGGGCGGTGCTCTTCTTTTTAGCTCTCGCCTTGATAGATAAGATTTAACGCGAAATGAAAATACCACTTCTGCTTCAAGCATCTTCTTCATCCCGATTTGGTCTTTGCTGCAGTATTTACCTCCGTGCAATCGCGGTGTAACTTATCCAGGCAAGAGCTTTTCGGGAGGTAGAAATCTTGCGACCTGTTGTGCCGCCGTGGGTGTTCACATGCTGACGTGCGGGGTTTTGTGGAGCAATCGTGGGGCGTTGCAGCAGCTGCATGTATTGGCATCATGAGAGTGATTCGATAAGTTTGAGGTGTGATCAGACTCCTGACTCTTGGTGAGACCAGCTCGCCTCGTACAGCAACATTGATGGGGACGGAACTCTTGTGGGGGCAGTCTTGTTGTCGAAACGATTGTCGTACGCTGACGTTCTGATCAGCGCTTCGCCGTCCGGTCCGACTTACTCGTGGTGTTGTAATGTTAATCTAGCCTTATAGTGTCGCCATTGTTATAACCATAGGTCAATCGGATTAACTCATTGCCAGAACCAAGCCTGTGGTGTCTCGAGCCAATTTGGGTTGCAGAGGACACATAACGACAGCAGTTCTGTGTTCTTCGTTTCCTTCACGGAACAACTCGGAATGAAAATCACAAGAAGTGGCTCTCATCACACACATGTGAATTGATCGACCGCTACGGCTATACCATCCAAACGCCACGCAAACGTCAGAGACAGCACGAAGAAGCTATGACCTCGTCCCACGACAGCTATCCCACCTACCCTATCTAGCTGACCAGCTTGAAAGCACGGGGTAGCCGGGCTGACCGGTCCGAGCCTACGTAGGCACTGTGCTCATGAACGAATTTATTACACACAGCCCTAAGCACCGGTCACCCGTCACCGCTTTCCAGCCCAAACTCAAACCCAAAATTTCCCCGACGCGCCGGATCTTGGGTTTTGTATGTCGTGCGACGTAGCAGAGCACGAGCCGTTCCTGGGATCCTGGACGTCTGCCCTTTTTTTTTATCGGCCCCTTGGAGTTTTTTTTTACTCGGGGGTCACCTAGAGCTCAGATACAAAGCTCCTCAGAAATTGTGCTGGGTGCACTGTGTTGGAATTTTGCTACACCAGGCGGGTTCTAGAATATTCTTTCGGCACCTTGGGAACAACGCACATACTGCCCAGTCCATCCCGTCTGCTTTGACACTTGATACCAAGTGCCCCTTCTCGGATCCTAGAGGGACGATCGGGGGCAAATAAAAGGCGCAAAAAACGCCTCGACCGGGAGCATCCGGACACGGGGACAACGGCGGGTGCGGAGCGGGGCGAAAGTTCAGCAGGGCCAGGTATAGGAACAGCCACACCGCGATAACGACCCCGTATGCATGGGCCACTGGATTTCGGGACCCAAAATCAGAGTTTTGCTTGAGCCTACCTACTGTTCCGTGGGCTAGTCAGAGCGGCAACCTGTCCCAACACTATGGATTGGCTGCTTGGGTAGATTCGGCCCACCCCACCGGAAAGTTGCAACGTGGTCGCGCCGTGCAACGCATCTGAGATTTCGGGGGCGCGAAAAAAAAAATGTAAGACGGGAAGATGGAGGGGAGCGGGGTTGGGGATCTTGTGCTGCGGCGCGGCGCGGCGCGGTGTGGCGTCAGGGCCCAGACACAGCCGGGAGAGTTCTGTAGCATTTCCAAATACTGTTGGAAAAAGAAAAGAAGTCCCAGGGCCGACCAATGAAGGGGAGGATCGTAGCATGCAGGATGATATTTCTTGATTGGCTTTCGTGCACCGCCTTTTCCTTTCTTTTTCTCTTTGGCGTCTGCGGGACGTCGTGGCATGCCTAGACTCAAAGGGGTTAACAGGGACAACGGCAAGCAAGATGTCGTGATCAGAGCGTACAAGTTGTGCTCTGCATGCGGAAAACTAGGACTCTTGCCTCAGGTACCTAAATTGCTCCTCTGGTTACGGAGCCTTCTCCGGTTTTCCAGTACATCGGTAGCTACTAGACACAACATCACACCAGTCGGGAATCGCATGTCCGGAAAGCTGTTAGCACGAAGCTTCTGTTACCTAAGGAACCATGACTTGTCGGAGACGTACACCAAGTCGACGTTTCAACTAGTAATCCACCATCTTTCTCCTGCTCCTAGATTTCGGCGCAAGTGCGGAGGAGCAGGGTGACCCGCAAAAAAAGGTCAAGGAGGATCCCAACCCAGGGCTGTGGTAACTACTGTTTATCCGCATCTCGCCTATTTCGTGCTACGCCCATGCTGTCAAGCGTAGGTAAGTAAGCAAAACTAGGACCTGTCGCCCCATTGCTTGAGCCACGATGCAAACGGCGTGGCGGTCCGATTATGGCGGGTGGCTTTGCAGTTTCCGCGGGGACAAGTCGAAGCAGGGCTGTTGAACTCGTCGGCTTATTCGTATTTTCGTTGCCCCTGCGTCGAATCCACGACGTGCTCTGCACTCTCAGCCCCGCTCGTCACCACCACGATTGTGGTAATGCAGTAGATGAGCCCAGGCTGCTGAACATTGCAACAGACAGTACATGGTAAGATAGGGTAAAGCAACGGTTGGACGCGGACATACGACGAAGACCTACAGTGGACATGACCGAATGGTTGCCTCATTGATCAACGCCACATTCCTTGCTGGTTCGTTGTCATGTCCTCCGATCCGATCTTGAAGGATGCAGGAACGTCTCGGGTTCCGAAGCACTGCACGTTTCTTCCGGCTCCGACAGCGGCGATGGAAATAAACGACAAGCATATCCGGGGCCAAGCTGGGGACAGCGGCCTTGGTGGAGCACCGTCGCACGCTTGTTGAGCCAGCCACATGGACCCGACTGACTGACTAGCTCCCGTGATCTGCGTCGGGCGTCCGGCCTGCAGGCAGGGAGGAGCGAAAAGGCTGACTGTGAGAACTGCGGTGAAACATTGGCTTTCTCCGTTGCCGGCACTGGCCCGCTCACCGAACGACTCAAAGAGGCAGCGGAGGCAGGACCGCCATGGACTTCGCCGAACGGATTGCTCGCCTGGTCTGCTGTGTGTGGGGCCGGCGCTTTCCACTCTCTTTCAGCTGGCCGAACAATGCGGTGGGTATCACCGTGCCCGACGCATGGCCGTGCATGCCACTGTCAGCTGCCAAAGCGGGCATCCCGTTTGCGCGGGCGAGCAGCACGCGCGAGCTGCGGGAGCGTTGTACCAGCTGCTCGGAGCGAAGAGGCAGAGAAGGCTCAGGTAGCACGGGAGCATAGGCGAGATTCTAGAATGCGGTGGCGGCGGCTGGGAAAGGCATGGACCGGGCAATTTCTGGTTGCTGGATGCAGGAGAGCAGCTGCAGATGACGCTGGCGGGTTGCACGCATGCCGGTTACGTCGAGCGAGCTTAGCCGAGCTACGTAATCCGGTTGGTGGTCGCGGAGCGGGAGTGCCTGAAGCTAAAGGAGGTGCGTAGGGATGACGAAATGGGACTGTGCGAGCAGAGATAGGAGGGCACGAGTGGCGAGGAAAATGACCGACCGCTATAGTGCAGCGATCCTTAGTCAATGCATCGCAGCGCTTGACGAGTGCCAAGCAGTGCGTTTGGGGGAGTCTCCGGACGAAACGGGGAGACCACGGCGGCGTGCAAAAATAGAAACCGTCGCACAACTGACCCAAGCCATTTCTTTGGTGAGCCCCAGAGAAAATGTCACCCAGCCTCGTATGCTACCGGATGCGGGCCAAGGCTCACCGTCAGGGTCCAGTAGCCTCAATCTATCCGAGGTGGCACTTGTTCTCTCCTGCGCTGGCGCCCTCACGTTCCACCGGCCGTGGGATCTGAGGCAATCGTGGCAGCGGAAAGGTAAGCCCTACGGCGACGAGTGTGCAGAGCGGCCTCTGCGCGCGGGTGGCGTGCAAAAGTCGCGATGCTTGGGCATTTTAAGGGTCCTGCTGCAAATTTGGCACGCCGCCACCGGCGTCGGCGGGCTCCTGCAATGCGGTTGGGAGGGGCGCGCTTGTCGCGTTGGACGCGTCGTGGTGCGGTGCTGACAGACGGCCGTGGACGGGTTTGAGCAGACGAGGGCTGTGGAGGGCGTCCGATCTTGCATGAGGCGCGCAGCAATGCATGTCGCGATCGCCGTGGTGGGAGGAGGAGGAGGGTTAGCTGGGAGGCCTGGCGGGCTAGCAGCGGCGTCTGCAGCACGCCGGCTTGGTGCGGGAAGTCGCGATAGCTCGGATCAGGCAAAGCCCAGATGTTGAGGTTTGCTAGAAGCCGGCTTCTTTTCAGGGTGGATCCATCCATCCAATGCATCCGCAGCTGGGCTAGCCCGGGCTGCAGAGCGGGATTTTTCGAGGAACTGGGACCGACGCCGGCCATTGCTGCCGTGGCGTCGTGCTCCCAGGCGGGGTGTGGGCGGAGAAGACGCTGCGAGCAGGCTTGCAGCTTCACAATCACCTCCAACCGCCCGGTGTGCGGCACGCTGCAGAATTGCGGTATGCGGGGGCTGTCACAAGATGAGGCGGCAAAGTCTAATGGATGGCCGGTGGGCAGATCTTCCATGCAGCCGCGGGGCCGGCAGAAAAAGTAGAGATAACGAGGACAGTAGTGCGTGAGGTCCGAGACGGCCAAGCATCTTCGAGAAGCAAGGGCGCGGGAGGCAGCTCTACTAGTCGCAGGTGGGGGGCCTCCAGCTGCGAAGGAGCAGATCGAAGAGTACGCGTCGAGTGGACCGCTTCCGGCCTGGAAAGACCTCGAATGCGCTGCACCCTGGTCGCACGCGGAGCAGGGCCACCGCATGAGTTTGTCTGGGAGGCGGTTAATGCCATGTGCCATGGGCCAAAACCTGGAGGAGCGAGGAGCAGGCGGGCAGGAGCAGGCTCGCAACTCGCTTGCTCCTTGGACAGCATCCCTGCACGCCAGCACGCGTCGGCAAGCTCCCGAGGCATGTTGCGGAGAGCGCATGGGCGCGTTTCTGGTGTTGAGGCCCGCCGGCACCTGCGAGAACCACGGTGTGGATCCATCCATGGAAGCCGGTGGGGCTCCAGATCGGCCGATGAAGGCGCCCGAAGTATCAACAAATCGCCGCCGCCTCCGCGGCCGTCGACGAGCAAACGGCGCGCGCAGTCTGGAGCTCTGGGACGCCCACGGCCGCGTCGTCATTTTTGTGGAACCGGCGTGGTTTCAGCTGTGGGGAGCGCGGTGCTTGCAACAGATGGCGGGCGGTGGGCGGGCGGGCAGCGCAGCGCAGCGCAGCGCAGCGCGGCGCGGCGGGAGCGGGCTCACGGCTGGGGGGGCAAGCTCGTACCGCCGCCATGATACAGGCGTGCCTGCGAAGATCGCGCTCCCTTCTCAGCTGATCCGATGCAGGCTGCAGGTAGGCGAGCCAGGAAGCCCCCGCTGGCCGTGAAGGTTCCATTTCTTGCTGCGGAAGAACGCGCTCAACCTACAGCGGCATCACAGCCTGGGCCGTGCGCAGGAGCTAGGGCGGTGATTCCCTGTATGTCGTAGCGTGCTCGTGAGGCGGCGTGGGCGGCTGACATTCTTTGCTGCGACCGTTCTTCCGATACCACTCGTCGATGGTACGACAGGCGCTACTGCTGTCCAAGCCGGGCCAGCGATATAAGCGAAAGCTATATACAACCGCGTCGCCCTGCCGCCTCGTCTGCCAGCTGCGCGCTGCCGACTGCCAACTGCCCGCCCACACAGCAACCCGCGCCTCCGCCCGCTCTGCTCTTCAGGGCGCAGCCACCCTGAACCGCCAGCACGCACCTCTCCGGCCGCGCCGCCCCCGAGCGCCCGATCCACACCCAATCTCCCGACTAGTGAACAACGAAGCGAACGCGAGCAGCCGCCCGGAGCCCGCGACCTCTGAGCCTCAGCCTCACAATCTCCTCGAAACGGACCGTCCGCTGTCCCCATCGCCGTTTCGCCTAGCCCGTTCCACCACCCGTGCAGCGCCCGTGATACTAAGAGACGCGCGCGACCGCGTCAATCTCGCTGTGCTGTCCCATCCCTGCCTCTTCTTTGTCCGCTCGCGCGCCGTTGATCTACAATGTCCGCCATGGTGGACTCTTACGCACCGCCGGCCGTACGTTTGCCACACAGGAAGCCTGTGCCTCCGACCGGCCTGCAACCCTTGACTCAGATCGTCCCCAATGAGCAGCGCAGTGCACACACCCGCACTCGCACCTCTTCAAGCTCCGTTTTCCCGCAGATGCCGCAGCAGCCTGGTTCCAACTTCACCTACAACCCTCCTCAGTACCAGCCCGCCATGACCCAATACAACACCACCAACCAGACCCGCCGCACTCTCTCCAATGCCACCACCTCCACCTCCTCGACCAGCACCAGCGCCGGCGCTGGCAACGCCCGCCGCAACTCTGACCTGCGCCGCTCGTCCTCGGGCCGCTCGACTGCCAGCCAAACGTCCTCCAGCTACGTCGCCTTGATGCGTCGCCAGAAGGCGACGGTCTGGTGCGATCGCTCCCAGTTTGAAGACCCACGGCTCCTCGCCCAGCAGCGTGCGGCCAAGATGCGTGCTGCCATGGAAGTCGTCGGTGGCCACACCAACAGCAGGACCTCGACCTCGTCGTCCGGCGTCGCTGCCGGCGTCCGCTCCAAGATCAGGCACCACGGTGCACCCAAGGCATCTCTCTACGCTCCTGCAACCCTCTCCGGAAACGGCGTCCCCATGCGTTTGAGCGCCAGCGAAGTCGACGAAGGCGACAGCGACAACGACAGCAACGGCGTCAACAATCTCCACAATCGTAGCGGCAGCGGGCGCAGTTCCCTTGGTTCGGGGCGTAGGGTGTACTCTTACGTCGGTCCTTCCGGCGCTCGGAATAGCACGAGCAGCACACCACCCAGCGGCCAGGGCAACAGCCCGACAGACATGATGGCAGGAGAGACGCCGATGCAGGGCGGTTTCGCAAGAAGAACGAGTGAATACTTCCCCAAACGCCAGGACACCGGCCTCTCCGCCGGTAGCGGCAGTTCTGGGGAACGCGAGAACAGTTTCGGAGGATTGGGGCAAATGCCGCAACACGAGCCGCAGGCGGCACAGACGCACAAGACGTCGGATGATTTGAGGCGGAGAGGAAGCGTCGACGACAGGACGATGACGATGAGCGGAGCCGTGAGGCTGTTCGTCGCCAACCCTGACGACGACAGCGATTGAGCGACCTTACCAAAAGCATTATACCCATTTTACCACACCACGGGGCCAAGAGTTATAGATTCGAGATGAGAGCAATGAGGGCTTTTCTGCTTTTTCCTATACCATTTCCGCAGACTCTTTTACGGGCTGCAGTCAAAACTTCAGAGCGTCTTTTCCTTGATTATATCCAATCGCTTGGCAGCATGTTTTCCTTGCATCGGCGTTCGTCACACTGGTCACCATTGGGCTCTCTTCATTGCGGCTCTTGGGTACACGCACGGCGTTCACTTTTCATCTAGTCTTATCGGCGGCGACTTTTGTTTTATCTGTCCAACTCTGATTCCTCGTAATTTCCTAGCACACTTCTCGGTCTTTTCCTGTCGTCTCATCTGTTTGCAGCGAATCGTTCTTTGTAGGCACTTCAAGTCCAAATTTTCATTTTGTCCGGACCTGGGAAAATGAATACCTGGGGACATCTAAGCACTCTGACTGGAGCAGAGCATCGTCCTGTGTGTGGTGGTGCTGTACGCTGCGTTTCCCAGGCCTTGTTTTTTTTTTTTTTTTGAACTGTTACGCCGTCACCCATTAGCGTACCTTTCGTCCATTGTACATGGGGAGATATACCAACTCGTCGTTAGAGTAATCTCGAGCAATCGTTACTGCGTCACCAAGGCTTTGCTGGCTTGCGAGAAAGTGCCAGAACGATGATGTAATGCGTGTCTTATCAAGCGTTTCGTCTATTTACTTTCTCGTCCGGCTCAATGCCCAAATCACGAGGGCGCGTTTCTTCCATGGGTGCCCTGGAACCTTCTCAATAGTACCTTGCTGCCAACGCGGGAAGACAGGTCGCACGGCATCCCGGTCGTCCAAACCAAGGCATACAACGTTGTTCAACGGAGGTCGACATCTCAGATCTCCCGGCCGCCACTTTCGTCAAGCGTCGACCTAGTTCCCCGACGGGGCGGCGAAAGCGCGCAGCACCGTTTCACTCCCCGGCAGATGCACCTCTATCCTCGTACACGCCATCGGGTCCTCGACTGAGCGTTTTCGGGCAGGTCGTACGAGTTTCGCGCGGTCCTCTGCTAATCATCTTCGGGCCCAAGAGCGAGGATCGACCCCCTGCTCAGCCACGCCGCACAGCACAAGTGCACGCGCGCGGACTTCTTGCGTGCATTGGTCTAGCAGAGCACAGGCAGACACCGGGGCGGCGAAGGGGAATGCCTGGCTGCCAACGACAAGAACAGAGCAGAACGCGAGAGCATCCCCACCTTCCCTAAGCAGGCCAAGTGGGCGCACTCGACCGTGGAAAGCACACGTGGTTGGTTCAAAGCAACGGAGCTGCCCCTCATCAGCATAAATTTTCTACCATTCGTTGCCCCAACGCGTCGCCCCGGGCCGGCGTGGTCGACCGTCGACCGTCGACCTCCTTGCGGCGCAACACGACTTGCATGGCGAGGCGCTGGTGGCGATCCTTGCATGCGAACCCCCAGAGCCCTGCCCCTCCATGGCTTCAAGTTTTTTTCTCATTCGCCCGCCCGCGCGAGCAGCAAGGGGGGGCTGGGAGAAGGAAGTGATGATGATACGCAGGGTGCGCGCGGCTCCTCGGATGCAGCGACAGACGTACTACTAATGAGGGGCGGAAGCTCGGAGCGGGCCCGGCATGGCCGCGGCGAATAGCACTCGGCGATTCCAACCCTCCTTCGCCATGGTGCATGGATCCAAATCTCATCACGTACGGCGGAGGAAGCGCGAGTTGGATCGGTCATTTCCATGCTTGCGTTCTATCTCATACTCCAGCGCTATTGCGGGGCAGCTCATGAAGATCATGCGCCGACTCGGCTTCTCTGTTATCGCAAGGTGCGCATTGCTATTAATTGCGCGGGCAGGGCCGCCGACCCCGCCAATTGGCCATTCGGCCATGGCTGTTCATCATGGCAATCTACGAAGAACCAGGACGACCGCGGTGGCAAGGCCACCAATCACACACGGACCTCCCTCTCGACGTCGTCGCAGCCTGCCTGCCTCGAAAAATAGCAGGCGCTCGTCACGAGGTTTGGCAGCAGATGACGTATGCAGCCTGCCATTCCACGGAATCCATCGTCGTCATTTTTATTTTAATCCCCCTCTAGGTCAGCCGCTGGCGCGGACGGCGGCGGCATCGGGCTCCTTGGCGGACGGCAGGATGATTTGCAATGGAAGCGTGGTGTTTAGGAGCGGGCTTGGCCGACTAGCGGCCTTGGGTCGTGGGCGGTGTCTTGGGTAGGGCTGATAGAACCGGCGGCACTTGCTGTCGCCTTGGACCCTTCTTTTCGCGCCAGACGATCGTGCTGCTACTGCGGAAATGTGGAACAAAAGGGGCCCATCGCATCGTATCCGCGATAGCTGATCCCACGAGGCGGGCAGACACATACGAGGCCAGCGAGTGGTTTGGCGCTTCCAACACCAAACAGAGCACCGCTAGCACCGCCTAGCGTACGGGCAGTGTGCGCAAGCGCCGGCGACAGCCACATGAGCTAGCAAAAAGCACCAAAATGAGCAGTAGACGGCTGCGAAAACGTGCCGCCAGCCGCAGATCTCATAGACGTTTTTGGATAGTCGTCCGTGCATTTCTACCTTCCGTCGCGCTGCTGCGGTTTGCTGCGTGCTAACTACTAGTCCGTGTCCGTATGCTCTTCGGGGTTCGGCCTTGCCGTGGTTTCGCCGTCCCAAGTAGCTGTTTTTTTGCTGCAGCCCACACATCCACTTTCCCCTCCGTGCCTCCTCCACGCCCTCGCCTACGCCCGTGGTAGGGCAAGCATGCGGGCTGCCTCCACCGCTGTCCGCGCATGCAGCTGGCCTTGCTGCTTTCGTGTCGTGGCTCGTGAGTGCAAAGATCTCGGCGTGACAGCGTGATACGGACCGATCATCCACTTTTTGCTGGCCGCAGCCACGGCCACGGCACCGTTGCATCAGCATCATCAGCATCATCAGCGTCAGCACTTGGCTTCGGAGCACGCAGGGCTAGCGGCCAAAAACGGAACGCTCTGCTGACTCGCAACGTGCACGGTGATTTGCTGCGGTGAGCTGCTCACGACTCAAGCTAGGAACCAGAGGCACGAGGGGAGCGATTATCGATTAAGCCCCGGCCCCTGCCAAGACTGCGGCTCGTTCGATTGCGTCTGCCGCCCATGTCACTCGACCTGGGGAAGGCAGAAAGGCGGAGTCGCCGCGCACACAAGCACAACGCACGCGCCAGAGCAGACGCAACCCTCTGACGAGTCAACAAAGTCTCCGGAGCTTCCGCCCGCTGCCGCGCATTACCCCTCTCTTCCTCCTCTGCGTCCAAATTAGCATCCCCGCGGGTGCACGCACGAGTCCACCGACATGGCCAGAACCACGCAGATCAAGCGGGAACACGAAGCAGACGCGAGGCAGCGTGGCGCCCCGGCTGCCAATGGCTCCACAAACGGTACCGTGAGCTCGCCCGTCGATCCCAGCGAGAAGACAGATTACACGCGGTGGAGACTGCTGGACCAGGACGGTCGCCAGACGTGGCACTACCTGGAGTCGGACGACGAGCTTGCGAATTGGCCGCAGACCACTGCGGATAAGTATTTCCTGGGTCTGGACACTGTAGGTCAGCTCCCAGCACCGCCTGCGTCCGTGACGAGATGCTGGTGTCATTGAACGTGCGGGTCAGTCCATTGATGCTGTCTCACAGGACCTCCCCGAGCTCTCTCCTGCAAAGACGCCCGTGCAGGCCGTCAACAACGGCCTGGCCTTCTTCTCGCAGCTCCAGCTGCCCTCCGGCCAGTGGGCATGCGAATATGGCGGCCCGATGTTCTTGTTGCCCGGTCTGGTGATAACATGGTACGTCACCAACACCCCGATCCCGGACGCCTACAAGACGGAGATCAAGAACTACCTCTTTTCGCGACAACATACTGAGGACGGTGGCTGGGGACTGCATATTGAGGGCCAGAGCTCCGTGTTCGGCACGGCATGCAATTACACTGTGTTGCGGCTGCTTGGTGCCGACGCGGAGGACCCCCGGGTGGTCAAGGCTAGAGCGTGCTTGCACAGGATGGGCGGTGCCGTTAATGGCCCACACTGGTCCAAATTCTGGCTCAGTGTTCTAGGTGTCACATCTTGGGATATTGTCAACCCCGTGCCGCCCGAGCTGTGGTTACTTCCCGACTGGGTCCCAATCGCACCTTGGCGTTGGTGGATTCATATGCGAATGGTGTACTTGCCTATGGGGTACATTTGGTCCAAGAAGTGGTCTTATCAGCCCGATGAGTTGGTGCTTGCGCTGCGTCAGGAGCTATTCACCCAGCCTTGGGAAAGCATAAACTGGGCTTCACACAGGAATAGCATCTCGGTGCATGACAATTACCACCCAAAGAGCTGGATTCTGAATACAATCAATTGGGGCTTGGTCAACATTTACAACCCATATTTAAGGGCAAATGCCTTGGCCAAGCGCGCCGAAGATTGGGTGTGGAGGCTGGTGGAGTACGAAGATCACAACACTGGCTACAACGACCTTGCTCCCGTCAATGCTCCTATGAACCTGCTCTGCTGCTACATCCAGGAGGGACCAGACAGCTACTCGGTGCGAAGGCATCGTGAGAATCTTCTCATTTTCTTCTGGGTGAAGAACGAGGGTATGCTCGCGAACGGTACTGATGGTGTGCAAATCTGGGACACGTCTTTCCTCATCCAGGCAGCATACGAGGCAGGAGTTTGTGAGGACCCTCGCTGGAGACCAGTGCTCACCAAGGCTCTAGGTTTTCTTGACAGGCAGCAGATCCGCGAGGATATCCATGAGGCAGACAAATGCTACAGACACAAGCGCAAGGGCGCTTGGGCTTTCAGCACGAAGGACCAGGGCTACCCCGTGTCTGACTGCACCGCCGAGGGCTTGAAGGCCGTGTTGCAGCTACAGAGCATCCCCGACTACCCTCAGCTAGTGTCGGACGAGCGGCTCAAGGACTCGGTGGACCTGCTTCTCACGATGCAGAACCCGTCGGGCGGCTGCTCGTCCTACGAGCCGACGCGCGGGTCGGAGCTGATGGAGTACCTCAACGCCGCCGAGGTCTTCGACCGCATCATGGTCGAGTACGACTACCCGGAGTGCACGACGGCGGTCGTCACGGCGCTGTGCGCGGCGCGCGCGCGCTGGCCCGCCTACCGCACCAAGGAGATCGACGCCTTCGTCGAGCGCGCGCTGGCGTACATCCGGCGCGCGCAGCGGCCCGACGGCAGCTGGTACGGCAGCTGGGGCATCTGCTTCTCGTACGCGGCCATGTTCGCGCTCGAGTCGCTCGGCTGCGTGGGCGAGAGGCACGCCAACTCGGAGCGCGTCCGGCGCGCGTGCCGCTTCTTCGTCGACCGCCAGATGCCCGACGGCGGCTGGGGCGAGAGCTACAGGAGCTCCGAGGAGATGGTCTGGGTCAACCACGAGCGCAGCCAGGTCGTGCAGACGGCGTGGGTCGCCATCGCGCTCATGGAGGCCGAGTTCCCCGACAAGGACGTCATCACGCGCGCTGTCAGGCTCATCATGCAGCGGCAGCAGGCTAATGGCGAGTGGCTACAGGAGGCCATTGAGGGCGTGTTCAACAACAGCTGGTAAGTGTCATGTGCCATCCTTCTTACTTCGTCTTCCTGTTTGGACCGAATATGCTAACCATTGCTCTTGCTGTAGCATGATTTCTTACCCCAATTACAAGTTTACCTTTACGATGAAGGCGTTGGGCATGTACGCGAAGAAATACGGCGATGAGGCTTTGTTGTAGAAACTAGCGCTAGAGGGAATGTTGCGTTATGACAGCATCAGAGGACCTCTGCAAGTGTTGGCATGGGAAGGCCAAAAATAAAAAAAAATCCCCCCTCCCTGCATAAGAGGCTTCATGTCCATACCACATACGGTAACGATAGCAGATCAAGGTATCCGTATTTTACTTGTAGAGTTTTTTAATGAAGGCTTGTGTTCGGCCTGAATAATAATATCGTCTTCTTGGAGAGAAAAACATGATAGTGATTACCAATGTCAATGTGGCCAGAACGCTTGGGCCTGGGGAAGGAGAAGAAACCCGACAGCGGGTGCAATAGCCATGATGCTCAGATGTGCAGTGTGATTCTAAGTTAAATCATCGGTAACTTTAGTGACGTGCAATATCCTCACTACATGGCTCCCACGTCATTTGGATCAGCACACTGTAGATGACCGTTTTCCCACCCCCTGAATATCACATTCCCTTAATTCATGCGCATAGTCTCCCCTTCTTCCGTCAGATGTCAACGCCATCCATGCAGTGCCCGCACCAGCCACAGTCCTTGTCACAAAGACCCCAGTTTAAGTCGTTATCGAAACCAGAGGCGTAGCCGTAGCCATAATTTCGCATCCCGCTTATTCCAGTAATGTAGCTGTATCCCATGAATGGATCTTGACCGTCACACCCACCGTCACCAGTGCGGCCTTGCCTGTCACGTCGACTGCGGTTCTTCTGCTTGGGACGCTTCTCTTTCAAGCCAGAAGGGGTGGGGGAAGGGAGCACAGCGTTCGCCTCAGCTGTGTGGTTTGTGAGAGCAGGACGAAAAGCGAGCGTCGAATTGGTGGCCGTTGCCTGCTTTTGCATCGAGCGTAGGGCGCCCTGGCTGGACGCTGCAGTCTTTGGCGGTGGATCCTTGTGCTTTGGAGACTGCCGCTGGTGATCGCGCAGCGCGTTCGCGTCCTTCAACGTCTTCCCGCAACTGCACTGTACGCGGCGCTTGGGCGGACCACCTCCATCCGCTTTACCTCGCGTATCGGCCACAGGATGCTCGACGCCCCTCGCCATCTGGCTCGAAGACGGGCCTGAAGCCTCCTCGCTCGGTCTCTGCTCAGCCTCCTTCCCCGCCGCCCGCGGACGGAGAGCCTTCCCCGAGTACACTGAGACTTGGCTCCCGGCCTTGTGCACCGACGAGCCGGGCAGGTGCTTGTATACCTCCCCCCAGGAGTCGAAGGCGCGTCCGCACTCGCATAGATGTACGTCCGTCTGCTCGTCATGCCTCTCCCCCGTTTTCGCCACGCCGCCGTTCTCGCCAACGGCAACGGAAAGAGCAACGCCGTTCGACAGCCGGGCCCCCTCGACCAACGTCGGCGGAGCCTCTCTCAGAGCCTTCATCAGCACCATGGCCGGTCTGTCGCAGAACGGAGCCGGTGGTTGGGCATGTGCCTTCGCCGTGGCTCGGTGTCTGCGCAGCGCGGCTGGGTTTACGAATTCCTTACCACAGTCGCAGCGGGTCGAGGAGGGGCTTTGAGTGGGATGGCTGGGCTTGGTGTCGGTGCTGTTGCCTTTGCCTTTGCCATCTCCCTCGCTCTTTTTCTTCTTCTTCTTCGTCTTCTTGTGCGTCGCCGGTAGCGCCGCCTCGGTGCTTGCCCGCTGCTGCTGCTGCTGCTGTTTTTGAACCGGGACGCTGGTGAGAGGGGACACGGTCTTCTTCAAGCGTGATTCGCTGCTTCCGTTGTCATTGGCCGTGGAGTTGGGCACGGCGTCACTCGTGCCGGTAGCGGGAGAGTGTGGGGCATTCTTTCGCGGTTCAGATGTGCGATTGCCGTCACCATGGTCTTTGATAGTGGCCTGGATAGTTGGGACTGTGCTGGCCATCTTGACGGCTATGTAGTAAAGTTATGGGCGGTCTGGCTAGGCAGATTTTGGGAAGTTTTGGGGAGGGGTTGAGAGCAGTCGAGCGCCATGAGTGATGGACGGAGGGCATCGGTCGCTGACACGTCAACATGCTGTGCGGCGCAGTTTTGTTTGTTTATGCAGGTTGGGATGCGCGGGCGAATGGGAGGCTGCAGACGAAGGCAAGAGAAGGAAGGAAGTCGTTGCCGGTACCCGTAGCATCTACGGAGCCTAACCTCCCGCGCGGCACAGAGCGGAGACATGAGACACAGACCATCCTTTGCCTCGGGGCCAGGCAGCAGCCCAGCTTTTTCTGAAGCAAGCGGTTTGCATCCTCAGCCCTCGCTTTCTTCTCAGCCACCCATTTCTTTCCATCCAAGCATGCCCCGCGAAAATCCTCTCGAAGCCCTCACGGCCGAGGCGCGAGACATGATACTGCATCTTCTCGATTGCGAATCCCTGAAGCGCCTTCGTCTGTGTTGCAAATCGCTCGCCGGCCACGGGGCACGCCGCCTATTCCGAACCATTCGCACCGACTTCAGTGCCGCGAGCATGGAGCGAGTCATTGACATTGCCAACAGCGAGGCCATTTCGGGCCATGTACGGAATTTGGTCTTACTGAATTGGGAAGGTTGGCGCGACTATGAATACGAAGAGTTTTGCGGCAAAATCGTCCTTCAAGGTGAGCTTAGAATAGAACAGGGCCTTCTGGTGTGACGGGGAACGCATTCTGGGCGCCGCTGATCCGGAAAGTAGATTGGCGGTCCAGAAGGAACGAGCACTTCATGGAATTACTGTACGAGGAGTACATGGCTAACCGTGACGAATGCAGCCTGGTATGGTGCCTTCTCCATGCTCCACGGCCCGTCAGTTACAAGCAAAAGGAAGCCGAGCGCGCGCTGACAAGATACGAACAATCTTGTCTCGGCTTTCAAGCTGCCATGTTGAAATTCTCAAATCTCAAGCACGTCGGGGCCGAGTTTGGGCACCATTTCAAGAGGACCCAGACTTGGCGAGACTATCAATTCGAGCCGTCGAAATTCGAGTCCCGTGGCAATCATGCCAGCGATGACGTGTATTTCGCAAGTAGACTTCTCCTGTTGCAAGCTCTTGGTTTACGCAATTCCTTGACCAACAGCTTGACATCACTGCATCTCGACATCACCGAAGAACTGTGGGCTGTGGGCGAGCTCGACCGTTTCTGGCGGGAAAACGATGAGTTCAACGCCTGCAATGGACAGCCCGACGAGAGCCTCATCCAACGGCAGCTGCACCTGATGGAGGACGCCTTCACCCATCTCACGGACCTGCGCATCGGGGTGCTTGACAACGGCTTCCCGACTCCGTACAGGGACCTAGTCTTGCCCAGGCTACTTCGCAAAACCACAAAGCTGGAGCGTCTCCATCTTTCTCTTCCGACAACCTGGCACCTCGCATCGAACAGCGGCATCGAACAAGATATTCTCAGCAGGGTGCTAAGCGGTGTGCGCTGGCAAAACCTGCGAGAAGTCACCCTCCAGGTAGACTTCACCTTTGATTCTCTTCTCGGCTTCTTGTTGAGCCATGCGACAATGCTCGCCTCGCTCACTCTGTACCGATGTGACATGCATGGCGGCAGTTGGCCGGACATGTACAGGGCCATGCGCGGCATTTCCTTCCGAAAGCTGTGCCATCTCAACTTTAGCGAATGTGCCGACGGAGATCCCCTTGTGCCGCCGCTGCTTGCATTTTCTCGCGAGAGTACGGCGGTATCCCATCATTCGCTATACAACATGAGGGAGCTGTGGATGGGCTATTCAAAGGACATCTACCCGTATATTTTGAGACAAACAGATTTCATGCCTCCACTATTCCAGTATGGTTGTTATATGGACGAGGACAGCGCTGATGGGGTTGACCTCTCTCGTGAGGATGATTCGGTTGAATAATACGCACTCCTCCGTGACATGCACAACCCTCCTGTCAAAAAGCACCCCGGTCGGGCTTGATAGCTCGGATTGAGCCAAGAAAGCTGACAGCAACACATCCAGGAAGAAGCTGAGGTTCAAACTGGTGAGTAAGCATCTCTCATCATATGCGAACACAGAATCGGGATTGCCTGGAAAGTAATCATACTAACCACCTGCTTTTATCAAGCTGACCCACACTCCACCCTCAATTGAAAGTCCTGGAACAGATGGATACTTTCTGCAATTCCGCCTCTATAACCTTTCAGCATGACATTCGGCGAACACCTTTCTCAAACTCCATCACCCTTGAGAATGCCAACGAAACCATCTCTTCAGAATACCAACAGAGTCCGGCTCTTTTGCCTCGCTCCTGGTGTAGAGAGTTGTCCGACCTCTGGATTCGTCGAAGCGGTTTTACTTGACGACCTGCTCACAACCGGATATGACGCCATATCGTCGGGGTGTTCTGAAGCTTGCGGGAAATTACCACTTAGCCTTGTTCTGGTTAGTCTTCGACAATCTTTCGAAGGCTGAGGCACAGCAATGGCGAAGGATTGGCAGCGCTACGGCAGGGCCTATGATTGGAGGGTCCTTCGTGATAGGTGTGGGGCCGTTGCCTTGATCATCACATCATAAGCGAGAAGGCCCGCGCCGCGATTGCAATGGAAGACTTCAACTAAGCGCAGCCTCGACCGGATCTCAGGGCTTTCAGCATTGCCGGCATTCATGAAGCATCACAGGAGCATCGCCTCACCACCTGCAAAGACTCATTCCTAATTTTATTACTCATGTCGTTCATCTCCCCAAACTCTTGCCGCAGATCGCAGCTTCTGGCCGCAATCGCAGTCCTTATCTTCATCCCGCTGCTATATTTACACCAGTCATGGGCTCAAGAGACCGCAGTCGGACATCTTTACCCAGATGTTGGCAATTCATCTCTGCCTCCCGCCCCTGAGCCCGCGTGTCGCCGCCTTCCTGGTGCAGACGATGTCCTCGTCGTTATGAAGACTGGTGGAACCGTGTCGCACAAGAAGCTTCCCATCCACTTCGAAACCACCTTCCGCTGCATTCCGCACTGGGTCGTGTTCTCCGATCTCGAGGAAGACGTTGCGGGCCATCGCGTGCATGATGTTCTGGATGAGATTGATGATGGCGTCAAGGCAACGGTCGAGGAATTTCGTCTCTACGAGGAAATCCAAAAGTGGCACGCCGGAGGAGCCATGCCAGAGGCCATTGACGACGGTTTGCGCAAGCAGGCATGGAATCTAGATAAATGGAAGTTTTTGCCGCTAGTCAAAAAGGCCCTGCAAGCCCGTCCGGACGCAAAGTGGTACTTTTTTATGGAGGCAGACACCGGTCTGATATGGTCCAATCTCTTGCTGTATTTGTCACACCTCAACCCTGAAAAACCGCTCTATCTCGGTTGGTCATTCATTTCTTTTCCCCACATTCTTGCTCATCACCAGCTGACCACCAGATTAGGAGCACAATCATGGATCGGCGGCACTGAGTTCGCGCACGGAGGGTCCGGATTCATTATTTCAAGCAAGGCCCTTCACATGGTGGTCGACGAGTACACAAGCCGTGTTCCTCACTACGACGAGCTCACGCGCAATGAATGGGCCGGGGATCTCGTTCTGGCCAAAGCGATGCAGAACCAGGGCATTTACCCGACGCGATCCTTCCCAATCCTACAAGGCGAGACGCCGTATACACTGGATTACACCGAGAATCATTGGTGTTTCCCAATTGTCTCCTATCACCACATGACCCCCGAGTGGATCCAGTCCATGTGGTATTACGAGCAGGAATGGTTGGCAAAGAAGCAAGCGGTCCGTCTGCCTCGAGATCTGCTCTGTCCACGAAGAAACGATTGGACTGAAACTAACGAGAGCTTCACAGGAGACCTCCCCAGACTCACTATCCTCGGAGCCAATCCGTCATCGACACGTCTTTGCGCACTTCGTGCAACCTACGATCAACATCGGCGAGAAGACAGAATGGCACAATCTGTCTCCCGACGAAGGCGCCAATGGCCAAACGACGCTCGAAAACTGCAGATCCATCTGCGAAGCTGCACAATCGTGCGTTCAATGGCTGTTCACAGCTCCCGGGGACTGCAAGATTGCAAGTGTCGTCCGTCTAGGCAGCCGTCCAACTGACGAAGATGACATGATGAAACACAGGTCGGGCTGGATGACAGATAGAGTAGCGACGTTTGTAGACAGGATGGGGCAGTGTGAGAGGGACTGGATCTTACCAGACGCGGACCCTGTCGCGTAGTAACAGTAAAGATACCCATTAGTATTTTTTGTTTGTTTATGTAGCTTAACGTCCTTGAAGAGTCTAAGACTACTAGAGATAGGGCAGAATGCCCGTTTCTAATACTCGTCTATTTACGAGCTCACGCAAACCTCTGTGTATACGATCTCTATCCGTGGTGAAGCCCCTTAGAGGATAAATCCACTGAGGGTTCAACCAAAATAATATAACCGTTCCCCGCGATCCCTACCACCAGCATAGTTGAAAAACATCCAGCATGCACAGTAGCCTAAGCTCATGAGACAACGAAGACATCAGAGCCAGAAATACCATTTTCGGCATATCATAACGCGGCCACCTTCCACGCTAACGAACGCTCGCAACACAGCACACGCGACACACCATACACCACCTATTTCCACTCGACACTCCACGTATTCTGCCCCTTCCTGAACGGCACGACCTCCACCTCGCCCCCCTCATGCCTCACAACGTCGACGACCTTCTCCCCCTTCCTCCTCAACACGATGCGCTCGCCACGCTCGTCGCCCACCTTGTAAAACGCCCTCCCATAGCCGCTCAAAAAGCCCTCCAACCCCTCCGCCGTGACCTCGTCCTCGCCCAACCACCCCTTCGCCACCGCCGCCTCAAACGCATCCAGCACCAACTGCACGGCATACGGCTGCGTAAACACCCCCGCAGCGGCGCCGGGTCCCGCCTTGGCTGCAACCGGATGCGGCGCGCTGTCTGTGCCGAAGAAGAACTTGCCTTTGCCTCCGTCTTGTGTGGCGGCGGCGCGCAGCAGCGCGAGGCGGTCGGCGGGCAGCTTGGCGACGGGCTTGCAGAAATGGAAAGCGTTGCCGACGACGTCGTCGACGGTGAGGTAGAGGTGGTGTGCGGTGATGGTCGCGGCGACCGAGGGGCCGCAGCGGACGACGGCGGCGACGGCCGCGGCTGACGTGCAGTGCTCCAGGATGATGCGCAGCGCGGGGAAGCGCGCGTGCAGCTCGTGCAGCGTCGGTAGGAAGCGCTCCTCGGCGTTGAGCACCGTGATGTCTTCTGCGTCTGCTGCCGATGCTGAAGGAGGCAGTTCGCCGTGCAGGTTGAGTACTATGTCTTGCCGCTCCATCTCGGCGAAGACGGGGTAGAAGGCTGCGTAGTCGACGACGCCGGCGGCCGAGTTGGTCGTCACGCCTGCTGGGTACGACTTCACGCCTGTGATGCCGGCCTTCTTGGCGGTGATGATGGTGTCGGGCGTGATGTCCGGGTGGAGATAGAGCGATGAGAGGAAGGTGACGTTGGGCTCGACGGCTTGCAGGCGGGCGCGGTAGGCGAGCGCGGCGTCGACGGTGGTGAGCGGGGGCACGAGGTTGGGCTGTCTCGGGGCGGTAGGAGGAGAAGGAGTCAGCTCTTATGAGGGCAGGGGGCCGTCGATCAAAGACAGAGGGCCTCGTAGGGCAAGCAGTGATGATTTCCGTACCATGACGTAGACGGTGTTCACGCCTCCTTGCCGAATGGTGGGCGTGACGGTCTCCATCATTGCGTTGTCGCGCAAGTGGACGTGCATGTCGGCCGCAGCGGGCAGCTCCAGGCCGTCGAACTTGTCGAGAGGCATTGTGGGAATATTGTCGAAAACGTCGTGGAGGAGTTGGTGTGGAGAGAGAGCGTGGGGTATGGAGGGGCAGCTCGTGAGCTCAGAAATTGTGCAGTGCCGGCGATAGTCGGAGATAGATAGTCCACAAACATTGGCCAATCACATGGAGCCTGATCTCACTCCGATTTTTGTACAAACGTTTCTATGTGGAGTGAAAAGAGTCCCGCCTATCTTACAAGCACGGATGCAGAGCTATATGTGCACATGGAAAATAGTCTGCCGTTTTGCTCGCCAGTCCCATACCAAAGAAGTACATGTTTTAATTCGACACAGCCGTAGTCTTTCTCTACCTCCTCCTCCTCCTCCGCTTGTTTCCCCCCGCTTCGAATTCCTGCTCCGTCTGCCTCCTTTTCTCGTACGACGAGGCCTGATCCAGGAACTGCTTGGACTCCCTCTTGGATTTCGTGTTCGCTTGGTACATACCCGCCCTCTTCATGATGCCATCCTTGAAGTCCCGGAGTTCCTTCTTCGTCTGCTCGTACGACCTCTTGATTTTCCCCAAGGGGCTGCTGGAAACAGGGCCCTGCTTGATCGGGCCAGCGTCGGCGATGCTGGACTGCACTGTGGGCGGCTGCCATTGGAAATCTCCGGGCTTTGTAGCACGAGCCTCCACATCGATGATGCTGGATCTATTGGTCTTGGCCATCGGGGTCTCGAGGATCGGGGCGAGGCCAATCCATTCGCGGACGGTCTGGTTGCGGAGAATCCTTGCCTGCAGCATACCGAGGGTGGAGGCGGCGAAGAAGGAGAGTTGCACTGTGGCCGGTTGGGCAAAGGTGAAAAGGACAGCGAGGCCAGGCATGATGTAGAACATGAACTTTTTCTGCAGACCGGTGAATTGCTTCAGGGTTCCGGATTCACCACCGCTCTGCGTGAAGGCATCAGCAAAAGCACCCGTGCTTGATCTCCTCGTTTAACCGCGGGGTGTACTAACCTTGGCAACAGTGTGAATAAGTGCGCCGAAACAGAGCGGCAGGATGTAAAGCGGATCCGACACAGTCAGGTCACTCAACCACAAAAAGCCACCACTCTCAAGACCCGGCACCGGCAGTGCCGCCATAGCCCTGAGTAGTTTCCACGTGCAGTAGCCGGTAACACCCTGGGCAACGGGCGCATAGAAGGCCTTCCACGGGTTGATGCCCGCTTGCTTGTAGACACCCATGAGCTCCGCGCGCGCCATCATCATCTGATCCGTGTTGCCCGCAATGCGCGCCTCATTCATCTTCGCGTTCAACGGGTCTGTGACGACCTTGAGCGCCTGCTGGCGCGCTGTCACGTCCGACGTCCTTGCGAACAGCGGGAAAAGCGACGTGCGCACAATCACCGCCGTCACAATGATCGAAGACCACCACGGAAGATCCATCCAGATATGAACATGCTCGAGCAGCCATTCGATGCAGGAGGTCGGCCCCCAACCATAGTCCAAGCCAACAGCTTTCAGGTAGCCGATCTGCTCCGGCATGTTGGCGAGGTTGGCAAGAAACTCGTCCGTGACGACATCAACGCTCGAGGGAACGGCCTCGGTCGAGGCGCTGGAGGCGCTGGAGACAGCATCAGCGGCTGTTGCTTTGGAGTTCTCGAGGACCGACGGCGTTGCTGCGGCGGGCGAAGTCGAGGCGAAGCGGATGGCGGGCACGGCGGAACCCGCAACGAAGGGCGTGCGGAGAGCGGGGGCGTTCAGTGCGCTGCGAAGGCCCAGCGAAGGGTTGCGGGTGCGCAGAAGAACGGGTGCCTTGAACGAGGCATGTGTAGAGAACTGATTGCTCCGAGATCAGATCAGCAAGCCTGGAGACTGGCAGCAGCGTGTACGGCCGAATCGTGGAGCATACCTGTCTTGGAGCGCGCAGGGGGTTTTGAAGCGCTATCCTGGCGCAATTGGCGGGCCGAAGCCCTCTACTTTTCATCATGGTTGCTGAGGGCGCGGTGCTACGGAGTTTTCGTTGCTGTCGCGGATGCGAAGTTCGACGGCAGCAAAACATTGGCTGCTGCAGCCCGCCGTAGTCGCCGTCCGGCCGCGCAAGCGCGCCATTCGTGCAACCTCGGCTCCACCCGCACATTGTCCATCCGTGCAACGGAGAATACGCAGTTGATAACTTCATTCTACTTTCATTAACTGTCCGTGTCTCTGCTAAGAATACACTTCTCCTGTGCCCATTTCGCGAGTCTTGTTGAGTTTTGAAACCCCACTTCGCATGCACAAGGCTAAACACTCGCGACCGCTCCACTAATCTAGCCTGCTTCGAAGTAAGATGTAAAAGCAGAAGGCTTTTCTGAAAGAAAAAAAAAAGGATTAACATCGAGTTGATACCACCGAAGAAAATCAAAAAGCCAGCAAACTCGGGGAATTGTACAAATGCCTGTAACCCATCTTCGCCTATCCATAGCTCCCGTTTTTCCATACAGTTCGCCTCGAATCTCTTCTAAGCGGATGCTGCCTCGTAACCGTCTGTTCATCTCCAGACATGACCGTCCCAATCCGTGTGCGCCGCAAAGACGAGAAAGAAAATGTTTGGCATGACCGCCTAGTCGTGAAGGAACTCGCTCGTGTCTTCTTTCTCCTCCCTCTCGTCGCCATCCTTGACCGTCAGGTTCAACGCGTCTTCGGCATGGCTTGTAGGTGGCGGGCCCATGCCGTCGCCGTCTGCATCATTCGTCGTGAAGTCGGCGAAGAGATCTCGCATGCCTTCGCCACCGTCACCAGCGCCTTGGCTACTGTTGATGCTTGTTTGGAACAGGTTGCTGCGCGCAGGGCTGGCAGCACCAGGGTCGGCTCCGAAAGGCGCATTGTTGCTGAACATGCCTGAATCTATGTTGGACGGCGTCGTCGGCGACGCCGGCTGGAAAGGGGGGGAAGCCGCACCACGAGCGTGAGGCGCGAACGCCGACATTGAGGGGTCTATCGTCCCCGAAGCCGTCGTGAGATGTGGAGAAGTTGTGCTGCCGTACGTCGATGTCATGAGATTCGCCATGTGGCTCGGGTAGGAGAAGGTCGGCTGCTGCCCACTGCCACTGGGCCCAGCAATGCCGTTGGCAGTCTCACTGAAGCCATGAGGAAGGCCCGGAGGAGTATGCGATTCTTGCTGAGATCCACCAGCCTTGCTAATGCTGTCGCGCTTGTCTTTGTCCTTGTGCTTGAAGTGATGCTGCTTCGTACGCAGATGCTGTGGAAGGTCGTCCGGGTTCTCAATGCCGAGCTGCGCCATCATCTTCTGCTGCTTGGTAGGGCGTGGCTTGCGCGTGGAGAGAGACACTTCTACCTTTGGCGGCGGCTCAGGAGCCACTGGTGCCCACTTGTGAAGCTCCTGGCGGAAAAAGTTTGTTTCATGTGCCAATAGAATGTCGGCACCCTCCAGCTTACGAAGATAAAAGCGTTGAGATATAAGCTCTTCTGGACTTGATACCAGCGGGTTGATTTGAGATGAGATGAAGTTGCGGAAATTCTCGGCCTTTTCGATGATGTTGTTGAGGCATTTTTCCTCTTCGGGCTGGAAGGGAAGGTTCTGGATCTCGTCGTACCAGTTGTTGAGATCTTCCAGCCTTGGGCGTGTCGCATCGCGAGGGATCTTGACGCGATAGTCGCAGATGGGACAGGTGTACTTGTCGTCCTCCTTGACCTTTCCACGAGCAATCTTCAGGCACTTGCCATGATACCTAGCGTGAAATTAGAACTGACCGGAGTGCGGGCCATCTCTAAAACTTACCACTCGTGACAGAGCTCGCATTCGATCATCATCCCGGCCTCGGGCTTGCGGCAAATGCAGAAGACGTCGCGCGTTGAGCCAACGCCGTTCTCGTCTCCTGACACCGGAGTGTGTTCTCTCGAGGCAGGTTCAACCGGCATACGCGGTTGATCCCTAGTGTCAAAGCATGCTTCGTTGCGTGCATCCACAAGGTCCATGTGTTGCTGCAGAATGTGCAAAGGCGCATTGGCCTTACCGAAGAGCTTCTTGCCACGGCGCATCCAGTCTTCATGCCTTTTCTGCTCTCTCTCGAGGTCAATAGTGCCAGGAGGCTTGCTGTTCAGCTCATTGAGGGCCTCCATAGCCTCACGGACCTCCTTGTAGAACGGCCGTTTCCTGAAATCCGGGTCCTTGCTTTGTTCGTAAAGGGCTTTGATCTCTTCCTGGGCATCGCGTTGCTTCTTCAAAATGGCCTCAACCTTGGCCAAAGTCTCGAGGGAGACCGGGAGGTGCTTGGCCTGCTGCGACAGCGCGTCAAGTTGTTGGTAATTGACCATCTCCGAGGCCATGACTTCTTTGGCGGTCTTTTCCCACACCTCTCCCTTGGACTTCTCTTCCTTCAACCAGATCATATGCACGTCGCCCTCGACGATGCCCATTTCCTGGCCGCGCTTGATGAAATCCGTAATGCTCTGAAGGGAGTGGACGCTGTCTCTGTAGAGGCGAACCTCGTCATACCACTTGAGTTGTTGTAACGACTTGTCAAGTTCTTCGACCTCGGGAATGTCCAGATTGAAGTTCCGGCCAAGTTCGAGCAGATCATCAAGCTCTTGCGTCGGGGTTGGACGCACGTTTCTGTCAGCAAGGATGGTGCGCGCACGCTTCTGGAAGTGCTTGATATTGTCCATGAGCTCTTGTAGAATGCCGATTTCTTGGCATTCAAAAGAGATGTCATCCGCTTCTGCAAGAAGTTTCATTAGGGTTTCGACTTTACGGATCTCGCGTTCCCGTTCTTCTTGCTCCATTAATTGTTTGGTAGTGGATTTTCGTGAGGGTCGTTCGTTCTTGCGGCGATGCTGTTGCTTGCGGGTGGTGAAAGCTGTTGCCCGTTCCACCCAATCGTTGCAACGATCGACGTACCGCTTGAGCTCAGGAAGACCAGGCAGCGCCCAAGGAATCCTCTCACCCTCACTGAGCAGCCTGCGAAGTTTCTTGAGTTCCGGCTTCGGCTCTTCTGCGAGATACTTGTCAAGCTCTGCGGTCCAGAGATCAGGAAGCGTACCCTTCTCGAGTACCTTTTCCATGACACCGCGAAGATCTTCGTTCGCGATGCGGTAGACCAGTGTGTGATCGCCGTTTGCTCCGGAGAAGCGATGATCCTCAGTCGTGGCACAGCATTCGAACACGCCAGCATGCTTCAAGCATACAACCTTTCTAGACTTCTTGCAGACATACCTCGACAGGTACGCGAAACCCTTGCAGTAGCTGCAAAGGTAGTCGTCCTCTGGAAGATCCCGGTCGTCGATTTCGAATCCAACCTCACAATGACCCTTCGATCCGCCTTCGACCTTGCATGGCTTCATGCTGACTTGTTTGTGTCGTGACAAAAACGCTTCTCGAACAGTCGATTCTTTCTCGTACATGCGCTGCAAAGCGGGGCCCAACCATTTCGCCGTCTTGATAGTCACGTCTTTGCTACCTGCGGCGGTGAGAAGAAGTTCATCGTGAGAGAAGCACGGCTGGCGCCTAAAGTCCTGTAGGCGCTGAACGCCGTCTTCCCCCTTGGGCTCCCAATCGGCAGGTGCGAAATTGACGGCCTCGTTGAAATTGAATCCGTGGTTGAATCCGGCGTGGTAGGCTTGGGGGAAAGTAATAACGAACTGTCCAGCGCGCTGATCGATGGCGTAGACCCTTACACCTGCCTTTTTCAAGTGATCAGGAGTTAAAAGGGTGACGAGCTGGAAGAGCAAGTCAGGCTGGGTCTCGAACAGCTCCGGAACGGCTTCACGCATCGCATTCTCAAACTTCTCAGCATCCTCGCCTGGTACGCCGTACCATGTCTTTGTAGCGCCAAAGTGCTGATAATTGGCCGAATAGCTGTAGTGATCCTCGTTGTGCCAGCAGAAAGTAGAAAAACACATGCCAACGTATAGCCAAGGAACCGTCATGCCAGAAATGTCGGATTTGATATGGCGGAAGAGGGACTCTGGGTGCAGCGGCAAGATGTTCAGGTTCCACGCGTCCGTCGAGTAAGGATTACGCGGCTCCTTCTCCAGAGTTGGAAAACCACTCCCGTGTGTTGTGACGTGGACGTCGGCACCATACTCAACCTCTGGCACTTTATCGGTAACGTTCTCAACCAATTTCCAGAACTCCCTCTCAACATCATCTTCTGTAGGAGGCCTCTTTGCATTGAGCACCGGGTCGAACTGCTGCTTGTCTCGGAAATGCTCTGCTCTGAACTCTTGATCCTTCTGTTGAAACTGTTTTAACGAGTAAACACCACCCTCGTCGAAACCGAACTCGCCATCACCGACGAGGCATCTAGGACAGTGCCAGTCATAGTCAGGGGTGGACTTCAGCGGCGGTTCCAAGCAGTAGCGGTGATATCCCGCGTCGCAGCTATCGCACAATAGGATCGCGGTTGGGTCGGAAGCCTTCCGACAAGTTTCGCAGTAGTCTCCAGGCTTCTCCTTCGAGCGGTCCTTGGGGGCGCCTATGCGGGGTGCCGACACACGTGGTTGAGTCATGTGGGATCCTGCCACAGTCGGGGCCGAGTCCTTCTTGAGGCGTTTGCTCCGCCTTCCAGAAGCGTCGGTTTCCCCATTGGCATGTAACTCAGAATCCTCGGATGGGCCTCTCTTCAACTGGCTGAGATGGCCATTTGAAAGGGGCGTTGAAAAGCCATGTGGTCGAATCTCCGGCGTATTGTTTGCAGATAGATTCAGCGGACTCTCGCCCAACCGTTGGGGGGTCGAGTGGGCGGAATGCTGGGTAGCTGACGAACTGTTGATGGCTGAGAATCCAGTAGACGTAGGAGCGGGTTGATGGGACGCATTGACAGGCGTGAAGCCACCTGAATTTACAGCAGTAAAACCTGATGAGACCTTGACTGGCTGGGGGAGCTCTTGGGCGGGTGGAAGCGGTGGGACTGAACTCTCGTGAATAGAAGCATTCAGGGCAGCAGACGCACGAGCTGCTGGTGAATCGGAACGGAAACTGCCTGGAGGAGTCTGCTGGTGCGCAGACTTCTTGAGTGGCGACGGCGCTGGTGACGGAGTGAAAGGGCCGCCATTCTCAAACTCAAGCATTTGATGGACACCGGGCTTGGCGATCCGTAGGTACTCCTCGTAGGGGTGGAGCCACTTCTGATACGAGTTCTTCAGTGATGTCGACAGCGAAGACATGATCTTGCCGCTGTAACCCAGGTCTCTGCCGATTTCGGCCCATTTCTTGCCTCTGCAGACACGGTCGAATCCGCCACGGGTTTCGACGGCCTTTTTCAACTTGTACAAGTCCAACGGCCGCTTGTCGACGCTTGGAAAGCGGTTGAGATTGTTGCCCCGTGACCTGTGGAACTTGGCAAGCTGATCGAGGTAGTTCAAATTTGCTCGCGTGCCTGGTCTAATTAGAACCAAAGAGGGTGTGGCCGGGTAACGGACTCCAGTACTCACCTCCTTCAACGGAGTTGAGCGCCTGCTTACGCGTGCGGAAATGAAACCTCTATAGGTCGCGTTAGCCGACCGGTCGCTCACAAAGAAAAGACGTCAAGCGCATCTAAACCCCCGGTCGTCGCTACAGCCCATCCCGAGATCCTTCACTAACGTACCTCGGTATCGATGGCGAAGTCGGGATTCCAGCTCTCGGGCGGGATGACCTTGACTATGCCATACTTCCGCCCCTCGGGCGCGATCTTGCGCATATACTCGAAAGGGTCTCTGAATTCTTCTGCAGTGGGGGTATACGTGGGCGCTTCCTCGATCCCAAAGAGCCTGTTCGAACGCGAGACTTCACGCGCGGCGGTCGAGGTGCCGCGTCGCTCGACGGTTTTCATGCTCAAGGGCTGGGCCTTGCGCGCGCTGAGCGGGAAGCTGCTGGAGCCGTTGGCCGGGGTGTTGGAGGAGCCGTGCGACGTATTGTTGGCGGTGCTTGAGGGCTGAGCAGCCATCTTGCCACCTCGCGGTGCAGACGTCGCCTGGGCGGGCTGGGCTGGGCTTGCGCGGAAGGTTATCTGGCCAGCGGCGGGCCCAGCAGCGGTGGCGGAAGAAACCGCCATGGTGTCGGGATGCAGCCGTGGCCGGCTCGGCGTGAGCGTCGGATGTCGATTGTGCTGGCGGGCGCGGGCTCGGTGGTCGAATGGTTCGGGCGAGAGAGGATTCGGAGCGAGAAAAGAAGCGGCGTGTCCAGGGCGCTGAGGCGTGGGTGGGTTGGGATTACGGGCCGAGCATGTGGGAGGATATCTGTCAGGGCAGCTTTCCGAATGAATGACTTGCGCCGGGCGCCGGGTCGAAGCTGCAGGCAGCGCGAGGATGCCGATGCTGCAGGCGCGGCCTGGATGGGGACGGAGTGGCCGGGCAGCTGACGGGTGCGAGGTATTCGGACGGATATGGCGACGGTCGAATGAAAGGAATGTGAGCGTGGGCGTTGGAACTTGGCTAAGGGAAGGAAGACCGCCGCCGCACGCCTACAGCGGATGCGCCTACCAGGGCTAGACCGCTTTCGCGACGATCACTCGATTTTGATGTTCATGCGACAACCCGCAGTCCTCGCTGGCCGCCTCTGTTGCAGTGCGCCAATGCTGCATTGCCCTGTGCCGCCGCCAGCCCCGGCGCTGCGCCGCCTGCCGGCGTGGTGAGGTGCTGCAAAGGTCGTTTCGTTCGCCCATGCCCGCCGCTCCGCTCCGCCGCCCGCTTGACGTCGTTCGCCCAACCACGCAACAACCACGGGCAGCCCTCACCCGGCTCGTCCTCCGGTCGAACCTCACCTCAACCCCCGCGCCACGCTTTGCTCCCGAGCGCCGAGCGAACCTCACCGCCACCGACATGCGTCCAAAGGCCTCGCTCAAAGCCGTTGCCGCCGTCATGGACAAACCAATCCCTGCCTTTTACTGCTGCTACCTCCTGCGGTCTACTGTCAAGCCTGCAAGCCTTTACGTCGGCTCGACGCCGAACCCACTGCGCCGACTCAGGCAGCACAACGGCCTCTCCACAGGTGGCGCTACACGCACAGACCGCGAGCAGTTGCGCCCGTGGGAGATGGCCTGCATCGTCACCGGCTTCCCTTCCAAGATCGCTGCACTTCAGTTCGAGTACGTATGAGCCCGGTCACGTGATCGCTACCTGAGCATGCCACACTGCCGGTCTTATCCTCGCGCGGGGCTCCTCAGCTTCCAGCGCATCTCGGGCGGGATGTTTGCGATTTCCGAGCCACTGTGGAGCCGATCGCAGGTCGTGCGATCTCCCCACCCAGTGTTTCTAGCGAGCCAGCATTCTGGCCACTTCGAACCTCCGCCCTGAAACAGCCCATCGTCCGACTACCGTCACCCTGATCTCTAACGTGCTTACAGATGGGCATGGCAAAACACTCACATTACACGCCATATCCCCGCCGAGGACCGAATTACTGCTCCAAGTAAAAAAGGTCGCAAAAAAGTCCGTCACCCATCGCGGCTCCCTCTTAAGGACAGAATCTCCAACCTTCATCTTCTTCTACGCGTCAAGAGCTTTTACAGATGGCCCCTACACGTCACATTCTTTGCCGAGGATGTATATTGCGCCTGGAAGGATTGGACAAAAAGCACACCGTTCAAACTCAGGAGCACCATTGGCGTGCAGCTGGAAAAAGCAGACGCCCCGGAAGTATGCCAAAGGCCAGATGCGGAGAAAACGGTCGATACTTCCAAGGCGATTGGCAATGGAAAGGGCATTGAGGGTATTGATGTCAGCTATGAGAGCTTAAAGGCTTATCTAGAGAAGAGCAGAGTTCTCCTAGAAGAGGGTAGGGAGCTCGCATGCGTGGTGTGCGAGAAACAAATGCAGGCAGAGAAGTGCGTCACGCTGGTCTGTCCGCACGACGACTGTCAGGCTATCTCGCACATGACCTGTCTCTCGGAGGCATTTCTACGGCAAGAGGGAAACCCCGATGCAATCATGCCTTTGCAAGGCACATGTCCTAGCTGTGGGAGGCTCACGCAGTGGCCAACACTCATGAAAGAACTAAGCCTTAGGATCCGTGGCGAGAAAGAGATCGCTTCCCTTTGCAGAAAACGTAAACGCAGAGCAGCATCGAACTCGACGACGAAAGCATCAGTGACCGCTGCGGTAGGTGTGGTTGGTGCGGTGAGCGCACTTGAAAGTGATGGCAGCTCAGATGAGTCGGAGTATCCGGACATTGAAAACGGCCTGCCGCACTCTATGAAAAGTCGGGATTCGCCTCAAGGCAGCGATGGATTTGAAGACATCGACGAATGGTATCACCAGAGAGACGGTATTGAGCCAGACTCAGACACAGACATTGATATGGATGAACCGCAAAAGGAGTTGAGGGCCACTGCAACTCTGGGAACGACGACGCGCGAGTTCTCGCCGATAGTGATCGAAGACAGCGATTGGGATGATGCTGAGGAGTTGGATTAGAAGCTGTAATGAACCGAGAAGGCTTGGTACTCTCTGTACCTGTTCTGTGTTCTCTGTAGATCCTGATATGATACCCTGTCTTACCTGTCCGCTCAATATTCAATCCACGTTGCCTCGTATCGACTCCACGAGTCTCAAAGGACTGTTTGTTTCGTCAACCGTCTCAACCGCTCTCAAGACAGCCTCTTCGACTCTTTTTGCGACCTCTTCTTCAGCGGCTCCAGCATCGATCGTCACAAAATCCTGACCTTCTTGCTGAAGCGTCTTGATATCGGTAAACAATTCCCGCACACGCTTCTGCATCTTGGAGTTTTCATACTTCTCGCTACCAAAACCACCACGTTGGGCGGCCTTCTCAGGCGAAATGTCCAGAAACACGACAAGGTCAGGCCGCGGCAGCCCCACTTCGGGATGCCTAGCCCACTCTAGTGAAAGAGATGGGTTGTCCTTCGCGGCCGAGTACACACAACCAGAGTAGTAGTAACGATCAATAACAACGGTAGTCCCCTCGGCGACGAGATTCTTGATTTTGGCGCTGATGATTGGAGGATCAGTGTCATCTACCCTCGCTAAGCATCGGGCTTGAGGAAGGAGACTCACGCAGCTTCCCAGCGGTTCGCTGAAAAGAGCAGATGGATGACGTGGTCTTCCTGCTCGCTCGCGCCGGTCAGGTACGCGTTGATCATCTGGCCGATCGGTGTGGTGCGGTCCGGGAAGCGCATATGAACAACGCGGTGGCCATGTTCTTGCAGATGCACGATGAGACGGCCGCACTGGGTGGTTTTGCCGGCGCGGTCCAGGCCTTCGAAGACGATGAGCTTTCCACGCATGGGTCCGTACTTGAGCGCGCTTGGTCGCGTGGTTGGTTTGCTTGGACCTCGGATTTGGTGATGAATTGATGCCGAACGGGTGCAGAGATGGTACGCGGAAACCGTCTGGAGCGCGGCACCGAATCCTGGAACTTGACGTTTGCGATGTTGATTTCGTCGGCGGGTTGGTCGACGTGTTGTGGTGCAAGCAAAGCTCGGTGCAAGGATGCGGGCCGCCCTGATCGGCACCAGGCTAGGATTTGAGTGGGTCGGGCTCACGTGGCCCTGCCAACGACATCTCGTCTCGCGACACTGCCGCTTCACTCTTCTCCTCTGCATCACGATAGCTCAACACACAACTCCAAGGGCGCCGCTGGCCGCTTCGCGAATTAGACCTCGAGCCTCATGCTGCGACGCCGTATGCTTGTGTGAGAGTGATTCAAGCACGCCCGCCTTGTCTAAGCAGGTTCTGCAATACGACACGATTGGAAACTGCCTATCGCCGGGCGACAATGTCTGAAGACAATAGGAGGAGTCTATAATGTAGCTTTGGATCCTGTGTTAAGTCAATCGCTATTTTTCTCTCGCTCAGTATTGTTGGCGCGCACTCTCAAGCTCGTTTTTCGCGAGGGAACCCGCGCTACATGCGACATAACTCAGAAGAGACATTTGCAAGGAACTGAAGCTAGTGTTGTTCATTTCTCGTGCGTAGCATGGCTCCTCATAATTTTGGTTGGAGTTTTTTTATTTTGCGTTTTTGGCCAAATCAATGCTACAACTCCACATGCTGCTGTGCGCGACCGCGTCTCGAACACTGGGCCGACAGTTGGTCACTTCGCCACCTCAAGTTACGCGACTTTCATTTTTACATGGAGTACAGTTTTGGGATACATATATGCTTCCAGCAGCCGCAGTCTTTAAGATTGTTGGTGGCAGCGTGATCGTTGAGACCCTTACCAACATCTGTGTCTGTCAACAGATTCTAGCATTACCCGAAACGGCGTGCCCGAGTTGGACGTTATGCAGCGAAACCATTGCCTGTTGGTAACCGGTTCGATGCCATTGATTCCATTGGTGCCAACCGGTGACCCTCGTGGAAACATCCAGGCCGCGCAGGGTAAGTGAGGTGGTTAACACGTCTGAAAACCCTCTTCACACTTGAGCTTCACCACGCAGTTGCCTAATTCATCAACAATAACACGCTAAGCGAGGCGCACCACCTATATTTCACCCTCCAGCGCGCAGCCTACGACCTTTCCTCTTCACCGCGCACCCCAGCAAGCTCCACATTGATACCGTTGACTAGATATTCTGCAACCCCAGCACCATATCGCCACCAACAGCATCATGTCGCTTTGCAACGACGTCGTGGCTCTCACCACCGCTGCCACCTGGATGACGCTGAGCGGCACTGCGCTCAGCTCCAGCATCCACGTCCTCACGCGCGCCTTCATCGGCTACCTGGTCTTCTGCGTCGTCGACCTGAAGTTCCTGGAGCCGATCACCGACGACGACGCCGACGACGACGACGACTTCAGCCGCCGCTCCCTCCGCCTCTACTTCTGTGGGGTTGGTCTTCTTGGCCTCCTCACCGCGCACATCGTCCTCCCCGGTCTCCGTCGCCTCTGGTCCTTGGTCATCCTCCTGCCCTCGGCGCAGCAGCAGCAGCAGCAGCAGCAGCAGATGCCCGGCGCTTGGCCTTCGCCCTGGTCCTGGTTCGCGCCGTCGCTGCCGCCCTCTCCTCTGCCTTCACCCGCTCTTGCCAACGGCAACGAGAACTGGGAGGCTGACCATCTCGCCAAGATGGACAGTCTCCCAGTGGACTGCTTCATCTCCCCAGCTGCTCTCGCTGCCCGCGGCAAGCGGGGTTACACTTGCCCTTCATACGACGACGACGACTCGGCCCACGGGCCCGGCCTCACGCCCGTCACCAAGTCCGCCGCCAAGGGAGAGCCTTTCGTTTTCGGTCTGGGGATGGGTCCCCTGTTCGCCCCTTCCTTGCCCTCCATCATCCAGCCCGCGCCCGCTCCGGCGGAGAAGGAGAAGGAAGAAAAGGAAGCGAAGGAGGAGGAGGAAAGAGAAGAGAACGGAGACCGAGTCCCTTGGACTCACGACGGACTTCTGGACCCTCCCAGCGAGTACGGCTTCCGCGCCCGCTTCCGCGCCGCTGCTGCCGCCGATGCCGCTCTTCTTGCCGCCCGCGGTCCTGGAGCTCGGTATAATGAGGCCGAAGGCGAGGTTCGCGATGTTGAACGGACGGGTGACAGTGCCTCTCGCCGTCCTGCCATTTCCGGTTCCTCGTCCTTCCGCCCCATTTCATCCCAACGCTACCGGAGTCAGCCAAGCCGCCCTTGCCGTCGTCACCTCTCCTCGTTCCCCGTGACCCAATCCCCCAGGGTCATAGTCTTGCCGCCGTCGCCCGTCCTTTCTGCGCCTGTCTCGCCGCTCTCGCCGCCCTTGTTCCTCCTATCGCGTCGGCGTAAGGGCAACAGATCGAGAAAGTGGAGAACGAGGAGGCTGCTGAGGTCTGAGTCCATGATCGACTTCTCCGGCTTCTATCCCACGGATTTCCTGTTCTGAATCTCATCTCTGTCGGCTTCACCTCTTCTGTCGACCTCTTCTGACCTATCAGCCTCCATCTTCGGACGCTTCGTCAAAAGAAATCCAAAAAAAAATTCAAAACAGAAAACCCACAAAAAAATAGCCATCAGTCGTCCTTTTCATTTCTGGTCGCGGAATCAATCCTTGTTGCCGCATCGGGCGCCTTGCATCTTTTCTTTGAGCGGATTCTCTATTCAGCAAGTATTCCTTTCTAAGACGACACCTCTGTTTTGAGCAAGCCTTTCTTGTTTGCTGCTGCATTCTGCTTGATCTCGATTTTCCTGGGAACGCTTTCTTCCGTCGGCATCTCACTGTCTTGAGGCGGCTCGGCCTGCTTCAACACTCACCAGAACGTTCCTAGTTATCTTCGGCAACGTATCCCATGCCTTTCCTCCACCAGGACCAGACGCTTCGTTGCTGCATGATGGCACCGAATTCTTTTACCGTCCCGACCTCGAACAAACCAACTTGGACGTCGCGAATTCCGGAGGCATCATTCTCCGGCGTGATAGGCGCTGGGCGAACGGCCAGTTGGTAATCCTTGTATCGGAGTCTCTGCGGAGGTGTCAGTGGAGAGGTGTGATCGGGCGACGCTTCTCCACTTACATTGACTGACGACACCCACTCCTTCACGCCATTGGCGCTTCCCTCGGCATACATTATTCCAGGACAGCCTCCACTGCACAGCAAAGCATACACACCATGATTGTCGGCGGCTTTCTTCAGATTGGCAACCTTCTTCCGAGAGGTGATGTGGTGCGTGCGGATCAAAGCATTGTACAAGGGGTGCGAGACGCGCGACATGCAGGGAGGAAGGATTGACCAGAGTTTTGGAGAAGTGAGAGTGACGAGACGCGATGCAATGACGTCGGTGTTTTCAACCCCAGCTTCGGAAGAGCTTCGGCGAACCCTGTGCGTGCACGGCGGGGCAAGCGCGTCTCCAGGCAGCCGGAGCTTCTGTGCGGTTCCAATTCAACCACCCACCAACCCCAACGGCTACGAGCAGGCAACCGCCCTTGCAAACCGCTGCTTCACGCTCAGTTCAGAAGTAAACGAACTCCTACAGCTCTCCATCCAATCCTACGACCCATCCCGACAGCACCTCACCGTCAACTGCCATGGACGCCGCCAAAAAAGCCCAGGACGCTGTGCAGGCCGGCCAGTACGACGTCGCAGTTGCGAAGTACACCGAGGCACTCGCCTCACAGCCCACTGCGGTTTCATACTACATCGGCCGTTCCACCGCCTATCAGCGTCTTTCGCCGCCCAACCTCGAAGCAGCGCTCCAGGATGCCGAGATCGCCGTGAACCTTGCTCACAAGCGCCAGAAGCGCGAGCTCATCGGCGAAGCCCAGCATCGTCGCGCCGTCGCCCTATTCGCTTTGGGACAATACGCAAACGCAGGACACGTCTTTGGCATTGTCAAGAAGTTCAACGAGAATGAGAAGACGCTGCCGATGTGGGCAATGAAGATCGAAAGCAAGCTTAAGAACCTGCCCGAGGGCGACGAGGCCCTCAAGGTCACTGCTGTCGACGTCCCCGACACTGAACCTGAATCTGCACCCAAGCCTCAGTCCACAAAGTCTAGCGACTCTTCCACCACTAAGGGAGAGCAGAAGGCATCGGCGACTCCCAGCGTTCCACAGCTCACTCCCGCGGACAAGGTCAGGCATGATTGGTACTCATCGGGCGAGAGCGTCACCATCAGCATCCTAGCCAAGGGTGTGCCCAAAGACAAGGTCACGGTCGAGATAGAAGAACGCAGTGTAAGCTTACTTCAACAAATGTCGCGTCGCTGGAGCTAATCAAGTGTAGTTGGCGGTATCCTTCCCCACGGCGAATTCGACGACGTACGAATTCAACCTCGATCCTCTCTTCGCGCCTGTCGTTCCCGACCAGTCGACGTACAACGTCACTCCTTCCAAGGTCGAAATCATACTCAAGAAAGCCACCTCGGGCCTCAAGTGGTCTGCGCTGGAGAGCACGGACGAGTCACTGGTCCAATCCGCCGCCACCAAGGTTTCTGCCAAGCCAACCGCGTCGGCTCCGTCCTACCCTACGTCGTCGCGCTCCGGGCCGAAGGATTGGGATAAGGTGGCCAACGACTTGACCAAGCCCAAAGATACAAGTGCCGATAGCCTGGAAGATGACGAGGAGGGCGGAGACCCTGCCAACGCCTTCTTCCGCAAGCTGTACCAGGGCGCAGACCCAGACACGCGCAGGGCTATGATGAAGAGCTTCCAGGAAAGCAACGGCACGGCTCTCAGCACCAATTGGGCTGAGGTCAGCAAGGCAAAGGTGGAGACGAGCCCGCCTGAGGGCATGGAAGCCAAGCAGTGGGAGGCTTGAGGCAAGAAATGTGCCCTGTCATGTCTTCGCCCTCAGCCAACGAATTACTTCTGGATAGTCTTCGGAGACTTTTACTCACTTCCTCATTTCCTTCTCCGCCTTGCCGCCAGACGGGCGATTCCGAGGGTACCTCTACTTTAACCTGGTACCTTCTTTTGTCGGATTGCATTGCGATGGCGTTTGGAGCTTTTCATACTGGATGATATGGGCATTACATTGATACCTGGTGTAGGAGGGAACGGGATTCCCTAGTGAGCAAAAGCTGGCATGCAAGGAGTAGTAATTGGCCACAATTAAGGTTGCTATAACTTTTCTCTCAGCTGCCACGTGCGTGCAATGGCAAATCCGTCACCAACTGTGCTCCTGGTAAGCGGGGCGGAATGACGTCTTTGGCTCGCGCCCCGAGGCACCGAGACATTCAGCACTGCTGACAAAGTGAAATGCACTGGCACCGCCTATGGCACGCTCCCCGTGTTTTGCTCCAGACCTCCTCCCCTTACTCAGCGGAGCTTTCGGGCATTTGTGTCCGAGCCGCGGTCCGTCAGCATTTGAAGCTTCAACCAATCGTGTAGCCCGAAGATCATGTGTCAACCGCATGTTCATACGTCAGAATCGACCTTACAGGATGGCTGGCCACCACCAAAGAAGGCAACCCAAGCGGGGGCAGGGACCAAGTAGTTGGAAGGATCTCACGAAATGGCCTTGGTGTTCCTTTTGCCCCGCTCCCCTCCTGCATTGCTACGATGGTCGCTAACAACGCGATCCAATTGCCTCTCTGCCCACACCTCGCTCCCTCGCGCTTTTCTTATTCCCGTTGACTCCGTCGTTGTGAGACCAAAGCTTTCGTGATCGCCGGCTTCTAGAGCGCCGTATATAAACGCGCCGTCTTCTGCGCAGAGAAAGAGGCTATTTAACAAGCCGTCTCGACAACGGCTCAGACAACCAAGATTCACGCACTTACTTGGCCAAAGACTTGCGCCATATATCCCAAACTCTTAACGACAGCGCAACTCCAGACTCGCATCTTACGCAGAAACATGGCTACCTCGACCAAAATCCAACTCACGGCCAACGAGAAGCCGGCGTTTTTCGTCGCGCCGCTGAGGAAGGACTCGGCCGAGAAGGCGTCGGAGCTGCTGCAAGAAAACCATACAAAGCATCATATATACTTCAACAGTGAAGGATTTCACGTAAGCTCGGGAGACCCATCTACCTACAGCTTCCATCTCCCTCAATAGCATAGCCCTCATATCCCTTTCCCTCATTGGATTCGACTGACAGATCCCCCTCCAAGAACCACATCGTCCACCACCTCCTCACCCTCTACGCCCTCGGCGCCCCGCCCTCCTCCATCCAAGCCGCGTACGACGCCAACCGGACCTACCAGCGGCCGCCGGTGGCGGTCCACCCGCGCGTCGCGGCGGACCTCAGCAGCCGCTCGACCTTCGCCGCGCACCTGGGCGACGAGGCCTACTACGGCGACTACCTCGCGCACTTCTCGGCCGAGCTCGAGGCCAAGGGCGTGCGGGCGGTGCTGAGCGAGTACCTCTTCGCGCGCGACGAGCGCGCCGACGACCTGCTCGTGCGCACCTTCGCGGGCTTCCTGCACCCGCTGATCCACGTGGGCTTCGGCGTCGAGTTCGCGCAGCCCGCCGTCGTCGCCGAGGGCCTCGCGCAGGCGGCGACGCACGATGCCTGGATCGGCAAGTTCTTGCTCGGCGCGGAGGAGGTGGCTGAGGAGAGGAAGGAGAGCGGGGAGGCGGATTACGGCGTCAGGCTCGTGCAGCTGCTCGAGGAGATTAGGGGTAACGAGAAGACGGCGGGTGCGGCGCGGTGGGAAGATCCGAACAGGCTGCGTGATGGGGTGATCAAGAGGGCCGGCAAGGAGATGTGCGAGATCGCGGCGAAGTGGGTCGTCAACGGGGACGGGGCGGAGCGGGAGCGGGAGCTGGAGCGCAAGACGGCGGAGATGATTGATGCATCTGGTAGGCATCTCTCGCACACGGGCTCTTGAAGTGCAAGAAACCGCTAACACACCACACACACACTCAGTGTTCTTCACCGCTGCCGCTCAGCGGCCCCCGCATACGCACAAGATGGACTTTTTCTACATGCACTCGACCAATTCCTCCGTGTTCTTCACCTCCTTCCTCACTTCGCCGCTCTTCCCGGCCGACGCCCGCGCGCGCCTTCTCGAATGGAAGGGCCGCTTCGACCTTGGCAACTACGCCTCCCGCGGCGCGCCCAAGCTCCTGCCTGCCGAGCTCGTCGACTACCGCTTGCCCAGCTACGCAAATGGCGGCTGGCAGCAGCTCATCGACCACGTAAACGGCCTCACCGACGACGACGGGCACGTGTCCAAGATGTTGCGGGCTGTGGCCAACGGCGCGCAGGCATGCGACGCGCTGTCGCAGGAGGAGAGGAGGGGGTTTGCTGTCAATGGACAGGAGGTCTGGCGGAGGGCCGCTGCCATGGGCCTGGACGGCACGCAGGCGGGCGGCCCGGCGTGGGTCAGGAGCTGCGGGTTTGAGCAGGCTTGGGCGGAGGTGCCGGTTAGGGCGGGTGCGGACGACAGCACGAGGTCGCAGCTGTGAGGCTGGCGGGTAGGTAGATGGGCAGGCGCGAGGCTGGTGACTGGCAGCTTCCCGGCAGTCCTTTGTGAATATATACTCTGTCATCGCGCACGTCTCCGTCTTGTTCTCCTCTTCTTCACCCCGATGCATTGTTTTAATATGACTATTGTTTCAACTTTTATTGATAAACTTTTGCAGGCCTTCGCGGCGTCCTGCCTGCGTTATTTAACGCAAAGGGGTTGGAAAATCCTCAAGCGCCTGTCCTCTGACGGCACCTTGCCCATCTCCATTTGGAGGTGGGTAGCCTATGTGGAGAAGTGCGCCGCGAAGATCGCGGACCACCAGCTCTCTCGGTCAAGATTCCTGTGTTTGTTCACAGAGGAGCTGAGTGGGACGCTCTTCGTCGGCTGGCTCTCCGAGATTCTCATCAGTGGGCTGTGGGCGGCAGCAGCACTGATATCTCGGTTGGCCACATTCCTCATAATGTGGAGTGGCATTTCTTCATGACAATGCCGTTAGGGGGCAGGTGCTTGAAAAAAAAAAGTAAGTACAAACCACATATTCCCACTCCCTTTCTTGTAACGCAATGCTAATAGAGAAAAAAAAAATTTTAAAATAAAAGTAAGTCCAGACAGCTGATCTCATTCCTCCTTTTTTGAAACAATTCTAATCTTCACTTCGCAGAAAAAAAAAAAAAAAGACAAGCAAGAGAACGCCTTTGCGCGCGGCAAACTTGCCAGGAGCTGTTTCATCCCTCCGGACCTCCCGAGCTGCTTAGCGATATTCCACGCGCTCTTTCCCCTTGTATACAACCTTTCTGCGCCTCATATCTAAGGAGTTTGCGCCACCTAACAGAATCCATTCTTGACAACCTCCAAGAGAGCATTCTGAAGAGTCGCAAGGCAGTTCACGCAACCCGTAATAGGTCTGTCTCGCCATATCCAACCAAATGAGTACCACTGACCCCAAGCAAAGAGCACAAACCGTCGGGCTCATCCACCAGGGGTCCCCGCATACTCCAGAAACGAAACAGAGAATATAGAGGATGAGGTACCATATCGCGCCAGCCATGACAGGAACCACGGTACCAAAGAAGTAACAAACTGCGCGGAAGCCACTGCTCGGTCGCTTCTGAACACCAGTCAGCTCACGATCGAACCTTTGGAAAGACCGTCTCCGGCTCTTTGCCGCCAACAAGCAAAAGAAAATGGAGAGTGCACGACTCACGAAAACTTCGGCGATAAACTCGTCTGTGACCTCCTCCATCGTAATCCACTCCCCCCCTTTCTCTTCAAACTCGTAGCCACCCTTCTCGGGATCACGAACGTGGGCAAACTCGAGCTTCCGCCTGCGCAGTTCATGCGAAGCCTGCGGCCACGCGTACTCACCCCTCCACACGTCCACGGCCACCATCAGCAGCTGCCCGCCCGTGACGAAGAGGATCCATCCAGCCACTTCACTCAACCAGCCCGGCAGCACGGACAATTGCACGACGCCCGTGACAAAGTGATGCCACAGAAGCAGCAGAGTCACCCAGTAGATGACGGACGTGTCCGGCCTGGTGGCCTTGAAGATCGACATGAAGATGGCCAAGCACAGCCAGAGCAGGGCATTGATGACGAGGAAGTGGTTGAACACCCATGGTTGGGGGAAATGCGTGTGGGTGAGGAAGTCTTCGGGGAAAACGAGGCGAAAGAATTCCAGGTTTAGGAGGAGGACTTGCGGCCCGACGAAGGTTCTTCCGAGGTCGCGCCAGGTGATGTCTCGAGGCTGTTTTTCCTCGTCGGAAGGCGTGGCTTGGTCCGTGTGGACGTCTACCGTGTCGGGAGAGGTGGCTTGCTTCTCAGATGCAAGCCAGATGTCGTCGGCGGGGACGCTTTGGTTAAAGCGGAGGTCTGGGATGTCCGAGAACATCTTTGGCGGCTCCGGCAAAGGTCTTTGGGCCTCCATGGGGATTGTTCGTTTGGAGTGGAGGGCTGGGCTGTATACGGCGACGTAGTCGTCCGTGTCGTCTCTCAGAATTCCCGAGGCCGTCTTGTGGTTCGTGTTGTTTGTGGGAGTCGCTTCGACTGGAGGAAACGGAACTCGAGTGGGAGAAAATATCTGTGGGCACTGGGGTTCTTAAACATGACGATATTGGACTTTGGCCTGTGCGTATATATATGTACCTTGGTTCGCTCATGCCCCAGGGTCCTTGGCTTGGGCAGAATTTTATCGTGAACCTGAAACTGCATTCAACCAAGGCAACCACCGGTGAGATGACCTTGAACTCCATGGGACGTCTTGTCCAAGTTTCGAGTACGCAGTCATGCTACTAATTCAGAAGGGGAATACTCAATCCGCCCACTCGAAGTTACGAAGGCAGAAACAACATAGGGTTCTTTATTCGTGGTTGCGAGTCGCCACGGGATTGGTACCGTGGGACGGGTTGTGGTTGAATTCTCTTACTCAAGCAACTATATCCTCGGGTCAACGGAACGGCAATCTCTCCCAACAATCCGCCGCTTCGGTTTTCGATTACAGAAAAAAAAAACACCAAGCATCGGTACATGCGCGACTTGTTCGGAATCGACTTTGTAGGCGCTACGAGTTCCTACAAAATTCTCGTTGGATAGTAGATGGGGAACACTGAAGGACCGTAGAAGGTTCTAAATCGATAGCTTCCCGTAGACCCGATGAATAACGACTGCATTTAAAAATATAGCCCTTGTTGAGCGTAATCTTTTCATATTAGATTCGTTGTAAAAGAAGAAGCTTCATAGTAGAAGTATACCAACTTACCTTCTAAAAAAAGCTCGGGCTGCGAATAAACCGGTACTTAGAGCTTATATTTATTTCTATTTCATTTAGCACGATGAGCAACCAGGTCCCAAGAAGAAAACATTTCCCCGTTTCAAAACATGTTTCCAAATCAATAAACAGAATGAATGCGGTTGTCACTTTAGTCGTCCTTTACATCCGCATGAAATACTTTTTCTCACGCAAAAACGAAAGAGATGAACGATAAAAGGCTATAGTTTAGGCTTGTGCCTGATCACTAAACCCGAAGCAATGTGAAAGCCTCGGCTCTATGCATTGGTAGGTGAGCTATTATAACCTTCACCTCAATCCTTTCATGCCCCGGCCCGTCCCGTAATGCATCATAAGAAAGCCATCTATTTCCACTTCTGCACCACGACACCGCCGCGCTTGAACTCCGACATGTCGCCCAGCACCAGCGCCTTCTCGTTGAGCTCCTTGCTGGGGAATGTAGTCATGAGCGCATATTCACGCTCCAAGCTCGCGGGGCTGGCCCTGTTGACGAACTCGTAGAGGTCACCGATGGTGTGCGACGTGTTGAAGCGAGACTGCAGGCGGGTTCCATCACCGAGGCGGATCTGCATGGTGAGCGTGGGTTGCGAGTCATCGACCTGAACGGCAGGAGCCTGAGGCGCGGCCGAGCCCGACGCAGTGGCAGCAGGAGCAGCAGCGGGGGTAGGCGTGGAGCTTCCGCTGGTCGCACCAGGGGTGGGACTGCCCAGCCTCTGGCCCGAACCAGAAAAAGGCTTGTACTTCGGCTTGGGAGCCACGTAATCCTCTTCCCTGTGTGGCTGGACCTCCAGGTCAACCTCTTGGTTGTGCTCGACGTCCAAGATATCAAGCGGGGCACGTCCGCTGTTGATCATCTCCAGCAGGCCAGCGTTTGCGGGGTCGTCGTAGCGGTAGAGGCGACCATCGTCGATCGAAAAGCCATCGCGCCAGAGGTGCATAACACGGCGGACGCGTTCAAGGCGACGAGGAGCGCTTGCGCCGGCAAGAGGGTCCGGAATGACGCGAGAGGGTTCCTCGTCGCCACCGAGGGTTTGGCCTTGGCCTCTAAAGTGGGTTGGGCGGGCAGGCTGCTGCTCGTCCTCGCTACCGGGGCGCGGCATATTCCTGCAACGAAAATCAGCACATGTTGCATCCACGGGTATACGTGGCCCAGAGTAGTAGCTCCTACCTCCTAGCGCGGTCGAGGATGCTGTTGATCTGGTCGCGGGTACTGGGGCCACTGTTCGGGTTCTGGACGGCTAGACCGGATTTTTCTCCACCGGCAAAGAAATCCTGGTCTTCTTCATCATCGTCATCATCGTGGCCATGCGCATGACCTTGGGACGCGCCCTCGCTTTGGATGTCCTTCAACGTCCTGAGACCGCCGCGTGCGCTCCCACGCTGCTGGCCACGAGCGCCGGAGGAGGATCTGGATGATTCGGGCTCATCAGCGGCGGGGGCCGGGGCGCCGCTGAGTGTGCGAGGGCCAGTGTAGCCCGGAGGGGCTTGTGCGGGTGTGGATTCGTCATCATCCTGCTCGTCGGGCTGATCCTGGGAAGCGTAGAACATGGTGACGGCGTTCTCAACATTCCACTCGGTGGCTTGGAGTGCTGTCTCAGCCTGGTTTGCTTCGTCAGTAAGCGCTCTGGCGGACTTTGGTCTGGGGGTGGGATGGCGCGCACCTCTTGAGGACCAGTGCCGGTGACGGCACAAAACTGCGAGATCAGGTCGTCGCGCTGCGTGCCCGTGGGCTCGGTCATGTTGGCGAAGTGGTTGGGGAAGAAGTATGGGGAAGCTGCAGGGTGGGCGGTAGATGGTCCTGAGTGTGCGCGACGCGATGCTGGCCTGAGTTGGAGGAAAGCCGAGCTGGAGTCGAGGAGTGCAAGGTGTGGGCGGCGGAGGCAGCGGCGGGGCAACGTCACTGCGTCTCGGCGGCGGAGCGCGCAGCGGCGGCCGAAGCTTCCACGGGCTTGGCGCCGCGACTGCTCCAAGAGAGCGTCACCGCTCGAGACTGCGACACCCCGTCCACCTCCGTCCACCCACCCGCCCATCATGGCTTCCCCCGCTCCCGAGCGAAACGTCATGTCCGAATCCGTCACCATCCCGTCCGACAGCGAAAACTATGACGGCAACAACGAGCTGTCGTCGTCGCCCGCCTCCTCGTCTAGCTCGCCCGTCATTCTCTACACCCCGCCTACCTTCTGGGGCCTGATGCGCGGCGCCGCTATAAACCTTGTTCTCCCCTTCATCAATGGCTTGATGCTGGGCTTTGGCGAGCTTTTTGCCCACGAGGTTGCCTTCCGCCTCGGCTGGTCGGGTACTAAGGTCAGTCGAGAGCCTACGCCTCCCATGCTTCGCTGCCAGGCCCGTCTTGGGCGCTGCAGCCCTCTCAGCGCGCTCACCGGCTGCGCCTATGCATATGCCATCTACTGGTGTCTCTGGGGGCCATGGTGACGTTTGCTGATGTGTTTCCAGATCTTCCCCACACACCGATCCAGCACCCGGCGAGTCGGACCCGGTGTGCAGATGCAAAGCGACCCGGTCCGCAGACGGAGACGGAGTGGTGAGGAGATGGACATGTATGCTGCCTTGGAGTGAAAACAGGAAGCGATGAAAACGAACCAGAGAGACGACTGAAGCATCACGGGGGCGCCAATAGAGCAGAGATGGATCTGTACATACTTCTGGCAGGCTCCAAGTAGATCAGTCTCGCCCCGCAGCAGCACGGGACCTTTTTTGAGGCGTTAGGCGGACTCATGAAAGAATAATGGATGAACGATTCTGATGTCTTCAGTTGCTATGTAGGACGCGCTTCAGGCCCGGCCGAGTCTTGTACGGTCCTCTTCGCCATGCTGGATAGCCTCGCACTCGCGGAAACGACGCAGCAACATGCTTGACTTGGGCGTCTGGGCGGCTACGACAAGTTACCTACTACTTTCAGTTACAAGCTCTCTCACGGGCTCAAAACCAGGTGTTTTCCGGCATGTGGCCTTCGTAGGGCTAGGCGAGTCCGATATCGATTGGCATGCGAGAGTTGCAGCGGGCAAGACACAAGTAGGAATGTGATTCAGGGGTGGCCCGTGTGCCTGGCTGTGCATGACAGGGATCGGCGCAGGCTGCCTCTGCGGTGTATGCAATCTCCCGGGCCAGGGCGAGCCCCGAACAAGCAGTAGCTGCCCGGCCTCCTTGCGCCCAGCTGACTCTTAAGCCTTGATTCCTGTCAGTTGTGGAGCAAAGATGCCGGAGCCTCCAATGCTATCGTTCATCTCGCCCATCATGTCGGCCAATCTCCAACAGTCAGGGCGCCCTGCAACTGCGGCCCACGACGGCGCCAGGAGAGATGCCGACGCCCAGTCCACACTCGAGCTGTGCCGTGAGTCGACCGTCGTTGGGAGGATTGCGGCGTTGCAAGGAGGAATCCATGTCTGACGCGATTAGTTGTGAACTCCAGAGGTGATGCATTCGGAGAACGCCAACGTCTACGCCGCTGTCGAAGCGTGCCTGCCGGACATTGCCAAAGCGGTTGATCTCATCAGCCCCAGAGTGGCCAGAGGTGGGCGTGTGATTTATCTGGGCGCCGGCCCGGGCGGAAGGTAGATACGTCGACTCCGGTCCTAAAACGGAGAGATAGAGAGATGCTCTAACCCCAGAACCAGGTACGGCGTCCTCGAAGCAGCCGAATCGTCAGTCACCTCGACCGCAATATCTCTGCCTTTCTCTCTGACCCTTCCAGCCTGTCCAACCCATCCATCCCGGCCCGCCGCTTCCTCGGCCAGCTTGCAGGCGGCGATGTGGCCATGCGCTACGAGGCCGAAGGCGTCGACGAGTCGATCGACCTGGGCAAAGCCGACCTGGCCGTGCTGTCTCCGCCTCTCGATCCTGCCCGCGACACGGTCGTCGGCATTCTGCTACCAATGTCGTCGCTGTACGTGCTCGGCGGACTGAAGTTTGCCAGGGATGCGAAGTGTCTCGTGCTGGGTATCGCCCGCATGCGTATTGGTGCCATTGGCTCCATCTGCAACCACGTTGTTGAGTGCAACACCGAGGGCCCAGAGATGGGGTTCAAGGCGGGGTTGGCGTTGAAGATGGTGAGCTCCAACTCTTTGCGCTACCTTCCCACCCAGCTGACTGATGTAAACAATAAGATCCTCGGTATGATCTCCGACGGAGTCAACAACAAAGCTGTCACCGGCCGCCGACCGCACAGGTAGCATCTGCCGCGGGTGGTCAGAGACGAAATTGGTATGTTATCTGATTGGCTCTAGACCGGGTTGCACTTCGCCACGGGTAATTAGTAAGTGAAGATGGTTTGTTGTTTTCAATCTAGCAAGTTCAACTCAGGCGCGAAGAATGCTTCTATAAATAAAGTTGTCGTGCTTACATCGGACCCCGTGCTCCAATTTCCATTCTGTGATAGGTTAGCCGTTGTAGACTGAAAGAGAAAAAGGTACTGAAATGTTGCTATGTAGTCTCCGGACACTGCTCCGTGTTCAGATCCGGAGCACGACCAATCAACGCCATTGTAACGCCAGGTACAATGCCGAAAGAGGCGGAGCTATATGCTGACTTCCGTATCAGCATCCAATCACATTTCATGGTCGATGCAACGTTGCCTAGACTTCACTACTGCTCTCCCATCAAGGGGCATGGTACGGCACTGCGCGGAACAGAAGAACCGTTGACGTCACGTCACCCCGCTTTCAGAAAGCTGCTCACAGGAAAATAGCGTATCGATACCTCAAACACAAAAAAGAAAACAAATGCCCCTCAGGATACGCAAAGGACGCCAAACCTGATCAATAAAAACGCAACACCTACCTCCTGTGCTACTACCACACACATCATACCCACATCGTATCGTAAATCAGTGTATCATGGCTTCCAGCAACCCCCAAACCAGGCACATCCTCATCTCCGGCGCCGGCATCGCCGGCCCCGTCCTCGCCTTCTGGCTGCACCGCGCCGGCAACATCCAATGCACCATCGTCGAGCGCTCACCTGCACCACGCACGACGGGGCAACAGGTCGACATCCGCGGGGAGGCGCTGGAAATCGTGCGGCGGATGGGGCTGGAAGACGCGGTGCGCAGCGCGACGGTGCAGGAGCGCGGCATGGCCATCGTCGACGGCGCGGGCAAGCACGTGGCCGAGTTCGGGTCGCAGGAGGGGGCGGAGGGGGGCAAGTCCTTCACGGCGGACGTCGAGATCCTGCGGGGGGAGCTGGCGCGGGTCTTGTACGAGGCGACGAAGGGCGTCGAGGGGGTCGAGTACGTCTGGGGGAACTCGATTGCGGGGGTGACGGAGGTGGACGGCGGGGTGGTGGTGAGGTTTGCGAAGGAGCTGGGCCATGGGGAGGAGCAGCGGCCGGAGCGCCAGTTCGACCTGGTCGTCGCGGCCGACGGCATGAACTCGAAGACGCGCGGGCTCGTGTTCGACGACGCGGACGCGCTCAAAGACCTCGGGCAGCACATGGCTTACTTCACTATCTTGCCCGCGCCTAGCGACACGCGGTGGGCGACGTGGTATAACGCGCCGCGCGGCCGCCTCGTCTTCCTGCGCCCGGATCTGGACCGCAACCGCGTGGGCGCCTACCTGGCCGTCACCAACAACGACGACGTGCCGCGCAACTACCTCCAGCTGAGCGTGCCCGAGCAGATGAAGATGTGGGACGACCTGTTCCGCGACGCCGGCGGCGAGTCGCAGCGCGCCATCCGCGGCATGTACGCCTGCGACGACTTTTACATGCAGCAGATCGCCCAGGTTAGTTCATTACGCAGAATTCTATTCCTTCTCCACCTCACAGGTTATCGTTTCAACAGGTCAAGATGCCGCGCTGGACCAAAGGCCGCGTCGCGCTGCTGGGCGACGCCGGATACTGCCCCTCGCCCATCACCGGCAAGGGCACCTCCCTGGCCATCATCGGCGCCTACGTGCTCGCCGGCGAGCTGAGCAAGCACCGCGCCGACCACGAGGCTGCCCTGGCCGCCTACGAGGACGTGATGCGGCCCGTCGTCGAGAAGGCGCAGAAGATCGGCCCCGGCGCGCCCGCCATCGCCAACCCGCAGACACAGTGGGGCATCTCTATCCTCAACGGCTTTCTGGGTGCTGTTTCTTGGACCGGCCTGGCGGGTTGGTTCCAGGGCTTTCTCCTTTCCGACAAGCTCATCGATCTGCCTCCATATGATATGTGAGATTCGTTGATGCTATTACTATTAGAGTGCTACTTAACTACATGTATCAATCTTGGCATTCACTGGACAGATATCACGCTTCAACTCAACCCAGCACCACCGTCTTCCGTCTGGTGCGAGCAGCCCTCTTTACACCTGACAATCCCGCCTCTCTCCCCTGTTGACCGGCGCCAGAACCGACGCCGACGACACAGCTAAGCCCCAAACCCACCCCCATTGCCTGTTCCGTAATCCGTGCTCCTCCACAACCACCTGCCGAATCCTTCGAGTCTCCTTGCCGCGTTCCCTCAACCGACTTTGCCCGTCTCCTCACCACCGTCGCACTGCGTGCGAGCCGGTTCGCACCGTCGTCGCCGGATACCGAAGCTGGTTCCAAACAAGTCGCCGCTCCTTGCTGTTGTTTCTGTTGTTGTAGCTGCAGCAGCAGCGGACTGACCTTGCCAGCCGCCAAGACAGCCTCCAAAAACGACTGCTCGGGCGACTTCTTGGGGACGACGACGCCGTTGCCCCAAGACGGGAGAAGGCCCCTCTTCCGCTGCTCCGGCTCCAACAAGTCTTCCGGCCGCACCTCAGGCTCAGGCACGGAAGGTCCGCAGGTGCTGCCCCTCTCGCTGCTCGCCGTCACCATGATCTCCCACTGCACACCGCTGTCTTCCCTCCCGCTCCTTTCAACACCAAAACCACATCCGCGACCATCATCATCCTCCTCACTCTTCCCCGCCACGCTCTCCTCCCCAGACGCATTCCTCACCCAATTCCTCCCCTCGATCCCCAAGTCCCCCCCTTCCCCCTCAACCACCGAATCGACAGCGTCACTCTGCTTCCTCCCACCGCCGACCCCAACCCCCCTCCTAACCCTACACCACCTCCCGCTCCTCTCCAACACCCCCCTCGCCTCCTGCTCCACTCCTCCTCCGACATCCACCCCCTTCCACCCACCGGCCTCTCCCCGTACGACTTCTTCATCCCCCTCACCACCACCACAACCAAACCCCAACGCCTCCCTCCTCCTCCGCCCCGCCGCCCCCGTCTCCTCCCTCAGCACCTCCGCGTCCACCTCGCACGCCCGGACCATGGTCGTGCTCAGCGGCGAGCTGGTGCCGCAGCTGGAGGTGCGCCTGTGCGAGCGACCGTTGGCTAGTGATGATGATGATGATGACGACTGCTGCGATGATGAGGAGGAGGGATGGGGGTGGTTGGGGTGGTCGTTGTGATTGGTGTTCGCATCGTCGCCGCTGAGGCTGCGGCGCGAGGTCCAGCGGAGGGGGCGTTGGCGGGCGGCGCGGTGGTGGAGGAGGGAGAGGAGGGCGGAGTTGGGGGCGTGATGGGGGTGGTGGGCGGAAGGGGGCATTTGGTTGATGGGGGTGGCTGGTCTGCCGGTGAGGGGAGCGGGGTTGTTGTGGTTGTTGTTATTGCTGCTGCTGTTGCTGCTGCTGTACGCACCGCAGACAACAGGTGCGGTCGTACGAGTAGGGCCGTCGTCCACGACGGGTCTCACACTGATTGGCATGCTCGGTGGCGGACCGGACGGGGTTGGGATCCTGCGGTGGCTAAAGGGAAGGCCATGCCCACGTCTGGCGATGCCGCTGACAGCGCCTCCAACCGTGCCGTTTCGGCGCCATTCCGCATGTTGCTGATGCTGCTGCTGCGCCTGGCGATGCGCGTGCTGCTCCGCCGTCAACCGCGCCAACGCCGCCGTCGTCAACGCCAACGACCCGACGCTCTCACCGTTGCCTCGCTCCTCATTCACCGCCGCCATTGCCGTCCAGCCGCCCGATGACGTCGTCGGCGTCGTTGTCGACCAGGAAGTCATCTGCGGCGGGCTGTGGTGCGGCATGCTCTGCGGCCTGGCTCTCGTCTTCGCCCTCGTCTTTGGCACGTTCAAACCCCCCTGTGGCATGCTAGCAACATCGGGAGGAGAGACGCTACGACCGCCGCCATATCCGGTAGTGCCGCCGCCGACAACGAGCGTCACCCCAGGCGGATTTGGATGGACGGCCCTCCACGCCGAATCGAGGGGCGGGGGGCTTCTCGCCGGGCGTGCGGGCACAAGACGAGCTGGAGAAGAGCTCGGTGAGCCAGAAGGGGAAGAGAGTAGAGGCATTGATTGCCCATAGCTCTTCGATCGCTGTTGTTGGTACGGCAATGTGAGGGGCCGTTGCGGTGTGTACCTCGACTCCGCACTTGAGACGCGGCGGGCAGTGGTGGTTGATGCGGAGACGATGGGGGCAGCGGGTAAAAGGAGTGGTGGAGGGGGTAGCGGTGGGGGGCCGTTGGTACCAAAACGAAGAGGGAGGGGAGGAGGAGGAGAGCTGTGGGCCCAATTGAAGTGCTTGGAGTGTTGGCGCACGCTGACGACGGCGTCGCCCGACGATGGCGAGGGAGGAAAGGAAGGGCCGGGCGTGGAACCAGCGAAACCGCCATCAAGGATGCTGGTTGTTGTCGTCCTTTCGGTCATGGCGGTCTCCGGGCGGAAGAATGTTGATGAGGTTAGGGAAGTGAGGGTTGAGGTGGACATTTCGGCTGCACGGCGAAGGGCCGGGTTGTACACGCCGTCTTCCGGGTGCGGCAACTTGCGAGACTGGTGTTGAGGGTGGTTGATGTCATTGTTTGTTGTTAGCGCTGAGAGGGAACATCCAAGGAGACTGGCCTCGAAGGGGCGGCGGACGACGGTGAGGATACCGAAGAGAGTGAAGGAAGCGGCACTGCACGAGCAGTAGATTAGCATAAACTCGTTGGATGGATAAAGCGCGCTACTTACAGTGCAAGGAAGGAGATCGCAGCGCTGAACCGCTCCGCAATGCACGAGCTGCCCACTCTCCAGCGGTTGTCAGAGTCATTCGAGAAAGACTGTGGAAGGCAGATTGGCTGACGCGCCGCGACGATGAAGTTCCAGCCGGACGTCAGCAACCAGCAGATGCAGAGCATGACGGAAAGCCTGATCGCAACGTAGCAGGCATTCGCAAGCTGCCGCGAAACAATTCCATGTTGTAGCCGGTGGTGCTTGCGGTAAACGATCGAATGGAGGATGATGTAAGAGAAAGACACAAGAGCCTGGACGATCGTCAGTTACACTGTACGGGTGATGCGGTCGATAACTTACCGAAACAATTGTCAGCACCGTGGACGGCAAGAATGTCCTGTCAATGCTGTGGGTGGCGAATAGAGCGAGCATGGTAATGAGAGGGATGAGTGAGCTCCAGAGTAAGACGTGCAAGCATATCGTGATGGCTAAAAGAGTCCGGCGGCGACGCCTGAGGGGGTGCTGCACGCGAGTCGTAGTCGTCGGCCTCCAGAGCCTTTCTAGTCCTTGGGCTGACCTACGGTGCCAGCGGGGCCAATGGAACCAAAAGGGAGAAGACGACATTTCCGGTGTTGGGAATGCTCTCTCCCAAAAGTTAAATGAGACCTCTGATCTGAGAACCTATAGATCGATCGGGCGCCACCCTGTGTGATTCCTGAAGTGGCGAAAACCTTCGGAGAGAGAGGGGCAAATGATAAGACAACCCAGTGCTAAGCCGTTGCTCTGCGGTGGATATTAGTACGATGAGCTCTGCGAGAATCCGCTCCTTCAAGCCGCGTTGCCGATGCAGTGTATCGCGAGCTAGGTAGTACCCCGTCTGCAGCAACGTCCTGCTTGCACGGCAGATGACCAGAAAGCAAGGAATCAGACGAGACGCCAGCGGGTTCCTGGGGGACGAAACTGGCTGGCCCATCTTGAAGACGCAAGATATGTCTCCCAGTAAAGGCGAGGCTAGCGCAAACTTGCAAGAGGTTGGTTTGAATTGAAAGAGGCAAGCACTGAAGCACGCCGGTAGATGCAGTTGGCCAGCCACTTTGGAGTGGTCAAGAAGGCCATGGTTCGACGCGAGCTGGAACTGCATTCTTGCGTGCTTGGAAGGCTGGCGCCATGGAATGCGCCCATGTTTTGAGGTGGTTGCTGGAAGGAAAAGATGAGGAATGCTTGTCAAGACTTCTAACCACTCATATCCTCGGATTGCCACGTAGTTCCTACACGCAGGGAGCCGTGCAGAAAGGTGACATGTGTCGTTGTCTCGGGTACCTACCGGTCAGTCCTGCCGAGAATTCCTAGAGGTAGGGTAGCCCCATCAGACATGGGGAAAATTTGAGAGGCTCATCAAGCTTGTACGATAAGCAGTTCGCATCAGATAAACTCCATTCTGATGTATGTACCTCGGAAGTAACCCCGTGGAGTCAGGGTATCCGAATTATCGAACGATGGCGCCACTGCAGTCGCGAGATACTCTGTTCGTGGTCCGTCGGTGTGTAATCGCGGTCTAACAAACTACTACTTCATGTCTCACAAGTGACTAGGGATCTTATCAACTTGTGTGACGTCCCTAGTTTCGGTCCCTGCATAACCTCCACCCCCTTTTGTGTGGCCACGCTGCTGTTTGAGTCCTTGGCAGCCTTCAATCATACAACGCTTTTCAAGAACCCGGCGAAAAGCTGTCCGACAGTTGGCTGCAGGGACATTAGGTTCGTTAGACCCAGTGGGGCACTTGGACATCCGTCTCTTTGAAACGTGTCGGATATTGCCTTGCCAAACGGTAGAAAGGCTATTGTCCGCCGTGACCCAAATCTTCTCAAAGATGGCCCCATCTTATCGACGGCGAGGGTGATCGAGACTTCAAGAAAGCATCTTGTGTTCCGTGTGACGACCCTTGGCCTGACATCACTGGTGCCGCATGCCATATGTTGTGCTTCCTCCGTGCTGTGCTCCTCTTTCCCAAATGTGGATAGTCAGTCGACCGTCTGCAGACCTCATCAGAGGACGACAAGCAGGACGAGGATGACGATGAGGACGAAAATGAGAACCGCAATGCAGCAGCTGGAGTACTTGTCTGGCGTCCCAAAGAGTCAGCACACATGAACCACACACGCCCACAAACGAAACCCACAACTCACCCTCATTCTGCCGAATGACCCACCCCACCCTCTTCAACCCGTTCTGCAGCTTCCCGCCCACCCGATCCGCCACGGTATCCACCTCCTCCAGAATGCCCCCCTGCTCCTCCAACTCCCTCCCCATCTCATCCGCCTGCATCCTCAAATTCCCCACAGTCCTAAACACGCCATCGAGCGCCTGATCCTGCTCCTGCATGAGCTCCATCTGCCTCTCCTGCTCCATCGCCGCATACGCATCATCCCCCAACATATCGTCATCCTCCTCGAACCCATCCGGATCGGGCAGAACGTCCGGGTTCGCGCTCGCATCCTTGCCCTTGCCCGCCGCGGAAGAAGAAGCAGAAGCGGCGGCAGTCGATATCGTCTTGACCAGCTCCGCGCGCATGCGCTCCACCTCCTTGCCCACGTCCTCGACCAGCCGGCGGCGGCGCTCCACCTCGTCGATCTCGAGGCCGAAGCGGTACGGGTCGCGCTCGACGGCGCGCACGCTGTCGACCAGGTCCTGCAGGTCCGCCGACAGGTCCGTCAGCGCCTGCTCCAGCTCCTGCCGCGCGTCGACGAGCTCCGGGTTCGCGGCCGACGACGCCGAGCTGCGGATGCGCAGGTACGATTGGAAGAGCGGTCGGGTCGTGTCGAGGAGGGAGAGGACGTCTCTTTTTTGGGGGACGAGAGGTTAACACCAATTAGCGCGGGGATTGCATTGCATGGACAGGTTTGGTGTTTGGGTCTTGAAGCTTTTTTTTTGTGTGTTTCTTTGTCTAGCATCGCCGCGCGCTATGGGAGAATGTGTGTGTGCTGCGCAGAAAGCATCCGCGCGTGCATTGCGGGATACGTGTATTTGGGACAGGTATGCGACAGGGCGGGGGCGCGTACGCTTGGACTTGGAGGAAGGGATCCTCGTCGTTCGTCGCGCTCATCATGTTTGCGGTGGCGAGGGGCGCGAATTCGTCAAGTTGGGTTATTAGGAGGAGGTAGCTGATTGTCGCATGGGAATAGTGTCGTGGTTGATGGAGCTGTGACGGAGCTCGGAGCGCGCGTTCACGGGTCCGTCCGTCCGCTTCGGCTACACCTGCCGCCGCGAATGGCCTGCCTCACTTCAAGCCTCAGGCCCGCGTGATATCATTTCAGCGCAGAAGGCAAATTGCAGACCAGTAATTAAGAACAAATCCATATATTCATCTAGACAGTATAATGACATCTAATCGCGTCATAGGTTTTTTGATCATTTCTGATATCCTTACCCGTTCCCACCCATGATATTTTCCACCAGCTCTCTGCAGAGGTTGATTCGAGGATTTCCCCGTCTTCCAAAGAACGCCAAATGAACCAGACAGCGAAAAAAAAAAAAGTTAAGCAGCAGGAAGCAAAAAAAGCGAGGGACCATCCCGCAATCAACGGACGACAGCTCCCGCTCAGCCAACCCACCTCCTCGCGCTCTTGAACATGCGCACCCAAGGGCCGAACTCGCCCCACTGGTCCGCCATCTCCTTCGGCGCCCAGCTGACCACGTCCTTGAGGATCGTGCGCTCCGGGTGAGGCATCATGGCCAGCACCCTGCCGTCGGGGCTCCTCACACCAGTAATACCGTTGGGGCTGCCGTTGGGATTGAAGGGGTAGCGCTCCGTCACCCGCTTGTAATTGTCAACGTAGCGCATCGCGACGAGCCCGTCGTTCTGGAGCGTCTCGGGCGACGAGTCCGCGGTTGGAGACGCCGAGAAGGTGGCGCGGCCCTCGCCGTGTGCGACGACGATGGGTAGCATGGAGCCATGCATGCCGTGAAGGAAGACGGACTGAGGGGTGGTGGGGGTAGCAGGAGGGTCTTGTACCTCGACCATGCAGACGCGAGCTTCGTACTGCTCGCTGGCGTTGCGCTCGAAAGTTGGCCAGGACTGGCAACCCGGAATGAGCTCCTTGACACGAGACAGGAACTGGCAGCCGTTGCAGACACCAAGCGCAAAGGTGTCTGTGCGCTCGAAGAAAGCCTGGAACTCCTTACGAGCCTCAGGGTGGAGCAGCACGCTCTTGGCCCAACCCTGGCCGGCACCGAGCACGTCGGCATATGAGAAGCCACCGCAGGCGGCGAGACCGGCGAACGAGGCGAGCGAGACGCGGCCCGTAAGGATATCCGTCATGTGAACGTCAATAGCTGAGAAGCCAGCAACGTTGAAGGCGAAGGCCATCTCAGCCTGCCCGTTGACACCTTCCTCACGGAGAATGGCAACACGAGGCCTAGCCGCGACCATGGAGGTAAGAGAAGTCGTAATAGGCAGAATGTTGTCCCTTGGGTTGAACGTTAGGTTGTACGCGAGACCGGGATCGACGTCGTCACGAATGTTCTCGTATTCCGAATCGGCACACATCGGGTTGTCACGAAGTCTCTGCATCTCGTGCGATGTAGCAGCCCACTGCTGTTGGAGCTCCTTGCGGCTCTCCTTGTAGACGACGCGGGCCGAAGAAGTGAGAACCAAGTTCTGCTTGGTGACCACCGGCACCCGCCCGATCTTCTTGATCATGCCAGCAGGAGGGCCGCAAGTAGCGAAGCACCTGCGGAATTCGATTTCATCCTTCTTCCTGACCTGGAAGACGGCGCCGAGCTCCTCGTTGAAGAGCGCCTCGATCATATCCTTGGTGTCCTTGCTAGGGCACAGCTCATCCAGCATCACCTCAAGACCGCAACGACCAGCGAACATCATCTCGACCAAAGTCGTAAACAGACCGCCATCAGAGCGGTCATGGTAGGCGAGGACAATGCCGGCCTCGTGGAGCTGCTCAACGGCATCGTAGAAGTCCCTGAGCAACTCAGCGTCGCGGACGTCAGGCGCCTCGTCGCCAACCTGGCCAAAAACCTGGGCCACAGCAGACCCGCCCATTGCCTTCTTGCCCTGGGCAAGGTCGACGTAGAGCAGAATAGTCTCGCCAACGTCCTCAAGGCGTTGCAGAGCAGGCGTCCAAGTCCGCTCGATAAGGTCAACCGGCGCGAAAGCGGAGATGACCAACGAGAGAGGCGCGGTGACTTCGCGGGCTTCCTTGGAAGCGGGGTCCTGCCACTTCATCTTCATCGACATCGAGTCCTTGCCGACGGGAATGCTGACGCCCAGCTTAGGGCACAGGTCCATGCCGATGGCCTCGACAGCCTCATACAACGCTGCGCCCTCGCCAGGGTGGCTGCTAGCAGCCATCCAGTTGGCAGAGAGGCGAACGCGAGACAGGCGCTCAGGGATACTGGCAGCGGCCAGGTTCATGAGCGACTCAGCAACGGCCATGCGGGCCGAGGCGGCGGCGGAGATGAGAGCCAGGTTGGGTTTCTCGCCCATAGACATGGCCTCACCAGTCTTGACCCCAGGAAGGAGCGAAGTGGCCGTGACGGAGACGTCGGCAACGGGAACCTGCCAAGGGCCAACCATCTGATCACGAACGGTAAGACCGCCGACAGTACGGTCGCCGATAGTGATGAGGAAATTCTTGGAGCCAACCGAGGGAAGAGACAGGACCCTAGATACAGCCTCGGGGAAGAGGCCCTCGGGCTCAATATCTGGAATGTAAGAGGTCAAGCTAGTGTCAAAGACAGGAAGCTTGAGCTGTCTTGAGTCAACGACCCTCGACATCTTCGGAGGTTTACCGAAAAGCACAGACATGGGCAAGTCGATGGGCTTAGGGTAGTCCGAAGAATCGCGATCCATCAGGATGAGCTGGTTGTTGTGAGAAGACTTCTCGCCAGTTGCCTCACCGACAACAGAGAAGCCGCAGCGTTCTCTCTTGCAGATACGCTTGAATTGATCAAGACCTTCTGGACCGACCGCCATGACGTAACGCTCCTGTGCCTCGCAGCACCAAATCTGGAGAGGGCTCATGCTCTTATCAGTGCTATCAACCTCACGCAGCTCGAAGGTTGCGCCGAGCCCAGAGTCGTGGACCAGCTCCGGTAGTGCGTTGGAGAGACCGCCTGCACCAACGTCGTGGATGAACTTGATAGGGTTTTGCAGGCCCAACGATGTGCAAGTGTTGATGACTTCTTGCGCCCTCCTCTGCACTTCAGCGTTGCCTCTTTGGACACTGGCAAAGTCAAGCTCGACTGACCCCTCGCCAGATTGGACACTCGATGCGGCACCACCGCCGAGTCCAATCAGCATGGCGGGACCACCAAGAACAATCAGGTGGTCACCAGGAGTGACAAGCTCAGGGTCCTTGAGCGCGAACTGCGGCCGGATGGTACCGACACCACCAGCGATCATGATGGGCTTGTGGTAACCTCTGATCTCGGTATCGTCATTAACCGGAATCTTGGTGGTCAGGGTGCGGAAGTAGCCGGCTGTGCAAGGACGTCCGAACTCGTTGTTGAACGCAGCGCTACCGATAGGCGCCTCCAGCATGATGTCCAGACTGCTGGCAATGTGCGCCGGTCTACCGACGTCCACTTCCCAAGGCTGCTCGAAGCCGGGGATGTGAAGGTCCGAAACGCTGAAACCGCAGAGACCGGCCTTGGGCTTTGATCCACGACCTACGGCTCCTTCGTCTCTGATCTCACCACCGGCGCCTGTGGCTGCCCCTGGGTAAGGGGACACAGCAGTCGGGTGGTTGTGAGTCTCGACCTTCGCAAGGAAGTGGACCAACTCCCTGGCCTGCACCCACTCTCCGGTGGCGTTGTTCGGAGCCCAGAAACTGGCATTGTCGCCCTCCAGAACCGCGGCATTATCGCTGTATGCGCTGACCGTGTATTGAGGGTGCGTCTTATGCGTGTTCTTGATCATGCCAAACAGGCTCATGGGCTTCTTGACGCCATCGATAGTCCAGTCGGCATTGAACTGCTTGTGCCTGCAATGCTCCGAGTTGACCTGAGCAAACATGAACAACTCGACATCAACCGGGCCCCTCTGCAGCTGCTCGGTGTATGCCTCCACCAGGTAGTCTATCTCGGCCGCATCAAGCGCCAGCCCCAGCTCTTTGTTTGCCTTCTCCAACGCCTCCTTGGGCGTTGTGCCCTCAGCAAGCAGGTCAACGCTGGTAGCGAGAGCGGGCTCATGCTCGCCGAAGGTGTAGTTGAGGTCCGGCTGAGTCCGACTGATGGTCTGAGTCATACGGTCGTAGAGGAGGTCAGGTTGCGGGATGTCGGTGCTAGCGGGGCGCTTATCCGCGGGGAATGTGGCGGCAATGACCATGCCGCGCTCGATGCGCTTCACCGACTCCTTGAGTCCGCATACATGAGCGATGTTGGTGGCCTGGGTGCTCCATGGAGAAATGGTGCCGGGGCGGGGGCAGACGTAGAAGAGGGCGGTGTTTTCGTCGCGGGGCTCGCCGTTGCGGGTGAGGGCGTCGAGGATGGTCTGGTACAAGTGGTCGTCGGCGGAGGGGATGTCGCCGTAGAAAAGAAGCTGCTCGAGGGCCTTCAATTGGTCCGTCTGCAGCTCGCCGTTCGGATTGACAAAGTGAAGCCAGATGCCGCGCACCTCCTCGGCACCCAGCTCGCGCGCGAGCTTCACGCAGCGGAAGTTGGAGAAGGCCGAGGAGCCTGGGATGACCAGGTAGGGGTCTTGTGCCGCAGCCATGTTCCAGGCGGCGACTATATACGCGGGGTGGCGTTTGGGGGAGGACCGTGTGGTGGATGGTTCACGGCATAGAAAAAGTTCGGAGGGAAGAGCTTGAAGAAGTAAAGTTCGTAGTGGGGGTGCGGGGGTCCTGATCGGCCCGGGCGGTGATGCCAAGGCCTGCCCTTTTCATGTCCATCGCAGCGACAGAATGCCTGAAAACGTAGAGCGCATTCCGCAAATCAGTCTGAGTGCATCCCTTTTGCTATGCGCAGCAGGAACTGTAAACATCATGCAGATCCACAGTCTCAGCACCCCGGCCAGGCCACTGATCCGCAGCCAATGAACGCCGGCTTGAATGTAAATCTCGCCCGTAACCGGTATCATCGGCATGTTTATCGTCACCGCCCGTTGCTGTGCCTCTGAGATATCTCATGATATGCTCTGAAAGTGGGGATCTTTGTCGAACAGGAGGCCCAACTCGATTCAGAGCCCACCGTGTACGCGAAACAAGAAATTCGCAATTCTGGTCTTTGAAGCATGTGATTGCGAACCATAAAAGGGCATGGCTTTCTGATTGGATGTTGCTAATGGACGCCACGCGAATTCGCAATGGCCCAAGCAGTCGTGAGCAGGCGTCATATGGAGGAGGTAGTGATTTGACAGCTGTACAATGGTTTCGAAGCAGCGCAAAGGAATCGACTATTGTACGTGCACATGCGTCCGCATGGATGATGATACAAGTCGCCCTCGCATTTTTCCGCCCTGCCTACCGCCTGCCGCCTGCCGCCTGCCAGCCGCTCGACAGAAGTCGTTTGATCCTGCGCTCTTCATCTCCTATAATCCCAGCCCGCAGGGCCGCACATTATTCACCTGGATCCGCTCTAAAGGGGTGTCTGGTCGTCTACTGCGACTCGGGGTAGAGGCTCTCCTTGAGAGAGACGCCGAGCTCTTCCCGGAGGGGCTCAAGCTCCTTCAGGTACTCATCGTACTGGCCCTTGTTCTCAACCTTCGCCTTGATGCCTGTGATGTCCAGTCAGCACGGTTTCCCCATGACGAGCTCCATGTTCATCGCCACGGCCTGGCAAATCCGTGCGGCATGTCGCGGAGCGGCTCAGCAGTAAAGCGGAAAGCGGCATCAACCCACCCTCGAAGATCCGGACAGCGGTAGGGAAGTCGTTGACGCGCCTGGCGGCCTTGAGGGCAGCGGTGATGACGGAGGTGGAGGGGACGAGATCGTAAGCGAAGGCGTTGTTCAGGTTGCGCTGGTTATCGTGGAGCTACGTCAGTAACTGCTCCTGCGCACCACGGATTGTGGATGTGGCCGGCAGCGTGGCCGCACAGGCCGAGCATCACCACGGATCAAGGGAAGGTGGGTAGGACACACCTGGAGCTCGAAAACATCCTGAACGCCATCAAACTCCTTCTCGTATCTGTCAATGGCCGCGATTCGCGTTAGCTCGAGTCGTCCAGAGGCGGCGGGGTCGCGGTAGGCGCGCATATCGCGGCGTGGCAGCAGAATGGCAGAGCCTTCAGAACCCTCGTCGCCGCGAGAGCGCAGCCATTGGTGCTCCAGGAAGCGCGCTGGGCGATCGATCCGTACCTGGCAGTGAACTCCTCGAAGCTCTCCTCGTGGTGGTCATCGGAAGACCTCCGGACGGTGGTGCTGAAGCTCTTGGGGAAGCGCACGGCAGAAACGGGCGCAGCGCTGCGGATGAAGGTGGGACGGCTAGCGCGAGCCGCGATACGGAAGATGCTGGACGACATTGTGGCCGGGATGCGGGCGGGGCAATGTGATGCAGGATGGTGTGGGTGCGTGCTGCGGAGATGCGGGAGTTTGAGCTGTTAACGCAAGTTGCAGCGAGGTACGTTGGTGGTGTGAGTTCGCGGCCCTAGCAGGGTACCCGCCATCCCGGATTCTTCGCTCAGGCTCAATTTCGCTCCAGTAGAGTCACGTGAAGCTGCCGTTCATGCGAATCGAAGCGACCGTAATCGCCCTGACTCATGCTGCTGACACGCCTGCCAACCCGGTAATGGTGCCAGTGCCATTGGACACCGTTATGGTGGTTCCGCCTTCGACACTCTGCACCCAAAGCCAGCGAACGATCAATATGCATTACGACTGCGGTATCTACCATGCTCTCCATCTCGCTCTAGCCGTGCCATACAGTACATCTATGCTACTCATTCATACATAACGAAGGATGTGTGCTTATTACAATAGTGTAAATGATGCCGTCTAACCCGAGGCTGCGTCCTCTCCCCAAACAGGGAAAGGTCTCAAAACAACCACAATCAGCAGCCTCGCGTGGTCTTTTCGTCCGGGATACCTACCCAGGAACCTGACAAGCCAAGGTTCTCACAGTCGTACCCATGCCTGCCGCCCGTCATGCTCCTCTGAAATGAAGAGATTCGTTGTCCAAAAAATAGTGCCGTAGCTGCCCATTCCGTCCCTAATATTTGTGCGTAAAGAATCCAAAGTGTTAAGGTCCGACGCGTGAACGTAATTGCGCGGCCAGGCGCTGATGTAATCGGTACATTTATGCCTTGCGCGAGCGCGTCACCCTGCCGTTGGGCGTGGCCGCAGCCGCAGGCGAGACGTAGCCGTTGGCAATCGACTGCGACGCACCGCTAAGGCGGCGGCGGACAGCGCCAACGGTGGGAACCTTCTCGTCCTTCATTTCGACGAGAGCGCTCTTCGCGCGGCCACGACCCTTCGGAACAGGCTTCTTGTAGGTGGCAATGTAGAAGCCGATGAAGAGGAAGAGGTACGAAGTAAGGATGGCGATGCCGGAGAAGGCTGCGAATTCCTCGCCCGCGCACTTGCCGGCGTTGGGGAGCCAATCGAAGTAGGTGGAGGTGAAGTAGGTCCAGGAAGCGAAGTAAACGAAGCCTTGGCACGTCGTTAGAGGCAATCATGGGATTGTAGAAGGCAGGCTTACCAAGGTCCAGAACGAACTGGAGAATCTGCATGATGGTGATGTATTTCTTCCACCAAATCCTGATGCCACGTGCGCTCTGGAAGTAGTACCAGTACATGACCACGTGTACAGTCAGGTTCAGAGTAATCGGAACCCAAGAAACAGAAGTGTGGCCGATCAGCTGGGTGTAGCAAAGGAGGGCGGTCGCGCCATGGTGGTAGGTGTGGAGGAAGGCTGGTCAAGTCAGCGCATGCACTACAGCCCAAGGAATTGAGGTACGTACTCAATGGCTTCTTCTTCAGGAACAGGAACATTGTGTCGATAAACTCGAGGTACTTGGTGAGGTAGTTGAGCTGCGCGCCGAAGAAAAAAAAATTAGCAACCTTCACCGCAACACCAGAAGTCGCAAGAACGTACGTAGTAGAGGATAACCAGCTTGTCGGTCCAACCACCTTCATGGCTGCAGATGGCATGGAAAACGCCATTGCGCACGAGCTCCGGGATCAGCTGCTCCAAGAACAGCACCAGCAGAATGCCGCTGATGGCGGTCAGGTAAAAGTTGTGGATCTTGAACAGGCCATTGAGCTTCAGCGCGGGGTAGCTCTTCATGACCTCGCGGCCGCCGAAGATGATGATGTAGTAAGAGACCAGCATTATGACGCAGGACTTGAACGTCGACAAAGGTGTCTCGTCCTGGACGAAGCGGAAGTCCTGCGGCTTGTAGCCCTTGACCGACTCGAAGGCCTTCTCGAAAATGGGCCATAGGTGGAGGCCGAAGGGGTGGTCGAGAGTCGGCGCGCCGACCTGGATCCAATCTGGCTTCGACATGGCGGCGGTGGGAGTTTGCTGACGCGTGGGTGCGGTGGATGCGCGCGCGGCGGGTTGGAGTTGGAAGGGCGCGACGGGGATGTTTTGTAGGGACCGGAGGAGAGTGCAGATGCTCGTTTCTTATGCGCGAGACCTGCAGCAGCACTCAGCCTTGCGCACGGCTTCTTACAAGCAAACAGACAGCAAAGGAGCGACTCTGCAGAAGACAGAACTTTGCGGCGGAGAAGCGAGAGCTGACGTTGGCGACGGCCGAGTCGCGCGGTTTAAGGGGCCCGCCGGAAATTGTTCGAGCGCCGCCGAGCCAACAAACAGCTCCCGACCAGCCGGCGCGTCTTCAACGCTTTTCTCTGAAGGCCCCCGGTCGCAGTCCGCTCGACGCCTCGGTGGCACTGCGCTGCGCGCCGTGACATGTGCATGTGCGCCTCTTGGCGCATCTCTCTCCGCGTTTTCCGCCTCGGTGCATTGCCCGCTGCGCAGCCTGTCGACATGATGCTGGGCCAGCCAAGGCTCAAGTCAGCATCAAGCATGGAATGTGGTGGCTACCGCAGGCAGCGACTAATCGAGGCAATGCATGCCTGCGCAACTGCTCTGTACCCATTCTGTCTCCCTCCCAATTGACGAGGCGGCGAGAACCCAACTTCGAGCTGCGCGCGGCTGTCGGCTCTCCCAGCTCACCGCAGGCCGACTCGGCCGGATGTAAGCGGCTCTGCAAAGTCACATCACTGCTGCAGCCCTGGACCGAGGGACAACCCCTAAAATCCTGCGCCTCACCACTAATCAGCTAAATGTTTTTTGAGCGCGTCACTTCCAGAAGCAGGATAACATCGCGTCTAAGGCCAGAACGAGACCTGCCCGAAACAGGAAATGTTGCTGCGAACGCCAGAGCCACCCGGCACGGGGACGGCCAACGCTAGGGATTGCGGTCGATTGTAATACATAGGGCACTGTCGCACGCGGCGCCCAACGTACGCCAACCCGTAGCAAAACTCCTGCAACGAATTGAATTGCTTTTTCCTATGTGTCGAAGAAGAATCTGCCCCGTCTAACACACCCAACGCGCAATCGCCCTCCATGTAACCAGAAAGAAGAACCCTTCGACCGTGCCGGCTCTCTGAGGCTAGTCCCGCCTGGCGTGTTTCGTGCACAGGAGAAAACCGCCAGTTCGATCGGCACTGAGGGACACATGCAAGAAGCAAGGTAGAACAAGGACAAAAGCTGATGATAAAGAGGAGAAACGCTCAGACCCCCGAATGATAGAAAGGTGTGCATCCCCCAACCATGACTCAAGCAGATGCTAGGAAAACAAAAGAATCGAACCCTCTACTGGACTGCACATGAACGGTTGCTTCCGTCCAGTCCCACGCCATTCCCATGAAGCCGCCAAAGTACAGTATGCCGCAATGGGTCGGATCGAGTCCAGATGCGACCAAACCCCAAGTCCCAGCCGAACCAGGATATCGAAGAAGAAGAAATACAAAGAATCGCCAGGTGCGCCGTCTCTAGCCAACCTTCTTTACGCTGCTGCTGGAGTTCGTGCGCGAATTAGATGCTGAGCCACCAGCAGAATGTGGCCTGCTGTTGCTGCGAGGTCGACCAGACCGCCTGCCCTCATCTGCTGATGCGGAGTGATGGTGACGCCTCTGTTCCAAGCGGACGGTTAGTTTGTCCGTCCCGACCCTCGAGAGAAGAGAGATCACAGAGTCGGTCTGTACATTACTTCGCATCCGTACAAGCGTGGCGTAAGAACGGAAAGGTTTTCTAGACTGTTCTAAGGGTGGTGTGTACAAAACGGTCGGGTGAAGTGAAGAAAAGTGCTCCAGAAGTGCATCGTACTTGAGACAGACTAACGTACCGCGTAGTCCTTGGGCCTTCGCTCCCTGTTAGACATGGCGTCGTCCTGGAGCCGCAAGGCCTCTAACCTGCGTTGGCTGTCTTGGCTCAGGGGGTCCTGGTCGTCCGTACGCATGGGCGATCCAACCTTGGATCCGGTGGAGGGGAGCGGTGCCTTGGCATCCACCGAGCCGGTCTTCCTTGCCGCGGCCAGCTCAGCGAGCTTGTCCCAGCGTTGCTTCCGAGCTTGTTCCTCAGATTGCGCATTCTGCTGCTTCTCTGCGTACTCATGGGAGCACTCGTCGAAGAGCTGCGGGTTGACCTCCATGAAAAGCTTCATAGCGTTGTACACCATGCCGTGGATAGTCCTGTTTTTGGATTAGCAGGGTGTCATGGCTGAGAATCGTCGAAACCGAGACGCATACCTATTCCAGTGGCCCTTGGAGTTCTCGTAGAGAGGGGCGAACATGATCGGCAGGATGACCTCAACGTTGTCGCTGACGAGGTTGCAGAAATATTCGTTGTTCCAGAAGTACAGAGCCCGCTCGGCGACCTGCGACGAGATTAACACCTAAATGGCAGCAGCCCTTGCGCGAATATTTAAATACCTGGAAGTGCGGGCTGGCAACAGACTTGGCCAACTGGCTGAACAGCGGCTCTTGGACCTTGGCAAACTCGGCAGGATCCATGACCTCGAAGATATCTTCGACCTCGTTCAAGAACATTACCTCCTTAGTGCTGTTTACTTTAGGCCAGTAACGGAGAAGGCCGAGCACAACCTGGGAAATGATCAGCGAAGTCCCCGGATCTTGGTTCGGACACGTAACAAACCTCCTCGGTCAGAGCGGCGTCCTTTTCCAAGAACTGGACAATGCAATAGGCCAGCTGCGGGTGGTACATGCTAAGACTCTTCACCTTGTGAAGAGGAATCAGAACACGGGTCAAGAAGAGCTTGTGCTCTTCCTTGAGCGGCAGGGCGAAGCCGTTGATGATAGACCCCAGAATTTCCAGCAGCTCTGCGATACCATTGAAGCGCTCCGTCTCATAGATAAACTGGAAGAACACGTTGTTGATCGATCTCCGAATGTATGATCGGAGGTTGAGGAATTTGCCGTAAATGCGGTGAAGCGTCGTCTTGAGGAAATCGCGCTCTCTGGGGTCTTCGGAATCGAATAGCTCGAGGAGCTGAACGACCGGGCGCTAGGTTAGATCAGGTTGCCCTTCAGACTTTCAGTGTGTTCCACTTACCTGAAGAACGAAACCGTGGTCGATGTATTGCTTCGCAATGTTGGTGTTGAAGTCCTGGCTCTCGATGAAGCGCAGGAAAAACTCGTACACGACTTGGATGTGGGGCCAAGCGACCTCAAGAACGGGTTCATCCTCCTCGGGGTCAAAGGCTTCGCCTTGGGGATTCATCGGGGGCGGGATAGGACGGAAGAGGTTCTTAGCGAACATTTCGACGACACGAGGATACATGCGCTCGGTGATGACTTGTCTGTTGTTGGCGACGTAATCGAGCAACTCGTGCAAAGCCAGACGCTTGATTTCCTTGGACTTCATATCTCCACTGGCGTCATTGAAGTCGAAGATGATGTTGCATTGATCGATTTTCTGCATGAAGAGTTCCTCCCGCTTGTTGGGTGCAACCTCGTGGAAACCAGGGAGTTTCTCCAATTCGCGCTTGCTCTGGTCGGAGATGTCGAAACGAGAAGAATGCTGCCGCTTCGGCGTGCGGATTCCCTCGGCAACATCTTTGGGGGTGGTTTGCAGGCGATCGAAGAGCATCGACTTGCTGCCGGCCTTGGGGGGGAGCAGGTCTCCAGGCATGGTCTCGGCGGCTCCAGGAGGGGGTACGTGCTGTTACAGCAGGTCAGTGAGGTTCATTGTCGAGAAGCAGGCGGAAGGGTGGGTCAAGGGTGCGGTGCGCCGGGTTGGGGTTGGTGTGTGGCGGGATGTGAGACATGGGTACTTACAGGTGCGCTGGGGCTGATGACAACACTCGGTGCCAGATGCTGGCCTCCGCGGTTCGGCGTCCCTGGCGCCGCGCCAGGCAGACCGTTGCCGGCTCCCTGAGAGATTTGCGGCTGACCGCTCATATATTGTGCGCCAGGCGCGAGCGAATTGGGCACACCGGGCTGAGAAGACTGCGCGGGGCCACCGAGGGCAGCAGGTGCGCCGGAATTGTCATTCGACGGGAGCGGCTTGTTGATAGGGAGTTGGGTCTGCGAGGAGGTGGGCGTAGCGTGCGCGGAGCCGGCAGGGGAGTGGGTGCCCGAGTTGGCGTTCGACGGCGAAGAGGTGCCCGTCTGGTCCTTTTTCTTTGATGATTTGTTGGAGTCGTGGGCGCGCAGCTTGTCGGTCTGCGGCGCCATTAGCAAGGACACGGGTGACGCGGCGCAGTGTCGGGCAGCAGTGCAGGCCACGGGTGAGGAATTGGTGCACACTTACCACTCTCTGACGAAAACCTTTCATGGTCATGTAGACGAAGCGCAGTTGCGCAGCAGGATGCGAGGGTTGTGCTAGGAGAGCAGAAGGAGGTGCGGAGGTTCCAGACGGCGTTCCAGGTCAAAGGACTCGGAGCGCGACACTGGCCTCGCCGAAAATCAGCGTGGTCTCGCTGCGGAGTGACGGGCGCCGGGGATGCGTCAGATGCGAGACGAGATTACGGCAATCCGACAGGCATCGAGCGAGGCTCAGGCGCAGGAGGAGGGAGTATTGCGGCTGCGAAGGTGAGCTCCAGGCGCGGGCGATGCGATGAGGTCGACGGCGACGCAGGCGGGGGGCGCCAACGCAGGGCGGGTCGGGGCCGTGGGTGACGGAGCTCCAGCAGGCGAGGGACGGGCTGAGATTCGCAGGATGAGGCAGACCGCGAGAGGGGACGTGGTGGAAGGCGTGTGCTGGCGCTCGCTGTAACAAGTCGTCGAAGGAGGTGATCTGAGCAGTTGGACACCCGCTTGGACCACGGGCTCCGCGCTAGTGCGTAAAGGCGGGGCTTGCTTCCAGAAATATGTAAAATCCGCCGCCCAGCAGTCCATCACCCGCGCCTGCACGCGCTGCAGCTGGAGCCTCCCGCCTGGCCTCGCCGCGCCTGCTCAGCCCGCCATGGACGACGACCAGGTCGGCCGCCTGTACGGCCCGCCCCCCGCCCCGCTGCAGCTCGCGCCGCCTGACTCCGATGGCCCGTCGTCCGCCCTGCTGGTGCCGCCCGACGCCGTGGTGAGTATCGAGCACCCGTGCATTGTCAAGAACATTGACAACGGCATCAAGTCGCTGGGTGGCCGCGTTGTGCTGGACAAGGTAGGCCTCTCCAACCTCCACCGCCCTCCACCGCCCTCCACCGCCCTAGGCTCACCTGACCTCCCTAGTTCCTCAACACCAGAGACCGTGACAAGACCATCGGTGCCTCACTTCGCCCAAATGACCCCATGGCCAAGCCCGTCATGTCCGGCTTCACCAAGACGCAGAACCTGCTGCTGCGCGTGTCACTGCCCAAGCGGACTGGCAGGAAGCGCAAGAGAGGCTCGAACGGGCCTTGGATAGATGCTCCAGAAGCAACCGAAGCGCCGCACGCAGACGCGCAGGTCCTCTTGCAGAGCTTGCGAGACAACCCCGCCAGCTACAGCATCCAGCCCGTGGGGTTGGCGCAGGAGAACCACCGTTTCCGCCAGCTGCCTGACTTCCAATATGCCACCTCCACGCTGCCTCTCGCAAACATGCTGCGCGAGACATTTCTGCCTCTGCAGTATCCGAAGCTCAAGAACTTCAAGATGAGTGATGAGCGCGGTAATCACGCTGAACCGGACATTGGCCCGTCCGCCCAGTTCTCCATGATAGAGGTGCCCTACAACTACTCCTACCGCCAAAATCCGGCTGTCAAGATCTTGCACGACGAGAATGGCCGGCAGATCATGTATAACCCAACCGCTAGCCGCAAGTTCATCATGCACTCCGTCAACATTGATGCCGAAGACATCCTCTACGAGTCTCCAGTTCCTCTCCAGCCCGAGGATACGCTCGAGCCCCACATCCGCGATACTGTTGCAAACATGCGCAAGCTTCTTGAAGAGCGACCCGTAATGACCAGGCGCTATCTTGCCAACCACCTTGAAGCCCCAACTGACGATTCAATTCGAAGTTCATTTGCTTACGTCGGCTACTCCTTCAAGTCGGGCCCTTGGCGCGATACACTCATCAAGTTCGGAGTGGATCCCCGGAAAGACCCCAAGTATCGACACTACCAAACGCTCATGTTCAAGATTGTCATACCGTCGAAGAAGGAGTCAAGTGAAGATCCAAATAAGTGGATGGATGCGCGCAATGTTTGGCGTAGGGAAGCAAAGCCGAGGAACTTGAAGCTGACCACACACATTTTCGACGGCAAGTCACTTACTCCAGACGGCAAGGTTTGGCAAACATGCGATATCACAGATCCGCAGCTCCGCGAAATCCTCGATACGGACAAATTGCGGACCGAATGCAATGTAAGTCATATGGAAATGTGCTAGATCAAACTTCTGACGAGTCCAACAGATCAAATCGGATGGGTGGTATCTCAATGGCACATGGGCCAAGGTTAAGGTGCTCATGCGTGATAAGATTAGCGTCGTCAGGGAGGGTGGCATTCCCAAGGACGAGGACTATAGGCGGATAGTCGACTTCCCAGATCTCATCACACCCGAGAACCTACAGAACACGACAGTCGGCCGGGATTCCACGGTATCAGAAAAAGAATACAAGATGCTGGCCGATATCCGTAACCTAGCTAAACAGAACTTCCGCATCTGGGGAAAAGATAAAGGGACGCAGGATGCGGACGTCGAGATGGCAGACTCGTTCGCTCCCAGCCAGCAGTCCGAGTCCATTGTGGATAGTCCAAGCCAGTTTGGGAATCCGGAGGATCGTCGCCGAGAAACCGATAGGGAATCCCAGCCGCCGCCAGATGATGCCGAGCCAGATGATTCGGACATGGAGGATGATTTGGAAGACCGCGATGTGACTATCATTGACGGCAGTGAGGATGAAGATTCTGACGGGGACGAAGAAAATGGCTTGGATGATCTAATGGGTCCGTTGGATTACGACGAAGGTAGCGACGGCCAAGTGGACGATGATTGATCGTACCCCATTCTACTATGGATATCCGGTCGTGCATAAAAGTAATCGGCCGTGAGCGATCTGGGGGGTGGGTACTAATCTACAGTGCATGATGCGCGGCGCTGCCCGTATCTCAACAACACCGGCTGGCGAGTTCGATGCAAAACTCTTGCATTTACTTCCAAAGAACACTGGCCGAAACTGATAGCCAATAGTTTTGCTCAGTCTCACTTGTACCAGGGCGCTCACAGACACCATTTCAGAGGCGGAGAGATGCCAACAAGGAAGCGCCGTGGATTCGTTTTGCACTGCGGCGTTTGCCGTACTCCGAAATTCGACTCCCCTTTAGAAAAAGCCAGATAGGCATAAATGTCATACTCTGAAATTGAAGCTATTTCCAAAGTTTTTATGTCATGGTGGCGTGCCTATAATAAATACTCTGCCACAAATATATGAATGTAGGTATAAAATGTATCCAGATGTTTCCGCGTATGATTTGATGCAGTAATTGTCTCGTGCCACGATTGAGATCAGATTTATTCAACATAGCCTTAGAGGAAAAAGACGTCAGGTTCCATCTGCTGAAGTCCCTATATCAGCACTCAGAAAGAGTTGTGAAGATGGAACTAGCCGACAGGACGCATTGTCTCTTTGGTCACGAGGACTTCACAGACCATTTTGATGAGTTTAAACTCCAGTGTGCCCCGCGCTCTATAATTAAGATGACGAAGGTTCTAGATCGGTTGGGTTGAGCAGCGCACCTTGCACGACTCGTGTGATTACGTGTAGACCAGCCCGGGCTGCAGAAATTACCTGGGACTAATTATTGCGGGTCTTTGATCTCTGCCCCGTGAGAGGAACATGGTATACAGGAGGTGATCTTCAAACGAGGGCTGTTAAGTCCGTGCACCACAGGCAAGATTGCAATAAGGCGAAAGCTTACGTACACATATATACATGTTCCTGGCTTCAACTGATTTGCTGTGCATATTTGTGTGTAATGAATGATACATGAGCACTACTTCGTGAGAATGACAGTACAATGGCACCAGGAGTCTGCAAAAGCATAGTACTTGGAATTCTGGCTGTTCACGTAGCTTCACCTGCAAAAAGGTGTCAAGCTTTCAGTTGTCAAAAGTGTAGATTGTTGTTGTCTAATAAGAATCGGAACATGCGCTGTACTTCACAGTCTCGCCTTAACGCTTCTTTTCGAAACCTCAGCATCTCTCTTCGCCCACTCTCTCACTATCTTACGTTGGATTTTGCCAGACGGCGACTTTGGCACCTCCTCAATGAACACGATGCCACCAAGCAGCTGTTTGTGCTTCGCGACACGCCTGGCAGTCCATGACGCAATCTCCTCCTCCGAGACCTTCCCGCCCTTTACATGGTCTTTGAGAACAACATAGGCGCGCGGAAGTTCTTCATGGTCACTGTTCAGTGTTGCGTCAGCAGTCGTAGCCGAGGAGTGAGAACAGTGATGCATGTCATGGTACTCACGTCTGTACTCCGACAACCGCCGCGTCGGCAACTGCCTCATTCTCCAGTAGAACCGCCTCCATCTCCGCCGGTGCAACCTGAAATCCCTTAACCTGCACCGCAGAAACAGTTGTCAGCAAATTCTAGACATCACGACCTCAACTCAGATGAACGAAACCGGGTGGTCCCAAACCTTGATCAGCTCCTTCTTCCGGTCCACGATCCAATACCTCCCCCCCTCATCCCTCACCGCCACATCCCCCGTCCGCAAGAAGCCGTCCTCATCAAACGCCTCCCTCGTCGCCCCCTCATTCCGCCAATACCCCAGACAAACGTTCGGCCCCCTCACGCAGACCTCGCCCCTCCCCCCCGCCGCCGCCCCGCCTTCTTCCCTCCCCTCGTCATCCACCAGCTTCACCTCGCAATTCGGATCCGCGTACCCCACGCTCCCCGACCGGTCGTCGCGGCCGCCCGGCACGTGCATGGCCGAGCACGTCAGCTCCGTCATGCCCCACGTCTGCACGACGCGCACGCCGAAGCGGTCGGCGACCTCGTTCTGCAGCTCGGCGGACAGCGGCGCCGCGCCGCAGAGGATGTTGCGCAGGCTGCGGATGTCGGTGTCGGCGTCGCGCATCGTCTCTAGCCGCTTGGCGAGCATGACGACGACGGGCGGCGCGGTTTGCAGGTGGGTGATGCGGTGCGTGGAGATGTGGCGGAGGAAGGCGGGGAAGGAGAAGGGCGAGGCGCGCATGATGTAGGTGGGGGTGAGGGATTTGGCGGCGGCGCTGATGGACCAGAGTTGGCCGTAGGCGTGGTAGAGGGGGAGGAAGCCGAGCCAGCGCTCCGGGGGCCGGGTGGATGGGGTGTAGGGTTGTTCGAGGTCGCGCATGTAGAGGGATTGCGCCGTGTTGGCGATGATGTTCTGGTGCGTTATCATCACGCCTTTGGGGAGACCGGTCGTGCCGCTGGAGTAGTTGAGGACGGCGGTTGTGGTGCGCGCGAGTTGCGGGGAGAGGGATGGCCAGCGCCAGGTTGAGGCGAGGGAGGGAGGTGCCAGGATGGAGCGCCAGTCGGAGAGGGACCGCTGTGGGGAGCATTCGGTATCGGAAAAGAGAAAGATGCGGTTGTGAGGGAAGTTGGTATTGGATGCGGCTTTCAGGAGAGTTGCGACAAGGGCTGGGTCCACGAAGATAGCTTTTGCCCCGGTGTTCTCGATTTGGTAAACGGTTTCTGTGTTCAGGTCAGGTTCTGACAGTCAAACCGAGCAAATAGTAGCTTTGACAACGGAGTGTTGGTATGAGAGCGATAGCAAAACTGAATCATGATTCCAAAGAGAGGTGGACTGTACCTTCGACGCCGTATGCTGGATTGCATCCACTAAAGATATACCCAGCACCAGCAATACCGCAGTATGCAACTGGAACGAATAGATGGTTGGACGAGTATACCATGACCACGTCCCCGCGGTCCAGTCCCAACTGCTGCAGTCCTAAGCCCAACCGCTTTGCCCATAATAGTAGGTGTTTGGGGGACAGGTTTCGTTCTGTGTTGTCGGCATCGATCCAGATTGGTTCATCCGAGGGCTCGGATTCGGTTGGGAAAAGGTAGTCTAGGATATTGCAGGCAGGAATGTCAATATCAAAAGGAGACTCTTGTGGCATGGTTTCGGCGTGGAGCGCATACGATGGATGTAGGATCATGTCCCGTGGTGTTGGGTTTTGGACCGGAATAACCGGCTGAGCGGGATCCCCGCATGGCCAATGAAGGAATATCCGAGGAGCCTGTAGGCTTTTGTCTGTCGTCATCACTTGCAGGGTCTTGCAACTGGGCGCCGGCGAACGCGGGGAAGGCGTGGGGAACGCGGCGGGGCAGCGCGCTAAGAGCACCCGGCGTCTTCATTGGAGGGTAACCATGCCGCGGATGTTGTCCTGATTGGGTCCCAACACTAAGAGCAACGAGCGGACGAACCTATATGAAGCAGACAAACTTCAGAAGAATCATAGCACGTAGCACGCGCCCCAGCCGCGAGGGTTGTGCTTTCAAGAGCCTAACAGTGACGGATTTCCAGCCAGATCTCGGACGGCGGTATGCGGCCAGATGATGCAGAAGAAATGCAGCTCCATGCCATGGCAACCCCTCGTATGCTTGATATCTTTTGAGCTGCGTTTGATGCACCGCATTACGCCAAAGGTATAGATCACATGACCCACGAGTTTGATGAATGCAGCTGGCGCAACCTTGAGCCACGTGACGGACGGGCAATTCTTTCGTCTCGTCGTCGCGTCGCTCCTACTGTACCATGGTCGTGCAAGTAAGCTACAAGCCAATAGCGTGGGCACGATGCCTGAAATGAACGATGCCCAATGGGCTCGGCCCGTCAGAGCTCGCGCTAGACGGCCGTCGAGGTGCAGGGCGGACATGACGTCCGGAGGACGCGCAGAAAGTCGTGTCGATGTGCCAGCTCGTTGCGGTGTGGGCCAGCGAACGCGCAAAGGGTCTGACTGACTCGGCCAGATCGAACAACGGACACTTGGTGGGGTAGATGCAGGGGAAGTGGGCAAGCAAGCATGGATGTTGGTAGGCTGGCGTCGGTTCGGCAGCCGCATTCAACCGTCGGCCGGGGACCCAGCTGCGCCAATCCGCAACTGGTACACCGCTTGCTCAGGAACACCTTTCTTTCGCGCGACCAGTCCTGGAGCTGCTGCTCCCTCGCTACAGCTTCGACGGCAATGCTCCTCTCAGCCCAATGAGCCCCGAGCTGGCCAGCCCGCACGCCGCGAGACTATGGACGACTGGGGCGACCCATGGCAGGACGATGCGGCTCCGAAGCATCCCCCGGCCATCGACGTGCACATCCTCGCCGACCGCCAAAGCAAGGAGCGCGTTGTTACACCCGTTCTGACCGGCTTCTTCGAGGACCAGCAGAAGTGGTGCGAGCCTGATTCCCACGACGTGTGGGCCGCCGCCCACGACGAGCCCGCCGCTCCCGTGCAGCCTGCTGAGCCTGCTGAGCCTGCTGAGCCTGCTGCGCCTGCGGATGCCCCGGTCTGGGACCTGCCCGACCCGGAGCCTGTCACGTCGGACAAGCCTCCAGAGTCCCACGGAGCCGCCCTCGCGACCACGCACACCGCCGCCCTCGAACCCGACACTCCGCAGCCCGCAGAGGAAGACACGAGCGACGCGGCCTCTGACGACTCGTTTCACGAACCCACGCCAACGCCTGACGCGCATAAAGAATCAGGGGTGCCGCCCGCTACCCCCACTGCCCACGAAATCGATTCCTCCGATTCTGGCACCACCATCGGGCCCGACGCCGCCGGCTTCGCCGCTCTCGACTCTTCTACACCGCCCGCGAGTAGACCACACTCCGAAGAATTCGAGAGCGGCATTTCCACCCGCCCCTCGACCTCTCCTTCGGAAGCTAGCCACGGCGATGGCTTGTCCGACTCTACAAGAACTTCCTTCGAAGATGATGTCGGGCCGCAAGGCTTGACCGCGAGTAGTGAAGCGGGGCCGGACAAAGCGGATGACGCGACACAGACCGCAGGAGAGCCTGAGAACAAAACCGAAAACGAGCATCAGGCCACTACATCCGCTCCCAATGAGGAGACCACCGAGCCTGCACCCAACCAAGTACCCGAAGAGACCGATGATGATACGAATGAGATTACGACCGAGCACGAACCTGAAGATCGAGTTGAGAGCGAACCTGAAGACCTAGTTGAGAACGAGTTCGAGGGCCGAGCTGAGAACGAACTTGATGATGAAGTTGAGGACACATGTGAAGACCGAGTCGAGGACACACATGAAGACACACCGGAAGACGCCTTTGATGATGACGACTTCGGTGACTTCGAAGAAGAGGCGGACGAAGTTCTCGAAGACGAAATCCACGAGGACGAAACCTCAAACACTGTTGAGAGTCCTGTCGATGCTGGACCTCCGTCACCGAACCACGGACATGCCCCAGCGCAGGACTTGAGCGGATTCGTTCCGAGCAGCCCGAGACCTTTCGTCAAAGCTGACTTTGCGCCTAACCTTAGTCTCATCGACCAATTATTCCCAACCACTGGTGATAACAACGAACTGCAAGAAGTGGATGACTCTCCAATCAAGCCTACCAACGCCCGGAAGGCTTGGTATCGCCTCACGCGTATTGAAACTCTGCACGAGGTTCAAAGCGAGAAAGACCATGACAGCTATGTGCGTGTAGGTTGGCAGGCTTCCACAGTCCGCGCCGAGACCAACCAGATTGTGGGTCGATGGGCGTCCGAAGACCGCATCAACGGGCGTACACTGCTCGGTGGCAGACCTGGCGCCATGTTCGGTTGGGATTCGCCCAAGTTTTCTCCTGCCTCGAGTGTCTTTTCCTTCCACTCCCACAAACGCAATGCCTCGGCAGCGACCACACCGAAGAAGGCTGTTTTCGATTTGGAGGAAACCAGACAGAGGCCTGTATCACTTACCGTGCCACCTCTGCGAAAACCTTCGATTTCGACTGCCATCGATGTTCCTCAATTCAGCTGGAGCACCGCGGTGGACGAGCCGAACGAGCCTGCAGCTTCTTCTGCTCCCCACTCGAAAACAGCCTTTGCCAACTCAAAGGACGGCAGCAATCCGTGGGGCGCTGCCTTCGCGGAGAAGTCGCCAACCCATGAGATTATGCCAATATCTGCACCGCCGGTAAAAACCTCGTTTGAGGACAGAAAAAGCCCTTTCGTAACTAGAAGCTCTTTCGAAGACTCAGACGCCTGGAAGCCTGCAGAACGTTCTTTCGGGGAGGGAGATACCTGGGGATCTGCGAAGGAATCTTTCGAGTCACAGGGTACTTGGGAGCCTGCAAAGACAACTCTCGAAGAAGCAGATGCGTGGGATGCTGCAAAGAGGTCTCTCGAGGAGACAGATCCCTTCGAACCTCCCAAAGCGTCGTTTGAGGAAGCGAATGCTTGGGAATCAACACGAAAGTCCATCGACCAACAAGACGCTTCCCTGCAAGACAAGGCCTCACTGGACGAAGGTGACGCCTGGAAGACAGCAGAGACTTCGTCGGAGAAACCAGAATTGCCAGAATTCCAGTTGCCTCCGCAGCCCCCTGTTGAAATCCCGGTCAATTGCAAGCCGGTGAAGAACTCCCAAGATCAGATAATTGGTTGGAAACTGGATCACGATGCTATTAAGAAAGCGGCTGCCGAGGAAAAGGCGGCTGCTCTGCAAACTCTACAGGAAGCGAGCGAACCAAGGCCCCCACACACTCGTGCGGTGTCGGACTCTAACATTCTCCATGTCATGTCGCCTTTTGACAATCCGTTCGCTCCTCCAGAAGCTGAGAAGCCCGAACCGACCCCGGATGAGGACGCGCAAGCGCAGTCTGGTGAGAAGAAAAAGAAGAAGAGGCTGAGCTGGCTCACATTTCCTAAAAAGAAGAAGAACAATGATCTCCACCACAAGAGGTCTGTGTCTACTTCTAGCTTTTTAGCTGTTTCGAATAGCACAGCTGTTCCGCCTAAGAGCTCATCTTTACCATCTTGGGAAAGTCCCTGGGCAAAAATGGCGACGAAGTCCCCCTTGGCGAACGAAGTCACCGGTCCAGACCCTGAGCCAGAAATAGCTCGTAAAGAATACGAGCCGGAAATGGCCCTCAGGAAACACGAGCCGAATCCGTGGGACAATGCTTTCGACAACGCTTGGGACGATGCTAGGCCGTCTACTGCAAAATCCAACGCCTCCCACCGTGATTCTGTTCTGATATCGAAACCCGAGCTACCCGCCATTGACACTGCTGTTCGTCCTCCATCTCCTCGAGAGGTCGTCACTACGCCGAAGTTGCCAGCCATCGACACCAACCCTGAGCCGCATAAGGCTGACAGTCCTGTCCACGAAGAAAAAAGCTGGGGCAATACCGTTGAATCACCAATGGCTTCTCCTTCAGTCATGACTCCTGATGAGAATCCATGGGGAGATCCATGGAAGGCTACGTCGGTACCGCCCGCGCCTATAACCTTGTCCGTGGATCCACCTTCAGTTTCCAAGCCAGCTACTAAACTTGCGCCTCTTGATACCAGCTTCAAGCCCCAAGAGACGGACGATGACGACTGGGGTGAGATGGTGGAATCTCCTGCAGCATCCTCGCCCGTACTTGCGCCTCCGCCATCAGGGCAATGGGGTCTTCCCCGTAGCGTTTCGCCAATTGGCTCGCCCATTAGTAAGACCACCCGAACTCACCCACCAAGCCCTTTGGTGCCTGCGCCGATTCGATCTGCTACGATGCCCCTTTCGCCAACAACTTCAGGCCTAGCATCTCCGCCCCGTGTCAATACGCCAAAGTCGACGAGCAATTGGCTCCCCAAGCCGACCAACCACCCGCGGCCGCTCAGCCCTCTCAACCCGGCACGGTCTTCTACTCTCCCCATCTCACCTACCCTAGGCAGCTTACAACCGCTGTCGCCGTCACCGGTGCTGGAGCAGAAGGAGGTTTTCCGCCCTGCCCCAATCTCCATTGCCCCAGCAGATTCGGATCCGTGGGATAGCGTTGATTTTTCCGTCTTCGATAAGCCTGCGTCCGCTGCTTCACGTAATGCCTCACATAACCGCACCTCCTCCAGCCCTCTCCCAAGCCCTGACCCCACTTCAACCGCTCCTACCATCACATTTGACAACATCTTAGGTGGAGCTACCCGCACCGACCGCTCAAGCTCCACGCCTCTTACGTTTGACCAAATTCTGCAGCCTTCGCGCGAGCGGTCAGGCTCTGCTAGGACATTTGATGACATTCTGGCCCAGCCGGGCCAATTGTCACGGGCCAACTCGCAACAGAGTCTGAAGGCTACAGCTGCTGGTCAAGCGCAGGCTGGCCCGGTGACTAACTGGGCCGAGCAGGACAAAGAGGCTGTGAAGAAGTTCGTGGCTGCGCTGCCAGATATGAGTTATATGCTTCGATGAGGCTCTTCATGTATTGACTTTAGTCTCCATCACCGTCGAGACAGCTGTGTATGTACAGTGGGGATCAGGCGTTCACATTGGTCTTGCAAAGCTTTGGCTTTGTCACTTTCGCATCCTCTTTCTTCCGTCGACATATTCGACCTGCACATATCCTTGGGCGTTTTTGACTCGCATCGTCATCGTCTGTCTTGAGTAAAACATACCCTCTGTCTAGCATTCTGTCAGTTATGGTCATGGGAAGGACAAGCCGGGGAAGAATGGTCTTTTGGATTCATCTTTGAGGCAAGTCTTCGTATCGCGAGTTTGAACGGCGTGTGCACATTTGTGTATGAATAGTCGCCTCGTCCTCTTCCATTAGCTCTCGTCAAAACGAAGAAGCGATCAGGTTCCCGTTGATGGCGTTTCCTTTCTTGTCTTACGCTCTGAAGCGGAATAATATATATGACTTGACATTCTTTAAATCACTTTGGTGTATTGTGGTAATCTTCTCATTTACATTGACGACCTACAAAGGTACGTGCACCGATCTCCGTACTCCAGGTTTCTTGTTCAAGGCCGTCATGCTGATTGCAATTGCGGGCAGAATCGATATCTACGTATGACACCCTGCCTAAGCAAACTAACAGTCAGACGTTGAAAATGCAAAAGGAAAAAAAAAGCCTTCCTGTATGTAAAGCTAATACTTCTTCAAGGAATCGCCCCCACTTTGATCCTTCCGCCTAGCGGAGCATAAATAGCTCGATATCCTCCTGTCACGCATTCCGTTGATACGTAAGAAAGTCACTTCAAACCCAGCCAGGCCCTATCATCGTAAGCCGCCGCCACCACCACCACCACCAACAACAACAACAACAACAACAACATCCCCGAACTCCTCAAACAGATCCGCAAAAGATTATCCACAAGAATGGCCAACGACGACGACGCCAGTGCAGGACCAAGCATCACAGACAGCCTACCGGCACTCCCCGCGCAGTCGCTCCGCCGTCCGCTTACACCACCACCACCACCACCACCAATGTCGCCGTCGCCGTCGGCCTCCAGCCCGCACACCCCGGACGACAACGACGACGTCGCCACGTCAAAAAGCCCTTTTTTCCAACGCCTCCCCGCGGAGCTGCGCCGCATGATCCTCGTCGCCGCCTTCGGCGCGCGAGTCGTGCACATGGATCTGATCTTCGCGACCCCGCTGGAGAAGAGGAAGAAAAAGGCAAAGGCGGCGCAGCAGCAGCAGCAGCAGCAGCAGCAGCCCGACGACGTGGCAGCGCACGGCGGCCTGCTACTCGACCGCAGCGGGCGCCGCGTGCTGCGGCGTCCCCGTGGTGGTGGTGGTAAGGGCGACGAGGACGTCGAGGCGTGGCGGTGGTGGGGCTGCGTGTGCCATCGCAACCCGCCGCCGCCATCATCATCGTCATCACCGCTGCGGCGGCAGCAGCAGCATCGGCCCGGGAGAAACGACGATGAGGAGGAGGAGGAGGAAGACGGAAAGGTCCCGCTGTGGAAAGACGGCTGCACGCGCGGATGGGCGCCGGCGTGCGAGCGGTGGCCGGGCGCGCTGCCGGACCGGTGCCGGGTGGGCGCCATGGGCTGGCTGCGGGCGTGCCGGCGCGCGTACGCCGAGGGCGTCGACGTCCTCTACGCGACCAACACGCTGCACGTCGCCAGCATGCCGCTGCTGCTCCACATGCCGCGGCTGCTACTGCCGCGCGCGCGCGAGCGCGTCGCCGCCGTCGAGCTGAAGTGGGACCTCCACCGGCAGGGCATGTATCCCGTCGGCGGCGTCTACGAGGGCAGCCTGGAGCGGACGTTTGGCGGGCTCGTGGAGGCCGTGCCCGTGGCGTTGCCGAATGTGAGGGGGTTGTATCTCTCGGTGACGGGGGGGTTGGTCCATGTGGAGCCGGGGGTGGTCGTGGGGGAGGTTGTCGATGAGGTGGAGAGGATGTTGTTTGGGAGGGTGGATGGGATGGTGGCGAGGCTGTTTGGCCAGCGGCTGAGGGAGTGTACGGTGGAGGTACCGTCGGGGACCTTTGACGCGCTGGCTGTCAAGACCCGGGGCGAGACGTTTCCGTGGTCGATGCGGAGGTTTTGGAGACCGCTGCTTCTTCCTGCGGCGGGGGACGAGAGTGGTCGGGCGGGAGTCGAGCGGGGCTATTGGGTGAAGCGCGGGCAAGAAATCGCGCCTCTGGCCTGCATGGCGTTCTGACCAGCTGTGTGCATACAGTTCGAGATTCTGGTCCATCGGCCGCCGCTTATGGCGCCGATGACGAGCTTCCAATTTTGGAATCTGCAAGGACGTCAAGTGAGACGCATCAGTTGCACTTGCGCCATTCGTGGGGCGCCAGAAACTAGCAAATCCAGCTGTCGGAAAACAGTGAACAACTCATGCGCTTGACTGTGCAGTTTCAGGGTGTTCCGATGGCGCTTGATCGCTCAATGGGACGCTTTGCGACGTTTGGCGACTCTTGCGATTTTTCTTCGTCTTCCCCAAGGTGGGGTAGACCTCTCTCCAACGTTCGGTGAACCACTTGCCCTCGATCTGGTGATACATCCACAACCAGTCATCCATGTCTTCTTCTTCCTTGGTCTCCTTTTTTCTCTTCCACACAACCCCGGGGATTTTATCACGCAGCTCCTCCAACCTTTTCTTTATGAAAACCTCCGGCTCCTCCTTCATCATGTTTGCGTACTTCGCCGTCGGCCACAAGTACCTGGGATCTGGCGCCCCGTCCGCATGCGTCTTTTCCCTCTCGTCTATGCCCCGCTTCCTCTTCTTAGTCCTCTGGTAGTCGAAATACAGCAACCCCAACGCACCCTTCTCCTTCCAGTCCGGTACGGGCACGGTGATCAAGAATCCAGCGTAGCCGTCCATACCCTCGGACCTGTACGACCGGACCATCCTCGAGGACCAGTTTTGGTAATTCGTTTGAAAGGTCCGCACGGAGCGATAGTGGTCAATGCACGCCGAAATGTATTCCCGCCGGTGCACCAGGTCCTCCTGTTGCTGCCAGCCGTTCACGGTGGCACTTGGCTCTACACCATCCGCACTACTGCTGCTACTACTACCCACAGGCCCCAGAAAAGTGACTTCGAGGCGGACTGGATGCCTGGTATGCGCGGGGGCGACCTCGTCGAACAGCTCCTTGGCTAGGTTGGCGCGTTCCTCGCGGCTGAGGTGGGACGTGTCATAGGTGACATAGGCCTGGAAGGATATCGGCGATGCGAGAAATTCTACCCCGCAGAAGGCGATGACCATGGGGTGGCCTGTGTGGGCGGCCGCGTCCTGGTGCCACTGGGAGAGGCAGAGCGGGTTGAAGCTGAGGAGGGGGATCCGCGGCCTGTTGAGCGCGGCGGGCCAGGGTTCGGGCGCCGGTACTGGACCGGGCTCAGTGGACTCTGTCATTGTTCTTCTTTTGTTTTCAGGAGGTACGTTGCAAACGGATGATTCGGATTGAGTTGTTAATGGAATGTGTTATTAGAAGGTGCGATAACAGAGTATGAAGTGACGATGAGCGCTTGGAAGCAAGTGCCAAAACTACGAAAGGAGGTTGCCCATGATCGATTCTTGAGGAATAGAGAGCTCAATTCTTGTATTGCCAGTGTGGATTGATGTTCAAGATGGCAGTGTCGGCAGGTCGAGTGGGAGCGCTCGTCGACTGACGTCTGTGCGCGCTTAGTCAGAAGTGCACGGGCCAGTACCGCGAGGCTGCCAACCTGCCGACTTGCCGACTTGTCGACCGCGTCTCAACACCACCTCCATCCTCTTTCAACGTGCTCACTCGTGCCCTCTGCCATCTACCACTTTCCATCTATTCTTCACCCGACACCGGTCAGTCTGTCAGGTACTCGCCCTCACCGGGAGTAGCCGGCTCGTCAGCTCTCCACAAACATCGAGTTGCCTGGACCCTCGCCAGCAGGCTACCTGCCCAGCATCCACCCATCGAGCGTCCGCGCGACCCTCGCTGGAAGATCTGGGGCCTGTAAGGGACACTTACTGTCGCCGTGGGCGTCTCTGGGCCTCGATGCGACGTGGCTGTGGCCAGACGAGCGCCGACTTGACCCTCTGTCGTCTACTTGGAGTCAAGGTTGCTCCTTATAAACAAAGCCTGGGTGGGCGGGTTTCTGCACCGTCGACGATACTGTGCAGGGAACATATTTAAGGTGAAACCTTTTGATTTGTGCCACTGACGCTTCTCTTTAGCCGCCTGTTGCCTCACCATGTCTTCTGCGCCTACTTCCAACCTCCTCGTTGATTACGTCTCCGCTGCTGTTCAGTGGCGCTGCCCCTATGATGACTCCATCCGACACCTTGAACAAGTTTCTTTGCGCATCGTATTCGATGAATCTGGAAAAGCCGCCCACTTCAAACTCCGTATCCCCGCATCCTTCAAGTCTCTACGCAAGACGCACATCTTTCTCTCCTACGCCCCGGATTGCGTAGCCGAACTACACTATACACAAGCCCCAGATTTACCCGAGCCCATCAAGGAACTCATGTCTAGCCCGGACTCCATCGCTAGTCTTCGTATCGCCCTGGTGCAACCCACTGGAGTCCTCGTCCCCTCAGAAACATCGCTCACGCCACGCAACAAGAAGTTCGGCGACGTACTCGAATCAGTTCAGTCCCTTTCTCATTCCACAGGTTACACCATATTTTTCCCTGTCGATGACGATTCCTTCCACAAACGAGCATCATCGCTATGCTCCAGCATCGGCTCGCTCTCTCCCATCCCTAGCGAACTCGATAACGCTAGCCTCTACAACGGCCGCGGTGCTCTCGTCCTCAAGGACTGCAACTTCGGCCTCAGCTCCTCCACTGCCCCGCCTCAAGTGGCCGAAAGCCCCCCGTCGTACGACGAGCTTGGAGAGTTGCCGGAGCCATCACGACCTCCAGCCGTAAAGAAACTGAAGGCCAAAGAAGAACCGTGGGCTCAGGCACTGCGCGAGCTTCGGCGAGAGCTGAACAGTGACATGGACGCACGACTAGAGAAGCTGCACGAGCGCGTACAGACGCAGCTGCGCGACGTTGGCGAGCGACTGGAACGGCGCTTGGACGAGCAGATGGATGACGTACGGCAACAGATGCGGCAGGAGATGAAACAGCAGCTGGATGAGTTAGAGGAGCGGGTAGAGGAGGTAAGAGACGAGATCGATGACATCGTGGACGTGAGACTGGACGACCAGATCGACGGTGCGAAAGCAGATCTGAAGGATTTTGTAAGAGATCAGGTCAAGGATGCAGGGGAAGATGTCAAAAGGGAGTTAGAAGGAGTGAGATTATCTATAAGTTATGATTAACATCGCACCTCCACCATTCATCAGAAATTTAGCCCCCAAGACTCTGCCGTCGACTTCTTCCCAAAGACCTCGTGCTCGATTTCGGCCACCTTCTCGAAGCCCTCGCGCTGATAAATCCTTCTCGCCGCCGCCATCTCGCTGGGCATCCACAGCATGACGCGCCGATATCCACGCGCCTCCTCTCGTGCAAACTCGATGACCTGTCTCACCAGCCTTGTGCCCAGGCCCTTCCCCCGCTCGCTCGGTTCCACCAGCAAGAGGCGGATCGTTGCCGATTTGTGCGCCGGGTCGTCCTTGTCGTGGAGTACCATGACGCTGCCGGCGAATTTCACCTGGCCGTCCTGGTGTCGCTCGGCGATCCAGAAGCGCTCGTGTGACGGGTCGTAAGTGTTGAGGAAATCGGCGCAGGTGTTGTCCACTAGACCCTCCATGACTTGGGGGTCCCAGCCGAATTCGTCGGCATACAGCACGCCGTGGCGGGACATGACATGGGCGACGTCTTCGGGCCGGTGGGTGCGGATGGTGATGACGCCGTCGTCTCCTTGGGTTGATGGCATGGTCAGATATTCAACGCTGTTCGGGCTGTGGAATTAGTAGGTAGAACGGTTATGGTTGCAAATCACGGCGGGCTGCGAGCATATAACTGCCGTGCCAAGCAGGGGGGGGTGGGGGGGGATCAGGGCTCGTATAGCTAGGGATGCTTGTCTCGCGACTGCCGATAATCAGTCTGCACGCACGCTTAGCATTATTGAATAAGGCTTGCGGTCTGACGATACGTTATGTCCGATTTTGCGGGGGTGCAATCCCCCGTTCTACCTGGGTGCCTGGGCGCAGCTTGTAGCTAGCCATCGGACCCGGCCCGAATGTACAGAAAGAAGAAAAGCGCCGCCCTAAAACGAGCTTCCGTGGGGCCATTCATCTTTGCTTTTCGCCGAAGCTCCGGAGACGGCTCCTGAATTGCGGCCCGTCTTTCACCGCCGACTCCAACGACACTGTACCTACTCCGGTCCGAAAGACTGATAAAGTGGACATCCCCCATTCGCCGGGGAATCTCATAACAAGAAAAATTAAACACACTCTAGTCATGACTCAGGATATCTCAGTGAAGCAGCCATAAACAGGCAGACCAGAAAAGTCTCATCCGGGCAGTTCAACAGGAAATCTTTGATCTTCCAGCTCCACCGCTGGCCTTTAATCTCCCAACTCCACTGCCACTCGCTTTCCGATCCCGATCTCTTTCGGGTGATCTGGATTGGAGGGCGGCAACTCCACCGGCATCGACGCGGCTCCAACATGGCGCGCCTTCCGTCGATGCGGCCACCACAAACAGATCGACACCAAACAATGCCACAGTTTCCAGCACGCCCGGCACGACGCCTACGCCTACCCTCACCTTGAAGTTTATGCTTGCCGAGACTTAACTAACACGTGCTATTCCTGTTGCTTTGTCCGTGTGGGGTTTTCCGCCCTTGGGGTCATAAACTCTTTCTGTTCCGGGGTCCATCACACCGAGCAAGTGAAAAGACCTCCGTACTACGAAGCACGCACTTCGCGCCACTCGTAAAGCTTGAAGCTCAAATGCAGACGCAAAAGACGTGAAGTGAAAGAGCTGGTAGGAAGAGAAGGAGGCACAACGCGGACAGATACATAGCGCTCAGCACCTGAGGACCTCGATGAGACAGGCCTGGTGGCACGAGCTCGTGTGATCTCTCAGGTGAAACGGGACTGATGGTCCATGACATGACAGAACGACAGTATCTTGCAGCAGATGACCGCGCAAGCGGTTGCTCAAATCCACGCTGATGTTTAAGATGTGTGACATCTGGTACCTCGTGGAGTTTGAAGTATTCATCAGCCAGCGTCATCCGAAAGTTCGTGCAAAAATTATTAGCCTGTGAAGCTTGATTCGCTGTAATGCTAAAATCTGGTCATACTTCATATTCTTGCATTTGGCAGTTCTACATGGCCTCCTCATTTCTCTACTTCCGCAAAACCCGTCGCCTCAAGGTCAGTCGCATCGGCATTGGAGCCCGGCGTGATGGACTCGGCTAGAATCTGCTTCCCTTCATCCAACATCCTGTATTTCGAAGGGTTCTTCTTCGGCTCACCAGGGCCACTTGAGGTGAACTGGTAACCTCTCAGTCTGCGCAAAGCAAGAATCAGCAAAGCCCTCAACCACTGTCGGGACAACGTCACTCACCTCGGGCCCTGGCCCGTCTTCTCCGGCAAGTGATCCACATAGGCGCGCTCGAACGCAGCTCTATCTTCCTCAAACGTGCCGTTCTCGATGCTTTTCCGAACGCCGGTAAAGAACAGGTCTATGACGTGGTGGTTGTGCACCTGGATGAGCACCCATCCCAGCATCTCCTTGGCGGCCAGCAGGTGCCGGAGGTAGGCGCGATGGTGCCTGGTGCAGGCGTAGCACTCGCACCCGGGCGTCAGCGGCGACAGATCCGTCGCGTATTGCGGCATCCAACAGTCGATGCCGAGCGCCTTGCGCTCCGCGGGCGACGCGTCCGACGACGGCGCCTTCACGGGGAACTCAAAGTCGAGCACGATGCCGGCGTCCGTGGCCTGGCAGACGAAGGGCACGGTGAGGAGGTCCATGCCGAGGGAGACGGCGTGCAGCAGCTTCTGCGGCGAGGCGGGGTTGTCGAGGGCGAGGCGCGGGAGGGCGGCCAGCGGGTCGGGGATGGCGGCGAGGGAGGCGGTGTCGTAGAGGGCGAGGCCGGAGAGGTGCGGCCGCAACTGCTCGTCGTCGTCGGTCAGCGCGTCCAGGTACCATGACTGCAGCTCCTTGTCGATGGGCAAGATGGGGGCGAAGACGTTGTAGACGCGGCCGCCCTTCTTGGTCTTGTCCAGCCCGCCTTTGGCCGCTACGATGTCCTTCATCCAGGCGGTTGTGCGGTCGCCCATCTTGTCTATCCGCTTCGCGCTCGGCTTGGTGTGGCCGTGCATGATGTCGCCCAGGCCGATGACGATGTCGGGCCTTAGTTTCTGGGCGGCAGACGCGTAGTAGTCGGAAGCCAGCGCGTGGAAGCCCACGGCGGTGTGGATGGAGATGGAAGTGTTGGTATTGGTCGCAGAGGCTGTCACAGGCACTGTGCGTCGCGGGCCGAGAACGAGCAAGGCATCTTTCTGGAGAGAGGCGAAGCGGCGCATGGGCGACTCGTCAGGCTCGCATGGTATGTTGAAGAGGGGCGGCGTTTGCTTAGGCGCTCTCTCTATGACTTCTGAGCTCCGGCGCGAGCAGTCGCGTCAGCGATTGATGGCGCGGCTGGGCCTGGAAAGCTCACAGTCTTCAAGCGCAACATAGAAGGAGTTGAGGCCGGTATGCTTCTTCAGCACGTCCTGGGTAAGGTGGGGGACGACGCCTCGAGATGTGAGGGCGATATGGTGGGGTGTATGCAGTGTCGTGCGACCTGGTACAGAGAGTCGACCCAGTCTGGGCGCAAGCGCGGCGGCAGGCTTGAGGATTTCGAAGTTCAGCATTGTGTCGGGCAGCCGGTGCAGCTTTGCATCTTCCATGATGAGGTACTCGTCGGATTGGAGCGCGGAGGCGTCGCGAACTGATGCCTGTCATGAGCCCGGGAACTTTGGTGGGGTGCGAGTCAGAGCGTCGATCGGTAGAACCCGAGCTTGACTCGGGCAACAGTACAGGCGACCATCTATCTACTCCGGCGCTCCAGACTGTAGGCCAGCTTTCTTTGCAAGTGTTTGGACTGAGCAACACCTGTGCTCGTCCATTCTCTTCAAATGGCATTCAGCACAGCAGTATAAAGTGTCACTCCCGGTGCGTTTTCGCGGAAGAGACGCAAAGGCAATTGAGCTACTGCATCTAGTACTATGTCTTGCTTCGACTATGCTACTCGGCTCGAGGATGCGTGCATTGATGACCACCTATTGCCATGACCTCACCTAGTAGCTGACGTCGGGCGATCGGGGAACAAACAACTGGTGTTTCGTTTTGGGGACGGTATATGATCTGATAAAAGGAGCTGCAAATAAAACGAGTAAGGATCAGCCACGGTGTTTCAGAGCTCCAATGCTTGTCATGTTGCTCTTCCGCTTTTCCATTTCCGGGGTTCGTTCTACGCTACTTAGCACTCGTGTACAGCCACTATTCGAAAGAAGGTTGTCGCCGTTCCACGAAAGCCTTGTGAAGGGTGGCATCAGCGAAGCCGAAGTCTGGATTACCTTACATACTCGGCCCGGCTGCATCGCTTGCTTAGCGAAACAGCGAGGTGCGCGTCTTGCCGGGGCCGGCAGCTAAGGAGCCTAAAGCCTATAGCAAGCGGCAGAGGAAACGGCTGCGGATAACTATAGAAACAACCGAGCCGCAATCTCCCGATTGAGAAAGGGGGTCACAACACGCGTGCCTGCCGGAAACACGGCGCGGAGCAGGCAGTCGCGGTGATCAGAAGGCACGCCCGTTGCGGCCACCCGCCGGCTCCCCCGACAATAATGAGCAGGCAACCCACTCTGCATCCACTCTGCATCGAGGGCATTCGGCACACACTCAAGGCGACGCAAGCATCCGGGATCGGCCTGGCAGCCGTGCTGGCGATCAGCCCCCCGGACACCCCTTGAAACGCAGCCCGCTCGGCACTCTTTCCACGAACCGCACGCGTCTCCGACCTCCAAACATCTGTGGACGGCCGCTTGTCCTCAAGTAGACGACACGCCCCGGGCCGCGGCCCTCGTCGATGCCGCTTTGATCAGCGCCGTCGGGCGGCTGCTGGGGCTGCTGGGGCCCGGCGGCTGCACCCTGCCCTCGACTGCACACGGCAGCCATCCTGAGTCGCAGGTTCACGTCCGCATCGTGCTTCGCGAGCCTTGGCTGTGTTTGATGTTTCCCCATGCCAGGTACATAGGAGCCGGCAAGCCCGCATGTTTCTTGTTTCTCTTGGCCAGCTTCTTCTCTGCCTCTGTCTTTCCCTCTTTAGTCCTTCTTTTTTCCTGGCAGCAGAGCCGCGCTCACCATGCCTTCGTTCAAGTCTACTCTCGTTTCTGCTCTTGCCCTCGTGCCCGCACTGGTTGCGGCCGAGCTGTCCGGCTCCGTCGGGCCCCTCACTTCTGCCTCGGACAAGGGCGCCACCAAGACCTGCGATGTCACCGACTACGGCGCCAAGGCGGACAAGACCACCGACCTCGGTGTCGCTCTGGCCTCCGCTCACGCCGACTGCAAGGCCGGCGGTCTGGTTGTCATCCCCGAGGGAGACTATGCCATCTCGACCTGGGTCAAGCTGGCCGGCGGTGCCGCATGGGCCCTGCAGATTGACGGCACCATCTACCGCACCGGCACCGACGGCGGCAACATGATCTTCATCGAGCACACCAGCGATGTCGAGGTCTTCTCCAGCACCGGCAAGGGTGCCTTCCAGGGCAACGGCTACGAGTTCCACGCCGACGACTCCATCTCTGGCCCGCGTATTCTCCGCTTCTACGACACCACCGACTTCTCCGTCCACGATCTCGCCCTGGTTGATTCGCCCTCTTTCCACTTCTCCATCGACACGTGCAAGAACGGCGAGATCTACAACCTTGCCATCCGCGGCGGTGACCACGGCGGCCTGGACGGCATTGATGTGTGGAGTGACAACATGTGGATCCACGATGTCATGGTCACCAACAAGGACGAGTGCGTCACCGTCAAGTCGCCCGCCCACAACGTGCTGGTTGAGAACATCTACTGCAACTGGTCCGGCGGCTGCGCCTTCGGCTCCCTGGCCGAGGACACCGACATCTCCGACATCACCTACCGCAACGTCTACACCGTCAACTCCAACCAGATGATGATGATCAAGTCTTACGGCGGCAGCGGTTCCGTCTCCAACGTCGTCTTCGACAACTTCATTGGCCGCGGCAACGCCTACTCGCTCGACATTGACCAGTACTGGGCCTCTATGAGCGAGGCCTCGGGTGACGGCGTCGCCCTCAACAACATCACCTTCAACAACTGGAAGGGCACCTGCGCCAACGGCGCCCAGCGCGGCCCCATCAAGATTGAGTGTGCCGACGGCGCCCCCTGCACCGACATCACCGTCACCGACTTCTCCATGTGGACCGAGTCGGGCGACAGCATCTTCTACAGCTGCCGCTCCGCCTATGGCGATGGCGCTTGCCTCGAGTCGTCTGGAAGCTCGGCCTACGACACCGTCACCACCACCATTGACGCCGCTCCCTCCGGCTACACCGCCGCCAGCATGCCCGACGACATCGAGGACTCGCTTGGCTTCACCGTCTCCATTGAGATCCCCTCGCTGCCCGCCTCCTACTTCCCCAACGTTGCTCCCATCTCGCCGCTCTCTGGCGCCACCGCTGCTGCCGTCGCCGTCAACGCCGCGGCCAGCTCCTCGTCTGTCGCTCCTGCTACCCCGGCTGCCACTACCCCTGCCGTCTCTACCCCTGCCGTCTCTACCCTTGTTACCTCGACCAAGGCTGCCACCTCCGCCGCGCCCGCCACGTCTGCTGCCGCTGCTACCGCTGCTCCTTCGGCTCCCGCTAACAACGGTGGCTGGGGCAACTGGGGTGGCTGGGGCAAGTGGGGTAACCAGGTCAAGAACTAAACGTGTCCAACGATGGAATGTACTCCAGAGATACGTTTCGGAGAGATGAGAGGAGAGGAGAAAGTGTAGCACTGGATCCCAAAACAAGGATTACGAAAACAACCAAGGATAAAATGGGTCGGAAACTGCATGCTGCTCCGAGAAGACATTTCTTGTAACATATTGTTTCTTCCTACATATTTTCCCGCTGTCGACGTTCCGCATAGTGAACGGGATGGCTTTGCATAGTTTACCAATATTTGCCTTCACCAGATCGGTGAAAAGGAGAAGATGATCCATTCAGCACCACGTACATTGAGCCATCGTGAAACCCTAAAAACCCAGTCACTAGCCCACTGCCTCCACAAACACTTGAGCTGAAACGGCTATAAACATCCATGGCCGCGCTCGTTTCGCTTACTCCCCGAGTCCCCAGTCTAGCTCCTTTGATCATGTCTCAGACTATCCCCCCC